TGAATCCGTCCGAGTCAGTAATCACCGCCCATAGCATCCGGGACGAACGGCGTAACGAGGTCATACATCTCGGCGTTCCTGCTCCTCTGCGGCTTGCTCCCAAGGCCGACGAAGTTCTTGAACTTCTGGCGCATCCCCGGCTTTTCATCCGCCTCCATCTCGCTCCGGTCCTCGGGTACAGCGTGTCGACGATCTTCGAGAGCCGACGCAGCCCCGGATATCCCTCGGGCGGCCCGTTGCGCGACAGCTCGAGCGCCGAGGCGAGGTACATCGCGAGGTCCGGGAACGTCGTCGGGAGTGTGGGGTAGAGGTTCCCCGGCACGCTCGGGATGGTGTAGAATTTGGAGATGGGCGCATCTGCGCCGTCGCGCAGCACGGCGGGCGGGGAACATATTGTGTACGACCAAGGAAGCACGCTCGAGTCGCCGTTCCGGAAGCGCACCGCGTTGGGTGTGTTCACAGGTACGGGCACGTCGATGGACATGTACACTGCGGTGAGCCATGCCGACGACGTGCTGTGCACCTATCCCGGACGCGTTTGAGTACTCGTTCCGCGTCACCGGGGTCCGGGTAATAGGGATGGACTCACCTTGACAAATGATATGACGATCCGCAGTCTCGCTTCTCCCTTCAGCTTCTTGAGCACTTCGATAGACGGCTCGACGCGCGTCGCCGGCAAGCGTGCCATGAACTTAAGCAAGCTGCGCCAATTGGGAGCTTGGATATAGAACGGTGGCTTGTCCGCATTCGGAAGGGAAATGAGGGTGGGGATTGAACCCTTAAACGGGGCTGCAGTTAAGACGATGGGCGCTGTACCAAATCCCATAGCTGTAATGAACATATGTGAGCTATCGCATCGATAGAAATGATAGAGGAAGAGGCATACAGATCCCGGTGAGCAGCTCCTGTGGTATCAGCTGCTGGTGAGCACTCGACATACAACTCAAATCCGACTCTCCCGCGGACACCGCCGACAGAGGCGCAGACTTATCGTCAACCCACTCAGCCTTCTCAGAGTACGGATAGCTCGGGGCGCATCTAATCGGTCTTGATGAGGAGAAGGAGACTCGACCACAGGCGTGTCCATTACAGGTGTCAGCTCAGCTCGCCCGCCTTCGCTGCCTCTCTTATTGGGTGTTCCACCGCCACGGAGAGGCGTCGGCCAGTGTGCGGCGACTGCCCGAGGTCGGACTTCGAGCGCGCCGTGCGTTGCGACGCGTGAGGTTGACTGCCAGGAGATGCGTGTGAGATATGGCCAGTGAATGATGCGGAATGGGGCAATGGCTTGTCTTTGTTCATGCTTTCGCAGCGTCGACGAACGTCCTTCGATAGCACGGTCTCTATCGAGGTCGAACGCATACGGAGCGCCTGTGCTGTGTCGACGGTGCTTCTGGGGTTCCCGGTTTAGAGGATGCGAGAGGAGTGGCGGCGGCAGAGCTTCCCCGCGAAAGGTGTCCAGGGAAGAACGCTTGATGCGGGACTACTGAGGGAGGGCGCGGTGATGGGTGAGAGGAATTCTCTCTCGACGAGGACGCGGCTGAGCTACTGTCCGTACTATGTCCGCTGGAGGACGGCGCAACATACGACGGTGCTCGCGGCGGCGAAGAGGCGACCGTCCGACTTCATGGAGAGACTGTTTCAACGCCTGCGCGAGTGCCGCGTCCTCATCGTACTGAGAGGGTGTCCGCGACTCCTGAAGCGATGCTTGGACGGCTCGCCTGAGATCCTCGTCATTCACAGAAGACCTCGGATGCACATCCGGCTTGGGCGAGCTGAATGTCGGATGTGGCGTGACATGAGGCGCGGGATCGGCGTAAGGGTGCCTGGAGGTTGTGGGAAGTGAGTGTTGGGCGCGGAGTTGTGCAGCATGAGTGGGTGGCCCTGGAACATGTCCAGGGTGCACATGTGGGTGGGGAGCAGTATGGCGAGGGGCAGGAGCTGGATATGAATGGGCAGGCTTCGGAGGAACGGGTGGCTGGCTCGAATGTGGCCTTTGAGGGAGGGGAGGCGGAGACGACTGGGCATGTCGCAGCTGAGGGTTCTCTGGGGCTGTGGAAACTGTACTGTGGGTTGGTGCGAGAAATAGTCACCAGTTGAAGAACTCAGACTTCGACCATGGGATGCACCCATGTCCACCATACTCCTGGGCGACCGGACGGACGGCCCCGGCGCCGACCTCGCGACATGGTGTGGACTCGGTGCGTAGTACGTGTACGGCCTGGTCAAGGCAGGCATGGGTTGGGTTCGCGATGTTATCTGGTATGCGGGCCTTGCTGCCTGCACCTGCTGCGGATCCGGTGTCCGCTGGATTCTATCGTAAGGATTGGGCAGGTCTTGATGAATACTAGCGGTATCAGACTCCCAAATGGCTTCAGGAAAGGTCCGGCGTAGTACAAAGCCTGTAGCATCGCGGAACATGGAACATACCATGAAGCGGACCATGCCCTGTGCTGGGCATCGGGAACTGCACGGAGGCGCTAGCAGACGCCATGGCATACGGGTGGTGGCATGGTGGGAGTTTGGGATTACTCTCACCGTCGCGCTGTAAGGACTATGCAGAGAGAACGAATAAAGCGGTTCCGCGTCTACCAGGGCCGCACAGGTCGTGTCACGGTTCACGTTGAGGACCACACTACGTACAAATGGGCCGTTGTGGCCGTCCGTTACGATATGGACGGCGCTCAGGCCTCGCAGGGTTGACAGAAGGCTAAGAACTATGCTGGGAAGATCAGACTGGGCGAGCCGCTCATGTCGAGAGGCAGGACGTTGCGAGAGAGCATAACGGCGACACGACCAGACGTCAGCAAGCTGCAGGCGGTGTTCGTTTACCCAGCAGGGCGCGTCCGGCGCTCCATCTAGGGGCGATCACTTACGACCGAGGCAGTGCGCCTAGACTCGATCCAGTCCTTAGGGTCGCTTGCCTCCTTTTAGCCACCCCTCTATATGGTTAACTTTTCAATCCGAGAATGGTAACCGGAGTGTGAAAAGGGAGACAAGCGTCCCTAAGGACTGGGCGAACTGGCCCCCCTTTACCTTGGTCGCCCCGTGGGAAACGGGACTTAGTGAAATCGCACAATGCCTCCTCAAGGGAATTGTGGACAGCCGGCCTCTCGCATTGTGCCAGTCCATAAAGCAATTGTTGTAGGTAGGGAATCAAAGACACAGATGCATTGAAGATTGATTACAGCACAACCAAGTAGATAGAATGGATAAAGACAACCGGAAAAGCACTATCCAGCCCCTTGTGCTCTCCATAGGCGAACGGACAGACATGGGAGCAGGCAGCGCCAACGTACAGGGTTGCGGGGGACAGCATGTGAGGATTCCTGCATGTCCTGCATGATGACGTCTCCACCCTTCTTCGAGAACGCGCGTCACCATCGATCTGCCGACAAGGAGGATATTTGTCGTGCACATACCATGCCGTGGACGAAGGGGATGGCGAGAAATATACCATAGGTCGGGCCTGTACCGAGGACAAAGACACTGTCGGAGGCGACCACGGGCGCGCTCGTAATCATCTACGTGCTCGATGTTAGCACTGGGAGACAACTGGTGCATTGCACATACCAGATGAAGTCGATGGAACAGACGAGTGTCACCTGGCCAGCGATGTTCGCCCAGCCGGTGATCCAGCTCGCGAGTGCGGAGTACTTTGGGGGTGCGAGCTTCGCAGAGAAGTAGTATGTCCGGCGCTCGTCCTAGGAGCATGACAGGGTCAATTGAGTGTGGGCGGCTTCGAGACGCGATCGGAGGGACGTACGGCGTGAGGATGCGAGCTCGGCCATGGAGACGGCGACGGCCATGACGATGAGGGAGGGGATGAGCCCCCAAAGACCATCCCTACGTGTCGCCTACATCTCCGCCCATTAGACGTCGCACGGACTTGACACCGGATGGCATGCACCGGACTCGAGAGGGAAGGAGAACGTGGAGGAGACGGACACGATGACACCCATGACATGATAAAGAAGGTGAACGCAATCGTCTCAATCAACTGTGCACGGGTCCTTCTCAGCATAACATCCACAAAGCACAGTTGAAAAGAATTGGCTCACCGAGAACTCGTGCTTGAACTCGGACTTGTAGCCGAGCTTAGCGAGGAGCTCGTCGTCGGCACGGCGGAGCTCGTTGAGGCCGGGGTGGTGGTGGTCAGTGTGAGAGTCAACCGGGACCGCCATGGAGGTCGCGGCGGACCTCTTCTCACTTATTGTGGGCTTGGTCGACTCCAGGGTAGGCGGGACATTGGCAGGCCGTGAACGCAGAAACAGGCTGGAGGTAGCAGACTATCGAACACGAGGTCAGCTCTGTGGTTCAGTGAATAAACATACCTGGGTTGCTTAAACGGGCGTGTGTCGTGCCATGACAGAAAGACCATGGGTATCGCAGGCAGAGGACGACTAAGAGAAATCGCGCACAACGCGATTTCTCTAAGTCCCGTTTCCCACGGGTCGACCAAGGTAAAGGGGGGCCAGTTCGCCCAGCCGTTCTGGCGAACGAGAGGAGTGCCACGACGGAGTTTGAAACGTTTGCCAGAAAAGGATGGGTACGAGCCTACAGTGCGCCAACAGTAGGACCCGCCGGCCATGATACCGCTACCGCTTTATGGACGCGACGGTGGCGCGAGCATCGCATCCACGAAGACTCAATGAACCTCCATTTGAGCATCAGTCTGGTCTTTCACGATCTGACGAAGACGTGAAGCTAGGCCATGCCCGATATTTAATATCACAAGTACCTCTAGCTAGCTTAATACAATGCAGGGAAGAGGAAAATGCGGAGAGATGGTTGCTGCAGAGCGATGCGGATAGGATGATGCATGATGATAATGAGAGTAGCAGAACGAGAAATATTGCCGGAGACATGCATGAACACGGAAATCCGAAAAGCAGCGTGAGAGGAGAGACGCAGACGGAAAAGAACGAATAATGAGATCGTGACGGTCGTTAAAATAGTGCTCATCGTGCGGGGGTCAGTTTTGCCGCCTGCCCACGACCTTGCCCTGCACAGTCGACGTTTTGAATCCTAGCTGTCGCATCGTGGCCAACAGGTCTGTCTCTGCACCGGCTTCGAGAGGTACGCCGCGAAGAGATTGAGGCTGGGGTCCACCACATCGGATGCGGTCGCGCTATACGCACTCACAGCAATGATAGGTATCTCCGTTCTTGTTGCCGCTGTTTTTGATGTATCGGGCGGCTCCTTCACCGTCCACTATACACAGACCAATTAGCGATATTACAAGGTAACATAAGGCGTCACTCACGTATTGGCATATGAAGGTCCATCAAGATACAGTCAAACTCTGTTGAGAACACGTCCATGAGTACCGAGTCGCGTCAGACAGGGATTCCGACGCTCACTTATGTCACCCATGGCAACACTGATAGCTTCCGACCCATCCGCCACGACAACACAGCGGCACCCGAGACGTATGAGCAGTGTCTCGATGATCTTCGCCGTGATGGGGTTGTCTTCCGCCAGGAGGCATGTCACAGCCCGATCTGACGGATCAGGCGCCCTCTTTAGGTCAACCGAGGCGACTGACGACGGTGGCGTGTTCAGCTCGTAGTGATTAGGCCCGGTCGCCGGTGGCAGCCCCCAAGAGTCAGACGTAACGCTCTCGCCGTTCGTGGACACTGACGCAGTCCGGAGGCGGCTGGGCATGGAGTTACGGCGGACATTGTCGCCTTCCAGGTGGTTGAGCTTGAACCGCTCAACAGTGCTATAATCCGACGGTTTCCGGACGTGGCCACTAGCACTTCCAGGTGTAGGCGGACCTCGCGACATCGAGGAGGCAATAGACGAAGTCGAGGTCGCGGGCGAAGGCGGGTTAGTAGGCGAAGGTTGCTGGGCCCGTCCGTCGCAATAGTGACGCTAGTCGGCTTCTTGATGTTGACCTTGGCCGATACACTCTTGCGGCGGGTGTGGAGATTCGCCGGTTCTGACAACGTCTGCGACAAAGGCGCCATCTGGTCGGTCTTCATTTTCCGAATCATGTCGTCGTTGGCTTGTTTCAGGACGGGAAGGTTCTTGAAGCTGAAGGAACCGAAATCGTCGTCGGAGGGCGACATTGCGGTTGTGTCGGCAAGGGCGGGGGGCGCAGAAGCGGAAGCAGGGTCAAGGTCAGCAGATGGCGCGGGACTATCGGAGCCAAGAGTGGTGGTCATTGTAGGGTGGTCGGGCTCGCTGAACGGCTGCAGCACTGCTCCACGAGGATCGAAGTAGTCAGTAGACTCAGGATCTGTGACTTGCGGGATGAATGCCGCCTCGGTAGCCGTGACCTTGTCCCAATCGATCCCAGCGAAAAACGGGTGATCCTTGACCTCGTCGGCACCATTGGCCCCCAGACGCCGAGAGGGATCCTGTGTCATCAACCGCTGCATGAAGTCCTTCGCCTCGGGCGAGATGTCCATGTATCCCTCGTGCCATTGTACGCGGCCCGACAGGATGTTCTCGAACACCTTCTCAGGCGTTTCGTCATGGAACGGAGGAATCCCATAGAGAAATTCATAGGTGATGACACCCAGAGCCCACTAGAAGCAATTCATTAGCCTCATGACGGTCTCGATGGGACAGAATCTACTCACCCAATCCACGGCAGCGTCATCGCCGCGCAGACCTAGAATGGTCTCGGGGGCCGAGATAGTCCGGTGTGCCCACCACCTTCTGGTCACCGGGCGGCGTACCGCCAGGGTTAGGATGAGAGCGAAGATCGGTAGTCAATTCAGTTGCGAATGACTGTAAGGGCTATCCATGTGTGGCTGCTGCTTGCTGTTCGACCGCCGCATGGCGAAGAGTCCAGAGCCCTGGAGAGACTCAGAGCCGCTAGACTCACTCACGTCATCTGAAAGCGACAAATAAGGCGACGATCCTAGCCGAGGAATCGAGCTGGTCCTCTGCGTAAAATACGAACCTCCCGCGTATAGGTCGGACGTGAACGGTGTCGACCGATGTAGACAGAGTCGATTGAGGGTGGCCGTGACCCAGGGCTATGTCTTGACCGCGTGCGCATCCCGAGGGAAGTTGAGCGTCTCGTGTTTGGCGACCTAGGAGACCAATCCTGCTCAGCCCGAAGTCAGTGAGCTTGAGGTGACCGTGCTGGTCGATGAGCAAATTATCCGGTTTTAGGTCACTGTGGCAGCAGGAAGTATTAGCCAAGCAGATCATAGCAAAAGATATACACGACGTACCGATGTACAATACCGCGCTGATGCAGATACTCCAATCCAAGAACGACCTCTGCGATGTAGTTGCGCGTCCATTCCTCGGGCAGAGACCGAGAGACTTGATCAGCGCAGCGCAGTCGCCACCGTTGAGGTACTCCATAACTAGATTACAGATTCTCCTTGCTCTGGAAAGTGAAATAGAGCTTGGCGACGAATGGCGACTCAGCCTGCTTCATAAGGATCATCCGCTCTGCCTTGACGTTCGTGATCTGATTCTTCGCGATCATGTCCGCCTTCTTGAGCACCTTGATCGCGAAGTAGTCGCCAGTGGCTTTCTTCTTCGCGAGGAAGACGGAGCCGAAGGCGCCTTTGCTGATAGGCTTGATGATCTCGAAGTCTTTGATTGACGTAGGTGTCGTCTGGACAGCGGCGCGACAGAAGGAAGGCGAGGCGATAATGGAGTGCCCGACACCGAGTTGGTCGGGCTGAGAATGGGTTGCGCTGCAGTTTGAGTGCCGTCGCCTGCGCGGTCGTCGCGTCTGCGACTGGTCTTCGGGTGAGACCAAAGGCGACAGAGGGGGAGTGATGAGCAAGCGAGGCTCGAGGATGCCTAGCGACGGCCGCGGCCGAACTGTGGTCTGATTGACCTCGTTGAGATCCATGGGCGGTGGTGTGAGGTCGTGAGCAGGATATGTTGCGAACGACACTATGGGGGCCGCTAATGCTAGAGGAGACGAGATAGAAGACGGCGTAGATGATCGTGTTTGCAAGTTGCTCGGAGGATACGCAGGAATAGGCGCGACAGGAAGGAGAGGTGAGCTGAAGTTAGAAGCTAGAGTGTGGTCGATAGTTTGGCCCGAATGACCGCCGGAGAACGGAATCGGCGAGGTCGACGCGATAGGAGTGGGCTCCGCCGTCTGACTGCCGAAGGCGTAGTCAATAGTGTTACTGGTACGGTCCTCCGCTTGCTCGCCCTGTTGTTCGTCCTCTGAGCCTTCTGCGGTCTGTTCGCCGTCCTCGTCCTCATCCTCGTCCTCCTCAGCAACATCCTCCATCTGCGAAAGGGTCTGAGCGACCTTGTCCGCCCACTCCTGACGGATCTTCTCCGAGTACTTGATCGTATTCTGCATACGCACGACGTTGTCGACTTTCTGTCGCATAACACGCTCGGCGTCCTCGATCAGCTGCGTGAGCGCCCCGTCCTCGATGGAGGGTTTGCCCCATCGTCGGACTTGCGACATCTTCCGCTCTGAGGCAGGCGACAAGAGGCGTTGCCTCTCGATGGGCTCGGCCGATTCCTCGTCCTTCAACGCAGGGATAGAGATTTCGCTACAGAGTTGCAGGATGTCCTCGAGTTGCTCAAGGATGTGACGCTGCAGCTTCTTCACGCTCAGTTTCTTCATCTTCAACGGCGCACGGAGGAGTTGAAGCGGCGAAGACGATCCAGGTGAGGTAGCCGGGGAGAAGATGGGCATGCCACGGTATTCGGGAGCCGTCATGGGCGACGAACGGTCAATTGCCGTCAACAAGTCGCGAATCGTGTTGCGAAGCTCGCCGATCGACTCGTTGCACTCGCTGATTTCAGCTTCGAGCCGGTGCGTCTCCGCACACGTCTCATTATGCTTCTCGAAGTACCACTGCGGTACCTCGCATTCGCAAATGCGGCAGAGGATCGGCGCAATGTTGATCGGCCGCGCGAACGGGAAGGGGGTAACAGGCTCGTACGCCTGTCTATGTCCGAAGCCTACCTGTGTCGCCTCAGCGGAAGCTGGCTCGTCACCAACCTCGCCAGACTCGAGCAAGATGGAAGGAGGCTGCTCCAGGCATTCCGGCTGACCGATGGGCCTGACGACCCACATTGTATGCGTCGGTGTACCCTCCTCACGTTCCATCATGAGCATACCCGTTCCGACCATCTGCTGGTACAGGTTCTTGTACGACGACTGACCGGGTTCAGCGTCAATGACCTTCAGTCTGAATCGCACCTCCACGATGCGTGAATCGTCGTCGAGCAGCCGCCGAGTCGCATCGCGGAAGACGTGCCAGTCAGCCGGAGCAAGTAACCGCGATATCCGCGTTCCTATGAGGTCCTCCTGGTCCGTTCTGAAGCGAATGATGATCAGCGCGTTATCATTCCGCCTATGAAGTCATGCACGTACCCGATAACGTTCCGCCATGCATAGTTGACCCATATGAAGTGGTCGCCATCCATGCTCAGCTCCAGTACGATATTCTGGTTCTGGGCATGTTCTGCTTGGAGACGTAACGCTCGGTGGCTAGGACCCTCGCGGATTCGTTGTTGTCAGTAAATTTTGACGTCGACCTGGGCTGGTCGTTCTCCTTCGCGGGCGTCATAGACAAGTCCTTCGGTGTTTCATCCCTGGTCCGACGAGTCTGGCTGACGGTCCGGGACATGCGAAGCTTACTCTCCTCGTCCTGCTGAAAGCGAAGCGCACCGGTTCCCGCCGCCTCAGCACGGACCGAGGGAGTCGGGGCCAGACCTTCCTCCTCGTCCGCAGGCCTCAGCACGAAAGTGAGAGCTTCGTCTTGCTCGTCGTCGTTGTCGTCAAAGTTCCAGAACTGCTTCTCTGCCTCCCACCACTCGACCACTCGAGACAGACTCGCGATAGCGAGCAGTACCTGGACGTACCAGTTGCGTCCGTGCCAATCCGGGTGCTCGTCCCACGCCTTACCGATGTTCTGCACGCGCTGCACGAGCTGCTCGCAGACCTTCGGGTTGGCGGTGAGCTGGTTGATGGACATCTCCTGAACGTCCGTCGCAATGCCAATCAGCTCGTACAGGGTAGTCATGATCGGATCGACTGGGTCATCCACCAATATCCTCGAGGAACGGCGGTTGTTAGTAGCCTGGTCTTGGTATCCCCGTGGGAGGGGAGACCGGGAGCGAGACGCGGAACGCGAACTTGCACCGGAGCGAGGTGTGCGGACGGGAATATGGATCGTGCGGGATAGTCTTCGGTTCGCAAGGGTTTGCGCACTCCAATCCCTCGACTGTGCAGCGGCGCTCTGCTTGCGCGGACTGACCACCTCGGGTGGAGGTGTCGGACTGGTGACAGAACTCAGCGCAGGACTGGAGGCGCCAGTACTCGAGGACGCGACATTGGTCACGGACTGACCCCGGGGAAGAGTCGAATGGCGCCGCAGAGAGGCGGGGCTTGTGGAAGACACGGACGCTGTGAGAAGCCCGGGCGACGGTGGCCCGAAGATCAGCGAGTGCTGGGTCGCAGGATCTTCATCGAGACACGCACGTTGTCGACTGTGATAATTGCCTTCTGGGTCGGCTTCATAGCCGCCATCAGAGCTCACATCGTCGAACTGCAACGCGGACCTGAGCTCCGCCGGCTGCAGGACGAACGCTTCCCGGAGAGGCTCCGGCTGCGAGTCCGGGAGGTTGGACTCCCGCGTTGGGCCACGCTCGCGCTCCCTCTGCTCGCGCTCGAATTCCGCCTCGTGATCCCCCTCCCTGAGGCGCTCCTCAAAGAAGGCAGTGATTGAGTTGGTAGTCCGCTGCAGCTCCTTGTCGCATTCTGCCTTTGCGGCCTTGAGACGGCGCGTAACATGACGCCTCACGAAGGGCATGGAGACCGTGTTGGAGGAAGAGGCGTGTGCATTAGCGGCGCCATTGTTGCTGGACGAAGAAACATGACTGTGGAGGATGGGGGGTAGTGCTGTTTCCGGGGAGAAGACGAGGGGACTTGGTGGCTGGCGTCGAGGATGAGAGGAGTCGGCGGACATAGAGGTCCTGGCTTGAGGGCAGAAGACGGGACCAGATTAAGTCGGACGACGAGACACTGCGATTAGGATATGGGCTGGCAGGTCCAGTGGCAACGGGGGTAGGGGGAGAGACAGAAGGAGAGCAACGAGACGGTGGTGGCGGGGCTCAGGGCGACATGGACGAGTGATAGGACGACGATGGGACGTGGCTTGGATACGCAGGAGCGGTGGGCGACCGTGACCAGTGCGAGACGGGGCCAACCTCAAATCCGGCGGGGCCGAGGCACGGGCATATTCACACACTACAATTCCCATAATAGGCAATCCCCACAACCGCTCTCGCCCTTTCGGGCCCGCGTCCTCCTCGCCCTTCTCCGTTTCTTTCCCTGCACGCGCCCACGCGACCGCCCTCCGCGCCGAGGCCAGCTCGGAGCTCAACAGCTGTCTTTTGTCACCGCGGGGACCGGAGAGTCGCGCTCAGCCACGTCTGCGGCACTCGCCGCCGGCTTGTATTGACCGCCGGAAGAGGCAGCCTGGGACACCGCGCCGCTGTCCGGGGTCCTGCTCCCACCGCGTACGGCGAGCAGGTGAGCGACTTTGACGACGGCGAGGACGCTCACTCGGTACGCCGCCGCATCCTCCGCCATTCAACGAACCGTCATTGCTCACAGAATCCCACATTCCCGGTCCAGCCCACCCTCTCACGCCTGGTCACCTGGCCCTGCCTTCGCCTTCGTTTCTCTTCCCCGAAGTACTCGGTATGGCACCAGCCCTCTTCCTTGGAGTCCAGTCCATTTCTTAATCAAAGTCTGTCCCACAGATTCTATCCCTCATCACCGCTCACGAGCACCTAACCGTGTGCCGTGCTAAGCACCATGTTGTCCCTCACGAGCTCCATGCGACAGGCGGTCTGTCGGGCACGATCGCGCTGGCAGAGCCCTTGGGTCGCCGCTGCCTCAATTGCAACAAGGAGACACAACTCTACTTTCGAACTCGAGCACATTACCGACGAGCTCAGGAGCCAGGGCAATGCCCCGCTTACGCCAGAAGGTGCCTACTCGGAGACAGGAATCAACTACAGTAAGTCGACCATCAGCTGCCGAAGACAAGGCGCTGAATGTGGCCCAGATGAGATTAGCCTTAGTGAGGGTCCTAAACCTCATTTTAGGCGGAACAAGGTACGTCTCATGCTGCTTCATATCCTCTGGTGCGTAGTTTCTCATCATTTCCCCAGTTCTTCAAACCAGACGAGCTCTCGTACAAATCGGCGACGAAGACCAAACACATACGCAAGAAACCTTTTTGCGGTCCCAGCCGCAAGGAATCGGAGCAGGTCGACATTTTCTACCAGCTCGGCATTGATCCTCTGCAGGAGGCGATGAATTCAAAGCTGCTCTCAGGCTTCGTGACAGAGATGGGCAAAATCAAGCGGCGCTCTGACACAAACCTCACATGGAGAAACCAGCGCCGCCTTGGCAAGGCGATTCGTCGCGCGAAGATGATGGGTGTCATCCCGGTCTTGAGCAGGCGGATGCTCATCAATAACTAGTCACCGTAGTGTGTGGTAACCCCATCCGATGCGAACTACCATGGCATGGTCAAGGCGCTACAGCGGTAATCACATTGATGGATACATTGCTGTCCCTCAAAGCAAGGCGTTTCACGGTCGCGAGGTTGACAACGGCGCGGTCAGCTGGAGTAAAGCAGTCGGCCGGCTTGTGGCAGTACTTAATGCATCTGCAATGCATCCATCTCTACCCATGATCCGGCCGCCCACCAGTACGCTTGCAATGAAACAGTGATCTCGTTGATGTCTTATATAAAAGCTGAGTGCAGTAGAACTGGGAATCTCATTGCCTCCGTCCGCGTGGTAGGGAACGTGAATCAAAGTTACGTAGGACTAGGAATGTAGTGCTTTGAGACGGCCGTCCGCGTCATCCGTCAGTTGACTATCCTTCGAACACTCTCGGGTGGGCTCTGCCAGTGTCCATTCCCGCCGTCCTCTCGTCTGACTCTTCATTTGACGCTTCATCACAACACGCAAACCCTACTTAAAACTGAATGAATATTAATACTCGTCACCAGTGCAATGTATACAGAAGATGACGTGACTTCCGCCGCATCGGGAACAACCAAAGCCCCTTGTGTTCACTGAGTTGGGTGTTGTAAAGCGGCATTCATGTCAGAAGGTGAACTCTACCGCATCCGCGCAACTAGCATCCGTTAACGTTTCCACAGGGGTGCCAATTCAAAGTGGTGTTCAGTTGATGCACCCATCCGTTATCGGGCAGCACTATAATGCTGCGTAATCCCACTTGAGAACCATCCGAACCAAGATGCCCCCGAGACGCCTCCTGCAATAGCAGCGTGCTCCCACCCCACCGGATGTGCGGGGCGAACGTGTGGTCTTAATACGCTGCGAAGCTATCGGCGATTCAGAAGTCGTCTACGGCCGCATGCCGATTCGCACAATGTACACTTTTGGGGCGGCGACGATCCTTCGACGTGCGGTGCGTGGTGTAAATCACGACTCTTTCTGACGCCGCCATGTTCTATAGTCGTTCGCGGAAGAATCAGCATGCACTACCCTCGTTCAACTGCTACTTGGGCATGAGCAAGTCCAAGAGGGATGGCTTCAAATACGCCTAAGTGAAATATGCCTAAGTGCTCCCTGAAATTACATGCTTGTCATTTCAGTCATATGTTGCCAACTCGAAATGCCGCCAAGAGGGGCGGCGCTACCTTGCTCGCGCAGGTGTTTGGAAGGGGACATCGAAAAATACAATAACATTTGAAAGATCATGAGGCTTCTGAACGTAGACTACTGTACAAAGATCGACGGCTTCTGCTACTATCGTACAAAAATTGAGACATCGCTATTGTACAAGACGAGATCGATATGGAGAGGTCGGGTGCGTGAGTCGGAACAAATACACACTGTTGTACAAGGGGAGAACACTAATACACGGACACGTCGGGAGCACCATTTGTGCGAGCTACAAACCCCGAGCAACCTTCTTGCCCTTTCGGCCATCGACAGACGCGTCGGAGAATCGCTTCGACGGAGACGTAGGCATCGGAGCGGGTTCCCTGACAACCTTGATCCTTCGTATGTCAAGGTACCAGTTGTCTTTGTTGAGTCTGGAAAAGTACTGGTGCGACATGGCGAGGGTGACCCTGACAAGCGCACCTGGCGTGCACAAGGCACAAGTTTGGTACGTGTTCAACGGGTGGTGTACATACCACGTCTCATGTTTACAACTTGAACAGACGGCACTTTCCCACATCATAAACTCATCCGGCAACGCACCTTCGCTGATCGTTATCTATAACGAAGCAGAGCTCTGGCTTGTTGAGATAGAAATCCAGATGCGGGGCAGGGTGCATTATCATTGGCGATTGCTATATGGACGCGAATCAGTATGATGAAAGACAGGGCACTGTATCATAAGTACTAGCATAGTACGTACCGGTAGTACAACGAGACAGCAGTGTACGAATGTGCTGTGCGGGGTGACGTCGCATCGTGGGGGGCATGAATAGGTCTGCGGGCGAATGTACTTAGTCTTCTTCGCGCGGACAGAGGGAGAAGCACGAACTAACGCACTGTCTGCTGAGCCCGTCGTGATCCTGTGGTCAGACATCATTCACAGGTCGGCTTGCAGAGTGCCCCGGGCTGGACTTGATCTGGGATTGTCGGCGTGGTGACAATCGCGTCACCATTTGCACTATCAGCGCGAAGGAGCACGTTCAAGTGCAAGTGAATCAACACTCACTTGAAGACGAACTGCTGCCCTTCCATCAAACGGCTAGCGTACTTCATACGTGACAGGTCAATCCGACAAGCATGCGACGCGGACATGCTGTTGGCAGGGTTAGGGCAGTAATTGTAGCGGAGCCATGGGAAGGCATATGGATGGGCAGGATGGCGGCGGCGAGAGGCATGTCTCTGCCGACTGAGATATAGTAATGGTAGTCGCACAACGTGCTCCAAGGCGCACAAGTAGTTGCAAACAGGACTAGATAGGGAGTCGAGCTCCCGCACTTGCCCATGAAAGGCGAGTGCTGCTGGCAACAGCGACCTGACTGGCTCACAAGAGGGAGAGCAGCATTCGGCCCCGAGGGGCCAGAATGAAGTCCCGCGCTGCTTGTTTTCGAGCCAGCCCGAACGCGCTGGTGGCTGCTCGTGCGGGGCGGGGCAAGTTGAGGATGCGGACACGTACGCGCGGTCGCAAGCGCCCGCACGGTGGCGCGCGACTGCAGCGATGTTACTCACCTCCTGCCGAAAGCACGATTTGCGGACGATTTTTCAGTACACGGAATGCGTGTTTTCGATGAAATGAACATATCTACCAATTTTTTGTCTCTTAATCTTCCACGCTGAGAGCTGGACGTGTGCTAAGGCTACGAACTCATGCGTCACACTCCGTGACAAACGGTGACTGAATCACCATTGTGTAACACGACTAAGCTTAAGTGGTGAATATGGCACAATAATACGAGCATGTTCAGATATGAGGAAGGCAGCATTGTCTAATTTCCATAACTCATATTGGCCCTCGACAGAGAAGCGGAATATTGTAGAGACGCTTCCTTAGAGTGCCGCCGCTCCGGCGCTTGTTTTCGCTGGCTAATGCAAGAAGGCAGACACTGCGTTGTACCCTAACCTTCTGTGAGGCTACTGAAAATTGGCAGAAAGTACCTTCAGTACTATATAATTCTCCTGAGCGACTTCATTATCCTTAGAAAATGATGCCCCTTCCACAGTTCAGGCCTGGGCATGCAGGTCGCAGTAGTAGCCGCATCTAGTGGGCGCTTGCGAGGGTTACCTTACAAGGTAACTGCCACCACCGCTGCCCAGCGTTAGCGCGAAGTGAATTATTCTCGTTCGTTGAATAATGCTATGCATGGTCATACATCGTGTACTCATTTGCCTGTAGTTTTTCTCCACCACAAAACCCTCCATAATTATGAAACAGTCTGACTCTCTGAATATATTTCGTGTCGATGCGCCGCTGCTCGATGTGTTGCTGCTAACGCACATGTGACATTGACAACAGGCACAAACAACTGTTCAAGCGCCCGGCAACAATTACAGACGAGAGAGCCTTGCTCTCACAACAAACGCGACATAGTATCTGAGCATGGGATATGGTACGGGATATCCAAATATATATTTTGAATATCCCGTTCGGGGATATTGTGCTCGGAGATATGGAAAGTCTGGATACTTAAAGTATCCCGTTATGGATTACTTTGAGTTTCCCCCGCACAGTATCGCAGGCCGGGATTACCTTGCGACTAGCAAGGTCTCTTCGGGGGTCTGAATTCGTCGTGGGAAATTTCCGGTTTTTTTGGCCTTGTTTGTTCCACCTCCAAATCCGGACAGACAGCGCTTAGCCATGCTACCGCCCTCAGGCTGAGGCTCCCCATACCGAACTGTCGACGAAAAAGGTGTACATGAGCTCTTTACTGCCCTATGAAGACGTAGATCATCGCGTAGACCATCGCGGGAGCCATTGGTCCAGTACCAGAGGAATAAGGTCTGCGCGAGCAGTGAGTAACCTTACATGAGTGCGACTCTCGCGATGGCCTAATATTAGCAACATAATACACTATTTTCATGCACAACGAACGCTGAACGCTACGCGAACAGATGTCCGCAACCACTGCAACACCGCCGCAGGCCCCTATCCCAGTACTACGAGCAAGAGACACGACCATGGCCCTACGACACGGCGCGCTCAACTGGGACCTCATGCATGCCCGCTTCTCGCCGCCATCCTCGCCACAGGCACGCTCACCACGGTTGCCAGCGAGCCCGGCTTGAACTTCCGCGGCGTCGAGAGGTGGCTGGACGCGGAGGACCGCACACTCAAGAGCCTCAGGCTCGTGTTCTGGGTGTACCCTGAAGGCCTATCGGGGCCATACCACGAGACGGAGGATGGACAGGTGAAGGAGCATGGGCTGTTGGTGACTATTGAGCAGGAGGCGAAGGTGGCGGATATGCTGAAGGCGGTGAAGGGCGTGTTTGTGGAGGAGGGCACGGCGCATGTGCACGTCCCTGCTGTTTGAAGAGTTGATGGTACACCGAATCAATACTCTGGGAACCCGATTTCCGAGTGCTGACATGCACCTCGCTATTTTACAGATATTCAGTATCTTCAGTGCAATGACGCCTCACCTAGCAGCTCTCTCTTCATCCTGACAGTGACGGCGAATGGACCTGCACTCATGATTTGAGCGGAGGGCATGGAAATTGTGCTCGGCAATGGAATAGAAGGTGAGCTCGTTAGTGTATGCGTATCCGAGGATCTCAGTCCGTCTTTCATGTCACTTTTGCTGCCATCCTCCATCAATCCGGCAATGTACACAAGACACGAACTTGAGTGTATGCTCTGGTGCAGGCTGCCGTATTCCCTCTTCTCCCTCTCGATGCATTCCTCCACCTTTTGATAATTGACTACTCTCACTTCTCGTGCACCTGATGTTCTCCATACATAATTCGTCATAGCTACTACTCTACTCTATGTGTTGTACACCACGAACATTTGCCCATGCATTTTTTGTCTCGCCTCCTCTCCAACCGTTCGTCCTTATGTGGTAGGTACCGGTACTCGTCATGAGCACCTTGGAATACATGGTCATCAAACTCCCGCAATATATGAATAGTTTGACGTCCCGAACTGCGTGACAATGCCACGTACAGGTTGAACAAGCCCAGCCGTCCCCGCCCGGCGGCCATTTCGACCTGGAAGCTGGAAGAGCGAGCACGGGAAAACATTCCTTAGTCGCAAGGTACACGACCGGCGCCGGCGCCGGCGCCACTCGCGTATGCTGAGGCATGTTTAAATTATCTCTGGCCACCGTGACAATCATCAGGAAAAAGGTCCTCGAGCCGTAGCCCGCACCAAGAGTACATAGCGTACCTAGGTCTCTGGAGACTGCATAGTCTGCACCCTGGCTATGGATGCTTATCGAGCTTGGGCAGGCTCTATGACGAGCTATAGGTAATATGTTGCTTCGCAGAATGGTATGGATGTTGATGTCGCTCAGCTCGATGCACTAGAGTACTCTACAGTAATTTGATTGACTATACGACCTACAGCGGCAACTAATGAGCACGATCTACCCACTAGCACTGAGAGATCCGGCATCTCGCTGCGTGAATGGCGGGCACGAAATGTCTCGGAGTCCAGCTGGGGAACCTACCAAAATCAATCGCAGGCGTGCACTCGTGCAGGCGGGGAGTAGGAACTCGCGCGACCTCCTGCCCAAAGACATGTCTGCGCGCAGCTAAGGTGAACACGCCGCGGGCGCCGCGACGGTTGGTCATCCGGCGTCGGGCATGCCCCGGAATGCAGCGCGATTCAGCTCGCCGGAACATATTCGCGGCTCGTGAAGGATGGGGTGGGAGCCACTGGCAGGCAGGCCTCGAGCACCGTGAGCCACCGGTGGGCGAGGACCTGCGCGAGGGGTGCGTGGACGGCCAAATTCGTCACGAGCATCCTCGCCAGCAGAGCTTGCTATCTGCGAGGACTTAAAAAGAGGCCAGTGGCGCGGGAGGGAGCGCGCTCCCGCACTCGCGCTTGATCTTGGAGAGCCGAGCGGGCATGCTGGAGTCTTCGAAGGGAAGCTTGTCGCGTACGAGTGTGCACGGGATGACTCGGAAGCACTCCTCAGAGTCAGCCACCCGGATGCGCATTTGCGTCGAACAACTCCGGAGCAGCAAAGCGACCACGAGCCCCAGAAAGTCGGCAAGGGTCACGCGGGATAGCGCGGGTGTGGCGAGCGAAGCAGTCAAGCAGTTGGCCTCGGCCAGCGCAATCGCTTGGAGGGCTCGCTCGCCGCAGAATTTGGGCGGTGGGCAGAGAGCGAGCTGCAGGGGCGCGCGTTGCGGGTGGGGCACCTCGCTTGCAAGACTGACGCGCCAGCTTTGGCTTGGCCATGCTCGCCGCGTGAGGCGTCTTGCTGCGCGTAGCCTCTGAGGATGCGGTTGGTGCTGCGGGGATTGTGTTCCGAGTCCCCGCCGTGCTGGAGGATACAGCTCGTTAGTACCCTCTGGATGCGATCACCCGGCCCGAAGCCAACGCGGACATCGACAGAGGGTATGGGAGCTGCGAGCGCACAGCACTGCTGCAAATGGTAGGGGTGGGTGGAGCGTTCAGGTACTGAATGCGAGCGAGGGGTCGATTAGGTAGCCACTGGCATATCTGCGGGGAGAGTCAGCTTGCAGTTTATTCTGGTCGGCAAGGATTGCTCACCTCGTACCGTCCCTCGCGTGGCGCGTGCAGGATCCATCTCCAACCTTCGCACCCTTCTCTCGCCCCGCTCGAACACACCCACAACGTCTTGCGCAGCCCGGTTGACCAGAAACGACTGAGTGATGACAGGCACCGGATGATCGCGCACCGTCGAACTTGAAGGTGCCGAGTCTTCTGGTAGTTATCGGTGAAGTCGTGGCAGCACGCTCGTGTATTGATTCGCAGGCGATGCTTGCTCGATGTCCTCGCGGGCAGCGCCTTGTGCTCTCTGAGGTCGTCGGGATCGTCGGGGTAGTGACGCGGAGGAGCACACAAGTGCGTAGCCGCCGAAAAAGATGGTCAACTGACCGCCGTGACAAGCCCGCGATGCATACGGCAGTTGCCCGTGGCGCCTCCGCCGCGCAAGCCTCGACCGATTCACTATCACATCAAGGTGCGTAAGTCGATTGAGATGTACGAATTCACCCAGAACTGGTTTGCGACGTCAAGGCTGTTATCCTTCGTAAGTGCGCGGTCTATCTCCGCGCCACTCCTGGGATGAGGTGACATGCCCGCTTGATCTGGTCCACTCTCACAATTGCTGCATTAGGTCTGCGTCGCTGGGTCGAAGGCGAAATCTGGTAGAGACCAACCCTAGGATCGGGTACCTTCGTTCGTAGAGGTGTGTACCACTCGATATATGCCAGGGGATGGGGAAGTGAACCAAATTGCTGTGGGAGATCGAAGATCACTCGGACGCGCGCAACGCGTGTGTCTGTGCAGATGAACTGATTGACTCCTGTCCAAAGTGAATGAGAAGCACATACCGCTGACAGACCGTGAGTCACCCCTTTGATCGATAGGAACGTCCGGGTCCACTACAAAGGCTGTGTCGAAGTGCGCTGCCACCCCTTTTTTCGTCCCTCTCGATGCCTTCCCCAGGACCGTCCGAATCCTGTCCTTGTGCCAGGCGATGTCGCCGTGAGCTGCCGCTCGGTACACGATGGTGAGTTTTTTGTATACGTCGAAACGATCCATGCGATTAGGCTTGAAACGACATTCTGGCAGGTTCGTGCGCACAAACTCGGTGAAGGCGGGTAGGAACTCGGTGGCGCCGTACGCGCTCTCAATCCGTTCGAGCGAGGTGCCCGGGAGCGGGCAGTTCTTCGCAATGGCATAGCCTGCGCGTCTCCCTTCAGTCTCATGTTCAGTGTCGTCGTCAGAGGCACCAGGTTCGTCTTCTAAGCCCGTCTCGGAATTCTCCTGCTCACAGTCTGGAATAATAGCCTGCTTCTGGTACCAGCGAACGTAGGACGTATGAAGGTCGACCGCCTCCTGCCGAGCCAGCCACGTAACCATCTGTTCAAGGTAGTTGCGGCGGTTGCTTGCGCGGTAAGCCTGTTTCGCGTAATCGATGTGCAGACGCTCAGGGAGTTCGGTGTTGAACCCGTCGCAGGAGCCATGGGAGCGTATCGCTTCGATGTAGTGCAGCAGAAAGTGAACTTTGGGGATGTTGAAGTGTTCTCGAATGCCAAGACGCACGAACACGTCTTTGTGGCGATGGAAAGTGTCCAACGAGGATTGCAGGTGAGCGAGAGTGGTATCAGTGTGCGACTGCAGCTGAGCATAGTAGATGAAGTCCACCAGGGAGCGAACCACCATCAAAACCTCGGCCGAAACTGCCCCCGCGAGGAGACCAACAATGATCCTCTGCATCTCCTTATGCTCGCGACCGGTCCACTGCGAGACGTGCGAGATGCCGTTGCGAAAGTGGCGCAGACCTGGGAAATCGGCCATCGCACGGAAGCGACGATCGATCTCGTCCTCTCCGACCAAGGTCGTACACCACGAGAGTAAGTGGTCCTTGAAGACGCCCTTGTGGAGCTGATGCAGTATGTCGGGCATAATGGAGGAGAAGATGTCGCAGTGCGGGAGATTAGCCCAGAAAGGTTCGTCAACAGGGCGAAGGCGTTCAGCATCGAAGTGGAGAGACGATCGCTGGGCTTGATGATCGCGCAGTGCCTGCAGGGTCTCGTCTGGATCTCGAGGCTCGCAACGACCATCGTCGCCAAGCATATTCGGCGGCACTTTACAGCGCGCGCATGTGTTCTTTTGGCAACAGCAGACGAGTAGCTGCTCCGGGTAGTCGGCGATATACGCCGCGAGGATTGGATAGACTTTGCGAACACAGTTGTCCGCACAAGTCATGTTGACGCCATTGCGCCCAGCGTCCACAAGCGGCTGAAGTAGCCGCGACATGCAGAAGTGCCATAGTCGCCATCCAGCAGCCGAACGGGTGGAGTCTGTGAAGCAATCGAGCTTCGTGATAGGCATGTACCCAATCAGGACCATTGCGTGCTGGGATGGCTGGCGGCGTACAGCCTTGGAGATGTTGCCGATCGAGAGATAGACCGGCCAGGCTTTCTTGTCCCCACCAAAGTTCGTGAGTCTTGTCTCGTCTGAGGCCAGTATCACCGGTGCGATCGTTGCACCTGATGGCAGCTTCCCCTAGATGAATGTTTTCCTCGATTACTACAGCATCGAGTCACGGATGAACACCAGTAACTGACCTGCGTCTTCCACCACCAATCTGCAGTCCACATCTCATCGAAGATCCGATTGGTCCCAGCTTCATCGGCAAACACCCGCTCAGGTGCGTAGGCGATGTACTCACGGAATGCTGGGTTTCCGATGAGCTCACGGATACACTCGACAGGGTCTCGTATCCACAGCTCAAGCTCCTCGGTCATTGTCTTGTCGTCGTCACCAACTCGATCTCCGGTTACAGTGATGTCGTCGCACTTCCACTTGACGCCTGTCGGCAAGTCGTCTACCTGCTTGAAGAACTTGTACTTGCTTGTCGCTGACAGTTTGCACCGATTTTTGATCTAGAACAAAGTCAGCTTCCGGACAATCAAGAAGATTTTTTAATGTGCGTACAATCGAGAGCTTCAGGAACTCATCTATGTCGTTTTGACCAACGTGCTTTATCAGCCAGCTGAACAACTCCCACTCCTCCTCGTTCTCGAAGGGTGCCCACTCGTCAACACCGAGCTTCCGACGTTCTTCAGACCACTTCTCGAACAGTGTCTTGTCGTTCTCGATGATCTCTGCGACAACACCGGGATACACCTCGACATATCGGCGGGCAATTTCTTCTTCCTCTGGAACATCCTCAACACGGGTGCGACGGGACTCTGAAGTCCTGTCCATGTCGACGTCGCCATTATCTTGCATAGGTGCATCTTCAAATAGCTCGCGTTCTGGACTGGCATCCTCTCGAGGGGCAGTACCGGCACCACCTGCGGGTTCTGGGACATGGGCTCCTGCACGGGCTTTGCTGCGTCGCGAGATCACTGCCTCCCATTTACGTCGGCAAGCAGGTGCGTTCTGTGTGTGTAATCGAAGTCCTTTGGCGGTAGGGAGTCTTTTTTTGCAGAACGAGCAGCAGTGTGACCGGCGGTATTTGTACGGTGCAGTTTTCCGAGGCATATTGAGGGGATACAGGTGAGTGGAAGGACTCGTACGTGCGCAGGTATCTGCCAGCTGACAAATCTGGAGAAAAGGTTGAAGGCCGGAGGGGCGGGACGTCCGCGCGCAAAAGGCTTAGCTGCCTTGAACACGTTGCCGCATCAGTCTTATATAAGTCCCTGCGATTGCGACTCACACGCGCAGCATCCTCTTTTCCCCCCCACTCCGTTCGCTCCCTACTTTGATAATTTCTCTCTCTTTCTACAGTTTCAATATGCAGATCGTCCCACAGAGTGGAGAGCTCCGGGATAAACGTCAGCGTCGGCCATCAGAGAAGCAGCAACAGCTCGGTGAGTGTGCACGCAGAAATATGGGGCTTTACCAATGATTGATATCACTATGCAGAGCAAGACCAGGTCAATGCCGAGAGTCGTAAGACGCAGAAGCGGAAGAAGGCAGCTGACACCAGTGGCGGATCAGGCCAGAGCAAGAAGAAGTCGCGTCCATCAAGCACGGCACAGGTCAGTGACGAATGTTTCTGTATGTTGCATTGATATCTTGCTCAACCCATTGAACAAGTTCTCTGCTCAGTCTGTGACGGTGACGCGACCGAAAAGAACACAAAAGCCACACAAAAACCCAACCGTGAGGTCGAGCAGTGGTATGCGAGGCCTCTGAGTCTATGAGATGTACGGGGGACTGTACAGTGGTCTAGGTAAGAAGGAGGAGGACGGACAAGACTCCGAACGACGTGGGAGAGCTTCGAAGATGTCGAAGACTGTTCGAAGACGAGGGCTAAGCCTCGGAGGTAGGAGGGAGGGTTTCGGCAGACGTGTCGAACGAACGGTGACAAGAGAGGCGAGCGACGGCAGGAGAAGAAGTGTAGAGCCTCTCGGGGCAACTACGAGCTGGCAAACGTACTGGCGAACTGACTGACTGACTTCGAACGTACTGACTGACTGGCGAACTTGCTGACTTTCGAACGTACTGACTGGCTGACGAACCTCGCCAGTGCGAGGTGAGATTGAGAGGGTAAGGGGGTCTCTCAGATTCGAAGGGAACCAGTCCCGAGTATATACAGGGAAACACGGCTATTACCACTACGGAGCTCCGACGGCCCCAAACATCCGGCTATGGCTTCTAACACGTGACAACTGCTCTCGGGCTCGCTAACCAGTGGTCCGAAGGCCGACCGGCTATCACATGACGCCGGAAACCGAGACCACTCGTCGAGGATGTGAGACGACCTGCAAGGACTCACTGGACATCCTGTAGCATCCTATGGTCTCGCAGGAGATCTTCTAACACCGTAGCACGTCTTCTAACATGTTCGAGTGTCTTCTAACACATAGTGTATCTTCGAGTGACCTGCGTGCTCTGGGGTCGTCTAGATAGGTGGGTAGGTGCTCCTATAGCGTCACTGAGGTGCCGGAAGGTCGCGGATAGTCTTCTAAGGTGAGCCAGGGTTGGCTACGAACTTCGAAATCTTCGAACAGTTGTAGTGGATCTTCTAAGAGCTTCGGAGCATCGTAGAGGCCTAGATTGTGTTTTCGGGGCTTAGATAGCCTAGAGGCGTATCATCTCCCCCTTACTGAAATCCTGACCGTCCTCGGTCAGCGGGTATAGCCAATGAAGGGTGCTTGTTCCGTAGAGGACCTCCAGGGTCGGTAGAAGGCGAGGGATGGTTGAAAATGGAGGTAGGACGTGAACTAAGGATTGCTTGGGTGGTATCATTGCCCCCTACGGCGGGAACAGCTCGTCTAGCACCGTAGAAGACCCTAGCTGTCTTCGTACAAAACACTGTCTGCATCCAGCTTGTCAAATGCATCTTCGAAGTGTTCGGAGGCTCCTAGGGACATCGTAGACTCCTTCTCCTTCTCTCTAGCCAGCGGTACGCTGTGACGTGCGTGGCTGCGTGATTGAACGACCAATGGGCCGTGATAGCGAGGTCTCGTCTTCGCATTGGGTGACTGCCTGACTGACATGTTCGGAGCTTGCTCTAGGTCGTCTCGAAGGAAGTCGAGGTCCCTGACTGTCTCGTAACGCTCAGGCTCAACCCCGAGGTGCAGCGGGCATCTTTGCAAGGTATTCACTCTACGAATGATTAGGTTTGTTGGGTCTGGGGCCATGTCGGGTGGTAGGACTAGGTACGTGTCTTCGAACGTTCGGAGTTGTTGTTCATGCACTCCACGTCGATCCCATGGCCATAGATTGTCTCCAAAAGCGAAAAACAGTGCGGCAGTGACGAACAGCACCACACACATGTAGAAGACTCTCGACACGTGTTTGGGTGGACCTGCTGGTTGCGAGAGCAATAGGGTATGTTCGACGTCTTCGAGGTGTGGGTCTAGCTTTCGAGGCGTGTCTGGTGATGGTACTACCAAGTGGTCGTGGTGATCCTCCCCCTTACTGAAATTGTGACCGTCCTCGGTCAGCGCAGAGATAGATACAAGAGACGGGCGGGGCGGGGAGGGAAGCATGGGCTGCTCGTCATGCTCGGGCAACATAGTAGCCAGTGGAGGTGACAGGCCATCCATCGTAGGAGTGTTCGAAGATTCCATCAGCGTAGAGAGATTGTTCGAAGACATCTGTTGATAGTCCAAAAATCTCGGAGACATGGCTTGACCGTTCGAAGATTTCGGAGACGTAGGGGCATGATCTGGCCATTTCGGAGAGATAGGAGGAGTGTCCAATGGCGTAGGAGCACTCAAAGATTCCGTCGACGTGGGGAGATCACCGTTCAAAGGCTTCAAAGACATAGGTCGATAGTCCGAACATTTCGGAGGTGCAGGTTGGTCATCTGACAATCTCGGAGACGTAGGTCGACTGTCCGAAGATTCCGAAGATGTAGGTCGTATGTCTGAAGACTTCGAAGACGTAGGAGTCTCTTCTAACGTAAGGCTGCCCTCCGGAAGGTCCCCTAACACGGTGACAGCTGGGGAAGTGTCTTCGATCATAAGGCTGTAGTTCGAAAGTGGTTCCATAGCTGCAGTGTTTGTAGACGCCTGGTTCGTCTTGCGCTCCGCCGTCCGAGGCGTCAGTGCTGCCCAGTATCGGTCGCGAAGGTACGAAGGCAATTTTCGAAGCTCCTCAGATGTCAATGGTACACACGGAGTGTTCGATGAGGACTCGACAGCCAGTTCGGCAAGCTGGGGCGGGGGCTGTGCTATAAAGAAGCTGGCTCGGCTCTGTCGCTTCGTGGGAGATGCTTCGAAATTTCGAGGGCTCGCTTCGAACTTCGTAGGGGTCGCTTCGAAACATTGGGTGGGAGGAGGTGCGTAGGTCATGTCTCGAACATTTGCAGATGGGAAAGCGGGACTCTCGGTGTCGATGGTAGGTCGGACGACTGGCGCAGGCGCTGGGGTACTTGGTCTCGTCTTCGAACATGGCAGGCGGTTTGGGGCTCGCTCCGAAAACTTCGAACACGTCATGGGTAGTAGTGGTTGATCAGCCAGGTGGGTGTTCGAGCGTAGGGGATGCTTCTCGATGACAACTCGGTCGACAACGGTCTGCTTACGCTGTTCCCGAGCGTAGATCTCCGTCAACCGTGATAGCTGGGTGTCCATGCAGGCTAGCATCTCTCCAATGTCGAGGGCATGCGTAGGGATAGGCGGACTCTCGACTGCTTCATAGAGCAACTGCGTGGCTGTAGCGCCTTGCATAGCACTGCCTGAACCACTCGAAGAAGACGAACTGAGTCCTAACTTGTTCGAACGACGTGCATGTTCGTAGATAGCATCTCGGAGGGTCTCGCTGTCTCGGCGACTCATGAAGCGGTTGTCGAACGAGACGATCTTGCCATCGGGGTTCCGTCGACACAGGCCCTTCTTCCTGTCTTCTTCGAACATCTCGCAGTCGCCGATCCAACATCCCGAACGTCCGCAATAGAAGCACCGAGGGCTGTCATGACTGTTCGAGAATTCGGGTGACCGGCTGTGAGACTGCTGGGCCTCGAGGGTCTTGATCAGCGTCTGTAGCAATGGTAGGAGGTCTTCGGACTTCGTGGTCACAGGTGGGGATGGCAGGATAGACGCAGCGGGTGTGGTCGTAGGCATAGGGGGACTAGCTTGCCGAAAGGTCAAAGCTGGTGTAGGACCATCTAACACCCACTGTGCTGACTCGTAGATCTCTGCGAACGTCCAGGGCTTCCTTCGAGAGCGGTCAGGGTTCCGCATGAACAGGCGCTGCTCGATGGGACCCCAGAGCGTATTCGGAAAGCCTTGCTGGAACTTCCGATCTTGTTCGAGTGTCGAAAGCGAACCTCGAGCGATCAGGTACTCCGAAATCATGTAGAAGTCGCGGTAGTAGGCAGCGAGGTGGAGGGCATTGGTCATCCCGAGTTCTATGCGATCATGGATGACCGTGTCCAGATCAGCGAGCGAGTACTTGTGCTCGTCATCAGCTCCAGGATAGAGTGCTCGTAGGGCGGTCACGAACTCCTCGTAGGGTTTCGTAGCATCCTTGAATGTTGGCTGCATCATCCATAGGTCGGAGACGCGGATAGGAGGGTAGCGAACTGCCCATGACTTCTTGTCGGAGTCGTCGGTAACTCGGCATCGTGCGAAGTGTGTTTCGAGGTCTTGGAAAAAGCGGTTGAATGAGAAAGGTTCTGACTCGTCGAAGACAGGTGCAGTGGAGTGTCCGCGTGCAGGCATTGAAGCCGCCTTCGAGGCTGGTGCTCCTGCATCGGCCATATTCGGACTCAGCTTCGAAGTGTTAGAAGGAGTTGGCGAAGCGATAGAAGGGATTGTTGAAATGTTCGAAGGTATTGTCGAAGTGTTCGAAGGGTTAGGGGTGTCGACGGTCGAAGTCCGTCGCGGCGCGGACTGCTCTGGTCCTGGAGGGACTGACGACACTCTACGACTGGTGGGTATGGGTAGACGTGAGGTGGAAGATCCTCTACGCGTGGTGACTGTGGCTGAGGTGGGTTCCTCTCCTTCGAGAGGTGGTGATGGTGTTAGAAGCGGTAGAGGGGATCCGAAGACTAGTGCCTCTAAGTCGTCTGCAAGCAAGAGTCTTCGAGCACGTCTGGAATGGGATGGGGTAGTAGGCACTTGGTCTTGAACGGAGTGTTCCGGATCGTCGTGATCGGGGACAAGCTCGACGTTTTCGGGCGAAGAGGGGATAGTCGAAGGTCCTGGGAGAGGGTTGCTATGCCTGCGAAAGGCGGCGGCTGATCGGGGACCTAGTCTACTGTCGATAGCAAGTGCGAGGAGAGGACTTTCGTAGTCTCAGTAGTCTTCAGGGTTGACTTCGAAGTTCCAATGCGGCGGAATCTTGCTCTATATCCCCCTCGCGGTGGGCTCCAAGATGACGCGACCGAAAAGAACACAGAAGCCACACAAAAACCCAACCGTGAGGTCGAGCAGTGGTATGCGAGGCCTCTGCGTCTATGAGATGTACGGGGGACTGTACAGTGGTCTAGGTAAGAAGGAGGAGGACGGACAAGACTCCGAACGACGTGGGAGAGCTTCGAAGATGTCGAAGACTGTTCGAAGGCGAGGGCTAAGCCTCGAAGGTAGGAAGGAGGGTTTCGACAGACGTGTCGAACGAACAGTGACAAGGAAGGCGAGCGACGGCAGGAGAAGAAGTGTAGAGCCTCTCGGGGCAACTACGAGCTGGCGAACGTACTGGCGAACTGACTGACTGACTGACTGGCTTCGAACGTACTGGCTGACTGGCGAACTTGCTGACTTTCGAACGTACTGACTGGCTGACGAACCTCGCCAGTGCGAGGTGAGATTGAGAGGGTAAGGGGGTCTCTCAGATTCGAAGGGAACCAGTCCCGAGTATATACAGGGAAACACGGCTATTACCACTACGGAGCTCCGACGGCCCCAAACATCCGGCTATGGCTTCTAACACGTGACAACTGCTCTCGGGCTCGCTAACCAGTGGTCCGAAGGCCGACCGGCTATCACATGACGCCGGAAACCGAGACCACTCGTCGAGGATGTGAGACGACCTGCAAGGACTCACTGGACATCCTGTAGCATCCTATGGTCTCGCAGGAGATCTTCTAACACCGTAGCACGTCTTCTAACATGTTCGAGTGTCTTCTAACACATAGTGTATCTTCGAGTGACCTGCGTGCTCTGGGGTCGTCTAGATAGGTGGGTAGGTGCTCCTATAGCGTCACTGAGGTGCCGGAAGGTCGCGGATAGTCTTCTAAGGTGAGCCAGGGTTGGCTACGAACTTCGAAATCTTCGAACAGTTGTAGTGGATCTTCTAAGAGCTTCGGAGCATCGTAGAGGCCTAGATTGTGTTTTCGGGGCTTAGATAGCCTAGAGGCGTATCAACGGCCTGTTCGAGAGGAGGGTGTCTGCAAGGCTTCGCCATATAGCACCACCATGTACCTTCGATTCTGATTCCTGGATACCGGATGTGCACTAATAGTTGTGGTCTTAGACGTGCGAACATCACTCTCTCCGCACACCATGCAGCCCTTTTCACCCGAAGCCTATCCTGTAGCCGACGTGCCGTCTCGCGGAATGTCATGGGAGTAGCCTACGCCGGCCGACGCGTCGGCTTGTACGATGAGGATGGGGCAGCCGACGTAGACATAACGTACTTACCTGGGTGCAATGTAATCGGGATTCGTGATCCCAATTGAATTGATAGTGATTCGACCGGCTGGGCTCTGTTTGTGAGTTCGAAGCATTGGCTGGCTCAATCAAGGCGTCGGCTCACTGAGAATGCATCCGCCTTGCTCGTGTGCCACTGTCCTGCCCTCGCGCCGTCTTGTCTGCCCGCCGTCCTGTTCGTCTAACGTTCTGTTGACATACCGTCTTGGCGGCCCAATTCCTTCTCGTGTGCCGTCTTACTCGCGCGCTACGGTCCTGCTCGTGCACACCGTCTTGCCTGCGCGCCGTCTTGACTCGGCGCACATTCCTGCTCACACCGTGCTGCTCGCATACCCGGGCCGTCTTAGCTGCGCGCTGTACTCGTTACACACCATGCTGCTCGCGCGAACCGTCCTACTCGTGACCACCACCAGCAGTGCTACTAGCCCGAGCCCGGGTCTACCTTCAGGCGTCCGACCTTCCTCTGGACGCTTCAAGTTTGAACTCGCTGTGGCGGGTACAGACGTACAGGTATGTGCAGGTTCCTGCGCGGGTCATGGAAGCAAATCGCTCACTGTGAGTCCATAGATGGCGAGTCTCTGGACGAGTAACTCGTGGCTGCAGGTGAGTGGGACGGTGGGTGAGCGAGCGAACGAGAGGGCAGGCGTATGAGTGAGAGGTTGGGCGAGCGAGCGAGAGGACGGGAAAGCGGCCGAGAAGGTAAGTGGAAGAGCAGGCGGGCGCACGGGCAAGCGAGCGAGTGAAAGGGCCGGTGAGTGCGTCTGAGGATGGCATGCAGGCGAGAGGGTGGAAGGGCGAGCGAGCGAGAGGGTGGGCAGAAAAGAGAGGGTGAGCATTTGAGTTGCTTTCTCGTGTCCCGTCTTGCTCATGTATCGCCGTCTTGCTCGCGAGCACCGTCTTGCACATCCACCGTCTTGTTTACGCGCCGTCCTGGTTGCCCGCCCTCTTGCTTGCGCACTACCTTGGTCGTGCACCGTCCTGGTTGCACGCTGTCTCACTTGTGAGTCGCGTGCCATCTTACTCGCACACACTATCCGCTCAAGTGACCTTGCCGCCGTCGCCGTCCGAGTCAGGGCTCCCACCGCTCAGCAACATCCTTCCATCACCGCCCGCCTCGAATCACGACACCACGACGCCGAACGCCTTCTCTGTGATCACCCGTGACTGCTCTGCACGTTTCTCCAATCCGGGCGGGCTGAGCTCGTCCGACTTGCACCCGAGCGGCGTCTCGCGCGTCTCGAGGAAGTATTCCGCACTTTGCAGGCTCAGCGCCGTCGCTATGGCATGCAGCATCAGCAGCTTGAACTTCCGGTGCAGCTTGGTGGTGAACGCCTACACGAAGCTGGCCTGGAGCGCACGCGTGTCAGTGGGGAGGAGCGCGAGCGTGACACGGTAAGTCTCGTCGAGGTACCGCACGATCCTGGTGCGCCCCCGTCTTGCCCACTGGTCGTCTTGCTCACTGACCGTCTTGCGTGCCAATCGTAGAGTCGGCGCCTACCTCGAGACGGACAGCTGACTTGCAAGCCGGTCATCTATGAGTGCAATGCTGCAATAGTGCAGACACGCTGTGGGCTTTGTAGTCTCTGCGCGGAAGACTGACATTGGTGTAAATAGCAAGCTTTGGGATGGGTTCGACATGAGGATCACTGTCGAATGGCTGGTATGACGTGCATAACCAGGCTGGTCGAATTTGCAACGACCGTGCGTAGTGACTGTGTGATGGGATGTAGCCATTGGGTTGTACGGTTCAACCTCTGTGGTTGCTGCATTACCTTCTCTAGAGGGTTGTCACGCACGATCCTGGCCTGCCTCATACTCGCCTTGTATTTTCATTCCTCTACCTTCAAACCGTCTTGCCCACTGATCGTCTTGCTTGCCAACCGTCTTGCCTGCTGACCTTGCTCACTAAGTGTCTTGCACGCTTGCTGTCCTGCTCTCGTGCCATCTCACTGCCTTCTGTCTCACCTGTGAGGTGTCCTAATTGTGTACTGTCTTACATGCCCATTACTTGAAGTAGGCTGGTTTGTTGGAATAGTTGTAGGCAATTTTGGACGAGAGGGAGCATGAGTGAGGCGACTACCTCACAGGTGTCATATATTGCAATGAGGTATGTGCAATCCACCAGCCTTGCTTGCATACTAGAATGGGTACTGAGAATCAAGATTTGAGATCATTGTCTGTCACTGTACATATATGATGGTTCACTCTGAGCAACGAGACTTATTGTCATTTGATCCAACATTCACGCACATTCTTCATAACTGTACTGCACTGGTAGTGAATATACACTTCAGAATACTGTGATCATATGTCCAGTACAACCTCTATTAGTATCCAATGACATAGAAGTACAATGATATGGACAACCAGAGGATATGTACATGAAGTTGGTGTTAGTAGTAGGAGCACGCTCACTAAATGCGCAAACACTCTCCAGTGATTTGCCCTCGGGCATTGCCTCGGCCATATCCCCGAGCCACCGGGGATGATGTTCTTTTCATTATAACTTCACCCCCGTGCCACCATATGCTATGAAACTTTGTACCAAGCATAACTATATATAGTACATGGCCTATATAAATTTGTATGAGAATTGAACCGTGGGATGTGTTTGTCTAAGACGTGCTCTGCATGTATAACCTTCTTGGCTATTTCAAGCTTCAACATTGCCAGATTGTGTCGGAGTATTGTTAGCAGCAACATAAACCATGGACACAGCGTTAATAAAACTTCTGTATGCACTCAATTGTGACAATTGTCTTGCAGAAGCTGCGAACTAATCTATATGCCTCCCAGTATCTCCAAACAACATATCATTTTTGAGACCTATCCTGAGATCCTAATTCTGTAAAAGCTGAGATTACACAATGCCAAAGTACTCTTTACATATAGGACAATGAGTTCAGTGGTCTACGTGAGTGGTTGGCCTAACAAGGCCTAATGTACATGTAGCTCTGTAAACACATATAGAACATATAGGACATGTTTGAACTCAGAGTAGTACTACATCCATGCCATTGAATCTGAAAGCAATGAATGTAAAAGAAAGAGCATACATCAATACACATACTCACTGAGACCATAAGCTCTGAACAACATGCAAACCTTCCGTCTTGAACACACCGCCTTGAACACACCACCTTGAACACACCGCCTTGAACACACACCACCTTGAACACTCCGTCTTGGGCACTCCATCCTGAACACTCCGTCTTGAACACTCCGTCTTGAACACTCCGTCTTGAACACTCCGTCTTGAACACTCCATCTTGAACACTCGGCCTTGAACACTCTGCTGTGAGCACTTTGCCTTGACAAGTGTGTCTCAAAAAGGCAACATCCATTCCGCCTTGAGAATGCTCCGTCTTGAGAACACAATATTATCCGCCTTGACAAGAGCTCAGACTGGTATACACTCTACTTTGAACTAGCCCGTCTTGGCTAATAGGCAATGCCAACCAACATGCACAACCAGTTAGCGGATTGGCTTTGGTGAGTCAAGAAGGTCCAAGAAGGTCCGCTGAGTCAAGACGGACATCGGCTGGGAAAATCCCCTCAGCCAATGCTCAGCTCATGCATTGTATTGGGTGAGTCAAAATGGTCGGCTGGGTCAAGACGAGAATCGGTTGGAAACAGTGGCCCAGCCGATGGTCGGTTCATGGATTGGCTTGAGTGAGTCAAGAAGGTCCAAGAAGGTCGGCTGAGTCAAGATGGACATTGGCTGGGAAAATCCCCTCAGCCGACGCTCGGCTCACGCATTGTATTGGGTGAGTTGAAATGGTCGGCTGGGTCAAGACGAGAATCGGTTGGGAACAGTAGCCCAGCCGATGGTCGGTCAGGGGATTGGCTTGGGTAAGTCAAGAAGGTTCTAAGAAGGTCGGCTGAGTCAAGACGGACATCGGCTGGGAAAATCCCCTCAGCCGACGCTCGGCTCATGCATTGTATTGGGTGAGTCAAAATGGTCGGCTGGGTCAAGACGAGAATCGGTTTGGAACAGTAGCCCAGCCAATTGTCGGTCAGTGGATTGGCTTGGGTAAGTCAAGAAGGTTCTAAGAAGGTCGGCTGAGTCAAGACGGACACCGGCTGGGAAAATCCCCTCAGCCGACGCTCGGCTCATGCATTGTATTGGGTGAGTCAAAATGGTCGGCTGGGTCAAGACGAGAATCGGTTTGGAACAGTAGCCCAGCCGATGGTCGGTCAGTGGATTGGCTTGGGTAAGTCAAGAAGGTTCTAAGAAGGTCGGCTGGGTCAAGGCGAGAATTGGTTGGGAACAGTGGCCCAGCCGATGGTCGGGCAGTGGAATGTCTTGGGTGAGCCAAGAAGGTCACAACTGCACTAACATTGGTGTTATCATGCCATTCAATTTTATTGTAGTACCAGTCAGTATGAACTACAATATCTACTAAACACCGCCTTGCAAGGCCATCTTGCCCGTCTTGACTGCCTCCGCCTTGGCCTCGGCCGACCCCATCCTCTTTGGTGAGACAATTTTGGTCGGCCAACGTCGGCCCACCCCATCATGTTTCGTGAGACGACATGTCGGCTGTCCGATACCCTTCGGTGAGACGGCTGAATGGGCTCCTCTCCGGACATTGTCCTTCGACTCTGTTGTCGTCGCTTCACAATGGCGATTCCAAGACGGTCTGAGGGTCATCGAAGTAAACCAGCACCACGCCCTGCACCAAGTTCTGGCTCACATGCTGTCTCGCCGACAGGACGCACAAGGTCTGTCAATGACTTGAAGAGCACGACCACTAGGAAAGCTGATCAGGTTACAGGTCCCCCCACTCTCCTCGCTCATTGTCTCCTCTGTCCCCCTTATCTCCCCTCAGTTCTCCCGTCGACTTTTCGCGCTCACTGTCCCCATTAACCCCTATCAACTCCCCGCGCTCGCTGTCACCATTAGTGTCATGCACTCCAAATGAGAAGCAAGATCCGCGAGAGCAGTCTCGCGCCAACATAAGCGGCACCATCAAATCCAAAATCTTGACTACCGGTACACAGACCGAAAAGGCGAAGATGAAAGGCGTTGGTACAGCAAAGTAAGAGGCTGCTACATGGTCTTCCGACTCAACTGAAGTTTACAATTGCCGTGCAGAGGGGCCCGAAGGCATTCTCACGCACAATTCGCCTTGCAAATGGACGCCGAGACAGGTGTGGTGCTCAACACCATCGACGCACGGAGAGCCACGCCCACACCAACTGATGCACGGAGAGTCACGCCCACACCAACTGACGCACGGAGTCCACGTCGCCAGTCAGTACCTCTGGCTGTTGCTGTTGCGGGAACCCTCGAGGAATCGCCAGTCGCGCGTGAGATGGTAGCCGAACCAGCGGGCTCTGCGAACGGCAGTGCTGAACCCAAAATTATGCAAGTACGATCTCAACCTTTGCTCCCACTCCAGACAGCGCATTTGCCGGTTTCCCAAGCACCGTTGACGCAATCCGGTTCATCGCCGAGTACGTCTATAGGTGTAGCATCTCAGCGCTCCCTCGAGCCACCCCGGTTCATACGCAAACCATCTGCGTCGCCCCGTTTCCCGACCCCATTGCTCGACAGCAGGCTGTCACCAGAAACACCTCTGAAACTCCATTCACAACATAGGGCACTCGAATTCACTCTTTCGCGGCGTGCGCTGCCAGTCAAACACGGTCTGCTCGTAGACAGGGCGACCAGTACAGCCCCGCACGTTGAGACCCTAGTAAGATTCGGACAGCCCCTGCCTCATTCGTCTCCCAATTCACTGGCAGTTGGACTTGGAGGTCGGCCAATGCAGCAGTCTCGACTTGTGTCCAATGATAGCCAAGTGTCTCGGACAAAGAGGAAACGTGAATCTGGCGAGGACGAATGCACAGATGAGCAGTGAGTCATTTACACGTCTTGCGCCCGAAAACGGATGCGACGGAACTAATGACCTCTGTTCAGGCGACGTTCTTGGAAGCCAGAGCTCAAGCGCACCAAACTCGCGCCAGACGTCTCGAGGACATCAACACAGGCCTCAAATGTTGCTGTGACCTCCCCCCATTCCAATGCTGGCGCACTCACTCAGGCATGCGGTACAAATTCTCAGATCCGAGTCAGCACCTCTGGCCCCAGTCGCAAGCCGGAGGTCGAACTACCCTCGCCTTTGGCCGGCCACGGCAGCCACTGGGACGCTTCACGAGTCCGGAAAGCAGTCTCTCTGAAGGACACCGAGCATCCTCAGACCTACAACAATCTTCGAACGGCTACGCCCCCTTCCGGAACTACGCCCAGCACGAGCGCTGTCCGGCAGACCTTGGTGTCGACCAACTTTTCTGTGGACGGAGAGACGTCTTGCGATGTTGCCTCGTCCCGCAAGCGGCCAGTGCCATCGCCGTCACCTTTTGATACGAACCAACGGGGTTCTTCTAAAGGGCACGAGCCCAGCGGCCTGACATTGTCTGAGTCGGCTCCGGTGAAAGAGGCAACCCCGACTCTCATCGCAGGAGGGAATGTAGCTGGCCTCGCAGGCCCACATCATGGAAGTGTCGGCAATAGCCATTCCACCCAGACTATCCTGCCAAATCCACTGCCCGCTGCTCCTGCAGGGATCGATCCTGATGTCGCACAATACGTCAAGTCGCTGGGCTTGTCGCCGGAGGTCTATGCGAGCAAGCTAGAGCTCGTCGGTCTAAGCAACGGGATCATTCTGAATGCTACGAAGAACTTCGTCCCCGATAGCCGCAAGGATAAACTTGAGGAGGATCTCCAGAAGTTGGCGGGGTTGACCGTGGCCGAGTCTATGATTCTCATCTCAGGATTGAGGCGACCGGCGAATGGGTGAGAAATGATCCATTGGACTTCGTACGCACAGTTGAGTCAAACGGTAGGTTGCATCTACGTTCAACTATACTTGCCATCCTGGTAACCTAGTAGTACTTAGATCTAGATTTCGCGCACGGTAGTGGGACCGACCCTCGCGTTGCATTGTGCAACGTCGATGCGGAGAAGGATACAGTATGGTTGCAGTATGACCCAGTAACTTACTAATAGTAGTAGTCAGTCAATGAACGTCGGAGCTCGAGCGGATCGGAGATCGTCAGACCCAGTATGGATATCGAGACGTTGCCAGCTCGAACTTGAATCATCCTGGCCCACAACTGCCATCTGGCTGCCCTTGTTACTATCTCAGGCTCCTTCTTTGGAGCTCCAGTGCTTGTTTCTGAAGTTACAAGTTGCAACTGGAATTCAAACGAACGGTGTTCGAGAGACCCGGAGCCTCTTTGGTGAAGGCTCCTCAGTCAGACTCAGTGCGGTGACACAGGACGTACACTTTCTCTTTGGCGAGTCACAAAAGACTGGGTGAGTTGTTACTCGGTTTCAAGAGCTAGCATATGTCCAACATACAGTAAATGCCATAGTAGTGGACGACAAGTTACGATCCATCTCAATGACTGGTCGCCGGCGGACGAGATCCATGGGATTGGGAAAACCTGACGCTCCCGACCAAGCTCCCGACCACGTTGGACCTGTACGTTTGCGCTTGGGTCGCATTGGTGCAAAGCTGGACACAACTGCCGTAGGAGAGGCCGGAGCGCCGCCTAAAGCTCTGGACTATGCCGGACCCGGACGTCCGCGCCTTGAGCCAATTCTTAAACCTGCACCACCCATCACGGGTCTGCGTGAATATATCGATTGGTCCGGCCCTGGGCGTCCCCGCCTCCCTCCCATTGGCATGCCAGATGTGGACCTAACAGCTGTCCGGCAGGTCAAAAAGTTGCCCGAACCTCGTGACTTTAGTGGACCCTCACGTCCCCTCCTTCCGCCCATTCTTGGGCCGTCGTCGCCTCAACCGCAGCTGGAACCTCTCGAGGAGCCTCTGCTGCCCTTCTCAGACCGTCCTGTCTCTCAACCAGTCAACTCAGAGCCTCCCATTCCCGGTGGAGTGCACCGCACCTCTTCAAAGAGGAAGAACGTTGGACACACTGTCCCCAATGGGTATGTCTCCCCCGTATTTCTGACGCGGTATCTGACCTTGATCGTTACACAGAGAGTACCCTGTGCAGCCGAGTCTGAAGCGCCTCAAATCGGAATCTGATGGCGCTGTTGCGCCAATACAAAATTTGTCGCGACACTCCAAAGATGCGATGTCTCGCTCTGTTGCTGGACCGCCAATCACCTCATCTGAAGTGCTGCCGCAGACTGCGTCTACGTCGAAATCCATCCTAGAGACTATGTCCTCTTCACCTTCGTCTCCCCAAGACGTTCGAGCGCCGGGTATAACGTCCAATCCCTCAACCTCTCAACCAACTCAAGAACAACGCCCAAGTGGTGCCAACACGGTGATCACCCCGAGGCCGTCTACTACAGTGAGTGCAGGCATTGTTAAAACGTTAAGAGTGGAGCATCAAGTCATAACGTGGATGGACAGGTCTCTGGTAATGTCGGCCCGGGTATGGGCACATCCGCGCCGCCCTCGCAATCAGAGCAGCCGGAGGACCTTGTCGCCGACGCCGCCGTCCGGTCGTCATCACGCGCGCCTACTGGCGAGTCTTCGGTTCAAGTGGCCCCTTCAGACTCACTGCCTGCTACCCATCAAATTATAGACCCTGACGTCAGGCGGTACCTCGAATCTCTGAGGCTGTCGCCAGAGGTGTATGCCAGCAAGCTAGAGCGCATCGGGTTGAAGAATGGGGCCATGATCGACGCTACGCGAGACTTCATCTCGGAGAGTCGCAAAGACAAGTTGGAAGAGGACCTTCAAAAGCTCGCAGGTTTGACCGTTATTGAGTCCATGGTACTGATTTCAGGGTTGAGGCGGCCCAATCCTTGATGAACCTGTTTTTCAATCGGGGCTGTTACTGTCCTACGATGTGTTCACTTAGACATTCATACACGATGTACAATGAACGATACCTCAATGGTGACAATATTGTGGTGGCAACTACATACATCTTGCAACGATAGCAGAACAACAACACGAGGTACATCCGAACGTCCATACATATCCATAATCCCTTCGAAATCCAACTAGTGAGACACCATACCAACTTCCGTCCGCTACTGCCCACGGTAGACACGCTCATGCATCCAAGACGCTCTGTCGAGTCTCCATCGCCTTCTTAGCTCGCCACTCGCAGCCCTCCACGTACTCGCAGTTCCTATCAGCATTCACGCACGGTCAGACACGCGTACAGCATAAAGCGGCATAATACTCACAAACATCGCCGGGTCAGCTCAATGTCAACGCCTTTTGGCGGTCGCTGCCCGAGCCACCACTGCAGAACGCTATCGAGGTAGTCGTCCAGCAGCTTGTCGTCGACCATGAACTCTTTCGACCCAAGTATGCGCGCCTCCACGTCCAGCTCGGCAGCGGATATCTGCATTTCCTCGCCATCGGAGTCGTTACCCTGCAGCTCTACTGTAGTGTCTCGCGCATCGGAAGACTTGTCGTCGTCTTGAGCAACTGTTGTCTCTCTGCGCAACGTATCCTCCTTCCCGCCAAGGTCTTCCGCACTCGGGGTCAGCGTGTCCGGTACTGCGCCCACAACCTCGGCGACAGCGTCCTCCTGCCCGTTGTCAAGAGCAGTTTCCTTGATGCTCTCCGTGATGGCCTGCGCGAGCTGGTCGTCGCCGCCAGCCCATACGCGCGGCGCTTCGTTCAGGCTTGCCTCAATCGCACGAGCCAGATCTACCGCCTCCTGATCGGGAATTATCCTCGCCCTCTGCGCATGAGAGGGCTGCAGGCGATACACGACGGTGAGCGTCCGGTCGACGCCGGATACTTGCAACGCAGAGACGGCGTGGTGCCACGCCGCGGTGAGGTCGTCCAGACATTTGATGGTCTGGAGACCCGCGTCGTGCATGAAGGTGGCGGAGAATGTCCGTTTGGGGTCGAGGCTGAGCCTTTTCCATATTGCGGGGAAGTCGATGGGTGGCGGGGAGGAGTCGGTGGGTGGTTGGGAGGTCTTCCTGGATTTCGTTGGCGAGGGTGGGCGGAGGAGGCTGTTTAACAAGCGGTGGTAGAGCATGAGCTGTAGGCGAGCGGAAAGTGTGTCTTCGTCAGGCGGGAGGCTCGGTGTGCGACGCGTCTTCGTGTCTGAGATGTGTATAATATACGACGAAGGGGGCGCAACGATGAACTGGCCATCGTCTCCCACGTCGAGATGAGCCTGCTGGTCCGTATGTCGCGTAGAGACCTCCGCATCAGCCGGTGAGCGCACGGCAAAGACAGACTCAATGTCATCCCGCTCTGGTACCTGCACTGCTGCGTGGAAGTACGACGTTAATTGAGGCTGCGTGACCTCAGGCGTTCGACGTGACTTCTTGCTGCTGCCCTTCGTTGGGGTAGAAGGGGAAGCACGCTTATTTGCGCCCTTTCCGCTTCCAGGAGGGCGGCCTTTGCGGCGCTTCTGCTCTGGAGGTGGTGTTGATGGCGGTGCGGTTTTGCGGACCAGCTCATCCTGAGGAATGTGTTCGGTGGATGGTCAAGAACATACTGACGAAAGACTCACGATGATCCCGACGACGATTTGGTCGTGTACGATGCCGAATACGGGCATTTCGCGCTGCGGGGGCGTTAAGCTATGACAAGCCACGAAAGAAGCGTGATAGCTACAGAGAGGCCAGATTCCATGAGCGAGTCGAGGCATGCTAGCATGTTCACGAGGCTGTCGCGTGGTGTGAGGAGATCGTGCTCGACATGTACACATTGATCAACATACCGTAATCCCCAGCGTTCCTCCTGGGTCGTGATCTCAATCTGTACTTCTTCCGGGCGCACTTCACGCTCCAAAACTTTATGGACCGACTGAGGGATGTAAATTTCTGCTGATGTCCCACGAGAAGACACAAACCTGCCCACGAGTAATGACACGATGGTTCTGTTGTGCGACACCCTTGTCTACACTGATAGTCTTGCCTTCGTCCGTCACGAATGATTCCGGCCTCTGCTCAGGTTTCAAGTGTCGCTTCTGCCGGAGGCCATAGTCAAACTGCACTTCGCACCTGTAGGCAGATGGCAGAATGAGGCATGGATCCCTGGATGTCACTTCGGGATGCATACCAAGCGGGACCCACTAAATCGGACACAGAGAAGTGCTTATTCCAACTTCGAAACCGTCGGAAGGGGCTGCGGGTATCGCGCACTGGCGGGCGATATGGCGGAACGTCCCTCGTCGATGCCTTCACATATGCAGAGAAGTCAGCAGGCTCCGCCTCCAGCTTGATTTCAATCACAGGACCTCCTGGTTTGTTGCCGTCATGGTTGTTATTCGGCGCATATGGGGCGTTTGGAATAGAGGCGGCATTGTTACCGAGTGTAGCGTCGATCTGCGCGAGGTCTTCCGTCGTAAACTCTGAGAAGTCGTATGCGTCGAACTCGTCGTCAGAAGTCTCAGGTGCTGTAGACTGTGAAGCAGGTTCCGAGACCGCGGCGTGCGGTGGGTCGGCGCGAGGACTTTGGGACAAGCAGACACCTTCGAGATCCACCGGCGAGTAATATGCATCGTATTCGTCTTCTATTTCTGACATTCTGAACGCGGTGTGAGTGCAGGACAGTCGCAAGAAGGAGGAGGACGACTAACCACAGCCCCTGAGAGTCGCAAACAAAAACGATCTCCAACATTGAAACCGACGCGACGCGTGCTGTCGCGATCACGTGCCGTCGACTGATATCCCAGACACCGTGTTAAGCTGAACCGATTCAACCGAATGTGCTGACTAAATGGAATCCCCCCCTCCCTCCACCTCCTCCAGCTGCTCTTCACAGCATCGAATCACCCTCTGAGCAGGCTTTTTGGGTCGAGTGAAGTTGAAGCCGTTCTTATTACCGTCGTTCACAATTCAAGACCCGCAGGAGCCGACACCATGTGGCAGTCAGTCACCGCGGTGTCGCTCAACATGGTCGAGTTGTGAGCGACTTTCTGATGAAGGATGGTCACTGCCTGCTAACCACTACGCAACTTTCGGTGTATTTCAAAGCGTCTACGTATGCGCGAGACCAATGGCCGTGGTCTAGCATCCAAGACCGCCCGATAGCAAGTATGACTGAACCGACCTCTATGCTGAATTGTCGCCGTGACGGATCCTCATAACCATCTTGCCAAACTTCTGCCTCTTCCTCATTAGCTCGAAGCCCTCTTCTGCTTCCTCAAGGCCGTCTAGCACCACCGATACGTGGGGTACGACACGGTGCTCCGCAATGAAGTTGGTCGCGTCGATGAGGTCTTGCCGCGATCCCATCATGACACCTTGACGAGTAAGGTGGACGTGAACAAGGATACCGATGGTGAGTAGGTACCGGAAACTTACCGCATATTTGTTGACACTTCGTATAATGAGATGCGGCATAGATCGTCTGATATGGCGGTGTGGTCCTGTAGAATACCATCAGCCAGTGCTGGTTCGACCTACTAAATTGCTGTCCACACGTACATTCCGTACAACACTACTCGGCCACCGCTCTTGAGGATAGGGCCCGTCTTCACCATGATGTCTCCCCCGACGCAGTCAATAACGGCACTCAAAAGCACTTTCTCTGCCTTCCCTTCTTCGGCGCCACTTTCTTCGAGCTTCTTGGTAAGCTGGTTGATCCAATCCTCTATTTTGTCGTTTGCGTTAGCAGTCAGAAGGCGGACATAGGTAAAGGACGCTTACCATGTTTATAGTTCACTCCGGCCTTGGCCCCAAGCCCTATGGCCCGCCGAATGTTCTCATCCGAGCCGCTCGTGACGTAGACGGTCGCCCCACGCGCAAGACAGATCTGCAGGGCAAGCACTGCTACGCCACCTCCGATCCCCGTTATGAGCACATTATCGCCCTGATTGACTTTGCCGTACACAACAGCGGATCTGTGTCGTCTTCAGTGCAACTGCGGGAAATTAAAGGGGTCAGTAAGCTCACCTCCACGCTGTCAACCCGCTGATTGGCCACGCTGCAGCGTGAACATCGTCGAGGTGTTCAGGTGTAGGGATAACTTCGCTTCTGTCGACGACTACATACTGCGTGAATGTGCCAACGTGCACTTTGGTGCCGCCTATCACAGCAAAGCTTTGCGGCAACGTACGGATGTCAGCTCCAGCACTTCTATCGTCAAGGAAATCGGAGTACGCACTTCGGCGATTCAGGGGCGTCAGGGTGCTTATCCCAGCCGCGCATGGGGAGCAGAAATACTCGTTTGTTTGCCAACTGGTCATCCGCGTCTCCGGTGGCGACCACAACACCTAGCCAATGGACGTCACCGTTTTCTCTTACTGCGAGGTCATGTCAGCTGAAGCTCGCACCTGCTCCATCCGCTCCCAAAGGACTGTCAAACTCAGTGCCAGGCCCATACATACCAAGACGCAACCATAGCTATCGGCGCCATTCAGAGGTGTATATGAACATTGGAGCTATGAACATTGGGGCATGGACCACATACATCTCTGGCGTTGAAACTTGCAGCGTTGATTTTGATGAGTACCTGTCCTTCCTGTAGCGGAGGTATCGCCTTGTCTTCAAGTACAGCGTCATGGTAGGCCGGTACAGAGCCTTCAGTCGCTCTGCGTAACATGAGGGTCTTCGATGAAGTAGGGGGCAACTCTGAGCTGGCCATCGTCGCGCGGGCGTCGTCTTCGTCGGTCAGCATCCTCACGCCTTACGTCCGCATGCCCTTATATCATTGACAGTGAATAGCCATCATATCGGCGTCTGGCGGTGGCGAACAGCGTTGCGGAAGGCAAGACTGCATCTTGCATGGCATTCTCCGGAGATCGTATTATGCGGCGACGCCACCGGCGTCGCTCTTGCGATAACGGCCACAATGGATCGCGATGTGTGACGGCCAATAGAGAAGTAGTGGCCGGTGGGCCTGTAGCGGCTGTCAAGAGAGACCCGGAACGAGTACTAAGTAAAACATCCGGGCAAAGAAGCAAGGGAAGATTTGTTCCAATTGGCGAAAGACTCCCTTAGCCAACAGACATGCAAGTCATAGATACTGCTATGCACGGGCCGCAGACGTCTGCTGCTATCCGCAGTCCTCGCGTTTCCGTCCGTAGACTGGTCCCATCCGCTATAGTTACGTATTGTCCAACGCCATGCTATCGATAACGGGGATCACGGCAGACGTGGCGAAGGTGAGCGAACGTCCGACGTCTCTCCCTGGCGCCAGGTTTACGACGTGTGCTACATACTATTGGGAAGTATCTTACCTAGCCTGAGGCGGATTTCACGCTCAAGACATCTCTTATTTCCAGGATTTTCCATGACAACATATCTAGGTTCGATTGTCAGAGTCGACGTCCGTGATTCAGTCATAAGGCGCAGTCAAGACAAAGGCCACATCTATGTACAAGGGTGCGGGAAGAGGACCTCTACTAAGTTAGGTTCAAGTTAGCTCTATCGTGCGGTGAATGTGCGGAGCCGATGAGACTAGTATAGTCAGAGGTTGATGTTGCAACAACTGAATAAGTAACCCGCTTTGCCAGCGCGCCGGAAGTGGTACACGCAACCTAGCTGGGGACAATGTCACGGACCTACAAGCGGGTGCCTCATGCCTTAACTCTCCTCGTCATCTTCACGGGAATATGGTGCACGCCGAAACCTAGACCAGCATACTTGCCCTGCATGATCCGCTCGCGCCACTGTTCCTTCGTCTCGCCTAGCTTCAGAGGCACGGTAAACTTCCAGTCCCGCAGGAGACTGGTCATGAGGGACATGGCGACGACGAGCGCGAACTTCCTGCCCAGGCACGCCCGGGGGCCGAGTCCGAAGTACGTGAAGTCCGTCTCCTGTGTCACGCCGTACCAGCGCGACGGGTCGTATCGCTCGGGGTCGGGGTAAAGGCGCGGGTCGTAGTCTGTGCGGACGCGAATGGGTTTGAGTGGCTTCGGGGCGAGAGCGCAATCGACTTACGGACGCCAACCATGTCAATCATGATGCGCATGTTAGGCGGAACGACGAGTGTCTTCTCATCGCCTCTCTCGTCAGGCACCTTCAGAACGAACGTATCGATAGTGTCTCGCGTCACGATGGCGCCGCCAGCTGGACCGAAATAAGGCGATCAGAAGGACAACTCAACCTCCCAGAGTGGAGGAACGCTTACGGAACATCCTTCCTGCTTCGTGGAAGCAAGCGAGGACCTTTTCCAACTTGGCAAAATCGTCGAATGTCTGCGAATACTCAATGAGCGATGTCAGTGACGTTTCATGCATGCACTCACCGGATCGCGCCCGTCAGGCAGAGCTTCGTGGATGGCCTTGACAGCTTTCTCCTGCTCGTCTTCGTGCAGTGCCAGAAGAGCCAGTGCTGCCGCCACCGTATGTGCAGTTGTTTCTGCGTCTCTCGTCAGACAAGTGAACATGATGGATCAGCGCGAGCCTCACCGTGCCCTGCAAACAAGAAGCTGAAGACATTGCCGATCTACGGATATCATGAATCGCTGGGCATGGCAAAGCAAGTCGAGGAATACATACAACTTCGGAGTCGTCCAACCCATTCTTGCCCTCCGCCTCGCTCGCAGAGACCAGCCGGGTCAGCAGATCGCTCCGCAGAGGCTCCATGTCTTCCGTGGTAGACGCAAGCTCCTCCTTCTTGGAGGTAACGAAGGAGCGCATGAGTGCTCCGAGCTTGCGGTAGGCGTCGTCCACGCGTCGGATGCTGAGTGACTCTGTAAGTGAAATGGAGCAGCTCGACAAAGGGAAAATGGGAGGCGTACCGTTCGATGGGGAGCTTGTACGCCCAATTGGGGGTAGCAAGGCGGATGATCACGTCCTTCATGGTCAGAATTGTTGTCAAAGCCCGCTCGAAAGGCACGCCGCTGCTGTCTCCTGAAGTGGCCCATGGGTACCGGTAGTTGAATGACGTCCTCGACAACACGCCCAGGGTGAACTGTGCCACATAGTCAGACATGGGCATATGACGGTGTGAAGGAAGCATACCTTGAGCATGGACTGCTCCAGAGACTCGATCGTAAAGGTACCCTGCTTGACCCAGTTCTCGCCTTCAACCATCTCATGATACCATCTGACAGTCTCTCGTGCGACCAGAGCATAACTGCAGTGCAGAGCTTTAGCCGACAGTGCATGTCGCTGTTACTGAGCACGCACGTATTACTAGAGAATGCGGGGCCGACTACTCTGCGATGCTTCTTGTACGCTTCATGATTCGCGGTCAGTACGCTGTCACCCCAGAGACTGCCAGGCAAGTCAGCGCGCACAACTTCAGGTGAGCAGACGAAACGTACAGGAGAGGGACCAGCGCGGAGGGTGCCTTGATGAGTCTTGGATCGCCTGCGAGAAGCTGCTTTGCCACTTCCATAGACGAGGTCCATATCACAGGCTCGCCGATGAAGGGGACGTAGGAGATGGTGCGTGTGCCGTAGTACTTGTACACTTTATATCAACAGAGTTAGCTTCATGCAACGCTCGTGTTCCGCTGGCTAGACGAACCTGACTGCCGCCACTCCCAAATCCAGTTGAGGCCGGGATGGAAGTAATTCGTAGGGATGGCGGCACCGAAAACGGAGAATTGCGAAAAGACGGTGCGGAAGCCAGGGAGATAACTGACTTTCTGTGGGTGATGTGAGCACTTGAACTGCATAGAAGGTTGGCGAGGGACAACAGCACCTTGAGGTTGAGAAAGAACTGCACAGTCTGCGTCGCTAGCAGAACCGCGAATACGAGGAGTACCGTCGCCCACATGTTTGACAGAATCTCTGGCTAGAGCGTTGCGACATCCACGAGGCCGTGGTACGAGGCTTTATATTATTGTTCCGCCGTATGGAGCGGAACACCAATAGCTTCCGTCAGGCCAGGGTTCGTAGCTCGGACACTGTTCTGTCCGAGGTGACGGCTGGCATGATGGGCTGCGATTCTCCTAGAGCTCCGCGGTGGACATCGAGATGTGCTTCCAGGGCCTGCGCAACACCGCATTCGGTTGATACATTACTGGGATGAACTCTAGTATGTGATTCGGAAAGTATGACCAGTTTCGACTTGCCTGACTTCATCACGAAGATCCCGTTATCGTGGTAAGAGGACTGCGTAACTGAAAGAAATTCCATTCCCGGTGGAAGGGTGTCTTGAGTGAAGCGAAGACCGAACCGTTCCTGGTATGTTCTCCTACGACATCCATACGTATGTAGTACGAGGCCCGTGCTGAAATGCTTCGCACGTTCCGATGGACAACGTATCTCCGGAATGACCGGTTATCCCTGTCATTGACCATCGGAACGAAGGTGGAAAGATGTACCTTGGGCACATTGGTAGACTGTCATTGTACAAAAGCAGTTGACAGGCCAGTAATTTCAGCATACATCGGGGCAAACAGGCCAACACGACGTAATTTGTTATGCACCGTTCGGCGTTTCTGGTTATTCGGGAAGGCGTCAGATCTGCTACTACCGGCGCGAAACAGCAAACGTACCACCAGATCGGAAAGGGTGTACGAGTTCGTGCCACAATTCGGCTCAACAACAGCAGCGGTACGGTAGGCCGTGCGCCATTTGAATCTGGAGATAAGGGAGAACGTGGCTCTCCCTTTGCGAATTGAGGGAAATGATGCAGTTCTAACATAGTGCCAGTGGCGTGAGCCACATGGCGGTGAACTTGCCAGCGGCGGGGTTCACGCTGCCCCGGCAATCAAGCCATAGCTGAGCCGCGCTGGCATACCTCTAGCACCGGGTGATGTCCTGCAATACTAAGTTAGATTAGTAGGAGAATTTGTGACTCGTTGCGTCGAAGCATGGCACGGATCTGAGCGGCTCACCGAGGCTGGCTGCCTGTGTGTCGCCATACTTCCGAGACGGTACCCTTGGGGCGACGTAAAGCCGTCTGTTGAAGACGCGCTTGTGGGTGCCAATCAATTCCTCTGCACCTATGGTGCGGGACACTAAGTCACCGCTACCTTGGGACAGTGGCCAAATTGGTCGAGCAGCGCCCAGGTAACCCCAGCCTAGGGCTGGCTACCGCATTTGGGCATCTAAACGCCCATTTGTAAGCAGATCGGGCATCTGAATCTCTTATGGAGACGGTGGTCACCCGCGGAAGGTGGGCGCCTAGAGGCCCAGGCCCAGCGCTGGTAACCCTTTGTGACCGGGTTGTGGGCGCTACTGAGGTGAGACTTGCCATGTTGGGTGGCTACACGTGACCTGGCCAAATTCCCATCACCCAACTTCGTCAATTTGAGTGTTGGGAAAATCCGTCTAGTAGGATTGTTCCTAATGCTAATTGGAGCAATTCTACAAGAGGGATAAGGATTCGGGCGAAATCTGGCGCCTACCGAAACGTTGTTTCAAAGTAGCGGTGACTTAGTGTCCCGCACCATACTTACATACGAAACAAAGGAACTTACCCGGATAGTATTGACAGATTAGTACGAAGTCCGAGTGACGAGCCTATCTGCACCCGAAATGATACTTCGAAACTCACGTTCGGGTAGTTCGCAGTAGAAGTGGTGGCATACTGCTGTGCTTCTTTGCGAAGCGAGCAGAGGCACATATCGGGGGCACATATCAACAAGTAGATTTCACTGAGTGCGCAGTGGCCCGTGAACGTTTTGTCAATGCCAGTGGTCGCGTCCGACGGCGCTAACTTGAAGTAGTTCAAACATGCCAGATTAGGAAATAGCATCCGCTGTGGCTGTGCCGGCGACATTGAACGTTGACCGGGGCCACCGCTACGCCCTGCAGTCGTGACTGTACCGTCACCCAACCTCTCTCATTATGCCCACTCGTTATCTGCGGTCGTTGTCTATCGTAAACCTGAAAATTGAGTTGGATGCAGTTTGGGCGCAATCATTGGTTTGTCGTCATTTCCGTATATATTCCCTCCGTAACCGCTGTCACCGTTGCTTGCCAGAGCAAGTCGAGATGCGTTATACGCTTCGGATCAGGGATCGGCGCGCGGACAACCCGAGCTGCCATACCTTGTATTGGGACCGCTCAAGCAGTACAGCTTCTTCATGTCTACCCTACTCTCAGCTGTGGGACACCATGCAATGTAAGTCTACATCCATTTGAAGCCACATTTCAATCCCAGAGCGTCGTACGTCTTTTGCATCATATTTCTCTTGTGTACGGTACATCGATCCCGGCAGCGAAAATACGCGTCACGGGCGCCGAACAAGACCCGTTCATCTTCAAGGCGCGTACTCTGTGCCCATACGCAGTACAGCTTCCAGGTTACTCAGTACTCTGGGATTTGAATATGACGTTTGCTGTCAAGCTACCTTCCTAACCACGCAAGTCCACTGCTCTGTCGCGTATAGGCTCATGTCTCCTCGGGGCTGGAGCCGAATAAGCTCAACAAATGGGTGCCTCTTTCCCACATCCCCTGGTACGATGCCATTTTTGACCGGCCTCGCACGACATGGCACTGACGAATGTGCCTCTAGTCAATGCATGGCGCGGTTTGATGCATCTCCTTTCGCAATTTATTTGTGGCAGCTCGGGACGGAAGAGCGGCCATCCGCGGGTGCAACGTGAATGGTGGACGCCTATTGAGCCTTCTTGCAACGGCGCCCACGCATGCCCCGAATGTCGCATGATGGCGCACTTTACCTCTCCGTCCGCAAGTCTTCCTCGCCTTAATTGCCCGTGGACCGTGTTGTCACCGAGACCTTTCCCTGCGCCTCCCTTGAGCCCCTCGCGCACAGTGTTCACGATATGCCTACCGGGTTATGGGCCATGATTTGGTATTCGGGATGTATGTACAGGCAGTCCTACCCTCCAGAGCCAACCTTCAGTACGGATCAGATGCCTGATCTCACAGGGCAGGTCATGATTGTAACAGGTATGCACGCTTGATCTCACACTCGCCCCAATGACATGTAGTGTCTGCGCGTCACCGTGACCAGGAGGGAACGCGGGTCTGGGCAAGGAGACCGTGAGGGTATGTACCACGCCGGCCTATCACCTTGCTTCCTGAACTTGACACGAACGCACCTGCTCAGGTTCTCCTGGAACACAACGCGAAAGTGTACATCGGGGCGAGAGATGAGAAGAAGGCGCGAGCAGCTATCGAGGAGCTAAGGGAGCAGACGGGGAATGAGGCGTTCTTCCTGGAGCTCAATCTTGCCAACCTCGCATCTGTCCGGAAAAGCGCGGAGGAGTTTCTCAGGTAAGTTGCTGCCACTAACTCAATTTATCACGCTCATTTATGGCCAGTAAGGAGAAGGAGCTACACGTCCTGTTCAACAACGCGTATGCCCCTTTCAGAGTTATGACGTCTCGGACATCAGTTCTTAGCCGCCTCTTTTCAGTGGCGTGACTTGTATGCCTCTCGACTGGGTCACTGACGACGGCTATGACATGACGTTCGGGACGAACGTGGTCGGTGAGTCCGTCTTTGATTGCCTCTGGCGCACGGCGTTCAACCTTCGCTGCAGGGCCTTTCCTCTTCACAAAGCTCCTGCTCCCCACTATCCTGGCAAGCAGAGCACCACGCACGATAAGCACCCACGCGTTATCTGGCTGTCGTCTCTTGCGGCGTATATATCACCTCTGTGTTGGGATACATTCAAGGACGGCCCCGCGCGGCGGAAAGCGGGCACGCACTCGACGTATCAGCAAAGCAAGCTGGTGAGTCAGGCCACCCTTCAGTTCTCCACGCCGCCTTCTTACGAAGGGCCTTCACTCCGATCTGTCAATTAGGCAAATGTTATTTTAGCTCGTCAGTGCGCGAAGCGCTTCGGACATCAGAGCCTCGTCTCGTTATCTGTGAACCCCGGTACGCGTAGATCCAACCGAGGAATATGGATCCGCGACTGAGCCTAATCGGGGTATAGGCACTGTGCAGACAGACATCATGAAGCATGCCACGGACAAGGACAAGAAGGTCTCGGTAAGCACACGGTCATCTCTGCTGACGGCGTAGCAGCCGCCTCCAGGTGCACGCTGATTCGATCTCTTCCAGTCGCTATTGTACAACTTTTGGCCAGTTGAGACGGGCGTGCTGACTTCACTCTGGGCCGGGACGATGCCCGAGCCCATCAAGCACAACGGCGAGGTGCGCGATTGACGTTCTCCCACTGACGAGTACGTGAGATGACCGTCAGCTTGCAGTTCGTAGTGCCGTGGGGGAGGATAAGCGATCCATGCAGGCCCGAGGCGTACGATGACAAGATCGGCAACAGGCTTTGGGACTGGCTCGAGCTGGAAGTGGAGCCATTCACGAAATAGCCTGGCCTGCCTGTGTTTGCCGCCTGTTCTGCCGTTGCGCATTGCCTTGATATAACCCGAGCTCGTAGCAGTCAGCGTATGTATACCCGTGAAAAAGGTGCTTATGGTATAGATGCAATTGAACACTGTGATTCCGGACCGCAACACCTTTCGTCCTCCTGCCGTGCCAGCGGCATGGGTGCCAATGAGTTGGACATTTCAGTTGGCGCAGGGGAGCATTCATATGAGTTACGTACCAATGGAGCGGTCGCGCCTGTAGTGCACAGTACACCCCATGGGATGCGCCGGCTTGAACCCCACGCATGCGGGACACACAAGATATGGATACGACTAGGAGGAATTAAAACGTAACAAGGGGAGCATCATTGCTGCACTGTACGGCAGTGCGATTACAGTGGTGCTCGCAATAGCGGACTACTACATATGTCCTTCAAAACTTCCACCCTCCTGCAAGACTCATAACGTCCGCCGGGTCATACACCGCCTTGATCGCCCTCAACCTCTCCAGATTCTCCCCATACATCCTCTCCATCGGGACACCGTCGATCACATTGTTCGGGTACAACGGCGCCGCCGCGACGTCCTGGCCCTCCGCGATCGCGACTCGCGTCAGGTACTCCACGCTCTGGACCATCGCCTCGTGGATGGCGGTGTCGTTCTCTGGCAATGCCCACGCGTAATAGAGGATGATCGGTAGGAGCGCGGTGGAGCGACTCGGCGGCCAGGCGGAGGGCGACCCGTGCGAGAGGTAGCTGGATAGGAAAGGCTCGGCGTCGTAACTGAGGAAGAGCCCGGGGACGGAGGGCGTGAGCTTGGCACTCCAGAACTGGCGGAGGTTCGACTGTCAACGAGATGGCCCTTCGTTGGAGAATCACGCGATGACGAACCTCGGTCTCGTTCACCACAGCATTGAGGAAGGCGGACGATAAGGTATGTAGGGATGTCGTGTGGAAGGAACCTCTGTGAGCATTGCTCGTGAATCGTGTACCATGGTCAATAAAAGCTTTTGGTACCTTAGACCCGAAGGTTCCGGGGATGCCTGGATGAGGGAGAGCAGCGAGCGTGTCGAGACGTTCTGTACCAGAGCGGGAATAGCCATGAAGTCATCGAACAGCCCTTGAGGTGGTTCTGGCGCATTGTAGAACAGTCCAAGCTGCGTGATGCTCTACACGGACGGTTATTCATCTTTGAAAACCAAGTGGTCAGACGAACACACCATCTCAATGGAAGAGTCATAGTTGAAGGTGGGCAGAAGCGCCGCCTTCGAGTCCGTCACTGTCGAATAGAACTTGAGAACAGCGGCCATCACATCCCCATCGACGCCAGTGGTAGTGATAGAACCGCCCTGAAGCACGAGTTCAGGTTTTTACTGAGGAATTAGAACAGTGGAACGCACCCAAACGGATGTTTCCGGGTGCGTCTTCAAGTAGAAAGCCGTCACGATACCGAAATTGTTGTAGCCGCCCTATGCCAGCATCATACTCCGGTACCTGTGCTCTGTATGTCGTGATTGTCCTACCTTCAATCCATAGAACAGGTCTGGGTGGTGCGTAGCATCAGCAAGGACAACTGCTCCACTCGGGAGCACCACCTCAAAGCCATCGACGGTATCGATGGTCAGGCCATACTCATTTGTCTTGTACGAATATCCTACAAGTATTCTGTTAGCAACTACGCGACGGTGTCAAGCATGATTGAGTAACCTCCACCTAGAGTGAAGCCTGCTACGCCGATTCCGCTAACGCGTCCCCCCACGACGCCGACATTGAAGGGCTGGAGACCGGCATATACGTTGTCCCAGACGTTTCCCGCGCCAATCTTGGCGATGCCCGTGTCCGCGTCATATGAAACTTCATTAAAACGGGACATTGCAATTTGAACACCGACGGTCGATGAAAACCCAGGATTACCGGTGTGACCAGCGCCTTTGACCTGTGGGATTGCTCAGCTGAGGACACAGTGTCATGGCCAAGCCCAGAGCGTACTCCAAATGGGGCCTGAGTTATACCGAGGATTGTCAGCTAGAGAAGACGGTAAGTTCAGCTGTCGTAAATGTGGACGTAACATGGTCGAGAACATACTATCTTCCCAATGTCTTCTGCCGTGCCTGGCTCGACAGTACAGGTAGAGTTCGTGGTACTTGACAGCGCCCAGTGGTGATTATCAGAGTTGTATTGGTCGGAACCTGAGGACCTGTCAATCAACAGCGCGAAAGAGGACAAGTGGACGTGACTGGCCTGGATAAAAGATACTAGACTTGGATGAGACCACCTGAGCGACCGCATTGCAAACCGCCAGATGGCTGTACCCGGTGTCGCTTCCTAGAACACCAGTGTAGCTAAAGGTCGACGTGAAGAACAGGATGGACTGGAGAATGTGTCGCATCGTACTGGGTTCGCAGGGACTCTGCGCAGACGCTCTGCCTCAGCTGAAACTATTCTCGACTCGGGGAGGTTGAGTACTTGAGTGAGCCGATTTGTACACTTTTCACCGACCTGCGCTGCGCGAGGACGTAGGGCCGGCGGTGGTACGACGACCAGGTACTCGGTGACAGGGTGCATGGTTCTGTCCACTATCTCGTCTGTCCACCAGCTGGCAGAACGTGATGGTCGGACAACCCCGACGTCGCGCGAAACCGAACAGAAGTCGTGGAACATAATACGCCTGGCCGCAGTAATATTGTGGCGCATCTGGTTCTCCTTCCTGTCTGGGACGACGCCGTCACTGTGTCGAGGAAGCCACCCTCTGAACGGAGCTCATTCGGTGCCTGCGTATCTGCGACAGCGTCAAGCGACTGCTTGTCAAGGCGAACCCTACTATCCGAAGCTGCGTCAAAGTAAATGTCAAAGGCCCATCAGGAATCATGGACAAGCAACATCGTGTCTGAGTGCCTGAGGAAAGGGACACTATCGACTCAACGAGTCCATAGTCACTCCAATTCTGGTTGCGAAGATGTTAGTACGTATTGGGCGGTACTGCCAGGGCGCTACCAGTCTGAGTAGCATGAACGGGCGACATGATGGTAGCCGGATAACCTAGAGTACGTGAGCCATGTTCCTATGTGAGACTAATACAGTGATATGACTCGCCTTTTTCTACCACGACATGCTCTCAGAAGGTGTTCTGCTAGAATGACCAGTTAAACTGAGCGCGTCGTGGATTACGAACACTCAACATGGCATGAGGCATAGACAACAGTGCCACGCTGTAAAGGCCCAGGAGCATTGAACGGGGGTACAGCGCGACAACGTCGTGTCAGAACAAGCCCGTCGGACATCATGCGCTGCCTTACCCGCAAAGTGGAGGGTTCCGAAAACGATTTCCGGCACCGCGGACAGTTGAATTGAGAGGTCATCTTATTCCGCTTCACAACCATTACTTGCCCATCCGATAGAAACGTAATCGTCGTAAACTTCTGGTGGACTCGACGATAATGCGTCCCTTTGCAGTGATGCCAGACCCCGCAACAGTACCCCGACACAGCCCTTCATAGGGATGGTGAGCGAGCTCTTCTTATTACGATATCTGTAAACTCACATGATGTCCTGGGGAATGTGTCCGCTCGAGAGACGTTGCACCAAAAGTCGAGAGGCGGCGAGGTGACTAGTTGTGGGCAGGCTAGTATCCTCTTCAACCGTGCGGTGGCTGAGTTGCAGAAGCCTCGGGCGAACACTGGTACCGCCGGAGTCTGAATGTAGGGCGAGACCGTCACGCCGAAACACAACACTGAACTCAGCGACGACGGATGGTACCAATGCACGGGAGACCGGTACCGCAGGAAGCCATGGTCAGGCGCCCAAACACTCGTCTCTGCACCAGCCAATCCCATCAGCAAGTCAGACATGTTTCCATGGCTTCTGCGCATGCACACCACATAATCACCACACACCGACGCCCCGCATCCAACGACCTGCCCCGTCTTCATTCGTATTCGTAGTAGTACATCTTAGATTAGTATGCATCCGCATGTCTGCTCAGATCTTATCCGCCTACTCGTCTGCGATCTTGATAACCAGCTTTCCAAAGGTCTTTCCGCCCCGCTGCGTCAGGTCCGTCTGTGCTTCCCGCGCACCATCCGCCGTGAAGGGGTACTCTTTGTATACGCTGATCTTGGCGACGCCACTCGCGATCAGCTGGAAGAGCTCTGTCCCGTATTGGAGCGACTCTTCCGGCGTGACGATGTAATTGCCCGCACTATGAAGGATGGTTGATTAGCCATGTAGATACTCAGTGCAGCGGGATACGTACGAAGGCCGCAGCAGCTTCACGTTCTTCTCGACCAGCTTGAGGGGTGGGAAAGGCGGCACAGCTCCAGATGCATTTCCGAGACAAACGATCGTGCCCTTCCTCTGTATAAATTTGAAGTTGTCCTCGAACCTAAGACGCGTCTCAGATGTCAGCACGACTCTACAGCTACAGCAGCAACAACGCACGTATCCTTCCCGACCCCATCGTAGATGACATGTACGCCCTCTCCCTTCGTGATCTCCAGTACACGGTCGCAGTGTTCTCACGGGGTAGAGGATGACGTGGTCCGCGCCGTGCTCCTTTGCAATGTCCGCCTTCTCCTGCGTCGATGTCGTGCCGATCACGATCGCACCGCGGTGCTTCGCCAACTGGGCGAAGAGCAGACCGAGCCCGCCGGCGACGGTGTGCACGAAGACATAGTCACCCTTCTTGACGTCGTATGACTCCGTAATGAAGGTTAGTGCAGTGAGGCCTATAGGCAGACCCATGAGCGAACGGATGGCACGCGTGTGACTTAATGAGAGTACCTTGCACCACGGCAGCACCTGCGATGAGGAGAGAGACATTGTTGGGGACTGCGAAGACCTTGACCCATGGAACAGATGTATACTCTGCATGCGCTGCAGCAGTGTACTGCATGGAGACGTATAAGACACTGCCGAGTGATAATGAACGAGTAGACTCACTATAGCTACCCTGTCCCCGACCTTGAACCCGCGCTTCTTGTACTGCTCGTTATTCAGTACCTTCTCATCTGTGGGCAGAGCCGCAATGGTGCCTGACGCCTCCAGCCCAAGCGTGTGAGGGAACGACTTCGTTGGGTAGAGACCCTTCCTGGATCGCCGAAGCAGTTTAGCTCGAGTGTGGCATCGCTGGTTGCTGTAGCATCACCTGAAGTAGGTGTCGATGTAGTTAACACCGCCATAGTTGACCTACACAGGAGGACAACGGGCATCAGTGACCAGTCCCTGTATCAACAGACGATCGACGCACCTTAACGATGACATTCCCAGGTACATGCTCGGGGAAGGGTACGGCCTCCTTGTTGATGACATCGACCTCTCCATTCTTGTTGATCGCAATCGCCTGGATCGTTTTCGGGAAAGACATGGTTCGAGCTATCGGTGTGGCCGAGAGATGGTGGAGGACTTGTGAGTACGAAGGATGATTCGTCCGCTCGTGATACTAGACTTGGGCGACGTGAACACCAGCGACCTGCCTCGGGTCTTATATGCAGACGAGAGCTCATCGGAGGGCAGTTATGACGAAGCGTCGCCGCCATTGCACACCGGCACCGCAGGACGCGATGTTTCTCGGCCAGGAGGACCGGCAAGGGTTACGCAAGTCGCGGGAGGCAAAGGCACATCGGTACGTCGACGTCTGGTAGACGTGTCGTCCTCGGCGAAGGTGCCGCGTCTCGCGGTAAGTAGTACCGCGAGACGTGGCAATCCGGCACCTTGGCCGAGTCGGTTGAACATGCAGATCGCAGTGCCAGCAGGTCTCCGTCACGGTTGCAGACCATCAATACAGCCGGCAAGCGTCGCCGAGAGACGTCTTGGCGCACACGCCTCCTCACCGCCTCACCCCCTCTCATGCCAATGGGCGGAGAACGCTGCGGCGATGTCCATAGATAGGCTACTGGCGAGACGTCAGGAGAGGGCGCGATAGAGCCTCGCCTGAGCGATAGGTTCAATACGCACGACGTATGTAGACACGACCCCACGTTGAAGGTAGACCGAACGTACAGCCTCCACGTTTGCACCGTGACCTTCACGATCCAGCATCATCCTGCCCTCCCTGCCCCCCGATACTCCATCTCAAAGAGGTCCGATTGGTCGTCCAGATGTCTCCTGTAACCCGCACGACCAGGACGGCGATCCGACTGCGCGGTCAGACCATCATCCTCCACAGCTCGCGGATGGCGTCGAAGCACGACCGTCCAAGGCACGAAGAGACCATGCACCACGCCAGAGCTGCGAAGCTTTGTTTCACAACCGTAACGTCTATTTGCAAGTAGGCTGGAGGGAGTATTCACAGGATGAACCCGAGCAGGGCGACCACGGAGAGGAAGCCGGAGTTATCGTGGCTGGAGGGCTGCATCTTGAACGACAATACTCCTAGTGGTCGGGAGGTGTGGGCGATGGGCGGGCCTTGCCAGCTTCCAAAAACCAAGGTCCCGTCTCGGCGAGAATGAATCAACGATGTTGGTGGCTGGAGCAAAGCGGCTGAAGCGCTGAAGTCGAAAGATGAGCGCTTGAGCGCTGAGCGGGCCGGACGTTCGAACGTCCCTCCTCCTCCTCCTCCTCCTCACCAACTAAGTTCGTTGGCGCGGCGTTCGTCACTTTTCAGTACAACCAAGTACCCGCCAGCGGGAACTATTTAACCCTGCAACAGGCCATTAGTGGCTAATGCTGCCCAGAGCCGGAGATGGTCCATCACTCATCTGCAACTTTACACGGTGGGGTCAGAAATATAGGAAGTCCCGCAGCATATGGGGGTGGACAAGACGCGACGCTCGTGCATGTCGGATGAGAATCAGTTATAGCAAATACCAGCAATTCATGTATCAGTGGAGCTTTCGAGCTGTGCGTCCGAACTCGCAAGGGATCCGGAAGTTGTCTCGCCGGCAATAGGCCACTTTTGCCGCAGGAATACACATTGGAATGCGAATCCGATAGAGGAGGCTATTCGCGTCCATATTGCCTGTATCAACGTCTCTGTGGAGCAATTTGTTACATCCCCGGGACATTCAGAGCGAGTCTCTGCCAAATGTCAATGCATCAAATGACTTGTCCTACACACCGCAACCCTGCTCTTCTCTGTGCGCTTCGCTCGGAGAAACCGCTGCAATACACTGGCAATACAGCGCGTCCTGAATCTCAGCTGGCCTTGTACACGCTCGGCCTGAGATTCAAAGCATAAGTCCCGGGCAAGGGAGTCCGGAATCTGATACGAACTGTGACTTCGCGTTTGGGTCACTGTGTGATACAGCAACCCGACGCAGTCCTCTCTGCGTTTACAATGGCATCATGATTCACACTGTGGCGCGGCTGTCGGCTGATCCCGGGAGGTATCAGTCTTTACTTGGAAGGTATTGTAGTTCGTGAGCCTGGCCAGCTATGACAATGACCGGCGGAGCGTACACCAAGTCCTGGAAGCTGGCAGAGGGTACTGAAGTACTGACTGAACAGACGCTTTTTTCTGACGGCGGAGACTACTTGTGTCCAATCTACAATTCATTCGGATTTCATATGTACGACTGGCTCCTGGGATAGTACTCCAATATCTCGACGACGAAAGAGTGGCACAGTCCGGCTATATACCAAGAGAGTTGGGGCAGTCTACAGTGCACACGACAAAAGGAAAGGGAACATCACGTCCGCCTCTTGCGGACCAAGACCTTCAAGGTACGCGCGGAACCGTAGAACGCCCTAGGCGGCTGCACGCCCTCCTTCTCCGGCCGTATGTCGTACGTTATCAAGAGGTGTGCAAACATCGCCTTCATTTCCGTCGCTGCGAAGAACCGTCCAGGGCTGCGAACATGATCAAATCAATGCCTTCGACAAGGTTATTCATCACAACGTACCATGCATGCTTGCCGTGTCCGAAGGGAACGTGGTTCGTGCCGAGGCTAACCATCCCGTACTTGGAAGCCATGTCTTCGGTCCCAATGTCCTTATCGCGCATGGTAGAGAACCTGAAGGGCTGGAACTCGTTCGCCCGAGGGTAGATGTTCTCGTCGGTGTGCGTCGCTTTGGAGGCTACCGCGACGAACGTTCCCTCCGGCACGAACGTCCCGTCGGAGAAGGTGTAGTCCTTCATCGTGGTACGGAAAATGTGTGCTGTGATACACGTACGTCAGCTCGTGAGGCCCGAATGTGCGTAAACTATGTGGATAGCGGACGTACTGTTTCCGATGCCGGCGATGCGCTGAGATTCCCTGAAGAAACTGTCGACCTTGTGCATCTCGAGGATGGCCTTGCGGGTCCAACCGTGCGTTTTCAGCACAGCTTCGATCTCCTCACGAAGAGGTTTGACGTATTGTTGGTTGGCAGCAAGAAGCAGGAGCGCCTGGGTGAATGTCTATAGGGTGAAACAGCGATGTTATCGAGTCTGCAGCCGACCAGCGAGAAGATAATTGACGCACAACCGACGAAGTGAGGATAGCCGTGCTGTTGACGTGGAGCATGTGCGTGGTGAGCTGAGGGACCGTGAGCTTCTCGTCGCAAGGCGCGGCGTCGATCAACCATTGCATCATGTCGTTCTGAGACAACCAGATACGGTAAGACCATTGACTCAGTACATGTTCACGCTCGCATACCGGTCTGCCTTCCCACTTGTTTCCGTATTCCTGACGCTGTCGCAACCGCTCGGAGATCATGGGGCCGAGATGCACCATACCGCGACGCAAATGAGAGGGAAACGCCGAGAACAGCTTTCCTGCCAATCTTTACAATGTTGGTCAATACCGACTGCCTGTAGGAGCGACGGAAAATGGACGTACGGCCTCAACTCGTCCGGGAACGAGCGAATGATCAGACCTCTGACGACCATGTCGATTGGGTACTGCTTGTTAAGCGCGAGGTAATCCTTGTCCCTGCCTAGAACGTGGAATGAGATGAGATTGAAGCGCGCCACTGATGATAATCGGTGCTTGTGGACGTACACATGGGCAGGCCAACAAAGATACGACCGCTGGTACGGGCCACAACGTCCTTGACGACTTCGAAAGCGGTGTGTGCCGTCCACTCTATGAAAAGTCGATAAATTAATATGTGAAGAGCCTAGCCGTTTATAAACTCTCACCAGGCGTCACGGGCATTTCTTCGTCGAATGCTGTATTAAGCTCCTCGTACATAGTCGGGAAGACCGCGTCGAGGTTGCTCTTGAGTTGCGCGCGGATGACGTTGGTGTGGTACGAATCGTCGGGGTGATGGCCGAGAGTGTGCTCAATCTGGAGGACCTGCAAGACGCATCAGCTTCATCTACTTTGGGGTCTTTCCTCGGCGATAGCCTACCTGACCCATAGCGCGGAAAGAGACAGTTCGTCGTCGCCGGCCTTGCGTAGCTCCTCGACCAGCTTAGGCCCAGACACGACGACGGTCCAGCCGGAGATGGTTGCGATCTTGAACGCGCGCCCTTTGTACTGTAGACTACTGTATGAGCTCTGCTGCAGTACTGACTGATGGTGAGCCTTACCTTTGCATAGCCTTCGTCGAGGATCTGCTTGTCGTCGATGAGCCCCCTGAACGCACCGATATAAGAAAGAATGGGGAGCGACGGCCCTCCGGCCGTCGGGATGTGGCTCAACTGGAGGGAGAGGAAGGTCAATATACGCGCACTGATATGAACGTTGAACTCACGGCCATCGTCCGCCGGAAGGCGCGGAACGACCAGAAAAGAACAGCACCAAGGACGATGTTGGGCAGCAGCCCCAGAGAGGTGATCGCTGTCACAGCTTCCTGCACAGTCACCGCCATGGTGGTTTACGATGATAGTGCGCTGAGCAGGCGGGGAGCGCGGACCACTCGCTTTAAATACGCATCCTTTATTTCGTGACCCAACACCAGTGGAACGAGCTCTAGTATCGTAGAGCCGAACAGTGGCTCTGGATCTGAATTTGCCAAGCGGTTCCCTCAGGTCAGTGTGCCAAATGCGATTATTCTTTAAAAGCGCTCACTTGTTTTTACAGAATACATTCCTATTTCTGGGAGACGCTGTCTGCCACAGATGTCACTGTATTACGGCAGGCCCGTCCGAGAATACATATTCGGCGGCTTCCTTCCGCAAGGGCCTCGATACACCCGCCGAAGGACCCGCGAGCCCGCCGAACAAGCTGCGTGTGATCGTGTTATCAGCAATGCGATAGACTCGAGAATGGTGAGGCGTGCAAGATCAAATCAGGCCACCGAGGGCACCGACGTCCTTCAGATTTCGTTGTTCAGGACCCCAACAGGACCTCGGTTCCCGTAGTCTTGGACAATCGAGCTGTAGTTGAAGCTGAGTATGGTTTTGGGGCGCAACAAAACATTGTACACGTGACGTTACGAAGTAGGAGATCCATCGGCCAGTGCTGTCAAGACACATACCGAGTTGGACTCCGAAGCATCCATGTTGCATACATACTAACGGTTTGTCGTGACGGGCTCGCCTGATTCCTATCCTCGAGCTGAGTGACACACCGACTGAACGGTGGCGTTCCAAACGGCAGCCGGCAGACGGTATCAGCGCACTGGGAGTGGAGCGGACCGGGGAGCTCGGACGCTCGAACCATGCAAGATGTCTTCGCATGTCGGGTCCGCATCAACCCACCTGGCATTCGCAATGCTTGATGCGAGCTGCTCGTGACGCCCATTCCCGTTCGCGAACTGACGATGCAGCGGGCTCGCTTGCGGCGAGGACGCGAGTATCGTACGATGTTCCAGGAATTGATGCCATGGCCGCATTTGTCCGTGCCCTCGCCGAACCCGAGGCTGTCGTATGGCTGCCTGTCTGATGCGGCATTGGATCGCGGCCGAGGTGCAGTCGTTATGGGATGTTGGGTTCTATAAAGCAGCATTTGCGTGCCTTTCAAAACCAAGAGCGGACAGGTATACTCGCCGCACATCTGCTTCGTTTCTTTGACACCACCTCGAGTCGCTACACCCATGGGCTCAATCGCACCCCATACCCGCGTCGCTATCGTCACCGGTTCTGCCCAAGGCATCGGGCGGAGCATCGCCCTCCGTCTGGCCGAGGACGGTCTGAACGTCGTCATCAATGACATCCCCGCGAAGGCGGCGCAGATCGAAGAGGCCGTGGCTGAGATCAAGGCGAAGAGCGGCGTGAAGGTCATTGCTGCGCCAGCGGATGTGACCAACGAGGAGGCGGTCCAGGCCATGATTGCCTCTGTGGTCGAACAGCTGGGCAGTCTTGACGTGGTATGTCTATTCAGCTCGTGGGTGATGATGAGTGGGTTGGCTGACGCACCTCTTAGATGGTTGCGAACGCAGGCGTGATGTCGTATGGTCCGCTCGTGCTCGGTACGTTGCTATCAGTCCCGTAAGAACTATTTGTGAACGCGGGCATGCAGTTCCCAGTGAAGAGTGGGACCGAGTGATCAACATCAACCTGCGAGGTGTGATGCTTTGCTACAAGTACGCAGCAAAGCAAATGATAGAGCAGGGCCGAGGCGGACGCATTATCGGTCGGTATTTTGCCGCTGGGTGCGAATCCTTGTTGGTGTGCTAACCTTCCGTACAGGAGCGTCGTCTATGGCCGGAAGACATGGTGAGTAATGCATGGGTTGTTCCAGTCCTTCGTATTCTGATGCAGGACACATAGGCATGCCATACACGTCAGCGTACGCAGCGTCAAAGTTTGCGATCCGTGGTCTGACCCAGAGCTTGGGTGCGTAACCACACGGACTTGAGGCCACAAGCTTGCTGAGGTCCTCCACATAGCATCTGAGTTGGCGAAGGACAACATTACCGTCAACGTGTACGCGCCGGGCGCGATCCGAACCAACATCGGTGAGCTGTCTCATGAACGTTGGGCAAGTATGATACTCACCAAAACCATTGTGTACAGTCAGCCTGGAGGACGCGAAAGCGCAGGGCTTGTCCGGCTCCGCCCTATCGAAGATACCAATCGCGGAACCGGAGGTCATCGCCAGCCTTGTCTCGTACATTGCGAAGCCTGAGGCATACTTCATCACAGGTAATTTCTTCATGTATGCGTTAGTCTGTCAGTGGCGTGATGACTGTCTTGTGCAGGACAAACGATCTCGGCCAATGGAGGAGCACACTTTGACTGAACATCGCTTCTCAAAGCTAAAACGTGCGACTTCCGGGTGCTATAGTCGTTGAGTTTTTGCAAGTAGTATGCGAAGTACAACACCAGGAATTCGGAGAGCTTTGAATGGCATGCGTAGGGGCTTGATCTTGATGGTACGGCTCCAGTAGCTCGTGATCATTGACGAGTACCGAGTGGGGTGACGATCTGTCGTTATTTTGCAATACTAATGCCTTGGGTACACTCTGCTTGCGATAAAATGTGAGGCAGCAGGGCGGCGGGCGGTGTTCGTGCGCTGCAGTCTGCAACCGCCGTACGTCGTACCTAGTCAATGTGATGTGTCAATCGACGTTGTCATCCCAGGACACAGACAAATCACACAATGTGTCCACGTATCATAGACAGTCTTCCATTGAGTGGAGGCGGCAGCCTCTCAATTCGCCTCACACTTCGTGATTAGAACCAGGTGCATAGTGGATCACAGACGGTTGAAACGCGAGGTATCCTCCTGGCTTCGAACAATCTTCGCTGCAGTGTGGCTCGTTTGCACACCATATGTTCGCGGGATGGATACGTGAGCAAGTCTGCAGCGCTTGGAAGATATGAATCATTCCGTTGGTTCTAGCAGCTGTCAGTGCACCGGTACACGTGTGAGAGGTTCTGCATACAGTGTTGGCAGGATTGATCCATGCTGCGAAGGTTACGGGTGCAGTGTGCTCAGAACGGTATTCGCTTCACAAAAGAAAAGATGAGGATCTGGAATTGAACAGACAGTTGCCAGAGCGTCGTACAACATGGATGTGCGTAGAGAGGAGTGTGGGAGCGACATACCCGTCTAGGCGATTTACTTCATTTTCCCAATTGGTAATTGAGATCAGCGAGGGATCTCGATCTCATCAACAGCGTTTGTACCTGCCTTCCGCCAAAATTGCGGCTTTCCTTGTTTTGATATGATACCACCATCTTGCTTTGATATCTGCACACAGCCGTAATGTCCGATGCTCACCGCCTTGTTTCAATATCTAGCCACTGAAGAGGGAAAGGCCAGCCATAATGGCGAGGAATAGGGGGCTAACTCGCTGCTAGGCGTCAGCGTGAGGCACCTGCACCTGCGAGGGTTCGAGGAGAGGCCGGTGAGTGGAGCGCTAGAGGGCCCTATTAATCTCTGGAACAGGGACTCGGAGGCCGGCATGCGCGCGGCGTGTGCACTAAGGACGGGCGACTGAGTGCGCGGCCATCGCTTGGCCCATCGACATCGCGTCACAGAACGTGGCCGAGGCACGTCCTCTCTACCAGCTGTCGTTTATCGCCCACTTTCGATTCGTCTCTTTTGTCCTTTCGCCCTTTTCCGAAACTCTCCTCTTGTCCTTCCTCCTTTGTCCGAAGCCGCGCCCTTTAATCGCGACTCTAACCCCCAGTTGCCTGAGGACCCCCCGTGTCGTCTCCCCCCGAGGTTCGTGTCGCCGTCTTTCGCTCGTAAAGACCCTCCGCCCGCCTCCGAGATGCGCTCCGCCCTGTTCTCCACGGTCGTCCTCGCGGCCGTCCTGGCCCTCTGCCCCGCATTCGCGACCGCAGCTGCAACCAAGCGTCACGATAACCCTCCTGGCCCTCAGCCCTCGCAAAGCTGGCCGGGACATGGCAACCCTGGCCCCCCGGGAGTGGCAACAGCGGCCCCTTCCCTGGAAAGGGCGGCGACGGCTTCCGCGTTGGGACCGTCATACGCAAGCGTGATGGCTCCCTCCAGCTCCCTGTCGTCCCTCCTGAGGCAGACATCTCGCCCATCCTCTGCCCGCTCTCCATGGCCGCCTGCCCGATCTCGGAGGCGGTCCCGACCAGTCTGGAGGAGTGGGTCCAGCAGGGCTTCGAGTGTGTAGACCTCCGCGAGGACCTCACCTCGTGCGGTGGCTGCGGCGCTGTCGACGTTCAGTGAGTGACATTTCTGTCAGTGCTGAACACGGGCGGTACTGATCGCCTGTGTCTCCGTGATGTAGACATGACTGTACCGCTATCCCGAACGCCCTCGGCGTCTCGTGTGAGGTGGGGACCTGCCGCGTGCAGTCGTGCAGGCCGGGGTTCACGCCCGCGCTCGACGGAAAGGGCTGCATCTCCACCGCTTGAGCGCCGCGGCCTTGCGCTAGCCACGCGAGCAAACGGACCACGACGACCTTCCTCAGACCACCCGACAGACCGTCATATAGATCAAGACTGCCTTGTCGAAAATGACGTGACGATTCAGTATGGCTTCTACGTGCGATGCCGCGCCCTACATCTCCCAGTAGGGTTGGCGAACATCTGTATTTATGGCATCGCGGACTCAGTTGGCGGTACTTGACGCTCCGCCGAGGACCCTTCTGCTGTCCTGTACACTGCTGTACTCCGGACCTTTCCCCCGTTTCTCTGACTCTTGCTGGGTCTCGTGTACTTCTCACATTCTTTCCTTTGCCTTGTACTCCGTCTTACTTACCGGTACCGTGCACCCCCTTCCCCGATCCGAGCGCACCGCTGGCCGCGCACCTGGCGGCTACAGGTTTGCGAGGATACTCCGTTTCCAGGGGCGTGGAGCACTTGACGTTTAAGTTATCCCGAACGCTAGAAAATCCCAGACACTCGTAGCCCCTTGGCCCCTTGTACACACCTAGACTTTCGCCCCTCCTGCCGCCACAATGCTAGACCATTTATGTAGTGTCATTTGCCATAACCCCGGGTTGCGTTACGCGCGTTTTTGTCCGGATATGTACCTCGAGGACGCTGATCCTTTCCATAGAACCTCCTGCCGACGGGGATAGAGCGCCGCGGTCGAAGGCCATTTCATATTCCTCGTCAACTATAATGATTGTGTGAAGTGGTGACTCTGGAGACAGGTACGTATCGGACTAGGCTCAGCCTGGTAAGGGCGAAGTATCACTGACCTAGGTTTGGTTGACGTTTTGGGTATAGTCAGGTCGCATATTGACGGACGGGTGCACTCGTCGAGGCCAAGGAAGGGAAGAAGGAAGACGAAGGACGGACTCATGCAAGGTGCGTGCGTGGCTGCTGTCCTCGTCTTGAACTCAGAGAGGCTGCTTGGCCACGGCCGTGCACGGCGAGCGTTCAGAGTAACTTCCGAGTCGTCGTTCGAACTGCGTACCGAGCGACAGCGGAAGTGAATGCAAATGCGAGCTAGAAGCCTCGGTGCCCTGCATGCTTTGGTACGAGGCGCGCCCAGGCGCCCATTTCGACAGGGCGGTCGAACCCGCGAAGGTCTGGAAGCGCGCTGAGGTGGCGACAAGGGGCAATTCTTGGGTGACGATGCGTCATCAGAACCGCCCGCGAACGTGTCCTCTGCGTGATAGATTGAGGCAGTTGGTCTGGAGTGGCTAAACACGAAGGCAATGCTTATGGCGTGGAGTAAGAGGACAGCAGACATGGACTCAGAACTCACAATTACGAGCGGGAAGGCCTTCACGGATCCGCCAGTCTTGCAATCAAATTGCAGTTAGTTAGGGGAGGTCACCGAGGAACCGGGTGTCCTACGCGTGAAGATCTTAGTGGTAAGTCGGGAATAACGGTCGAAGAAAGAACAATTACTAGTTGCTGCTGCACAGACGAGCAAGATAGCCTCGGGATGGACGAACAATACAACTGCATTGAAAGCACAAATGATGGTACAGTAGGACAGCGCGCGCTGAACAAAAGACGTCTTCTGGCGAACGGCAAAAATCGTAGCAATTACTCAACTACTTTGGCGTTAGAGACAGCCATTCCCTTCATCTGCCCTTCGACTTGTTTCATTCGGCGGGGCTCATTGTCGTGACGAAGTGTGAACTGGAACCCCGACAGGCGTAGGCGTCGCTGTGGCTTCGCTGCTTGGTGAAGCTGATTACACTTCGTCCTCCTCATCGAAAGCATCATCTGAAGCCGGCGGCGTAGGGGGACCCGGCTTGCACCTCGACTTGTGTCCTTCTTTCCAGTCCTATCGGAATTCGCAGATTTTAACACGACGACATTGACAGGAAGAGCGCTGCGGAGCGAGACGCACATGCTTTTGACACTCCCTGCTACAGTACCGTGGTTTGTGCGGCTCCGTGCACTTCCCATTGCACCTCATCAGCGGCGCGTTCCTCGTTCCCTCAAGCCAACACTCCGACGATGCGCATCGCTGCACATTTGGTTCCTCCCCTGCCGCTACCTCGCGCTGCCGACGCTCATACACGCGGCGAAGATCCTGCATTCCATCGAAGGGGGCGATCTCCCAATAACACTTGCCTGATTCGTCGTCCTTCGCGTTGTCGACGTACTCGGCGACGGAGATGACGGCGGGCGTGAAGTACCCCAGGCTCGCGGCCGCGTCCGCGGCCTCCGCAGCGCGTGTGAGGTCGTCCATGTTGAGCGTGCGCTTAGAATGAACCTTCTCGATGTAGTACCACGCAATGCAGGAATGAGCTTGCGAGAGGATGCGCCGATTAGGAGGGGTGGCGAGCTTCAGGCCGCGCTCCGGATCGATGAGGTACAGCCATTGCTCCAGCCCGACTTTGGGATTCTTAGGAGGCCCGCCCTGGCCTGTATAGCACCCTAACAGCAGCATATCCGTCAGTACGCGCGCGACTCATCCGCAAGTATTGGAGTTCAGCTGGAATGCACGCACGTACGCCCAACTCGAGGATGTCTTCCGGGCTGCCCTTTCCAGCCTCGCTTCGTATCTCGATTTCGCCTTTGGGGCACATCCTCCCCGATGCCATCACGAGGCCCAACATTTGGTCGTTGTCGCTCATGGCGCTTTCCTTGTCGTATGGCATGAGGCATTTCTGCATGAACAGCACGTACTCTCGGAACTTCTGTGTGAGGCGGAAGGCATGCGGCGGGTATCCCTTGCCCGAGAGACAGTGTTCGTCGATTTCTATGACGTCGGAGGACCTCATGGTGGTACTAGGGGAAACGGACGAAGGACTGTCGCCATTGCCATCAATCGCCAAAGGGCTCGAGGGACGTGACTATCACGATCACGTGTGCAACAAACGCGTCTGTGGCTCAGCTGCCGCAGTACTAACCAGGCTATGTTTTAGGTGAACAAGGAACGGGACGAGTAGAACAATCATGCCATGGTCACCCTCTTTGCGATAGCTGCTCGTTTCTGTATTACACATCATGAATGTGAACACCAGGCATGAGTCTGAGCCGAGTCTTTGCACCGTATTGCGTCCACGAACACTGGCTGTCCCACATAGCCTAACGGATACCAGAAAAGATGACAGATATCTTGTAGAGCATTATGCCTTCAATTGACAAGCTACTTGCTGTGCTCTCACAGCACATCACTGTCGCGCCATCATGTCCTCCATAGCCAGCCTCTCTATGTGCCCTCGGACTTCCCTCATCAGGGCCGGGCTCATCGTCGATGACATTATTTGGACTGATCCACCAGGCACCTGTGGTACGGATGCACGGAACATGTACTCTCTGCTTGGGTCAGCCGGGAGCGGTTCGTCGATGATGTCTCCTTCTGCAGACGGCCCCGAAGACGGGCCCTCCTCTACTCCGCCTGACGGTAAGCCAGAAGCCTGCGCATCTTCTATGGGAACGGGCATGGCGACGCCTGGCTTGCAGTACGGTTTGTGTCGCTTCCAGTCCTATGCGAATGCATGTGCGTCAGTCCGAGCCTGGAATAATATCATTTGACCATGAGGCGCACCTGCGTTTGAAGATCTTTACTACAATAGTGCGGCTTATATGGCGGAGTACAACTCCCTGAGCACCTCATCAATCCCGCCCTCCTCGTAGCCTCAAGCCCGCAACCGACCGCCGCGCATCGGTAGTCACCCAACGCTCGCTCGACCTTCAGCACGCGCGCCCTCTCCTCATGTTCCACCTCGCGCTTCCGGCGCTCCCAGACGCGCCGGAGTTCCACCAGGCCAGAAAAGCGCTGTAAGTCCCAGAAAGTCAGGCCATGACCGGTGACTCCAGGAGGCGCGTTGTCAAGAACTGGGCGATGAAGAGGGCAGTTGGACTTATGAAGCCTAGGCCCACGGATGCGTCGGCAGCCTCGGCGGCGCGCTTGAGGTCGTCAATCTGCAGGGTTCGGTTGGGGAGGCATGATTTCTCGTTGTAGGCGTATGCAATACAGGAATATGCTTGGGCGACGATACGTCGACTGGGTGGGCTCGAGAGTCGCTCCGCATGCGCAGGGTCGGTGAGGCGCCGCCATTGGTTTATGGCTTCCTCGACGTCTTTTGCAGGTACGCCACATCCTTTGCACAGTCCTGATCCCGAACGAACAGGCAGCTATCAGTATCCAAATAGTTCGGAGGTGACATCAAAACGTACGTATGCCCAGTTCAAGGATGTCCTTCGGGTTTCCGGCTTCAGCCCCGGAGCGAACATCGCTGGCAGTCCGTGAGTGCAGCATGTTCAATACAATGCAAAGCATCCGTTGTATGTCTACTTCCTGGTCATATGTCGTGAGGCATGCCTGTATACACCGTGTGTAATCTAGGGCCTCGTCGGTGAAGGTGACACCTGGTGGAAGAGCCATGCTCTCCACTTCGATGTTGCTCGAGGCATACTGAGCGGGGATCGGGGCAGAGCTAAGATACAGTGGCCATAAGCTGAGTTTTCTAGTGCAATGGGCGAGCTTTGGTGCCAGTGGGCGTGCTCAATTGAGATTCCTCCTCCTCTGCGGATTCTGAGTTATTCAAAGTGCTGATGCGGCGACCGGTAAGCACCGGCGGCATCATGGACACACCAACGCGGTCACGGGGGACTGTCTAGTACGGTCCTCGCGACGCGCTCTGGTTCCGCCACTCGTAAGTACTTGACGGATTTCAAGACTGCTGGGAGGCATATTGATCGGGCATAGCTACTTACTCAGTAGGTTCACGCCAGGATGGGTGGCATAGCGAAAGTACGCGTTCTTCGAAATTCGTTGAATGATGCATCCAGTGGCCAGGTGCAACACTTAGGACTTGGCACTGGGATATGCACAATCTATACGTGTGGCACACCTTGTTTGATGTACGTAGCATGTATAGTTACAACCTACACCGTTTCTGCACATGTCTGACAATCACTCAGGAAGCCTTCCCAACCGGGCGGCGCCATGCCGCAAGATCATATCCTTCCAGTCCCTAAGCATTGCAGAAGTCATGGTTGATGACGAACTGCAAGCCATCTACCCGGCCGTCCCGGAATGGGCAGCGTTAACATGCGCTCCTTGCGCGGATCCGGTGGTAAGGGATCTTCGTCCCAAGGGGTACGATTCGAGAGGTAGATTCATCTCATCTACAGTTCCTCGGTACGATTGGAGTGCCCTTCTTGCACGCAGATTTGTGATGTTGCCAATCCTGACGCGCAGTTGTGAGCGAAGGCTGAGCAGACGAGCCGTATTCAATCAACTCGCCTTCCTCTGGCACTCCTTGCTACAATAGTGCGGCTTATTCAAGCCCTCACACTTCCCAGAGCACCTCATCAGCGCCGCCTTCCTTGTCCCTTGGATCCCGCAGCCCTCTGCAGCACACTGGTACGCGTTCGGCGCCTTCGCGACCTTGTGTTGCCTTGCCAGATGCATCCTATACACCGCCTCCTCCCTTTGCACGTGCGCACGGCAGAGGTCCGAGAGAACTGCGAACTGCGGAAGCTTCCTGAGCGGTGGCCCTCCACATGGCGCGCACCGCTCCGCGACAAACTCCGCGACGAGGACAACGGTGGTTGTAACGAACCCGAGCGCGGCGGAGGCGTTGGCAGTGAAGGCGCGTGGTACATGACTTCGACACCAGATTCATCTTCGTCAGAGTATAGGAACTCGTAGCAGACGAAGGCTTGGAGACAGTATGCGATTGCCTTGGTGCGGAGGCTCGGAGGCTCAGAGAGAGGAGGATCGAATGGGCGGGGATTGGCGATGCACGCCCACAGCGAGAGCGCCCTGAGGAGATGTGTCCGCAATTTGTCGGCATCATCAGGATCGCTGAGGGCATCTGCACAAATACCTGTGGAATGGTATCAACGCCGGCGAGCATTAGCGTGGTCGGCTGGCTGAGGTGTGACTGGCTAAACCTACGCATTCCCCATTCAAGCATGTCGTCTGGCCTCCGTGCGAGGAGGCCCAACCGGACCTCTTCAGCGCTGCGAGAAGCGAAGCGCACGTATGCTTCGTGGTGAACCTCTTCGAACTCGAGGCGGAATGTATTGACGCGACAACACCTCTCGTAGAGCTGCAAGTAGTAGGTGAACTTCTCGCCAGAGAAGAAGCCACTTGCAGGCAGGACGCGTGTGTCTTCTGCAACATTGTCAAGTGACGACCTGCTAGACATGTTTAGCACGTTCGCTGGATGACCCGCCATCGGCGAGCGGACAAGTGGACAACTTGGAGTACGAGCTTGTGGTGGTCGTCGGATACAAACTAGCTGGGCCACTCGATGCCACCATGGTCCATTGTGCCACCGCCAGCGACGCGCGATTGTTACCCGAGCGGAATTCAAAACACCGATTTACAAAGGATCCCTTAACGAGTTATGGTTCTCGTGCGTTCGGACTTGCGTTCAACTTAGCCTCTGTCACGAGTGCTGATATCAACGTAGCCACAGAAAGGTACACATGTTGTACAACCTGCCTAGGATTCAGAGATGAGAATGCGGTGAGAGCCAATACAGTAACGCGCTCACGTGTTACATATCTACGCGTTTGTGGCGCGGGCGTTACGTGCGTTGTTTGGGGTCGCCATGCTTCAAGCTGAAGTTCGGAGAGGCTGAGTGCTATACTCAGAACCCCGAGTCGGTTTCTGGTGCGACATACATATTGGCTTTGGTCGCAACGGGTGCCATTCCTTGATAGTCCTGTGAACTCGACGCAGACGTTACAACTGTGTGTACAAACCTTGAACGGAGCCGTCATTGGTATCAAACGTGGCTGGACGAATTCATACATACATGATCGAGTTGTCGGGAAAATGCCTTCCGGATCTCAAACATTGCCAGTAAGTACGCCCGGTAGATCAACCATCGTCTGCGTCCGTGTTCTCGAGTTGCTCTTTGAGGTCCCTAAGCATCGCAGGGGTCATCGTGGAGGATGCTATCTGCACCATTTTGCCGGGGACCTGGGGCTGGCACTGTGATCATGCGCTCCTTGCCTGGGACTCGTGGCAAGAGATCCTCGTCCCAAGGGCTATGGTTGGATAGAGCATCTCCTCCACCGTGCCCGAGAGACCGGCTAGCTTCCTCGACCGGCAAAGCGACATGATCGATAGGTCCATTTGCTGGGCTGGGGACCCCTGGCTTGCACATCGGTTTATGGCGTTTCCAGTCCTTTCATCCACGCTAAGCCACGACTGCGCGTACGGACAATCCGCACAGCTCACCTTTCTCTGACACTCCTTGCTGCAGTAGTGCGGCTTGTTCGCGCCCTGGCACTTCCCCGCGCATCTCAACAGTGTCGCCTTCTTCGTACCCTCGATCCCACAGCCCTCCGCTGCACACCGGTACGCGTTCGGCGCCCGTGAGACCTTGCGGTCCCGCGCCAGCTGCTCCAGCTGCATCTCCTCGTTCCTCCGCTCCCATATGCACCACAAGTCCGACAGACAAGCAAACTGCGGCATGTCCTTGAGCGACGCATCACCCCGAGGCCCGAAAGGCATCGCGACGAACTGCGCGATGAAGAGCACGATGGGCGTGACGAGCCCTTGTGCTGCCGCGGCGTCTGCGGCGACGGCTGCGCGATGCATGTCTCCAATCTGGAGTGTCTCTACGTCAATGTGTGCACGGTCCTTGTAGACTTTCGCTTGGAGGGAGTAGGCGGTCGCGAGGATACGTCGGCTCGGTGGCTGCGAAAGTGGAGGGTAGAGAGTGCTGGGGCTGGTGATATGCTGCCACAGAGCAAGCGCCATTGGAATATCTTTCTGCGCTCCGCCAGAGCCTGTGCACAAACCTTAACGTAGGAAGTCGATGCGGACATAGTATCAGCAGGAATCGCTGGCCGAGGAAAATCAACAACGTACGCATGCCCCACTCGATCATGTCTTCTGCTCTACCTGCAAGGACGCCCAGGGAGACCTCGTTGATGCCACGAGAGTTGAGCTTCGTGAACGCTTCGCCAAAGAGCTTGTCAAATTCGATGTCATCTGCGTAACTGCGGCAGCATCCTTGAAGAAGTTGGACGTAGTCGGAAAGCTCGTCGGTGAGACAGAATCCGGGGGGAAACCCGGATGTCGCAGAGAGTTCCGCAGACTTGTGGACTAGCGTGTCTGCTCGACTGGGCATCTCGCATTAGTACTCTAGCAGTCTATGTAGTGGTATATAGCAGGCGCGTCTGCGAGTGCGGGCGGTTTGTCCAGGATCGACGTCTCCGGGACCGCGCCGCGTGAACAGAACGCATTGGGCGCCAATCGGTGCGATCTCGCCTCCGCCACCGGGCCACAGTTTGCGTCTCCCGTCTCCCATCCGCCACCGCTCGCGTTCGACACTCATCATGATCCCAACATGCCGCATCCTGCGTGCTCGGTCGAGATATTCTTTTGTTATTCTGACACGCGTAGACAAGACCCACTCAATCGCGTCCAGGCCGCTACCCCGGGTCTGGCCGTGCCCGGCCGAGAATGCATAGTGGCGCCATTGTCAGCGTTGGACCACATCCAAACCCGGCTGGTCATGCTCCCAAGCCCTGCGCCAACAGGGCCATAAGGCGGTCTTCGCTCCTTCTCTCGCCCCTCTGCGTGAAGCCCATGCTCCTTCTTCCGCCAAGCTCGTCATAGTGCCGCTCGATCCCCGGGAGACTTCTGGCGTCGAGTGTGTAGGAGGTGCGTCACTACACGGCCACCGGACATCACCAGTTGGACTGACGGTCGGTTTGGATATGCACAGCCAGTAGCTGACCCGTCATCCGCTGCGGATATCTATTCCATCTCGCGACCTACTCTCCCATCCGTCTCTACCAACATCCGAAGTACGAAAGCCACTTGTCTGAAGTTGTGAAATCTTACTGGCCACGACGATCACGACCTATCATGACCCTCACGCTTGCCCGACTAAAAGATAACCTTGACGATCTCTCGCCCGCCCAGAGGTCATGCCTGATGTTCTGCGGGATGGTGTCGGCGGTGGTCATGTTTCCTTTCATGCTCGTTTTTGTAAGTACATTCTATTGCCACGATTCCCCGCGCACACCCTCATGCGTGCTGTTATTCTCGCAGAATCTCATCTACCTTATTGCGACGAAAGTATGGGTGGCTACACAGCCCAATCTGCCTCATGCAACGGGATGCGAGCTCGATCTAGACCTCGCGCGTGGGCGTCGTGGCTCGGTAGACTCAGGCGACTCAGTAATTTCCGCGCCTCCGTCTTATCGCAGTGGAGGCGCAAGCTCCGTGTTCGAGTACCCCATGCCTACGTCATCTTCAAGCCCCGAGGCTAGGCAGATCAGGCGCGCGAAGCTCTATATCGACGGGAGCCTCCGCAGCAGCCCGACCTCCTCCTACTCAAACAGCCCACCACCACCGGCTACTATTTTCGCCTCAACGTCAGACTACGCCGTCTACTACTCCCCACCCCCCACGTCTTCACGCTCGACCTCCCGCACCTTCGGCCCAATCCGTCGGCTTCTCCCCTCCTTCCATCGCCGCACGGCGTCCGACCCTACTGCAATGTCCATCATGTCTTCACAATCTGCGCCCTCCTCGCTCAGCTCCGTCTCGTCCCACTCGCATTCACCTTCCGGCGGCTCCCCCAGCCGGACGCATCGCCGCGCATTCTCGCAAGCGTCCGCGGATTCCACAGGGACAGATGGGCGCCCAGTCAACGCGCTTCCTGGGGAGGTGTTCTCGCAGCGATACGAACCGCCGTTCTCGTTCAAGCGGGTGTCGAGCCCCGTGGACAGACAGCCGGTCTCGCCAAAAACACGTCCGTTCAGCCCGGATCTTAGTCCGTGTGACGAGGGGAGGCCGAGGGTCCGGAGACGCCAAAGTCGAGTGGGACGCCAGCGAGGGAGGTCGACCACCTCAGGAACCGATGTTGGCGAGGGGAAGCAGCGGTTTGGTGGGCTCCGCGCGCTCGGGAGGAAGATCCGTCGGAGAGTGGTCTCGAGGAGGCGAGATGTGGCTGAGATGGATTCGTGCGGGACTGGGTCATACTAGGTCAGCCGTGCTGGACCCCGTTCTTGTGTCGAGATGTTCAAGTGGCATAGGGTAGTTTTCTCGTTCTTCGTTTTCTGGGTCATCTGCACAACATTTGCATGTTGCATCTCCCCTCGCATCACATCCGCATCCGCACATCACGTACATAAGCTATACCGTATATAACGACGTCATGATACCTCTACTGTACAATATAGTGGTTGGCAACGCATCTTGATGGAAGTCAATGATTACTCGGCGTAAGTTAGCATCTGCAAATGTGTTTGGTTGCGAAATTGGACTTAGTGCCACAAACGCGTCATGCTCACGTGATGGCGTTTGGAACGACGATCACCGTGCTCCGTCTACCGCAGTCTACTACTAAATGACACAGCGCACCGAACGATAAAACATCGTTACGCGTCCCAGCATTAGAAAAGTCCCCTTCGGACAACTTGTTGTCCTGGCCCTTCGGTTACTAACAAGTCCCCACAGTGGCTGTTCTTTTCACGGCCGTACTTACAACCTCGTAGGCGGGGTTATTAATACTTACCTTCCGCTCCACCATATACTAGGAGGCACCATGTCCACCAACCGTCTATAGCTGTGCGGATGCAACTGATGGGAGGTCCATGAGGAGCTCTTTGAACCAGGTCCGTCTAATAACGACCCCCGGGTGACTTCAACTGCGATTTGTGGACATTGACACGGCATCGCAGTCAGAACCAGAATTTTGCTTGGTGAACACGGTGGAGACCTTCGCAGAAAACCCCGCCGGATGAGGGAGTGAGTCGGATACCGTGATGGTCAAGGCTACAATATCCGACTCGCTCCAAACGCGCGGACATCGACTCGCGGATACACGGATGTGAAGGCGTAGCGACATGATTGGACCACAGTGATCCGTCCCTCCGGCTGCCAACGGGTATAAAGGCCACGTCGAAAGACGAAGGACTCCACCTTATTTTGACGAGCTGGCACACACCCTCAACATCTCCGCACTAGCTACCTCTACGACTTCAATGACAGCCGCCACTACCATTTCCACCACTCGCCATACGACTCACACGACCCATCCGTCTAACCAAGTCAAGGCAACGGCATAAGCGCAACGCTGTTGCATCACCAACGTCTGCCGCGACTTCCTCAAGGTCCCCCTGCAACGGCGGTTATAGGACAATTTTTGGAACTCTCGCCCATCCAAAGAAGTCTTGCGTTGGTTCTGGGAATTGTATTCGTCGCCCCCATCCACTTCATTTATGTGAGTTGACTCGATTGCTTGACGTTCTAACAAAGTCTCATGAGTTTTATATGCGTATCTAGGGAACTCTGTGCTATCTTTGGAATGCTGTGGTGAAAGCATTCACTGCGGGCAGCGAATGTCCCAGGCCGCAACCTCCGTCGCGCACCAGATTGCGCAAGAGAAGTACGGCGTCTCCCATACGCCCTCGCGATACCAAGCCAGTTGAACCAGTATCCTCCACGTCTGCTTCCGGCGCCTCCTCAACCAGCGATGACGAGGAACACCCGTCGGCTTCATCCACCGTGCGCAAGCCGCTCCCTACGGTGCTGAGGAAGCTGGTCAATCCTGCCCAGAAGGTTGCCACGAATATAACCAACATCAAAGTCCGTTCTCCACACGGTTCCTCAAAGCAGTCCTCTATCGACCCGGACACGAGCCACTCGAGTGCAGACAGCACGAACCGCATGAACCTACCGTCGCTGCCCCGACGACTATCATTTCACCAAGTCCAGCGTATCCTCCCTGCCGTCGGCCGTCGCAGGGCGATGTCCGAAGCTACGGTTCCCATCCTGCCCGCCAACCCAGACCCTGCGGCGGGCGAGCGCCGACGCGCGGCATCCTTGCCCACTTCTTTACCCTCGTCCGAGGCCCCACCTCGACGCTTCGCCAGGTCCCGCATTCCCGACAGCGAACGCCACCCCGATGGACGCCCGCTGCTAGCTCTGCCCACAGTGACCTTCGAGCAGCGATACGAGAGCCCGATTCGCAGACCTTTCCACATCTCCAAACCCTCGCGCACGAGGTCGGACAGCATCATCACGTCCTCGAGCTCGTCTAGCTCGTCGAGCGGCGCCCAGTCGGGTATGTTGAGCACAAGCATACAGGAGATGTCCGAGGACGACGATGCGGACGCAGTGGACAATGGTGCAAGTGACACAGCAGCTGCGGCGGGCGCCGGAAATGCTAGTCAGCCATCTGGCCGTCTTAACAAGCTTCGACGGAAGATGATGAGGACGGTTCAATCGAACAGACCCAAGCATATAGGCAGCTGAGCGCTGCGAAGGCGCGGTGCGCTATGTATGATATCGCTATGTAACATCACAACATTTCAGTGCGTCCACTGTACAGCATGACCTAGTGTAACTCTGACCTTAATCATGACGATGTTTTCTAATATTCTGGATCCCGCACTCGGTCATCGAATCGGTCATTCATGATATATCCTAGGTAACTGAGTCGATTTCTAACGTCTGCACCGCGGGACTGACAGTTCGGTATGTGACTGCGCTGGTCTGGATCACGTTATGTACCCAACCGGCAGTCTACAGACCCTTCAAAAGTCATGTCAGCCTCGTAGATGCTATACCCTTGCGACTGTCATCCACATACCTCTGGCGGTACATATCACTTGCACATTGACGCGACCATCCTCCTGGTCTTGCCGCCCGACGGTCATGTCCTCTACACCTGACCCTCGCGCAGGGGTGAATCTCGGCCACCTTTCACCGCTGCAGAGAATAATTGCACTGGCGCTTGGCTACTATATCGTCGCTCCTCTCTGCTTTGTCTACGTGAGTGGCCATCCTACCTTGTCCGTTCAAACTGCGACAGCTTTCGTAGCGAGTCTTATACTGTGCTATCACCGCTATCGCGAGGGTTCTCAAACCTGCCAGTCTGACGCATGTACCTGTCGACCTGGATCAAGCGGTGCACAAGTCTCCGACTTCCTCGTTGCGAGTCCCGATATCCTACACCCGATGGCGTAAACATAGCGCAATAGTGTCAGCTCCTCCATGTTACACCAGCAGGGAGAACGTAGAACCTACGGAAGCCGACAACTGTGCGCCTTTCACCGCCCCGCTGAAGTGGCTAGCAAGCCCAGCAGTATTGTTCGACGGCGGGGACTCGTCTCGGGATCGCAACAGAAGCTCTGAGGCTATTTCAAGCGAAGCACCACCGGGACCGTCAGAGAATACGTCGCGCGGTTCCACTCCCTTCTCCGAGCCGGCAGTAAGCGAGATGATCCCTACGGCATCAATTCGCTCTGTCAATTGCCTGGCACATGTTGGCAGCATTCGTCGTCGCGCTCCAGGCACCGCTGTTGCGTCCTGTACGCCGTCGTCGCGCTCCTCCAAATCCCTTTCCAAATCCCTGAATCCTCGTCGCAAGGTCATTTCACGGATTCCGGACAGCATGCGCGGGCCTGATGGACGTCCTCTGAACGCGCTGCCCGGCGTGGTCTTCACTCAGCGATATGTGAACCCAATCCCAAATCCGTTCAACTTCAGCCTGCGTTGGTCGGACGGGCAGAACTCGAGCACTTTGGATGAAAGCACGAGCACCAGCGTGACTTCGGGCTCCGGACCCAATCCGTGGAGCACAAGTGCAGGATCAGGATCTGCCGCCTCTTCAGCAGACTGTTCGCAGGACCCCCTCGAAATGGAAACACCACGTGTGGGCATGCTATTGAGCAGAGGCAAGTTTGGGTCATTGCGCAAGCTGGGAACGAAGCTCCGCAAAAGCGTCTCGCTGCGACGTCGAACCGCGAGCTTGAGCATGGACAGCGAGAGGATCCAACCGAATCCCGATGTGACACCGCAACGACCGGGGGTAGCTCGCTCGCGTTCGAGGAGTTTGTCGTCATCTCTGCCCAACGCTCTCGGGGTGGAGATAGGCAACGAAGGACTTGCATGGGAATACGGGCTTCCGTGACATCGTCCGGAATTACTGGAACGCGAGAAAAATCAGCACTCCACCAATTCAATTATGAACAATATCCTTCTCTTCTTTGTTTTGTTGCGTCTATGTGTTCTGTAGTTAGGAGGCGTCTCTCGATCGGAGAGACGATCACTGCGCGATCATGCGTTTAGTGTTTGTAACCTTTGTGTGTCTCTCAACGATCTCAACGTTCAACGTTCACCCTTGGTTCACTTATGCAGCTTTTGTGCTAGCGTCCGACAGCCAGAGCCACTGACGAAAAGAGGAATGAGCTGGAAACCGAGTCAGTCGTCCTCGTTGATCAGTGCCACAGTCGTTGAGTAGACCCGTGAACATACCCAGACAAATTCGAGTACATTAGGACGCGGATGCGCTGATGTTTTTGTACACGCCTCAGATTTGACGAGTAACAGCCCTGCGACAGCATGAAGCAGACTGGTAGTCATGGTAAGAAGTACTGTATATCGCCGTAAATGCGCAAAGCAATCGTGTCTTCGCCTTCCAGACAACTTTGAATAAAGTGACGCACCACACAGCACTTGCGCGAGACACAATTCTGTTTGCTGAGCAGTGTGAGGAGTGTATACTTAACCAGTAAAAGAGAAGCAGCTTAGGTCGTGACTATATGTATATAGTAAAGTGTTCGCGGATCTAGAGGCTTCTAGGGGTAGACGGAGGGATTCGAAAACCGTGGCAATCGCCACACGGCGAGCAAAATGGTACGTGTGCGTGATGGAATGTTGAGGTGGTGCAGCACAGCAACGGGGAAATGCATGACTTGGAATTGCATGAGAGGGAGTGATGGGTTGACTCTAGTGAGTTTCTCGGAGCTGCACAGAAAGCGATGAAGCTGAATTAAAGGGTTCCAACCAACAACGATTACGTTCTGAGAAGCCATTTTCGGAGTGTAGAATACTCTGGTTTATTCGGACTCCGATGTTCCAACGCAGTAACACCGACATCTGTGGCTGCTGGCAGCGCCACAGTGGCTTACAGATAGAACCCGCGCCAGGCTGCGCTGTACTGAACGCCTCTTGTCCAGTGCCATGTCTGATACAGACCTGTACAACCTCGAGTTCCTCTCCCTTGTGGCCAAAATTACCCAGGAAATCGACAATCACACAGGAATTAATGACAAGACATTAGCCGAGTTCGTCATCGACCTCCATGACAAGTCGAAGACATTACCGCAGTTCAAGCAGCAGCTGAAGGACGTGGGCGCGAACTTCCCGGAGTCCTTCATCGAGAATGTCGACCGTCTCATTCTCAATATGCATCCTAAACACAAGAAGCGACCTTCAGCTTCCGACAAAGAGAATGCTGGTGCAGAGGACGGCTCTATCGGCGAAGTGGACAAGAAGAAACGCTTGTTTCCGGGTCTCGCTTTGAAGGACCAGGAGTGGGAGCCCGGCGTCGCGAAGGATGCTGTCATGAAGGAGGTTGATGACTTGATGTCACAGTTCGAGGGTGCTGCAAAAAGGACCAGAGAGAGACCTGCGAAGAGGAACGGTTGGCAAAGAGGCGGCGCCAGTCTCGTTCGCGCTCGCCTCCTCCGCCACGGCGCCGCTCCCCTAGTCCTCCCCGTGATAGAGGCTATGGAGACCGACGGGATGTTAGAAATGGCAGAGGTGGCGATGGGGGGCGCCAGTTGGACGAACGTCCGGTGCTCTTCAAGATTTACCACGGTCGCGTCTCTGGCTTGAAGGAATTCGGAGCATTCGTGCAATTGGAGGGTATTGCTGGAAGAGCTGAGGGTACGTCCTTGTCTTCGTCCTTGAGGTGTGCCCCGATAATGTATCCCTCAGGTATGGTTCATGTCTCAAGCATACAGCAAGGAGCACGCGCCAATTCTGCTACTGACCTGCTCAGTCGTGGGCAGAATGTCAAAGTCAAGGTCATGAGCGTCGCCGGAAGCCGTATAGGTCTCTCCATGAAAGACGTCGACCAGACCACAGGTCGCGATCTGACACCTCACTTGCGCATCAAGTCGGAGGCCGAGCTCGCCGAGGAAGAGCACACCCGCTCAGCGAATGGAGCCAACGCCATCCCTCTCAGAGGTCGCGGGGTTACGATCGACGAGCCCGTACGCTCTGCGAAGCGACTGACGTCTCCAGAGCGATGGGAGATCAAACAGCTCATATCGTCGGGTGCCATCGACGCCTCTGAATACCCTGATCTCGACGAGGATTTCGCCAACCCGATGGCTCATGCTGAGGTCGAGGAGGAGCTGGACGTGGAGATTCGGGAGGAGGAGCCGCCGTTCCTTGCTGGCCAGACGAAGAAGACCCTGGACTTGAGTCCGGTCAAGATCATCAAGGCTCCCGATGGTTCGTTGAACCGGGCGGCTTTGGCCGGTGCTTCTCTTGCTAAGGAGCGCAGAGAGCTCCGTCAGCAAGAGGTCAACGAACAAGCTGATTCCGAAGCTCGCGATTTCAGCGCCCCGTGGCTGGACCCCATGGCGAAGGAGGCCGATAAGGTATTCGCACAGGACCTCAGAGGCAACCTACGGGACAGAAGACGGGGGAGCAGCCGAAGTGGAAGGAAGCCACGTTCAACAAGGCGACCACTTACGGTGAAAATACCAGCATGAGCATCCAGGAGCAGCGCAAGAACCTACCGATCTACAAACTCCGTGACGCTCTACTTCAAGCAGTCCGAAATGTAGGTACCACCGATAGTGTATCCTAGCCCTGCTTTACTGACACTCCATACAGCACCAGGTGCTCATCGTAGTTGGCGATACTGGATCCGGCAAGACGACACAGATGACCCAGTATCTCGCTGAAGCGGGGTTTGCGGATAAGGGCAAGATCGGCTGCACGCAGCCGAGGCGTGTAGCTGCTATGTCCGTCGCGAAGCGAGTTGCTGAAGAGGTCGGTTGTCGACTTGGTCAAGAAGTCGGTTACACGATCCGCTTCGAGGACTGCACGGGCCCTGAAACCAGAATCAAATACATGACGGACGGCATGCTGCAGCGAGAGTGTCTCGTCGATCCCGATGTCAGTGCATACTCGCTCATCATGCTTGATGAGGCGCACGAGCGAACCATCCACACCGACGTGCTATTCGGTCTGTTGAAGAGTAAGTCAGCAACACCTTCGTGCATGCGATAGCCTGCTGATACGTTCCGCAGAGGCCATGAAACGTCGCCCAGACCTCAAGGTGATCGTCACCTCGGCTACCCTCGATGCCGAGAAGTTCTCCAAGTACTTCTTCGGATGCCCTATCTTCACGATACCGGGTCGCACATACCCTGTGGAGATCCTGTATACGAAGGAGCCCGAGACGGACTACCTCGATGCCTCGCTCATCACTGTCATGCAGATTCACCTGTCCGAGCCTCCTGGCGATATCTTGCTGTTCTTGACGGGCCAGGAGGAGATCGACACGACGTGCGAGATCCTGTACGAGCGTATGAAGGCACTTGGTCCGAAGGTCCCCGAGCTCATCATCCTTCCCATCTACTCCGCGCTGCCCTCGGAGGTTCAGTCGCGAGTCTTCGATCCAACGCCTCCTGGCTCTCGCAAAGTGGTCGTCGCCACGAATGTCGCAGAGACTAGCTTGACGATCCCAGGCATCTACTATGTCATCGATCCGGGCTTTTCGAAGCAGAATGCGTACGACCCGAAGTTGGGTATGGACTCGCTCGTCGTCATGCCCATCTCCCAGGCTCAAGCACGACAACGCGCTGGCCGTGCGGGTCGTACGGGACCAGGGAAATGCTACCGGCTCTACACTGAAACCGCATTCCGGAACGAGATGTTGCCGAGTTCCATTCCTGACATTCAGCGGACGAATCTGGCGCATATTATCCTCATGTTGAAGGCGATGGGTATCAACGATCTTCTTAGCTTCGACTTCATGGATGCGCCGCCCGCACAGACGATGTTGACCGCACTCGAATCGCTCTATGCCTTGTCAGCGCTGGACGACGAAGGTCTTCTGACAAAACTGGGCCGCAAGATGGCCGATTTCCCCATGGAACCCCCGCTCGCAAAGATGTTAATCGCTTCGGTGGAGCTGGGGTGTTCCGAGGAGATCCTCTCCATTGTAGCGATGCTGTCCGTCCAAAGCGTCTTCTACCGTCCTAAGGAGAAGCAGGGACAGGCAGACTCAAAGAAGGCCAAGTTCCATCAACCAGAGGGCGACCATCTGACGCTACTGACCGTGTACAACGGCTGGAAAGCGAGCAACTTCTCGAACCCGTGGTGCTACGAGAACTTCATCCAGGCGCGAAGCATGCGAAGGGCACAGGATGTACGGAAGCAACTGTTGGGTATCATGGATCGGTGCGTTGCAATCGGGCACTCGTATGTTTTCCGTGCGTGATTGACTCATCTGGTACTTTTATAGTTATAAACACGAGATCATCTCGGCCGGGCGAGACTACAATCGCGTCCGTAGAGCTATCTGCTCCGGGTACTTCCGCCACGCGGCAAAGAAAGACCCGCAGGAGGGCTACAAGACGCTCGTGGAGGGCACGCCAGTATACATCCACCCGTCGTCCGCGCTATTCAACCGCAATCCTGAGTGGTGCATCTACCACGAGCTCATCCTCACGACGAGAGAGTACTGCCATAATGTCACAGCCATCGAGCCCAAGTGGCTGGTCGAAGTGGCGCCACAGTTTTTCAAGGTCGCCGACGCGAACAAGATCAGCAAGCGGAAGAAGCAAGAGAAAATCGAGCCGCTGTTCAACAAGGTACGTTTTTGATGTGTCTTGAAGGGATGGCGATTACTCACAGCGGTCTGCAGTACGAGAAACCAGACGAATGGAGACTGTCAAAGATCAAGAGGAGTGCTCGCTCGGTATGTCGCCGTCTGTTTGCTTTGGAAGTCGTTCATTTTCTGATACTCTTGCAGAGTCAAACTTTCGGCTAAAACATGCTACATGCTCATATCTTGTCTTCGTCCTTGTGCAGTATTCTACGCCTCCTCTGTATTTGTACTGTTCTCGCGTGATGACTACGGTTTCAATAGCAATATACTGTAGCGTTGGTCTGCTACCTCTTCACCGTGCATAGCGGAAGGCCGGAGTACTGCCGTTGCTCGTGAAGGTAATGCATCTCCGAGTGCTGGACCGAATCGCGCCGTGGCGTTGATGTGTCAAGGCGGAGGACGCCGACAGCGTTGTGGCGTTGTGAGCCGGAAAGGCGGAGAGGTTGATGATCGTGACATATTCCTGTCCATTGCAACATCAGGATCTGGCTATGATTGTAGGGTCCGTGACATACTGCGAGGAAGCCTCTCTCAATGTTCCCTGGTCCCCTCTCGCCCGCTTCCATCTCATCCGACAAATCTCAGAGCGTCGGCGTTCACGTAGTACTTTGCGACTTCCCCCGCTTTGTTCGGTGGTGCGGTCGGATCGGGGACAGCATGAAAGTTTGGGAAAACACTCGGGGTTGGCCGTCGACAGACTTGTTGACGTTGTAGGCGGATTTCCAGCGGGTCCGCGGCCATGTGTCACAGTGCCTGAACCGTGATGAGGAGATTGGGAGGTTGACTGCCTATAGAGGTCCATCAGGGCCGAGCATTCGAGAGAACAGAAGCCGAACGAGCTGACCTGGAATGGGGTGACAGTCGAAACTTTGTATTTCATGTTTGGTCGTGGGCATTGCGCTGATGAGCTTCCGCACGCCTTCAGATCCCTGGAACGGCCTTCCATTCCAAGTCAATGCAGACGACGGCCGGTAGAAGTTGGGTAGGTCGTCCACGCGGGTTGCTGAGTCGTAGGTTGAGTAATAGAGGCGTGTAAATTGATCGGCAGCTCGAGTGGCAATTTCAATGCTACGAGACGAGGATCAGCGCAAGACCTGAATGCAGAGAACTCCAACTCACTCGTTCTTCGTGAGAGTGGTCATGGCTGTCGTGGTCAACGGTCTCCGTCGTGGTGGCTGGTGGTTGTCCTTGTCAGAGTGGCGGCACCGATAATGAGACGCGGTGTCACGATACACGTGAGGCCGGTGTAGCGTCACGCTCCTTATCTAGATCTGAGCCGGTCAATGACCGGTCGATCGGTTTTTAAAGCGCGCTGCTTCATCGACATCTCCAATTCATCTCGGCCATCTAATTTTGAAGCGCGAAGCTGCATTGATTCAATGCCGGTAAAAGTGATATACAGTATGCTAAACGGTCAATTATACCACTGCGTATTGAAGTAGATATCCAAGCTCTGCGTATCATAACACACACGACCCCCATATCTCGCCGCTCACACTCCGCCCGTAGTACGCCCAATGTGCTCTGTGCCCAGGCTAGCGTACCACGTCTCGGGACCCTGCAATTCAGTTTGATAGTCAGAAGCCTATCTGCATCCGGTGGGTCACACGTAGCAGCCTACCTGTCTGTTCTTGAGCCTAAGCTTCCTGATTCTGCGGGCCACCCACTCCGCCGATGTGGTCCCAGTATCAAACTCGCCCCCCGGTGCCTTCGCAACCGCGTGTGCGATCACATCGCTGTTCTGCCCCAGATGGCGCAGCACAACCGAATTGCGTGGACGCGTGAAGAACGCGACGGAGTACCGCTCGAAGCGCGACTGTCCCCCGGGGGCGGCCTAGAGAAGGCGAGGTGAGCGCTTTCAGCCGGGCGCTGAGCTTGTTGCAGAGGCAGCTTACATTACACGGTGGAGTGCGGATCGCAAAATCCCCCCACTGAAGATTGACAAAGCATCGCCGATGTTGCATACTGCGTGACCGGGCAGAGGCTATGGCCGATGAATGATTGGCGTATCGGGCGGTGTATGAACACCTACCTTGATGTACAGCCATCGTTGTGACCCTGGCGGCATCACCTGGAGGCCGCCTAGACGATTGTGCAGAAATGTCTATCAGTGAGTGACGTGAGCCAAACCTCCCGTATCCTCCTAACGCAGTGCACTCGACTCACCAGAGTGCCAAAGTCGGTATGGGCGCCGACGCCCGCTGTTGACTGGTTAGACGGTGTCTTGATGCAGCGGGCCTCACTCCCGCCAGGTCCCTCTGTCGAGTGCAGTCTCATGAGTTCGCCCCTCGGCAAACCCAGCTGCCGTTCAAAGATGCTGAGGATCGTCATGTTCACCTCCATCGACTTCCGGACGAATGGGATTATGGTGTCGTTCATTCGCGCGTTCACAGTGGACGGATAGGTTCTGTGCGTCGGGTGTGGCCATGACAAAGCGTCGTCCTGCGCAATATTTAGGAACTCGACGTTGTCCCGAGTGCCGTTCGCATCCGTCTGGATCGTTCCCTTCGCCTTGTAACTGGAACGCGGCTGTGAGCACCTGTGGCGGCCCCGAAGAGAAACGACGCTTCTCACCCAAACGAGTCGCCGTTGTCGCCTTGCTCAAATCGCATCTTCTCTTCCAGTGGAAGGTCCAGAGTCTCTGCTCCCATGTCGAACATGTCATTGACCTCGCAGTCAACGCCATGGTTCTTCAGGCTTCATCATGATGATAGATTACGTCGGACACATGGCGAATGACTGTGGCGTACGCGTTACTCACTACCAGAAGCCTTGTTCGGTGCTCGCGTCCCAGAGTCTGGCGACCTCCCGCGAGTCCCATTGCTGAAGTCGTTCATAGTCAATCACGGGCAGAGGGTGGACGGGGACATCGTCGGGAAACGGTGCGGTTGCGGTGAGGCCAGGCATTCCGACTCTGATATGGACTTTGGGCTGCAGCAATGGGGGACGGTTCCTAGGCTATTTATCACTCACCGGGATAGAGGCCGGATACGACAGGCATTGGTCGCCTGCCGGTGAATTTCGGGGCCAAGCGGAGTAAATCTAATACGCTATGCCTGATGCAGGCAAGCGGCATAGGGCTTTCCAATTCTATCGGCGGTGCGGGTAGGTGATAGTCGCCCTGCAGCCCTCCGGTCTCAATGCATAACCTCGTCGCTTACCTTCTCAGCCAGGTGCCGAACCGCGGTGCAGCATGCATCGTCGTTGATCGCCCTCAAGTAGCCGGGTCCACGTGGAGGATGACGCCGCAATCGTCATGCCATCTGTGAAGTTACTTTGTCAGTCTCCGTCTGCCCAGGGCTTTCTCAGTGCAGTAATTAGGATCCGTCGTCAGAAGTTCTCATGTGGCCGCACGGTCTTGCCTTCCCTGCCACGCGAGAAAGAGCTCATAGCAGCCGCAAGGTCCTTCCTGGGAGTGTCTGGCTCTCAACTCTATGGAAGAGGGAATCAGCCTTCGCAGATGTTGAGGTAAATTCATGAACCTACTGGACAACGTCGCTAGCATCACAGCACGCAGGTGACTGATTCAATTGCTCGGCGGAGTAGGTAGAATGCCCCAATAGTGTATCCGAGAGAGCAGGTCGACGCCACTGTCGGAGCCGACGCGCAACCACAGGCTCAGGCTCGGTACGGTCATACTGGAAGGAGCACTGAAACGCATTATACGATCGCATCGCCCGTGGCGCGCTGAGATAGAATCTGAACATCGCGCGCTACATCCACATGCGTGGATGTGAGAACGCCGTAAGGGGCTAGAGCAGTGGCAAATGATGGTGGATGCTGTCTGCTGCCGAACTTACTCATCATTCCAAGCCAATTCGCCACCCGTGGGGAGGTGTAAGTGCACCCACAATAACCATGACATGGTTCCTAAGTCAGTGCCACAGATATGCAGGTTTTGCAGAACCACCCAACTCGATGTGTACATTCATCGCCGTCCGCAGCCACCCGATGATGACCGGAGAAGTAGTACGCCGCCATCCAGGGCCTGCAAGAAGTCCTCACTCGAGTCCTGAAGCTAGAGCTGCGGTCATGTAAAACACAGATACTTCTCCGTAAGTTTGACTGCCACAAGCACCAATCTGTCAACAGGTGATGCAGATTACATCTGTGCGCCGTTTAGCCGGAGGATTCTGTCGCAGCGTGCTAGCGGCGGTGGTATAGCAGTTGTGCATGACCTCCGGTGCGTGCCAGTGGACGACACTAGAGTTATGTCTGACCAATCTGGAGCATATGGGCTGTCCACGCAAGGACATACGTCACGTTTAGTTCATTGTAGGCCAGGAACAGCGCGGTCTGTCGGACCATTGATGAACGGTGCAGTGCTCACCTGTATACAATCCGGCAACGAGGCCCGCAGCGTGGAGAGAAACTTCCACGGCAAGAACAGGTGCGGTGGGTTGCCGCTGGGAGACGTAGCGCCTCACGCTATGCATGACCGGCATACTAGACGTTCGTCCGAGGGATTGTTGACAAACCGGAGAGAACTGGCAGGCGATGATCTCAGCGCCCCGTGGAACCAAGTACTATTGGCCCGGAGATCACGGTGCCGGCATATCGCAGAACGCTCGGTGAAGTTCATCAGCTCTGTCCTTGCGTAAAAAGGCCACAGGACACTGTGGTTGACTTGGCCGGGCGCAACGCCGTCTGAGATCTGAGCGCTGAGCAGATGGGTGAACGAGGCAAGCCAGACGTGCTCGCGCTCCGACGCGCCAGACGAAACACGTGGGAGACCGCGCTCCGCACGTGACGCAAGCGACCGCCGTGTTCCCGCGTACAGCGGTGTGCGGGGACGATGCAGCGTCCCTCCAGAATCGAGGGCAACTCTGCGTGGGTGACCTGTACACATTCACCTCTGCGAAGACGACTCGTCGTGCCGTGCATGCGCTGCTGAGCTGGCTATACTTGGCTACCGCAGAACTGGTTCGTCGTTGAAGTGTTCTCTGAGCTCCGGTACGGTGCCTAAGTTGACTTCTACTGGCATAGCTTTCACTCAGTGCTGACTGGCCTGAGACGTTCGACTGGCTATTTGGGGCTCTTGGACACGACACTGGGACTCTTCTAAACTTTCAGCAGTCCCCAAGGCCACCCAGGTCGACAGTACCACACAACCTGCGCCATGTGGGAGCGGACGCTGCAGGATCTCATTCGCGGCCTGCGCGCGAACAAGAATGATGAGAGCAAGTTCATTGCTCAGGCGATCGCGGAGATTAGGCAGGAGATCAGGAGCAAGGACATGGAGCTCAAGGCCGGCGCAGTTCTCAAGCTAACATATGTCAGTGGTACTCTGTCCGTGCTGTCTCGTCTATTGGCCTGTGCACTGATCGGGTCGGTTGCAGCTAGACATGCTAGGCTATGATATGAGCTGGGCATCATTCCATGTCGTCGAAGTCATGTCGTCTCCGCGCATACACATGAAAAGCGTCGGCTACCTCGCGGCTGCGGAGTCCTTCACCCCAGAGACTGACGTCTTGATGTTGACAACGAACCAGCTGAAGAAAGTGAGCGTATGAACACATTCAAACTGCTGGCGTGCTCACGACTAGTCGTAGGATCTCAGCTCCAAACCCGAAGATGTCACAGTGACTCTTAACGGCCTATCCCACATCATTACTCCTGACCTTGCTCGGGACCTGGCTCACGACCTGATTGCAATGCTGAATCACTCCCGGGCGCACATCCGGAAGCGAGCTGTGATAGCTGTCTACAAAGTCTTCGTCAATTACCCGGAGATCGTTCCATATGGGATAACCAGGTTGCGCGAAAGGCTCGAGGATACGGACCCAGGTAAGAGTGGTTGTGAACCCCAAAATTATTGCAATTGAAGCAGTTTGTGTGGTTGGAAGGTGTTGTTGCTGCGACTGTGAACGCCCTGTGCGAACTCGTCCATCGGAACCCGAAGGACTACCTCACGATGGCGCCGCAGCTCTTCCACCTCATGACGACGTCGTCTAACAATTGGATGCTCATCAAGATCATCAAATTGGTACGCGTCTGAGGCTCCTCCGTCTTCTGTCTCGGCATATTGACCCCTATACGTAGTTTGGAGCGCTATCGCCGTACGAGCCGCGGCTGGTGAAGAAGCTGCAGCCCCCGATCACGGACCTCATATCGACCACACCTGCGATTTCACTTCTCTATGAATGCGTTCATACGTGCATTACCGGAGGCATGTTACAGGGTGCCTCCGGTAATGCACTGGCGAGGACGTGCGTCACGAAGCTTGCTGCTTTCCTGCAGGACCCAGACCAAAATTGTATGGGTACCCTTGTTGGTCTTGGTCTCGATCTTCTCAATAACCATTTATCTATGCAGTGAAGTACATTGCGCTGCTGGCGATGACAAAGATTGTACCGAGCCATCCAGAGCTGGTAGCGGAGTACCAGGACATGATCATCTCTAGTGTTGATGACCCAGACATCAGCATCCGAATGCGGACGCTTGACCTGCTCACTGCCATGGTAAGTACACCGGTCCCGTAACCCCTTTGAGCGTTACTGACCTCGCTACCATCAGGTCAGCCGCACCAACCTGCAGACCATCGTGCAGCAACTCCTGTCACATCTGGTCCGGCCCGACACCTCGGCATCAGGACTCCCCTCTGCGGCACAGTCCCTCTCGCAGTATCAGTATCGCACACCACTCGTGAGCGCCACGCCGAAGTCCACGAACGCGCCGTCGCAGTCGCCCGCGTACCGCCTCACGCTGTCACAGCGGATCCTTGCGCTCGGAGCGCAGGAGACTTACGAGAACGTCGTGGACTTGGAGTGGTACCTCTCCGTGCTGGTGGACCTGGCATACGTCGCGGGCGTCAACGTCGGCCAGCAGATCCGCGACCAGCTGGTCGATATCGTCGGGCGGGTACGGGCGGCGCGGCGATTCGCGGTCCAGCTTATGGTGAAGTGCTGACGGACGAGTCGTTCCTGGCGAATGCTTCCGAGGAGGGCGGTTGTTCTGAGGTACTCTGGGCGGCCGCATGGATTTGTGGCGAGCACTGCGGGTGAGTTGCTGTTCTGTCGCTTTGGCTCGTTGATGACATTCACTCTCTCTGCCTCCAGGGAGCTTGCGGAGCCACAGAAGTTGCTTCCCCACCTACTCCAGCCCGGTCTTGTGGCGTTGGACCCTGAGATCGTCGCGGTCTATCTGCAGGCCGCGACGAAGGTCTTCGGGTACTGGGCCGCGGAGCAGGCCAACACGTTCGAGAGTGAAGACCTGCCAAAGATCAGGGACGCGGTGGACATGACCCTCGAGCGTGCGGGTGAGTTCGCGACGAGCCCGGACATCGAGGTACAAGAGCGGGTATGTGGTTCTCCCCGCGTTCTTCCGCACCGGGTTGATAGCTGATCGGAAATCAAACTCTTTCCCCCCGGATGTGCAAGGCTGCGGAGATGGTGAACTTGTTCACGTTCGTCCGTGCCGATCTTAGTGTGTATAGGCCGAGGACGGACGTTGGCATGGACATGGCCGTGAGTATGAGCGCGAGCTTTGGATCCGGCTTCGGCGACACAGGGTTCGGGGATGATTCACTGGAACCTGGCTTCCCGAAGAGTCTCTACCTCATCCGTCCTCTCTTTTCCGCATACGAGCTCAATGCCGTTGCGGCTGAGGCGCAGTCGCTCGTCGATGTCCCCGAGGATCTCAACCTGGATGCATGGATAGTACCTCCACCGAGAGAGTTTACTGAGCCCTTCGAGCCCGACGATACGGCGGAACCCAAAAAGAAGAAGAAGAGCAAAAAGGGAAAGGAGAAGGAGCTCGGGACGGGGAAGAGCAAGGGGAAGAGCCGAAGTCAAACTCAGCCTGAGTCGGATGACGTTGCAGGACCAGTAGTGGCCTCCCGCTCTACAGAGACAGCAGAAGAGCGTGCGGAACGCGAACGCGTACGTAGTCGTGCCCCTTCATACAAGCCTAACTGACTGATCCCCGCTCTGTAGCGCAAGGCTGAGAGGCGCGAGCGGCTGCGCGATGACCCTTACTACCTTATAGACGACCGGCCGTCACGCGCGAGCGTGAATGATGTGGACTCAATACCGGTGGTTAGATTGGACGACCTACCGCCCCTTTCCCAAGGTGAGCCACCTCCCAGTCATGTCCACCGTCAGCGTAGCTGAAGGGGCCCGTGCGGCGAAACAGCGGAGGACGCACGGCTCCCGAGCCTCCGGAACTCGAGCGCGTCATCGGTCCTACAGACGTTCGTGATTGACAAGACGGCGAGATGCCCCAGGGCAGCCTGTCGCGGCCTGCGTCACGGCCGGTGTCGCGACAGAAAATAAGGACGACGCTAACTCTTTGCGGGATGGTGCGTCCGCGGCGGTGCCGCCACCATCATTCCCTCCTACGAAGTCGAGGACGAGATAGCGCGGACTGCCACGCCCCCTGCGATCAAGGTCACAAGGGCGAAGAAGAAGGGGACGTCGAGCGGGAAGAAGAAACGGACAAAGACTGGAGATAGTACGAGCCCCTTGGCGGAATGAGCATATGAGATGCCTTGTATTATCTGTACGATATGCCTATGGTATATTGCTGGTGGTAGCTACGATGGGAGGGATTGCAAGAAAGCAGCTGTGATGATACATGAGACACGGTGGGACAGGGGTCTGCTGGCTAGATATACGTGCCGCGTTGAGACGTGGTAGGATGATTAATGTCCGGGAAGGTTGCAGGGATATCATGTTGAGACAAAGACATAGCCAGTGTGCATAGTACACAGGTACAAGGATGCTGTTCATCGGTCATCTTCCACATGCTCGACAGAGTCGACTACCTCATTAATCAGTTCCATGGTGACTCCAGGAATGATGCGCTCAGCCTCGGTGAACGCGCGCTGGAGGGCGCTGAGGGCCACTCTTGCTTCCTGGGTGGATACTCGCGGGAACAGCTACATCGCAATCCACATCGTCAGGCACATTGACATGACAACTCAACGCGGATGACGCACCGACGCAATCGCAGGCAGTACCACCGAGTCCAGCATAGTGGTGTCGGGCAACTCGTCGTCAACCGGCGGCCGCCCATTCGCTGCCCCAGCCACATATCCATTCGGTTCATCTTCATAATCGTCATCATACTCGTCCGACGGCTCCTTTTTGACGGCCGCCGCAACCGAGCCGTTGCGTATCGTCGCCTGTTGGTCAAACTTGCGCGGCGTCGATGGATTTGACGCGGGCAGGGGCGGGAGCTCGTCTTGCTGCTGACGGTCGTCGCCTCAGTGATCCCGGACAGGCCCCTCGGGAGAACGTCAAGCTGCCGCCCGAGCCTGAGCCCTCTGAATCATCTGAGCGCGTCGTGCCGTTGTTCTCCCATGTCAGCGGTGGGCCGGACACCTTTATGGAGCTTGTCTGGGCACGTCCGACGGTGCCCGCGTGCCGCACAGTTCCGAAATCCCATAGGTCCTCTGGATCGCTGTTAGCGCTGTGTGGAATGGAGTCAGCCACCACAAACACAGTAAAAGATTGGAGGGGGGAGGGAACGGAGCTCACATGTCCTCGACGTGCTGCCGCTCTTCCTCCTCTACGCGCTCGCCGCCCTCGGCCTTCCATCGCTCGTGTCGCTCGATGAGTTCGGTCAGATAGCTCGTCTTCTTCGCCATGCGGACGAACTTGTGCTTCAGCAGGTCCCGGGCAGACGGGCGCTGGTTCAGGCCGTTCTCGTCAACGGCGAAGTACTCGAAGAGGTAGGCGCACCTACGTCTCGGGGATCACGCTGGAGGCAGTACGACACGAATTCCCTGAACATCTTGGAGAAGGGACCCTCCAATGTCGGGGGCGCGTTCTTCGGAATCAAAAATAGAACCTGCAGGAACGACGTCAGGTCTTCAAGTCTTCTTCTGGCGTACCTGCATGCTACGTGCCTTCATTGGATGCAGCTCCGCGTACGGCGGTTCACCCTTCGCGAGCTCAATAGCGGTGATACCCAGAGACCAGATGTCCGCCTTGTGGTCGTAGCCGCTCTGCTTGATGACCTCGGGCGACATCCAGTATGGCGTGCCGACGAAGGTGTTCTTCTTGGCCGAAAGTGTGCCCGACAATTGACCAGAGACACCAAAGTCAGCTAGCTTGACGTCTCCACCTGCAGAGAGAGAATATTCGCAGCTATCATGGGCACGAGGTGAAAACCTGAACGACCTAGACATACTGCGGGACGCACCTTTGATATCTCGATGAAGCTTTCCCTCGGTATGAAGATACTCAAGACCCTTCAACAGCTCCCTCACAATGATCGCGATGTATTCTTCTCGAAACACTCCCGGTTTCATCTGAATACGGGGCGTCAGGTCCAACCCGATCGCAGTACAGAGCATCAACCGCTTACAAGGTCAGAACATGAGCCGCCGGAACAGTATCTGGGGGTATGTCAGATCGAGTGGTTAATGATTGTCGAAAAGATCGCTCACTCCATGACGATCCATAGTGCGAGCCCTTGAGGAAGGATCCGTGGTATTTGGTGACATGCGGAGAGTCGAGCTGGGAGAGGATCTGGATCTCCTGCTGAATGTCCTCAATCTCGTCTTCAGCACTCTCGAGTCGATGATCTTAATGGCCACGGTCTTTTGAGTGCGTTTGTCGTATCTGCGTGTCGTGAAGGTTCGGTTGAGGTCAGTCGTCTACGGCACGGCTAGATGAACGCACCCCTTGTACACCTCTCCGAACGATCCCTTGCCTGCACCAACGTGTTCAAGACGTGTCAAGAGACCTGTAAAGCGGCAACTCTGCATAGAACAATACGCACCGATCCTGTCTTGCTTCACGTAGAACTCCTCCGGATCCTGGTGGTGGGAGTCCTGCACGCGAGTTGAACCAACCGCACAAGAAACATAGATCGCGACATGAGCAAGGAGAAAATACTCACCATATCCTATCCTTTTCAGCCAGCGCACTGCGCTTGTGAAAGTCGTATCGGGATGCTAAGATGAATTGGTGATAGCAATGCGATCGTGCGCGTGCAGTCGGAGTCACGGTGAGAACCAGTGATCAGAGGAGCAAATAGCCTCCGTCGGCAAACAACGATAGAGCAAGTGCAGCTGTCGAGGAGAAGAATGAGCGCAAGGAGGCCTGCTGGAGGGGGGAGGAGGTGGAGGGAGGAGGAGTTGGAAGAGGGAGGAGCTGGTTGCGGTGAGCCGCTGGTGGCCATATCGTTGCCGTATCGCTGCGGCTGACAGGCACGCGCCCGCATCTGCAGTCTCCGCCATGCCTCCGTCTCCTCACTACGCGTTTCGGACGGCCACATCCTCGCACTAGCACCCTCCGGAGGTCACCCACGTCCAGAGCACAAAGCATTCGCTGTTGCAGCCCAACCTGGCTAGCTCTGCGCAGGCTGTTTGAGCCCAGCGGAGTCTGGAGGCCGAGCCGCGCGGGTCCTTGTCCTTTCGGCGACCCACACACCTCTTTTTGGCGTGTCGACATTGCCTTGACGCGTCTTTACGCGACTTCATGCCCCTAAACGGTAGAAATACGCGTAGCGAGCGGGGGAGTTCATGTACGTCCCATGTCATCCTCCGGAGATGGTATTAATCCTCTGCGGCGACGCCACCGGCGTCGCTCTTGCGATTAACGGTCACGACGGATCGCGATGTGAATCATGGTGCCATTGTAAATGCAGACAGGACTGCGTCGGGTCGCTGTATCACACAGTGACCCAAACGCGAAGTCACAGGTGCGTATCAGATTCCCGGACTCCCTTGCTCCGGTACTTATGCTTTGAATATCAGGCCGAGCGCGTACAAGGCCAGCTGAGATTCAGGAACGCGCTGTATTGCCAGTGTATTGCAGCGGTTTCTCCGAGCGAAGCGCACAGAGAACAGCGGGGTTGCGGTGTGTAGGACAAGTCATTTGAACCATTGACATTTGGCAGAGACTCGCTCTGAATGTCCCGGAGATGTAACAACTCGCTTCCGACGCTGCTCGCCAACTCCGGCCACACCGAGACACTGGTACAGGCAATATGGACGCGAAGAGCCTCCTCTGTCGGATTCGCAGTGGTATGCGTATTCCTGCGGCAACAGGTGTCTATTACCGGCGAGATAATTTCCGGAGCACACGTTGAAAGTCCCACCAGTACAGGAATTGCTGGTATTTGCTATAACTGGCTCCCGTCCGACATGCACGAGCGTCGCGTCCTGTCCAACTCCATATGCTGCGGGACCCCTTGTATGTCTGACCACCGTGTAAAGTACAGCTGCTGATATGACATGACTCTGGACCATCTCCGGCTCTGGACAGCATTGGCTACTAGCGGCCTTTGGCGGGATTAACTACTGGTGAATATTTGGTTGTGCTGAAAAGTGACGAACGCCGCCCTAGCGTATTAGTTGGTGAGGAGGACTTGCTGAACCGCCCGGTCCGCTCAGCGCTCAAGCGCTCATCGACATCCTTCGACTTACAGCGCTTCAGGAGCCTTGCTCCAGCCACCGACATCGTTCTCGCTGAGACTGGACCTTGGTTTGGTGGAAGCTGGCAAGGTCTGCCCATCGCCCACACCTCCCGACGACTAGGAGTATGTCGTTCAAGATGCAGCCTTCAAGCCACGATAATTCCGGCTTCCTCTTCGTCGTCGCCCTGCTCGGGTTCATCCTGTGAATCCTCCCTCCAGCCTAACTTGCAATCCAGACACTTACGGTTGTGAATAAAGTTTCGCAGCCCTGGCGTGGTGCATGGTCTCTTCGTGCCTTGGACGGTCGTGCTTCGATGCCGTCCGCGAGCTGTGGAGGATGATGGTCCTGAGCGCGCAGTCGGATCGCCGTCCTGGTCGTGCGGGTTACAGGAGACATCTGGACGACCAATCGGACCTCTTTGAGATGGAGTATCGGGGGGTAGGGAGGGCAGGATGATGCTGGGACTTGTGAAGGTCACGGTGCAGGCGTGGAGGCTGTACGTTCGGTCTACCTTCAACGTGCGCGTGAGGTTTGAATCGTGTGTACTAGTACTTTGTGCGTGCTGAACTTACCGCTCAGGCGAGGCTCTGTTGCGCCCTCTCCTGACGTCTCGTCAGTAGCCTGTCTCTGGACATCGCTGCAGCGTTCTCTGCCCATTGGCACGTACGCAGCGGTTTTGCCGAAGTTCAGTCGTCCCATAGCTCACTTAAATATTTAATCAAACGTCATGTACGGCGTAAAGGACACGCACACATGTTTAGACGAAAGTCGACGTACATAGCGGCCGGTGAAGGGGTCGTTCACATTAAATCCAAATTCACATTCCATGAGGATGTCTCATTGACAGATTGGGGTTGGGATGAGGAGAGGAGGCGTGTGCGCGCCAAACGTCTCTCGGCTACCACTGCGATCTGCATGTTCAACCGACTCTACAACTTCAAGTACATCCAACCAATCCTGCCACCTTACACCTCCTTACACGCCGTCGCCTCACTAGCTGCAGTCCAACTGACTTACCATGTCCACTCTACCAAACTTACCTCGCATTTGTGCATCTTCAACGGTCGTACGGTCTAGATTCAAACACTTGCTAACCCTGTGCCAACCCGATCCGACGGACTTCCACACGAACCACTTGCCGAGAAGCCTGGCTGAGAAACATCGCGTTTCGTGGTGAAGAATGGCGACAACGCTTCGTCATAACTGCCCTCCGATGAACTCTCGTCTGCATGAGTATAAAACCCGAAGCAGGCCCGTCACGGGTCGCCGATGATCACGTCGCTCAAGTCTTTATCGCGAGCGGACCAACTACCCTTCGTACTCAACAAGTCCTCCGCCATCTTTCGGCCACGCCGATAGCTCGAACCATGTCTTTCCCGAAGACGATCCAGGCGATTGCGATCAACAAGAATGGAGAGGTCGATGTCATCAACAAGGAGGCCGTACCCTTCCCCGAGCATGTACCTGGGAATGTCATCGTTAAGGTGCGTCGATCGTCTGTTGATACAGGGACTGGTCACTGATGCCCGTTGTTCCTCCTGTGTAGGTCAACTATGGCGGTGTCAACTTCATCGACACCTACTTCAGGTGATGCCACAGCAACCAACGATGTTACTCTCGAGCTGAACTGCTTCGGCGATCCAGGAAGGGTCTCTACCCGGCGAAGTCGTTCCCTCTCACGCTTGGGCAAGAGGCCTCGGGCACCATCGCGGCTCTTCCCACAGATGAGAAGGTGCTGAATGACAAGCAGTACAAGAAGCGCGGATTGAAGGTCGGGGACAGGGTGGCTATAGTGAGTCTACTCGTTCATTATCAGTCGGCAGTGTCTTATACGTCCCCATGCAGTTCACCTCTGCAGCACATGCAGAGTATGCGTCCGTTCCATGGGTCAAGGTCTTTGCAGTACCCAACAATGTCTCTCTCATCACCGCAGGTGCTGCCCTGCTGCAAGGTACTCCACCAAGCCACGCGCATGTCATCCGTTCGCTTATGGGTCCACCTATAGGCCTCACTGCCCTAACTTTTATCACGGAGTCATATGACGTCAAGAAGGGCGACTACGTCTTCGTGCACACCGTCGCCGGCGGGCTCGGTCTGCTCTTCGCCCAGTTGGCCAAGCACCGCGGCGCGATCGTGATCGGCACGACATCGACGCAGGAGAAGGCGGACATTGCGAAGCAGCACGGCGCGGACCACGTCATCCTCTACCCCGTGGAGAACACTGTTGACCGTGTGCTCGAGATTACGAAGGAGAGGGCGTGCATGTCATCTACGATGGGGTTGGGAAGGATACGTGCGTTGTTGCTGCTGTAGCTGTAGATTCGATGCTTACTTTGGGACGTTTGTAGGTTCGAGGACGATTTAAGTTTATTCGGAGGAAAGGCACGATCGTTTGCGTCGGAAATGCATCCGGAGCTGTGCCGCCTTTCCCACCCCTCAAGCTGGTCGAGAAGAACTTGAAGCTGCTGCGGCCTTCGTACGTAGCCCACTGCACCGAGGATCTACATAGCTAATTTATCATCCTTCGCAGTGCAATTAACTACATCGTCACTCCGGAAGAGTCGCTCCAATACGGGACAGAGCTCTTCCAGCTGATCGCGAGCGGTGTCGCCAAGATCAACATATACAAGGAATACCCCTTCACGACGGAAGGTGCGCGGGAAGCACAGACGGACCTAGCCCAGCGGGGTGGAAAGACTTTCGGAAAGTTGATTATCAAGATCGCAGACGAGTAGGCGGATAAGATCTGAGCAGACGTGCGGATGCATACTAATCTAAGATGTACTACTACGAATACGAATGAAGACGGGGCAGGTCGTTGGATGCGAGGCGTTGGTGTGTGGTGATTATGTGGTGTGCATGCGCAGAAGTTGTGAAGACGTATCTGACTTGCTGATGGGATTGGCTGGCGCAGAGTCTCCCGTGCATTGGTACCATCCGTCGTCGCTGAGTTCAGTGTTGTGTTTCGGCGTGACGGTCTCGCCCTACATTCAGACTCCGGCGGTGTTCGCTCGGGGCTTCTGCAACTCAGCCACCGCATGGTTGAAGAGGATAACCTGCTCACAACTAGTCACCTCGTCGCCTCTCAACTTTTGGTGCATCGTCTCTCGAGTCGCGACGGAGCAAACACATTCCCCAGGACATCATGTGAGTTTACAGGTATTGTAATAAGAAGAGCTCGCTCACCATCCCTATGAAGGGCTGTGTCGGGGTACTGCTGCGGAGTCTGGCATCAGTGCAAAGGGACGCACTACCGTCGAGTTCACCAGAAGTTTACGACGGTTACGTTTCTATGGGATGGGCAAGTAATGGTTGTGAAGCGGAACAAGGTGACCTCTCAATTCAACTGTCCGCGGTGCCGGAAATCGTTTTCGGAACCCTCCACTTTGCGGGTAAGGCAGCACATGATGTCCGACGGGCTTGTTCTGACACCATGTACTATTGTCCAGAAACACTGTCGCAGGGAAATCGACTGCCGTCTGCATACTCGGCGGCGTGTCCTCAGGTACGAACCGGGCGCACGTCGGTCTCGTAGCATTGGGTCGGGTACGAGTGGCGCTGATGTGCGTGCGCCTTCGGAAGCCGACATTGACCAGGCAAGCGATGCGGAATATGTACTGGATGGCGCTTCACCTAGCTCTGGTCCATCTGGTGCGTCAACGCAATCGACGCGCCCCATTCGGTGAGGGTATCGTGCCCATCTCGACGCCACTACGCTCATTTCTTTTGGCTAGACGCGGTGGGCCGCACACGACCCGTACTCAACGTGCCCTTGTGCGTGGGTACTGGAAAGACGAATACACCGTGCACCAAATCGGCGAATACATGAACCTCAGCCGATCCGATATTTGGCACGCGATCAAAAACCAGTCGGGCGACGATCTCGACGAGGATGAGGCCTACCGTGACGGAACAGTTGGTGATGTCATCAACGTGGAGAATTTGCTGCTAGATATCGAAGTTATGGCCAAGGTGAAGGAGCCGAGATCGACGAGGTCGATGAGAAGGTCGAGGTGGAATTGCCGGTCAAGGAGGAAGCATGTATGCAACTCGTGTCTATCTTTATGATCACACAGTGCTGACGTGTATGTTAGATGACTCGGATATGGAATTCGAGTTGATCAATGCTGAGCCAGCCATGCGTAGTCCACGCAGCGAGCCAATGCAACGCAGCCCGCAGCCCTCTCAATCGTCGATCTCGATGTTCAATACCATCAGTGCGACGAACTCATCGAATCCTACACTGATCTCTCGGCTCCCCACCCCACCCCTATCCTCACGCAGTGCTGCCGGTCCAAGTTCGCTGCCAGATGCCACGCAGACCTCGCAGTCGGATGGCATGGAAAACCTGAACTCATCAACAGCCAATGGTAGTGGTCCAGGCCGATCGCAGGTGGATGAAACGGATCCCATACACACGTTCTTGAACCAGCTGAAGCGTCCGCTCGCTCACCTGACGGACGCCTTCCGTGACTTTGGGGTCGTTAAGGGAGAAGATCTGGATGTTCTGTGCGAGTTGAAGGACCAATGGACTTTCCTTCAGGCGTGCTTAGGTGATGCAAAGAAAGTGACCCCCCTCGAATGGATGATCATAAAAGCGGGCCTGGAAGGACGAGCGGCGAGACTGCGCAAATGAAGGGACACTTACGTCTATAGCGTATGGTACCAATAACAGGCACTGCGCGTTTCCCTATCTGATGTAATACTTATGCCATTTTCAGCCTTGAGCCACAGTGCGGCCACCATCGCTGTAGGGTTGCTGTAGGATATCATGGTCTTGTAAGTAATCGATTGTGCACTCCTCCGTCCAGCTTCATTTACATCGCACGCCGGGCCTTTCTCCGTCACGGTGCTGCTACAAGTCGGCCTCAGACAGGCTCGTGCTATGTGTTGTCCGTTATCTATACTGGGATGCCCCCAGCAACATATGGTGGAGGAACGTAGTTACGCTGATACCGCTCAAAGAAGGTGAGTGACCTAGGTGCCGTTCAGTCTGCACTGTCGCTGTGGACTCTGTGCTTACTATTGGGACGCTTGTTAGGTTCGAGGACAACTTCAAGTATATTCAGAGGAACTTGGCATGATCGTTTGCGTCGGAAATGCGTCGCATCTGGAGCTGTGTGCTGCTCTGTCTGCCCCTCAAGCCGATCGAGAAGAACTTGAAGCAACTGCGACCTTCGCACGAAGCCGACTGCACCGAGGACCTATATGGCTGATCGATGATCGTTTGCAGTGCATTCAAGAATGTCATCACGCCGGGAGAGACGATCCACAATACGAGAGAGAGCTCTGCGAGCTGATCGCGGGCGGTGTCGTCAAGATCAACGTATGTATAAGTACTACCCGTTCAACACGACGGAGGCCGCGCGGTCGGAAGCACAAACGGACTTGGTGCAGCGGGGCGGAAAGGCCTTCAGAAAGCTGTTAATCAAAATTACAAACGAGTAGGCGGAGATCTGTGCTGATATACGGAAGTATTATGAGTTTCAAAGAACACAGAGCAGGTCGTGGAAAGCGTGGTGTTGGTGTGCTATGCGACGTGCAGAGGCTATGATTCTAGATCTGAAGACATCTAATTTACTGATCCGGGATTATTAGCTAGCGCAGACTCGGAAGCTGATAAGTAGTATGTATGTGGGCGTCTCCCGGACTTCCGTTCCAGCCCATCGTCGGCGAGTTCGAGAATTCGGTTCAGTCCCACCACTTTCAGACTCCGGTGGTTGTCGGGGGGTTTAGCACAAGTTGCCGCAGCCTCAGCTACTCACGGCACGGACGAGGAGTACAGCCCAATTCTGTAATCACCTCGTCGCCTCAAAACGACTTTCGTCGCATCGAACACGATTCTGCTTGTGACAGCAGGGGTCATGTGGGTTTACCAATCTCATGCTTGGAAGATTTGTTGTTCAACATCGTCGTGCAGGCCTGTCAAAAGGGGTCTCTGTTGTGGCGTATGGCACACACACATAAAGGCGCACAACCGCAGTGTTCATCAAAGGTTCACGAAGGTCACATTCAAGATCGACAAGCGGGCGATGACTGTCGGGCGCGATCCCACAACCTCACAATTCCATTGTCCGCGGTGCGACAAAGCGTACGAACAGGCTGCTGGCTTACGCGTAAGGGCGCTCTCCGCGTATCTTGCATCTGGATTGACACCATATGTTCATCAGTGGCACACACGCAGAAACATAGACTGCCGTCTGGATGATACGCGATCATACGCGAGGCGCGGGATGGGCAGATTCCAGCTTCGGATCGACGCCCGTGGGTCTTCAGCAGCGGGTGCGGAGCCAGCAAGTGGTGGCGAATATGAAGCAGATACTGCTAGTGGGTGTCTTCTACATCGTCTGCTTCTGTGTTGCCATCAGCGCGTCCTCTTCGGTGAGGTTTCCAGTCTCATCTCCACAACCGTATCGTCAGGCCATGCTCACTGCTTCGGCCGCCCAGACACGGTGGGCCACATACAACTCGGACTCAGCGGGCTCTCGTGCGCGGATACTGGAAGGATGAGTATACCGTGCATCAGATCGGGGAGTATATGAATCTCAGCCAAAAAGCCGTATGGCGCGCATCAAGAACGATCAGGCGACAATCTTATCGAGACGAGAGCTACCGTGACGGCACAGTTGGCGACGTCATAAACTTGGAAAGCCTCCCGTCAGACATCGAGCCGCAGGATGAAGCTGTGGTCAAGGTCGAAGATGCCCATATGGATGATATGGATGAGACAATTGATTTGGAGATGCTGCTCCCCAAGGAAGAGCCAGGCAAGTGACTCATGTCTGCCTTGACGATCAGACGGTATTGACGTATCCTAGATGACTCGGATGTGGAAGTCGAAGTGCTCATTGCTGAGCCAACCGCGCGCGGTGCAAGCAGAGAGTCCATACGACGCAGCCAGCAGCCCTCTCAGCGTCAATCCTCGTCGGTTGACCCTATACCTGCCGCTGATTCAATCAGTGCAACGACCTTTGCGACGACCTCATCGAATACGGCGCGAGTTTTCCGGCTCTCTACTCCTCCCCTATCCTCACTCCTCGCTGCCGGTCAAAGCTCGCTGCGAAATGCCGCGCAAAGCTCGCAGGATGGCGCGGGAATCTCTGACGCATCGGAAGCTAGTGGTAGTGGCCCAGGCCGACTGCATGGGGACACAGAGACGGGTCCTATATATGCATTCTTGGTACAGCTGAAGCGTCCGCTTGCCCACCTGTCGGACACTTTCGGTGACTTTGGAATCGTTACGGAAGAGGATCTGGATGTTTTGTGCGAATTACAGGATCAATGGAGTTTCCTTCAGGCGTTCTTAGGTGAGGCGAAGAAAACGACATCCTTCGAATGGATGATCATCAAGGCGGGCTTGGAAGGACGAGCTGCGACATTGCGCAAGTGAAGGGGCAGTACTCATGTCTGTAGCATATGGTACTACTGAAGGCTTTGTGTGTACTATTTGATGTAAATACGCCGTTTCGGCCTTAGCTCACAGCGACCCATCGCCGTAGGATATGATTTTGTAACCGATTTTGCAGTTCTCCGTTCATTTACAACGCCTACCAAATGCGGCATTACACTGCTGCGTATCGGTTCGAGCACCGTTAGCGCTCGATGCACGCCGGGCCCTTCCCCGTCACAGTGACAGTTCCGCTGCAAGTTAGCCTCAGACTTGGTCTTCCGAAGCTCGTACTCTGTGTTGTTCCTCCTCTATTCTGGGATGCCCAAGGCAACATATGGTGGAAGAGCATAGCGACGCTGATGACACGCAAAGAATGGTGAGCAACCCTCAGTCTACACTTGTATCGTTGCGTTCATCCGCAAATGAATCCCTAGGCCCGCCGCGCCAGGCAAGTGCCGCGAATGCGGCCAAATCGTCCGGTCGCTCGAACACCACTATCGATCTACTCATCAGTCGTCGTGTCGCGTGGTTCTGGACGGCACTATCCACGACGTCTTCCGCGATCACGAAGTGGGCTTATTTCGGTGTCTGCGATGTGCGAAGCCTTTCCAGACCCCACGAAAGCTTCAGGTGAGACTATTATTTGGTCTTTTCGCTGGTCTTTACAACGTCTTGGGCAGGACCACATGCGAAGGGATTCGTGTTCGCGCTCCCAGACCCCTCCGACTCGGAGTCAGCCTGTGCCTACAGGTTCGCCGGGGCGCATCCGCATCAAGATGCGCAAGCCGGGGGTTGGGGACCCTGACTCACAAGACGCTAACAAACCAGAGCATCGAAGATCTGGCCCCACCAAGCGTCGACCATCCCTAGTTCTGACCCTGCCTGGAAGGAAGCGCCCTAAGCTCGACGACACCAATGACCCCGTTACGGACCCTGGCCGGCAACCATCTCTCGTACGAGACGAAGCTGCAGAGCCTGTATCCTCGACCGAGGAGCCACGGCCCCCGCCTACGCCTCCGGATTCACATCCCATATCTACGCCTTCGGATTCACAGCCCGTACTACCTGCGCCTTCGGATTCCCAGCTGGGACATGAACCATCGCGGTCGCCATCTCTCCATCCACCCTCCGAATCAGAGCCGCAGGCTGCGATTGGGCTCACTGCGCCCTCAGAGTCGCAGCCTATCGAGCCAGATGATACAATGAGGGATCCACACGGATCGACGACTCCAGAGCCTGAGGAAGATAGACCCGGAGTTGAGGAGCCCGTGCTCGATAACTCGGGTTCTCAGTCCGTAGGATCTGCGCCATCGCCAGAACCACACCCTATAGTCGAGGCTTTCGACTCACAGGGAGTACGAGAAGAGTCACTGGATCCACCGACCGCCGTACCTGCGTCAATAGAGCAACAGCCTATATCCACGTCGTCAGAGTTGATTGTCGCATCCGGGCCCGTCGAATCCGAGGAGCCACAAGCGTCGCCGGATCCAGCGGCGGTACGTGCGGCCTGCGACTTGCAACCCGAATCCATGCCTTTGGAGTCGCTAGGTACGCCTGCGGATGATCCAGCGGTACCTGGACTCTCGGAGCGTGAGCCTGAGCCCTCGTCCGAAACCATGGGTTCGCCGCCTCTTCCTGTGCCCTTGGAGCTTCCGGAGTCGGGAGCCACCTCTCCGCCCTTGGATTTGCAGGCCCCGGATCTATCATCCTCTTTTCCTGAACCAGATCCGCAGACGCACACCGCAGACGACCCGCAATCTCCACATATTGACGCGAGCGAGACAGGCATGGACGTCGATGCAGTACAGCTCGACGCTCTCGAGCTTCAGTATCCTGATGATGATGACGACGACATCGCGATGGCCGATGTGCAGGATGCTGAAGGATCGATCGAGGAAGCTGTCAACGGTGATGTATTCGCCGCGGCCGGCCCTCGACCTTGGCAAGCCGAGGCTGATCCCGACGACATCCGTACTGTCCACGAACCTCCAATGGATGGTCCATATCCTGCGTTCGTCGTAGCACCGGCATCGCACCATGCTATTGACGATGTGAGTGCGCCCACAGAGTTGACGGCTTCTAGTGTCCACGACTTGCCGGTGGTCGATGGGCACGAAGAACGATACGCAGGTGCGAAGACGCCCCTCGGGCTGATGAGCCCACCGCTTAGCCCCTCCGAGTCCACAGACAACGGGCCCGTTCCTGTTCATGTTGACTCCCTGGCTGGTAATGGCATGGATCCCTCGAGTGCGTCGCAGCGCGGTTCCTCTGACGAGAATGCGGCGGCTGTGCGCTATAGACCAGGAGGGACTGACTCAGAGGTCGCATCCTCTCAGTCAGGCTCTCCTGGCCCCAGCCAGGGAGCAGCCCACCTCGCGAGCCGCTCCCTCCCTCCCATCCTGTTGTGCTCTTCCTCGAGGGCATTTGCACCGGCCGGTCACCCCCGGCGCACTTTGCTCACGCCTTCGTCGACCTAGGCTACGACACTGAGGAGGAACTCGACATTCTGGCGTGCGCGGAGCCAGGGTGTGGCGACTGGGACAACCTGGAAGAAGAACTGCGCACGGAGAAGGGGTACGATGCGTGGTGGTTGCGCGTAAAGATCGGCCTGCGCAAGCGAGCGAAGAGGTGTGCTGAGAGGAACGGCAACGACAACGTTTGATCTTCCGTTTTCGTAATTATCCAGTCTAACTATCGTGCTGCATCGTGTTGTAACATCTGCTGTACTGCTTTCCTTTGCTCTCGTGCTTTCAAATCTTGTAGTTGTATGTGCATCCGAGTCTCAGCTGCACACTCTTGCTGTCGTCGCTGTCTTTGTCTTTGTATTGATTCGCTGCTATATCTCGTACCGCATAACTCCCGGTGCAAATGTCTCATCCATCCTCGTCTACTGTGCTCTCTGCATCATTGATCATTCGTGCACCTGAGCACGAGGCTCTCGCCGGGAGTGGCTGAGATGAGGGGGAGATCTGCAGGCGCCATGAGATCTGAGATGGGGAGCCCAGATCGGGTAATTAGTGAGCAGAATGGGGAGTGGTGCGTCGATTTCACCGTCTGACTCTGGTCCGCCCTCGCCTGCCACGCCCGCCTGTACTAGTATGCACTCGTAATGTCCAACTTCACCACCCTCGACGCTACGCCAGACACTCTTTCCGCCGAGCCTCCAGAACAGGACGTCAAGGCCGAACCGCAAATTGACGCTCTCGCCAGTTCCGAGGCTCAGCCGGCGACAAGCCCCAGCGCTGGCAGTGGCAAGGACGCCTCGTGAGATCACATCTTTACGTTCGCACTTCAATGTGTTGATATATCGGCTTGATATTAGCCCGAGCGCGGTCCACCACTGCAGGAGGTGCGGTGAACATGTCAAGTCCGTTCAGTTCCACCAGAGGACGGTGCACCAGAAGCGATGTGTCGTCGTATTCCCCGACGGTACCAAGGAAACTCTCATAAGGCCTGCGGACGGCGAGCGGTTCACTTGTAGTAAATGCTCATACGGGCATAGAGATCCCCAATATCTCCAGGTGTGTGCCACTGGGCATTTGCTATGTGCACCGCTGACAAACCGCGGCTCAGATACATGCTCGACAAAAATGCAGTGGCCAGCCTCCTGAGGGCGGTCTCAAACCAGAGACACCTCGCCGTAAGCGCAGGAAGACCATGCCCAAGGAGGACCTTTAGAGACGACGGGAACCGACCAATCGGCAATAGTCAAACAAGGTAAGAAGCCTTCTGCCCTCCCGCATCCTGGTGAAGTCTAACGTTTCATTCTAGAGACGGCCTCGGACGCTTCATCTGCCCCTCGGGCTAAGGCTGATGGCAAGAGTCGACCTCGATTGGAGATGCCCAGCATCGAGACGATCGACCGGCCCCGCTCGACGTCTGCATCCCCGTCATTATCCGAGTTGCAGCTCGAGTTGACGGAAGACGTTGACCCGTCAACCCCGGGGTACAGCGCATCGGCCGTCTCTTCTGCTGCACGGTCGCGCCGTGTCGCAGACGTCTCGATGGACGTGGACTCGCCGGAGCCTTCCCCGTCTCATACGGCACCCTCGGTCTTGGCGTCGATTCAGACCCAGTCCCCTTCTCCGGATCCGATATTGGCCTTTAAGAAAGCCCCCATGACGGGAGGATCGAATTCTGCATCACCCATGGATGCTGAAGGGACATCTCGCTCAAGCTCATACGGTGGCCTGACGGTGGAGACGAACCACCCCTCCGCCGAGCGCCTGATATCCCAGCAGCCCACACCGACCACAAGCATCCCTCCGAGCCCCCTACTCCCACAGACCTCAGAGGACATCACAGGTCGTTTCGCGCTCGTCCCCGCCTTCCCCTCACAGTCGCGGGGCGCCACTGCGGCTCCTCCAGCCTTGCACCCCACGCCTGCGGTACCGCGCACCGCCGGTGACGCGTGCACCCTCTCAGCATCCTCCGCCTCCGCCTCTACCGCCTCCAGCTCGGCGCACCGGGCCCGGGACCAACGTCCTCCTGCCGCACGCCGTCGCACGCCGTCGACGCCTTCCTCCGCGGGCTATCCCGCACGACACCGCCCCCGCCGCACGTCGCGCGCGCGTTCTTCGAGCTCGGGTACGACACCGACGAGCTCCTCGATGCGCTCGCGTGGGGGAGCCCGGGCGAGGGCGACTGGGACCTGTTGGAGAAGGAGATCGTCGTCGAGAAGCGCTTCCACGCGTGGTGGATCTTGGTTAAAAATGGGTTGAAGGCGCGGGCGAACAGGTGAGCGTGGCTCGTGGCTCGGTGGCGGTTGCTCGTTGGTTGGGCATCCATTGGCAACGGACAAACGTTGGGCATCATGGACAGTCGTCGACACGAAGAGTACGCTAGTATACGATACTTAAATACATAATGCATGCGGTATAGCTTCGAATGTAATATTCTTTCAAACGCGTCGCCGAATCAGCTGAGGCACTACATGGCTACTTACCTCACAGCTGTCGTGGGCCACAAGCACTCTGAAATCCGAATGCACATAGCTGACATCGCGCCCATAAGATCTCGAACAACGCGAATATATCGATTGCTATGGTATAGTACTAGCTAAGGGCCGTTGACACAAATCATACTATATATGCTTATATGGGGTTTTTTAGAGACATAATGGAAGAAGGGTAGTCACGTCCGCCAAGAAAGTCGCCATAGAAGAGCCATCACTTATCGCCTTCGGTAGAACCAGGTTACGCCGTCGGCGAACTGTTCGCCCCGCGGTCGAAGACATGAAGAGCGGTGGGGTCGTGTCGTCCTGGACGTCAATCGCGTCAGGCGAGGTTGTCGGCGTCGTGCCAGCCGAGGAAGTGGAGGAAGAGGCGCCGAGCGGCGCCCCCACCGGGACCGGGGGCGCAATTGGCGTGTTGGGTGGGTTCACAGGCAGCGAAGGCGAGAGAGGGTTCGCACCGACGGGGAGCGAGCCAATCGGAGGAGACACTGGGAAACCGTTGGGAGGAGACACCGGGAGACCGCTGGGAGGAGACACCGGAAGACCACCAGGAGGAGACACCGGGAGACCACCAGGAGGAGACACCGGAAGGCCGCTGGGAGGAGAAACTGGGAGGCCGCTGGGAGGAGACACCGGGAGGCCGCTGGGGGCAGCGAACTCAGCAGGACCAGGAGGACTGTTCAGAGGCACGTCGGAGGGCGCCGAGAATTCCGCGAAGGTAGAGACGGGCGACCAGGTCGAAGTGGCACTAGATGAATCCGGCGACGAAGAGCAGTCCGCCGAGGCCATGTTTCCGCCACAGTTGTCGTCGCGCTTGCGGACTGGCACGTTCGCAGTGATATTCCCGGCTGCGCCTGTAGGAAGCGGAGGCACTGGGAGAGACGAAGCGATGCCCGTAATGTTGGAGGGCCCCGCGCTGATGATCGCCTGCGCGACGGCCTGCTGAACTTGGCTGACCTGGCCCGGGCTCAGAGCGAGGAGAGAGCTGGGACCGCCGCTGCCGCCGTCACCGAGACCAAGCGCGTTGAAGATGGGCTCAAGCGCGGGGAGGAGCGGGGCGAGGGCGGGTCCAAGAATGGGAACTCCCCCTAGCACGGCCCCGAGGTCGAGTCGCTTCTCGAGGGCCCTGTGCTCCTCGTGATCTGGCTGACGCTGACGCTGTCCCTGCTCTGAGAGTGCTGCAATAAGTCCTGTCTTTCCGACATCAAAACAATTAGACGCACCCACGCCCAAATCAACATTGCCGTTCCCCACGTGAACGCCTATGGAGTCCTCCCTCGAAGAGTGGATGCCATGAATGCTGGAGGATGTAGATAGCCCATTGACGTCGTGGTCCGTAGGAGCCGCCAAACTAGATGACGAGGACGAGAGCGCAAGGGTCGCGATGAGCAGAGACGAGCTCGGAGTGAGCCTCATGGCAGGGTAGACTGTGGGGGTCGGATGTACGAAAGCAAGAGGATAGCACACCAGTGACAGAGCGAACTCGAGGGGAGTTCGTGGTGGTCAGAGGGAGAGAGCTGGGGAGGCTGAGCGAGAATTCCCGCTGCGTTATATAGAGGACGACGGACGAATCTCGATGGAGGCTGACAGTGGCCTGGCATGGAAGCACTGTCAACCTCAGCAGTTCGAATCCAAACCTTGGTCAGCCTTGCTGTGAGCCAGAGGTCCATCTGCGAAAGACCTCGGAAGAACGCGGAGCTGAGGTATATGTGCTCAGGACGTTGAGAGACCAGATCCGATGGCGGTAGCTCACAGTCAGGACCCAACGGCCGTGAACTTGTGATGGCAGCCACCAGGAGAGGCCCGGGAGCAGAGTGACGTGACAGGACGCGTCGAGATGTGACCGACGCGTAGGCGCGCGCTGCTCGCACCTCCGACTCCCTCCGAGCCTTCTGCCTGAGTGGCCGTTCGAACCTTCTGCAGACCATTATGCCAGACTTCACTTGACATTCGTTGATCATTCTTACGGGCTCAGAATCCGCTCACCGGTCTCTCAGTCGAAGTGCAATTGAACTAACCGGGCCCACTGCTAGCGGTCGATTTCAAGTGATTAGCTTCATGAGTGCGAGTGGTACTCGTACAGGTGATGCGGTTGGCATTGTACTTCTGTCTATCTTGGGCTGTGCTAACCAGTAGGAGGATAATGGGAGCACGATTCAAGGTTGTCCTTTTGAGAGTCGGGAGCGAAGGGAAGGGGAAGGATAACACGAAGAAACCGAATGTATCACGATGTTCTTCCGTGAGCATGGCATCACAAGCTCTTTCCAACAGGGACCGATACTTACTGACGTTTTAATCCCAGTCTGCTGCACGTCTGACGTACACTAGGCTAGTCGGGCCTATCAGGCTCAGCGGCGCCAGCGAGTCTGCTCAGTCAACCCAAGTATACTACAGCTGCACGAGAGAATGTCCCGCGAGCCTAGAAGTTCTGAGCTTCTCCGCTTAAGTGCACGGCTTGTCCGAGTCTTGTTCTCAGGATGTCTGGCGCAGCTAGTCGACACCGGGCTAGCTGCAGTGTCTTTTTGTACGTTTCTGCAATTTAGCTGTCGAATAACTTACTTGTGTAGGAAAGACGTGACACTATATGCTTGTCCAGCGTCTCGTATAACAACATCGTTCACGCTGACCCTGCGATTCGTCGCGCTCTAACACCAAGACTCAGGCAAGGATATATCCAACGGTTGCATGTGGCCGTAATTTTCGCGATATTGCGGGATGTGCAACATCACGATGCGCAGCCAAAATTCAATAACATGTAAGTGGGCATGATCGTTACAGTCTACTCCGACGCAAATGCTGACGAGGTCAAGAGGCAGATTCGGACAGGCGAGTTCAACATCAACTATCTTATGCGCGCCGTGCCGCGATTGTCTAAGTGCAGAGTCCGATACGCAGTTACTCGCGCTCCGTTGACGGCCCCGAGTCGCTAAAGCCGCCCAAATGAGTCAGGAGTATCACCTTGACACTGGCGAGGCCCTTCAATGTGGGACAACTGAATGTCCGTCGTTTGAACGCCAGGGACCCTGACGGCAGCCGTCGGTTGACACCAGTGAGAGTGTTAAGATGCTGGTTACCCGCCGACTCAGAGGTGTCAGGAGGGTGTAGTATCTACTGCGGCAGGATCCTCGTAAGTCTTGGTGTATCTATAGCTTACCTGCGAAGACGTCCAAAATACGAACGCACGGGTACACTTTTGGTTCGCGCCATGAATATATATGGGACGGCTACTCAAAACGATGAGCTACACTCGGAAGGGACAACCTGCGAGATCGGACGGGCCTCTGTGAAACTCGCCAAAGTGCGTCGCGAGATTACGTATGTTTATCATCCATCACCTTTCTAGCCGTCACAAGAGGTTTTCAATTCAGTGCGAGCCCTCCGTCCGAGCAGCGTTGCTTTCACCGGACCACCGAACATAGAACAGCGAGACAACAGGGAACAGCGCGGAGCAGGATGAAGCGGGCTGGCGAGCTATAAAAGACGACATGCGCAACGCTCATTCCCCAGCTCCCTTCAACTCTTCTACTTCTGAGCTCATCGACAGTAACGGTGCCGGTCGGTGAGTGTTTCTTAATTCCCTTCCTAACCCTCGAATGCAGCTGAACTTGGCTACTCAACAGCCTTACTTGATTACGGAGAAACGATCCTCACGCTAGTCTCCCCACACTCTCACTTTTCTTCGCCGCGCCCTATCTGCACTTACGCACCCCTATCCCTACGCACCCCAACGAATCAAACACCATGCGCACCAGTGCCCTCCTCGCTTTCGTTCTCGCTGCTGTCTCTGCGGCGCCGGCTTCAGCCCTGCCCATCGACATGTAAGTCAAGCAATTATTCTGACCAATGCCGGCTTCGCTCAAGCTCGATATTTTGCTCCCACTCCTACTCAACAGTGCCGACATCATCGCGCGGGAAGCAAGCCTGTACTCCCGTGTGCCGACGCGTGCATTGGCCGCTCGAGGTCCCGTCAGGACGCCAGTGAAGGGCGGCGGCGGCGGCGACAAGCCCAAACCCAAGCGCGAGGATTACGACTTCGAGCTTTTCGAGCGCGATGCTACGCCTGTTCTCGCCGCTCGAAGTCCCGTCAAGACGCCAGTGAAGGGTGGCGAGCCAAAGCCAAAGCCCAAACCCAAGCGCGAGGATTACGATTTTGCGCTCTTCGAGCGCGATGCCACACATGTTCTCGCCGCTCGAGGTCCCGTCAAGACGCCGGTGAAGGGCGGTGATCCCAAGCCCAAGCCCAAGCCCAAGCGCAGCGACGAGTCGCAGTTCAACGTCTTTGAGGAACGGAGTTGGGAGTGGTTGGATGACCTGGAGTGAGTGGGCTGGTAGCTGTTGGGTCTGGATGTGTATGTCTGTCACCGCGTAGTGCGGCCTGGAATTCATGATTGAGACAGTCGTTTGCGCATTCTGACATTTGTGACCACACCATGAATTAGATAGGACGTTTGAGATGCTTATATTGTGGGATTTGCTATCGTGTCTTGATTGGACATAGGCGACGTAGAACCTGAACCACGTAAGACCACACTTGCCATAATGGGTCGAGGCGCGATCGCGATGCGGCGCGCTCCTCCGCGAAATGGGAGGCTTGCAGCTATTGTAACTCTAAGAGCCACTACTAGTCATCACTACTGCTTGTTGATATTGACCAGTGGTACTGTGAAACCAGGCGAGCTGCGTTCCCTGCAGGCCTAGGGCTCTTGTGACGGAGCAGGAAGTCTGCATCTCTCTGGTCAGCGAGGCGCGACCATACTTAACACTCAGAGTGGTGCCATGAGACTCCTGCCTGCGCTTCCTCTGCCTCGACTCTATAACACGACGCCTTGCAATTGCAGGTCATAAACTGTTACTCTACCGAAGAAATCCGAACTCTCCTCAAACACTAGCTTGAGGCCTAGGATGCCTGCCGACACCACGTCCAATGTCTCCAGTTCGAACGTCTGTTTCCGATTCACATCCTCGGGGAAGACATGGGTGAAGGGCTGCCACTGACTCTGCCGAGCTGTGCTCTGTGTTTGCACCTCTAGCGCGCATTTTGTGCCCACGAAGCCTCCTTGGAACGTTATGGAAAGATGCTTGGGTACCGCCGGGCAGGGGAACTGTAGCTGGATGTATTGCGGAGTGCCCTGGTGAGCCGTCAGCGCGACGTCTGTCTGTCTAACTCGATTTTCTGCGTACTTGCTGAGATGTCCAGCATGTACCCGGGTCGCCATCCGTGAGGTGCTTCTTGCCGACTGACTTGTCGAGGGTCGTGCTCACTCTGCGGACCTCGTCAGACTCCACGAGAACTCGGGAAGTTGTTGGCCGCTCACTTGATCTTCGTCTCTGAATTAATTAATGACCGCTCTAGCGCCATGCTCTGTCTCTCGGGCTGCATATGCTCAGGCCTCCTCAGGCCACTGAGCGGTGCATGCGAGACGGATCGAGCATCCACAGGAATCGATTCCGCTGGATTTGTGCAGCCGTCACGTGGCGATGCGCTCATACATCGCTCTCAATCTCCTCCGTTGGCCTGCCTTCGTTCCTTCCCTCCAGTACCCAGCCTCCCCTCTCGCCATGGCCGCGAGATCCTTCTCTGTCCCCGAATGGCTCGAATACGCACGCCAATCTCCCCACTTCGTGTCAGTCATCCGCGCGTTGTCAGAGCGCGAGCGCGCCCGCACAGTCGCACGGAATGCATCCCGCCAACGGTCCAACTCCAAGTCACAGCGCAATCCATACACACCCACACACATACTCTCCTCCTTCCTCCACAAAACCGACCACGTCGAGCACTACTCTGTGTCCGTGGGCTCGAGTCGCGACCTCCAGCAGTGCAACCGCTACCTCGACATCACGCCGTACGACCGCACGCGCGTCGTCCTCTCGAGCCGGGGCCTCGAGCGGGGCAGCGTGCCCGACGGGCGATACCTCAACGCGAACTGGGTGCGCGAGCTCGCAGGCGGCAAGTGGTGGATCGCGAGCCAGGCGCCGCTCCCGAACACCGCGCATGCATTCCTCAGCACCATGCTCAGCCCGATCGTCCATCCCTCCGCGTCGCGCGCGCCGAACGCGAAGACGAGCCGCATACGCACGGTAGTACAGCTGACGCAGAACATCGAGAGCGGCATGCGCAAGGCACACGTCTACTTCCCCGATGCGCAGGGCGAGGCATGGGACATCCCGCCTGAGGACGGGCACTCGGCGCCCCCGCTGAAGGTCACTCTCCGCCAGTCGTCATATATCGAGGACGCGAACTGTGTCCTGAGCCGTGTGTCCGTCGAGCCGCTCGGCGGACAGGCCATCGTGTTCCAGCATCTCCTATATGCGTCCTGGCCGGACCACGGCGTACCCACCGACGAAGCTCGCGCGAGCTTCCTCCGCTTCACTCGCTTCGTGGACGAGGCGAACCGCGACCTCTCCTCGCATCTCTTCTACCGTCACCACCAAACAGAGACGAGCTCGACCCCGACCCGCCGATCATCGTCAACTGCTCTGCGGGTGTCGGCCGGACGGGTTCCTTCATCGCCCTATCATCACTTCTGCGGAAGTACGGTCTCCTCCCGCCTCCCGCATCACCATTATCTACGGAGGACAGTGGGTGGAAGGTGACGCCATCACCGCTCGGTCCGCTGCCTGAGGAGCTCCGAGACGACCTCGTGGCGCAGGAGGTCGACATGCTCAGGGAACAGCGCCCGGGGATGGTCCAGCGGGAGGCCCAAATTGCATTCATATATGAGATGCTGATTGCTGCGTTCGAAGAGCGACGAGCTACCTAGCCGTCTGGCTGGGCCAATCTTCGGGTATTCTAGAGACGTGGTGAACTGGACAATGCTACATCTAATAATGGAGGGATGGACTGTAGTTTTGCGGAGCCAATGTACGCTTGTGATGCGCATGCATAATAATGACGGGGTCGATACAGAACATGGTGGATCGCGGCATTTTCAATACTTGGCAATATCATGGACAGCATACGCCATCTGGCCTCAACGCTCAAGTCCATCGCGGGTCGACATCCTGAACAAAGCGATGATCAATTCAGCAAGGAAGCAATGCCAAGGTAATAATACACCAAGCAAAGAATGCGAGTCCCAAGCATCGTAACGAGATCTAGTACATCCAGATAGACTGTAAAGCAAACGACAGTAGCTCACTAAATGATGTCCTTGTGCAATGGAAGCTCAAATCCTTTCCATCTGCGTTTTGTGACCCGAGCGGGACCCAGCGCCGCCTATTGGGGTCGACCTCGCCAGCCAGATGCTCTTTCGCGTCGTCCAAACCAAATGCGCGCTCCCAACCTAGACCGATGGCGGCGAGTTCGCATGCATTCGAACTGAGAACGAGAGGAGACGCGAAAAGAAGTCATCAGTCAGACGGCACACCACGGAGTGTAAGTTGCGTACCCAGCAGCGCATACCGTCCCCCAGGTACGACATACCCCTCCTCCGCCCACAGCCCGCTCATCAGCGCCAGATCCACGATCATGCCCCGCGTGAGCCTGACGCGCTCGCCCGTGGGCACCTCCATGAAGTGCACGGGGTCGTACGCGTGCTCGGCGCGAGCGCGCGCAGCTCCGCGTTCGTGCTCAGGTCGAGCGCGAACTTCGCGGCGGACGGCGGGAACGCGGCGACGTAGCTGCGGAGCGTCTCGGGGCGTCCGTCGCCGCGTACGACATCGGCGCGGCGGGGAATGCCCGGCGTCGGTGCGGGCGCGGCGTCGAGGGAGATGGGGTGGTTCGGGTAGAGCCGTGTCCAGGTGTCGTGCACGGCTTGGACGTACTCCTTTAGGGAGGGGTGGTTGTGTTGGGCGAGGGTGATGTCGTGGACGAGCTGCACCCGATGTAGGCTGGTACCGCTGTGGCTTCGTGCGGCAGCGACAGGATGGATGCGATTTCTGAGCGTGCGTGCGGATGAATACGTTATGTGGCTGGCAGGCCGGATGATGTTGCTAATGACGGGAGGCGTGGTCGTATATAGGCCGTCTCCGGTTCAACCCTCGAGCGGAACTGGACGACGTCAATGCTTAGTTAACGACGAGGGAGTAGGGTACCTACCTATCTTCGTACGTCTCGCTAAATTGGGCATTGAGGTGGTACTTTGCCGTATGGGAGTTCACAACCTAATGTGATTTGTAAGGTGCGTTGGCGGGAGACAGTCGTCTGTGAGACTAACCCAATGCCTGACTGGGCGGTCATCATATGAAGAATGACAGAAATACGGTTGCTCACCTTGCGCTTCGAGGACACGCCACGAGCTCTGAAGAGGACCCCATTAGCCAGCTTCAGCAATCTAGTTCCTATGTCATCCAACCTTCTGGCGGTGGTCTCTGACATCCGGGCTGCGGACCTGGGTAGAGATTGCTGATGTCCTCGAATAGTCTACCCACCTGATGGCATGTCGACGTCAGGTGTATAGGAATACCTATCGAAACCTCCTATCGTACCGTCCACGATTCCAGTACGTGTCGTCAATGAAGAGCGTACTGTTTCGCTGGCTGGACATCAACTACGCTGCCGTAGCTTTGACCACAGAACTCACCTCGCGCGCCAACGCTGCAATTTGTGCCAGGAGTGCTAGGTCGGTTGCAAGTCCGGCGTGCCCGTCTAGCTGGTATGTCACTGTACTCGAGCAAATCGGAGAGTGGCCATGCATCCAGAGACGTCTGTCGTGGTGTACGACGTCCAGAGGCCCGCTCAAGGGAACGTCCCAATAGGCCGGGCCCTCCTTGAACCAGGAGATCTTCTCACATTCGTGCGCGTATTGAGCACCTGTGAGAGGGAATATGTAGTAATGGCGGTAGTTGATAACAAGCCCCAGCCCATTATCCTCCATGTCCCGTTGGAACGCCATGAAAAAGAGGGCGAAGATGCCAAAAACAAAGAAAGCCCCGGACAAGTATATGAGTCGCTCCGCAATCATGAGGGAAGACGGACACATTCGAAGTTTCGGACCGACGACTTCATGGTCATCGCCCCGACTTCTGTATCCCGGCGGGAATGAGGTGCTAGCTGGGCCGGGCGACACAGAGGGTGGTGGTGGTTGCCCTGCGGTCAAGAAGGGGTCCTCCTCCTCTTCGTCACCCTCTGAGAGGTCGTCCAGCTCGATTTCGGTGAATCCTTCCTCGGCGCGGCCATGGCGGGAATGCGGTGTCCTTGGTGTGAGGGCCTGCACCGGGGTGTTGAGGCGATCCGACCGCGAGGAGACGAATATGTTGGCGAGGGGACGGTTAGGCTGGGGCATCCTGGCGTGCTTGCTACATGTACAGCGCCGTGCGAGAGTCAAGGGAAGGTGGTAGCGAACATGATTGTGGCGAAGTCGTAGCACGGTCGTCTAAGCGCCACATGGCTACTTGGAACTGATTGATCGAAGCGTTTACGTATATTGAATCCGATTAGATTAGTAGTAGCCCGGTAGTAATACGCAGTAACTACCTTGACTACCACAGCTCGATGTGTACGTGCATCCAGCCTGTACTGGAGCCCAGGTCCTTTCCTGGCGGTCACACTACGATCCCAACCACATAACAGTGTGTTTATAACACATTTCACGCCCGAATGGGGCCCCGCGAGCTGCGGCACCCTGTTCAGTGATATGAACCTGGAAGCATTGCTCCAGGCCGCGCACTTGCTGCGCTCTCAATACAAGTCAATCCGTTGGGAACCAAATGGAAGTATGGGTTCCCTTGGGATTATTGACAAATCCGTGGACCTTCCATACTTAAGGCGTCAGAGTTCTGTCGACCGGCCGTCTCAACTAACCGCCGTCGTGTCCGTCTCGTCCAGAGCCTCTGAGCAGCTGCAACTGGAGTCATGAATATACAAAGTGTGGTGTATACGTTGCTCTGTGTAACCTGGGCAGTATTATTCATACGGTGGAAGTCTCATCCGGTGAGTAAACTGCACTGCTGTCCGCCTAATGCACTGTGCTCATGCGCGAATCCTATTTAGCTCAGCATATCCCTGCCGTGGGGCCATCTCTCCCAGTACTCTCGTACATCGGTGCCTTCAGATTATTTCACATGCTCGGAGATCCTTCAGGAGGATACGACAAGGTCTGCTCGTCACGTCCTGGTTGGTGCATTATCGTGTCTGACCTGGCGCGATCGAAGTACAAAGTGTTCAAGTTGCGATGATCGACCGCTGGATTGTGGTGTCAGTGGAACCAGTTGAACGACGAGTTGCGCAAATTTCGGATGACCTAATGTCCTTTGACGGCGCGTTGGAAGATGTCCGTTATTTCGTTCTATTTGAACGGCGACCCGTTTTACCTCACTACCTGCTACAGTACCTTCACCTGCAGTGGATAGTCCAGCCGGAGTTCAGACACCATCCGCTCCATCTAATAGCAGTCAAGCATCACTCACGCGCAATCTTGCTCGATATCCCCGCTGTGGTCAATGAAGTCCAGTTGCCTGGAGGAGCTAATACCTGCAAGTTCGGACTAGGTATCACCATTAGTCCTGCTTCAATGCATTCGGCTAATCCCACAGAATGGCTCCCCATCGCCGGGTCGAGACCGCATGAAATCGTGGCGAGAGCGGGAATCGCATATTCGTTGGAGAGTCATTGTGTAAGAGCACAATTTGGTCCCGAAGCTGCTATGTATGGAGGTCGTAACAAAGACTTCTTGGACTGTGGTGATTTTGCCAACGACGTCAACAAAGGAGCCGCGGTGCTCGCCTTCGTTCCGGCAATATTGAAGCCGTCAGTCTGGCTACTCACCCCCGCCTTATCGTATCTGAATGACGAACAGGTTCGTCGGACCGTTCTCCTGGCCGCGGTGGGTGAGGCGCCGCATATTGCCGATTGTGAAGCCCATACTGGACGAGCGGCAGAAGCAGCTGGATCAATACGGTAGGAATGGGCCGACAAGCCAGTAAGTGGCAATATCGGACTGTTATGTCGACCTGCAATGACTACATCCCACAGGATGACTTCCTGATGTGACCATGGAGGAGCGAGACGTCAAGGGCTGGCCACGCAGAAGATATCCTGATGCAGTCACTTCTCGGCATCAATTTTGCTTCCCTCCATACATCGACCATCGTATGTACGGTATCTACCTCCAGGATATTGCTGACATGTAATATGCCAGGTCTCCTCATGCGCTGTTTCACTTGGCTGCAAGCCCTGAGCATGCCCAGCATCTCCGTGAAGAGGCCGATGTGTTCTGAAGGAAGACGGCTGGTCGAAAGCCGTGCTGGAACACATGATCAAGCTCGCAGCTTTCTCAAGGAATCGCAGCAGCTCAACGGTATCAGCGGGAGTAAGTGGACTCGCTCGTGACGGAGCCTCCGCTGATGCGCCATCATACGAGTCACCATATTCCGCCGTGCGATGAAAGACGTCACGCTTTCCGATGGCACGTACGTCCCGGAGGGCACTATATTGGCTGCCGTCGCGACAGCCACGCATCGCGATGAGGCGAACTACGAGAACCCCAACGTATTCGACCCATTCCGCTTCTCTAGGCTGCGGGAGGAAGAGAGCGAGAGAACGAAGCATCACTATGTCACGACCTCCGCCAAGGACATAGGCTTCGGTCACGGTAAACACGTGTGGTGTGTATGCCCTTGTGCGCGGGCTTAGTTTGAATGTGGCTGAGTTTAGGTGCGGCTGCAGCCCTGGACGGTTCTTCGCCGCCAACGAGCTGAAGATTACGATGGCAAATATTGTGTTGAACTACGATGTGAAGTTTCAGGACGAGGGCCGAAGGCCGGAGAACGAGTGGATTAGCTTTACTGTCATGCCTTCTCATAGTGCCCATGTCATGTTCGGGCAGCGGTCTGACTCCCCTTGCCGTAGCACTGGACGCTCTCGCAGCGAAATATTATCCGATCATTCTAGTACTACTACTGCATCACGGACGAGTCACTCACTGTATTTTACCCACAAACCGATCTCCGTATGTTTCCCAGAGAGCATGACAGCTGGCTCCTGCCTCCCTTCTGGTTCCACATCACACCGTTCACCCTCGGTATAGACCTGCTCATAAGCACGCAGCGCATTCAGAAAAGGTGTCGGACTCAGTGTGGTCGATTAGGCGCCCGCTGCTCGCGGTCACGTCAGTTCGGACGGGTGCATCCTCTAGTCTCTCTTGCAGTCATCTCAACCATCGTGCCATCCTACTAGATTTTCATTCGTCTGTCTGTTGCCTTGAAAGAGAACATTGAGTGGCTACAGAGGCCTCGAGGAGCTCCCCGGAAGACAGTGGAAGCAGTTTGTACGCGACGACACCTACAGGCTACGCATATGCGAAGAGAACATTCGCTCTTAGAGGAGTCAGTCTCTCTGCTGATTTTCTAAATATACCACTCATACCCACTACCTATGCTCATAGTGTCTGCAGCGGTGCCTCTCGCGCGTTTCAAAAGCTGTTACCTCCGTCCGAGGGTCGTGAACTTGAACCTCTCTCTGCCAGATCATTGCCCCTCGCGATCCTCAGTCCAGCAATACCTTTCCTCCTCCTCGCATACCTTGCCAGAAGGGAAGACACACATCTTCTCCGATTACTCCTGCTGCCAATCGCTGTGGCGAGCGCGCTGTACTCTACCTTTCATTACAAGCTCGAAGATGCCCATTACCGGAGTTTCGAATTCCTACGTTGTGGGTCTGCACTTTCTCTCTTAATAATGGACGTGCTGAAAGGTCACAGTCTTGGTTGGCTACTATATCATAGGAAAGTCCCTCAACTTTGCACTCGTACGAGATGGCAGGTTCAAGGCGGGAGAGAAGAGGCTCAAACATGTCAATGAGGCGGATTCTACACGCTCACCCAATCCTGGTGTCCTTCCGTCGTGCTTGAGGGACGCACTCGAGCTCGCATGCACACTACGGGGCGTCGGCTGGGACTTCGGTCGTGACGTCTACATACCTCCACGAACAAGATCTACACAGCGCGGGTGTTTCCTCGCAGGCGCGACTATCGCCATTCTCAAGAACTTCCTAATCGTGGATCTATGCGAGTCCCTTATCAAACTCGTGCCTGGGGTGGGCTCCCTGGAAGGCGGTTCACTGTTCTTACCACACCTGCCTCTGCATCTGCGTTATTGCCTCTCGATGGCCGTCCATGTCCTGGGCGGCATGATGATTATCTTTGGTCTCGAGGCAGGGAACGACTTCGTCTCGCTGCTAGCCGTTGGCCTCTTCCGCGCCTCTCCGGAATCTTGGTTTCCACTTTACGACAGTCCTTGGAGGTCCACGTCGCTGCACCAGTTCTGGGGCAAAGGCTGGCATCAACTCCTTCGGCACATGTTCCTCTCCTTCGGTGGCTATCCTGGTGGTTGGCTCGCTGGCCAGGCTGGGATGGTTCTCGGAACGTTTCTCGCATCCGGGCTCTACCACGAACTTGCGTTTCAGCTGTCGGACCATCGTGTGGTGCTCTTCTTCGTGCTTCAAGGAGTCGCCATCTTACTGGAGAACGCGTACAAACGCTACACCGGGAGAAGAGTTGGAGGTATTGCGGGTTGGTGCTGGACGGCGATCTGGGTGGTCGTGTTGGGCCAGATGTGCAGTATGTAACACATTTCAGCGAGTGCTAACATGATGTTGACTAGGGCCCGTTCGCAGCGGATGCTTGGGCTATAGGTGGTCTGCCTGGGGCTATCCTCGTTCCGAGAAAGCTCAGCATCGTCAGAAGCCTGCTCTTTCCTGGCATACGTCGCCTGGCACAGTGCATGGTTTCTCGGTGACAAAGTTGCGCCCAAGTAAGCGGGGCCAGAAAACGGGCGATGTTGCCTCAACCTACAGGTATCGCTACGTTTCGCAGCGTATTGTGGCCATTTGTGATGGGAATCCTGCAGCTACATACAGTCAAGCTACCTAGTACTGCCCCCGAGTAGTCATGGATGATATCATCGCAGAACATGCATGACTGACGCTCTCGGCATCGGACCGGCCATGTACATGTGTCTGGGGCGCAACCTTTGTCTCGACGCAGCACGCTTGTCGGTCTTCTAAACGCGTTCTAGCGCTGCGGGCCCGGGCTGTGCGGCTCATATAACTTGAGGCCAACCCTTGGGTCACCCTTGTCAGACACCGTCCCGAAGGTTGACGTTCCTCGAAGCTTCCGACCAAGATCGATCTCACTCAGCACTGCACCGCGCTCTATTACATGTCCGACAGGTAGGTCTTGCTTGTTCGTCGTGTGCGCGTGTCGTTCATGTAGCCCTGTAGCGACATTCTGCACTATGGCTCATCGTGGAATCCTTACCACGCCATACCACCGCCTGAAGAGCGGACACCCATAACATGGACGACGATCCCGCAAGTCCTCATGTACTGGGCACCCTTCTATCTAATGGCTTTCCTGGTGCGGAGAGCGGACACACACCTGCTGCGCCTTCTCCTACTCCCCATCGCTGTCTCGACCGCAGCGTATTGTACGTACTGGTTCAAGGTGGAGGATCCTCGCTTTTCCACAATTGACTGGGGTAGGAGTGAGTCTTGGAGTTGAGCTCGTGGGTCCATCTGACTAACTATATGACCCAGCTTTCATGGCACTCGTAGTCGTGGCGAAGAACATCGACTTTGCGTTCGCGAGGAACGGGAGGTTCAAGATCGGGGAGAAGGAGTTGCCTCCGATAGGCGGCACGGTCAAGCCGCAGACGGGAAGCAGGGAAGGTAACGGCCACGCCCATCCGCCAAATAATCAGGTCGCATCTTGCCGCAGTGGTTCAGAGATGCCTCAGACATCATCTTCACCATGAGGGGCATCGGCTGGGACTTCGGCAAGGGTGTCTACGTCCCGAAAGAGTCGCGTTCGCTGGAGCGTGGACCGTTCTTGCGAGCCACCGTGCTTTCGCTGCTGTGGAACTACATCGTCATTGATGTTCTCGACTCGCTGTTCAAGTTCATACCTCGCGCCGGACGTACACCGGCGGATCGATATTCCTCCAGAACTGTCCCAGTGCCTCGATACCGTGGCCAGCGCGATACACCTCGCGAGCGGATTCATCATCCAATACGGCATGGACGTCTGCAACGATATCGCACCCTATTCGCTGTAGGACTCCTCGGCCAGTCTCCTGAGCGGTGGCCACCCGTGCAGGACAGGCGTGGAAAGCCACCTCGCTGCACGAGTACTGGGGCAACGTTGGCACCAACGCTGAGACAGATGTTCCATGTCTATGGAGGGTACGTCGGTGGATTGCTTGCGGGGCCAATGGGATGGTGCTTGGCTCGTTCTTCGCTCGGGGATGTACCACAAATCGGGATGCACTTGTCGATCATCGCACAACGTTGTTCTTCCTACTCCAGGGGTTGGCATCATACTCGAAGGGCTCTGGAAGAAGGCGACTGGGAAGCCTGTAGGCGGCGTCGCGGGCTGGTTCTGGACGGCGTTCTTTGTCTTGGTTATTGGTCAAATGAGCAGTACGTCGCTCTTCTATCGGGATCCTCCGCTGCTGACGATCTGCTGTATAGCGGACGCATGGGCAACTCAAGGCCTCATTGGCGGATTCATCGTACCTCCACCGCTCAGCGTGACGAGACGCGTCTTGTTCCCCGCTGTACGGTCGTTACTCCGCCTCTGGAGATCATCGTGAGGATACGGCACATCGGTTTGACTTACAACTATGTTGCATGTCTGAATTGCTATATATCCGGCGTAGTACATACCCTAGATGTAATGTTCATATAATTCGTAAGTATCAATATACTCAATCTGAAGTCGAAGATTGTGTTCTGCAGCGAATTCAGCCTCGGCGTGGGCGCTTAATATCTGGGCGTCCAATTGAGTCCTCCACGTCGTGACCTTAACGCGTCTGTGGTATACGCTCTCGTCTCATCCTCCTAGCACATCGTCGCGGCAGCTTTGACACGGTGTACATATACAGAGGCTGGGCGGAGAATAATTGACTGTCACAATGGTATGTAACACCTCCGAAATACTTCCATACAACCGCGCTGGACAGCACCCCACCTAGGTTGTACTCGCAGCATCAATATGCACGAAGGGCGGGAAAGGTACGTTACTGCTCGAGTCGTCCATTTGACGAGTGACCAACGGAGCCCATATAAGCTGTCGTTTCCCGCCAGTTCCGTGACATGACAAAAGGCCGGATCGAGTCTCTCCTCGCATCCTTCCCCAAGCTCATCCCTACCGGGACACAACACACGTCCGTCGAACCACCGACGTGCGCTACGTCTACCAACCTCTGGAGGACCTCTAATCCTCCTCATTACAACAAAGCGTCGAACATCCTCCAGGACATCGAAACATTGCACCTCTTCGCCCGCGTCGTCTCCGACCTCTGCAGAAGCGCGGAGCAGCGCGAGATCTCGAAGCATGCATTCGAGCTGCTCGGGGCGTTTGACGAGATCGTCAGCTTGGGCTATCGGGAGCAGGTCAACCTCGCGCAGATCAGGAACGTGCTGGAGATGGAGAGTCACGAGGAAAAGATCCAGGAGATCATTGCGAGGGTGCGTTCCGTTTGGTCCAGCTTTCTATGACTGACATGGAGATCTGTAGAACAAAGAAGCAGAGGCGAAGGAGGAGCTCAAGCGGCGGGCGAAGCAGCTCGAGATGCAGCGACGCGAGCAACAACGGCGCACGGCTGCTGGTGGGCCTTCGGAGGCAGCTACCTGGCGGCGGTGTGTCAGGCTACGCCCCGTTCCCCAACGGTACGATACCCCGGTGCCCCCATTGCCCGCACGCGTCCCTGCGGCTTCAAGTGTCCGCGCGCCCGCCTTCAAGGGCAGCGGTATGAAGCTCGGGGCAAGAAGTCAAGGCAGGCAGAGCTACTGACGCGCTGGGGGGACGCGTTGCTCTCCGAGGATATGTCACCCCTGGTACGCCTGCGGTGTCGAACACCCCTGAGCCTGTCGCGCCACCAGCACCAAGAACGACCGCGGCAGCTTGCCCCCTGTCATGCTGAGAGGTACGGTCTGATTCTCCGAAACTAGCGATTATACTAATGAGCTACAGTGTGCACGTCGTCATTCGAGAGACGATCACCGCGGAAATGGTCCGTGACGGCGGTCTCAACAACCTCGAGCTCAAGGGCGACATGAACCTGCAAATCTCCGACCCCGACCTCTCGAAGCTCCGGATCGCGCTCGCACCCGCTGCAGTGAACTTCGGCCCCGAACTGCAATTCAAGCAGCACCCGAAGGTGGACAAGTTCGCGGCGAACAGGGACCGCGTCGTTGCGTTGAAGGACCCGACGAAGGGTTTCCCTGTCGGCCAGCCGCTTGCGGTGCTGAAGTGGAGATATGCTGGGAAGGATGAGACTTACGTCCCGCTGTCCAGTATGTCTGCCCATTCGAGAATTTGGTTGTTCGGTGGCTTACTCGCACCTCTGAACAGTTAACTGCTGGCCAACGCCGTCAAATGATGGTACATGTGAGGTGAACATCGAATACGAACTGGAGAATGAGGGTGTTACGCTGCACGATGTCGTGATCTCTATTCCCCTGCCGTATGTCCATCTCGCCTCGTTGCTTTCGCGTTGTTGACATGTTCTGCGTCGCAGTGACGGTTCTTACCCGACTGTGTCTTCACATACTGGAGAGTGGGCTCTCAACCCTTCCGTGCACGCACTCGACTGGAACATCCCGGTCATCAACGCTGACGACCGTTCCGGCTCCATGGAGTTCTCCGTCGGCGGCGACGACCCGGGTGCGTTCTTCCCTGTGAAAGTGGCGTTCATTGGCGAGGGCAGCATCGCGGGCGTGCACCTCGCGTCCGTCACGAAGGTGGGGTCTGAGGAGGACGTCGTTTACTCGGAAGATGCGACTCTCCAGATCGAGAACTACACTGTTGTTTAGGGTTTACTTGGACAATTATTTATGAAACAGTCTGATGCCAGACATGGATAACAACGATGTAGATGCAATGTGTCTAAGAGGGTAGGCGGCGAAGTCATCAGAGAACGTCCAAGCAAAAGTCTGGTGCAAATCTAGCAAGCGTATGTAACGAAGTGCTGTAAACTGGTCAAGGGATAATCCTAGCTATTCCCACCCGCAGCTCCGTGAGCGGCTCCGGGTTCGGTACGGTGCTCCTCCGCCCCGCATTCGACGCGTGCCGGGGAGGCTGACGAGCCGGAGATGGCGCTCTGTCGAAGTACCCGCTCGCCCGCGGCCTCGCCGACAAGCTCCCCGACCCGCTCACGCTCCTTGTCGTATTCATTGCCGACCCTCCTGGCGAAGGCGTGAGCGACATCGACGGTAGTCCTGGACTCCTGCTCCAGCACGGGGAGGGCCATTGCCGCTTGCACGCCCAGTCTACCCTTTATTGGGCGGCACTTGGGCATCTCTGTACCTCTGGGCTCGAGCAGGAGCTGAAGGGCGAGCAGACACATCATGGCATCGTTCCCGGCGTTGTGCATGGTGCACCGGAGATCGACGCCGAGAGACCTGATCAGGTTCGTGAGGGAGAGTGTGGTATGCTGCGCGCGCGGCTTGCCGGAAGGGTCTGTCATGGCGTTCGCTGGCCGATGCGAAGAGCTGTCGTCGTAGGCTGCCGTGTCGAGTGTAAGGACGTTGTTCGGGATCTCTGTGAGCACAGTCAGTCATGCTGATGGTATGCGGAACACAAAGTGGAAAGGATTACTGATGTCCATCTCTTGCAGCCGGCGTAGGTCTTCGTGCAGGCCGTGCCCGACAAGGACGAGATTGTTTGGGGTTGTCTCTGAGTCCGGGCTGGCAAGGCTACTGATGATAGCTTGCATGACTCGAGACAGTTGGGCCTTAGGGATGACCTGGCTGTCAGCGAACTGACAATATCAGATGTTCGTTCAGTGGTCGAGTAACTTCACGAGTGGGTATCGCCCGTACCGCATACTATCCAAGTGTCGTCAACAGATGGTTATACCGAGAAGTAGAGAAACCTACGGCCCAAGGAAACGTAGGTTGGTGTTTGTTCACGATCCGGTCTACATGGTCTCCGACGATGTAATGGCCCCGTCTGAGATACCCCAAGTTCAAATTTTCGTCCGTAGAGAGCTCAAGGGTAGCTCACCTATAATTGTGTTCTGGAATAGGCGGCCATACCTCAGCACTTGTGATAAAGAGCATTCCGTTTAGCCAAAAGACATGGTCTGTCAAAGGGTCAACTCACTCGTGAAGTGCGCCGCAACGCATTGCCGCGTAACCCCACTCTAATATAGTCGATGAGTTGCGCTCCGACCATTCGAAATCGATGGAAAGGAAGGTCTTGTCCTTAGCGTCCCAGAGCTCTCGGACTGTCTTGGGTTCACCGCTCTTCACGCGTGCCTTTTGCGCCGCAAGCAGGGCAGCAGGCAACGTAGCATGCACCTTCTTGTAAGTGGCTGCGTCGGAGATCTTGCGGAGATGCCGCTGGTTTGTTTCGAACGGCGTCACGAAGTGTATGTTGTTGACCTTGGGGAGAGTCTCGCCATATCTGCAAAACTATCAGGTATAGAGGAGCGGTATTCGTAGGCAAGATGACTACCTCGTCTTGATCATCTTGTTGAATGCATCTACCGACGACATCCGCGTCACTATGTGCGGCCGACCCGTCTTGACGTCGGTCACGGTGATCACGGGCCACTCAAAGTTGAGGAAATCCTCGAACGTCTCGAAGAATACACCCCAAGACCGTTCAAACCTGGTGCAACGTCAGCATATACGCCCGACATTTTGGGAACCGACGGACGTACCATGGAATGTTGTGCAACTGGAAGTGGCCCACATAGGCACAGTAGATCTGTACGCGGTGCGTTACTATCTCGCCGCCACATCCCTGCGATGCTCGCCGCCACGCACCGAGTGAAGGTCGCAATCCCAGCCCTTGGGCTCGACGAGGTGGAAGTCAGACATGTCGTTCGCTTCCGTCGACAAAGGGTTCGCTCAGGGCATCCGAGTAGGATGTCCCGCACACAGCCGGCGAAGCCAGTGAAGCAGGGCAGCCATTTGAATTCAGGGGCTGAGGCTGACATGATAGCCGTCGCGCGCAACGGCACGATCTTGGCGACAGATCACTCAGAAACCAAGATGTATCATCCCGCCGGCCGCAGAAGAGACGAAACATGAGGGATGACAATGAGGAGACGCCCTTGATACCGGTGCCTCATGCAGCGGCTTCTCACCAGCAACGCAGATGACTGTCTTCCTCCGTCTCAGAAGGACTTCGGCGCATGATAACGCGCGGAACTGTATTTGTGCAAGATAGTACATTGGTATCAATGATAACAATAGGAGATACAGGCAGTATATTTGAGTACAGGAATCTTCGAAGAGCAGCGTGCGGCTAGCATCGGACTCACGACGCACAAGTAGGACTTCTGCTAGAACATCATCTACAAATGAGTACCTGTGGATAATGGTCAGTCTTGGACACTGGATATGTGACACTGAGATTCAGAGACTTGAATGGTTCCAAAGGAATCGCCCTCATCGCGCCGAAACGCGTCGAGTAGTTTGCAGAATGTTGTCATCATTCGAAGAGATAGATCAAGCCTCTCACCTTACTGTAGACCGATGAACGCGGTGCCGTTGCAGGGCGGCGGCATGAATGTCACTTCGACGATCTATACGAGAAGATCATGAGTACGCTTGACTATGTAAAGTGAGTGAAAGTAATCAGCAAAGAGATCGCATTCTTCTCATGGCCCATAGGCATCGAAGTGAGCTGAGTTATACGAATAATTATCATCACAAACCAATTTGTCGCATTTGAAACAGACTGGACTTAAACGGCCCTCAAACTCACCAAGGCGTGAAGCGAGTGAAGGCATATGGCTGGGTACATGATCCTCCAAGTGTCCTAACCTGGCGACATCTCGACAGCCCTGCATCATGACCAAAATGCTTCGGATGTAGACCAAGGCAGCACCACAAAGCGAGATACTGAGGTAGCTGTACAATATCTTGAAGGAGGAAAGCGCCATGAGTAACGGAGCAACAAGTAGTTGGCCAATGTGAATACATCCACGCAGTCGCGTCCTGGCAGAGAGCAATGTCGCCTAAGGTGTCACCGTGAGATTGCGAGCAGCAAGTTACCGGGTCCAGAGGTGTTGCAATGAATATAGCTAGACAGGCTGGAGAGGAGCGAACGACGTGCAGACCATGGGAGTCGCATCATGGCTTGCCAGCAGAACGGCTTGGAGCGAACGAAGCAGAAAGCCGGCGCTTCGATAGATGCAGGACCACGCTGCACGTGATGCAAACGGCGCTTAAACTCAGCCACCGCATGCGAGACTATACAGTTGGTTCCCAGGCTCGCCCAGGTCGTCAGTGAACATCCTCTCCAGCACAGTATCGAACAGGCTCAGGCTAGCTACGATGCAGATCTTCGTCAAGACCCTCACGGGGAAGACGATCACCCTCGAAGTGGAGTCTTCCGACACCATCGACAATGTGAAGGCAAAAATTCAGGACAAGGAGGGGTGAGTTATGCGCGGAACTCTGGTGTGCGAAGTGTGGCAGGGCTGACGGCGCATTCGCAGCATCCCGCCCGACCAGCAGCGCCTCATCTTCGCTGGCAAGCAGCTCGAGGATGGCCGCACCCTCAGCGACTACAACATCCAGAAGGAGTCGACCCTGCACTTGGTCCTCCGGTACGTCTGCCTTACATACTGAAACCGCTTCGTTTGCTCACGCGATGCCCCTGTAGTCTCCGTGGCGGTATCATTGAGCCCTCGCTGAAGGTGCTCGCCTCCAAGTACAACTGCGACAAGCAAATCTGCCGCAAGTGCTACGCACGTCTCCCTCCCCGTGCGACCAACTGCCGCAAGCGGGGATGCGGCCACTCTTCGCAGCTTCGCCCGTAAGTACCACTCAAGCTGCCTTTCACCGGCTAGTTTTATTGACTTTACCGACGCGTCCTCTAGTAAGAAGAAACTGAAGTAGTGGGTTTCGCCTCTGGCGCTGGTTTTTTGCTGTGTCGATGGTCTGCACTACTACTCGCATCCTGAGGGACATCCCTCACTCATGTATCCCATATGACCCACCATCCATGACATGAGCTTTTCCCTCAAGTGTCGCGTCGTAAAGTTGGTCGCAGCTTACATACATTGGAACGTCAGGTCAGTGCTTGCACGCAGATCATCGGGCTTCAAGTTCTGTACACACAAGAATGGGTTCGTTTGGCTGTCAGGAGGTTTCCCGGTACCCAGTTGCATGGCGTACAGCCTTGAGAACGTCGGCCAGGCTTGAAGTGCCTCATTAAACTGCTTGGAATGAGTCTGATGAGGACCCGTCCGATTCGATCACGTGATTAAATCGCTCTCGAGTACCGAAAATGATACACGAGCACCCAGCATTCCACTTTCCGCGGCCGCATCTGGCCCTACGCTGTACACTGCTTTCACCTTCCCGGGCACTCTGCGCACGATGGCCCGAACACCAAAGGCACAAAACTTCACGAAGAAGACCCGCGCGCCGTCGCGGAAGACCTCGAACGCACTCGGGTACGCGAAACGCCAGGCGCAGAAGGACAAGAGGCCATCCAGAGGGGACGTCGAGGACGTGTACGAGTACCAACAGGAGAAGGTCCGGAGGTCGAAGGTCAAGCTCCAGTACGAGCGCGAGGAGCTGATAGGTGCGCACGGAGATGGTAGCGATGAGGAGGATGAGGATGGTGCTGCGGGTCATAGGCGGAAGGGGACGCAGCCCAGACTTATTGGGGAGGGGGATGAGGATGAGCGGATTGCTGAGGATGAGGACGAGGACATTGATAGTGATGCGGCCTTTGATGAGAGCGATGAAGAGAGATTTGCCGGGTTTGGCTTCTCACAGAAGGTGCGCTCCTACATTCTGCTAACTTCACAACGATGTACTGATACAAGATTGTAGAAAGGGTCTAAGACACAACCCAAGAAGAAGCGCAATGCCCCTAGACCCTCTCGCGCTGTCCGTCTCGCAGAAGTAGACCTAAACGAAGATGAAGCAAGCGGCTCGCAGTCGGAGGACGAGGGAAGTGAGGCCTCTGACAATGGCGGAGACGATGAGGGAGAAAGCGAGGAGGAAGAGGAGGAAGGCGATCCTGACGAGTTCATTGACGTCCTGGATGTCCTTGACGGCAGAGGCGAACCGGAGAGCGGAGACGAGAAGGGCAATGCTCAGCAGGACAGGACTGAGGTAAGGCGAACGAAGCATGCATCTACGAAGTCCGACGACGGTCCCGCTGAGTCTGCAGAGGACGAAGAGATGCGGGATGTAGAGGAAGACGAGGAGGAGTCTGACGAAGACGACGACGACGAAGAGGAGCTTGACCAAGAGATCTCCGCTTCTGAAGGGGAAGATGAAGGCGGGGATGCCTCTGCGCTGGACGACTTGCAGAGATTTGTCACAAGTCTCGATGCCGGTCAGAAGCGGAAGTCACCCGAGGCTGAGGATGGAGAACCTAGGCAAAGAGCGAAGAAGAGGCGACTGCTACCGGAACGGACTGAAGCAGGGGAGGAGAACGAGTTCGCGGCGCATCTCGGTACGTCTGCGAATGTTTTACACTGTCTCACTCTTGCTGAGCAAACACACAGCCTCAGGGAAGCTACAACTTGATGACTTGCTTGCGCCGCTTGCTGGACAGTCTTCGAACTTGCAGTCTCTCAAGAAGTCGGCTAAGATCCTTACTTCGCAATCGGGTCCGGGAAAGACTTTGGCTGCCCCTCTGCCGCAGAGAACCGCAGAACGACTAGACCGTGAGGCGGCATACGAGCAAACGAAAGAGGAAGTGGATAAGTGGAAGGCGACCATGCAGCGGATCAAGGAGGTGAGTGTGGGCGTCGTATACCAGAGCTCAAGCTAACGGTATTCGTACCTACAGGCTGAACACCTCAGCTTCCCGCTTCAAGCCCAGCCAGCGGGCAAGACTTCCAATCTTGAGCTTGCAGCAAAGTTCAAGGTATTTAGCATCCCCCATATAGATTGCAGTCCCTCATATTCATAATCTATTAGCCAACAACAGAGCTGGAGAGTGCTGTCGACAAGCTACTCAAGTCGGCCAAGATGCGGGACGAAGACATCGCCCAAACTGAGTCCTTGAAGATGAACCACCTCTCCGTCGAGGAAGTCAAAGCCCGTCGAGCAGAACTCGCCAAGATGCGCGAGCTGATGTTCCGCGCGGAGGCGAAGGCGAAACGCGTCGCGAAGATCAAGAGCAAGACGTACCGCCGGCTCAAGAAGAAAGAGAAGGCGAAGCTCGCTGCCAAGCTTGGCGAGGGCGAGTCGGATGTGGACGAGGATGACGAGGTGGCGCGGTTGAAGCGGGAGATCGAGCGTGCACGGGAACGGGCGACGCTCAGGCATAAGAACACGGGCAAGTGGGCGAAGGCGATGAAGGGGCGGGGTGAGCTGGACGTGGATCAGCGGAAGGAGATCGCGGAAATGCTCGACCGAGGAGAGAGGCTGCGGAGGAAAATCCAAGGCGGGGACAGTGACGAGGAGAGTGACGACGACAGCGGGGATGACGAGGACGCGGAATATTCAGCCCAGCGGATCAAGGCCAGTGCGTTCGAGGAACTTGCTGGCTTGGAGGACGCTGGTGGGGACGCGCCGGTTGAGGAAGGAAAGAAGGGGAAGAGCATCTTTGAGATGAAATTCATGAAGGACGCTATGACAAGGGAACAACGTAAGGTGAACGAGGAGGTCGATGACTTCGTGAAGGAGATGGGCGGGCAGATACGTGACGCCGACGCAGATGGTGAGGGTGCCGCGGAGGAGGAAGGAGATCCGACGTATGGTGCGTCTGTCCAGCGTGTCGGTGGTCGTGTGATTTATCGACCTGGTCCGCCTGGTGTAAGTGCCTTGTTCTTTGACTGCACCAAGTGTGTCTGACATAGGTGCTTGTAGGTCGACTCACTCCGCCCTACCGGCTCGCTCGCCTCCGATACTTCGAGCGTCACTCTCAAGTCCACCGACCTCCCGGGGCCTTCACAACCGACCTCACCCGTCGCCACATCTCCGACAACACTACGACCCGTCCCCTTACCTACTGCCGAGGAAGTCAACCCCTGGCTAGCTCGAGTAGAAGATGTCGATCGTCCTATGCAGAAGCGGCACGAGGTCACTGTCAACAAAAACAGCGCATCAGCGGACAAGTCAAAAAACAAGCTGCGCAAGCGGAAAGAGAAGCGCGAGGAGGCGAAGGAGAAAGCGAAGCAGGACGCGGCGGTCGACATCTCGATGTCGAACGTGATGACCTTGGGCGACAGCACGCCAACTGTTGGTCCGTCAAAACAACAGAAGTCTGCGGCGGCGAGCAAAGCCAAGGGTTCGAAGTCGGCACAGTCGTCCAAGGCGCAGCCGACTGAATCCGACGATGAATCCGACGCCAACAGCGAGGTAGAAGACCAAGAAAAGCTGCTTGCAGACCCCAAGGGCAAAGGCAAAGGCAAGGCGAACGGTGTGAAAGCCTTCCAGCAACGAGACCTTGTCGCACTCGCCTTCGCAGGCGACAACGTTGTCCAGGTGAGTCCTTACCTCTACGCTCCTGTGTATATTCATCTCATACATACCTGCTATCCAGGACTTCGCCGAGGCAAAGCGCCGTGAACAGCAAGAAGACGCGCCCAAAGAGGTCAACACGACCCTGCCCGGGTGGGGCGCCTGGGGCGGCAAGGGCGCGAGGAGGGCGCCGCCGAAACCGCACCTCATCAAGAAGGTCGCGGGGATCGACCCGACGACGCGCGCGGACTACGGCAAGGCGCACGTCATCATCTCGGAGAAGCGCGACAAGAAGGCGGCGAAGTACACGGTCAAGGACCTGCCGTTCCCGTACACGAGCAAGGCGCAGTTCGAGCGCAGTCTCGAGACCCCGCTGGGCGTGGAGTGGAATACGAGGATGGGGTTCCAGCGGGCGACGTTGCCGAGGGTGGTCACGAAGCCGGGCCAGATCATCGCGCCGCTGGAGAAGCAGCATGCGTGATTGGGTTGTTTGGAGTGGTGGATTGTGTCTCGAGATCTGGCTTTCGCATTTACATAGCAGTGCAATCTTACAGCGCATTTGTCCGTAGCATTTGCAAGGGAGCATCGTCATCATACTAAAGGCATCTGTATTTCCTACTAGTATACATACATGCAGGGGCGTCCGTGACAATATCATGATACAAAACATGCAACTACTCTACACCGCAAAACCCAGTGATGTGTGCGTTCCATACTCTACAACGACACCGATCTTCTGCTGAGAACACAGCAATCGACGGACCGTGGACATCAACCTGACGCTAATCCTCGCCCATAGCCAGCGTGACGATCGCGTACGCGTTCGCAAGGACGACCAACGCCCAAATGACCCAACCCAGGCACGTCATGAACCGCCCATTCGACAAGTCCACCAGCTCCTCCTCATCAGCCTCCGCGTCCACCACCTCGCCCTCTCTCCTCCCCTCCGCCTCCGCTACCGTATCTATTTCCTCCACGGACCGCCCCTCCGCCCTCTCCGGCTCGACCTCGCCTCCTCTCTCCCTACTCCGCACAGCCGTGCGTGCAGAAGTGGGCTTCCTGACGCTCATGACCCGCGCGCTCGACGTGAGGTACACGAGCGGGAAGACGATGAACGGGAGCACGATCGAGAGCACGACCTGGCTCACGACGAGCAGCGTGCTCACGCCGCCCCGCCCGAGCGCCGCGGCGACCGCGACGGAGGGCACGAGCCCGATGCAGCGCGTGATGAGGCGGCGGAGGACGGGCTAAGTGGGGAGCGGTCAGCGGTGGGACGGAGGGCGTGAGAGGGAGTGGGAGGGGACGTACGGAGACTTTCCAGTGGAGGAAGCCCTCAGAGACGGTCTGCCCCGCGAGGGTCGCGATGATAGACGAGGATTGTCCAGCGGCGAGGAGCGCGAGCGCGAAGAGCGTCGCCGCAGCTAGAGAAGACCGTCAGTACACGACCCTTACGCGCGTGCATGAGATTGGTCGCTCACGTTTCCCGAGTGTGGACTGCAGCAGATCATACGCGTCAAACAGTGTCGCGGGGGACGTCTGGCCCGTCTGGCCGAACCCATAGTAGAACACCGCGCTCGCGAGCATCAATATCCTAACAGTTCGCGCAAAGGCAAAGTCAGCCCTGCCACCAGCTCCGGACATCCGCAGCGGCGAGGACGTACAGAGCGTTGATGACCACCGCCAGACCCAACAAGCTGATGACCATATCCACGATTCCATGGTTCAGATGCATCTTCACGAACGCCAGCGTATTGTTCTCCCACTCCGCATGGCTCTTCGCCGCGCGCATCCCCTCCGGCTCCGCGCGCACGACCGTGAACCAGCCCCTCGCGCTCCGTCTCACGCACCGCATGGCGCCGCGCAGGGTGCAGCGGCGGTACCACGGACGCGGCGCCTCGGCATAGGGGAGGGACGACGCGACGGAGTCCTTGGTCTCGACCTTGGAGAGCGCGAGCGAGGCGTCGGGTGCGGAGGGGACGGGCTTCTCGCGCTCTTGGGTCGCGAAGGCGGAACCGAGGAAGAGGCTGTGGGGCATGACGGTCGCGCCCAGGATACCGATCGCTGGGGGCTATAGGCGTCAGCAGGTCGTGATGGTGCAGAGGATTGGGGGCATACAGTTGTATAGACCCTCTGAGGAGACGAGCGCTTTGGAGGGCACGAAGCCGTCGAACGCCTCTCCCCAGTTCACGTCTGCCTTCGAGATGATGACCGCCATGCACACCAGAACGATGAACACCTATGTATGCGCGATTTATGTGCGCCGAAGATCGTGTGGGATGAGAACAACGTACCAGGGCAGCGATTAGAACCTCAAACAGTCTGACGGGCTGGCCATCCAACGGATTTCTGAACGTCAGTAGGACGAGCACGTCCGCCGCTGTCAGGAGCACGCCGGCATAGAGCGGGAGGCTGGGGAAGAGGAGACAGAGCGCTATCGCGGAGCCTAGCAGTTCGGCGAGGTCGGTCGCGACGATGGCGACCTCTGCGAGCGCATACAGGGGGTATAGGACAAGCCAGCGCCATAGCAGTGTGTGCTTCGGCCTCGAATGCAGGAGGAGGCGACAGTGCGATGCGAGATCTGAAAAGGACGTGTATTGGCAGATGAGCGCGCGGGGTGTGAAGAAGATTTGCGTGACGCACCGAGGCCTGTTACGCATCCTAACTTTGATGAGAGGACCTGCATGTACACCGCGATCAGGCCGGCGAGGAGGACGACGAACAGGAGCTTGTAGCCAAACTGGGACCCTGATTGTAGATCGACTCCCCAGTTGCCTCTAGAAAGTGAACATGGTGAGCAGCAGAGCTCTGGAGTGGGTCGGGGGATACGCACGGGTCAAAGTATGCTACGGCACAGATCATGCCCACGCCTGTGTGTTTCGTGGCATGCTTGAGCACAAGCCAGAAGGTGTCCCGCAGGTGGGTGTTTGCGCGAGTCAAGCAGCCCGACTGTCCCTCGATTGACGACCTCTTCGTCGGAACGCTGTCCGTTGACGTCGCGCGGGCGGTCTCCTCAACCATGTCGGTAAGCGGGGAAGGGCAGAAGGGTCGTCAGAGTCGTGAAGGTGAGGGGATTGGGAGAGCGGGAGGGCATGGAGGCCGGAAAGCAGGAGACGCGTCTTTAGATGGGTGGGCGTTGAGAGAACGCGCGCGGGCAAATCGGTGTCACGCCTCTCCCTCGACTCTCCGCAACTGCGGCCGTCCCAGACACCAGACACAGACTGCCCTCGCACCTTCTCGCACGCCCATGCGAAACGTCCCCTTTCATTTCCCAAGTCCACGGCTTTGCAGTCTTGCAGAGCTCCTGTTGCCTCCCGACGCTCGAGGATTAGCTCGTACGTGGCGTCATATCCTCGATATGGCAAACCCGAATCGCAGTACCGCCGCAGAGTACCGCACCGGACATCAGTCAGGTATCGACTCAGATTCACCTGGGGCAGTCATACCAGACCATTGTCGCGAGAGGAAACAACAGACATGGACTCGGAAACTCACCTTACTCACTGGGTAATACATGTCATATCTGGCTAGCGCTAGAATCGACCAAAATATATCTGCACTATTCTCAGCAGACACACCTCTGAATACAAACACGCACGTACGGGGATCTGATTCTCACTCACGTCGACGAGTTGGGTGTCCGAACAAGCCAACCAATTGTAATGGCGGCCTGTGGACATGCGCTCAGAAATGGTAGTCACACCAGAGGCAAGAGCCTGGACATAATGTCGATAACGATGGATGAGTAAAATACATGGGCTCGCGAACATATCCGAATTCGATACCTACACAAGCCGCTAGGGCCTGCAGATGATTGTGAATGTCCGCTGAAAACAATGTCTGTGTATCGAGAGCGAACACAGCAAATACCTGAGATATCGCGGAACCGCCACGACAGACGGCCCGTTCATCTTGCCCATCGCGAGCAGGATGATCGTGTACGAGTTCGCACCCGTGATCATCGCCCACGTCACCCACGCAAAGACAATCGACCCCTTCGCCATCGAGAAGTCCTCCGTCTCCTCCGCCTTCTCCACGTCCCCCGTCCCGCTCGCCCGCTCGGGCACGCCCTGCAGCGTCGTCTGTGATTGCCACCGCTGCGGGTTGCTCAAGTTGAGCTCCGACCTCGACTCCATCATGCCCGCGGTGGCTAAGGAGCTGGTCGACTGCGACGCGAGATCCTGGTGCAACGTGTTACCGCCACCGACCGCGGCCTTCGCGGTCATGATCTTCTTGGACGAGGTGAGCAAGATCAGCGGCACCATGATGAAGGGCAGGACGATGGCGAGCACGACCTGCGAGACGACGAGCAGAGCGCTGACTCCGGCGCGCCCGAGCGCCGCGGTGATGATGACGGCCGGGATCAGACCGAGGGAACGAGTGAGCAGACGGCGGACCACGGGCTAGATGGGGACGTGGAACTTTAAATTTACAATAAACAGGAAAGACAGAAGACATAGACGCACAGAAAGTTTCCACCGGATGAAGCCCTCGCAAACGACTTGTCCGGCGAGCGTGGCGACGATGGACGAACCCAGGCCCGCAGCCAACAGCGCGAGCGCAAACACGGTTGCGGCGGCTGAGAATGTCATTCAGAAACTCATCAAGGACCTGGAGGCCGCACACACACCTTGGCCGAGCCTACCGACAAACATGTCGTACGCGTCGAAGAACGTAGCAACCCCATGGCCAGGACCCCCATTAGGGCCGTAGAAAAAGACGGCGCTGGCGAGGATGAGGATCCTAGATCACCAAGTCTAGTCAGCGCGCCGGATCGTCCTGCGCAACCCATACGACTCACAGAGCGTTGATGATGAGGGCCATCCCGAACAGACCAATGTTCAGTCCCATTGCGCCAGGCATCAAATGCCTGCGCACGAATCCCAATGAGCGGTTCTCTGCTCATCGTGGTTCATCGGCGGACGCCCCTCCTCGTCAACGCGGCCCACCTCAAACGCCCGCTTCGCACCACCGACGAAGCTGTCCCTGGAGAAACCCGCTTTGACATTCGTCATGAACGAGCGCGTCTTCTCCCCGAGCGTCGGGGTGCTCGCCCAAGCCTCCTCCTTCTCGCCGAGTGCCTCCTCCTCCGTCTCGCGCTCCTGCGTGGCGAGCGCGGAGCCGAGGAAAAGAGTGTGCGGCTTCACGGTCGAGCCGATAATACCAATGGCTGCGAAACACGTGAGCTGAGCGAGAGAGCGGAAAGGGGCGCGACGTACAAAGGTAGAAACTGCCAGGGAGGCTGAAGGCGGCAGCCGACGGGAGCAAATTCCCGAGTACAGCTGCCCATTGTACGCTGGCCTTTGAGACGGCAATCCCTATGAAAAGAAGCATGGCGAAGATCTACGAACGATCCTCAGCGATTCGCCCCACCGTACAATTGCAGACGGCACATACCAAAGCAACGATGAAGAACTCAAAGGACTTCGCCGGCGCACCCGAAACCGGGTTCTTCACACCAAGCAACAACAGCACATCTAGCGCGGTGAGAACAACGCCTGCATACATTGGCAGGCCGGGGAAAAGAAGAGTGAGCGCAATAGCGGAGCCGAGAAGGTCCGCGAGGTCGGTCGCGACGATGGCGATCTCGGACAAGGCGTAGAGCGGGTAAAGGACACCCCATCGCCAGAAAAGAGTGTACTTTGGTCGTCGTGCAGGAGGAGACGACAGTGGCTTGCCAAGTCGAGTCCGGTCACGCAGCCCAGGCGTGTGGCAAGGCCCTGTCCATCTATGTGAGACCGTTGCGTGTGCTCGAATAAATGCAAGACGACAAACCTGCATTTGAATGGCGATAAAACTCGCTTGCATGACGGAGAATAACAGCGCGAAACCAAACCGCGAGCCCGCGTGCAGATCGACACTCCAGTTCCCTCTGTCCATTCACACCAACAGACCCCCATGAGCATGCCGAAGAACACGCAGAGCTCCTAACCACACTCACGGGTCGAAGTACGCCACAGCGCACACAATTCCCGCCCCGGAATGCCTCACTACATTTTTCCCCACTTTGGCCGCTGTGGAACCCAAGCGCTGGCTGAAACTAGTGCCAGAAGGCTGCGCGGCAGCGGGGGAGCTGCCAGAGCTCGCTGTGATGGAAGATGCCCCAGCCATCGTCTAGAGCGGGTTCTGGCAGAAAAGGGAACGAACAAAAAAGGAAAGAATGGGGGAAAGGGCTGCCCGGCCGTGCCGTCCCTAGAACCGCGCACTCTGCTTTTATGCCAGTGCGGTAGGTTCGACACAAACTCCTCGCCTCCGCCGTGTGGAGGATCTTGGTATGAGACTAGCCAGCTTGTATCTGACAACCCGCAGCACCGCGAAGGGCGACGACCGGCGGCGAGACCGCGATGGGCAGCTTCTTGCTCCATGCGTCGGCTTCGCAGCGACGATCGAAGACTTGGCCTTCGTCAAACGGACTGCGTACGCCCCTCCGTCTTGACGACAAAAGCCTTGTATGGACATTTGCCGAGCAAAGAAGCGCGAACCCATCACAGCTAAGTCCATACTTATCGTCGGGCCCCGCGCCTTTTCAAACGCACATAAGCGGAGTCCAGCGGGTTTGTAATGGGATCGCACCCGGCGCAGCAGAATTCGACGGCCAAGCTGAGCAAGCAGCCACGACCTTGGCTACGGTGGCCCAGGTTGATCGGTACAATCTCCGGATCACTGAATACCGATGTCTGATGATCTCCGCTCCTATACGCACTTTTCGTGCGGGGTGGACTGGGGGACTTGGCTGCAGCATCGAAGGCGGACAACAGTGGCACGACGTAGCATGGGCACCAGACCGAACACTCACCTCAGTTTGTCCTCACCCCGCTCAGTGTCGGTACATTTCGTAGTGAGGGCAGCCCTGCAAGATGTGGCGTCTTATCTGGAAGGGCTTGCCGCACTGCACTGCAATCGGGGGTTCGAAGGAGCGGTAGTATTCCCCGTGAACCCTTGCACCGGAAGACATGGTCAAACACCTCCCTCCGTACGTCGACGACCAAGGGCGTTGGAATGCAGGCAAATCGGTGTCACGCCTCTCCCCGGCCGCCCCAGACACGGACTACCTCGCACCTTCTCACATGCCCATGGGAATTATCCGCCTTCGTCCCCGAAGTCCACGGCTTTGGAGGGCAAAGCTCCTGCTGCCCGGCAAATATGAAGCGGAGTAACGCGCACCGGACATGAGCCAGATATCGATTCACCTGGGGCGCAGTCATACCGGACCATTGTCACGAGAGTCTCCGTCAGTCTTGTGGCCCGAAACCGCAAGCGTGATGCGAGTGAGGAGATATGAGGAGAGGAGGAGGAAAGAAGGAGGTCTTCCACGGGACGTCACGTCCAAAAGAGCGCCGTCGCGCGCTTATGCTTATGCTGGAAGCGAGCGGGAGAGCGGGCAAGTGTGGTGCTCAATCCCCCGCTCACCGACCCCGCAGACACGCTTGGTGGATGAAGGCATCGGTCTGTTAGAGACAACCCCGCGCCTCTTGATCGCGATGAGCAGGATTCCGACAACAATGGACCATGGCTAATGCTTTCTTCATCTGCGGTCTGCCACCCTCTCCCCTCGAGCTCCTCCCATGTAGACCGCGCCCTCCTCCTGTCACTGGCTGCAACGACTGGCGGCGCTCCGTGATCATCTTGTAATGGCTTGTCGCGCCAGTTCCATCAGGTCTAGGTCTCATTGGGCTCATCCATGACTCCTAGGCGATAATTATCACCGTCGCCATGGTACGTCGTGGCCGATTTCTTTCGCGGAAGGGTGTTGATCTATTTACTTGCAGGCACGAGGTTCTTTCTAGATACATGTCATGGCGCAGTTCATGGTTATCGACTATTGTAGTTAGATGCTCTCACGTAGTGCTCCCGAATGATAATACTTAGATACGATGTTCTGTGTAGAATAATGGGTGTACTAGCTACTCGCGAGTACAAGCCAGATATGGTCGCCCGAAATGTCCCTCGACGTACAGATCCATATTGTGGCCCAGTCGTGTACCTGAAGAAACCCGAAACCAACGTCAGACGTCCCGGACGCCTGACCTTCGACTACCTCATACCTCCAACCTCCGACCTACCTTGATCGACCGAAATATATCTGCTATTCGAGATCTTAACTCATCTCTGAACACAAGCACGGTATTAATTCTCACTCACGTGACACGAACGATGTCCGAAAACTTACCCACCAATCACAACGGCAGGTCACCTCGGACCTGTGACGGCACCATGAAACAGTCCACTACGGAGGCAGAGCAGGAGAGAACGTCGATAGCGAAGGATGGTGAATAGTACAACATGAGCTCGCGAACATATCTGAAGATAGTACCTACACAGGCCTCTAGGGCGCGCAGATGATGATTGTAAAATGTCCGCCGAAACAAACGTCCGTGTGTATCGAGAGCGAACACGGCATATGCATGAGATATCTTTTGCGAAACGACCTACGCGTCCTCGCCCAAAGCGAGCGTGACGATCGCGTACCCGTTCGCGAGCACGATGAGCAGCCACATCGACCACCCAAACACCATCGAGATCTTCCCCATCGAGTAGTCGACGATCTCCTCCGCCGCCTCCACGTCCACCGTCCGGAGCGCGCGCCCGGTGGCCAGCCCCGCCAACGTCGTCTGCGACTGCCACCGCTGTGGGTCGCTCACGTCGAGCTCCGACCACGACTCGGGCGGGCCCTCGCCGCTGCTGGTCGAGAACGAGCTGCTCGACTGCGACGCAGCGTTCTTCTTGTGCGCTGTGCCGTGGCCGCTGATCGCGGTCTTGACGCTCATGATCTCCTTGGAGGAGCAGAGATAGAGCAGGGGGAAGACGATGAAGGGCAGGACGATGGAGAGCACGACCTGCGAAATGACGAGCAGGGCGCTGACGCCGGCCTTCCCGAGCGCCGCGGCGATGATCACGGAGGGGATCAGACCGAGGGAACGAGTGAGCAGGCGACGGAGTACGGGCTGAGCGGAAATGGGGCGCGTCAGAATACAGTAGCAGGTAGAGAGGCAAAGAACGCAGACGTACAGAAACTTTCCACCGGATGAAGCCCTCAGAAATGACTTGTCCGGCGAGCGTAGCGACGATGGACGAACTCTGGCCCGCAGCCAACAGTGCGAGCGCAAACAAAGTCGCAGCAGCTGTTCGCGATGTCATTCAGAAACTCATCGACGATCTAGAGACCTCATCACACACCTTTGCCGAGCTTACCGACCAACAGGTCGTACGCGTCGAAAAGCGTAGCAGGACCGTTGCCGGGACCTCCGTTGGCACCGAAGAAGAATACCGCGCTGGCGAGGATGACAATCCTAAACCACCAGATCCAGTTAGCCCACCGCAACGTCATCCACAGCCCATACGACTCACAAAGCATTGACCACGAGCGCCAGCCCGAGCAGACTGACGACCATATCCACGATACCGTGCGTCAAATGCCTGCGCACGAAGCCCAGGTCATGGTTCTCGTGCTCGGCGTGGTTCTTCGGCGGGCGTTCCTCCTCAGCCACGCGGCCCATTTGGAACACGCGCTTCGCGCCGCCGACAAGGCTGTCCTTGGAGAAGCCGGCCTTGACGTTCGTCATGAACGAGCGCGTCTTCTCACCGAGCGTCGGCGTGCTCTCCCAAGCCTCCTCCTTCTCACTGAATTCGTCCTCCTCCGACTCGCGCTCTGCGTGGCAAGCGCGGAGCCGAGGAAGAGACTGTGTGGCATCACGGTCGCGCCGAGAATGCCAATAGCTGCGGGACGCACGTGAGCATAGCAAGAGACGAGGAAGGCGTGACGTACCTGTGTAAAGACCCCCAGGGCTGACAACGGCACTCGACGGGATGAAACCGTCGAATGCATCTCCCCAGTGTACGCTGGCCTTTGAGACAATAACCCCCATGCAAATAAGCACGGTGAAGACCTACGACGCATCGTCAGTGAACAGTCCACAGCGCGATTGCAGACGGCAGCACGCACCAAACCAGCAATGAGAAACTCAAAAGGTTTCACCGGGGCACCCCCAAGTGGGTCCCTCATACCAAGCAACAACAGCACATCTAGCGCGGTAAGAATAACGCCTGCATACAGTGGCAGGCTGGGGAACATAAGAGTGAGCGCGATGGCGGAACCCAGAAGCTCCGCGAGATCGGTCGCGACAATGGCGGTTTCCGACAAAACATAGAGCGGGTAGAGGACGGCCCACCGCCAGAAACGAGTGTGTTTTGGTCGATCGTGCAGGAGGAGGCGGCAGTGGGATGCGAGGTCGAGTCCGGTGACGACGCCCAGGCGCGAGGCCAAGCACTGTTCAACTGTGAGACAGTTACACGTACGGAAACGGATGCAAGACGACAAACCTGCATGAAAACGGCGATCAAGCCCGCGAGTAGGACAATGAACAACAACTTGTAACCGAACTGTGAGCCCGCCTGCAAATCAACACCCCAGTTTCCCCTGTGCATTCACGCCATCGTTAAGCACGTCGTATAGCACGAGAACCCTAACCACACTCACGGGTCAAAATACGCCACAGCGCAAACAATCCCAGTCCCGGTGTGCTTAACGATATGTTTCCCCACCTTAGCCGCGGTAGAGCCCACGCGGCTGCTGAAACTAGTGCTGGAAGACTGCGCGGCAGCGGGGGAGCTGCCAGAGCTCGCTGTGATGGAAGACCCGGCCATCGTCTAGAGCGGGTTCTGGCAGAAAAGGGAACGAACAAAAAAGGAAAGAATGGGGGAAAGGGCTGCCCGGCAAGCTTACCTTCCTTCGAACCGCGCACTGTGCTTTTATCGCAGTGCGGAAGCTTGCGTTTGACAACCCGCGGCGCCGCGACGGGGCCTAGGAGGACGACCGGGGCCACGCCGCAAACGGGGCAACTTCTCGCTCCACGCCTGCGCATACGCGATCGCTTCGGGGCCTTCGCAGCGGCGATCGAAGACTTGGCTCTCGTCAAACCGACTCGGTACGCCCCGCCGTCTTGACGACAAACCCTTGTATGGACGTTTGCCGAAGAAAGAAGCGCGATGCCCATCAACAGCGAAGGCGGCCAGCGGCGGCACGATGCATCGAAGGCCCGACAGAAAACTCACCTGCCCATGCCCTGCGCCTGCCGTAGTTAGCTCCTGCACCTTCCTCACTGTCTCAGCTCCGTGCCGGTTGCGTGCTGAGTCTCATCAAATCGATTCCGCGTATGCTTACAAATACCATCACAAACTGTACACTGAGGAATGATGTCGTGCTTGAGTAGGCTAGAGTGTGCGTTGATATACTATACGCCGGGTACGCTTGCCAGTGGGCAGTGCCGATCGTATCTATGGGCCAAACCGTCTTCCCGTGACGCGTTTCTTCTAGTCATCAGTCCGACAGATGCTCCAGGACACTGCGGACAACCCGGATTGTGCGAGGCGCTTACATAGGCCTAACATTGCAAGGGCGTGTATATTAGTAAGCCATCAAGTGAACTTCCCTAACATGGGAAGTACATTCCTAGAACATGGCACGATTTCGGAACATAGGAAGAACATAACACTTACATTCCCGATTCTAGGACATTCAAATGTTAGGCCGAACAAGGATCCATTCTCTATGTTAGGAGCTCCGACTTAGAGCCGTAAAATATACACGCCCTTACAATGTAAGTACCATGTGAGCGCTTCGCACAACGCGGTTTGTCCGCAGTGGGAATCGAGACGCGCTTTGCGCTGCCCTCTCCAAGAGTCTTGTGTCGTCCACCGAGTCTTCAGTCACCATCCATAGGTACTCCGAGACACTTGGGACGTCGCATTCCACGCGAAGGTTGAGCTCGGCAAGTGTGTCCAAGATATGGCGGAGGAGCTGAAGGTTGTAGGACAAGATATCGGTGATAGCCGCCCAGAGCTTCCGCGGTATCGCGGCCAGCGTGCGCAAGTCGACAACAAAACGCAACCGCCGAGCCAGAGGAAGCACCTCTTCACGATAGATGACGCTCAGGGAGGACTCCGCAGTAAACTTAGCAAGCAACGGCGCCAGCTTTCTGAACCTGCTCCGACTGATGCCCTCCGGCGTAGCTCGAATGCCCAGTCCGTAGGAGTTGCCAGACCCAGTGGGAGCGCGCAAGAAGTCCATGAGTGCCCGGTTCGCCGCGTTGCTTTCTGCGGGTCTGATGTGGGGCTCCGTAAGACGCTGTCTTCGCCCGCCGTCGTTTGCCTGGTACCATACTTTGCACGCCAGCCATTGTTGATCGCAAGAGTAGCACAGTAAGCCGCTGTCAGGTGGGACTAAGGCACAGTCAGAACAGAACTGCATAGCGGGCACCGGACACGAAGGTTGGCGAGGTGGATGCGCCGAGCTCGGAGGATCCGCTGCCGCAGTTATGAACTTGGAGACCGTGATCGGGGATTGAGGAATGAAGATGGGCGAAGCAGGGAGCTGCGGAGTCGGGAGCGTGAGTACGAGAGACGGAATCGGTGGAGTGACCATTCCAACGAGGTTGTCCGTAGCGAGGTTCCTACGAAGGCGACCCGGTGATTCGAGTTTCACAGTGACAGCATGTTGTTCGTCAAGAATGTCAGCCTCGAGTTGTTCCCCCTTCAACGTCCCTTTGGACCCCTGTCGACACGTCGGACTCGATCTCATCGTACAATGCATGTATCGTCGAATCTTACCTGATAGACCTTGTCGAACAGCACGCCGGACTCCGTGTCCAGAACTTGCAAGATGGTCTGTTGGTACTCTTCGGTGGGTTCGCTGAAGGCAGATCTAGCTGTGAAGTAAAAGGCGGAACCACTGCTCTCAAAACTTGAATCTGTCGAGGCCTTATCATGTAAGATAAGATAATACCATGGGTGTACGTGCTTGATCAGACTTACTTGGTCGGGTGGCGAGAACTCGCTATGAATATAGACCTCCGTATATGGATGGAAGTCCTCTAGAACACGAACTTGACTCGGAGTAATTCGAGGCATCCTTCGCAAGTTTCTACCGAATGGAGCATTGCTGAAGGAACCGACATAAACCCGCCGACACTAAAGGTATGTGTCAACGGATATCAGCACGCAAGAGTACTCATTGGAATGTTACCGTCTCCAGAGCTATTGTGGAATCCCGGATGGACCGGTGCTGAGCCGAACATTGAGCAAGGTCTCGACACTGATTTCACAAACGAAACCGACCTTCATTGTCCTGTAAGACCGCAAACGTCTTCCGGGAAAGGTTCGTAGCTGCTTCATGCGATGTGAGCAGGCGATGATGTAGCTGACTGAGACGAACGACCTGCTCAAAACCGCTAGATGGATGCTCATGTTCCGTAAACCCTCGTTCGCGATGTACTTTGGGATCCTCCACGCAGCCGGTCTGTGCATCCAACTGAGGAGCGAATGAATGCGTAGCAAGTGCGAGGTTGGGATCGGCTATTCTTGAACTTGGGTCCGGTAGGCGGTCGTAACTCTCTGCTAACGACCTCCGATATACTTCCTGAGCGTGAGCTTCATGATGACGGAGTACAGGGTGAAGATGGCCTCACTTTGCCTGTAGCGACAGGTTGTCCTCAATCGGGGATAGACTGGTGTCTTGCGTCGATCTATCGTGAGTCTCTGAAGTTGAGATTGTCGTCTAAGAAGAACTCACAGGGCGGGGGTGCAGCAGGTAGTTCAATAATCTACGTGTCGTGGCAGAGTTAGGTTTTCGCATGATGGCTGTCGTCCATGTGCATGAAGCTTGAAACTTTGAAGACCCGAGGTGAGCGTTGTGGTCGAACGCACAGCCCAGAAAGGCAATCAACGCCAGCCGCGGTGTTGCTTTGGCATTGTTTGGTTGTCTATAAGTACCGTGGTTCGTCGATCCATAAGTATTCAATATCAATATTGACATCATCAGCGTTCGGACCACTACCTATATCATATCTGACAGCTATCGTAGTGAGCCCCTGGTCGTCGTAGCCATAGTACGTATACGCCTGTACTACGCTGTATATCTCGGTACCAACTGAGCTGTCGTTGGCAGCGACGTCAATCATGGAAGAGCCTTTCAGTCTTGACCTTGTCTTTGACCCAGTACGTCGCCCCCTTTGGTGTGTTCTACGTGCACCCAAAGCTCATTTGATTCTATCGCAGGATACTCTCGAGACGATCGAAGAGAGCCCCGTTGCCTATGTGACGCAAGCCTTCTACCGTCAAGACGAGTCTCACAGGCCCATCGCTATCAAAAGCGCGTCAATACAACCACACTTCTCGAAGAAACCCCATGATATCGCAAAGGAGCTCAGACTTTTGCGGAAACTGTCTCACGCCAATGTATGTATGTGTCGCTTGAAATTACGGGAGGTGCCCTCATGCACAATGTGAGGTCATCCATGTGCTCGGACATGGCTTTGAGCAAGCCACAAGCTCGCTCCATTTTTGGATGCCGTTTATACCGTACAAGCTCAGAGACTTACTGGACTCGCCTTCATTCAGCTCGTATCCTTCGCCCGGCAATCCAACCCAAGAGCATGATGCAATATCATTCCCCATCCTTGCGAAGTCGCTCATATATCAGATCATACGCGCAGTGACATACCTGCACGAGCAACGCATCGCTCACCGTGACATCAAACCGGGGAATGTCCTGGTTGACGAACAAGGGATCGTCAAGCTCATTGATTTCGGGATCGCATGGGCAGATCCTGAGGTCCATAACCGCGTGAACGATCTGTGGCCAGAGCAGGCCAATAACATGTGCTTCGACGTCGCGACAGGGTACGGCTGAGTGAACATGTATATAACCTACGACCAACTGACCTTTATTGGTTCTAGGCCGTATCGTGCTCCCGAACTCTTGTTCGGGGCTTCGTCATACGATCCCTACACCACAGACCTTTGGAGCCTCGGTACTACATGCGCAGAATTCTTCACGCCGCTGAGGATGCAGAGCCGATACGAGGATGAGGAGGATCTGGAACTCGACTCGGACGAAGAGAGCCTGAACGCACCTTTTATCGTACCCAAGTCACTCGCGGTTGATGACCCAGACGCTGAATGGAGGCGAGACTCGCTTTTTGACGCATCGCGAGGATCTATCGGCCTCGCTTGGAGTATCTTCAAAACTAGGGGCACCCCGACAGAGTCCTCATGGCCGGTTGGTTTTAATTGCATGTGGGATCCCGTCTTCCAGTTACTGACAGACTCGTACCAGGACTTCGGCCTCCTCCCAGACGCCAATAAGATCTCTTTCCAAGTAGTACCCAAGCAAGATCTGCGAACATTGCTGCCAAACTTGCCTCCCACAACGACCCCGGCACACTCAGACAAGCGGGACTGCGTGGACCTGATCGACAGGCTCCTAACTTACCAGCCGTCGATGCGGTTGAGTGCAGCTAATGCTCTCCGTCATCCATGGTTCACCGAGGCGGCCCCCCTTCTCGTCCCGCTAGGGTACACGGTGGCATCGGAGGATGCCCAGCGCGTGGAGACGTGGGAGGGGAAGACATTGGTGGACCTGTTGCTGTCAAAGCTTCAACCATCACGCGCGCCTGTGTACAACAGAGAAGATTGAATAGACTGATATACACTACAACACGGTATACGATAACCAACATAGCATAACAATACAGATACAGCAATCATGTCGTCAGAAAGTTCACAGGGATGGCGGTCAGAGGCTGGTTGTCAATGGATATACCTACGAAATAAATCAGACGTGCGATACTCAATCGTTGAATGAGGTACTTACTACGAGTCTGGTTCGCTGTCTTGTAAATACCGATGAGGCGATGGCTCAGCTCGAACATATCATTCCTACGCCAACGTTAGCCGACATCCTCAACCGTTCGCATTCGGCGGTCCGTGCCTACCTCAGTGAGATGATAATGAACTGCGCATTCTTCGTGCGGTCCTTGATGTAATTGGCCACAATGGAGACGTTCCGGAAGTCAAGTGCAGCATCGATCTCGTCCATGAAGTAGAGGGGCGTCGGCTGCCGATCAACAAGGATGAGCCCGGGTGACACGGCATAGGCAGAGGGCTGCCTTACCTTGTACACATGCAACGCAAAGACCAACGCAAGGGAGCTCAGCGTCTGTGATGCTCGGATCAGTTGCCTACCACATGTTGAGACCAAAGTATACGTTACCTTCTCCCCTCCTGACAGGTTGGAGATGTTCTTCCAGCTCTTCTTCGGCGGCATAACACTGAAGATGATTCCCTCAGAGAAGGGGTCCATGCTATCGACCAGTTCAAGTTCAGCATTTCCACCGAGCGTGATCATCTACAAACCGATGAGCCTCCGTATGTGCAGAGCACTTACCGACCACCGACTGACCTGATACATCTCCTTGAGCTTCAATGAGATCGTGTTAAAGCCCGTCATAAACTCATCCAGTCGTTGCTTCCGCAGACTGTCGTACTCCAATTTCTTGGCGTCGCGAAGTTTCGTCACTTCCTCGAGATCAGAGGCGCGTCTCAAGAACTCTTCCTCGCGCTTCCGGTAGTCCTTGAGCACGCTGAGATCCGGTTTCGAGTTCTTGAGTTTCTCTTATGGCGATCGAAGGAGTCAGCCCGAGCGAGTCTGTGAAGTTAAGAAGACACCATACCGTCCAACAACTCGGCATCGGCGATGAGCTCTCTCTTCTTGAACTCATTCAGCTCCTCTGCGCTGTAGACATGCAGCTCGAATGGCGGGGTTTTCTCGCGCTCCTGACGTCGGGATGCCTCGCCAGGCTCCCGCTTGACCCCGCCTTCCTTATCCTTGTCTGCCGCCTCGTCGTCATCGTCGTCATCGTCGCTGTGGACGCTGCTCAGCAACGTATGACAAACGCCCAGTTGCACGACTCACTCGACCTCTTCAAGCTTAAGCTTGTCATGCTCGTCCTGCCAGTGGTCCAAAGCTCGTTGATTCTCAGCGGCCTCCTTCTTAGCATCGGCCAAGGCTTGTGTGAGCTCCACCTGACACGGAACTCCGATTAATAATCGATTACCATCATATGTATCCACTCACTTCTTTCTTACGGAAAGCTTGGATCTCTTCCGTCTTGGCATCGAGCTCCTTCTTGAGGCTTTCCAGATCGTCTTTTGAATTCTCGACAGCAGTCTGTGCAGCTTCTACCTTTGACCGAAGCTCCTCGACATAAGCAGTGATCTCTTCAATCTGACCATTGAGCTTCTCCAGATCGGCGTTGACCTCTTCCAAAGCGGCATGGTTGGACTCAATAGTGCTCTCCAGCTTCGTCGAGTCTTTCTCGGCCTTCGCTTTGGCCACCTCTGCTTTAGTGATCTCGTCGTTGGCGAGGTTAATGTGTAGCCGGATCCCGTCGACCTTAGACCTTTGCGAGAGCAAACGGGCACCACCGATCTCGAGGATCTTCTTCTCCAGAGCTTTGATCTCCTGCTCGATTGCTTCGGTCTTCTCTTGCAACTCCTCCAGCTCCTCGGTGTGGGCACCGATCTGCTCCTCAAGCGCGGAGATGCGCCTGACATCACCGGCATCCGGCTTAGTCTGGGACCTACGAATAGTCAGAGAAGCCTAAACATGAGAGAAAGAAGAGGATTTACTTGAGATCGTGAACACGCTTCTCGGCCTCAGCAATGCGCTTGGCGCCTGTACGGAGGTCAAGGTTGACCTTCTCGATCGCCATATCCAGCTGCGGTCCTGAGCGCATAGCACCGTCTAATTCGACCTCTGCCTCCCGCAGTCGATGCTGAAGGGCTTCGAGCTCTCGAGCAGCCTCCTCGCTGTCGTGCTCATACTGTCTGAGAACGTCCGGAGGCACTGCTTCGGCTTGCAACTTCGAGCTCATGCCCCCACGCATAACGTGATTGCCACCTCCAGACATCGTTCCCGACGAGTCGATCAGTTGTCCAGCCAGCGTGACGACACGCCACCGATGTGATCCGCCGAAAGCAATCCGGTTCGCCTGGTCGAGGTCGTTAGCCACCAGAGTGTCGTGGACGCCCTTGTAGAACGCAGCAGCGAATCGAGGTTCCTTCGGCTTGATGAGGTCAAAGAGCCTAGGAACATCCTCTGGGGTTGGGATCTTTTGTATGCCACGACTGTTTAACTTCTCCAGAACCATGAACGAGGCGCGGCCGATGTTCTGCTTTCGCAGATACTCGATGCATGCTTGACCTTGATCAACAGTGTCGACGACGAGGTTGTTCAAAGCGCTGCAAGCCGTTGATACCGCTACGTCATACTTATCAGGAATTGTTCCAAGGCTTCCTAGACGACCCTACGCCGGACTTGAGTACGTTGGTGAAACAATGTGCGGATATTCGCTTACGTGGAATCCCGATATACGACCTGCACTACGTAAGCGAGTCAAGCTGTCGAGGACGTGGTTGCGAGACTGGTTTGCAGTCTGCGACGCCCTCGCTTCCTCGGCTTTCTGACGTGTGGAAGAAGCCTTGCCGCGTAGTTGCTGCACACGGGCTTGCATATCCTGCATAGAATTGCTCAATGATGCACGACCTACGCGGAGACCGAACTTACCTGGACTTGCTTCTCCTTCGACTTGCGCTCCGTCGAGTTGTTCGCCTTCGTGCCTTTCAGTTCGTCGAGCTCGGCAACCTGTAGATCGGCTTAGGGTTGCGATGTGATCTTGAGGAGTCAATACCTCATACCTTCGCATCGTGGTCAGCGCGCAACTGTTCAAGCTGGTCCTGAGCTTCCTTGCTTGCGGCCCTAGCAGCCTCGGCCTTCTTGGCGAGCATGTCGCGCTCGCCCGTCGCCAGGTCGATCTCAGCCTGTTTCGCGTTGATCTTCGCTGTCCAAGGCTGGAGCTCCTTCTGTTTAACCTCAATCTTGTCATGGAAGACCTGAGTCTTGTCTTAATATGATGTGAGAGGGACTCGACAGCATGCAACATAAGCAACGCTCGCCTTTCAGGCTATCTCGGATTTCTTCGAGCACGTCTTCTTCATGCGCAAGGGAAGCCTCTAACTCTTCTACCTTCTTCTTCTCCCTTTCCATCTTGGTGGAGTTATCTTGAACAGCGCGGACGGCCTCGTTTTTATGATGCTCGTCCTGGCGCATGTCGCATCAAACCTAGCACGCTCAAAGTTCGAAACGGACGCACCTCCTGCAAGGACTTCTTAAGCTTCTTCGCCTTGCTATTCGCGTGCTTACGCCTCTCGTCGAGGCCAACTTGACGTTTCTCATGAGCAGCGAGGTCCTTGGTCGCTTCGGCGGCAGCAGCTTTGACTTCCTGCATTACAGCGGGTCTTAGTTACGACGAGGAACTACCAGTAACAACTAACCTCATAGGTTTCAACACGCTCGTTGTAATGTTGCTCCAGGGCTTCGAGGTGCAAAACGTCGTCATTGTTGCGCTCTCGCTCAGCAGCTAGCTCCTTTTCGTAGCGAGCCTAGATGATGTCCGACCGTCAGTTCAGGCCCAGCCACGCAAGACATAAGCGGTCGTACGATGGCCTTCTCGAACGCTTCGTCGTTAATCAAACACTTCCACAGATACCATTGCCACAAACGAGACAGAGCACGGACATGCTCATTCTGCAAGCGTAGGTAGTCCTCTGCTTCCTTCTTCTTGGCTTCCAAGGCGTTTCGATCCTTCTCGACGATCCGAAGTCTGTTGAGCTTCTCCTGACGATCCTCTGAGAGACGTTCAACCTCCACAAGGGCTTCGTCGATCGGTTCTTTGTACTGTGAAGTGCCAATGATATCTTCGAGATACTCGAGAAGACCATCTTCATGTTCAGTAGGCGCCTTAGGCTTCATCTGAGCTATAGACTCGACTTCGCCCTGACAATCACATCAATAGGTATATAATCAATGGTTATCTTGCGAGCTCACTCACCTGGAGGATGAGGAATCGATTATGGTCGAGATCAATACCGCGTCCCTTGAGAAGTGTCTGCACTTCCTTGTAGTTGCTCTGCTTGCCGTTGATAGTGTACTTGCTGGAGTTACTCTTGTACGCAGTCCGAGCGACGACGAGGTCAGAGCCAGCTATGGCCTCGAATGCATCTGGCCCGGGCTACGAAGAGACCTTAGTTAGAACTCCGTATGCAGACCCGACGACAGACACACCAGATCCAAGATCTCCCGGAAGTGGACCTCAACGCTACACTCATCCAAGTCGGGGTATCGCGCGGAGTTGTGGATTAACTCCGAGAGCTTGCCTTGCCTCATCTTGGAGGCACGATATCCAAAGACGAAGAGAAGAGCATCAATGGTATTTGACTTTCCAGAGCCGTTAGGCCCGACAATCGCAGAGAAAGACTGTAACTCGGATGTCAGTACGCGCAAGTCGATGTCAGGAAAGACTATACTTTGTGGAATGGCCCAATCTCTTGACGACCCGCGTAGCTCTTGAAATTCACAAGTGCCATCTTGTGAATGACCAATCGCGCCTTCGGTCCTTGAGGCTCCTCAGGGACAGAAGGCATAGTCTGGGGTTGAGACTTCGGCGTTCTAGGAGGATCCAACAGTGATTTCTCCTCTTCCTCCTCTTCCTCAGATATATGGTCCGCCGCTACGTCCAAGGGTGGTTCAGCCTCCTCTGCGTCTGAGGTCGCCACAACCTCCTGCTCGTCCCCATTAGTATTACGCGGTTCAACGACGAGCTCCTCCCTTTCAGCCGCTACCTCTTGGTCCTCTGCATGCGGCTTTACCACCTCCTCTTCCTCTTCGTCCTCCGAGATAACGATTGCTTGACGGGTGTTCGCCTTCTTCTGGGTCGTCCTTGCGATCGTGGTAGCCTTGCGCCCACGGGTCGGCTTTACTTCCTCGATCTCATCATCGGAAATGACTATGGTCTCGGGCACCGACGTCCTCTTCCTCGGGGCGGGGGGTTTGCGATCTTCGACCTCTTCCTCGTTAAGCTCATCCACAGGTTCCTCCTCCTCATCCGTGTCCTCTCTTTTGACAGTGCGAGACCTCGTAGATGCCTTTGTCGAGCGAGCGGTCCCGCGACTGGCGCGTTTCGGAGGGGCAGACTTCCGACCATTCGAGTTCGGTTCCGCCGTACTGCCATTAGCAGCTACTGATGGCTTCCTGGAGGAGCCTCTCTTAGCCCTCGGCCTCACCTCCACGACTTCATCTGACTCTTCCTCATCGGGTTCGATGGACGGGCGCGACTTCTTGTTGGGGGGAGCTACTTCCTCGACAACATCCTCGTCAGATTCTGGCACCTCTTGGAGGGAAGATCGCAAGCGCGTGTTTGTGCGACCCTTAGATGTCGACGCCACACTGGGCGCGGCCGAGGTAGATCTACGCGTCCTGGAGGGCGGCTTGATGTTCTCCTGTTCTGGCTCGGGAGCTTCACCACGTTTACGTTTGGATGCCGGTGCCTTGACTTCGGCGACAGGTTCTACGGACGCTCTTGTCGAGCGACTCGACCGTCGAGGGGGCATCTTGCTAGAGGCTACAGTGGTGGTCGAAGTCAACGACGCGAACGTTCGTTCGACGCGTCGCGCATGGTGCACGTGACCGGTGCACAACGCGTCCGCGCGCCTACTCTGGTCAACTACTACGAAGTCCGATGCCTTATTACACTACAACACCTTAGTACAACCTTGGTATAACGAAGAGCACCATAGTAACAGCGCTACAGAACAACAGGAACATGAATATACACATACGCCTCACAAATTTGCCCATCCGTTGTCTAAACCATCAACTATCCTCCACCGCTGCTCACCCAACCAAGCCTGAATTCGAGCTTCATCGCGCTCTGGAGCCCCGGGCTCTAGCACGGAGACGTCACCTTTCCCCCACAACGACATGATCGACCACCCAACGACGATCATCCCAGGTGGCCGTTGCTCGCCACCACTCTCCAAGGCAGCAGCGATGTCGCGAATCGTCGACAATGTGACACGCTGGTCAGGCATGGACGCACGTTCCACTATAGCCATCGGTGTGCATGCAGGGAACGCGACGCCATCTCGACGAGTGGCAGGTTCGCCCGACTCCGCGAGGAGCGTGTCAAGCATTTCTTGCAACCTTGCCACGCCCATGAGAATGACCAAGGTACGACTGCGCACGTATCCAGGTAGTTGAACCTGCTTTCCTCCTCTGCCCACTCCAGTGCATACGATGAAGGACTCGGCCGCACCCCGTTGTGTGACGGGTATTCCTGCGAAGGTCGGCCCAGCGAGGACTGAGCTTACGCCGGGGACGACAATGGGTTCGAATCCACGTTCGCGGAAGTACAGAATCTCTTCGCCTGCTCTTCCATACACGGACGGGTCTCCTTGCTTGAGCTGTTATCTTGTGTAAGTATATTCTCTTCGTTGACATTCACCAGATGACCCACCCGCACTACAGTGAGACCACGTCTAGCTGCGTCGATAGCGGCCTCCATCAGCTCCGCTTGTCCATAGTCGGCGTTCCCAGGAAATTTGCGCGCGATACGGACTTCCACGTGAGACGGGATGATCGCCAGGACTGCCGCAGGCACTAGCTTGTCCGACAATACCAAGTCTGCGTGCTTCGTGAGCGCATCGCGGGTTGCGACAGTCAGAAGGGACGGATGGCCCGGACCTGAGCCTACGAGGAAGATCCTCCCTCTTGCTGCGGAAGCCGACAAAGTCAGGTTGTGCAACGAGGGTATGTCTTGCGTGGACATGCACCGACAGTTGATACCGTGGAATTGGTGAGAAGCGAATTCTGGCCGTCGAGAACGCCTGCCATATCTTCCGAAGTCATCTTCGCAAGTTTCGGGATGGGCCAGTACTCGCTGACTTGTGCGACCCACTTCATACGCCTCCGTGCTCTCTCTCCGGCGGTCTCGTCTGCACACCGCTGTGCCACAGGCAGGTTCGGAGTAGATGGACCGGCCTCTTCGTTAAGTTCAGCGTCGATCTCATCCGCGCATCAGCGGAGGTCTTCGCCATTACGCGCAGCTGAGCAACGTTCGCTACTGCCCCTCCCACCTCCTTAGGCAACGCCGCGACGATGTCCCGCCGCAACCTGCTAGCCAGTCGGCATCCTTGACCGTTCGTGGTCACTCCAACCTGTAGGGAGCTAGGTGTTCCCGCCTCGTGGTCTTGGAAGCGGTGGGTAGACAGGAATGAGAAGTCGCATAAGTCCGGCATGTCAGTGACATTCAGAGGGATGTTGCGAAGGCGGCATGCGTGGGCTATGAGTTGAGCGGATGTCCGGGTGCGACGGATACCAGCATCACCGCTCAGGAGAGTGTCTGTAACGCACACTAATCGGACCTGTCCCAGGCTGCCCAGGTAGTCGTCCAGAGCCTGGGCGTCCCTGTCCACCGCGCGCTCCACAGAACAGGGAAGGCGATTGAGGTCCACGATGCTGAGCTGGCCTTTGTCGGCCCTCCACCGCAGCTCCTCACAAGCCGAGTCAAGACCAGCATTGGCCACTACGACCACAGTCGAGTCCGCCTCGAGAGCAGCGAAGGCCCTAGACGCGGCAAGAGTGTTCGATCCTACAATCACCACGACATGCTTTTTCAGCTTGAACGACAGAAGGAGAGAGGCCCCGCCAGCTGGAGTAGGGTACTGTGCCATGACAGTGTGCCCAAGTCTTGCGAAAGACTAAAGATGAGTGAAGACTGCTTGCCACCGAGTGCTATGAACGCACCTAGACTCCGCACAGGAGGCAATAGATAATCCTCGAAGCCCAATCTCAAGGATGTCTCAGTATGGGCGGCAAGAACAAAAGGGATTGCATATCGAAATTTTGGGAAGCCCTCAATCGAGTCAATGGTGCTCGCCCCTGGAGCGCACCAGGATGGCGAGAGAATGGTGCAGACTGTGACATTGTGTGACGGACTAGTCACTAATGTCACATCTAGACACATCGTGACGATTTCTATATGCAGACTTGAGTTGCGCCTGCCAGCTTCAATGCAGCTGGTAGACAACCAAACCGTACGTGCGCCCTGTTCACCACTCGCGAAAGCCGCTGAAGTCATGGGATAGTTCTTCCAACGGTTGGCTGCATTGTTTGAGTCATCCAAGGACTCTGGAAGCATATGGCTTACCCACAAACGACGTGCGTCCGGCGTTGTGTTCCGTTGTGCTCGCGTGCTCATGAAGCACTGGACTGAATGCAGTCGCATACGATGGGGAGGATGCACAGATGTCGTTTGATGACGATGCCTCCAAAGAATATCCGTGCTTGGTCCGGGTAACGGATGGCGATGAGACCAAGTTCTCGACCAAGGTAAGAATGGTACCCTGTCCTGGTATCACTGCTCCTTGTGTACTCACTTCTGTGTCTTCTCCGTACATCGTATGGTGCACAGGTCGAGCCTGGCGAACTGGATCACTTTCACACGACCTACGGAGCACTACTGAAGTCCTCCATGACCACTCTCCGAAAGCGCGACAAGAAGCGCGAAAAACAACGAGCAGAGGGGATAGCACGTCGTAAGCGGAAGCTGACGGAGGAGATCGCTGTTGAGGGGCCTAAAAGAGGTGCTGGTCGCCGAAAGAGACAGCGGAAAATGAAGGCGGCAGCGAAGCAGGCAGAGGCACGGAAACGGGTTCAGGAGCGAGAGGAGGTCAAGTCCCGGGCCAAGGAGTCATGAATGTTGCTCTCCGTAGTGTCGCAGCTCTTCTACGAATCCTCCTGTAGCTATAGGGTCGTCCATTGTGTGTATGACTTTGTCAGGCGACGAGCGATGTTGTCCGGCTTTAATTAAATTAATACAGTACGCATGCGGCATCACACATAGCATGCGTGAGAATCTGAAATCGCCGACTCGCCTCCAGCCACCTGCGGACGCCAGTCCGGCTACAATACCTCTACCTCACGGTCTTTACGATCTGCAGTACGACTGGACCATCTCTTTCGTTTCCTGACGCAGTGTCGACATGCCGGTGTTGGCTCCTCCAATCACACCCATCGAGCCAGATATATTCGACGACGATGATGAGGGATGGCAAGACATGCCGGTCGTCCGAGAGGCGGATGAGTTCGCCGGCGGGCTGGACGAGGAGGACCAGAAGAAGTACAAGTACGTCCCAACCGCAAAGAAAGACTCCGTAGCCGGGAAGCAGATCGGCAATGCGACCGGGAACGTCTTGGATGTCGACTTCGAAGGGCAGGAGTGGAGAGCTAAGGTCGACCAGAATGAAGGCGAGTACACTCGGATACGATTGAATGAGGAGGACGAGTCGGACGAGGTGCACATGCGGACGAAGTATCTCTTCGATGAGGACAAGGCTATGACCCCGCTCAGCCAGATGCAAGCTACGAAGGACCTTCTAACAGAGGCGCAGCGTATAGCCTACGTTGGTCTCTGCGCGCTCACTAGTCGCGAGATGTCCGACCAGCTCAGGGTCCTCAATCGGAAAGAGCTGAAGAAGGCTATCGAGAGCATGGAGCTGTGGGCTTTGAAGATCATGGGTCGGTTATATTACCATATGGAACTTCTGACTGAAGGTAATTTCTTGCCTGTCTAGTGCCTGTAGAGTGTGCTCACGCTGAACGAGTGGCCAGAACAGAAGATGATTGACAGTCTCGCTATGCACGGAATCCAAGCCAAAGATCTCGTGCCTGCTCTTATGACTACCCACACAGTCGCCAACCCTGAATACGACCCAGTTGAGGCGCAGCGACAAGCCGACGAACATCTAACCGCTGAGATGGCGAAGCTGGATGCGATGGAGGGCGAGTCCGCAGACGTCTCAGACTCGCTAGCCACCACACCAAAGGCGGCGACGGCCAGTCCTGAACAGCATGACACGCATAAACTTGCGCAGACAACTGTGAAAATCTTGGAGGATACTTCGGAGACTGTCCCCGGAGTCAGCACGCATCTGTCTGTCGCGGACAAGAATGTCACACTCGATATCCGGTGGACTGTGCTCTGCGACCTCTTCCTTGTACTCATTGCCGATAGCGTGTACGATGCGCGCTCTCGTGTGCTGCTAGAGAACGTGGCGCTCAAGCTTGGACTCGGCTGGCTGGACGTCGTGAAGTTCGAGCGACGGGTTACCGAGGCGCTTGAGATTGAAGAAAGCATCGAGACGCTCGAGGAGCAGGATGTTATCAAGGGCGTGCAGAAGGCTACTAGGAGGCGTCGGTTCATGATGCTCGGCTTGGCTACACTAGGTACGCCAGTTCGCAGTACGGCGCGGCGTGGTTGTACTGACTCCTCGATGCAGGCGGCGGTCTTGTCATCGGGCTGTCGGCAGGTCTTCTTGCGCCTGTCATCGGCGCAGGTCTTGGAGCGGCCTTTACGACCATTGGAATCACTGGTACAACTGGTTTCCTGGCGGGGACTGCTGGAGCAGCTGTCATCACCACCGGCGGTGTCCTCACCGGATCAGGATTGGCCGCCCACGGAATGTCCAACAGAACCAGATACGTGCGGACATTCGAGATTCTCCCGCTGCACAACAACAAGCGCGTGAATTGTATCCTCACAGTCCCTGGGTATGTGTAACACCGACCTCCACCCAATATCCACTGACTGGAGGCGGCTCCTCTGCGTAGATTCATGAACGGTCCTTATGATGACGTTCGCCTACCCTTCAGTGTCCTGGATCCTGTTGTCGGTGACGTCTTCAGTGTCCTCTGGGAGCCGGAGATGATTCGAGAAACCGGAAGTGCACTCAAGATCCTGACGAGCGAAGTCCTGACGCAATTGGCCCAAACTGCACTGCAAGCTACCGTGATGACAGCATTGATGAGTGCTCTACAGTGGCCGATCAGTGAGTTTGGGACAACTCGTATCTTCTTTCAATCACGTTGACAAGGGCGATCTGCATAGTTCTGACGAAGCTGGGCTACCTCATCGACAATCCATGGTCAAATGCGCTCGATCGAGCCAAATCTGCGGGACTCGTTCTCGCCGACGTGCTCATCCGCCGACACCTCGGTGTGCGTCCCATCACCCTAATTGGATTCTCACTCGGTTCTCGAGTCATCTTCTACGCGCTGCTAGAGCTCGCGAAGCACAAGCACTTCGGTATCGTACAGGACGTCATCCTCTTGGGCGCGACCGTCACTGCGCCTCAGCGTACATGGATCGAAGTGCGATCAGTCGTCTCCGGTCGCTTCGTCAACTGCTATGCACGCAATGACTGGGTGCTGAACTATCTGTTCCGCGCCACTGCGGGTAGCTTGAACACGGTCGCGGGCTTGCGGCCAGTGGAGAACGTCCCTGGAGTGGAGAACAACGATGTCACGGACAAGATCGCTGGACACATGAGCTATCGAACGTTCATGCCGCTAATCCTGGATCAGCTTGGTTTTCCCGTCTCTGCAGACTACTTTGATGAGCCAGTGGTAAGTGCGGCCCGTGACATTGCTGCCGATGAGCTTGGTCCGTCTCATTCGTCGTCATCTGATAGGAGCCCGACTTCGAGGGTGAGCGGATCGTGGTCCGGGAGGGCGAGGAAGAGACGAAGAAGCGCGGCTGGTTCTCCCGAAAGAAGAGAAACTCGACTGAGCATCCGCGCACCTCGCGCCCACCGTCGGTATCGGCAGGCTCCCCCCAGAAACAGCAACGATTATCGCAATCCAGCAATGGCGATGATGATCTGCCACCGCGAGAGACAGTGGCTGTCCCGGCACCCTCGGCACCCAATCCATCCGCCGTCGACGTTCCTCTGCCCCCTACGCCCGCTGCCGAGTCCGCTGCCCCTACGGGAGAGGCGGAAGGCGATGTGTCAAGTGCTCTCCCAGTCACAGCAGGGTTCAACTTCGCGGCCATTAAGGAGGTCATAGGCAAGGACGCTGACCCATCAGAATTGCAATTCTCAGCCCCAAATCGATTCCCCGCACCCCGCATCCACGAACCTACACTACGCTCAGAAAGCGTTCCTCTTCCTTCCCCAGTACCGAGTTCACCCGACGCCACTCCTACCATGCGCACCTCCCTTGATGTGAGGCAAGTGGAGAGCCAGCCGGTAGCAGGCCCGAGTTCATACGACCGTCGTGAACCCCATCAACGGTCACATTCCTTCGACTCAGCTCTTGACGGAGACGATGGTGACGTTTCGTCGCAATTATCCGGGCAGTCCTCGCGAGGGGCTGAGGGACCTGCTTACGGTTCAGTTGCTGCAACCAGTAGCTCATTTTGGCCGTCTGAGCCGATAGAGACTACGCCGACATTCAATGCGTTCGGTGCCTACAAGCCGGCTTTCGGACAAAGCACGCCACTGTCGAGAGGCAACATGACGTTTGGCGCCCCGGCGTCCGCCCCGTTCGATCCCTTGGCCTCTTCACCACTCACCCGCAATCCATTCGCCTCACCTCCAGGAGACTCACAACTGTCGTTTGGTGGTATTGACGGCTCTATCACCCACTCGCCATCACCCCGAACGTGGGTAGGGAGCCGTGGGACTTCACTCCTAGCGTGTTCAGCGGCGACGGGCGGAAGAAAGGCGCAAGCACGCTTGACCTGAACCCATGGCAAAGCTAAGACAGACTCGGGAGGTTTTCATTGGTCCGCTACCCCACAGTGATGTCGTTTCTGTCTTTCTGGCTATCGCACATTCTCCGGAAGCATCTTACATCTCCATATCTAGCGCATTTTATTCCATCGATTGAACATCTCAGCGCGTTTAGCATCTCGGGCTCGTACTCACCGCGAGCGTGGGTTGATTGAACGATAATACTTGCCATACTGGGCTGCCAGGAGAACCTACCGCTCCACAGCATCGCCTGCCAATGCTGCTTAAGTTTAGCGGCCGGCACGCTGAACCGTGTAGCTCACCCCACATGGTAGTCTCCACTTGGCCTGAATCGAAGGGCTCGGCGGGATAATCGACCTTGGGGCTTCGGCTTTCCCATCCTTCCAGTGGACGACGCAAGCTTAGAACTCCCAAGAGTCGAGAACATACATCTTAGCATCGAGGCTTACGGACAAAGGCACTACTGACGGTGACAGATCAAGTCGCAGGCTGTGTGCTACACTCCCATGCCGCCCTTACATGGTATCGACTGTGTGGCCTCTGCTTCGCTCTTCCGAGTAGGTCCGTGATTATCTGGGCATCTTTGGACGGAACAACGAGAGTCTGACCCTCCTTTCAGCGCCTACTGCCGTTGGAGCGTTGGAGACGGCGAGGGATGTGTCGGTACACAGGGCTAACCGGATGTAGCACCTGCACTGACATGCAACCGGGTCTCCGATTTTGATGGATGGGGCGTTTAGTTCATCGCCCCCGCAGTACTGCTTATAAGCTCGTCGACAGCAATCAGCGTCTTCAGCGTTGTGCGAAGCCCTTCATATTGTGCGCCCTCGTCGTCTCATCGCCCACCACCGTACCGCGTCGCTACTCTCGTCATACGCCACATAGCTTCTTGCCTACTCTGATGGCGACTACGATGACCTCTCCGCGCTTTCGAGCGCGCCCGATTCTCAAACGAGACTCGTGCCCAGCCCCTCTAGTGGACGTCGACGAGCTCCCCTTCACGACGTGCGACTACATACTCTCGCCTCACGTCCACTTCCCGCCCACACCCCACATGACGTCGCTGCGCTTCACTCACTCGCCTAACACCTACGACCGCGCACCGATCCTCGTCTCTCCCAATGGCTGCCTCCTGCCGAAGCGCGGAGAGCGAACATTTTATTCGCCTCCAGCGGACTTCGACAGCGAACGACGGGGCCGTTCGCGCAGCCGGAGCTCCAGTCGTACGCGCGACGACGATTCACCGGGGGACGTGATGGGAAGCTACTTCCACCCGCGCGCATTCGAAGCCTGCTCCCCGGAACCGCTCGAGGTTCCCACCACAACGTCCGACAACGCTTCCCTACCCATCCTTGTTCCGGACTTATCTCCTTCGGATGAGTCCGATGACCTCGTCGAGACGCCTCCGGATCCCAGCGCGATGGCCGCTGCTTCCATCGCCATCCACGCGAAGCCTGCGTTCTCTGCGCCTCCACTTGCGGGCAAGTGCGACGTGCCTACCAACGCTGGGCATCGCCCACCCCCGCGTTCGCTGAGGCGGCGGAAGGAGAAACCGGATGGAGTCAGGCCGCATCTGAAGAGGAACGTGACGTTCGCGCCGGACTTGGATGAGGGATGCTTGGGAGGTTTCTGATTGCTGTCTACTCGAGAAACTCTGTGCCTTTCTCTCGGGTCTTATGACACGTTTGCATTGCGGGCCAACGCATACGATACCATCTCGACTGTTGACTATGATACCAGAACTCGACTGCAGTAGTTTGTAGCGCTAGTAAGCGCATTAGGCGCGCAAGAACAAATCACAACGGATGTAATTTTTGGGACCCACAGCCATTTCTGACCATGAGCTTCTCCAAATCTTCGACAAGTCGTACGTCGACATCTGTGTCGAACGTCGCCTGTCTTTCCACTGCCCGTGTCATTATGTTTCCACAGCATCAACCATAGCCTCCAGAAACCCTTTTTCACACGTGCATTACCGTATAAAACTCTAAACTACAGGTCTAATCGGCTTTGGAGACATGTCTAAAACCTTGTACAACGTATGAATGCGTCAATCACGCCCGATCTCAACAGCACAATCACGACAGGAGACATGGTAGCTGAGACAACGGAGTGCGATAGGCCATGCGGTCTATACACTGCTCGTTTGTCTCTTGCGGAAGTAAACCTTAGCACTCCTGTCAGGAATAACGGCGGCCGCGAACCACTTGTTCGGCGGGCGGGGCCCGTCGTCCTCAAACTTCATGTCGTAGTTCAGAACAAGGTGTGCGATGATTGTCTTCAGTTCATTACCCGCGAAGAAGCGGCCAGGGCTGTGCTTCACATTGAGCGAGGACTCTTGCCTTAGAAACATGGACGACGCACCAGGCATGCTTGCCATGACCGAAGGGCACGTACTCCGGCGACGTGCTCACGAATTGGTGCTTGATGCGCTCGCTCTCCTCCTGCCTCATGTCGGAGAAGCGGAACGGGTTAAACACGCCAGCGTCGTCGTAGTTCTCGTCGTCGCAGTGCGTCGCGTCCGCGGCTGCCCCAAGCAGTGTGCCCGCGGGTATCACGGTCCCGTCGGCCAGCCTGAGGTCGACCACGGCCTTGCGGATGACAGACACTGCGAGACGTCCATCAGCGACAACTGCCGACTCGGATCTAAGACTGCTGGTCGAAGCGTACCGCCGCTCGTGCCGTTGACGCGCTGGGACTCCCGCATGAAGCTGTCCAGTTTCCACATCTCACCAATGGCCTGTTTACCCCAGCCATGTTTCTTGATTGCTGTCTCGATCTCTTCGCGGAGCGGTGGGATGAACTCGGGACAGGCAGCGATGTGATACAGGGCATGCGTCACACTCTATCAGGAATATGAGCAAGTGTCCCGCGGAAGTGGAGGTATACGTACGATAGACGATGTGTGTATGGCGACAAAGTTGCTCGACAGCAGAGCGGAGACGACGATCTCGGGCCGGTGGCCAGTAGTTTTGGCTTCTTCCGTTAACCAGGTCAGTAGGTTTTTCTTCAGTCGGCGTCGACGAATCGATCAGTCAAAGACAGGATCCTCTTGCGCAAAGCACTTACAGGTTTGTCTTCCCATTCCTTTCCGTGATGATCGAACTGCCGGAACGTTTCGTCGACTACAGGTCTCACTAGGACGGAGAACTTCTTGAGGGCGTTCTTAGACCAAGGCAGCAAATGGCCCACGATGCTGTCCGAACAGTCAGTCTCCACTAGAGTGCTGTGTTGTATCGAGTACGGCTTACGACTTGAATAGGATCGGCGTGAGGGTCATGATGAAACGTCCTTTGGCGACATCTTTGGTGTAGTTCAAGACAATCTCTAGGTATTCTGGGTTCCGGCCTGGGGTAGTACATCAAGACACAGTGGGGCTCGTCATGCCGGGTGCTATGCTCACACATAGGAAGACCGATGAAGACTCGGTTGCTCGCCCGACAGACGACACGTGTCATGGCAGGCAATGCGACGACACCGACCCACTCTAAAACGGTCGCTGAGTATTCGTAGACTCCACCAAGTGAGACCGACGAAACGCACCTTCCCCTGTGTCAGGTATAGCCTCTTGTACTGCTGACGCAACTTCATCTGCAACATCTGGCATGAGGGCACCCAAGTTGCGGGTGAAAGGTCCGCGAATGACCGGGATATGTATCGGGTTCTCATGGATTTCCTTGGCAATTGTGTACTTCGCCTGTACGAGCTATACCCGCACACATCCTCAGCACATGGATACGCACGGCATAGTCAACATATGAAAGACCTACTTCTTCGGCGGCGTCTATGAAAGACATCTGGTCGTCAGGGAACTTCCGTAGTTCCTCGTTCATGGCCGCGCCGCTGACCACTACAACCCAGCGATCCAATAGCGGCACTCTGAACACTGAGCCTCTATACTACATCACGAAGGATCTCAGATCGAAGTAAATAACACATTCGAAGCAGCGTTTGGCGTACCTTGGTGTAGCCTTCCTGCAGCATCTCACGCGCATTAACGAAGAATTTCAACGCGCCCCAATAGGACAGGATCGGTGCGGAAGGCCCCACAGCTGGTATGCGGTAAAGCTATGAACCAGGTGAGCAAAGTAGCGGATGTCATACTGAGAACCAACCGGATTCATCCTCCTCCGCACGAGGAGGAGTGCAGCTGCGAGAATCAACGCATAGACGATCTCTCGTTCATACATGGTGGTGTCGATCTGACTCAAAATGGGCGGATGAGCAAGGAATGCTGCCTTGGCGTCCGTTCAAAGGGTGCGTCCTCAGGCTTTATGTACAATGAGCCCACGATATACCGACATATTGATTGGGCTCACACGCGGAGGTAGGAGGGGTTTGCGGCGCGCAGGCTAGATCGTACCTGGGCCAATATGCTGCGACAGCGGCAGGAGGCCGCGCGGCAACAGTGGTGGGGCTGCCTATAAGCTTCACCGCCGGATAGTCGGACATCCTTATGACAACGGAGGATGACATAGGTACTGGGAGTGCCCGCTGCGGGGGGAGCACGATGAATCAATACCCGACTGAATTCAGAGAGCGACGCGAACTCCTTCGCATCCTGGGCTATGCCAGAAACTGCTTCCGGAATCGCCGCTTTAGTCGCCTGGCGACTCTTCGCACGGTGGACGGGTATTTGAGAAGGTGCCCATGTCCAGGTCACACTCCTCGATGTCGAGAGTGGGAAGGTCGCAATTATCCTAGTCCGTCGTGACATCACGGAGGGACGCCCTGCGATGGACGAGTGTCAGTTAACCTCAAAAAGTCAACGATCGATCGTACCACTCACACGAGCTCAGCGCCTCGTCAAAGGCTCCGCACCCGAAGCATCGAACGCAGATAGAGTGGAACGAGAGAAGCGCTCAATATAGGTAGTGGAGGAATGGTTGGGATCTGAGGGTTCCCGGCAGTATCCACGAGTATTAGTCGTGCCCACTGGTTGCAAGTGTTACTTGTGAGGCATGTCATTTGACGTACCTGTTTTACACGCAACCAGACGGGGTGTGTCAAGGTCCACCCATGTCTCATCGCAAACCATGGAGCTTGACTGTGCTGCGCACCGCAGTATATGTAATCGGCCAGGAGGCACAGGGCAGGCGCTGCGTCACCGTGTGGCGCTGGCAGCTGCAGACCGAACAGCCACGGGAGAATATCCTCAGCCCTCATGCAACACATACCATACATACAGTCCGTAAGCGATGCCAGAATCTTATCGTCGGACGAACACAGGAAACTAATCTGTGTGAATACGTCCGAACGGCAGTTTTCCCGGGGCTGCCATGCCAGCATGCAAGATACCACCGACGTCGACGCGATGAGCTGCCAGCGCGGCACCGAACTTGTTGCATGGGTTGTGCAAGCCATCGTCAAGCAGCTGCAGCTGCTACTGGTCCGTGATGCCATGATCGCCGGGTCCTGACTAGGTTTGACTTTCAAGCGACAGTGAGCTTCATTGACAAGTAGTACGATCGTGGCAGAGCACACACCGGTACCTTACCTACGAACAAGCGTCTACGTCGGACCAGGCCGTGCCATACCATTCAAGTTATGAGGCCCAGGGTCCATTTCATGGGCGAAAGTCTCTCTATCTGCGCTTCAATGGAAAGCTGGGAAGACTTGTCAGAGCAAAGTCGGCTCACCCGCAGTGTCCCGCACCTTATCGCAGTTGGTTCCCGAAAGCCAGCTAGAGGCCGTGTTCCGACAGGGGGCCGTCATTGCCAACTTCTCCGCGTTTGACCAGTCCCTCCGAATGACTGTCATTGTCTGTCGCCGTCCTGCTTGGTCTGTCACAATGTTCTCCGTACTTCAAGCGTCGAGACGACTCGGAGGGTCCTCCACGACACGCTATTATTTCGTCACCGTATCTCGGTTGTATCACTCCTACTGTGCCAGAGGGTACACCAAGTCAATTCGTCAGAGCGCCAGCAGCCGCTGGCAAGGCAAGCACCGGGCCCGAAAGATAGCAGAGAGGCCCAAGAGAGGCCCTGTTCCCCCCGGATGATGATGCAAAGATGTTGGGAAATGAATGTGACTGTTGGCACGGACAGGCCATTGGCAGTTGTTGCCGAAGTTTGCTCGAACCTAATCACCTTGTCTTCTTGGTTCTTGTCTTCCTGGTAAAGGAGCATATAGACGCAGAAGACTTCCGTTTTTGGAGATGTTGCGGAATTGGTAGGTGCCGTACTGGTAACTTGAGTTCTCGGACCCTCCTCGGTTGAGTCTCCCTCAGCTTACAATCAACGCACCGGCATGCACTAGGGCAGTCGACAGTCGAGAATTGGTGCCCTCCAAATCCGTACACGAGCGCAGGCTGAGGGTGTTAGGCCCCTGAACTTGGAGCGGTCCACACTCAGCTGGCACGCATCTGCAGGTCAACGGCGTTGACTTCATTGAACTACTACCGCACAAACCTTGGTCTGGCTGGCCTCGCCGGTACTCTTCGTATGTGGCCCGTTAGTTGTCATGATCATCCCTGGAACCTACTCACGCGCCTTTTTCCAACCTCGACAGCATGCCGCCAACGTTCAAACGTTACATATTGAAGACGTTCAACAAGCATGAGCCTTTGTCTCCACAGGCGCAGCACCGGGCCATGAATCCACCAAAGAATCGCCATGGCTATATCTGCAAGTGCCCCAGGCCCCGGACACTACCGTCATCAGTGCTGCGATCTCATGTTGACACTCATGAGGCAGCGAACTGTAATAAGCAGGGATTTCAAAGGAAAGGAAGCAAAGCTTGAGCTTGAAGCCCTGAAGCGCGACGCCCTTTGCAATTATCAACCTGTCCGTTCAAACCGCTCGGTCTCGACGTCAGCCTCGTGGACTACAGTCGGGGCCCGCGATGTGTCCTTCGACTCATATCGGTCAGTGGGCCGACATCCAATTGGTAAAGGTAAAGGTAGAACGTAGGTTCAGCCACCGACAGATCCAGAGCGGTAGCCTGGGGACCCTGGGTGCCCGACTCGGGGCCACGGACGCGGGATGCTGGGCCGGTAGAACGGCACAATCGAACATGCACCATAGATCCGGGACCAAGCCTTGCATACTGATTACAGTGCTCTGCGTACAGCTATACAGCTAGTGTTAATTGCTACAAGAAAGAGACAGGAACACATCCATCCAATAAGTAATAATGTAGTCGTCACCAAGATCCGCAGTGGCCACGCCCTCAGTCGACGAAGATCATCTTCTGCTCGGGACCAAAGATCGCGTTCGGCTTGTACTCCCCGCCCTCCAGCTGGCCGCTCTTGCTCGCCTTCAATCGGATCTCGACGCTCCTGTGCACCAAGAACGGCATCCCCTCCTCGTCGGGCACCTCGCGGCCCTTGCCCCAGTTCACCCTGCGCACCGCCCTCGTCAGCGCACACACATCAGCGCATCGCGGAACGCGACCCACCTCATTTCCTCGACCCGATTGCCCTTCTTGTCCCGCGTGCGGTGCGCGAGCGGGATGATCTCGAGCGACCACCACCAGGGCGCGATCTTCAGCTCGTCATAGATCGGGCACAGCGCGTCGATCACATCCTCCTCCTCCTCGCTGAGCGGCCTGCCGGTGCCTCCATTCACCAGCGTCGCGTCCGAGCGGGCGCGTGCGTGCCCCGGCCGCCCTGTGCCGTCCTCCGGCTGCCTTGTGCAGTCCTCCGGCCGCGGGGCGTGCGGGTCGTCGGCGTAGATGGCGGGCGGGCGCTTCGCATTGGCGAGGAGCGCGGCGGGGTCGAGCCCGACTTTACGCAGGAGCGGCGCGTGAAAGCGCACGCCGCTGTTGGTGAGGAAGCACTCGCGGATCATCCACCGCAGCGGGATGCGCGCGAGGTTGTGCCTGCTCGTGTTCGACACGGACCCCCCGCCGACGTCTATCCAGCGATATCGTCAGCGCCTGGCTCGCTCACTAAGGATCATGGAGGATGAGGCAGACTCACCGCAGTGGCAGCCCGCGAACCACACCTCCTTTACGTCCGTCTTGCGATAATGCCCCTCGGCCGCAGAGAACTCCTGCTCGTGCCGCATCTCCTCCTGCTCCTGGCTATTCGTGCGCGTGTGGCTCCCCTTGCTCTCTTTGCTGTCTTTGCCCGAGCCCGCGCCGCGCTGCCCCGCCTTGGGCATCTCGCCTGGCTGCACGCCGCGCTTTAGCTCTTTGTCCGTCAGGAACTGGTAGTGGTTCGCCTTGAACTTCGCGCGGTGCTCGTCGAGTGATAGCGCGTGCCGGAAGGTCTTGATGGCGCTGTTCGAGGAGGTGAAGGGGAGCGTGTGCGGAATCAGCCCGACGGAGCAGACGGTGTCCCTGCAAGGATTGTCGATCAGCATTGGGATGGCGCCGGGAATACTCGCCGATAAAAGACGTACCAGACGCCGATGAAGTCGATATCGACGTCCATCGAGAACGTTTTCTTGAATTCGCGGGACTGCGTCCAGCCCCATTCGTCGTCGCGCGTGAACATGTGGTACGCGAAAGGGACTTGCTGATGGTTCGATCTTGGTAGGAGGCCGACCTTGGAGAGGGCGCTTCAATCAGCATTCTCGTCGCACATTGACGTTCTACACGTTCGCCCACCTTGTGGATCATACCAGCCAAGGCTCGGGCAGTATATGCTCCCCGAGAGAACCCAAACAGGCAGATTTTGTCCCCAGCACGATCTATGTGAAGGTTCAAGGTTACTACATGAATGCGTCGTGCTGTACAAATTCAACATACAATTCGACATGAGAAACTCGTAGCCACCTGCATGTACCGTCAACTTCCCTGAACGAGTACAAGTAGCAGACGGCTTACCCATAACATGCGCATTGAGGTTCCAGGCAATCATCTCGTCGAGCGCTTTTGAGACACCGGCATATAGAGGTGTCGCAATTTGCGGGATAGTGTAGGTGCCAATGCCGGACTGGGATGTACAGCATACATTGCGAAGAACAGTATAGTGCGTGACACAAGCGCATCGTACTTGTCAGTTCAATAGAGACACCACATGGGGAGACGCCACAATACCTGATAGTAAACCATTTGCTCCTCTGGGTTGTCTTTCATGAGCATAGAGAAGAACAAGATGACATTGGAGTTCTAGCGATCGCATGTGAGCATGCTTCCGGCCCAGAGTTATCTTGACGTACGTCGGTATCGAACTGATCACCGGTGCCATCAAAACAGAGGACGAGCGTCCGTGGTAACCGTTTCGAGGTGGGCGGGATGACATCCCAGTCGTTGTTGAAGGTCGAAGGGAGGTCGCCATTGCTCGAGCTGGGTGACAGTGAGCACGCGTCGGACATGGCGGAGGTCACTGAGGCTCTATGAGGGTGCGGAGATTGGGGAGATAGGAAGGGCAGAGCTTCGAAGAGTGGGAAGGCGGGGCTGCGGCTTCTTATACATGGCTGCCTCGGGAGGATTGGAAGAGCGGCTCGAGAAGGGCATGAGGCGGGGAAGAGGCTGGACGAAGAGCTGGACGAAGAGGCAGGTGGCCGCGGGGAAGATCACTTATCGGTCTGCGAAACGTGTGCGGGAGGGAGCGCCGCTCCTATTCTGGGCAGCGAGAGTGCGGTGGGTATGGAAGACCACCACAGCCGGCGCTGCCCCCGCCTCCTTCGGGTATAGCATGCGCACCCAGGATCCTCCGTGTCTTCTCGCCCACGCCGGTACTGCGTCCGCTGTCCATAGCACGCCATGGCTGGAGATGGAGAGCCTGTATCTGTCAAGCAACTTCAGTGTCTGTGTCAAGAGGCTAAGCAGAGAAGGTTGGAGGACACGGTACCGTCGTAGCGCTGGAATCCAAGTCAGACCGCGGGCCTAGTGCGGGCGCCAAACACCAGTAGCCCAGCACATCCTGATTACACCAGGAGCCGTCGCAGAGCAAATGATGACGGTAGATGTGCGTCAGGCAGAGGGAATCCGAAGGACGAACGAGGTCGCGAGGTCGCCGTTACTGGGTTAGAGTGGTGCGTTTCCAGACACGATCACGTGCTGCGTATGACCGGTATAGTACTCGCGCGTCTGTCGATCATTGCAACTCGCTGACACAGCATCAGCATTAAGAGCATTATATATGATCGTGGCGCACCCCAACCTGGAAGTAGTTCCACATGCTAGATATTTGGAAGACAGCTGCAGGATATGGGCTGCATAGGCCAGAATGGAAAACAGCGGAGGCGTGCGTGCCAGTAGTCTCATCTCCGGAAAGTCCAAGGAAACCACTGTACTTAACTGTTTGCTGGGTCATGAAACCGGGACGGCACGACGCCCAGATTTCTGCTCTCAATGAGGTCGACTGCACGAAGGCCCTTCGCTTTGCGGTCATTGGTAGCACTAGTGCCATTACACGCTGTTGAAGGCAACTCGGACTCCTTTGCCAGGTTCATCACTCCAAGTACTGTACGTTCTCAACCCAAACGCGATCAGATTCGAAGACGTGTCTACCGTCTCACAGCGTCTCACAGGCATCGCCACTGAGATCATGAGCGCCAGGACTTCGATCCAGCTTGGATCCAGCCAGGCTGATTCAGCAACAATTCCATCTAGCCGCCCGGCTCTTGCGCGAGCGCACCTCCTCTTGCTGACGACGCCCACCGCCAACTCACGCGTCGACACAGCGGAGATACCCTCCCGCCGTACCATGGCACCCGCCGAGAAAGACAAGACAGCTAATGGAGAGCCCAAGCAGCGACGCCGCCCGGGTCGTGTCCCAGTCTCGTGTGCCGAGTGCCGCCGGTAAGTGGCGGTGGCCATCTCGCAGTATATGTTCAACAGTTGACTGGTGGTCGGCGGACAAGCTTGAAGCTGAGATGCGACCGCAAGGTGCGTTGTGATCGTGAGCGTGGTGTGTACGGGCTAATGGGCAGTAGGTACCATGCGAAACATGCGTGAAGAGAGGATGTTCTGCGATCTGTCCGGAGGGTGCGTATGCTGTGTCCGTTCTTCGTCCGCCTGTCATGACGTCTTGTGCAACAGGCTCGTTGACGACAGGCAAGGGGAGCCGGTACGAATGTTCCGTTCCTATGTCGCTGAGGATGACGGCTGAAACTATGCAGCCTCGCGCTAGCGGACGCGGAGGAACTGCACAAGAAGATCGAGCGCCTACGCGAACGCGGCAACAAACTGGAGGAGGCACTCCGGACGCTCCAGGCAGCCGTCTCTGACGAGCAGCATCCCCTGCTACGGGAGAGACTGCCATGGACACTTCCCCGGCATCCGGGTCGAGCGGCTCATCCCCTTCAGGGCCATTGCTCACTCAGGAGGACGAGGAGATCCTCGATGCATTCGGTACGATTACTGTTGACACTTCAAGGACCATTCGTTACCTTCCCCATAGGAACGCTCACCTTGGGCATACGAGGGGAAGCAAGATTCTTTGGCCAAACGTCGCGCTCAGAGGTACCGTATCCCGCGCAGCCGTTCCCCCCGTTATGGCTGACGTACTTCCGCCCTGCAGTATCTCATCCACGTTAGGATTCCTCCTCCTTGGGACACTGCACACTTGAGCTGAACGAGGCGTATTAGGCACCGACGCGGACCGTCCCCGCCCCCAACTCCTTCCCCCGCCTCTCGCCCGAGCTCGTCGCAGAGGCGCAAATCGAGCTCGACGTGCGATGCCACAACCTCACGATACGACAGGAAACCCAGGCGATGATGCCCTCGCTCTCGCAGGCGTGCCATCTCTGCGAGATCTTCATGGAGTCCGGGCAGTACTTGTAGGCAGTAATCACTTCGCATGCGGCCCGTGGCTTAACGTAGATGCACAGATGGTACCCCATGCCCCGAGCGGAGCTGTTCGACGACATCCTGGGGAGTGCATACAAAACGCAGTCAGTCGTCCCAGACACTCTGCCGTGAGGTGCGCCTGCTGACAGCTATGTATGCACACAGCGAGGGTGGTTGCAACATCGCGTCGACACACGCGCTCGCGGTCCTCTTCATGGTCTTCGCGCTCGCGACGCTCTTCGACCCGAACCTCGCGCCGTACTCCATCGAGGCGCACGAGTACTACCTCCTCGCGCGCATCTGTCTCCGCTGCGCGCCGGCCATCCACGACACGACGCTATTCTCCATCCAGAGCTTGGTACGTTCTCGGCGAGTCCTCTTAACTCTGCACGCAGACTGACAGAGGCGGCGCCCGCTTGCGGTTGGTCCCGCGCAGATATACCAGGCGCATATCTCGAATTGAGCGACTGCGAACCGGCGCATACGGGCTCGCACAAGGCGTGGCTGACGATCGGTCTCGCTGTGAAACTCGGACATGGAGTGAGCGCGATTGATGTCTAGGCATTCTTGAGATGAGGGCTGACACCTACGTTTCGCGTCGCGCAGATCGGCCTGCGTAAGTCTGACCTTCCGTTATACTGACTGCATGACCGGTAAGCCGACTGCAACTCGAACGTATGCAGACGTCAACAGCAATCGATGGAAGCTCGACGATGAGAACAGCCAGAGGAGAGCACGGGTGTTCTGGCAGCTGCTCATGCAGGATACTTGGCTGGTAAGTGCGGAGGTCTGATGTGGGTACGCCGTGCGACCGTGACCCCGTAGAGCTTCGGATTTGGGCGACCTCCCAGCATGTGTCTCTCCTTCGTCGACTGTCCCTTTCCGAAAGACCCAGAAGAACGGACGAATGCACAAGGCCAGAAAGAGGGCGGGTGTACGTAACCGCTTCCATGCCTTCGCATCACGGCGCATACTAACCCTCCTTGGACCAGTCCACGCATGGACTTGGCAATACACGAAGCTCCTGAACAAGATTATCTTCTCCGTGTTCGGCGCGAAGACGCCACAGTACTCGTCCATCCTGGAGTACGACCGCATGATCCGTGACTTCCCCGTCCCCGCCAACCTGCGACCGAACTGCGGCCAACACTGTGGGGAGCCGGCCGACCTGCCCGTCCCGCAGTTCACGCAGCGCTTCTGGACGCTGACGCAAAAGGAGGCCAGTGAGTGAATCTGCTGATCCGCGCAGGAACAAGCATGCTGATGGCGGATCGTACCAAAGCGCTCCTGAGCCTGCATAGACCGTGGTTCGCGCAGGCTCTGCACGAGCAGCCGGGGGACCTCCTTCGACACCGGTACGGCCCGTCGGTCATGGCCATATACCGGTCTGCATGGCGGATTATCGAGAGTGCCAGGGAGGCGCACAAGCGTGCGGGCGTTGTCACTTCGAGGCTGGGGATTGTGTGGTCCCAGTGTCTTGCTGCAGGGGTGAGGCTCTTCTATGCTTGATCGGTAAACGGAGCGCGAGTCGCTGACGGGAGAGGGACCAGATCGTGATGTGTCTTTTGGTCACGCGCGCCCCGACGTCGGCCCTCGCGGTGTCTTCGCTGCAAGAACTCGATGTTCTCGTCGAAGTATTTGAGAAGGCTGCCACCAGGAGCCAGATCGCTTCCAACAACCTGGTACGTATCCACCTCATTCCCAATGATCTTGTGCCGACTGCGTTCCACATTCAGGAGGTCATCCGGAAGCTCCGCGGGCAGGGCTACGAAGTGCTCCACAAGCCCCGCACTCCGGGCGAGTCCAGTACGAACGCAATAAATGACCGGGAACTCGACCGCCTCGGGGGCAAGACGCACCTCATCTCGTCCATGCACGAACCTCCATTGGTGTGCGTACCTCAGGGCTCTGGCGCCCTGTCCTCCTCGTCGCCCGCGAGCAGCAGCTCGAACGCGGTGTCATCGGACATGATCCACCCGACGATCATGCAGGATCTCCGCGTCTTCGAGGGCATCGACGCCGCGAGCCTGAATGTCGGCTCGTCGTCGTCGGTCGACATGAACCAGTTCAACTTCGCGTACGTGTTCGACGGACTGCGGCAGCCGCAACAGGGGCAGGAGATACCGCTGCAACAAATGCAGATCCCCCCACAGCAGATGCAGCAGCCGCCGGTGCCGGGCCCGGATATCTTCGACGAGCTGTTCGGGGCACAGGCCTTCCCGCCGGAGCCGGAGCCGCCTGTGGGCCCGCCCGTGCTGGATGCTACATGGCAGTCATTCATAGAGCAGCTGGGCTTTTGAGAGGGACTCGGTGGGAGATTCATGTACATTTACACATATACTGTTACAGATTCAGACTAATGCAGGCCGTCATGCGCCTATTCTCCACTCGCCGCTTTGCAGGCTCGAATGTGGTCTGTCGTGTCGTGAGGCAGCAAGGTGGTACGGTAAGACACTCGTTGCTTCTCACTAATAGATCGACGGTACGTTCACCTCAGACATTAATAGAAAGTGCCCTTCACCTTTGGCATCTTGGACTCCCCGAGGGGCCGAGCCAACTGGGCCATCCACGCATTCGTGGACTCCCATCCATGCTTGAGCTCAGAATGATTTCGCAAGTCAGGGATCACGAAATGGTGTGGGAGTAACTAATCGACACCGTAGAGCATCAGTGCTTCGGTAAGGGATTGTAAGTAGGACAATTGAGATCGGTACCATCCCGCCATGAAAGGTATCAACCATCGCCAGAGACGAGGTGCAGAATTATTACGGTAAGTTGCCATGCAGGCGTACTCGAAGAACTGTGGATAAACCCCAGAGCATCCCCAATCAATCAGCCACAGCCTGCCGTCATCACCGAATATGAGATTCCGCAGTGCAATATCACCATGAGTAAAAACGAGTGGTGCTGTATCATCGAAGACCAAATTGTCCGATAGGGAAGGACTCTGTCCACGAGCTTGAGACATTCGATGGTCTATGCGGACAGCAAGGTCCGCTTTTCTGTCGTACCACGCTACGAGCTCCTTGTATGAGGCGAAAGGACCCGCGCCAAGGTCTTCGGCGAAGTAGCATCCTATACACTGACGGGGTTGGCCAGAACCATCTATAGGACCCGGGATGCGTGGTGTAGGTAGTGGAACCCGGCGAAGTTGGTGGATATAACCGCGGAGTGTCCAAGCAATCCAGAGCTTCGTGGTGATGCTGAGAGAGGGCCAAGCCTCCTCGAGGGTGCGCCCTTCGATGTACTCCATGAAGACCCATACGTCGGATTTCCAGGTGACGTATTTACGGACTTTAGGGATAGGTATTGTTGTTGTGGATGATACCAGTAGCATCGTATATGGCTCGAAGGGTGACTCGTCGGTTCTCTTGAGAACGGTGTCCGATGAGATGCGCCACACAGTTGGCGGGTAGATCCCGTCACAGTAAGCGAGCCTGCCTTGGACATGTCCAGTGAGGCAATGATGGCGTATGCGTCTTCATCCGAGATCTCGTTAGGAGGCGCAATGACCTAGACGTGCGTCCCGCAGAAATAAACATAGTGCAATGTGCGTGGAGAAGTAGTACTTGCCTCTACTCCCATAGGAGAGCTACGACCACTGGAAGAAAGCATCAGAATACGCATGATAATAAAACGAGTATATCGTACTCACAAATATGACCCCATGGCGGGTGAGCAAAGCCCTTCTGAACGTTCAAACGTTCAACTTGATTATGCGAGCACTGGCAGAGGCCTCGCACCGTGACGTTGATGATGCGATGCGGTGACCGAGCGTGGGAATGTTCCGAATAATCCGCAATACGCCGCGGAGGATCCATACAGTATATTCTTTCTTTCATGTCCCAAACGTGGATGCGTGGACATCACTGCACAACTTGAAGCTGTCTAATGACGGAACAACGAGCGATACATATCAGATCAGCAACGAGGCGTTCTTCGACTTCTGTCCTTCTGAAAAGCTGCGCTGACTTGCAGGTGGAGACCTGAGGAGGAGGAAGAGGAGGCGGATGTATATGGATATGCCGGGTTCGGAGGTGCCCAACGTGCGTATGCCATAGCGCGTGTCCGATGGACGGAAACTAGTCAAGTTCTTCATGACTCCTCTCTGAGGTGATCTGTCAAAAAGTACGTGATTGGCATGCTTTTCGGCCTGCTTCTCTAAACGTCTCATGTACTGATCAACTATGTAGGCGAGTCATTAGAGTTGCCATGACCCAAGGACATCATCTGGTGAGCTTTCGTGTGTCGTTGACCAAATCTGTCTGCGGCAGCCTTAACGCCCTAAGTAGTAGATTAAATTGGTTCTTCAGGTTCTTAGCCCATTGTGACCTGTCACGGTGATATAAGTAGCACTATGATTGTGGTGGCGTTTACGGAACCAATCATGGCACCCTCTTCTGACCATAAGGCGTTTCGCGACATATTGGCCAGTGCGAGGCGTGTCGTCATCCTAGCAGGCGCAGGTCTCTCCGTTGCATCAGGTATGCAGACCCTGCCCATGTTTCTAGTGTTGGATCATGACGACTAGCTACGATAGGTATTCCGACCTATCGGGGCCAAAACGGACTCTGGAAAACCAGGGTATGTGTACTGACTCGTAGTGATTCCAAACCCGATATGAGCTGAATGTGCCTCGTAGAACTCGACATCCTTTGCCACACCCGAGCAATTCAGAGAGGACCCTAGCGGGATCTGGCAATTCTATCATTGCGTACGTGAAAGGTGAATCTGGTGAACAACATGTAGCGGTATCAGTCAACTCAAGCTCCAATCAGGTGTTTGAAAGCCCAGCCGAATGCAGCTCACCTTGCCATCGCCTCGCTCGTTCTACCTTCAGTTCGCTCTCGCCTGATGCCATCGTTGGCAGAGAACAGACCTCCCCTCTTCATAACGCAGAATTTCGACGAGTTATCGTTGCGAGCACTCGATTCGTTGTCGGATCGGATGACTTCAGCGGAACAGAAACTAGCGCGGGAACGACTTATCGAGACCCACGGCTCCATAAATCGGACGGTCTGCCTACAGTGCAAGCATATAAATCACATTATCGACACGCCTCTTTGTCCTGCCCTCGGAGGTATAACCGAGGCTATAGCAGGCGAACAGGTCATACCAGTCGATCAGCTACCGCGGTGCGGCGGCGCGAAATGGAACGGGGCTAATCGTTATGGACGATGTGGCGGATTGCTTCGTCCAGCAATCGTATGGTTTGGCGAAGTTCCGGAGGGGATGGGCGAGATAGCAAAGGAGTTGAACTGGACAGACCTCTTGATCGTGGTAGGAACATCTTCATTGGTGAGTGCACTGTCAGCCAAAAGCGATCCGAGGTTGGTGGTGTGGCATACTAGGTACACCCTGCAGCAGGCTTCGCTAGAACGGTCAAGAGTAGAGGCGGAAAGATCGCAGTGTTCAACTTGGAACGTTCTGAAGGGGATGAGAACGCCGATTTCTTATTCCTTGGGCCCTGCGAAGACACCGTTCCATCAATTCTAGAAGCTACATACTAGTGGGAGTACGTTTCCAAGCCCCATGTTTCTACACCTTGGTGTTCTATCAGCCAGTATCAAGGCTTTGATACTGGCGTACTAGTAAGTAGCGTGGCGAAATACTACACGTTGGCACATGTACATCTCCCCGTCACCTCATTGCGTTCTTTCCCCGCCCTCCATGGTGATACTGAGAGGGTCAGGTCTCCTCGAGAATCCGCCCCTCGATGTACTTCATGAAGACCCATACATCGGATTTCCGGGTGACGCATCTACGGACCTTGAGGATGGGTATCGTTGTTGCGGACGATACTAGTAACACCATATACGGCTCCGAGTCGAAGGATAACTAGTCCTTTCTCTTCAGAACAGCGTCCGATGAGATGAAACAACATGCAATATGCGCGAACGCTTGCCTCTATCCCCGTACCCGGACGAGTTGAATGGGCGGTCACTGCCTTCACCGACATACTCTGTAGAGAACGACATGCATGTATGAAGATCAGTCCGAGTGAGAATCGTATTATACAATCCAAGTCCTTAGCGGAGTACAGTGCTTGAAGACAGATCTGCTCAATGCACGAGATCACTTACATGCCATCGTCCGTTTCCTGAACAAGACCTGGGCAGTCTGGGACGGCATGTTGGTCATGGTAGCCCACTCATTCTCTGGTCTCCGGCCGTCCTGGAACTTCACATCGTACTTCAAGACGATGTTCGCCAACATGATCTTCAACTCGTGGGAAACGAAGAAGCGTCCCGGGCTGCAGCAAAATCCGAGTTAGCATTGATGTAGAGCAGACCATCAGGATGGTACGTACCACGCATGTCTACCGTGGCCAAAGCTTATGTCCTTGCCCGAGGTCGACACATACTGGTGCTTTGTCGTGTCGTCTTCTTGCTCCCGTAGTCTCGAGAACCGGAAGGGATCGAACGCGTCCGCGTTCTCGTAGTTGTTCTCGTCGTGGTGCGTAGACGCTACGATGGCAGTCAAGATGGTACCCGCCGGGACGCAGGTGCCGTCGGAGAGCGTGAGATCCTTTATTGCACGGCGGAACAGGGAGACTAACACAGCCGTTAGTCAGGTCGATGTCCAACCACCGGAGAATCTGCCTTACTACCGCTGACCCCGTTCAGCCGTTGCGATTCCTTGATGAAGCTGTCAATCTTGACCATGCGCCCCAGCGCAGCCTTCGTCCAACCTCCCTCCTCTTTCAGAACGCTTTCCACCTCTTCTCGGAGAGGCTGCGTATACTCTGGGCTTGCAGCTAAATGGAACAGCGCATGTGTAAAACTCTGAAACTATCTGTGAATGAGTATTCTCGACACTTAGTAGTAGGCACATACGACGGTCGATGTGTGAAGGGCAGCGAAGTTCATACCCAGGACAGCCTGTACGAGAAGATCCTCAGGTGACCAAGCCCTTGCTCTTTGGCGACGTCCATGCACCACATCAGACAATCATTCTGTGAATGGGCAATCTAAATTGTAGGGCAAGAATGAAGTGACGATGGAGACTCACGGGTTGTCAGCCCAGTCTTCGCCGTACTGTTCCAGTTGCTTTCGCCGCTCATCCAACATAGGCTTCAAGATTGGGTAGATGCGACGCCTCGCCCGACGCGGCCAAGGGAGTAAAGGCCCGACAATTCTATCAAGCCTTTCATCAGCAGTCGTTATGCCGTACCAGAATTCAGACTCACGGCTGAAGGATCGACGGTACAAACGTAAGCACCGTGACTCCTTTCACGACGTCGTTGGAGAAGCCTATCACGACGTCCAGAAACACCTTGTTGCGACCTCTCGAGATATAAGCGGCCTGTCATGATGGATGGCATACATGGTGCACACATAGAGGTTCTCCGACGAAAACACGGTTGCTGGCTCTCGCTACGATCTCCTGGACAGTCTGGAACCCAGCAATAGGTAACCAGTCTGAGGGCCGGATAAGCAAGGCGTCTACGAAAGCAACTCGAAGGCACGTACCATTGTCGATTGCGGGAATCAGCTCGTCCAGGGCGAGCTGGACCTCGTTCACCACAGCGGGAGCAACTACAGCGAGATTGCGCGTGAGTTTCTGCTTGATGGCTGTGACGTGTATGGGATATTGTACGATGTCCGGCTGGATCGTCCACTCCGTGTGTACCAACTACAGCGCGTAGTCAGTTCGAATAAAGGTGATAGGTCATACATTCACAACGCACCTCTTCAGCCGCAAGTTCGAAGGATATCTGGTCGTCTGGAAATCTACAGAGCTCCTCGTTCATGTCCGCGCCACTGACGACGACGAGCCAGCGGTCTACAAGCGCAATCTTGAACACCTTGTACTGCAACCAGGACCGGCGAAGTCGTGATCAGACCTGGCGCAATCTGCAACGGCGCGAGCGTACCTTGTCGTATCCTTCCTGGAGAACAGCATGGCCATTGAAAGCGAACTTCAACGCGCCAACGTATGAGAATATCGGCAGAGCAGGCCCAATGGTACGGATATGTCGAAGCTGGGTTCAAGTCAGATGCTTGCATGAGCTTCGGCGTGGTCTGATAGATAGTGCTGCCGTACTCACAGGATATGTCCTCCACCGTAGAAAGAGCAAAGCACAAGCTACGCCAAGCAAGCTGTAGATCGTCGGAATATCCATCATGGTGGCAAGTGACAAGGCCTCTCAGCCTTTGAGCAACTGATGGGCAAAGGCTGACCCAGTGGGATGAAGAATACACTGGCAAGGAGACGAGTGATAACCGGCAGACAGGCCACAGCCTTGTTATATGACGACATTGGGAACATTAGTCTCCGTTGCGCAGACCATAGGAGCCGACAAGCGTCTGGGGCACCGGAACAAGACGCGCTAGGAGTGCGACGCGCTGTCGATTGTCTCTAATCGGTAGCTTGGCCCGGGAGCGTGGTTCCGACTTGGTTCCGACTTCCAGCATCGCCGCGTACCTCACACAGAACCACAACGTGCGCAGTTCTTAGTTAGCGGGAGCTTGTTGGACCCGGAGGTTTGTCTGAAGCACTAGACTAGTGACTTCCGAATGCGTTGAGCTCAGGCCGCGAGACTTGTTTCTTACAGATAAGTAGGTTCTGGAATGACACCTCTGTCTAGTCAGAGAACCGCCAGTCTTCACGCGGGATGAATCGATGATGCCGCACATAACGCCCACACAAATACCAACTACTGGATGTTCTTACAGACGCATCCTAGCTTATTGGGATGCCATGAGACGATATCAGTATGCTTGCGCGATCGAGCGACCACTTACACTCTTCAACTGGGGTGTCCCATAAGGTAACGGTGTCGGTTCGGGATAGCCATGCATGCTTAGGAGGTTGACTTGCCCTTCGGTTCGACATTCCTGCGGTCCGATACTCTACAACAAAAGGTTCTCCGTCCAATCAGGACTGTCCATCTGCGTGACATCACCCCGTCCTCAAGATGAGGTGGACACCGCTGTCCGTGCTCACGATGTCGCTAATCTGACCTACTTTCAGAGCGTAGGTAGCCTCCTCAAACGGCTTTTGCATTTGTCCCTGTATCAAATGCAGTAAATCATTAATCTTGTTAACTGAACAACGGAGGCACTTACAGGTCCGAATGAGCCGAGGTCACCGTTGTTTGCATGGGAAGAGCAGTCAGAGTGTACGCTGGCGAGCTCCCCGAACTTCTCCGGCGAGCCATCAATCTCAGCAGCGTAGCCCTTGAGAATCTCAAGGGCTTCCTCCTTGGAGCGCGTAATCTTCGCCTACCCAGCGGGTGTTAGTTCCCTCGACAAGGCAATTGACTGGGTATATGCACCTCCTTCCAGCTGCTCGGCCTCCGGCTCCCGCTGTGCTTCACCAGCAGATGGCTAGCACGCACTTGCGCAGGTCGCCCACCCTCACCGAGCAAATACTTTTTCGCACCGGGCAGCGCGTGCAGCTCCTCCTGGGTGAGCTCCGTGGGCGGGTCCCATATGGACTGCCCGTTCTGGGTGTTATAGTAGTAGGGCACCTTGCGCGAGCTGGACATGCGGACTTCCCATGACTGAAAGCATTATCTAGGTCTATGCCCAGGCCAGTAACAATGAGCAGTGTCAAAGCGCACCATCTTTGTATACGTGATATGTAGAAGCGAGAGGGTGGCTATAACGAGTTGGCAGTGAGACTGAGAGTGAGCCTGAGAGCTGCAGCGCTACGATCCTGATCTCGTAACCACGGTTTAGCGCCCTCCCTCACTGTGACATTACCTCCACCTCCTCCAAACCTCCTCGACCCTCTTCCACCGCTCTCTTGCGTCGGGCCGAAGTGCTATACATTGTCAGACGAAGCCAGTGATCGGCGGCCGCTGCTGGTTGCCCTGCGAACGAACGGCGTCCACCCGAAACTGAAGACCAGTCCGCCTCTAGGTCTGTCACCGCATAGTCGTGCCCTGAATTGTGTTTGATTTTCCCCTCATTTGTCTCTGAAGCACTCGGTTGCAGATGGATCTGTACGGGGGTCAGTGATGGTGCGATGCCTGGCTGCGCGGATTCATACCGTGCTTCGTACATCCTGAGGAGTAATCCAATAGACGTACTAGAACATGAAGGCTGTCTTCGTCGAGTGCGTTTTTGCCCTTTCTTCTGTGTGGCGCCATTGCTGATGCTAGCTGCGTAGCACTCCTGTCTCGCTATTCGCGTGAATCAGCTGTGTTTTATTGCAGGAAAGCCACGACGTTGCGCAAACGCTGCAATTCAGCTTACGCCCGCTGCTCATGCCGTACTCCCGACCTGTCCGCGCAACACCTTCACGCGTTCGTCGGGATGATGACCGGAGACTTAGTGCCGCTGCGCTTGTTTTCAACGCGTAACCCGCTAGATCAAGGTATGTCACGTCCGCGCATGCCTGGCGGACGCTATGACATATCAACATGTACATGACAGATACAGTCCTTCGTCTGCCTCGTCTACCTGATTTTTGAGGCCTGAGTTGATGTACCGGGTGAGTGCATTACCGATATGTCGTTCTGCCGCTCGATTTATATATCGGTTTCGCTCAGGTCGTCTTCGCTGGATGTAAATGCTACGCTACGTGCCCGTCGTTCGCATTCGCTACATCTCGTCCACTCCTGGAACGTACGCCCATCCAACACCAACCTTCACACTGCTTCCCGCAGTCGGGATCCCCAAGTAATGTACGCATCACGCTCGACCTGGTCATATGTGTAGCCTCGCGCGCGCGGAGACGGCTTCAGACAACAAGGACGACAGGGTTCCGTGTCCGAGCCTGCCTCTCTCATTCGCAGCTGTTGGCCCTCCGCAGAGCATGTGGAGCGATCATGGCGAAGACACGACGATGGCGATGTCAAGTGAGGTTCTACGCAATGTCGGCGCTCGAGGAGATAAAATAGGGCATGACGAGGATGGGTGTCGGCCAGATATGTGCGTCCACATGTTCCTCGTCATGCAGGGAGTGTCGTGTTGAACTCGTGACCGCACAGTGCGAGGTGTAGCTCATCGGTGTTGTGTAGGTGTCTCAATGACTCGGAGGCGACGCAGCTATGTAGAAATGTGATGCACCATATCCATTGTTGGTGCTGGTACTGTATTGAATGCGGTCCTGGCCCGCGTGTTCCCTTCCTCTGTTTCAGAACTCAGCGCACGATCCCGCGTCAGTGTGGTCGACCGTGAGCTTGATCATCGGTAAGGGTTCATATATGTAACAAGTTCATCAAGGTCCACATTGGGTTCACATGCACATGCCTGCCTCGCGCGAGCTAGCCAGAATCAGGCGCACTGCATCCCGGGACAGCGGTCCTCTCTATGCGATTTCCGTGCACGCGGACTGCAGGTGAATAATGCGAGTACCGCCTTGTACAGTATTCCGATCATAGCGGGCTATCCACTGAAAGCAAAGGACCGCTTGCGATATCGTGTATCTGTGTTTGACGCTTCTACCCGGCGAGCTAGCGCTACGTTGGATCGATGCATATATACACCACCTATCATTGCCTTCGCTGTCCCTGTGCTCTCCCCTTGTCCTGCTTCGAGTCTTTGCAGCGCACACCAAGAGTCATTGAAAGTCCTTGCTAGGTACGACCTCGCTTTCGCCAACGGATATCCTTACTGATGTCGTGCTTTCCTTCTAGCGTCGCGACTACGAACGGTTGCCAGTACCTCGCGAACCAACGACCCGGACGACGCACCCCTTGACCCGTCCGGTAGTCAGTCTGAACCCCAAGCAATAGGTAGCTTATCATCGCATTTTTTGTTCCTCACGAGCCGCGGTCTGAAACGATTCGGATACCACTAGGAGCGTGACTTCCCTGTCGGAAGTCTGCGACTTTGGCGACAGCTCAGCCACGTCGCTGTAGCGCATATTCTAGACGGAATGGACAGAGACGAGTCGACGTAAGTGTCACTGTCGGAACTGAGTAACGTGGTTCACACATGAAGAGCACAGTTCAACCGCAGCGTCCGGGGGCCCTTCGAATTCGCGGCTTCCTGTGGAGGTCTGTGAACAGATCATCGACTACATAGCTGCGGGATGGGATATGGGCTATACCGTCAGAAAGGGCGAGCCACATCTGTCCACTCTCACATCCTGCGCGCTCGTATGCCAAGACTGGTACTACCTGACATGGTACCATCTGCGTCAAATCATCCATCTACGAGACCGGAAGGATGTTCTGTCGCTCTCGAAGACACTCCGCGCGAAACCGCGCCTCCGTGAGGTCATTCGACAGATCGTTATATCGGGTGCCTTTCCCGGGGAATGTCACCCTATCCGGCACCTGGGGACGTTTGCCACCATGCTCGCGGGCAAACTTCCGATGTTGTGGAGGATCACCATTGAAGACGCTGAATGGCCCACCGGCTCGGTCCGAATGGAGGACATCGGCTACCTAGCTACGTTTAGCTCCATCAACACTCTGGTCGTCCGCAATGTCATCTTGTCGAGCGCTGCCCAGCTATCCCGCCTCGTCTCAGCACTCCCGTGGCTTAGGAAGTTGTGGTGCAACAGTGTCAGTTGTTTGCAAGAACAGCAAGTCTCCCCAGCCTCTCTCCCACTGAACTCTGCAAATATGGAGGAAATGGATGTGCGATGGGTTGCACCAGCAGTCGAAGACCTCTTCGCGCAGATCAGCCGGGCTTCTCGAGTGCGTGAATTCAATATTGGGGTGGACGACCAGTCGGATCCATCCTCGGCAGTTAGCAGAAGCCAGACTTTGCTGGATGCGAGTTCCACATCTGCGGAAAAGGTTGGGCTCGAAATTGTCAGTTCTCCTATTATTGATGGTACAATTGATGCCACGGTCGGAAAGTTTTATTAGTTCTCTTCCTCGCCACTTCGCTGATTGCTTTGTGCCTACAGAGCAACACTACAACCTTTCACGCCACGACCATCTATGGAGGTTGGATATCTACCTGAAACGCCCCTTCGCAGCATGGCCCTGGATCCCACATATCCTGTCACGCATCACTTCAAAACACTTTCAATCATCTCCGTTGTGGTTCTTGATATGAATCACACGCACAATCACCTGGACGACTTCCTGGTGACAATGGAGCAAGATGGTGTCTTGGGACAGCTGGACGACATACTGCAGGAGAAGTACTGCTCCAGTACATCACTCAATGTTTGCCTAGGCTTCTTTCCATGTCGTGATTGCACTTGGGTCGCTGGCAAACAGTGTTTTGGGACGGGTTCAACACTCCAGGAGCAGTTTGATCGGTTGGACGGGCATCGGTGGGACAAGCTTGTCAGGCAGAAGATGCCACACTCAAATGGACGAGGTATACTGGCGTAAGTAGTACTATGGACTGAATCGAACTCCAGTGACCCGCTGAATACCCTTTAGCACCGCACATAATATTGAAGAACGCTTCAGCTGGGGAATCGTACAGCGCGAGTTGAACAGACAAACACTGGAGGAGAGGTGCAGCCCGAGAGTCGAGATGACGAGGGTCCTCAAGACACTGCGGATTGACGTCCTCGAGATCCCGCATCGTCGCAGTAATTGTTGCTTGGAGTGCCGTGAGTACCGTCATCATATGTAGTTACTGCTTCTCTCCTGATCGATTATGTGATCTCAAGGTGCACCGCAGCCGGAATGCGGGTCGGAGGACCGACGTTGCTGGTGTCAGGGAAGGCATTCGTGCTCCCTCGAATCATATTCATTCCTCGAGAACCTTAGGACTGGACAGACGTTGATAGGCATATCTTGTGCTCGAGATAGACAATTGAGTGTTGACGTTGAACAATAAGTCTCCGTCAATGGCTGGCTACTTCAGCCAGTTGTAGACGTTCTCTTCCTAGGACTCATACTCGCGGCGAGTCGAAAACCATGCCTCCGAATCGGGGTGCATGAGGATGAGGAGTTAAGCGCGGGATAAATACCACTGGACGCAAGGATTATAAAGCTGCGAAGGGGTGGGCGACAGTGAAATGATAGATCTGGTATGCAGCAGCAGCTGCAGGGTGCACACTGCAAAAGAGCGTGTGAAGCCACAGTTTAGCGCCCATTCCCCAGAAGCGCCGTCGCGTCTCGAGCGCCACACGCGCTCACCTCCTCGGCTCCGCCACCGTTGGCTGTCCTTGTCCACCATCCCAGTACTTGTTGAGAACACCTGGATCCACTACCTCGAGAGATTCTTGGTGCACTAACCCTGCTACCTGCTGACTTGCGAACGCTTGAGATGCAGTCGACAGAGGCCAGCCTGAAGGCCTTAATTGCCAAATTACCACACCCAGCAGACAAGTCGGTTCTTGACCCTCTTGTCACGGAGGCCTTGTCGCGCGCGAAGACAAGCTCATCTCCTGAGATCCGGAGAAACCAATGGGAATACGCGCTGAAGAAAGAGATCTTTGCGCTTGCCGTACGTGCATGTTTTGTCTCATAGAAGCGAGCCCCAGAGCCGATCATTGGCGTTCTGTCGCAGATGACGGAAGGTCAGGCGTTGAAGGAGCCCAATACACGATATTACGACAATCTATGCGACAGACTCGATCTCTGTCTTGTATTCTCCGAACATGGTGCGTTGATTGTTGTTTAACCAATGGCTGCTAAAGCCTTCGGTCGTAGATGTATGCGACAAAACCTTCCCCTTCACCGTCCTCTTCGATCTCCTCGAGACACAAACAATCGACTCGTGTTCACACATATTCAGCTGGATCGAACACCGTGCAGACCGACTCACCGAGGGCATGGTCCCCCAGAAAGGCAAGGCACTGGTCCTCCTGCGTACACTTAACGACCTACTCCGACGACTCTCCAAAATCGGCAACACGACTATGTTCTGCGGACGGATTTTGACGTTCATGAGCCAAGTTTCCCGCTGGGTGAGCGGAGCGGTGTAAATCTTCGGGGAGAATACGGCCCCACATGGGATGGGCCCGGTGCGAAGAAGGAGGAGGGCGCGGAGGAGCCGGGTCCGGCGAAGAAGGAGGCAGAGGACGAAACGAAGATGCAGGTCGATGAGCCCAAGGTAGAAGGTTCTCCGGAGTCGAACAAGAAGAAGGTGCGTTTACATGCATTAATGTCATCCCCGCACACACTCAGTATCGCGCAGAGTGGTACAACACATTCTGGTCCCTCCAGCTCCCATTCTCTCGCCCTCCGCTCTTTGCAGAACAGGGCACCTTCACCCAGTTCAAGGAGGCTGTGAACAGGGTCTTGCCTGTCATCAAGGAGGCCACTGCCAAGGAGCGTGCGCTCATGGGTAGCAAGACGAGCGCGGGGCATCCTTCGTCGCTGAAGCGCAAGCGTGAATCCGAAGGCGTGGAGGACAGTGCGAATGGAGAGTACTTCTTCGCCAAGTACCTGACCAGCCCAGACCTGCTAGAGCTAGAGGTTCGTTCACAGCTTTTGAGGACCCATGGCGTACTGACACTGTTCTCTAGATCGCAGACACCCACTTCCGGAGACAATTCCTCTTCCAGCTGCTTATTCTACTCAACCACCTACTCATCTTCACGAAGGCTGCTAAGGCGACCTGGTCAAGTACACGAAACCGATCCCTCCAGATCGATTTCACCTTGGACACGACTGATGCACAATGGGTCCAAGAAACAGTCGCCAAAGCGACAGAAGAGCTCCGGCAGACAACTCCCAACGGACGCATGTTCGCTGAGACTGTTCATGTCATCCTCGAGCGCGAGAAGAACTGGGTGCGCTGGAAGAACGAGCTGTGTGCACCATTCGACAAGGAGCCGTGGTCGGAGGAGATTGAGGTCGACGGGCAGACGAAGAAGGTCGGGCTGGAGGAGGCAACGCGGGAGGTACGCAAGAAGATGCATGTAGACACCGAGCCATGGCCACACAAGCTGGTTCAGCGCCGCTAACGGAGATTTGGGAGATGGGCTACCGGGATCTGATGGACTTAGAGCGGCCGTTCTTGTGCGTTGCGCTCGGCTCCGTATTTTGATGATGCTCATACGCTGTTCAGGCCCGGAGAGCCGCGCGACTTCTTGAAGAAGATCAAACAGGAAGACGCGAGGATAGACATGAGGAGAAAGCAGTTGCAGAAGCAAGCGGAGCGGGTCGCACAGGCACGGGCGAAGGCAGCAGCAGCAGCCGCTGCTGCGAAGGAAACACCAAAGGAACCCGCCCCTCCTGCGGTAGCCACACCCACACCAGTTTCTGCGCGCATATCATCGTCCACCTCTGCTCCCTTGCATCCATCGCTGCCGGCTAAACCAGGGACAATGCCGGCATCCGTGTCTGCGGATAACGTCGCGCAAAGCTCTTCCCCGCGCGTATCTCAACACCCGTACAACCTGCCGCGGCGCCTGCGCCTGTTCCGACCCGACGCCCGCACCGCCTGAACCTGCACTGATCCGCGACCAGTCATCTCACAGTACGAAGAGGTTCGTAAATTGACACTTAGAGTCGTTTACCGTCCACTCACCTCCTAACTTACAGAACAAACAACGCTGGGCATGGCTCGCCCTGCGCTCTGGACGAGACTTGTACACATCGTTCTTCGACATTGACGTCATGAACAAGTTCGAGGACTACGTCAAAGTGGTCGAGTCGCCCGGGGACCATGTCACACGCAAGTTCAGCATGGCATCAACGAATGTGAACGCCGTCGTGGGCATGGCCGAGCTGGAGGAGAGCGAGGCGAGCCTGATGGGTGGGCCAGAGGCCAAGGGGGATAAACCGAATGGTAGCGTGCCGACCCCGCCGCCCGCGATCAAGAGGGCGATACGAGGATGGAGGAGCGGTGATCGTGCCCGACAGTCCATACCCCTGTAATATCGGTCCGACGCGCCCTGAGGCCTGGGATTTGCGGTCTGCGCTCCCCGGTCGACCGAGTCCGATCTACGGGCCATGGAAAAACGTTCTAGGTCCCGTGACCTCCAGGCCGCCTCTTCCGTGTTCTCTTGGTGTGAGTCTGGTCGCTGTGTGGGATGTACAAGCATCGTCAGTTTGCAATTACGGACCGTCGGACCATAGCAGTAGATTCGTCAGCCCTCTAGATCTGTATTTCGTTGCGCGCATCGTCACTGCTATGCTACTTCGCTGTGCTTCCGCTGCCCAGAGCCCCCGAGAGCGAATCATGTTCGTCCCGCCGATTGGCAACGGGCCGAGTGTGGTCCGGGCCATGTGGTCATCGTCGGTCTACGAATCGATCTCGCCGCTGTGCATACGCTCGACCAGCAATGGATCGGATAAAAGGCCGCCTCAACGGCGAGCGAGCCGCCAACCCACACACTCATCCACCCTAATCCTCCCCACACACAAACCAGCCTATCATGACTGACGAGCCTCTCCGAGTGCGCCTCGCTCCCTTCTCTCGGTGGGTCTGACTTGCTAATCCCTGCCTCGGACAGCGGGTCCTGGTCACCGGCGGTGCGGGCTACATCGGTACGTACATACAGACACGGATCAATGTCCTCTACCTCCGCTCGCTTGCTGATTGCTATTTCCGCTCTTGCCCACCACGCCTTTGCCATGCTGCCGGGAACATCGCATCGCCAACACTCTTCTAGGCTCGCATGTGGTCTATACCCTCCAGGCGACTCGCCGCTACAAGGTCATCTCGATCGACAACCACCACAACTCTACCCCTAAAGCCCTCGTCCGCGTCGCCGAGCTTGCGCGCAGCAACCTCCCCGCAGATGCCTCTGAGAAGGACAAGGACAGTGCGGAGATCGACGCATACTCTGCGGACCTCACCAAGCCCGAGGAGGTGCGCGCGGTGTTCGAGAAGTACGGCAAGGGCGGGATCTGGGGTGTCGTTCACATCGCGGTACGTCGTGTGCACATCTTGGATCCTCAACAGCACGCTGATGCAACTTGACAGGCCTACAAGGCTGTCGGCGAGTCGACGCAGATCCCCTGACCTACTATGCCAACAACGTTGGTGCAACCATCTCCCTGCTCCAGACCGCCTCAGACTTCGACTGCAATCGCTTCGTATACTCCTCCAGCGCGACCGTGTACGGCATCCCTCCAGTCATCCCCATCCCGGAGACGACTCGCCTGCAGGCCCAGAGTCCGTACGGCAAGACGAAGGTCATGAGCGAGACCGTCATCGAGGACCTGTGCAGTTCCGACTTGAAGTGGCAGGCCCTCTCCCTTCGTTACTTCAAGTGAGTCCACCTTCCTACGTGCTCACGCTTTCCAGACTGACCGGGCCTCAGCCCTGCCGGTGCACACCCATCGGGCCTGATTGGTGAGGACCCCAGAGGTCGCCCGGGCAATCTCCTGCCCCTGCTCGCCCAGATGGCCGTCGGCCGCGTCAAGGACAAGCTCCAGGTGTTCGGCAACGACTACCCCACACCCGACGGCACCTGCGTGCGCGACTACCTGCACGTCCTCGACCTCGCCAAGGGCCACTTGCTCGCGCTCGATGCTCTCGCACCAGGCTCGACGGTGTTCGACAACTGCCCGTCGGAGGCGCGCTACAAGGCGTACAACCTTGGCAAGGGCAAGGCATGAGCGTGCTGCAGATCGTAGAGGCCATGCACAAGGCGACTGGGCACGCCTACGAGTACGATATCGTTGGCCGCAGGTACGTGTCCTAGCCTGGGCTCAAGCCGGATTGCTCACTCGGCTGTTATTGTGCAGGAAGGGCGATGTGCCGGACCTTACGGCGGACCCGGCCCTCGCTGAGAAGGAGCTCGGGTTCACGGCGCCGCAGACCCTCGAGACCATGTGCCGCGACCTGTGGAACTGGCAGACGAAGAACCCCACGGGCTACGACGTCGAGGGCCAGTAGGCCGCAGTCGACCCTCACGCCTTATATTGCTAGAATGGGCGACGAGAAGTAAGACCCGGGTTTGTAATCTGTATCTATCTGGCACCCGACGGTTGAAACGGACAGCCTACAAGGTTTAGCTACTACTAATGATAATCCTGGGCAACCTGTGACTATAAAGCCATGCTGGTGTGCAAACTGTACGTTGAGCTCTGCAAACCGGGACGATGAGTAATAGTGGTCAAGATCTATTGGATGGACAAGAAGGTGGAGCTCGCTTCGATGATGGGTACGTGGGAATCGTAGAGCGAGATCAAGATCGTACTCGACGTCGACGTTGGCCGTTTGTATGCATCGCGTGAGCATCTAGCCTCAACTCCCTATGTAGCTCGTACCTTCTCACCGCTTCAGACTGCGTCCCCAACAGATCCTGGCCTTTGCCACCAAGTTTCGAGGCATACTTATGCACCCGTCGCCATAGGATTCATGACCAATTTGCAGCAACGTCACAGTGCGCAGGCGAAGAGCGGATATGTCCATCCGGCGGCTTATGCCAATGCATCGCGGGCTTTAATCGTGCGGCGTGTTCTGTACCCGGTGCCGCTGTTAGATGTTGGATGGTCAATATTGATGAAATCATCGACTGCTGCACGATCTTGGAAGTAGATGCCCCGGCATATCACACCGTACGTTTAGTTCGACTGTCGCTTGTATCGTGACCTCACCCTTGGACTTCCTCAGCGCATCTTCGTTCGCATGAAAGCGGCGAGTCTTGTCAAGTTCAGTGGCTTGGCACCGGGGAGCGAATAGCTCTCGGATCGTACTTGCCTCGGCCCGGTACGTTCGCCGTTCCCAATCCCAGACGTGATCACCATCAAACCAACTATCTATCTATGAGCATCCTTGACTACCACCATGATGATACATTACAGCAGGGCCACATTCGATGGTCAGGGTCTAAATAGGCGTCAATGCTTTCCGATGGGCGGCGCGCAGCGTACGTCCAGCTTCGTTGCGCTATCCATGCTGGAGGTTCCCAACGGTATGTAACGCCGACGAACTCGGCTTCAGAGCCCTGTGTAACACAGACTGGTGCGGCTTCTGCTTGCTTCCGTTTTGTGCCTGGAGGTTTGGTCGAACGATGATCATGATATTGCACAGCATCATCAGATTCAGACAGCGGCGGCCTTTTCTCAAGTCCCACCCATCGAACGACTGCATCCATCTTCCTGTGCGGCTGCTCGGCATGCGGCTGCCCTCTCGAGGACCTTAAGTTCACATTGCCAAGGTGGATCGTACTCTGCCCACTTTGATAACTTATTATTCTCTTCTCCGAGTGTGGTTTTTTGTAGGACACCCTCGGTCTAGGAATTGCCCTTTCAAGCTGATCCAATCGGTTGGACTGGTGGCATCGTCGGTCAGTGATTCTGTTCATCTTAACTGTCATCCCATTCATTCCCGTCATGCCACAGTCCTACGACATCCACTTCTCAGTTCCGTCCCGACGCACAAGTTGGCCTCTGATTGTGTCCCTTCCTTCCCGGCAGAGTGCTCCCCTCACTCTCCCGCTGGTGCAGTACCTTTATCTTCCTGGTAATTCTCTTCGACACACCCTTTGCCATCTGGCGCAAGACTTCCGTGGCGGGCTTACGCTGTCCACCATGTTCAGCGGAGGAGACAGCAATGCTTCGCCATGCGAGCCTGCAGCGTACCTGCGGATCGGTTCGTGTATCACTCCCTCCACACTCCCTTCCCACTGGAGGCTTCAGTCGAAGTATACGCCTACGCCCACTTCAAGCCCTGCGACTACAGCTCCACCAATCACTACGGATACAACCTCCGTTCCCCATTCTCAATCGCCTACGGCTCACCCAGCCTCAGAATCGCCGCCCAGTCACAGTTCGAACGCGGGAAGTGATACTTTCGCTAGCACAACGCCTGGCACTGGCCCCGCTACTAGCGACGAATCCACTTCAAGCCCTCCGCCAGATGCAAGCAGCACTGCTCTAACTCAAGCAAGCTCCTCAGGGCTCACCTCTCCGGGTGGTGAAACTCCGACAGTCAATCACGCATCAGACACTCAGTCTACGTACGTCGCCTTTGCTACAATGCCTTTCCCAGATTCAAACACAGTGATATTTGTGGCAGCTATGCCGCATCACAGTCGCCTTCACGTTCCTCGCGGGACGGGACAACTGTAACATCTGCTTACACCACAGTAGTACTCTCCACCTCAACCTTCTCGACGAGTGGCTCTGCTGGCGAGACGGAAGGTACTCGAGTGATAAGCCTCAGTACGACGATAACGACGGTTTACACGTCCACGTCGAGTGGAGCCTCGGGTTCTTTCCCTTCAGGCTCGACTGCAAATGATGCTTCACCGGCATCAAAGAGGTGAGCTATAATTATTGGCATGCTCATTCTTCGGGGCAGATCGTTCACCCTTCTGATCTTTGTCTCTTACCATGACGATGCAGCAAACCAAGCACAGGCAAGATATTGGGTGGAATCTTTGGGGCGTTGGCCATCCTCCTCTTGCTCCTCTTGGCTCTACTGTGGCATCGCAAACGCACGCGTCGCCGCCGGGCTGCCCGCGAATCAATTTGGTTCGACCCCATGGGGGCCACCGCTGCGACCTCCGGGCTTCTGAACCGCTCCACAAGCAGCAGCTCGTCCTTCTTCTACACCGCCGAGGACGATATCATGGGCGAGAACAACCAAGCCGCGCCGACATACCGGTACGGCGCGACCCCACAGGCACTGGCGACCTCCACCCGCCTCGTCGTGTCGCCGCCGCTGCCCAGCGCGCAGATCCGCGCAGACGACCCAGACCCGTTCGCGGACCCGGCTGTGCACGCGCGCGAGCAAACCGCGAGCGTTGTGACGGCGGAGTCGCCGACGATCCATGTGCCATTGCCGAACCCGTACCGGGACCTTGCGCTGTTCCCCCGCGAGGGCCAGGTCGCTGCGTGGGACTCGCCGCTGCATAGCGCGCGCAACTCTCTGGCGATTCATCCGCAGCAGACGTTAGGGTCAGCGTGCTGTCGGAGCGCTCTGGTGATGTTGAGGTCAGTCGCCTGGTCCGTCGCACTTGGGAGAGCTTACTCATGCATTGATGATGCGTACAGAGCGTCGAAGCCATGTAACATGAATCGTTTGCTTGGGAAGATACTACACCGCGCGTTGAACAGTGTACCTCACCAGCGGCCAACTGCACACCCGAAACACGGACACGCTCTTTCCTCGGCTTGCACTCGTTGCCCCACCCACTCGTTGCTAACTACCTCTATTTAACCTTCTCTCCGCTGGTGACATCTTGGTTGAACGTTGAATACCTTATCAGTAAGGCTGTAATTCTGTAATAGCTAGTTGAGTACAAGGGATATTGGTGGTTATGACCTGGTGAACCGTCAAGCGTCCTCATGTCCATGGCTTCCAGGCGCGATGGTTGCAAGATTGAGCCCTGCGGTTGGCATGATTTTGTTTCTTAGATCGATTCAGGATGAATCGGAAGGGTACAAGGATACAGGAGAACTTCGGGGGTCAAGTTTGGAGGCAAACAACACGGCAAAGTCGGGAATGTAGACGCACGGTGAGCGCGAAGAGCACGATTCGCTCACAACATGGAGACTAGGCACATGGCCGACAGCACGTTGCATCGCCGCTATGGAATGTATAGTACCTTGACACAAGATACAACGCCAAGGCATACCCAACCCACTACCGCACCTTGCAGTTGCTCGAAGTAGCGGCGTTCCTTTCGATGGCCAGCATACAACCGCGATGTCTCTGATCATCCGGTGAACCGTCAGGCGGGCTCGCCTCCGTGGACGCGATGTCCGTGCTGATGGACTCAGGGTCACCCCAGACGAGTCGTTCCCTGAAGCCCCTACGAAACACCAAGTCAGGTTGGATCTTTATCACAGAGCGACGCAAACTCACAACACGGGGAAGCACTCTTGTTGATCGGTAGTCCCAGCGGACTCAAACCATGCAGCGTTCTCACTTCTGCTCGCCCTCCTCCGGCCGATCCGTTGTCACTACGCGCGCTGCCTCCACAGCAACATCGCCCTGGCCCACCACGGCCGACTCGTGCTCGACATGCCGGTTCCAAAGCTCCGAGCATCGAATCGATACTGCCCATGATGCCGTCCAGGCGGCTCTCCAGGCCCGCAGCGATGCCGTCTGCTGTTTCGAGCCGCTTGAGGATCTCCGCGACGTCAAGATCAGACTCGGGCTCGTCATTGTGTTCTTGAGAAAGAAGAGATTGAAGGAGGGCTATGTCCGCGTCGAGAGCGCTGCGAGGCTGGGTAGACTGTGTGCCATTCGTCTGTGCGCCGCTCGTCTCTGGTGCTGCCATGGCCGTTGTAAGTGAAGCAGCCCGAGTCCGAGTCCGCGAGATGGGTGTGACGCGGTTAATGAATTGTGACAGGCGTGACTATGACGTTAGCCGATTGGAAACAGACCCGCGAGGCAGCAAGGACGAAGGAAGACGACTGCCACCCCAAATGCCACTCGAATTTCACGCCTCCTATACCCCTGGCCTTTATAGCGCGTGGCATGGTGCCATCCCAAGTACTGTTAGCCTCCGGCATACCTATCGCACACCCCAGCACTGGCAACCAAATCCCTGGGGCTAGCAGAGACCGCACCTCCGAGGCTGTATTGCGCGAGCGATGCACAAGAATGCTGCCCTGCGCTTCAGAGAGTTCCTGCAGTTCTCTGGAGAGATCATCCTACCATCTTCTTCATTCTTGCGTCCTGGGTCGTCGGCCGTCCGCTAGGAGGTCACCGCCTGAAGATCGGCCGCGTCTCAATAAGCGACTCTCCCTATACGATCTCCACTACACCGGCGCACTCTATGACGAGAAGTACACTATACGTTCGCCGCGCCATGTATGTCCATCCGCTTTCGCATACCAACTCCCTCCTACCCAAGCTGGCTCGTCTTCACCACGCACGAGGTCTTCTACAAGTCCACCACCTGCGACGCCTCCGTCACCGGTGGACGCAACCTTCTGGCTCTCCCTACCTCTTCAAGCGCACCGCGGGCCGTGGGTCAGCGCCGACGTGGACGGCCTCAGGATCCGCGTACACCACAGTAACACGACGCCGTACTGGGTCAACGCCTGAGGCAAACATCGCCGGGGCGCTGCTAACGGCGACATATACGCCTGGACGACGTCAAACGACTGTGCGATTCGCGGGGCTGTCTGAACCGTGGTACCCAACATGCGGCAGGGACGTTCTTGGTTTCGCGCGAGGGAGCGGCCCCTGTCTGCTATGCTCCCCGTCAAAGGCTTCTAGTGGCCAGGAGAATCGAAGCGAGACCATTCCGAACCGAGGAGGAGGGGATGATAGCGACTCTAGCCACGGGATTCAAGCGACGAATACGAGACTGCGAGGCGGATGGGAGCAGTCCTGCAGACCACGTCGACCCGCCGCCGCCTTCCTGAACCGCGAGACCGACGAGATGCGCGCGACGGTCTCGGTGTGTCAGCTACACTTACACAACCAGACGGGCGCATATATTCTTCCGCGCCATTGATGCACAGCTTCGGCGAGACTGGGAACGGATCGGGGCAGCTTGGTGCTCGTCGCGGAGGAGGGCCGCTGGATCCGTGTGCATGGCCATATCAGAGAGAATGGACGCCGTGGTGGACGTACGTCTGCTTGTTTTCGCTCTCCTGCGACGTTCTCAGTGTTATTCCGCAGACAAATGTTCACGTCGTCGGACAGTTTCCGTTCGACTTCTTCCGCTTTATCAACTTCCCGATGAGCACCGTTGATTTATACATGAACCGCGCGGACGTCGTATTGACGAGTTCCGGGTACGTCATGGCATTCGCCCATCTGCATCCAACTGACCGTGCTCTTCAGTTGCGCGACGCGGAGCTCGTCAGGCAGGGATTCATGACCCTGCGCGAGAAGACGCCCTCTTCGGAGTGAGCTGGGGAGACGCATCTTTGACGCCTTCGTCAAAATTGTAGTCGCGCCATGATTCGACGGCCTGATAAACGAGACACGATAGTTCACTTATTTGCGCAGGATGATATACGGACCAAGATCGAAAAGGACAGAACATCATCGGTGCTATACCCATGTAGCATACTGGCCCAAACGATGCAGGCATACCACATCTTTCCATCCGCCAAAGACCAGCTCGCGAAGAGCGACAAAGCAAAAAATTGTACACCCCGACAGCACAAGAGTAGTCTGAATCGAGTTTCGCAAGGGGCCCCGAAGGGCCCCCACATCTGCGAGCCGCGAAGTGAGCTGAAGGACGGGCACCGCGCGACCGAGGCGTGCGCGTGAAGTTCTGCAGAACCGCGCCACCTGTACCGGCCGCGCTCATTTGCATGCCCGCCCGGTCCCCGCGACATCTCCCAAGCTGCCCGCGTACGCCCTCCCCGCCAGGCAAACTGGTGGTTCTCCGGGTGTGTATGTGGTCCACGGGCAGCGGGTTTCTGATACGTCGCGCCGGCGTTATGGCCGGGGCCCTGCTAGGGCCTGTCTCGAGGGGGACTGGAATGCTCAGACCTTAGCCCGCTCGCGAGGGGGGCGCGCTCCGGGGGCAAGGATGCGGCCTGTGCGGGGCGAGCATCGCGGCTTTTGCACTGTCGTGTGGGGGTGAGGAGAGAGGTCTTGCGGTGGATTTTGATTTTTTTGAGGGATGATCGGGGTTTGAATGGTGCGATGGCTATCGGTGGCTGAGGCGGATTGGGTCCAATTCAACGTCCATGTCCATCGCCCACTGCTTCGTTCCTTTGCGCTGCTCGCAATATGCGCGAGCGCAATGGTATTGTGAATGCACGATGCCAAGTGGACACAAGCTGGAACAAGCCAGAGCAATGATCGCGATTTCACTGACAGAAACGTAGGCGTCATGCTCCTCACGCGAAAGAGTGAAAACGTTGGACTGACGCCAGCTCTAGGGGTCTCCTTTGGGTCTCCTTCAACAAAATTACGACCAAGAGGGTATCACTCCTCTCCAAGATCTCTCTAGGAGCAAATGTACGTGTGTTCAGAGTCAATGTTGCAGTAACTCGCGTCGGAGCACCCCCGCCACAGACGCGTATCTCCGATCATTCTCCGCTCGAGGCCACGCCATCGACGCGTCGCACCGGCAGTCTCTCCGAGTCTCTTGCCATAACTCTGTTACATGTACACTGCGCACTCATCGATTCGTGTGACCACTGTGTTACTCAGAAACTCCCATGTCTGATCAAACATTGAAAGGCATGATCTCCCTTTTAAACAGAAGCATCACAGAGAAAATGGTCGATTACACGGACGAAAACTTTCACAAAGATGTCTTTAGTGAGGACACACATACCACCGCCGAGATTTCTAACCCAGATTTTGCATTGAAGACCATTGTAACCTAAGATCGTGCCGCACGTACCGCGAACAGCTGCCCCCCGCTTCCTGCCCTCGTATATGCTATCCGCAATATCATGAAGCCGACCTTCCTGCTAGGCCACACACTCGAGTTGCTCACCCTCGTAGGACACGTTAACATCGTCCGCAAATTGCTCTGGCTAAAGCGACAACTGAGCTCAAGTGGAACGATCATTATCGCAATCACCCCGACCCAGACGTCTCGACGCTTTCTCGTGCCCAGGAAGAACGCCTGCGGAGAGTGACGTTGCGTGCGGACGAACAGCAGGAGATGTACAGGTCCATCATCAATACGTGTTTCGAAGTGGTGCGTGTCTCGTCTCAGCGACGCTCGCGCTTCTAATACCATACGGGCCATGCCCTCGTAGGACATCCACTGGTCACTCTGGCACGGTTCTTCGGAAACGTTCTGGTTGAAGATGCAGACATATTTCCCGGGCCAGTTCTCCGACCAGTCCGACGACCCCGATGCGCTTGCAGCTGAAGTGGAGAGACTGAGCCAGATGCACACCTACAACTATGATCTATCCGAAGAGGAGCGACACGACACTCGGGGCACGGGCCTTCGCTGCGCCAAGTTCGCGTACGATGCAGCGAAGTACATGGAAGATCCAGCAGCATACTGTGCTCAAGTCGGGTGAGTGTCCGGCTCATTATATGCGGGAGAATTCTGACTGATGTGGGGGTCTAGGGTCCCGTGCATACTACCATAGACACTTTGTTTCCGTGTCCCGACACATCCGCTGTAGTGCGGACAGCGGACGTGTACCTGGACGCGTGCTCGAGCTGGTCGCGATACAGGAGAGACTGTTCGGTAAAAGTGACTGAGGGTGTTGTGATAATGACTATGGTATGTGCTCGCTCTGCGGAGACGTGTTGTATGGAAGCGACAGTCGTGTGGTCATACAGCTCTACCAGAACTCTCGTGTAAGGCAAGATGGCCGAGCGGTCTAAGGCGCTGGAATCAGGTCACATGAAAGCAATCCAGTCCGAAAGGGCGCGGTTCGAATCTCGCTCTTGTCATATGTCTTTTTTTGCCTCTTTCTCTATGAAAGAGGTCGAACACCCTCTCGGGACACGAAGAATGCAATCCGGTTTGACCCGCATAACCCACGGAAACACGGCACAACGTAGTATTCATTCAATCCTGCCTACAAGCAACACCGGAACACGCAGTTGACATGGACGTAAGAGGAGTTGCCACAAGAATGCAGAGCAATAGACTGAAAGCTAACATGTACCTCGTTATGACTAACGCAGCTGCACGCCGAAGTATGCGCACGGTGGCCATCCGACGGCGGTAGCAACTCCATATACTGAGCAGTAATTCAACAATGTTGATCTAGATATCAAACATGATCTTGAGATTCTCAACACTTTCCGGATCCCCCTCTCTTTTGCCGCGGAATGCTTCCTTCACGATGGCAGTCTTGCGCTTTTGTATCTGCAAGATACGGCCTTCGATGGTATCCGAGATCTGGAGCACGTTGAGCAACCGCGGCGAGACACATGACATCAAACAACCACTCACGATGAAGTGCTTGACGTAGACTGGTTTCTCCTGTCCGATGCGGTGGACGCGATCGATGGCTGAACGCGATGTTAATGACAACAAACCAAGACACAACACAAATCTATTCACCCTGGTTCTCAGTGGCTGCATTCCACCAACAGTCCATCTAGGAATGAATCACTGTGTCAGAAACCACAAGGCACTGATGTCTTTCAAACACATACCATGAAGACATGGTTGGCGTTCGTCAACTGGCGATGCATTCGATGAGACCCGGATAGACAGCTTGGAATTGATCACTCACGTTGAGACCGACGCCTCCTGCTTTCAAGCTCACAATCAGAACTTTCGGAGCCTGAGAAGCAGCCTTGAAGCCCGCGATGGAATCGTTTCGCTTCTTGACATCCATGGTACCATCGAACCGGTACCATGCCAGACCCTCTCGTTCCAAGATGGTTTGTATCAAGTCGAGGAAGCTCGTGAATTGAGAAAAGACGACCGCACGGAAAGACGAGTCTTCGCTTTGCAGGCGTTCTGGTGGCGATTGTTAGACTGCGCAGTGAATAACAGAGTCGCACTCACTGAGATTCTGCAGCAGGGCTTCGAGCTTAGTCGAGGATCGGAAGTCGTTGCGTCGCAACGTGACCGCTGGACGCGATGCTTGCGGCTCTTTGCCTTCAGCTTGCGTTTTCGATCGAACAACCTCGATGAGATCGCTCTCCTGGAGTGTATGGTCAGGAATGGGTCGATACGGGTGGTCGGCATCGCAAACCTTGACAGGGCCGCGGGAGCACGTCGGACATCGCCCCTCCTCACCCTTCTCTCGACAAGTCTCGATGAATGCGATGATGCAATCCTTGCAGCTGCAAACGGCGTCAGGAATTTACACCTACACTTAATGTTCAACGCACCTCTGGTGCAGGCAGTTTGGTATGATAGTAGGCGTGTCCATGACATCGAAACATATTGGACACTCCCTCTCTTCTTCTCCCTCTAGGTTCGCGAGTACGCCCTCGGCGAAGACCTTGTTGTCGCTCGGCGAGTTGTTGCCCTCGTCGAACTGCTTGATGAGAGCATCCACGTCCACTGCTCCCGCACTCGATGCCTTTATCCCCTCGTTGTCACTAGAAAGCACGAGATTGGGGTGCAGAACCGCACGGCGTAGCCTGCCGTAACAGATCTGAGTCACACCTCGTCCTCAATACTCTCGGATCACTTACCGCATAAGCATGGCCAAGATGTGTGTGTAGTTTCTGCTGACAAGCCCCTTCTCAATCAGGTTATCGAAGTTCTTCTTAGCATCCGTATACAATGAGTCGTAGATCTTCCGTTCCAGCGGCGAGAATTCCAAGTTCTCCACGACAATCTAAGCCGTCTGCAGTTAAGTTCGAAGTCACGTCCATGCGCGGGTCAACTTACCTCTTTCGGAGGAAGTTCGACAATCTTCTTTCCATCTGTGTCGAGCATGTTCTTCTCTCTGCGCAACAAAACACTCTCGAGGATTACTTGTACTACCTCGACTGCCTTGGGATCCCGAGCAAGGAAGGGCAAGGTGATAAACCTGACGAGCTGTTATCACTATTCCCCCGGACCATGATACGGCGTTACGTACGAGCGGAAGAAAGTGTAGTTTGACCACGGCGTAAAGTCCAAGAATTTGCTGGGGGCGCGTAAGCGCTGTAGAAAAGTGGCAAACAAAGATCACAAACAGTAACGAGTAGAGGTCCTCTAATCTGTTGACGATAGGCGTTCCTGTGGCAGCCCATCGCCGTCGCGCACGAAGAGCATATACTGCTTTGGCGGTCTTGCTCTGCCGTGACTTACAGTGGTGAGCTTCGTCGAGAACAACACCTGTACGCAGATCTCAGCCTGCAAGAACGAGCACATGATATCATGACCTACGAAGCCATTCAACTTGCAACAACTTAATGAGAGATGGTAGCATTCAGATCAATGACGATACTTACTTTCGAAGACCGGCGAAGTACCGCTACCGTTTGATCGTTCCGACTTAGAATGTTCCGACACTAGCGTCCCGTAAGAGGTGATCACTACGTCGACCGGATTGTGTCCGCTCAACGCGGCATCCAAGTCTGTCCTGTTCTGGCTATGCCACACCAAGACCTTCAGTGTCCCTGGCTTACTCGATCTTTCCAGTTCGGAGGACCACTGCAGTAGCAGAGAGGTTGGTGCGACGATTAACGTTGCCGCTGGCCCACGCTCGGGTTGTGTGTTTGGATCGTGCTTGACGGAGCGGAAGGCGTTGTTGAGCTTGAGCTGTCGCTTTTTGCTGGCGTTGGCGTTGCTATCCGGGGCGGGGTCTTCGGGTCCTCGAGAGGTTTGCATCAGGGCAGAAAGCATGATAGTCTTGCCCATGCCCACTGATGTATAGTCAGCACAGTAATGTTTAGTCCTGACATGGCACATACTCTCTGCGATAATCGAGACGTCGTGGCGTCGGTTAGCAGTGACACGGACATAAGCAGCAAGAGTACATTACCATCACTGCAGGTCTTGTTAGCGTGAACACTGGTCGCGTGAGTAAGCAGACGTACGCAAGGATACCTCCTCTACACTTCCTTTCCGCCTTCGGGAACTGTAAGCTCAATTCGCCAGAATACTCGTTGAAGTAGAACGCTCTGTCATCCGCAGTCAAGTCGATGACTCCGTTATTAGGTTCAAGTGGGAATAGATATCTAAGCACCGTCAGCTAGGCATATTGATCTAGTCAGATGCATACAACTTACTCCTTCCATAGAGGATGCATTGAAGTCTCTTCACGTGCGGACGTGACGCCTGTCTCGATGGAATGCATCCAGCTGAGGCGGCAACAATATCAGCGAACGTACACAAATGTTGCAACTGACCGCTTACTTAAGTGCCTGCTTCTGGTAACCTCGTAGGGTCAAAGTGAAGGTGTCGGCTGGCTCCATCTGTCCCAGCTGTCGATCGTTCTGCTGTGCCCTGAGTAGCATTGATCAGCATTTTGTACTTCAATGGATCTACAATTCGTACAGTACCTCTTGTAAATGAGGTCAAGCTCATTGTCAGACAGCTCCTCGCCCTCCTCTTCGACTTCCACCTCCTCGCCGTCACCGACAAGTTCGGTCTCCTTTTTGGGCTTGGACTTTTCGTTCGCCACATGTCTCTGCGAGAGCATTTCCAGGTCCATCTGGTCTAGCTTACCATGGGGTTTCCGTGTGAAGTCACTTCCTTTCCGAGGCTTGAGGTCAAGCACCTTGAACATTTTGAGTAATGCCTGCTTCCGCTCCCGAAGCATCTGCTCCTCCCCGGTTTCTTTTCCTTCGTCAAACATTACGCGCTCCTTCTGTTGATCCTCTGCGGATGTGCTCGGTGCGCGGAAGGCGGAAGCCTTGATGTAGATAGAAAGGGAGAGGATGAGATCGGCACCAGAGTGGAGTGTAGTAGGGCAATCGACGACCGTGCTTCCGCGGAAGTCAACGATATCTTCGCATATACGTTCGTGAGCAGTTCAGTACATGGGTCATGTTAACGGACGTACCAAGATCCAGCAGTTTTGATACCCAAGATGCGACGTCCTGGGGCAACCGTCCGAACTCTAAGCACCTATTAGCTGAGTGCAGGATACAATCGTTGTCTCCTCACCGAATCCCCTCATGTTGGTCAGTCTGACCACCGAATCCTTTTTCTTCTTCGTCGCATTTGCCGGCTGCGGCTTGAACATCGTGGCTATGGATATTTGCTTTTTGCCAGCCTTGTTCTTGCCATCCTTGTTTGAGCCACTCTTCCCCTTCGTCTGCCTGGAGCTCGCAGGGGTGTCGTCCTCAGGCGAGTCTCGTTCAATGCGAACCTCGTCGCCCGACTTCACATATCCCGACCCTCGTACAGTGCTCCAAGCATTGGGCACGAGAAAGGAGCCTAGGTAAGACGAATTGAACGACGTAGGTGCCTGATTGCTAGACAGCGACAGCTTTCGCTTCTTCTTTGGTCTTTCCTCCGGTTGCTCTTCGATTGTCACTGAGGGAGAGCGCGAATATGTCTGGGCTTCGTGGACGCCAGAAGATGCGCTGGAAACGCTCGAAGCTCTGGGAGGCTCGTCCAGTTCTGGAATATCTATGTCATCGGAGAGGTCTGCCATCGCATGGTCAAGTGCAATCCCAGGAAGCTGAAGAGGCGCGTTTCCATTCTCTTCCTCGTCGTCACTGTCAGCGAAGAAGAGTGCGGGTTCCCGTGGTACATTAGTATCTGAGCTCGACGGTGCCTCAAGGGTATCCGCATCGTTTGCGTGATTTTTCGTGCCATCTTCGTCGTCAGAGTCTGCAAAGAATGGTGGAGGAGCGCCAGTTAGCGATTGAGACATGTTCTCCAGAGTCCTCAGTATGCGAAGTAAGTTAAGCGACGCGGTCAACACGCGCGCCTGTGGACCACCTCCGCCACTGACGCGTTCAGACTCCGCCCCACGATCGCGATCGCGACACGGTCACGTTCAATCCGTCGCGTTGACCGCCACATGAAGGTGTACTTAGTACGTTCCTGCACTACGACGACAGCGACTCGGTTCTCAAGCTCTGTCCACTAACACTTGCATCCTCCGGCGGATACGTACTCTCTTAAACCTCAGCTTGACAAGGCACCCGTATGTCTGGTCCGACCTTCTTCGAGACGATCCGACGAGCGTGAAGGACACGCACAATCGCATGGGAACAATCTAAGCCATACACCGGGGACGCCCGGTCCGTCTATTTTATAAGTACAACCATAGAGTCTACAAGTCCACGGCTGAGAATACTACCCAGAGCGTTTGATCGAGGCGACGAAAGGCGGCCTCTTGCGCGGTGTTTAGTACACGAAGCGGAAGTTGAGTCTTTGGTTGCCCTGTAAGAAGCAGTTAGACATATCCACGGGAAGTACAACGGGCCCGAATAACATACCTTGTCAGTCGTCTTATCTAGGTATTCTTGTTGCTCCTAAGGCGGGTCTCTCTCAGATAGTACTGTCGAGGAACTCTGAACGGGTACTTACCTCAGGCGTCATCGACTCCCATTTCCTCTCCCTTCTCTTGTTGATGGTGCGATAGAACAACCATGTCAAGACGTAGAGAGCTATGTTCATGCAGGTGATGGCGATCAAGTCTATGTTACCGCGTCGATCTATTACGTGTCAGCATGACCTACGCAGAGAACCGGACAAATCGACTCACAAAGTGGCTAAGAAGTACGAGAAGTGTTAGTATCGGTGTAGCAAGACACAAACGAAGACTACTTACCGCATCATCGGCGCGATAGATATACGACTGTAATCCCATATGAGCATCGGCAACAACATCGAAGAGCCCAAAGAGCACTCACCGATACCACGCCGCCCGCCTGCACGAACATATTATACACGGAGGCTGACACTGTCCTCGTCCCAACTCCGTAAGAGTTCGCGGACGCCCACGCGACTTGAATTGGGTGCACATAGGGATATCCAGTGATCAACGTGACGACCGCATAGTAGACCCACTGCGACGTATTCTCGTTGAACTTGTACAGCGCAATGAGCAGCGGGAGCGCCCAGAACTGGAGGACCACCGAAGTGCCGACCCGACTGTCGAAAACCTCACTGAGGTAAGAGATGAGAAGGAGTAAAATGATGCCCAACACGGTAGAAGGGATGGTGAGAAGATTCGCTTGGGTTGTGTCGAAACCAAGCTGGCGTAGCGTCAGCGTCAGATAGGTCTGTGGGGGGTTCACGGGGACTAGACGGTGACATGAGCATGTCGCCATAAGCAAGTGTAGAAGAACGCTCACTCAAGTGCACGAGACCCAGAATATAGAGCGGCCACATTCTCCAGTCCGTCAAGATCTTGAGAATTTGCATAACCGAGAGACCTTGTCGATTGTGCATATCCGACTTCGCAGGATCGTCTCGTAGGACTCGATTGACGATAATGGTCTCCTCGCTGCATGTAATCGGTACGCAGCATAAACCTCAATAAAATACAACACGTACCGCTCAGTAAACCATCCCTTTGGTCTATACCAAGCCCTCGTTTGCGTAGGGCTGGGAGGCATCATGTAGAAGGAGGCCAGTCCAATGAGAAGCGTCAAACCGCCTTCAATCAGAAACATGTATCGCCACCCAGCCTGCCCTCGGACGCCGTCCAACTTCAAAATACCTGTAGCAAGGAAAGCACTAGCAAGGGCGGCCACGTAGTTAGAGACCCAGAACCACGCGAGCCGCATCGTGACTACAGGCACATAATGTGAGCATGTGAGCAGGAGACAGAACCGCCGAGCGGTGACTCACGTTCTCTTCTAGTGTAAAAATAGGACAGGTAGAGGATGACATCCGGGATAAAGCCTCCCTGCATGAAACCGAGAAGGCAGCTATTTCACGAATCAGAGATCGGCATATCTATAGGCAACGAAGCACTTACCGTGTCGCGAGGAAGGAGCCACGCCCCGTCAGCCAATACTGGGCGAGGGACACGATGCTCCACAGAACCATCTATAGGCAATGAGCAACAACGTAGTTCGCTGAATAAGGTCGCTCACCTGACTGGGAATCCAAACGTCGGGACCGATCCTCTTCGAGACGAGCTGCGAAGGAAGCTCGGCGATCAAGAAGCAAACCTATGGAAAGACATACACAGTGAGTATATATAGAATACCACCGCTCGTAGGCAACGTACCTTGAATAACATATTCCCCGTGTTGAAGTCGTTAGTCGTCATGCCCAAGTCTGGCAAAAAGTTGTCCGTGTTGGCCTGCGAGATGTTCGCGCGGTCCAAATCCAAGGCGAAGAACATTAACCATGCCCAGACCATTATAAGCCAGTCAATCTTGCGAACGAGAGGCTGCGATTCAGATGGTCAGACGAGCCGATCTATACGCGGTAAGCACACCTACAATCTCCTCCCGCCATGTCCACCGCGCAAGGGGGTCGAAGCGGTGCGCGCTCTCGTAAACCGGGGACGGTCTGTACATGTCGACTGTAGCGGGATCGTCGAACACAGACGGCTGAGTCGCGACGCTGTCCAGATCGCGCTTCGACCGACGCCATAAGCCACCCTTCTCTTCGATCGGCACTCCGAGCGAAGGGACTTGCTCGAGACTGACGGAGCTGCCAAGCTTGCCGTCGCTGTCCTTGTCGGAGCCCGCGTTGAACGTGCGGAGTACGGTAGACATATCGGCAGAAGCAGAGCAGCCGTTGAGCGAGGATCGTCCGACAGACACCTTCTGGGCGACAGGTTGTACTTATACTCGCGCGCGGGCCCCGCATATCCGTCAAGGGTCCGTTGTTGAGCATGGTGCTCCGCATTACGCGGTCATGCGTTGGAAGCACACCAGCGATAAAGGGAAGAGATGGTCGTAAGCTCTTGCGTGGATTGCGTACTTCTCGTGTTGATGGCGTTATGCCCTTCAAGACGCGCCTCAGTCGCGGTCACATGATCACTCATGAACACTGCAATAGGTCAGAACTAATGCTCTCGGAAGCACTATTGATACAATACTATTCGTGCAACTCTAGTCTTTCACCGCCGAGGCATCCCCCGACCCCGGCCCCGCAACGCGCGCTGAGCCGTCCCAGGAGGTGCTCTCGGACCCGTGCCCGGCTGCCGGAAAAGCTCGTCAGCGATCCAGCTTCGAACTACACGATCCACTCACAGCTTCGCTTTGTGGCCCGCGAACCGTCTCGTCAATGCTAAGAATCAGGCACGCTGCCTCCGTGGCGCTGCTGATTGCGTTGACCTTGACCAAACTGGGCTCCCAGACGAAAGCCTCCATGTTGTCCCGCACGCCTTCAGGGCCGTCGACGTCAACACCATGCCACTTCTCGCCATTCGCATGCTTCATGCGCAGCTTGTTCAGGACGTCCGTGGAGTCGAGACCAGCATTATCGCAAATTTGCCGAGGAATAATTTCAAGCGCCTTGGCAAAGGCGATCATTACGAGCTGAAGCTTGCCAGGGATCGATAGAGCGTGTTTGCGGATGTGGGCGGAGAGATCCATCTGTCGAAAGGTACACCCCTGCGTTAGTACACCCGGATCCGGTAACAGCAGCGGCCGATCCATCCGTACCTCGATGGCGCCTCCGCCAGCGACGACGTCGCCATTCTTGACGGCGCGTTTGACCACCATGATGGCATCGTGCAGACTGCGCTCGACCTCTTCGATGAACTGCTCCGCACCGCCGCGCAAAATCAAGGTACAAGTCTTCGCCTTCGGACATTCTTCGAAGACATTGTACCTCTCGCCTCCGATCTGACGCTCCTCGAAGCGTCCGCATGTGCCGAGATGCTCACGCCTAATATCCGTGCAGGTGGATTGGACAGAGCCGCCGACGGCTTGCACAACTCTCTGCAGGTCGCCAGCGGGAACACGACCAGCGCAAAAGATTTCGCGGTCCGCAAACCATTGAGTCGCCAAGTCGCCGATGGGAAGCTTGCTCAGCACGACCTTAGCGCCAGTCTTCTCGATAGCCTCCAGTTTCCTGTAGATGATCTCCCACTCCGCGTCCACGATCGCCTGGTAATCGGAGACAGCCTCAACACGGACCTCCGCATTGTCCTTTTCCGCCTTGAGCTCGAGCTCGACATTCAGGCAGACGATCAGAGGATTATGGAAAGATTTTGGCTGCTGCTCAGCACCCGCATACGTGAACGTCTTCTTGAATGCGACACCACTGATGAGAAGCGAGTCCTGCATGCCGCCACCGGGAATCTTCTTCACGCCGATGAGAGACTCGTTGAGGTCCTCCTGATCGAGACATTGTACAGCGTCAACGACCATTTTGGAGAAGAAGGGCTTTTCTGAGTGGATAAGTTTTGAAGACATTGCGGTCGATGCGCATTTTAGGAGAAGGGAACGGAAACTTCTACAGTCGTTATATCAGCCTCTGGCGCATACTCTAGAAGAATCATGTACGCACTCTGGCTCCCCCTTATCAATCGTGACCTGAATGGCTTTTATGCGATCCAGCGCCTTGAAAACACACATGGTATGAGGCGACGCGCATAATGTGATTGAATCAATACTCACCAATTGACTCGCCTGACGGAATCCCTTCATGATGATCTGGGGGCTTACACCCTCCTCGATGTACCCCCGTACTTCCTTCAACATCTGCGCTGCCAGCAGTACCACGCTGGTCGTCCCATCGCCAACCTCAGCGTCTTGCGCACGCGCGATGTCTACGAGCGTCCTCGCAGCGGGGTGCACAATATCCAGCAGCTTGAGGATCGTCGCGCCATCGTTCGTGATTTGCGCCTCGCCACGTTCGGAACAATCAGTTGTCCATCCCGCGAGGTCCGAGGGTGCTCGACAGTGTCTCGGCGATGGCGAGGCATGCGGAGATATTCGAGAGGAGCTGGGGCTTGCCCTGTGAGGTATCCGTGCCCTCCTTGAGGAGGACTACGGTCGGTTGCTACGGACATCAGTTTACGTGGTCGGAAGACTCGTGGTATATGTACTCACCATAGCTCGTTGCATGGTGTCGGACTGTACAAATCACTGGCCAGACCGAAGCTTCAAGCTCTACGCAAACGCGTAATTTTGGATCCCAAAGTGGCCTCCGTGTTGTCGCTTGTTTGTCGTGACCAGACGCGTCAGTGGCTGAGATCCGCGTGAAGCGACACTCAACAATCGTCGTCAGTTGGGGTCCACAAGCTAGGCGTCAAGGCCTCACGCCTCATGCTATTATAGAAAGGCTTGCAATGTTCTGTGCAGACAGTCCGACACGGTGCCGTGAAAGGCGAGATGACTTCAGGTCTCAGTCTGAAATCCGACCACAGCCATACACACCCGAGAGCAATGAATTTAATAAAGCGGTGAATCACAAGTATCATATCCAGAACAGCAACTAGAGACAGTAAACACTACTCAGTGCGTCACGACAGCAGCCTTCGACTTCGCACCACCCTTCGTCGAATGAACGCTTGCCCTCCTCTTCGCTTTCACCTGAGCTCGGTGCTTGGCCGCCTTCAACCTCGCCAAACGGTCATCAACATCGACGTACGCGCCGCCGACATCGACGAACTTGATGCTGGACCGACCAGTCGATGTACGAGAGCATGTACCTCCTCCTTGGGATGAGGGATACGAGCTTGTGCATCCTTGCCGTCGGCAACGGCTTCGCTCGGCTCCGATCTTGCATACGTGCACGCTCCAGTTCACGTAGGACAATGGGATCCTGCAGATCTTCAGCGACCAACTATCAAGAGATGGGGCCGATAGTGCAACATACTTGGCCTTCGACAATTGGTTCCCAAAAAGCCGTTGATACCGGTCTCGTGCACGGTCCTTGTGGCAGAGCTCGCAGCATCTGCCTCAATGGCATCCTCACTCAGCTCCACTGTAAGCTTTGTGAGACCTCGGTTCGTAATGACATCTGAGACTCCGAGTATCTCTCCATGCCCGCTTGGAAACCGGTTTGCAGGGCTTGTTCTGCAAATAATTCATCAATGTCTTTGTCTCGAATCGAACTGAATGCGAACAGTTCAGGTGGGATTGAGAACGTTATAACAACACACCGGGCGATGTAAGGCACCACAGTGGTCTTCCAAACTCGCGAACTCATCCACCCGGCATAACTGCATAACATGGGCTAGCAGCACTCACCTCCTAATTCCGCCATTCGGACCAAGCAGGAGAATGGGTCAGTGTTGTCCTGGCTGAGGGTAAAGTCTCAAATACCTGGCGGCGCATCAGTACATCTTCTAATACGCTGCAGAACAGGAGAAAGATCAGAAAGGTAAAGTTTGTTTAACCATGTGTTTGTCTTAAAGACTAATCGATTTTGACTCATCATAGCACCGTGTGCAGTGCACAACAGCAATGAGAATGGCGACTAACCTGTCTCCAGCTTTCCTCCAGACCCGCAACCTCAAAATGGCATCGACGCGTTGTATGCTATGCCATGTCGTTCCGAAAGCGTCCGCACATTTACAGCTCGGGATCGAGTAGGTACTCGTTGTAGATCCGTTCACGGAGTATCCCAGACACAGGCGTAGGCGGCTTGAAGGACGGGTTCAACGGAAACGGCTGTCCCATGGCACCACGTCAACCGCGGCTCAACATCTGAGCGATGAAGACGAACTCAACTACTTTTCCACCAAGCCAGTTGCGGGCCTGACTGGGTCCTTGTACAGCTTACCCGTCGTGTTCAACCATCTTGAGAAGTCAGGGTCCTTCTCGTCGGATGACTTCTTCTTTCGCTGAGCGGCAGGAAGAGGAATGGAGGACTCCGATTCTTCCTCTTCAGATGCACGAGAGGTCGCAAGACCGCGACTACGGCCGAGTACGGACCATGGTGCCGTGTCCGGCGAGGAGCGACGGTGCGCAGATGAGCGAGCATTGGCCAGCGCTGGCAGAAAAATCCAGAGGTGGGTCTGCTACTGGGCACGTGCAGCTTCAGGGCAAGCACGCACGCGCGCACCTGCCGCCACCGTCGCGTCCAAGCTCAATGCAACAAACGTTGAGCGATCGCTTATGATACTCAATGCCCGGGGAGCACTTGGACCTCACGGATCCCCTCTTTTCTGTGTGCGGGGATATGCATCCCTCTCGCCTCTGCGACTATTGTCAACTCTCCCCGGAATCCACTTCGAAGAAGCCCATGACTTCTTCCTCAATCGCTTGCTGCTCAGCCCGCACTTCCAAGCTTACCCACCCTCAAACGATATCAAGCCCTTTTCTGGAAATGGGCCATCGGAAATTGGACGCACTGTTGGATGGGCAGGTGAGCTTGACCCAGTCATCTAGCACTGTGAGCTAACGTTTGTTCCTGCAGGACGCTGAGATCGACGACCGCCTATACAACCACCTAGTCGACTTGATTCAAAGCTCTTCATCGTGCGTCTTCCCTAGCTGATTGAACTGCTGTCTTGAAATCAGCAGCGGATGTCAGGGACTCAGCCACCTTCGGAGAGCTATGTCACGTATTTGTGGAAGAGTCCCGCGCGCCGCGCGCTTCCATATTTCCCGGAGTTGCCAGTGCAACTCTCCTAGAGTCTCGTACTCTCATCGAGAGGGGGACCACAGGACTGACAACTTGGACGGCTAGCATCACATTGGCAGAGTTCTTGATCCTACATCCAGGCAAGCCTGCTGTCGCATTTACAATCCCACGTAACGGCCAACCTCTTTGCAGAGCTGGTTCAAGGCCAACACGTACTCGAACTCGGGTGCGGCGCAGGCTTTCTTGGGATCGTCGTAGCAACGCTCCAGCAGCAGTCAAGTGCTACTACAAAAGATGTTCACGACCGCTCCGCGCTTCGGTTGACAGACGTGACTCGGCCGTTCTGAAGCGCTGCCAAACAACATACAGCTACCATGCAGTATGTCTTTCACTTCATCAACGTGACCTGCCTTACATAGTGATTATAGACATATCGTCCGTTCATCCGAATGTACACTACATACGGATGGACTGGACGGATGCAGCTGACCCTGTCGCGCGACCGTCGCTCGAGGCACTAATTCGCAGGATCGATGCGGACGTCATCATCGGGGCAGACATAGTGAGTCCAAGGAATATGACGACGCATATAGTGAACTTCCCACAATTAGGTGTTTGATCCTGGGATCATCCCTGCTCTAGTCGACACCCTGTCGCTGGTCATGAGTATCGGCAAGTCGATGGGCAGAGATATCATAGCATACATTGCGCTCACCGTCAGAAACGAGAAGACACACTCGCAATTTGTGGGTGCGGCTGGTACGTACTTGACCTCTCGTGCTCCATCTGTGTCTGTTATTTACTCTGTACATCTAGAACGCTCGCTCCAGTTGCTAGACATCTCAACTGAAATGGACGAGCAAAGGTTACTAGGGGTGCATTCAAATGAAGACCAAGAGGTCAGATTATATCAACTACAGTATAGTACTAGTGAGACACCGAATGTACCATAGCCCGGCAAAACAGCACAGCACAGATGTAATATATCTGAGAGAAATGCAGAGTCTAACTTTGAGTTTTGATACTCCCACAGAAGCTACAACTCCAGAAATCATTCCGCATGCCCGCCTCGCCACACAAAGTGCACGTCCATCCCTCGGTCTCAGGCTGAACCCGCTTCACCGAACGGTTGTTAGTGGGACGAGGGCCGTCACAAGCCAGGCAGCGGGGGAGTTCTGCTTTGTTCATGAGCGTGCATTGTGGACAGGCCCATTCACCGACAGAGTGCAGGGCACCAGGGACGCCGTCAGTTTGGCGAGGACGATCTGCATCGGCCGGACTGGCAAAGTCGCATGCCGCGCAATGGGGCAAATGTGCCTCGTTCACCAGCGTGCATTGTGGGCAAGACCATTCCGTAGGTACGATCTTGGCGGCAAGAGCGGACGTGGAGGCCGCTGAAGACGCGACTTGCGTGGTTCTGCTGCGCTTCAAGTTCGCAGATGACGTCTTGTCCAACGGCCGCTTCGTCGCATTCCTTGCTTCGTTGATCGGATTGGATGCCTTAGATGGTCCCGCAACAGGTTGAGGTCCATCCACAACCTCGACGTCCGAGTCTGTGTCCGAGTCTGATTCTACTGTGAGGTCAATCACCCTATTGACCACGCTCTCTTTCGCGGCCTTCTCCGCTTCCATTTGTGCGACGGCACCAGAGGCGCAGGCTTTCTCGTCACGCATGCGTCTCTCTGCTGCCTACACCGCTGTCAATACACACATCATGACAAACCGTCAGATGTGAACATACCTCTGCAGCCAACTCGCGGGGAGACTTGTTCACGGTACCTCTTGCGCCGCCCAACTTTCCCCCTCCGCCTAGAACGGCGTTGATTTGTCGCCGCTTCTCCGCCGCGTCGAGGGCTCGCTGGCGCGCGAGATGAGGCGGCAGATTGTGCGAGACATTGGTACCAAGTCGTTGGCCCTTTGTGAAGAACCCTTCACCCGCGTACCCCGACCGTTTGAGCACGGCATACTCTTCTTCTAGGCCCGCAAGAAACTTGTAGAATTTCTCGTCATGAGGTCCGTGTACGTTATGCGTGAGCTTTTCGTGAGGACTGGATGAGCATAGTGATGTCACGGGTGGTAGATACGCAGGTTACCTCGTGCAGCATAGTGTGGACGATGTCCTCCTCGTCATAGAAGGTATCGGGTGCATGTGCCGGACGCAATCTCAAGAGAATCTTTTGTCCTCCGTTGATATCTGGTTCAGAAGTCAGGGTCCTGATGACGCTGAGCACAGTTGGGACGTACTGAGACCTTGATACATGCATCGTGTCAGCCATCTCAGGACCAGCAGCAAGGTAGATTCGGCGTACCTACTAGATTGGGGCTTTCTGGAAAGAACTCGGAGAGCACGGGCAGCACCCAGCCGTGCTTGCGCATAATCGGCTTCACGAGGGACGCGATGCGCTGGAGCATCGGCAAAGCCTGATCTGCCTTTGCCTATCCTTGAGATGTGTGAATGATTGGACAAAGGTATTCATCGTATTAGACATGACCAGAGACGCAGTAGGATTGAGCAGAGGTGATGTAGGACCGCACTGGCAGCCTGAGCGAGCTAACACACGACCGTGACAGCCTCGCGACGCGTTTATATGAAGCGCGGTCACGAGCACGACGCGTCAGTTCTTCGCTGACCAATCGCTGACGCGTCTCTACCCCGACTTCTTCGGACTCGAACTTACCAGCAGCTTCCCGTCAAGACGTCCTCCAGCGAGGGCAAGCAGTAAGGATATTCGTCAAATAATGCGTAGAACTACAACAAGTGTATGCTATGGTACAGAGTGCGTCTATGTGATAACTGCGAGAGATCTAGCGAGTGTGCATGGAGGTCGTGCAAGACCAACGATAGGAACTTGAAGGAGCGTAGAATCGCACAATATCGGCGATAATTAGACTAATAACGAGCAGGAAAGGGGGAATCGTGCAAAAAACATCGCAGACGAACTTCTATAGGTTGACCACATTGTAGACTCTGATCACGCGCACTTCTATTGCCCTCTCTGTCTTGGTCTTCAGTTTGCGAGGGCTGATGGGGTTGGATGACGAGCGATCCCGCCCTTGAAATGAGGGCGAGCTTGAGCCGAGTCGCAGTAGCGGAGTGAGGGGCGACGTTTCAACTTCTCTTCTCCATTCGCAAGCCAGGGTAGTCCATGGGCCAGTTGAACCGCTTCCGTCTGAATCTGCATGATCATCAGAGATTGGTCGATACTGACGAGGGCACGGAGTACTCACTGGTCATATTCGAAGAAGTAGTCATTGACCTCATCCTCCGAAAACAAGGGCACGCCATCTTCGCCGTCTGCTCCATCAGTAGGTCGTCAAGGCATTCTTGCAGGAGAGCAAGGTATGCATGTTCTTGCACGCATGCATCTCTAGCTCCGTAGGAGAGAACGGAAGGAGCTTGTTCAAAGAAGTCGGGAGTAAGATGAGCCCAGGCGGTTGGTACGGTTGGGGAGCCTTCGGCGGCTTCGAGGATTCTCCATCTCCAACAAGCACTCTCAGCGCTTTTGATGTCGATGTCGAGTCGAAAGACCGCAGTCTCGCGGGCTCGTCGGTATCTGCACATCGCCGTCGCTGTGCCTCGGTCGCCTGACGGGCCGCTTGGTGCTCTCCCGAACGTCGCCGCCATCCACGAATTCGCGCGAGGGTACTCCGAGGCGGAACTCATGGGCCATCCGCGCCTGGCCGCGACCAAAGAAGTGCTCCAGCGCGTGTGTCAAGTACTGGTGTGTCTCCGGCGCGTATTCATACTTGTCTACGAGCATGCTCTTGAAGATCTTCTCCAGCTCCTGCGCTGCCTGCGCACTGGAGTCGTACTCGACATCAGACTGGGACCGCTTGTGCCTTTGCCTGGCGACTGAGGTCGCTTGGGCGGGGAGGAACCCAAGAGCCTTTGGATGGATTGGGCGTCGTGGCGAGCGCTCAAGAGCTCTTGCCAGAGGTTTGGGGAGAAGTCAGGGTTGATAGGACTAGGGACCTGATAGCCGCGCATTTCTAAGATCGAGGGGATCCGCGGGAAGAACAGCTGGTCGTCAACAAGTTCGAGTCGCCCGCCAGACAGAGGACGCGTTTGATCTCGAAGAACACGAAGTCCCAATCCAAGTAGGGGATGACGAGCGTGAGATTCGCCATCCGGACGAGATCGAAACTACCATCTGAGAAGGGCAGACGGTGTTTGAGGCTATAGCGGCCACTGTCAGCAACCAGCAGAAATACGGAAGTGAACGACGCACATATTCCCGCGCACGAAGGTGACGTTTCTTGGTGGCGCCTCTCCTTCACGCGTGCTTGAGACGCGCCCATGGTCGTTGTTGTACAAGTCGATGAGGTCGAGCCCTGTCACATGCGTGCCTGCCGACCTCCATGTCCGTGCGGCGTGCAGGACCCAGTGGCCCTCGCCACATCCAAGGTCAAGCACATTCTTAGGCGGTCTCCTGCCGTAGTCGTGGAAGGTCGGTGAATTGATGTTCGGATTGAGTCGCCGCAGAAGTTCAAACGTATGGTAGTCGCTGTAAGTCGCTCGTGTCAGACAAGGATCACTGTCGGCAAGACGAGCACTTACCTATCGAGTGCAGTTGGGGAGTACGACTGCATATAGGGCACCTCTTCGATGCTGAACGGATGATGAGGCATGCCATACCGCTCGACCGTCCTGTTGAGATCCGGAAACGCCTGTGATCTTGTTCCGATATCACCGAGGACGTCTCACTAGCAGCGTTCTCCGCAGACGAGTCGTCGCACAGACTCTCGACCTCACCAAATGAGACCAACGTGGCCGTATCATCCGTCAGCGAGGAACGCCGGCTGGGGCGATTGCTCTTCCGTCCGAAGGTGAAGGAGTTGTGGCGGCCCCATAGCCGATTCTTCTTGAATTGTGTAGGGCTGCCGCTGCCGTTCGAAGGTGCCGTCCACAGGGTGTCTTCGGAGTTGACGCTGTTTGTGCGCGTCAAGAGACTGTCTGTATGCGAGCGCCCGCTTGCAGGACGCGGCGATATCGAGGGAGGCAGCGGGGGCAGAGGTCGATTGAAGATGTCGGGAGTCGACATCGTACGTGCGAACTCCATGTTGAAATGCATAGCAGGGAAAAGACCGTAGAGGGTCGCCACAGTGAGACAATAGCCAGTAGGCACTGCGCGGCGGACGTCTGCGTTTGAGGTCACCAGCGCAATCTGACGGGGTGGGATCGAAAGAGAGCCGTCTCCTAGCAGTGGCCGTAGATATAGGAACAGAGGACTCTTCGCTTGGATGATGTCGATAGGCGCTTTAATCTTAGCCAAAGCAAGGCCACGAATGCGAACCGAGGAATATTCACTTCGGGTGTGCTTTGTGTTAGGAACAAAGAGCGCGGGGCAAAAGGATACTGTGTGGCCACGAGATCAGCTTAATATAGAGAGACTGCGCCACCAGGACGTCAGGGTCAAAGCGCGTTGAGTACTTAGCCTTCATAAGCCAGACAAAGCGTCCCGACTAACGGGCTTGCCGCTGCGGCGCCATCCATATGTGGCAGCAGTCGTTGTGGCACCGCAAGTGGGGGACCTCTGGTCTCCAAGAGCACACCGCCAAGACGGGCCGCAGTGCCAGCTGTCAAGAGTCAAATGGGCAAGGCCACGCCGCATCATTGTCAAAGCAAGGATAATACCCAGTGCTTCGATTTGGCGCCCGATGGTAGCACGAAGGCTTTTCCTGATTTGGAAGTTGGTAAAGGGGTCCACGACTGGCTGGCACAGCCAATGGGAGAATTATAGCAAGTGCGTTGGATAGCATTGAGGCGTCACTTCGTGCTCTAGAATGGATATGTGCCAGAACTAGAATTGTACGTCAACGGAGTCGCTCTCACATACTATAGCCACCTGTACCAGGGTCCCCGCTAGCTTCAGCAACCGTGCGCAGTTCGAGCGTGAAGGTCATGTCACGCGCTGAACAGTGCGCAGCATCGCTTTCAGTCATCCTTTGCTGGAGGCGGGCCGCAAGGCTGCAGCATGCGCTACACAAAGCTGGTCAACGTGTTTCCCAGCTATCCAACGCACCCAGAACGCACCTCGTCATCTCGAACTTCACCCGTCCACCGCTCTCCATCAGCGATGGCAAGGTACGAGGCAAGCGGCGGGTGCCCCACAATGGAGGAGAGGGTGTCCCGGTGCTGGTGCGTGAGCCATTCGCTGCGGATAGGTGAGAACGCACGCACGGACACTCAGTGGACAAAGACGTACTATTTCGTCAGATCGGCATGGCCTGAGATAGAGTGCTGCGTAAGAAAGAATGACCGAATATCTGAGTAGGTTCGTACCTGTGCCGGTGTAGCGAGCGTGCACTGTATGTAACGGCCTTGTCAGGGTGCCTGTCCAGCAGAAGAGGGCTTGTGAAGTACTCACAGTGCTCAAGTTGAGTGTTTGCGGTGTACCTAAGCTCAGACGACTGTCAACTATGGGTGAGCGAGCTAAATTCCCAGCCTCAGTAAGACTGAGATGACATACCATGGCAAGAGCAGAACGATGCTTTGGCGCCGTCGGCGAGCGCCCATGCGATCGCGTCCACGGACGCGTCGGGTCGGTGGCGCGACCCTGCGGCAGCGCGGTGACCGTCCACGCGCGCATCCCCCGCACCCCATGGCTACACTCACCGCATCGACGTCCGGCGACTCCTCACAGCAGATTAGCGAGGCGGAGAATCTCCTGGACGTTTCTCCCTGAAGGAGCAAGCGCGGAAGGGTTGGTAGATGCACTGAACTCTGTGAATGGCGCGAAGACTCTCGTGCTGGACCCCACCTTGGCCGGGCCTCTCAGCTTGGTGACTGAGGTATCTTTGCTTAAGGTATGCGGTCTGTACCTTGTACGGGATGCGAGGTGCTCATCCTTGCGTTGCCAGCACCATGGAGTCGACAAGATGTTCTGGCTTGAACCGGGCCTCTTTCTGCAACGACTACGAACATCGTGTACCTGTGTCGTCCGCTCGTGAAGTGGGTCAAGCTCATAGCTGGTAGCTGATCTGATGTATGAAGCCTCGAGGATGCTGAAATGTCTCGGGACCCAGAGCAACTCAAGCGACATGCCCGGGAAGCCCAGAAGCAACATATACGCTGCTCCTGGTCCCCCGTACCTCGACACTTGTCACCCGGATACTGGAGGAAGAGGGCGTCCTGGGAGATATCACAATTTCTTTCTATAACCTGCAGTTCATACCCATCGCAGAGGACGTCATCTCGCTGGAGAACGACAATGCGTTCAAGGAGCTATGGGTCGTACGTTGGCGTTCTACCCTTACCATCGAAATCCACTCAGTCCGTATCACAGGACGGCGACGAGACGGTGATATACAACTCCATGCAGGCTCTGGATGGTCTGCAGCGTGTGTACGGCCCGTTCCCTCGAATAGTCGGTAAAGGCGACTATGCCTCGGTACGTCAACGCCCTCCCGCATGACCACGTCTCTTACGAGTACATAGCGATTAGCGAATCTCCTCCACCGAAATCCACCGACGTCCAGCCCGAGCACGAGTCAGGCCGCCCAAAGCCCCATCGACTCCCTGATCATCATCGACAGAGGGGCGGACATGATCACGCCCCTGCTCACACAGCTGACGTACGAAGGTCTCATCGACGAGTCGTTTGGCATCAAGAATGTGCGTGGTCTCTCCAGTGTCATCAAGCTCTGCTTCTGACTGTAGATACAGCGCATGTCGAGGTCCCAGCCTCCCTCCTGGCCCCACCGCGACCCCGGGACAGCCCAACGCCGCTTCATCAAGTACACCGCCAAATCCAACGTCCACACTAGCGAAGGAGAAACAAAAGAAGCATCATCTCACCACAGCGACCGACCCGCTCTTCGTTGAACTGCGTGACTTGAATTTCGCCATGTAGGCCGGAAGCTGAATCAGGTCGCACGACGGTTGGACGAGGACTACAAGGTAGGACTATGGCCTGGGGTGCACAATAGTTGCTTATGCCTGGACTAGCTTAGGCACCAAGCCAAGACGCCTGCGCAATTGCGGGACTTCGTAAACAAGCTCGGTGGCTGCAGTCTGAACATCAGTCCCTGAGACTTCGTGAGTATCGTGGGCCTATGTCTCAGTCATTCTGACAGTGTTGTCAGATACTGGGCTATCTGAGATGCTGGTCCTCTGACGAGAAACGACCAGTTCAACAAGTCGCTCGAGATTCAACAAAGTCAGTCGTTCTATACAATATCCACAGCGTAGGCTGCATGGCTGACTGGTCCGCTTGCGTAGATCTCCTGGCCTCGTATGACATCCCTGCGCAACTGACCGCTATCGAGGAGTTGATAGCACAGGGGCAGAGATGCAGGTCGTCGTCCGGCTACTGTGCCTCGCCAGCATAATCAGCGGCGGTATCAAGGCTAAAACGCTAGAAAACATGAAGCGTGAAATTCTACAGGTACGTGCTGCTCCTCCCAGTGAGCCACTGACATTAAATGATGCGCAGGCCTACGGGTACAACCTCCTGCCACTGCTCCTATCATTATCCGCGCCCCCATTATGCATCCTCCTCCCGACCCCTCTGCCACCCTCCGCCCAAGCCACTTCCGCAGCGACCAAGTACCCTTACGCCGCGCTGCGCAAGTCCCTCCGCCTGCTCATCGAGGATCCCGACAACGTCGACGACCTCGAGAACGACATCAGCTACGTCTACTCTGGATACGCACCCATCAGCGTGCGGCTGGTCCAGTGGTCGCGCAGAAGGGCGGCGTCCTCAGCAACCCTGCTGCGGACAGGGAGAAGAGGGCGAAAGACGGGTCAGACGGGAGCAAGCTGAAGGGTTGCCGTCACAGAAGTCCAAGCGCACCCCATTGTGGTGGAAGGGCTTCGAGGACGTAGCAGCGAGCATACCGGGTGGGACGGTCGACATCGTCCAGAAGGAGCTGGAAGCCTGGACGGCGCGAGTGCGACGGCCTCGTCACTGAGTGAGCGAAATTCCAGCGTTTTGTGCGAGTTTCAGGCTAACGGTATACAGTCCTGCCAAGGGACACACCTACGACCACGCTCGTGTTTTTCCTGGGAGGGTGCACATACACGGAGATCGCTGCGCTGAGGTGGGTTGGCCGGCAGAACAAGGGTAAGTCATTCCTTTGGTGCGGTTGGAGTGGCTTACTGAGAGGTATTCAGGGCGCAAGTTCTTGGTTGCTACGACAGGAATTATCAGCGGTGCGAGCCTGATAGAGGGAATCGCGGGTGTCGACCGTGCTGCTGCGCATTCGAAAGATGCTGCGCTCTAGTGAAGCCGGGAGGGGAGCTCTGCCACGCGCAGGGGGAGGCCGATAGGCATTGTGTGGAACTGGTTGCTAGTATTAGGCCATTATCTATGTGCCAGGGCGTGCTAGGGCCCATATGGAACTGTCGCGGATCGGTTTGCTCTCTCACATTTATTTGGGCTAGCCTTCGTAGGATGTTGCGGAGATTCGTCTGGGCTGGGGCTGCTGACCTCCCGTGACGCGACGCGTCGTTGAATAGCGGTCTGGCGACCGGGACCCCGGCGAACTGATCTTGGCCCCGGACGCACCGTGCGACTGTCCTCCGGAACCGGCGCACCCAGCAGAATGAGACCGGGTAGCACGTGCGCAGCGTACTGCCCAACTAGCTCGCAGAGACGACCGTTGATCCTCCAATCTCGACGTGCATGGGCCGAAGGATTGTGGATATGAGTGTCGAGATACAGCAGTGTCTGCAAGCATGGGGGCCCATTCGATCAGCAGAAGAGGTGTCCGCCATTACGTGGCCGGAGTGGCTGGGGGCAGGACAGCGGGGAACCGCGAGGAAGCGTGTTGAACAGGACTAAACCCGTCATCGCAATTTCTGGGCTCGTATAAGGCCCCTGCGCTTCGACGCGATGTGTCACCCTCTCTCGTCCTGCAACCACCCCCTCGGCCCACTCCAAGGCCTCTTCCTATCCTCCCCTGATTTTCGAGGTTGTCAGTAGCCGGTCCCGTGAGGTTGTCGAGCCTGGAACTGATCCAAACGTCATTGCAGCCTGATAGCGACCATGGTTGCAAGACTGCGCCGCCCGACACAACCAAAAAGACCACGGTGGTCAAGAAGCGTACGTGCAGCGTAGTCTTTCGCATAAGACATGGAATTAAGACGTTGCATAGGAAAAGGTGCTGCAGGTGGTAGGAAGAAGCTCACGGAATTCAACAAGTTCATGCAGACCGAGGTTGCTCGTCTGAAGGAGCAAGATCCCAACATGCCCCACAAAGAGAGGTGCGTGGCCACATGCTCACCCGCGGAGCGTGTGCGCTAACACGACGCTGAAGGTTCAAGCTGGTAATCGAGAACTGGAACAAGAGCAAGGGCAAATAGGTACTCGCCAGGCTCTTATCGCGGTGTGCTGCAAAGCACTCGTCCGTTGCACCACACTTGCGCTTCTCGACGGGTCGGTTGTTCCGTCTGTATTCCCCGCAGGTTAGGACCTCCATGTTGCTTCCATGCTGCCTTTCCCCGCTCGTTTCTTGCTCGCTCTGCTTTCTCGACCCGTGCTCGCTCTCGACAGCTCGTTGCGCTATGGGACCTGACTATGCGCCAGTATGGCCCACGATACCATTGCGCACGCTAGGTAATATTGTACAGTGGTTATTCCAATGTGTATGAATATGCGATTGTGCCAGTTTGGTCGACTTGCGTATGGATGCGAGGCCAAATTTTGCGGGTGCAAGGAGGTAGGCGGAGGTCTGTCTTGATCTTCCGTGATCCGTTGACTGCGAGCCAAGCCAGTGTTGGCTTGTGTCGCGTGCGTCGGTTGAGGCCTTCGAGCGACCGACGTCTGCGGGCGATGGATGTGTAGCAGGGAGACGGGTGGCGGGAGAGGGCTAAGGCGTGATTAGATAAGAGGTGACCGCATTGATCGCTACGCCGTTCCGAGGCTGTCTCCTCTTTCCACCGTTCCGGACGACCATGCACCAGCTGCCTGTCCGTCCTGGTGCAGCACTCCCACCCAGCCCTCCTTTCTAGCTTTCATCCGTCTTCTCGCTTTCTATCTTCCACGCCGATCTGTATCACTATCTGCACCGCCCACTCCCGCACACGCACCACGCACTTAGATTCGCAGGCTCTCGCCATGAGCCGTGCGCACGACATCGATAACGGCGAGCCTGAACCTCTCTTCGATTTTGACTCTAATGAATCGCTTAAGGGCCTCTATCACCTCGAGGCCCCTGCGAGGGTCCCCCAGTCCTCCTCCTCACGCATCTCAGACCTTACGGACATGTTGTCAGCTTTAAAGACAGCCCACAACATCGCCGATCTTGAACCCCTCCCCCCGACGACACAATGGAGGATGTCTATCCTGCCGATTCCAAGGGTAAGGGCGTATCTCAACCTTTGCTAATCCACGCGCAAAATGCAGTCGAGGATCGCCGGGTTGACGACCAGAATGAAGACATGTTCTCCATGTCTATCGGTGTAGAGGCTTCGTCCGGTATGCGCGAGCTTGTGGGATCCCCTGCATCTTCATCCACTAGTGCTGCGACAGGCAGCAGCTCCTCGTCTGGTTCTCCACTGAGTCCACAGGAGCCCCTCAAGGAGACAGACATACCCTCAACGGGCAAAGGGAAGGCCCGAGACGTCCCGCCTACTCTACCCCCTCTCTCTTTTGGCACGACCGAGCTCAACTACGAGAGCTCGGACTGGCCCACGTTTTCCTCGTCGATCCCGGAGCCCTCCTCGTTCAGCTCGAGCTATGGATCAGTCGGCGATCGGGAGCCGAGTCCGAGCACCTCCGCCTCCGTTGCCGGCCCCTCCAGCGCGCCCGCCGATATACTTGAAACGAGCACCGCCCTCTCTCGCATCCCGTCTCGTCGCCGCTCGTTCTCGAGCCTCTCCGCGCACTCGTCGAAGCGCTCGATTTCCGCGTTGTCCGTCACGAAGGCCAATGTGAAATCATCCAGTGGGGCGAAGCTTCCGGGCAACCTGGCACGGAAGCTCCTGGGGAAGCAGCGGGATAGCCCGTCGGCGAGCCCCACATCGCCGTCGAGAGATGTCGTCCTCGAGCCTGAGGAGCCCGCCTCGGCCGACCGTATGAGTTGTCTCGCTCCATGGACTCACACTGCCACGCCTCGTATTAGCCCGCTGGCCACCCCTGCCCTTGAGATGGAGGTGGGCATCGGAGAGTTCGACAAGTCCTTCCCGATATACTACGCGAATAGCTCGTCAAACCGGACTGTCTTACGCACGAAGGGTCGTTCGTACTCGTCGCCTCTGCCGCTCCCTGTCACTCCCCTTGATCTTGTGCCTGTCGCCGCCGACATCTTCGAGCCTATCCTACAGCCCACGCCCAATTATTTTGATGAGTTTCTCCCGATGGAGCTGAAGCTCCGTGTGTTCGTCTCTCTGGTCGAGCTCCGCGAGGCTGAACACCAGAAGTTGATCGAGGCCGGTCTCTGGACGCTTCGCAATGCAACTTCGTCGAAGAACAAATGGGTCGGTCGGGACCGTGGCATCCGGGAATTGTTCAAGCTGAGCAGGGTAGGTATACCACCACACGCGTATATGCGGTGTCAATGATATCCTATCGTTGTAGGTTTCGAAGGCATGGCAACGCCTCGTGTTCGACGGGCAGCTCTGGGTGAAGCTGGATCTTCACTCGTTCCCGAACATCCCGCCTCCGGCTCTCGAGCGCCTTGCGAAAGTCGCAGGCGCGTTTATCAGACAACTTGACCTCCGAGGACACTCGGAATTGGACTCCTCGGCGCTACAAGAGATCGTAGACCATCTCTGCACGGACGTCCAGCCAGAGGATGGGTCGCGTTCACGCACCTGACGTCGATCAACTTGCAAGGCTGCTCGATGATACAGACCGCACGCTCCACCATCTCTCGTCCGCTCGCCGCGGTGCGCGAGCTGTGCCTCCGGGGCTCACTGCGGTGACGGATACGACATGCAGCATACTAGCCTCGTATGCCGCAACATCACCTCGCTCGACATGTCCCGCTGCCCGAATGTAAGCGGCAGCGGCGTTTATTCCTTCGCAGCCACTGCTCTCATTCGCGACGAACCCCTCCCGTGAGGAGCTACGCCTCTCCGGCCTGAAGCACATCTCCGATGATACGATGGAGGCACTCGGCAAGGCCGCCCCGGCTCTCGAGGTGCTCGATCTCAGCTTCTGCCGCACGTTGCACAACTCGTCTGTGGAGGCTTTCGTCTCGTGTTTTGAGGAAGACAGGGGATTCGAGATGGTGCAGCTGACGTCGCGCGAGGCGGGCGCGACCCGACGGACTCGATGCGTTACTGGCGGCGCGTCACGCGCCTGCGACATTGAACCTGACAGCGTGCATCATGCTCACGGACCACGCGTGCTCGCACCTTGCGTATGCCGTGCCGGAGCTGGAACTGTTGGAATTGGCGGGGATCGGTACGGAGCTGCGCGATAGCGGACTGGTTCGTCTGTTGGAGACGACGCCTTTCATACGGAAGCTGGATCTGGAGGGGCTTGTCAGATCACGGACGACGTGCTCATGACCTCACACCAGAGCCCGTCACAGATACTCCGGCACCGGCGTTCCTCGGCCCCCCAGCCTGGGCACGCGTTGGAACACCTCATCATCTCTTACGCGACCGAGGTCACGAATGTGGCCGTGCGAGACCTCATCGAGAACTGCACCCGCCTGAGGGCCTCGAGGTGGACAACACCACATATCGGAGCCCGTCGTGCGGGACTTCGTGCGGCTGTCCGCGAGCGCAAGGCCGCCGACGCGCAGATCGTCGCTGTGGACTGCCGGGGCATCAGCGAGCGGTGCGTGCGCGAGCTCGCGCCGCAGACACGGCCGCGTGTGGGCTGGCGGTCGTACGACGCGCGGAAATTGGGTTTCTTAGACGGGCGGGACGAGGAAGGTTTGGGAGTGGGCCAGGACGAGCTGGATCAGCATCGGGTGGCGCTGAAGACGTTCTTCTCGTGGCAGACGGTGGACGCTGTCAGGGCGGCGCGCGAGAAGAAGCGCAAGTCCACGAGGCGAGGGTTGAACGCTTCCTCGAGCAGCACCGAGGAGGGCGGTCATCGAGTGGGCGTGCACGGTGGTGGTCGCCGGCGGGCGGCGCTCGGGCGGGACGTCGCCCAATCTTGCGGACTTCGGTCAGGAGAGGGATGGATGTACGATTATGTGAGGTAAGTAAATTGTTGTACCATAGTTGTTGTAGACTTTGCGCTCGGTGGCATGCTGTTGTTGTCGTATACATAGTTGACACTTGTACATTTTTACTGTATCATGAGTATTTTGGCTGCTGTTCCGTAGAACTAAACTATAAGCTGTATGTATCGGAATTGAACGATGTTTGTACATGATGCCTACAACTGTTGCACTGGCATTGCAGGACGGTAGTGCGACGGTGAATTATATAATGAGACCCCAACGTGGACTAAGCTGTACTCGATCAGCCTATGGACTCTTTCCGCTTCGCCTTCTTTCGGGCCTTCTTTTCAGCTTTCTTGGCTTTCTTCGCCGCGTCGGAACTTGAGAGTGGTGTACTGCGACCGCTGTCGGCGGAGAGCCTCACTCATCTGCACCCTTCCAGACCGGCTTCGCCTTCTTTCCTCCTGTGCAGTAGAGGGTGGGTTGTCATCTCCGTAGCCTGCCTCGAAGGTAAGATGATAGAGCGTTCGGTAGGTGAAGGTACATGCCAGCGAAAGGGTCCATGGCTGGTCGTCTTCGTTTCCGACCAGCAGAAGACGGCTCAGCATCGTCGTTGTCGACCGCCTTGCCCTTGCCCTTGTCTTTCGCAGTTGTGCTGACGTCGATGTCCATGTTGTTTGGCACTTCCTCGACGTCGATGACTTCCAAGCCTTCCTCTTCTTCGCTCTCAGCCTCCGCAAGTTCCTTCTCGTACTGCGCCCGTGCCACCATCTTGCTCGTCATCTTGACGGGCACCTTGGTCGGCTGCCCGCCCTCGCCGAAACGAATATGGGAAGGTCCCTGTTCATCTCCTGGAGGCCGCTGCGCCTTCACTTGTGAATCGCGTGCTTGATGAAGCGGTTCGCGGCCGCCTTGTCGACAGTGGTCGTTCCTGCAATCAGGGTCAAGGTCAGAGCCATTGTCAGGTACGAGCAGCGTGAGCGTACTCTTCTCGGGTCTTCTGCATTCTTGATCTTGTCAAAATACTGCCTTATGCGGTCCTGGGCATGTGGTCAGATGGAATGAAGTGCTAGGAAGTGGATTGAACACACCAGTTCAGAAATTACAGGGTGGTCTTTGGGTCAATGCCTCTTGTCTTGAGATAGACTACATATTTAGGTCAACGTTAAATTATACGTGCTGTCGAGTACCCACTGAAGACGAGATCATACACGAGATACGGTAATGCGACCTGAAGCTTTGCCTGTTGGATGGTGTCCAAGCCGACAAAGACTCGGGAAGCGTTTGAGCTAGTAGTGGTTCTAGTTCACTCTCGAGATCATGCAGTGAGTTATTGAGCGTCGCGACTTTTGCGCGCAGTCTTTGCGAGTCTGCGTCCATAGCCGGAGCGTAATGGCAGTGCAATGTCTCCGCGCAGCGGCCTTCGGTAAGAGTGAGTGGATGGCGCTAGCGAATTACTCGCAGGGAGATCGGAAATCTGAGATCTCTAAATTCGACGATAAATCTAGATTGCCAGCCTGAGTGCACTGTCTTCCGCCTTCCATAGCGGCTCGATGCTTAATCAATGCCAGCAGTATTGTTCGTGAGCTGCCTGGACTCGATAACTATACTCACTACGAAGCACCACGGCACACATACTTACACCAATATCGGCTCGGCGGACTGAAGTGAAGGAGTCAATGCGCTCTGCGAGTCCAATGTTCTTGCTCCCAACGGATCGTCCGACAAGTCTGCCTGTAATGGCACCGCGAAGAGCACTAGTTATCCGAGGCCATAAGTTAACTGTATCGGATGGAAATGAATGCGATGTATACTACAATGTGTTGTCCATTCTGTCCTCAGATTGAATTCGGCGCGCACTCTTGCCCCTCTTGCCACCCATCGATGAGCTTGCCTCACCTATATATGCAGATGGCAGGCTACCCTCTTCATTCCATTTCTCCAAAAAGTCCATGGCCGCCTTATAGCCCGACTCCTGTATCTCCTCAAACTTCCCGAATTGCAGAGTTCCAAACTGCAAAGACATCAAATAGGTAGCAGCTCTGGTGACGCTGAATACCATACCTCCTGGACGGGCATGCCCATGTACAGGCACCCAGGCGTCACTTTAGCTTCCTCCAGCGTCTTCACGCTTGACACGCTGGACGACCGACGGACGGATGTCATTAAATGCGACGCGATGGCCTAATGTTGGGACTCACTATGCTAGTCGTCCTTGCAATTCGGTGATAGCTGGGATACTTCTCGCATTCGAGAAGGGATTCCAGCGGTTGATCAGAAGCCACCATCCAGAGACCGAGTCTCCAAAGTTTCGTGGCGAGTTGTCGTCGAGCTACAAGTTATGTTGAGCGTCTTGCCAGGAACCACGTACAAGCCCACTCACCGAACCGACATCGGACGCAATCACCGCACTTGCTCCCATGGACATCATCGTAGCCACCTGGGAACCGTCATCAGGTTCTTAATCATGGCAAAGGAGACGTCAACCCTACCGGCAGATTATCGACTGCAAGAGGTACGCCGTTAGTGAAGGAACATATACGCGACCGGCGCACTCACTGTAACCTCCGTCGACCAACATGTTGCCGTTATCGCATAGCGGTGGCAACAGTCCGACGAGTGTCATCGAAGCACCTAGAGCGTACGGTGAGCTGTATGTCCCCAAGAAACATATCCACGGGAGCTTACGTATGAACCTCCATGCAAAGCCGGTCTCATGGATCTCCATCCGAGACGTGTTGATATTCGTCGAGTTGCAGAAATATGGCAGCCACATATCCTCGATATGCAGATCGTAGAAGGCCTGTAAGTCGACATGAGCATATGTTCCATCGCTGCATTTAAGGGTCCTCACCTTGTATATCGACCGATTAAACTCATGACCCTAAGTAAGAATTAGTTTCACGGCTCAACAAAGTTTATGAAGCGCAAACACATACCGTTGTATACGCAACAATGGGTACGTGACATCAGACAACATTCTCCAGAAATTGCCCATCCGCCCACTGAACTGCTTCGTCCGTCCAGCGCTCGAAATAATATCGCCCTCACGAGCGTACAGACCACCGACGAAAGCACCCATGCTAGTACCTGAGGACTGACGTCAGAAAAACCCAGGATAAAGAAACTGACAACTCACCGCCCACCATGTCAATCGGGATACCATACTCCTCCAGCGCACGAAGAACACCCTGAGACGCATGAGCTTGTTACAGTTGACCACGAGTGCAGACTTACCAGATGCGATATTCCTCGCGCTCCGCCACCTCCAAGTACGATCCCGATGGATTTACCGCATATTCGTCTCGCAAGCCTTGCGAAGTCACTCGAATATGATGGTCGTTGAGGACGGGGTCACCCGACCCTCCACGGTATTTCCTAATCTCGCTCTGCACACGGTCCTTGAGGTTCCTGAATGCTGCTATTGCGGCAGGATCTTGTTGCGGTAAGGTCGTCCGAGGCATCGACCCTACGATCCCTGCGTAGCGGTCATAAGTGAATGAAGACATAGCACCATATCTACAGAGAACGCACTGGAAGCTCTACATGGATGTGTTGATGTATCCAAGGTCGACTCTAGGTGAAAGAAGTGAGCGCGCTCCAATTGAATACGCTGAGAATCACGGACCTTCAACCATTCCGCGTAGACCCTGGAGCAATGGAGCGGTCAGGGTGCAACAGCACCAGCTCCTTCCTTGCAGTGGTCTTCAACGAGAGCAGCAGTCTCTCATACTCTCCGACGCTAGGATCATCTCCCATACCGACGACCATAACACAGTCCGCCTGCCGGATGCAAGTCTGCGTCCAAGAACTATTCACAGGGGAGTCCGCAACGTAGAGCACGATCCTGTACTTCTGCTCCTGTTCCGCAAGCCATCCCGCTGCCTTCAGCTTGCCCATCCGAGTGAATGCATGACGCCCAAGGTGGTCTGAGACCGAGGCTTGATTGAGATACGAGGTAGGTGCGCCAATGCTTTCTAGAGCTGCGTGCAGTTTGCGGGCGAACGCGTCCACGGGGACGTTGCGCGAGACGGGCATCACAGCGACGGTCTTCAGGTTGCTGTTGCTGCGGGAGAGCTCGACCGCTCCTTTCTTGGAAGAGTCGATCTCGGACCGCACTCGAGAGGCGATCATTTTCAGGATCCTGAGTCCAGGTCAATAGCGGTCATAGTTGAAGATAGATGTACGCACTGTGCTGTTGTCCGTGGATTGCTGTAGACAATCGTTGTAATGAGGTCCTACGAACGATGCCGAATATGACGTACCGAGAAGAAATGCATTGAACAACGTCCGTGGCATCCTGATCAGCTCTGTGTCACGTATGGCATGTACAGTGTTTGTCCGTGGTGAGCCAGTGATCACATCGAGTTCGCCAACTGTATCCCCTTGACCATACTCAGCCTGGATGCTGATCCCACCGCTCTCCTTATCGCGATAGCTCTTAGACGGCCGTTGATCACTATGTAGAAGCTGTCACTGGCATCCTCCGGCCGCCAGAGTACTTGTCCGCATTGACTTGCATCCAGTCCAAGGAACTGTCAATGTGAAGCACTGTAGTGTTGTGAGCGCCATGAGAACACTTGTCTCTTACACGCAGACGTACCGATCGGCGACAGCAAGGAGATGAGGCGTTTGGCGAGCGTCAGCAAGACTATAGGCCGCTTCTCCAATAACCGGTCCAACGCAGGCGATGGCAGGGATCCCACATATGTATCGGTCTTCGCCACGATGTCGACGTACGATGCTATCTGGCAAAGCGAGGCTTCTCGAGCGTTAGTCCCCTTGTCCTTCTGAACCGACTACCAGACTTACAGAGATAACCGGCAATGCCGCCAGGCCTGACAGTGAAGAGGGGCTTGCGCGTGTTCTCGCTGTTTTCCCGGGATCCTGGGACGTTGAAGCTTGTGGTCCTACTCTGGGTCGACGTTCCCCAACTGCCCAAACCAGGACGCGTGGGCTGCGTTCTTCGTCGAGAGGTTCTCCCTTTCCTTTCCCTTCTGCGGTCGGCGGCTTATGTGTCGGGAGCAAGATGTCCAGGAAGCCGTCAATGACATAGAACAGACCTGCATGTTCGTCTGAGCATATGATCACAAGACAGCGAAGAGACCGTCTACCTGTATTTCGTTCGCCCGCTTTCGCGAGGACAGACCCAGCAGGGAAGAAAAGAATTTCCACCTCATTGTCGAGACCACTCATGTACCCATCAGTCAGAATCGACGATGCGCCGGTCACATTCGACGCAGTGTCGTCACCTATCTCCAAGAGGGATAAGGAGCCAAAGGAGGACTTGAACGGCCCGGACTCCGTGCTTCGCTAGGAGTGAATGCAGGCGATGCCTCGACAGAGTCTGCGCCACTGAGAGGAGGCTGAATCAAGCCTATCGACTTGGCGATGCAAGACATGACCTCGTCCCGTAGATCGAAGTCCTCCGTTGTCATACGCCTCACTTGGGGAACGCCTGCCTGGCTGCGCGAAGGAGACGGCTCTCGTCGTTGACCTGCCATCTGGGGCCAAAAACGGTGCTCATTGAGCGTACCATAGGCCTCGACGACTCCGCCGGTTCCCGACAGTCGTGTGGAGGTCACCGGCTTGCACAGTTTGACGTGGCGTACACCCTTGAAGGGCGTGACCGGAGATATTTCGTCGGGCGGGACTCTCCGTCAGCGGGTTCTTCTCGCCCGGCCTGGGTCGACGTCTTGGAAGGGTTCAGGGATGGCGAGTTCATACTGAATAGTCGTCGCTGAGTCGGTCTCGTTCGTCCGCGCCACGCCGTCGAAGCGTTGTCTTAGTTGCCTGAGCCCGGACTCGTAGAACATCGGTGGCAGCGGGTGGCAAGCAATCTCGTTGATAGCCTTCTCCGTGCGTAGAACTTCTGTAGTCAGCCCCAGGTAGTTGTGTGCCGCGTTGAATGTACTCGAGAGAACCGCGTCAAAATCACTATATCGACGTCAACGACGTGTTCGCAAGAGCACAAACTCAAGAGTTCTCACCCTGCACGATATGCGCCGTTGCCTTGGGAAACTTTTTGGTCAACCTCCGGAATGCCTCTGCTGGAATGACGGCCAAGGTGCTATCTTCTGCGGCGCGGGCAACCGCACTATAATGACTCTCAGGTTCTGCAGAAACATGAGACTTCGGGCGACCACCAGATGGGATACGGGCAGATTGAGGAAAGGGAGATTGTGAGCGCCTGAAGGGAGATGGTGGACGAGGAGACGTACATCCTCCTGTTGCACTGTAGAACCGACGACGACACGGATGGTCTGCGGGTCGGTGACCTCAAATTCCTAGATTAAAGTTGGAGACGTCCGAATCTGACCTCCTGGGACGCGTCCGCGGTGGTGTCTGGTTGGTTGATGGTATGCTGACTGAGTCGAGATCATCGTCGCGATTGTCGCCGTCCTGCCAGCTGAGCTTGACGTTCTCCGTGAAGAGACTGAGGATCGTGAAGAGACTGGACAACATGCCTCCGGATCCGACTTGATTGAGTAGTTGGTAGCCATTCATGTCCTCTTCGTCCCAGGCACCGCTTCCTGTAGCTTGGTTTGGCAGTCCCGTGCGAGCATAGACCTGTACACTGCCGTCGATCACGCAATAAAAGCTCTTGTCCTCATCCAGAGAAAGAGTGTCACCAGCGATGAGCCTCCGCGTCTGCAGATGTCTCGCGAGTTCATGGAAAACCTGCATGTATCAGCGTGACACTCAACGCTGCTTCAGAAGATTGACTTACTGGCTTCTCGAGGAAACCAAAGACACGGACTGCCTGGAGAAATTCATCCAGATAATTGTGAAATGTAGGCATCTGTTCGGGTGTGTTCACATCTGGATTGAGTTCCTGGGCATCCGCTTTGAGCAGTGGAGCTTCCTTCAGCTTGTGTAGGTGTTGAGGTAACGAAAGCGAATCCAATAATTCAGAGCGATAGCAAAGAGCACAAACATGATAGCGAAAGACCAGAAGTTGAGCTGAATGATTCACAGGTTATGGATGGCTCTTCAGACTCGGGGAGAGTCGTACCGTCAATGTCATGGAGTAAGAAGTATGGCATAAATCCATGTCGGCACAGTGATAGTCACGAAAGCGACAAGTGCCTTGACCCATGACAGCATCCACACTGGATTTACGTTTCAAGAGTGCCGACACAGCGACCATCGACGTAACACTCACGAATTACCCAGAAAGCGCCGATAACAGCATAAGCACTGGGTGCCCATCATGGCTAGGGCCGTCGCGGTGGTCTCCATGATGGCAGGGGTAACGAGCGTTTTGGGTGGGTGGGACAGCTCAGTGGTTTGAGTGTAAGGCGAGGCTACGTGTTCATGTCGACGGGCAAAAGTGCAAGCAGCAAAGTGGCCAAGCAGCAGAGCGTAACTTACGGTACACGATCGGTTAGCGCCCGACCGCGTTAGAGCATTCGCGTCGAAACACGTGCGCGCGCAGAACGTTCCCTCTTGCCGAGCCACTGCACTTCACCCGAAGAATTGCGAGAAATAGCGATAAATTACTGCCCTGTGCCGGGCTGGGCGAAGACAGACAGACACTGAGACATTGAGCAGCACACTACGGATCCGGACAAGGGTATAACACCAATGATGTACAGGGAACTATCTACTAACACATCCGCCATCGACAAAGCTCAACCGAAGATCGAAGACGCAATAACCTAGCAAGGAGCCAATCACAGACAAGTACACATTCACAGAGTTTTCTCCACCACCGAGCTGCAATTAGAACCCAAACAGGCGCATAATAAGGTAGATCGCCGAGCAGACAAAACGAATGGCGGAGAGACCAGCACTGTACGAGATGTCAGTACGGAGGTCAGCGAGAAAGCACGACAATGTACGCACAGGGCATAGAACAAGAAAGTCAGATATGGGTTGAATGTAGAGTCGTCGCCACCTTGGCTGACGTGCTCATCGACCCAGTCGGAGAAGGCAGACGAAGTAAAGACCAGGATCATAACCCTGAGTGGACACCGTTTAGTCAACACAGTCAATGGCACACGGCACACCCACATGTTGGTGCCGATCCAGGTGAGCACAACGTTGGTACGACTGTTGCGGTCATGATCGGCTTGCTTGGTAGCGGCGTCTCGGTGCTCCTTCTGCTCTGGGGGCTTCACAGACAGGGCATAGCGCGATGCATTCCAGAGTTGATCGACGTCTTCACGGGCCGTAGGCACCTCGACTCAGGACGTCCTGGCCGCTCGAGTTCTTAACCTTCTTGGCACCACCGAGATCCTTGCGAACCGTTGTCACCCTTGGTACCCCAGGTGACATCGTGAAGGTTGCACATGCGTACATCACTGTAATTTGTGAGAAAATGAACGGCTGCCAGGCAGCAACGACGTACTCAAGATGTTCACATCTAACAATCAGTGTTCAGTCAGAGTTTGCCATTTCGACGGAAAAAAGACTTACAGCTCGGGAGGAGGAACAGTACTGAATGAAGGACGTGAACATGTGCCACGGCTCAAATGCATGAAGGAGCCGACGAAGTAGAGACCGTAAGTGGCGGCCAGGGAAACGACAATGTCACGGAATGCAGCGTTGTTCTCGATGAGTCTGCACGAACATCACGTCAATAGGTCGTGCACACAACGAGTCATGAACACTCACTTGGGGAAGTCTTCCCATCCAGAAACGGTGTGAGGCACCGCGAGCCAGACTGTGTAACCAGCACACCAGAGTGTGATGATGTTACAGAATCCGAAGAGCACCATGCAGAACGCGTAGATCCACTTGGACCCTTGAGGACGGTTGCCAAGTGAACATACCACGATGACGAAGATGAGCGCAATGTAGAGCTATGTTGCGACGTGAGTACACGAGACGGATGCGAGGCAAGCAGAGTATGCTACCTTCAGGAATGCCTCAAAGACCTGAACACCGGCACCTTTGTTGAGGAAGAAGAAAGCGTCCTCAGAACCATTGCCAGAAGTTGCCGAAGAGACCAACTAAATTGCAACTGTGAATACGTTTGGACTTCAAGGTCGAGGTCTTGGAACTTACGAAGTAGAAAGCCAGGTAGAAATTCGCCAGCGATGTCCACGTGAACAATAGCTGGACGGCGTTGTAGATGAATTCGATCTGAACGGAGCCATCAGTTTGCCACGGTACTACGTTCTGCGAACGCACTTGGAGCAGCAACATCCGAATAGGGTTCTGTCCGGACGTCCAGATCCTCCAAAAGAAGACGGTCGAATGCACAGTGGCGAAAAGGGAGCCGTTCAGCCAGCGACGACGTTGAGAGATGAACTCAGGGACCTGCAGAACCTCTCAGCATGGGACGCTCTCATCGGCCGGAGAATACGTACACTTTCGGGACATCGGTTGCGGCCTTTGCCTCTTCACATATTTGAGGCTATGGAAGGAATGAGATCAGCCTAACGACTAGATCCGGTCGACGTACATCCAGCCCTCGCGCTTCTTGGTCACAATCTCGAAACAGAGATACGTCCTCAGCAAGGTACATGTTACGTTCTGCAAGGGAAAAACAGTTAACGTCGTATGAATCCCACTCAACAGTCAGGAACTTACCGAATAGACCCGCATTACTGTTACCTCCGTGCATCGTCTCACCCTTGAAGTATGACGCCAATGGCCCCTTGCCGTCAGGGCCGTTCTGGAGAGCCCTGTACCTGTAGGCGCTGAAGGCACCGGGCAGCACACTGATGTATCCGAACACACTCTGTTACAAAATGCCGTCAACTTCATACATGACCTGAGTTGGGAACTGGCACGTGCCTCCAGGGGTTTATCGAGGATGTTCGACATCTTATACTCAAAGTTCTGGGAGGCCGCCAGAGGACTCCTCAGAATAGACCAGCAGAACCTTCCGGTATCGACGCAGATTCTAGCAAATCATAGATGAGCGGCTGGCCTCGGGGGAGAGTCAAAGTGCTCACTCTCCACATGCACCACCGACGTTCGAGTGCTTGTCGAAACCTGTGTAGATGATGAGAACCGACTGACAACGCATAACAACACTTCCACGAACATTTCCATAAGTCATAGATAGATGTACCAGTGGGCTTAGTTCCAACATCCAGAAGCACACAGACTGTCAAGTGAAGTGAGGTGATATCATCGAGCCTCCATGCGTTAGGTTTGCTCACCGTTGGGCCTGATGAGGGGTCCGAAAGCGTTGAAGAACCAACGGTGGCTGTTCAGCTTCTTCTTGTTCTGCTCCTTCAAGCAGAAGATGACCTGGACGGGGCAAGCGCTCTTCGAGATCTCCCCTTCTCCGAAACGACGACGTTCGAGGTGAACCTGCAAATCTTGAGTACTCGAATTGTGGGACCGAGATGCGATACTCACTCGAAGATATGGGCTGTCACGTCCTTACCGCCGACGGTATCTTTGGCGACACCTTCCTGGTAGCAGCCCATCTGCGGTATGATAAGTATGATGAGCCTGGAACAGCGCATATCACGGTGCGTACGAGGGCGAGACTTGGAGAGTGCGCTTGTTGATCTTGCTGCGGCCGTCGGAAACGACGCACACCACCACTTTCTGCCACCCATTCGGGCCCCACATCTTGAGCGGTTCCGGCTGCACAAATGAGCGATGTTCTTGATGACACTGCACGCATCAACACAGACTCAGTCGACGCGTGCATACCAAGGGGTGTGCACTCACGCATTCATGGTACGCGTGAACAGGACCTCGTCCTCGTTGTACATAGTCATAACGATAAAGAGTTCGGTGTGACGGTTCTGGAGGTACGGCCGCAGGGTGTACTTCTTGCGCATGAAGTCGTCGGGGTCGCAGGTCGCGGCCGTGTATCGCAACTTGGTCATTTCCTCGATATCGTCCATGCCCTTCGGGACAATGAACGAAGGGGCCTGCATGTCCATGACGAGGTTACCCTCGTGGAGCTCACCTGCTTGACCACACGCTGCTTGAGGAGCTTCTCCCGGACGTCAGACCAGCCCGCGCCCGGGTGCATCTGCTGCATGGGCGGATAGTTGAGCTGCGCGGTCTGGTAGGGCAGCGGCGGCAGAGGGGGGATAGCATCTGCAGGATAGCCTTGCACTAGATGGGCCTGCGAGGCTCCGTAGCTGCTCTGGTAGGACTTGGTGGACTTGGTCTCCCAGTTCGAGTGCGCGTCGTAGTCTTGGTAGTAGCCATGGTTCGGGGAGGCATATTGCTGCTGGGGCGCGACAGGCGGGTAGTCCGGGGCAAATGCAGCGGTGTTGGTAGAGGGATAGTCAGGGTAGGCCTGGGCGGGGTAGGGGCTGTAGGGATCGTGTTGCGGTTGTGTGCGATACGCCATGGTGACCGAGTTTCACGGCGCAGAACGAGATGTCTGAGGAAAAGAACGAAGGTGTGAAAAGAATGACAAGGTCGACGCCGATGCCTGACTGAGCTGGAGGAAGAGGGGGGTCCAGCGGAGGGGAGGTATCAGTGTTGCCAGCGACACTGCGGTCGGTGTTTGAGTTCGCTGCAGAGCTCAGCCTTCCCATCCTATCACTTCCTGATATGGCAATATCCCCTCAACTGAACTCCGCCGTCGGCCGCAACTGCCAACTGTGTGATGCCGCCTCTTGGCCATCTCCGGAACGAGCGTCGTTACACTTGCCCGAGCAGACGAACACGTCGTGGCAGACTTGGCGGCGATGGACTGCATGGATTCCGGAAATTTGCGTTGCGCTTCCTTGTCGCTTACTCAATGTACGGGCAAATAACAAAAACGAACGTAGTTTATTGATACATGTTACAGTGGATTGTCGCAGTGATAGTCCTCAAGAGACCACTGGATGGCAGCGTAGAGAACGTAGGCCTTCGGAAACTGAAGCTCACCTTCATGCTGATAACGTCAAGCGGACCTAGAACGGCATCCTGAGGCGGCCGAGGGTCGCCGCACGGTGCTGTTATGCTTCCTTTCCCTCGCCACCCAGGCATGAGCTCGCCATGCGCGACGACGCATTCCAGGCGTAGATCCGAAAGCGCGACCGGAAAGACGACGGGCGGAGAATGTAGACATGAATGGATCTTCAATGAATCGGTAGAAGCTCGGCCGTGACAATCATTGCCACAAAGCGGGGGATGAACGAGGGCGGCCGGGCGAGATGCCATTCTTACCACACTGACAGACGCGTCAGCACTTCCGCAAGCCGTCCGGACCCAGGACCAGATGCACAGCCGCCAGGACGTCAAGTGATACACATTACTGGTGTTTTACGGTGCCAGCCCTGGTGGTCGCCACGCGTGATGCTTGTGCTAAGGTCGTCAAGTGAAGGTGAAGAGCGGCTATACAACAGAGACAGCACGGCACAAAAAGCAGGCATTGCGAAGGCGTCTCACGAGGGAAGGAGGAAGACAAGAGGGAGCGCTGTGGAGGACGAGAACAAGACAGCCATCGATTGAGCGCTCTGAGTCTCAGCGCCGCACCATTTGCACGCAGCTTGACCGAGCCACTTTTCCCACGATCCCCAGCCAGCCTCATTGCCACCGTCGACCGCGCCCGTCGTTCTTTCTCTCTCCCCATCTCTCTCGCACCCTCATCCTTGTTCTTCATCCTCGACTACATCTCCGTTTCATCGTTCTCACTTTCACGTCAACGGTGAGTTCTCAATGCTCCGTCGCTTTGGCCGTAGCTCGACCAGGGATCGGATAACGTGTGGGGGTCGCCTCGAGGTCTCCTCGCCTGTGGCGGGCTACCAACACGACACCAGCATACACCTACTGCTGCCTCAAATATGAACGTAATGCCACATCCGCCATCCTGACTGTAAGAGGTGACAGCATTATGCATTAAATAAGGCGACGTGCGCTGGGCGGCTGTCGGGAGTCGTTGCCAGCGTTCCACACCGTTAACTACACACCGCGTCATCCACGTTTCCCCTCTGTCCTCTCCCTCTCTGTCCCGCCACTAATATCTGACCGCTTCATCCCACTCAGGTTTCCAGTCTTTCACCATCCATACCATGGCCGACTCTTCATCGCACAGACTAGACCTCAGGGTTGGTGGGAAGTACAGGCTGGGCAAGAAGATTGGTTCGGGCTCTTTCGGTGCGTGGCAAGTAATGTTTTGTTTTTGCTCGGGTCTGACGATGCCTTTGCAGGTGATATCTACCTCGGGATCAACATCATCTCCGGGGAGGAAGTTGCCATCAAGCTTGAGTCGGTCAAGGCCAAGCACCCGCAACTCGAATATGAGTCCAAGGTTTACAAGACCTTGGCCGGTGGCGTTGGTGTCCCTTTCGTCCGATGGTTCGGGACGGAGTGCGACTACAATGCCATGGTTATTGACCTCCTCGGTCCCTCCCTCGAGGACCTCTTCAACTTCTGCAACCGGAAGTTCAGCCTGAAGACCGTTCTTCTGTTGGCTGATCAATTGGTGAGTCATGACCGGTGCTTTGTTTACATCTATTCTAATTTACTACGAAACGCCACGTCAGATCTCCCGCATCGAGTATATCCACTCGCGCAACTTCATCCACCGCGACATCAAGCCGGACAACTTCCTCATGGGCATCGGCAAGCGTGGTAACCAAGTCAACGTCATCGACTTCGGTTGGCGAAGAAGTACAGAGACCCGAAGACGCACCTACACATCCCGTACAGGGAGAACAAGAACCTGACGGGTACGGCGCGTTACACCTCCATCAACACCCATTTGGGTGTGGAGCAGGCCCGCCGTGACGATCTCGAGTCCCTCGCCTACGTCCTCATGTACTTCCTTCGCGGCTCGCTTCCGTGGCAGGGTCTGAAGGCTGCTACCAAGAAGCAGAAGTACGACCGCATCATGGAGAAGAAGATGACCACCCCCACAGACTTGCTCTGCCGCGGCTTCCCCAACGAGTTTGGGATTTTCCTGAACTACACTCGCGCGCTTCGCTTCGACGACAAGCCCGACTACTCTTACCTGCGCAAGCTCTTCCGCGACCTGTTCGTCCGTGAGGGCTACCAGTACGACTACGTCTTCGACTGGTCTGTGCACAGGAGCCAGGAGGAGGCGAGCGGTAGTTCGAGCGCTAAGGCTGGTGGCAGGCGCAAGGTCGTCCAGGAGGAAGAAGAGCCTCGCATGCCGGACCGCATGTAAGTGATTGTTTCTGATATAGTCGCGTCGATCGTGTGTGCTCATACGTGTGCATAGGCTCCGCTCTCACACTCGGCAGCAGCAGCAGGCTGCTGGTGCTGGTGCAGTTGGCCAGCAGCGCATCAACCGCGGAGACTGGTAAGCTACCTGCATCGAAGCAGGGGGTCCGAGTCTTCAGGGCGCGTCCGGAGTACGACCGAGCACAGGGGGCGGAGGGTAGGTGAAGAGGAGTTTGGCTCGGTTCGGGTTTGGTCGCCTAAGGTGGATGGCGCCAAGGTTGTCGGTAAACTATTGGTCCAAGGCGCTCTTGAGGAGAAGCACAGGTCGTGGAGCACGCCGATGGAATTCGCAGTGAGAGCAGGTCCGGTGCGTCGAACTGCTCGCAGCGCGCGTTCGACATCCCCTCCTTTACGTCTGGGATCCGGTCATCGTTTGCTCCCTCACAACACTCCGTAATTCCTGGTCCGCGGTCGAAGTTGCCGCGCCCTCCATCCCATAGAAGCCCTAACAGGAGCAAGCCCATACGAATATACCGCTCCCTGGCCGCCACCGCGTATTGCCTCGTCTTCTTTCCCGCACGGACGCTATTTCTATTCACGTTCTCCATCGCTTCTTCCACGCATTGGACATAGCGATTGCGGAGGACTGCCTCGTTCCCTCTCGCCATATATGACACTCCCTCGCGCCGTACGCCGTGATGATAGTCTCTGTGTAGTGCTATCCCATCACTCCCCATCCATCCATCCGTCATGATAATCGCATCAATTCTGTACATATCATTCCTCCCTTCCCTACCCCTGTCATTTCCGGCTCTCTCTTTCCTTTCTATTCCCTTCCTACTATTGCTCCCATCTTGTTATCGTCCTCCCTCCCTCCACCTTGCTGACTACGACCTTTCCGGCCGCAGTCTGGCAGGGGCGCGCGGGGCGGGAGAGGGCGCCGCGTCTGGTCAGATGGTTGTTGGGCAGAGGGAGGTCCGTCTGTGGGTGCGAGTGGGTCGGTGTGCGACGGTGCGGTATGTTTCGCCGCTTGCTACACTGGCGCTGCGTCGCGTTCTCTGCTCGGTCGTCGTCTCAGCAGGCATCTTGGATCAGGCGCGTATTCCCACGTATACCGTATATGTCGTGATGAGTCGCTACCTGGCAGTACCTGTATGAATGGATTGTATGCATGACGTGTGAATGTATATGTTTGACTGCAACAAACGGGGCTCCTCTTTCGTGTGCAGACACGTCAAACCGGTTCCGGTGTTACCTTCGGTTCGTTTCACAGGGCCACCAGTCAGCAGTTCAGTCAATGTCGTTCCCGACGTGAGCCATCTTCGTGGCGAATGAGAAGATGTGGGGCGTATATCATGCTTCTAACGTGTTCGACAACCCATACAAGCATCAAGTGAATGATCATCATCCCAGGGCCGAGTCGAGTCAGGTCCGGTACGGACTCGCCATTAGTCGTTACACTGGCTGTACAAGTTTTCGCGGCGGAATAATTGTAAATCGTCGTGGGCCGCTGTTCTACATGTGAAGGTACACAGCACTGAATCCGGGGGTGGTATTTGGAGTTAACTTGGTAGCCTTGCGGACGAGATGATGGATGGCAGGAATCTGAGATGGGGATCTGCCGCTGTCTGAGCCACGTGATGGCCCTGTGGGGAGACCAGTACGGTTGCTTGTTTGAAGGCGCGACTGCCAGATCCCTACAACGGTTTGTATCCCGCCGTCCAAGCCGCCCTCCCGCCCCTCGCCACGCCCGTAGGCCCTACAGTCGCTGGTATATGCCTACCCGCGTTTCGCAGCTCGCGGTCGTGCTTTCTCCGCTAGGGTGCTACTCGGATACGAGGTACGTCCATAAGTGCTTCTCCCAGGGCCCCTATGTATGTATTCACGCCTTCATTTTCGCCCCATCAGCCCCTGTATTTAGCATAGACGGAGGGCGTCGTTCTAGCACCGCCAAGAGAAGGTAATCTCACTCACTCCGCGCGAGAGCCATGCCAGGAACGACCTCAGACCGCTCTTCGACGCACTCGCCGGCCTCCGTGGCGTCCGCGCCCGCATGGGCTCCCCCACGCTCCCCGCTCCCTCCCCACCGCCTAGCGAAGCTCGCAAATGCTCTGGGCGTACCTACACCCTTGCCCGCAGGGCATGCATACACTCTCTCGCTCTCGTCTCCGCCTTGGCCGAGTTCCTCGTCGACGTCCCCCGCAGCCTCTGATCACTTTAGACGGTCACCAACTCCGTCCGCAGCATCTGTCCAAACCTATACATCTTCAGCCTCGTCCACGAAGTACCTCCTTCATGTCATCCCACCCCCTCATTTGCCCCATGATATTGACGCTGTGGACGACTCCGATCTTTTACCCCCTCCCGCCGGTGCGTCGGGCTACCACACACAGTTCGGCCGCGGCGTGCTCGTGCCTGTTTACTCCACGCTGTCAAGCCAACTTTCCGCCATAGCGAAGGAGTACGCACTGCCTAGCACCGCAGGTCTCATCCTCTACCTCGTCCTCACCTCCACGTCTTCGAAACCCGATGTTGAACCCGAGCAAGAGGAGCCCGGTCCTCGCATATCCGAAGACATTTGGAGACACATCTGGCACCGCGTCGTCAAGGCGGACAGAGAGGATGCTCTCTCGCCCGGCCCAAGACAATTAGGTCTGGGAATAAGTGGCACTTCTCCCGCGTCGCCTTCCCTCATACAGGAAGTCGCGGCGACGTCTTTGCGACCGCTCATGTCACCTGGGAGGATAGACGTGTCCCAATCACAATTGCCCATGACACCATCTCCTTCTACTGCGTCGCATTCCGTATTCTCCTCGCAGTCTGAACTGGAAACGCCGGAGTCTATGTCATCTCTCTCTGCAGGCCCTGATAGTTCCCCTGATGAGCTGCCTCTGCCTGGTCTCCGTTCGCCTGCTCTGATCCCCATTCTTGCGAAGGTAGAGTTCGACATTGACAGGCGAAAAGCAGGGTGGTATGAGCCTTGGGCAAGGAGTCGCAGGGCAAGTCATGCAAAACGCTCAGAGTCTCGGGCGGGCACACGGAAGGGGTCAGGGTTGAGAGTGGATGGAGAGGAAGAGAATGGAGATGCGGAGAATAGGAGAGCACCATTTGACCTCACCCTCGTCGAGCGAATGCAGGATGGTCGCCCGGCGTTCTTGCGCGAGCGAGACGCTCTGGCTGCTGAGGGCTATGCCCAGCTTCAAGACGACACATCGGACCTCGAGGATCTCAACGCACCGGTAGGTGACCCACTTGTGGACGTCTTCGGCACAGACGAAGACACCTGGGCCGACATGCAAGCGAGACGCGCGCGGCGCGCAGCCAACCCTAACGTCGTCGATCTCGCTCTAGACGGCTCTGCGCTCTCCTCGTTCCAGGAGGACCCGAGGGCGACCGCACTGGGCTGAATGACGAGGATGAGGTCGAGGAGCTATGGAATTCGCGCTCCCGCCCGGCGCTCATCGTGTCAATCCCCTCGCCGCCATCTACGGGCAAGCGGCGTTCGTCGCCTACAACCGCGGGCGCAGGCAAGCGCGCCCCGCCCCCGCCGCTCAACCTTGTGCCCGCTAGGACTGACGGCCTCGCTGTGCAGGATAGCCCGAACGCAGGGAGCAGTCCTGGAGCGTGCGTCTTGCGTACCTCGATGGCGATACCCCAGATACAGAGGAGGACTTGGTACCTCCGCAGAGCCTGAAGAAGATGAGGAGTCCGGAGGAGGAGAAACGCGATGGCGCGATCTTTGAGGACCTCGACCTCGGTTTGCGTGTTGAGGATGATGAGGTGAGGGCAAATGTCTCGTTGATGCGCGATTGATTCTGAGCGTGCTGCGTGCCAGTTTGACGAAAATGACCCTAATGACCGAAGACGGAGTCAGTTCCTTATGAAACAGCAGCTCGACGAGCTCGAAAAGGTGGGTTGATATCTTTCTGTCTGGTGTCTTCACTGAACAGCTGCTGTACAGAACCTTGTCCAACTGTCGCCGAGACGACTACAAACTGAGGCCTTCGAAGATTCTCCTACGCGAGGATTGCATTCAGCTACCCTCTCGCCTCCGAAATGGGGCTCACCCTCACCATCCAGACTAAAACTCAAGACAAACGCAAGGTGAGCAGCTTATACCCATAGGACAATTTCCATGGAGCGCTCAATCGTGCTCTAGCGAGCCGACAACGGCCCAAGGGGGCGCTCAATGGCCTGCTGTCCCATACTCGGCTGTGAGCACGACAGACGCCTCGAGCGCAATGAGGTCTGCATCGCCTGCGGAAAACAGAGGCGCTTCCTCGTCGCCGCCACGTATAGCCTTCAATGGTCTCTCTTCTGAACCACCAAATGGGATGGTCATGTCCCGCTCCCGCTCCGGCACGATATCTAACGAGAGTCTCGCTCGTCAGCGCGAGAAGACGAGCTATACCCGCCCCTGATGCCTCCTGCGATGCTCACGCCAGGTCTTAGTGGCAGTGACTCACCTGTTATTCCCCTCTCCCCAGACCCGTTTGGCAGGTTCCCTTCGGAGGCTGAGGCTACGCGCATCCATGAGGAGAGGAGCAGCGACATGTACAATGATCGACGGCCCAACGGCACCTCGCGGCCCACGTCTTCTAGGAAGCCCTCTTACGATCCGGAGATCAGGGCGAAATCGCAGACGCCGTCGAGCCGGTTTTCACTCGATTCGATCGTGTCGGAAGAGGAGAGTGAGAAGGGCTCGAAGGGTGCGCCGCTGGTAAGCATGAAGAGCATCAAGAAGCTGTGGCGCAAGACCAACAGCAAGCTCTCCAGCGCCTCCGTGAACGTACTCGAGTCCGGACGATCGTCGCCTAATGATCCACGGGACCCTGCAGGCAAGCGCATGTCACGGACCTCGACTAAGTCCCCCCAGTTGTCCGACCAGATGGGCGACTCGCCGCCGAGGCTTAGGAAGCGGAAGTCGTCGGTCAGGAGCATGCAGTTCTTGGGGACGCCTCGCGCCAGCCCTCGCCGGCAATCCCTGTCAGCGCCACGCAGTCCGCCTCTCCCTCTCCCTCTCCCTCTCCCTACCTCCCTCCAATATCGGCATCTCCCTCTCCAAACTCTTCGCCCATGTTGTCGTCAGCTGTGCCGGCCATTTCCCCTTCGGACAGGAACGGCACCGTACGCAAGTCCATCCTCAAGTCGTGGAAGTCAGCCAACGGGAGCCTGAATGCGCAGCCTTCATCGTCATCCCAGAGCACGCCGCGCTCCAGCCAAGAATTGCTCAACGATATTGGACCGAAGCGTCGTCGGCCCAGCATCATCGACGGGTCGACCCTCGCAACTAGGCGTGGCTCGGTGTTGTCCTCTGGCTCAGCCACGCTCGTGGACATCCCGCCGAGCCCTGCGCTGCCGGAAGAGTTCGCACAGGCGCAGATGAAGAAGCGGTCCAGCCAGTCGAACCTGCTCAATGGCCGACGTGCGTCGACACGCCAGCGGCTGAGCCCGAGCATGTCGTCGGTGTCGACGGTGTCCTCGTCGCCGCCGCGGCAGAACGGCAGGCTCACGCCGGGCGACTCCCCGCCAAAGGGCGGGGCGCTGTCGCGGCACTCGGGCGAGTCGATGGAGAGCAGGCCGAGCTTCGACGTGTCCCAGTTCGAGATCGTCTCGCCGAAGATGAACTCGTACAAGCTGGAGAACACGCTCTCGTACCCGTACCACGGGCTGGACCATGGCGAGTGAGGGCGGGACCGTGTATCTTTGCTACGCTTCGATGTCGCCTGTTGCTTTCAGTTCGTACTTATTATGTGACGATTGTCGGCTGCGCCGGTCTGTCTGACGTTCGACTGTTCTGCATCTTCGCTCACTTCCATAGCCATAGCCCACGCGCCACCTATCCCGATCTTGTCTGAGTCTGACCCCCCGCATCTGCTCTTCGCTCGTCGCATTCGCACTTCGCACCGCACCCGTACTTATCTATTCTCTAATCCCCGCTCCTCGAGGGACTTGCATGTCCCGCTGGACGCCTGCCCGCCTTCGACGTCGACGTTGCACGCAGTCGTATTGTTATATTACATAGATCCCCGCTCGCTCGTCTCCACTCCCAGTAAGTAAGTAGTGTGTAATACATACCCGCCGGGCGCGGGGCGGCTCCGACCAAACCAACGTCATGTGCGTGTGCACCATAGTAGATGCTCCCCCCCGACCCGCCGTCACTGACGCGTCGGACCTTCCAGTCCGGCTGCGTGAGTGCGCTCAGAAGGTGTGCTCCGTCGAATCCTTGCCGATGGCGACGTGCTGGAGAGCCGGCGGAGAGCGTGGTGAGGATGCGGTCGACGTAGTTGGCGCCGCTCCACTTCTGGTGCGTGAGCACGTCGCAGCCGAGCGCCTTCTCCTTGCGCTGGACGAGCTCGACGTACGCGAGCATGCCGTCGGCGTGGTAGCGCTGCGCGAGCTCGGCGGTGGCCGCGGCGTTGAGGTGCAGGCCGGCGAGGGAGATCAGCTGGAGGACGAAGCTACGTGGGGGCCGGAGGAGTGGAGTGAGTGAAGCATGCAGGGAGGGCAGGAGGGAGACTCACCCTTCCTTAGCGAGGTCCCAGACGAAGTTCTTGAGCGCCGCGTCTGAGAAACCTGTGCGGACCAGTTGAAGCTCGGGCTGAGGTTATACACGAACCATCTGCAACGCAGACATGAGCGTCCGCTGTAGATATAACGCTGCAGTATCGTGACACGCACTTGCCGGGGAACTTCTCCCGGATCCTACGCGCAAGCCCTGCGCCTGCTCGAGGTCCGGCTTCTTCGTCTCGAGCCACATCATGTCCGCGTAGGGCGCGAACGCGAGCTCGCGCTTGATCGCGGCCTCGATGCCGCCCGTGAAGTGGTAGTAGCCCTCGCGCGTCTTCGGCACTGGGCGTCACGGTCAGCGCAAGAGGGAGGAGAAAGGCGTGCAGGTGCACGCACGGTCCCAGTCGAAGAACACGGGCTCGCCGAGGATGTCCTTGGCGATGTCCCGCGCATCGGCGTTCGACTTGCCGTCCGCGGCGGCTCTGTAGCCTCGGAGGGCGGTCTCCTTGTCCTGGATGCTGCTCCGCTGGATGCCTGCTCAACAGCTACCCCACGCCTGTCAGCCTGTCGATACCAACGAAGCCAAGCAACATACCCTCATCGAACGTCACCAGCTTGTTCCTCTCCAGCCACTCGCTCTCGACCCTGCCCACCTCCGCCGCGCCCGCCCCGCGCGCCTCCGCCTCCTCGACGGCCTCCGCGAGCCCGCGGCGCTCGGCCCTGCTCTCCGCGGCGACGCCGCGGATGTGGGGGTGGTCGCGGACGTCGACGGTGCTCGAGATGAGGCGGGCGGACTCGGCGTCCGTGCGCGCGACGAGGAGCATCGGGTGCTGGAGGAGGTCGAGCTGGAAGCGCGCGGCGGTGAGGCGCGCGATGTGCGTCGAGGTCGGGACGAGCACCTTGCCCGCGAGGTGCCCGCACTTCTTCCCGCCGACGAGCTGGTCTTCGAAGTGGATCGCGGAGGCGCCCTGGGGGGTGAGGTTAGGTCAGGAGGGGGGGAGGAGGAGGGGACGTCGGCTTCGGCGAAGAGCTTGGTGAGCTTCATGACGGTTGACTGGCCGCCGTGTCTATGTGAACCCATACGATCAACCCTTGTCTTGCCGATAATAGAGGAGAACGCCATCGCGCACCCCATGTCTGCATCCGCGATGATAGGCCGGAGGTAGTCAACGTAAGGTGTCTTCGCCCGTGCCTCTGCACCCATCTCGATGCGCTCGTCGTAGTGCTTGCGGTCATGGTGCAGCTGCGCGCGGAATAGCCGCTCGACCTGGTTCGGCACGGTCGTATAAGGATAGTCACTGGTGGCATACACCGCAGTCAGCGCGGGCAGAAGTGCGGATTGCAGGAGAAGCACTCACCCCAAGTCCGGTCCAACCTCGTTGCTAGCGGTCGTCAGCAAGCTACTGCACGCCCACCCACTCACGTACACCACCTCCTGCCACCTCCCATCTGCGTCATCTGCACAGGGTCAACCGCGCCCATCGTGTGCACCGGCTTCCCTCCCTGCTCCTCTCGTCAAAGAGCCTCCACAGCTTGTCCGCCGTGAGCGCGGACGGGAGGGGCAGCGGGGGGATGGAGCCCTGCTTCGAGGCGACGTCCGCGGCGGCGTAGGGCCGCCTCAGGCCGGCGAAGCGGGGGAGCGCGAAGAACGACTCGACGGCTGCGACGCGCGCAGCGAAGGCGCTGTCCTCGCTCTGTGGTGGAGGCGCAGACAGCGGGAGAGCGGGGAGGTCGGTGTAGGTGAAGGTACTCAGCGCGCGGGCGGGCAGCGAGCGCGGGAGGTGGAGGGCCGCACGCGCTCCGTGTAGTGCGCCCGACATTGTTGGGAGTGTTCGGACGACGAGCACGTAGCGGGGGTGGTTATATGCGCGTCGCTGGATGCTGGTGACCACCGTGACCGCCTGGAGGATCGACGGCCGAGCGAGCTGCCTCAGGGAACGGGTGGCTGAGGGTCCGGTAATGCACCTCCTCCCGTTTACCCGGGCCGGTCACACACTCGATCGGCCGGGGCCCCGCATTTTAGTCTTCACAGCCACTCCCACCAATAATTGGCGGGGCATCTGCCATTAATTGTATCCTGTACGTCTGTTGTGCAGTATACGTAACTGCTTTGACAAGATTCTCTCAAACAGCATTCACTCTATGAATCGCCTGGTAGCATACTGGCTGAATCCCAATGAGAGGACATTCGGCTTTAGCAGGTGCCGGCGACATGCCAAGTCAGGTCGAATTGCCCAACAGTAAACCTAGTGATATGGCTTCAGGTCCGTTCACTGCTTCTTCAGTCTGTAGATCTGACGTGAATGACCTTGAGTAATTGCCGGCAAGCTCACATCTCCGGAGACAAAACAATTTCATGAGACATTACTACAATACACCATCATTCATTTCAAGTTACTGTCACCCACTACATTAACTCTCAAGCTTTCCCAACAGGTAGCTGCTCCCCAGTATCATGCTCAAGAACAGCGGCGCATGCACCCAGCGCGCCTCCTGCGTCGGCGCCGCCGTGAAGCAGAACTGCGCCTGCTGCGCGACGAAGAAGCCGCGATCCACGTCAGCCGGTTCTTGTTCGTCAGCCAGCCCGTCTGCGTGACCTTGGGCGCGAAACGCGTGTAGAACCACAGGCTCGCGAGGAAGAGCGCGGTCTCCCCGACGAATCCGTCGCGGGCGAGTCAAACCACCCCGCGCCCGCCGCGACGTCGTCGTGCGGCGTCAGCTTCACGTCTGTGCAGGACGGTCGTCTTCTGGTAGTAATGAACGCGAGAAAGGGGATGACGTACCCTTCCGGTGCACAGGCAGCTCCATCACGAAATGGCTCAGCCCCGTCGCAGTGATCACCGCAAAGTCCGTCAGGGACACCCGCGCGTGCGGGCACAGCAGCTTGTACCCAGCGCGACGAGCGCGCCCGCGACGCCCATGCCCGCGAGCGAGTGGCTGTACGGGTAGTCGTTCGTGTACGGGAAGCAGCCCGAGCGCGCGACGATCGACTGGTCGAGGTTGAACGACTCGAGGCCGGCGAAGTTGAGGAGGAAGAAGAGCGCGTCCGCGGCGCTGCTGGAGAGCGCGAGGACGGAGAGGGGGATGCCCGGTGCGATGGTTTTCGCGATGAAGGCTGGGTGTACGGCGTCAAGACCTTGCGAGAAATGGATCAGTGAGGGTGAACGTACCGGAGGCGTAGTGTCCAATCCACATGCTGATGATTCGTTGTATAAATTCTGGTCGTCGTAGGTCGTGTCGTATAACGTCGTGGCTCAGTCAAGAATTGGGGGCCAGATCCCTCGCAAACCAACGTATATACCCTCTGGGTAGGCATTGGAGAGGCGTAGCACTGACACAGGCAATGACGTCATACACGACGCCGCCGCCCCTAAGAGATGCTTCACAGTGGAGATGCGGCGCCCTCTGATCCGCTGACGGGACGGCCGCGTTCGCGGGGGTGCTATGGAGGCCTCGAATTAAATTCTGGCCCATGGTCAATCAGCAGGCCGACTCGGAGGCGCATGCATCACCGACTCAGAGGAACAGAAAGCAAGTCACCTGTATCCAACACTAGCTAGTTAACTAGTTAGGAGCCACCATAGGACGTCGAGGCGTTTTATGAACCACGACGAGATCCAATGCAGGTTGACTGTTACAGTAGAACTTGGGATTTGTCTGGTTGAACGCAGACCAGGTGACAGGTGGTTTCGAGCAGTAACAAGCGCCTGATTTAGGCACATCAATGTCGGCTGATCGTCCCCGATCCCCTCAGATCCAATCGTGCGCACCCTCACGCCACGCATTTTGAACTATCACACTACTTCAATCGACGACATGAATCCTTCATAGGACACGGCAGCAATGTTTCGCAAACGATTACATTACTTCTGCAATCAATGAAACCAGCCGTACCGATTGACATCATATCTGTACAAGATGGCGAACTCGCTCAGGCCGCAACCCCCACTCCCCAAACGCAACGTCTTCGTTGCGATCCTTCTGGCCATACCATTGCTGGTACGCCCTCCTTTATCTTGCGCCGTGTAGCGAATGCGCTGACAACATCCTCTTTTCCTCGCTTGCAGGTTTCTGGCAGTATGGCCACTCGGGTGGTAAGTGAACTTCAAGTTGCTTCTACCAGGGACGTTGTCGGAAACTGTTGCACAGACAGTTTAGCGATGAAGGTGTTTCTGGCGACGGACTGCGCTCGCACACGGTTCCCACGTCTTCTACGGCGGGCCACTCCGTCCGTAAACTCGACCTCAATATCATATTGGTCTAACTCACAGTACTGCAGACGATGATTACCGGCAGCGGGCGCGCGAAAGGAACAACAAGTGCGTCGTCACGGGAGCCCAACACGCCTCCTATTCCCGCCTCAAGGCCGCGCACATCTTTCCGCGATCGCACGCAGCTGAGGTATACGATCCAGGACGATACATTACAAAGTACTGACCAGACAACTTGCGCCGTAGTTCGCGCGGATAGGGTTCACAGCGCAAATCATCGACCCAGCACCGCCTCCGCCGTCGGCGGACCCACGAAGATCGACTCCATCCAGAACATCATCCTGCTCGACTCATCGCTGCATGATGGCTGGGATGCGTACGAGTTCTCCATCGACCCGGACGTAAGCAAGGTCTCCCTGCGCTCTAGTAAATACCCAGGGCTGACTCGCAATCCGCACCAGAGGGACTACCGCGTCACCGCGTTCATCAACGACTACATCGAATACGACGGGCTACACGTCGACTTCTCCCACACGCGGATCACCGCTTGCGCCCCCTCGACGACCTCTTCCGCGACCACTTCCTGCAGGGGGTGCTGAAGCACATGAAGGGGGCCGACGAGGCCAACGAGGAGTGGGATCCCAGCGACGACCTGCGCGAAGGGTTTGTCGATCTGGAGCAGGTCGATAAGTGGGCGGCGTCGAGGGGCGGAAGGCGTTGGAGTTTGTGCTGGCGGACAAACTGCATACGTGGCGTATCAATCAAGAAGATAGTCTTTCTTAACGATTCTGTGTCTGACCCGTGTATGACGGCATGTATGCTGGTGTCTTGCATGGCTACCTCTCTCGGAGCTTGTCTGGTTGTTTCGCATTGTAGGATTTGTCTTATCATACATTCAGTCAGCCGACCCTCTTGGAGGCGCGGTCGGAGCGAGCCAATTTTGGGCTCCATCATTGGCTTAGACTCGAAGAGCATCAGCGGGTTCAGAAAGCATTGCCATGGGCTGCTTCATAAAGAGATGCCAGCAATTACACGCCTGTACGCTTGAATACGTTGATACTGTCTTTCCATTACATAGTCAATCGGCCTCTGATCCATGAACTCTGCACAGGCATGGTCCACGATCAATAATCGAACTCGTCCACTTGCGCATGGCCCCGCATCAGCCACTCCCAGTCTTCACACCCAAAATCCTCGGCCGTTCGAAACAGGACCTTAGTGGAAGGCCAAGGTTCGCCGAGCTCGAACGTATCTTCCGTGCGAACCACATGCCATAGGGACGAGCAGCGGCCTACAAGAGCCAGAGACTTGTTGGCACCGCGATGTCGGGCCAGTCTACCATCGGCAGGCTCCCGTCATCATCAACGTGTGCAAAGGCCAGCTTCGGAAGGGTTGCCCACTGGGGAGGGATATCACAATGAGATTTCCTGCTCTCTTCATAGACTGCGGGGATATCCGACATACCAGTCATCCCATTCGTTATCCTCCGGGACCAGGTCCATGTATTCAAGCCAGAGACGTAGGGCCCTTAATCCGTCGGGCATTGCGTCTCTCAGCGAATCACATTGTCCCCGCCCGACATCTTCGAGACAAAGATCAAGCCCTAGAACCTCCAGGCTCGATAGCGACCGGATGGCCGTCAGGACAGGAGCTAGCTCGACAGTGGTGCTCGCGTCACTGTAATCCAGACACCGCAGTCTCTTCTTCGTCCGAATGAAGCCCGCCAACGCCTCACGCTCCGTGGTGATGACGGCGGGACGCGTCAACTGAAGCTTGAGGTGCGTGAGATGCGGGAGCGCAGAGGGATGTGCCTCTAAAGCGGCATAGAGGTCCATGGGCGAGTCAGGGCGGAGGACAATGTGCAGAGCCTGGAGCTGGGCGCAGTGGTGGAAGAGGAGCGTGATGTTGCCGAGATGACCACCGTTGTCAATGGTCAGATGTGTCAAATCCTGCAGGATGCGGATCGGGCATTCCCAAATCGCCCGGCTCGGTGCGGCAAGCTGCGTCAGAGACCCTCTGCGGGACTCAAGCAATGATGCAAAGGACGAGCGGTACACCTCGTACAATCGGACGCCGGTTCCCGGGGCTCGTCCTGCAGATTGTACACACAGAGGCTCGCTGCTGGAATTCTCTTGAGAATCTTCAACGCGTCCAAACACTGGATCCTGATGCAGATTTATGAGAACGATGATGGAGGGACTCGATGCATAACCTACGGCAAGCTGTACTCGCGAAGGTTGACGGCGGTCGACGCCAGTGCCATCAGGATGTTGTCGCCAGGTAGCAAATGCGACGGGAGGGTGGTGTACCACTTGAATGTCCGCAAATTGTGCATGCTGCTGATAGCATTCGCCAGGCCACCTGATCCCAATATCAGTCAGAGACAAACTTGGGCATCACGAGCAGCAAAAATGTAACTCACACATCTCGAAGGGAGCGACGTTGTTCGCGAATGCAAGTACATGCAGTTCTTTGACATAAGACGCGAACACAGGGTCGGTGATGATGCGCAGTAGCACACAACACGACTTGCATCCGCGGTCTCCCTCAGGGGGCTCGTCGGTAAAGCCATAACTGACTTCCCAGTACCCGAAGTGTATACGGAGCGCCGAGAACACTATGCGAGCGGCGAGATCATGAAAGAACCTGGAGATAGCCAGGCATTCTCGGGTCGTGGCGGGGGGTGTATGGCTCAGAACGATCTGCCATAGTTCTGGCGGAAGACGTTCAGACCATCGGGTGTCTTCCACCTCCATTTGGCTGTGAAGGTCTGATGCCGTAGAGAACGCGCTTGTCAGTAGTTCTTGAATCACAAAGAAGGTGTGGCCCACGGTGGAAGCGGCTGTGGCCGGGGCCGATACGGTGCGATTGGATCTGAGGAGGGCTCATGGTCGAGATCCCTGGCCGATATAGACTACTTATTGATAGGTTACCAGTTAGACTCAGCGGCGGCCGCCGTCCTCTCGCGGATCGCCATCCCGCACTCCCTTGAATTTGATCCCATTCTCGAGTATTATACTGAGAGGAGGAGATTGGAAGTTTAGCTCGAAGGAATCAAGCGTAGCATCACAGAGTGCGAGCATTCGATACGGTATGAAAGCATTGGCACGGTCGTTTCAGTCGGGCACGTTCTCGGACCAGCTACTGACAAGTGCGTTCTCTACAGCATCGCAGCAAAATGGAGGCAGACTCTCGATGGTCTGGACGTCTTCCGCCAGAATTATGGCAAATCGTTCTGAGCCATACACCCCCGCCACGAGCCGGGAATGCCTGGCTGTCTCCAGGTTCTTTCATGATCTCGCCGCTCGCACATTGTTCTCGACGCTCCGTATAAACTTTGGGTACTGGGAAGTCAGTTATGGCTTTACCGACGAGCCTCCTGCCAGTGGCGGAGACCGCGGATGCAAGTCGTGTTGTATACTACTGCGCATCATCACCGACCCTGTGTTCGCATCTTATGTCAAAGAACTGCATGTACTTGCATTCGCGGACAACGGCGCGACCTTTGAAATGTGTGAGTTACTTTTTCGCTGCTCGTGGTGTCAAAGCCTTTGTCTCTGACTGATGCTGAAATCAGGTTGCCTGGCGAATGCTATCACCAGCATGCACAATTTGCGGACATTTAAATGGTACACCACCCTCCGGTCGTACTTGTTACCTGGAGACAACGTCCTGATGGCACTGGCGTCGACCGCCGTCAATCTTCGCGAGTACAGCTTGCCGTAGGCTATGCATTGAGTCCCTCCACTATCGTTCTCATGAATCTGCATCAGGATCCAGTGTTTGGACGCGTTGAAGATTCTCAAGAGACTACCAGCAGAGAGCCTCCATATATACAATCTGCCTGAAGATCCCGAGGAACTGGAGTCCGATTTGTACCAGGCAGTGTACCGCACGCCCTTTGCATCATTGCTTGAGTCCCGCAGAGGGTCTCTGACGCAGCTCACCGCGCCGAGCCAGGCTATTTGGGAATGCCCGATCCACGTCCTGCAGAATTTGACTCATCTAACCATTGTCAACGGCAGTCATCTCGGCAACATCACGCTCCTCTTCCATCACTGCGCCCAGCTCCAGGCTCTGCACATTGTCCTCTGCCCGGGCTCGCCTGCGGATGTCTACACGGCTCTAGCAGGTGATCCCTCTGCACTCCCTCATCTCACGCACTTCAAGCTGCGTTTGGCGCCTCCCGTCTTCGCTACCACGGAAGTCGAGGCGTTAGCGGGCTTCATTCGGACGAAGAAGAGACTGCGGTGTCTGGACTTTAGTGACGGGGGCAGCACTGTCGAGGAACTATCTCCTGTCCTGACGGCCATCCGGTCGCTAACAAGCCTTCAGGTACTAGGTCTTGACATCTGGCTAGACGATATTCGGCAGGCGCAATGTGACACGTTGAGACGCGCATTCCCCGACGGGTTAAACGCTCTACGTCTCTGGCTTGAACAGGGTAACATGAACCATCGCGACACCGGATGGAACGGACTGGTATGTCAGATTTCCCCGCAGCCTGAAGAAAGCAGGAAACCCTCATTGTGATGTCCCTTCGCAGTGGGCAACCCTCCCGAGGCTGGCCTTCGCGCACATTGACGACGACGGACACCCGCCCGTCGTAGACTGGTCCGACATCGCGGTCGCCAACAAATCTCTGACGCTTGTAGGCACCCGCTCGTGCCTACGGCAGGTGGTTCGCACGGGAGATGCGGTCGAGCTCGGCGAACCTTGGCCTTCTACTAAAGTCCTGTTCCGGACGGCCGATGATTTTGGCTGTGAAGACTGGGAATGGCTGATGCGAGGCCATGCGCAAGAGGAAGATTTCGATTATCGACCATGGACCGTGAGTGCACTATGCACACGATGTAACTCAGCCTTGACCACTATTGTAGTGACGGGGCTTGGTACTGCTAGCCACGCAGCGCGAAGTCTCAGTCGCACAACATGCAAGGATGGAATCGATTACATTTCTCATGTCAATTGTACCAAACACAGCTTCTCTTCTCTGTCTCGTGTGAACAACGGCATCGATAGATAAAGAATAACGGGACTAGGTACTAGGGGGCGCCGGCGGCGGACAGACGGGAGACAATAGACGTGAGAGAACAAACACGGCCGAGGCGGGAGAAACAGACGGCGGGCGGGGAATCGCGGGACTTGCTACAGAACGACGGGAGACGACTTACTATGTATGCTACGAGAATGCAGGACGATGGTGGAGTTGTGGGGGAAGACAGGTGAGGGGGATATTACTGGTATGGACGAGGGCGGGCGGATGATATGCATACCGTCCTGCGCATACAGCGACACTACGACGATAATAGCTTTCTGCGAAGGGCGTCAGCGCCAAACCCAACATTGAGCAAGGGCACTCACAATGTACTCTGCGTCCGCTTAGTGCACGACATGGTGATGGAAGCTTAACAGCAACAGCGCGTCCTCTACCTTCACGCCCGTCTCCACCTTCACCTGCGCCTCTTCACGTCGACCGCCTTCTGCACGCCCATGCTGAACACCGCAGGAGACGCCAGCGCCGACGGGGGCGGGGGCGAGCTCTCCGGGCTGGGCGTCACGCCTCCTGCACGTCCTCCTCGCTGCCCATATGCGAGTCGCCATCAGGATACACATCGGGGTCCGAGCTCGAGCTATGCTCGTTCAACGGCGGAGGCCGCTGGCGCATCGCGCGCGCGTACGTGTACAGCTGTCGTAGATTCTCCTCGCTCGGCGGCTGCATGGGCGAGGGCGGGGTATACCGCGCCTCATACCGCGGCACGGGCATCTCCTCGCGGGCGTCCTCGAGCGAGTACGGCGGCGGAGGCTGGCTCGGGTGGAGCGCGTGCACGAGGGGCGACGACACCGAGGACGACACGCCCGTTGAGTGCATCGGCGTCGCCGACCTCGACTGGTACGTCGCGAGGCTGACGTCGTCTGCGTCCACATCCATCAACTCGTCCTGGTCGTCCTGGTCGATCTCGCCCTCCTCCAACTGGTCCTGGAGGCCCGTGGCACGTTTCCGCGCAGTCTGCCGGAGGTTACGGAACCAGTTCGTCACTTTCCCGACGTCCATGCCGACCTCGAGCGCGAGCGCACCCCGCTCCTCGATGCTCGGCGTCGAGGTTCGCCGAAAGAGCTTTTTCAGTGCTTCGAGTTGGTGCGGTTCCGGACGCGTGCGACGAGGGCGCCGAGGTCTTTCCTGCAAACGACTCGGACCCTGGACACGATCAGATGGCATGCGATACGGAGAAACGCGTGGCGAAGATGGGCGAGAAACTGATCGACTCGAGCCATGGCTTAGATCATGACCACGGTTCAACGGCGCGGCGCTCAAAGAACGGCGGGCTCGCGGCGGAGGAGCCGAGATCGAATGTTGTGAGTGGTGCGGTATCGCTAATGATGGGTGGCTAGTCGCCGGTGGGACTGCCAAGGACAGCGACGGATGTGCCGCGCTCGTCGCCGGAGGGAACGGCGAGAACATACGCGGCTTCGACGAGGAGGCGGCATGCGCAGCGAGCGCGGCAGCGTGTGCTTCTTCCTCATCCTTGCGCTTCTTCGCGATGCTGCGTTGGTTCTGGAACCAGTTCGTGACCGATTGATAGCGCCTAAGAGAGAAATTCAGAATCACATCAGCACCTTGTTTTGGATCGGGCCTGATCGCACAACAAAGAGTTAGACGCCCATAATGTATCATGCCCAACGGGGCATCGCGAAGGCACTGCGTGATAGACGCAGATGTCAAAGAAAACGATGCAGAAGCTACTCACATGCCGATTTTGTGTCCAAGCTGCTCCCGTACGTCTTTCGAGGGATGAGGATCCACGTCGTACACTTTGCGGAGCTCCTCCGTCTGCGCTGCAGACGGCCGCGAACGAGCCTTGGGTCGTTGGCTCTGCTCGGCGGCATCGAGGTGACGGTGTGAAGGATTGCCTGCGTAGAAGAGCTGCTGCTTTGTGGGCGGTAATCGGTGCACGTATTCCTCATCGTCGTAGTCATCGTACTCGGGTTGTCGGGAAGCGGTGGGCCGAGGCCGAGGCCTGGGCGAGCAGATACGGATGCGATGAGGGCCGAAATAGGCGGGAGCTCCACTGAGTTGTTGTTGCTGCTGGGCTTCTTGGTCGGCGCGCTGGTATTTACACTCGAACCAGCGCGGGCGTTCGGAGCTGGGGTGGTCGCTGAGGAGCCTTTGTGACGCTTCTTGCACGACGCACGTTTGTTTTGGAACCAGGAGTTGACGGTCTTGGTCTCCCTGAGTGATCGTGAGCAATTGGGGGGAAGACAGGAGCGGCGGCGGATGGAAATACGACGACGTCGAGGAAGACAACGAGAAGGGTGCTCACATTCCGAGACGCTCTGCAAGAGAAGTGCGCTCCTCCAACGCCGGGTGCTCGTCCTTGTCGTAGAGTTCATTGAGTGCTGCGAGCTGAAAGGCCGAATGCCGGTGTCGGGGTTTCTTTGGCTGGTCGGTGGTATCTTGGGGAGGGGGATTGGGCTTTCGAACCTTTGGTTCTGCGGGGCGGCGTCGTTGCTGCTGTTCTGGGGCGATGGGAGACGGGAGGTCGTCCCTGGCCCATGCGGGGGGCGGAGGGAGCATGGCGGACAACGGGGAGGGAGGAAAGAGATGGGGACAGTGACAAAGCGTGCGCTATAGGGGGGCAGTTCGGCTCTTTAAGCAGGAAAATTAAGCAGGTGGACACTTATGCAGCTGTCCGAGAACAGACAACTGTCCCACGGTGCATTCAAATTATGCCATCACTCTCCGGCCACGGCCGCGCTTTTGCTCTCTCTCTTCCGCCCGGCCCAGCAGCCCGCCTACCCGGTTGCCCGCCGCAGTGTCCCCGTCCTCTGCGTCGGTGCAGCCAGCGCAGGCTGCATGCGCGGGCGGGGAAGGCTCTGGCTGATGGAGGACTGAAGCGGTGCCTGTGTGTTCATCCATGACCAGATCCCTCGCAACCCGTCCACGTGCGCATGATTGCCTCTTGACCTTATGGGCGTCTAGTGACAATGCTGGCCGCTGTAATGCACGCCGTCTGACAGACCACTGTCCATGATCTGTCCATGATCCTGCCCTGCATATCACATCCCATTCATCGCGCTGCGGTCGCCTGCCATCTTGTCGTCCTGTCCACAGCCTGTTTTGCTCTGGATGATTTGTGGTTCGAGTAGATGCTGAATGCTGTGCCGCCTCGGCGTAGATATCCACCGAAGGCGAATAAAATCGGATCTGATAGATGATCTTATTCACTCACTCATCGTGATGACGTCTTCCAATCTTGCACTTCATGTTCAAACCACCTTCAGCCAGGTAGACCACTGCATGAACGGCGCTGTTTGGGAAGCAGTACATACTTACAACCATTCTGCACGCCACTCGGAGCGCTAGCGCCAGCACGTCCTGACTCCCACAGCTCCAGTGCACTCAGGTTAGCTCCTTGCGTCCCGGTCATCCGCTGTAGCCGCCCAGATTCAGCCAGTGCGTCCGATGCCGTTACGCAGTACACTGATCCGATCTGCTCTGTCTCGAATATGCTCTTCGAACCACCGAGACGAGACAAAGTGGCGTGTGTCGCCTTCGCACATGTGTCAGCCAGGGACACGTCCGGACAGTCGCAGAATGTAAGGTACGTGCGTCTACTGTACAGAGGTTTCATTGTCCCACCGATAAATTTGACTCCTAGATACCATGTACTTAACTCTCCCTGACATGGGAACCGCCGAGGCACAAGCATCACATCGACACTTCTTCTTGCTCTTCTCCGATGTTCTTGATCCACGCTCCTATCGCACCGCTGCATAGACGTACAGACACCTCAGCGATGGAACGGGGGCACTCATATAAGCAGCACCACTCACAGGAAGCCCTCGTGCCGAAGAAACATCGCGCGCTTGGTGCCCTTGCTCCAGAACCTGATAGCGTACGACAATGTGCTGATAGTCGCCGCATGGCCTGCACCCGGCAGACAATCAACCAGTCAGATGGACACAGCGCGATCGTCAACGGTGGGGCAGTAGCGTACCCCGGATGTAGAAGCCCCCAAAGTAGATGCGCTCGAGGTTGTACTTCTCCGCGTTCATGTAGCTGCGTCACCACACGCCGGTCAACAAATAGAGATGGCAGATATGGACAGGCAGCTGACGCACGCTATCTGCCCGATGTTGTTCGATACCGCGTACAGCAGGCTCTTCGAAATGTCCTCCGGCGTGAAGGTGCCCTTCTGCTCGCGGTTCTTGAACACCTTGCCGAACGAGCTCGCGATCATAGTCGACTTCAGCCCGAGCTTGCTGTAGTCCGACCCGTAGATATCCCCGACGAGCATGTCCACCTTGGAGTTGTCGCCCTTCTCGGACAGCTCGAGGATCTCTGCGGGGGAAAGCAATGAGGACGATCACGCGCGGGCGCAGATCCTGACGTACGCACCGTCGAACGTCGTCGCCGGCGTCAACAGGCTCAAGAGCCCCCACAGCGTCCCGCCCCCAGACTCGTCCCGCTCACGCGCTCGTACGTGCCGTCCTCGTCCACCTTGATGATCGACACGCCCGAGCCGATGTTCACCAGCAGGCACGGCAGCTGCGGCGTCGGGTCCTGCACGAACGTCACCGCGTACTTGGGCGGGTTCGGGCTCGGCCGCTCGAGGGTGCCGCCCGGGTGCGACACCGCGTCGATGAGCTCGTCGGAGAAGTAGTACACCTCGTCCGGGATGAGCGTGATGAACTTGAGGCCCTCGATCAGACACTCCATCTCGTCCTCCCGCCGCACCTCGACGCACAGCTCCTGCCCGAAGAGCTCGTGGAACTTGTGCGCGCCCCCGCCCGTCGCCATGATCTTGACGGAGCGCCGCATCTCCGCGATGGGCACGCCGTTGAGCGCGGCGCTGTGCTCGATGAGCCCCTGGATGAACTCGACGCACGCGTCGATGTGCTCCGTCTCGTACCGCTCAAAGTTCAGCTGCCCGCCGGGAAAGTGCTGCACGGACGCTCGCCGGAGAAGCGAGCCCTGCAGGAAGCGGTGGTCGAGGAGGGGGTGCTCGGGTGCGGGCGGGCTTGCATGGCCGTTCTCGAGCACCGCTGGTGTGAGTGCGCCGTTGAGTTTTGCGTTGTACTTTGCGCTCGAGGTTGGAGAGCCAGAGACGGGGGTATCTCGGGGTGGTGAAGATGAGATGGGGGAGGAGAGGTCGCTGGCGGCGCTCGAGCCCGAGCCCCGCGTAGCCGCTACTGACGGTGACTTTGGCGGTTCCGGGGAGCGGGTGAAGTAGACTACTTTTGCCAGCGAGCCACCAATCTGGAGGCAAAGGTCAGCATGCGAGTGAACGAAAGAGGCGTACTGCAGATCGTACATCGACTGCTATGTGGGACACTGGCTCGATGTAATTCGGAAGGTAGATGCCGCGACTGTCGCGGGTCTAGTGCACACAATCAGAATGACGAAATGCGGGAGGCGAATGAGCAACGCACGTCGGGTGACTCCTCGTCCAGTATGAGTGCCCCGCGGGTGTCGACATGGATCGCCTTCGCGCCAGGCAGCGTTGGCCCCGACATCCTCCTCGCACCGGTGTACTGCTGCAGCAATTCGGAAGCCCTGACTGGCCAGGGCGGGACGCGAGTCAGCGATCGGCGACTGCGCCTCTGATCTATTAGGGGGCGAATGCGGGGCGGCGGCTGGGGTAAATCCGAAAAGTGCGACAGGTGTGCGCCTCGTCCGGTCGTACGACTGCACGGTTATCCAGGAATCAGACGGGACACGAGTACAGCGGCTGCGTGGCGCAGCTTCCCCGTAGCGAGAGCAATGAAAGGCACAAGACATCGTGTGCTTTTGTGAAGGAAAGGGTGGAACGACCGGCGACGGGAGAGCCACGGGCCCTCCCCCAGTACGCTAAATCACCAGCTTTCTCACTCGCCCCGCGTCGAGACTCAAAGACCACCCAGCTGTGGGACAACGGCTCTCGTTTGCCTCCACCACCTCTCATGCACAAATAGATACTGGGAATTTACGACAAACGTCCGATACACATCCAACAACGCGAAAAGGCCTCGTCTACACGGTAACTCAACCACCGATAGCTGTGATCACCAGTCCGCAAGCTTGCTGCTGTTCTGCGCGGACGGCCAGCTCCAGCGTGACACCCTGCGCCTTTGAGTAGGCCATCCGGCACCGTACGAGCACCTTCCCGCCTCCGCCTGGGATCAAGCCAGACAGTTGCAATGTATGCACGGTCGGGTTTTGAGGCTCCTCCGTGCCGCCCAGCGGCTGCATATTGAGAATCTCGACGATAGAGTCGCATGCGGCTGCCACAGACGTGAGACACGTCTATACCTGACACTGAGATCCGGCGTACCTTTCATGGACTCCATTGCAGATAGGGCGAAGGTTTCCGTTGCGGTTGCCCCATCGCGCATACGGTCCCACTCTGACGAGAAAGTCGCGTAGCTGGGAATGATGTAGTCGCCCGCAGCAAGCTCGGTCTCCTCCAGCTGGTAGTCGTCTTCGTAGCCCTCCTCCTCGGGTTCGCCTGTCGATGGGTCCACCTCTTTGCTGACGAACTTGAGGACACATTGGAACGATGCCAAGATGTAATCTTCTGGGCTGTCGCGCGTGAATGAGACGTATACGATTCCGGGTGATTCGCTTGTGATAGTGTGGGCGAAGGAATGATGAAGTCTTCTGTGAGTCCCGACTCTGTCTGTGACTGCATCACGACTGACACCTGTTCCAGAACTGTGTCCGGAATCGTATTTGCAACATTGAACTAGCGAGAATACGCTCAGCCGGAGCCATACGTCGGGGGAAAGGCATGTACTCACCTGGAATACAACGTGCTCCTTGAATATGTGCTTGACACATGACACTTGGTACTCTGTTTCTGCCTCCGTGAGCTGGGAAGGCTTGGAGCTGCTGTTGAGCACAGGGCCATAGTCTGCGAACTCTGGTACATCTATAAGCTGCTGTGCGTATGCGGACTGCGTTTCCGCAGCCGTTTGAGGCGGAGGAGTTGCGGCCTTTGATGTCGAAGGCACACCGATAGTGTCCAAACTGCTGGGACCTAAACAGGCACGTCAGGGTCCACTTAACAGCTTGCTGGAGGGCTTGCTACTTACGAGCGACCTCCTTCGCAGCCTGATCCTTGCTGATTTTAGGTATTGAGGAAGTATCGAAGGGCTTGTCAAAGGACTCGGGATCACTCATGTATGACACCAGCTTTGACTCGAGGGCACCGAGGGAGAAGATCGACTCTACATGCTTCTGTGAGCAGCGCATCGAAGCCCAGAGATAACAGGGACGTACCTTCTTTTACGTACGTAGTTACTAGTGGCGGATCTTCATACACCTTCAAATAGAGCGCAGCACGATCCCGGACCTCATCGTCCACATCATCCAGACACCTGTGGACAGGATAAGGATCGGAATGAATACACGGATCCTGTTCACTGACCGGTTGAGAAGGACCCTGACGCTGCTAGCCAGCTTCTCATCCAATCCGTTGAGGCCGAATTTCGCCAAGCTCGCTACCGCCGCAGCGCGGACGGTAGCGTTCTCCAGCACCACACGGTTATAGATATACCGGATATACTTCGTCGGCTGCGGCGCCTTTGGGCCCTCCGCACCAAGTAGATGCAAGATCCGCACGGAGAGCTTTGTGAACTCGCAATCCTCGATGAACTCACATAGGTGTGAGAGCGCCTGCTCCTTGCAGTCTCCGATGAATTTGATCATGTCGAAGATGGCCTCGACGACGGCGCGCTTGAAGTCGTAACCGCCCTCATCGCGGAGCACACCCGACAGGAAGGCGAGCATGGACGCGTGCTTGGACGGGAACTTGAGGCAGAGCGAGCGGATGGCGTCGACGATGATGACCTTGAACTCGTCGCTGATCTCGCTCATAAAGCCTGTGATCTGCTTCATGAGGCGATCTACGGAGGCTTCGTTGCCAGTCTGCATGATTCCTCAGCACAGGAAGAATATTGTCGACACAATGTGTCGCACCTTCAAGAGGGTTGTGATGGCGTAGGTTGCAACACTGCGGTTCTGGTCCGAGATGAGGTTCTCCAAGTCCATGTTGCAAGCAGCCACACTCTGAGGGTGGTTCACAGCTAACGCTGCCAATGTCCGGGTTGCAGCGAACTTCAGCGTAGACTTTGGAGACGAAAGGAAGAGTTGAAGCACTGTCAAATGATACTCGTGAATGGGATTCTTCGTTGCCACGACCTTCGACGCATACCTGCGATAGACCTTGTGAGCTGCTGGGCAGTAACTCCCTTCATCTCACAGATGGCGCAGCCGCCTCGAGGTTGACCATGTCACTCTTGTGCCGCAACCAGCCTTCCAAGAGGTCGAACATCTGTCTCTGCATACTACGCCGGGCATGAAAGGTCAGTGCGATGTCTTCCAGACCAAAACACGTACTTCGGGTCCTCTTCCATGATCTTCGCTGCATAGCGGATGAGCATGCATAACGCCATAGGGTTCTTGAGCGTAGTTCCGGCACCCGATTTCCCTCCACCCAGCTGCTGGATCATCTTCGTGATTGCCATACGATCCTGCTGGCGAATCAAGTAGAGCAGACCCAACGCATGGTACTGGGTGATATTGCTGGTAGATGGCACAGGCGAATATCCGTTCGTGGGTTGCGAGGACGAGCCTCCCCATCCAAGGTAACCGCCGCCAGTGTTCCCGCCAAAGAAGGAACCGGAGGACTTGCCGCTAACCGCTTCCTGCGCCTCGTTCACCCACCTCTTCACGACGTCCTTTGCGTTAGGAAACAGGTGGTAGGCCGAGACAAGCGCGGCAGAGGAGATGGACGGGTTCTTGTCGACTATCGCTGCTTTGAAGAACCGCTCTACACCTTGCGCCATAGACGGCTGTGTGTGCGGTCAATCGTCCACTGCCTACGCAGACAGCAGTTATATCACGCACGTCGATGATACGGCATAATGCCCGGATCGCGTTTGGTCTGTAGATGACCTCCGAGTTGGGCTGCATGTCCTTCATGATACTACTCGTTACCATGATCACGTCCTCCGCCGTGCTGGCCAGCTCCTTAATCGCCAGGTACACCATCTGCCGGAGGGCACTCTATGCGCAGCCATACATGTCATTGAGTACGCCCATTTCCCTATCAGGTGTACAACTCACGTCCTTATGTTGGAACAACTTCGTCGTCCCAAAGAACAGCGTCGTCGCCTCCTGCGTACCAAAGGTCTCCCCGACATAGAGTAAGAACACGATGCGAGTGAGCAGTGCCCTGCATCTTCGCGGACTAATGGGAGAGTCGTTGAACACGCGTGCCTCCTGGATGACGGTGGTCTTGTTATTGTAGTAGGTGCTCAGACCACTTTCTTCATCCTTCTTTGAGACTAGAGACATGACGGCAACGAGAGCGGGATAATGTGCGCGTTCCAGACAACGCGACGTGGTCCAGAAGACTTGGTCAAAACCGATGGCTGAGACAGGCGTAGCGGCGATAGCAGCACTGCTTAATCTCTAGTAATATCTGTTGGACGAGGTCGACTAGCTCAGTTGGTTAGAGCGTGGTGCTAATACCGTGAGAGTTGCTTACGTACGCCAAGGTCGTCGGTTCGACCCCGGCGTGGGCCAGTTCGTTTTTCTTTTCCTGAATGTACCTCTTGTCTATGGCAGCAAGGAGCTTGGAATGGTGTGCAGATTGCTATGGGATTCATCTCAGTGTGTTGGTCGCTGGCGCGAAGCTGACAGAATAAGTGGTGAAGTCTTTGTGGTGGGTTGTGGCCCTTCAAGTTGCCAGTGTGGGACACCGAAGCTACGCAATATTATGAGTGACGTTTTCGTGGAAAATACTTACCGGCAAGTCTTACTTTCCCGACTTGAACTTAGTGTGATTGGCGCCGTCCGAACGCGCCGATGCGGTACTTGCCTAATCGGGATGAGCATCGCGCCTGCCAGGGCCGCTGCGCCAGGCGTTTCCCTTATTCTCTTTCATGTATAATGTCTCTTCATAAATTTCATACGCCTTCTTTTATGTGTTGCATCACCTGTTCTCTTCGATATAGTGAGAACCACAGGCTCATGACTATGGCTCTCATCGGAGATTCTACTGAAGCATCCCGGCCATACGTCTCGTCAATGATGAGGTCATGAGGATGACATGCTGAGAGGAAGTTTACAGACTCCCTTCTATAGAATTATTAGTGGCTTCCGGATTCGCCGTGCAATGAACAGCAGCGCGCATAAAGGCCCGCAGACAGAGTTGCCACAATTGGCTAATGATTCCGCATTAGGCAATTCACCAGCCCTCGAAGCAGAATCAAGTGATCTAGCATGAGCAGACAACGGATCTGTGACTCACTGTAATCTATATACAGTGTTAACAAGGCCAGAAATATCCATTATTGTAGAGACCAAGTGTACGAAACGGAGCGAATCTAAGTCCGAGGTGTACGGGTCACGTGTCAACTAAGTAGCAAATCTTACGCGATAACTAAGGCGTAAGTGTAAGTATTTTCCGCGATAACGACCGTCATACAATATCCTCATTCGTTTGATCCACCTGTCTTCAGGGTTAGTCAATCTCTACTGAATCCGACGGCTGAGGCTGAGGCCCAGCTGAGGCCTTACGCGTTGCTCAGAGGACTCGTTCTAGTACGTACTCAGGCTCTGTTTTCAGGTTCAGTTGACGACTCTCGAGTCGTAGGCTGGAAAACGCAATGTGGGCCTTTGTGGTGTTGTTGACCTTAACAGTTGTTCTACCGACAGTGTCGCAGCCGGACTACTCTCTGACGAACTTGGCTCGCCTGGACCTATCTTCGTGAGCTATCGTGTCCTCAATGTAGCTATGGATTATCATTCATGATCTCAATAGCTTGCCGAACAACACACTGTTCACGCGTTGGCGTCCGAGGTCCCATTTCACTGCACCACACTCGTGGATGAACGATCCGTGTGCGCCGTCTTATGATCACTCTTCTGGGCTCTACCATCTGTTCTACCAGTTCCATCCTGCACACATTGCCTGGGGCAACATCTCTTGGGGCCATGCTACGTCGCGGGACCTTGTAACCTGGACAGATGTCAGTGCATGGGAGGCAAACAGCGCAGTCGCCCTTTCCCCAGGCCCAAATGGGTCGATGGATCACCTTGGAGTGTTCACAGGGTCCGCTCAGTTTGTGAACGTCACGCAAACCGAGACCTGGGCCTTGCCTATACAATATCACGACTCCCGCGCGGAAGACAAGTCCAGCGAACGAACACTGATGCTCGTCTTCTACACCGCAGTGAAACACCTACCTACAGGATGGAATATCTCTTACGTCAATGGCACGGAGACGCAAGCCCTCGCGATCTCGGATGATGGAGGGTATACATGGTCGAAGTTCGAAGGTTTGGGCATCAACCCTGTCATTCCCGGCCCACCTCCTAACCTCGATATCACTGGATTTCGCGACCCCTTCTTTGGACCGTGGCCTGAGATGGACACAATACTCAATGCTGATGAGCCGCATTTCTATTCTGTCTTCGGATCCGGAATCAAAAACGTCGGGCCGCGTCTGCAATTCTACGCTGCACCGGCATCTAACCTGACTCATTGGTCATACCTCGGCCCACTCTTCTCCGTCGCAGGCAACTCATCATGGTCCGAGACTTACTCCGGCTCTTACGCATTCAACTTTGAAGTTGCAGGCGCGTTCTCCCTCCCGGAGCTGACAGAGAACGGAGGCGACGGAGTGACGGCCCACCACTTTGTCATGATGGGCACGGAAGGCGGGAACACCACCTTGCACCCACTCGTCCACTGGCCACTCTGGTCTGAAGTTGATATCGTGCGCTCAGCGAATGGCTCCGCGGAAAGCATCATACGCTCGTCGGGCGTCATCGACTGGGGAGAGTCCTATGCGTGGAACTCCTTCTACGACGAGCTTCACGACCGCCGCATCGCCTTTGGCTGGATACCCGAGGACCTCGATACGTCCGTGCTGCCCCCACAGGGTTGGGCCGGAGCTACCTCCCTCCCCCGTGAGTTGTACGTCCAAGTCTTTCGAGACCTTGCGGACACGAAGGGCGTCCTATCACAACCTGGGTCTTGGACGGCTATACAGAACCCAAAAGGTAGTTGGACAATGACCACCCTTTCCATGCGTCCCGCTCCAGACGTCGTCGCTGCACTGCGACAGAACGCGACAGTGACTCGTATAGACGTCGTCGTCGTGTCAGCAAGCGATGTTACTCGTGGACAGTTCCATGACCTGAATGTTACTGGCGACTCTATCATCATCCATGCGGAGATCGACATGTCGGCTGATACTACGTCGGACGTCAGCTTTGTCCTTCGTCGCAGCCCAGACGGTGAGGAGCAGACACTGATTACCTATGATCCCGCCCGCGAAATGCTCAATATAAACTTGACGTCCTCGACCCTACTCGAGCCATCGTTCGTCAACACCGCAAACCACGTCGCACCGCTCTTCCTTTTCGATACATACAATGGCTCTCAGGTTGGCACCGTTCGCGAACCGTTGGTGCTCGATATCTTCCTCGACAATTCAGTCATCGAGGTCTTCGCGAACTCTCGTGTCGCGATGATTGGGCGCACATACCCGGCGAGGAGCGACTCTCTGGGAGTGGGATACGTTGTCGGCGCGGGCAACGGGTCGGTCACGTTCAAGCAGGTCACAGTTTGGGAAGGGTTGGGGAGAGCTTGGCCAGAAAGGCCGGATAACACGAGCACGCAGTTGGTCTACGATACGCCGGAGGAAACTGACAACTACGCGTGGTGGGCAGGTAATTGAGTACTCTTGCATGTACACGCATTGACCCTGGTGTTGGCGAATTATGCAGCTTGCTTCCAGGTCTCTGTCTCTGTCTGCCTGAATGTTGGCCATTTCCACCCCGGCGACACCACATCAGCATGTCAGCCAGCCTCATGGGCACTCATCGCACGCAAATCTCATGTTACGAATGTTTTCAGACGGTCGACATTAAAAGGCTCTCAAAGTACTGGGGCAAACGAGTGGCACAACTGGATCGTGAATTCAATCCAGTACGGAAACAACGATGCAAGTCGTAAACGGGAGCAAGTGCAAGTCCAAAATGCGGGGGAAGTCCATACAGTCCGTGCTCGTCCATGAACATGGTATACCGAGTACCAGAAGAAACCCACTCTGTCCATAAGCAAAGAAGCGTCGTGCTATCGTTACATCATCTCCTCAGAGGGCGACGACTGCGCCAGCAACGACACCGATGGCAGCGACGGCCAGGGAGCCGAAGCTGACGTCGAAGCGGGCAGCGCCGTTGAAGGTGCCGCTGCCCGTGGTCTCAGAGGCCCGGCAGCGGAGGTAGAGGCACCGGCAGAGCTAGAGCCACCAGAGGACGACGCAGGGGACGTAGAGGACGCCGCCGACGAGGCACCAGAGGACGTGGCCGAGGCGGAGCTGAGTAGACAGCGTGAGATGCAGGTGCGTGGTTTATCAGAGTAGCACTACTCACGAGGCCGAGGCGGAACCAGAAGAAGTCGCAGACGAGGAACGGAGGCAGGTGGTGCGGCAATGGAGAACTCGCCAGTCTGAGCGAAGACCTGGTTGATGTTCCTGCGCATACAATCAGCCCCATGCGTACGATGCGTACCAGCAGCACTCACGATATATTGATAGCCAACACGTAGTAACCAGCTCCAACCGCCACAGTGGGCATCTCGAACGCGAAGAAGTCGTTGCTGGCTGGGATGTTGTTGCCGATGGCGTAGGAGTTGTGGAACTCGTCCGGGTTGGACAGCTGGAATGAGAACGTCGAGGGTCACCCGCACTTGAGACCCAGCTGATGTTAGCAGGTGTACTGCTCTGCCAGCCGGTCGGTGTCTCCAAGACGAGCGCAGACGCGAAGGGAACGAGGGCGATGAGGGCGCTGTTGCAGCACGCGTGAGGCTGAAGCTCTGCGACAGGGCACGGATGAGACGCACCTGACTGCGGCGAACATACTGGACGAAAGTCGTAAGAGTACTTTTGGAGAGGACTGACCGAGGAGGGAGGGTGAACAAGGGGAACGCAGGGGACGTTGCACAGGGGAAGCGCTGTTGGCCGTGGTTTTATGGGCGCGTCACGCGGCGCGTCCCGCCTGGTCGAGCCTTCCACTGGTCAGCCGCCGAGCAAATCAGGAATCTGCCCATCAGCCAGCCGAATCGCCTCGAAGCCATGCGCTAGTTCGGACGCCCTTCTCGGCGCGGGGAACGTCTCCCGCCAGTCGTGCCCAGTTCAGCCTCGATTATCCAACCGTCACACCGCGGTGTCCGTCTCTAAGTACATACAGCACTCGCTACGACTACCACCAAGCAAACAGCGGGGGGCAGAGCGGGCATGGTCGACCATTCGCACACGGCCAGAAATAGCCCCGGTGACAATTCGCCCTGCGGCGTCCGCTTCTCTGCTCAGCCGCTGCCGTCTCATGCCACGCCAGAAGACGCAAGGTCCACCCGCCATAGGGTCTCGCGGACCGTCGCACATAAATCGCATCATCCACACAAGTCTAGTAGATCTTCATCGCGAGAAGCGTCAGATCTATACCAGGGACTGCACTGGGAACACAGACACACCTCATCGAATGGCCGTGTGTCGGCAAAGCAGCTCTCCCATACCTCGTTGACGCTCGCTCCGCTGCAGCCTCGTTTGGACACACCGGATTCGCACGCACAGACAGGATGGCACGGCGACGCACACACGCCTATCGGAGACCGAGTCAGTCTGCTGTTTCGCAACCAGCATCCGTGGAGTCGACCTCACCTGATGCTGCTTCGAGAACGCGACGAACCCTCGACGGAGCTCACGGCTGAACCGACAGTCACCTCCGAGACTGCTCGCGCGAATCTGCGCCGTCAGCCCGGTGAGCAGGCGCGCGGAAGCGGCGTGGAGGGCACGTATTACGTACCTCGCTGCACGCATGATGCCTCAGGTTGCTCCAGTCGACATTGAACTTTGCGTGATCGTACATGTGAACGAGTTCGTGCACCAGGGTGTCCTCCATGTGTTTCTTGCTGAAGAACCTGCCCTGGCACATAATAACGGCGCCTGCGTCTGGGTGGAAACCACCCGCGCGCGTGTAGTCGCAGGGTACGCAAAGGACGTCTTTCTCTGACACAGGAGCCCCAACCAGCTGTAGGTTCTTGAGCATGAAGACAACCGCGGGGCCTAGGGTTGACATTTCCGTTCAATAAGCTGCATGCATTCGTATACATGAAGAGGATGGACCAGGAGATTCGACTAACTGTAGTTCATGAGATACCTCTTCCACCTCTCACACGTCCGCCATTGGTGTCGCTCGAGCTCTGCTGTCCGCTCCCCGGCTGTGACTCCCAAGCCAGTAATCACGCCAAAGGTAAGCCGCCATCGCTCAAAGGTAGACTGGTCGTCGCTCGAAGGGCCCGCCTGGGGCGTGGTTGTGTCGGCAGAGTCGGGCATACGGAGCTGGTCGCTGGTGGCAGGCACGAAAACGAGATGCGCGCCCACGTGAGACGCGTCTCGGCTTCCGCCCCGATCAGATCTATCATACCCTGACGCGACCGTCTCGACTTCCTTCGGCGGCGTCGGAGCATGCGGCGGCGACACAGTATCCATTGGTCTCCAACATGCATTTGACACCTGCCTTTCATTAATAACACGGCGACGCACAGGTTTCTGAGCACGGGAGGGTATGTATAGCGCTGTTAGGACGACGAGTACTCAAAATACACCCAGGAGGCTCACGCACGAGCTCCGTGCAAAGAAGCGTACCAGCAACGCAGAACATCATAGCTTGGCTGGATTGCTCCAGACTGGCTTTCTCCTCTGTCTCGTATATATAATGAGCAAACGGCACGCCGCTTCGAATCAGCACATTGACTTCGCACCTCGGTGAATGCCCTTAGTCCCTCCTATGTCCGAGAGTCTCAGGAGCTAATCCCAGCTCAATGCGATTAAACCCATACCTTCATGTTGTCTCCCGCGAGTTGCTGCTTGCCTTCCTTCGACCGCACATGCGCTTCGACGACATCCTCGACATGCGCATGTTGGTTCGTGAGCAACAGTGCGCGCTTTGTGCTCTGCACAGAATCGGGCGAGTTCGACGTGATCTCTGCAGCCCAGGCTAATGCCGTTGGGAGCAGCTCTGGCTTGGGCACAACCTTGTTGACGCTGCGCACCCGTCAGACGCACCGTCAATCCACGGGGTAGGCTCGGCTCACAATCCGAAACGACTCGCAGCATCAGATGCCTTGATGGGCTTTCCAAGCAACAGCATCTCGCTTGCCAACTGTTCAGAGGCCGGGTTAGTCTCTTTCAAACATTTCACGTCGAGAGCTCACCTGATGACCGGCGATCCTCCCCAACCGCGGCATACCTGTACCATGCGTCAAATCCCTCAAACCCAAGACCGTCTGCGACACTGCTCGGACGAACCGCCCGCGATGGCTACCACGCCGCGCTTGACCTCCGGCAACGCGAAGACAGCGTCATCACTCGCGACGACAAGTCGCAGTTCAGCACTAACTCGGTGCCGCCGCCGTAGGCACCGCCATGGACGGCCGCGATGATAGGTTTCCCGGAGGTTGTCCTGCGAGAGATGCCTGCGAAGCCGTGTTTGTCGTCGATGAACTCAGAAGCACTGTCCGCTTCGTTGTTGCTCCGACGCTTGTGCCACCTGAAGGAAGTGCTCGTGGGCGCTGTGAGGAAGAGTGAGGAGGAGGGTGGAACGTACGCGATGAGGTCGGCTCCTGCGCAGAATATCCGTCCTTCGCCGTTGATGATGACCACCCTACCCCACGGTTTCCGTCCAGTGGCATGGCTCCCAGTGAGACCGTACTCACCACAAGCTGGGCTCGTTGTCAAACCAGTCCAAGACCCTCTCGATGTCCCCTTGCATTGTAGGCGAAACCGCGTTCAGTGCTTTAGGGCGGTTAAGGGTCAGCAGCATCACATGGTCTTGAGGGAAAGCATCTTGATCTCGTCTGAGTGAGAGGGAGGTTGGAGAGCACCCATGGTGGTACTTATGTTCGTTTCCTACTTCAGTGTCGCGTCCAGCCGGGATGAGTGGTTGGAACGAGCAGTTGACAGACAGGTCCGGGGAACGGCATCCCGAGGCACGGGAACGCGGAACAGGTGATCGAGATCAGAATGCGGGGTAATCACAAGGGTAGGAGCCCTCATGAAGGGGTTCTGCTCTTGTTCTGCTCCCTTGCGTTGTGGTTTATCTCAATGGCGATTCTCTGACTATCCAGTGTTCGAACGTTGTAGGCCGTCTCACTCACAACGCAGACAGTACTTCTACCGCCGAGATTTTTGAGCTAACATACGTGTTCCAAGACGCCGGCTAGTCCGCCAGGCAGAACTGCCATGTACGATCCTCACCCCCCTCGCCCGTCTTGCCCTGCCCATGTGCCCGCTCGCCCTTCGTCATACGGTGTTCGTAACCCATCCAAAGCCGTCTATGGAACACGAACGAACGTAACTGCACATAGCGCGGATTCGGCGGGCCTAAAGACGATGTAGTAGGCGGGGGCGGATTTTTCGCCATTTTTGGGACATCCCTGAGAGGTTGCGTCAGGTAAGAGCGACAACGTTCAGACTGGCACTTACCAGTGTGTGTATGGAGGGACGTTGCGCAGCGTGATGAGGATGCTGCCCCGCGGGCTCGTAAGATTGTTTGCGTCTGCTTCCTCTGCGTGATCAGGAGCGTCATCCTCATCCTCATCGGGGTCCGCTTTTCGTTTCCGAGGTCGCATGATAGTCGGTACTGGACCCGATGTAAGGAGAGGTGCAGCAGAACGGAGGAAGTCCAATATCAAAACTTGGTTTGCTAAGATATTGCGGTCCTGATCTGTGATGCCTTTACCTAGCAAGTGTGTCTGTCAGCCATTAGACTGGTGTCCCCAGCATCACGTAGATAGGATGTACCGGCATGAGGGAAGTTCCACACGATCTTGTCCCACTTCGTTCCTTTCAACACGGCGCATTTCTCCAGTTTGGTAGCATCGACGTTGAACAGGACCTGTACGCCCTTCTTCCTGAGGCGTCCACGATACCCTGCGCGTCCGGATACTTCGAATAGCATTATCCTCGCTATCGTAGGCAGTGGCCGCGACATTTCCGGGAGGTAGAAACTCAAGAGCACTAGGTGCGTCGAAAACGAGGGCGCGGGCGAATGAGAAGTTCCCTCTCCAATCAGCAAGATGCGATCTGTCGGATCGAAGGGAATGGTCGGTCGAGGCGGCAGAGCCTTCGCCTTGCCTTTCGCCCGTGCGCTTTGCTTCGCCTTCTCGGCTTGCTCTGCATGGACGAACTCCTGCTTTTTCTTCAACCTGGATTGCTGAGAGGATAGAGCGGCCTTGAGCGACGTTTTCTTGCCTTTGGCTTTGGCCATCTGCCGTTTTGAGACGTTGTGTGGCGTGCCTGAAAGAGCGGTTGTTTGGAACGGAAGCCTTTGGTACACAAGCCAAGACAGGGGCAAACAGCCAACACGATCGTGGCGGAACGTGGCACTCAGTGGCACGCGCTTACTGAACGTTCACCGCACACGCCTACAACACACCGCACCCATTGTCCTCTGTCCAGTCGTTCCTTACTAGTTTCATTCTTCAAACATGGTCTGTTGATACTCTATGTGGTTTGCTTTTACAATGCTGAGCATCCGGACGTTGGACAGCCGACCGAATTTGAGATGCGTCGCCGGAACGCACAGTTCGCGGAAAAGGCTCGCGCGGGGAAGAACCCGACAAAGCCATCACGACAAGAGGTGCTCGCGAGGCGTAGCCCTGTGGGCATGTGGGCGCTGGGTATCGTCTGCTTGTTGTAATGGGCGGAAGTACGTGTCACGTTTCCGTTACTTGAGTCGCAGCTCACTCGTTAATCAGTCGTGTTGGAGCTCATCCGGCTAATCTTTGTATGACACACTGAATGTTTGATGATATCCTTTCCTGAGACCATTTGGTGTGTTCATCGTCTGCGAAACAGGCATGAGCTCCTGTGCTACGCACATCTGTACAACAAGCATCGATCCATGGCTACATAACATCCCTATCGCCCGTTGTCTGATGTATACACGTCCCACTTCAACATCATGTCCGTAAGAAGCCTGCAGACGGTTCTTCTGTCGGTGCTCTAGTCTTAGCTCTCTTCGTTGATATTGCCCGACGCGGCGGAAGGCTCGCCTCCAGCATTCCCAGTACTCTCCACGCCTTCCATCGGCTCCTCCTCGAGGTCTCTCTCGTCAATCTTGACCATGTCTGCTGCCCATATATGCGCCGTTGGCTGCCAGACCATGAGGATGTTATCCTCAGAAGTGCTGCTTGCTGTCCACGCCTCGGCCTCGCCAGGCGCCCAACAGAAGTCTGTCGGTCTCGCGGTGTGCCCTGTGACATGGCCTCGGTGACAACACCACACATCAGGAATGAGTCAACATACCTCCATGAATGAAGACAAGTTCTGGAGGTCCGTCTTCCTGCTCGTCCGGTGTCTGTTCAACGCCAATTTGCGATAGGTCCCAGAGATTAACCCTCCGGTCGCTTGAAGCCGACGCAAAGATCGTAGCGTTGTGTGGCGACCAAGCGACATGAAGGACTTCATCTGTATGCGACTCGAATACATGCAACTTCTTCGTGGGCGCTCGCAAGTCGTGCAAGATGATAGTCTGTGGAAGGGCATGTCAGTTGATGTTTCTGGCCACTAGAGTAGGCACGCACCGAGTCGGCACTGCCAGTCAAAAGCAACTCCTCTTTCGCAGGACTGAAGGCAACTGCCAAGATCTCTCGGTCATGAGCTTGTATCTTTGTGGTGGGTTCCGACGATGCGCGGGTGTCCCAGCTACAGATATCTCAGCACTTTGCATGCAGTCACGGAGGAGCAACATACACCATAAGCATCTTGTCGTCCCCAACACTGGCTAAGACGTTCTCGTGCTTCGCATGCCAGTCAACATCCTACGGCCATTCAGCATAATGTTAGAATTGTCGAGGCAACAATACTATTTACGTACCCCAACCACTGAACCATGTCCCCTGAACACTGTCGTTGGCTCTATGGTTGACTTTGCCTTGGTGTAAGACGTGATATCCCTTTGAATGGTCAGCCGGTGACATGACATTCGTATTGCGCGCGTACGTACCAATGACAGACGGTCGTATCTTCGGAAGCACCCAGGATGTGTCCCTCCTTAATCGGATTCCATACCAATCCGAACCTGCAAATCCGTTCATTCATAACAGACGGGACCTGACGGTGCACAGTACTCACCCTTCCTTGTTTTGACCCACCAACCGAATGTCTGGTCTGCATACACCTCCCCGCTCCGGATCACTAGGGTGTTTGGTTCTGTCGAACACGAACACTTCCCCGGATACAGCCTTGGTCGCGATGAGGTCTGGGTTCTGGGGCATGTAACGCGCGCGGTTGACCTCGCCGGCGTGGTTGATCTTCTGAGTGATCTGGACGCGGGGTTGGGCTGGTATAGAGTGGCCACCGAGTTCGCCGCGTTCATCGTCGTAGTCGGCGCGGTCGAGTCTATCTGCCGACGGGCTCTCATCTCGTTTCGGCAGTTGCACGGTGGCTATTTGGAGGTAGTCCTGCGCTTGACCGGACGTGTGCGTGCCCAGTAGTAACCGGTGTGTCGTATATGGTTTGTTCGCAGGTCTAAATGGCAGATTTTCAGCTCATCCGAGACTGAAATGTGCTGTACATACGACTCCTTGTCCGGAAACCATTGGCACGTCAAACTGGGCCAATCCAGTGCGTGGGTGATGACGACGTCGTATAGATATGGTGCGTTCTTCTTCCTGAATTACGCACCCAATGTCAAGCCTTGAATACCGTATCCGTGGTAGAAGGCGATGCTTACCAAGTCTTGTATTCCTGCACCATAGGACGTGACTGCGTGAACAGTAGGTACCACACAATAAACAAGTGCTCACTTCGTTGATCAGCTTGTTCTCCTCCTCAGCGGCGAGGTCGTCCTCTACTTCCTCCTGCACGGAAGGCTTCATGGCCGGACAAGCACAACAGCAGTGGCACAAAGTATAAGTTGCGAGCGAATAACACAAGTGCGTCAAGTATGCAGCAGTGATAAGCGCAGACAAGAAAGCGAACGAAGCTACAACCTTAAGCTTAAAACTCGAGCGGCATGAATGGGCGGCGCGACGCGTCTGTGACGGGTCGCGCTTTCGTCACACGGTCACACGAGTGTGATCTGGGAGGACCGGGGCAAGCTGCCGGCCGACGAGGGCTACAGCGACGAAGGGTCCCGAGGGACGTTCGTAATCTATTAGGATAGCTACACTTGTAAATTGAGAATGTACGCAGAGGTCAAGGCCGACCTAAGGGAAGAGCAGGCGGTGTCTTGCGCGTGTTACGCGCATAAAACGCCCATGGCTAGCAAGTTGTATGCATCTACATCTACACCGACTCCGACAGTCATGACTCGCTCTCCCACTTCGCAACCAGCTTTTCCAGGTCGAACTGGGGATCCTCGGGGTCGGTGATCACTGCAACAAGCGAATGCTCAACTTCGTGAACAAGGTGACGGCGGACGTCGACAGAGCATGCAGACTCTCCGCACGCAGCACGCCGTAAGCATGGTCAGACTCACCACCACCTTGCTACCCTCCTGCTTCTTCTTCCATGCCTCCTTCGCCTGCGCTATCAGGTGCTCCCGTTCGTGGACAGCATGGTGCTTGACCTCCTCGTCGTGCGCCTTCTGCAGTGTCCGGCGATGCGCAATGCCGTAGAAAACACCAGTAAGGAGCGCCGTGTACCGGACAACCTGACATCACGAATAAGCATCGTAAGTATGAGCATCTACCAACAGATGCCCACGTTAACAGTTGAAGAAGCCATAGGTATGCCCGACCACCGGGTCTGTAGTCGATGCAACTGCGGGACGACCGTGTCTGCATGGGGGGTGATTGAGTGTCAGCAATCTGTTTTCTCGAGAAACTGCAAAACGTCACAAACCTACAGAGGACCGAGAAATAGATCGACCGACTGTATGTTGCGGTCGTGCTGGAACTCCTGCGGGAACTTCAGGAAAGCGGTTACATAATCTGGTGCATGTGACCGTAGCGCCTGAGCGCTTAAGTAGTCAGTGCCAGTGTATTATAATAGACAGTACTATTGGCGAATATTCATGGTCCTACATATGGGCAGGCATACTCTACTTCAGCTTGCAGGTACCGTCGTATATGCTCACTAAGTCTCACCGAGTTGATGTGCAACATCGACATGCCACCCTCCTCGGAAAGGTAATTACAAGTAATCGCCCAAGTGAACACTCAAGTTTTTCCATTCGCCGCTTGGTTACCCGTGTACTGTAGATTAATACAAGCGCGGTCACGCGTCACAGGCCTGTCGCCACGCCGCGACGCTGCGTTGTCACTGGTCACAGTCGAGCCCGCCGATGTGACAACCTCCGACGTCACGAATTTCGCCGCCTGCGGCGCCGGTAGACCAAATCCCGCCCCCGCCGCCCCGCCGCCCAAGGCTTGTGTCACAGGTCCCGACGCTCGCGCCGCGCCGCCTGAGTGTCCGGGCCGTCACACGTCACACCCGCGCCGCTTGAATTAATCTACAGTATCCGAATTTCACTGCAATATCCATCTTTGGACGTCGTTACTTGAGCCGTCAAAAATACCAATGACTCGTGTTTTTAACGTCGCATGGGAGCAGTAGTTCAGTACGTACTTACGCTTATGGAATGTAAGTGGCCTTGTGCGGAGTTGGCCAGATGGCGGCACGTTCAAAAAGCCTGTGTTGACCACCACAATCAAACCGGCGCACTCCGTACTCTATTCCCAAAATGCCTGAAGCACAGGATATGTTTCGTGTATCGCCTTGGATAACTTATGACCCATCATCCGACGCTCGCGCCGAAACCCTCGCTCGCAGTAACATTCACTTCTCATCATGAACGGCGACGTAGACATGGACGCTCCGCAAATCTCTACCCTTCCCGACACACCGGAGCCCGCGCCCGCGCGCACATCCAAGTTCAGGGTGAAGCTACTTGTCAACGAGGGCAAGAGGGCTAGCTCTCACTCGAGCACCGCCCCTCACGCCCGTACAAAGCGAGCGAGCGATGAAGACGAGGACGAAGATGAGGAGGAAGAAGACCAGCTCATAGACGATGATGATGACGAGCCTAGCAGACCATCTCGGTCTGCTCATGCTATTCAGCCCGCGCCGGTGCCTACTCCTTCAACCAGTGGTCGAGGACAAGCTACGAAGCGTGGGCAAGGCAGAGGCCGCGGCAGGGGAAGAGGTAGAGTAGAGGTGCACACGCTGCACTAGGTGAGTGATCATTCGTTGTCGACAACTGCACGCTCTCATACTGCTCTTGCACCGCTGCAGATCCGACCCACCTCGTTCACACCGATTTCTTCGATCCGAACATCCCTGGCAGTAGTGCATTTTCTTTGGTGCCTCCACCAACAGCACCAGTAGCGACCAAGAAGAAAGCCGCTCCGGGAAAAGGCGCTACTGCACAGCGGGCCATCAAGAAGAGACCTCGAAGTGTGTCCTCCAGTTGTTGTAGTGTTTGTCGTGCTAACTTCGCCTTCAGAGCCGCGAAAGTTACTGCAGCTGCTGTCGTGGCCCCTATACCGCTCCCTATACACAGGGATGACGCGGAAAGCATCATCAGCGAGAGTGAGCACTTCCTCCCGTGGCTTTCACCCTTCGACTAAGATAATGGTAGGCTACCCAGTAACGGCGGCCTCATCACCATTGCCTCATGAGGAACGTACGCCAGAACCTGATATGACGATGCCAACGTCCATCTACAGCCTGCCAATGGATGACGGTTTCACTCTCGACGGCGTTGCTTTTCCGCAGTATCCCTTGCCATCGAAACCATTCCCAGTGCAACCTGCGCCCAAGATTGGCACGGGCTTCGCGCCAACCATAGTGCTAGACAAGTCCAAGAAGCCAGTACGACGCTGGAGGCAAGTTAATCGCGAGGTGCGCGGCATCGCAGGTGGCCGCTGGTTCACTCGCTCTTGGGTTGGTGAGAAGGAATCCGACTTCGCTTCTCACCAGACTGCTGCCTCGCAAGCTGTTACACTCGCCGCGCAGTCCGCTGCCGACCGCGCAGATCGCGAAGCTGCGTCAGCGGCAGCGATGCTTGCAGCTGGCATCACGCTGCCTCCCAAACTAGCTGGTACTTCTGCTTCCGCTCCTCCGGGGAGGGGGCCGAGACCCAAAGTTCCCAAAGGAGAGACACCATTGTCGACAATGCCTTCCAGTCGTCAAGATTCGGCGGTCCCGGAGAGCATATCCGCCCAAATCCCGAAGACCGGTATGGCTCACGGATCGCTATCTGACGTCCCAGTCACCCCGGCGCCCCCTGCATGATGTTAGATGTATGGAAGGTCATTGCTGAATTATCGAGTCCGTCGAGTGACGGAATAGGTTGACCGGGATGTTCTACTGGCCCTGCGTGTTTTGCTGTGCTTTCGATGTAGGTTATTACGCCACGACGCCTGGACAGTGTATTCAGTCTTGAATGTTATATGTATATTGCGTCCCAGTGTCCTGATGAAAGGGTATAAGATGCGAGCTTCGCCCACCAGAGAGACTGAGAGGCTACGAGATCTCGAAATACCACGTGACCTGTACTGCACTGTATGCGATCAGAGTGCGCGTATAGTCGCGCTGCGCCTACAGCGCAAGTCTACGCACTCAACTACTACTTGACCCTATACTCACCGTCTAGCTGAGGTCGGCTGCACCCAGCGCATCGCGTTCGCTGCGAGGCACCCTTCATGTCGGGAAGCTCCACACCCAAGCTCGCTGCGCCCGAACCACTCAAGAAAGGGACATCCGTATCGTCATTGCGCTTCGGCGCGCATGAGCGGGGTGAGTCTCCATTCTGGTATTCGCCTATAATGGCAGGCACTGATAGTGCTGAGGCAGTACCTACGCCGCCAGCATATGCGTCCGATCCAAAGTACAAGAAGTACACACAGCAGGTGGAAAGATGCCTGAATTCATTCGATAGTGTGCACGAGTGGGCCGACTTCATATCGTTCCTGAAGCAGCTGCTGAAGGTGAGTGCTCGTACTGTTGACCGGCGCAACGACTCATAGATGGCCGCCAGACATTTGAAGCGTACCAACAGTTCAAAGAGATTCCGCGCAAGCTTGTAGTAGCCAAACGACTATCACAATGCCTGAACCCTGCCTTGCCAACAGGAGTTCACCAGCGAGCACTGGATGTATACTCTCACATATTTGCTGTCCTCGGGGTGCGTCCTATTTCCCTATATCGTGATGGAAGCAACTCAGCGCCGGCGAATTAGACGGAAGGCTTGCACCGCGATCTCGCGCTCTGGTCCTCAGGTCTCTTCCCATTCTTTGAGTATGCAGCAACCTCTGTCAAGGTGAGCTTCAGCAGCTATCTTTGTCAGACTGAACTGTAATGATTCGTAGCCTACGCTTCTGAATTTATTCGACACGTACTACTTGCCCCTTCAAGACGGCCTGCGGCCCATTATGAAGTCGTTCAATCTTGCCCTTCTCCCTGGCTTGGAAGAGGAAACCGGAGAATACTTCGACAAGGTGCTGAGTCTGTTAGACCGTCTCTCTGGCAGCGTATCTCCCTCGTTTTTCTTCCAAAACATCTGGCTAGCCATGTTGACGACACCCTCTGCTCGTGGGACGTCGCTGAACTTCCTGTCTCGTCGACTACCAAAACTGAAGCCGATGAAGGTAGGACATCATCTACAAGGTATCCTCGCAGTATTTTAACTCATGCAGGAGGCGACAGACATAACGGATATCGTCGGTCGCGATGTTGGTCTCATGATCCGTGCCTTCTCATCCGCCCTGGACGATGACGATCTCCTTGTCCGACGCGGCGCATTGGATCTCCTTCTGCAGTCTTTGCGTATCGATGGCGTTGCTCTCAAACGTGCCCAAGCAGAGGATCGCATGATACTGATGCGCGCCGCAAGTAGTGTAGTGCTTCGCAGGGACCTGTCTCTGAATCGCCGACTCTACTCGTGGCTCCTAGGCCCGAGCGAAGAGAGCCAACAACAAATGGAGTACCTCAGAACACACTCACTTCAGCTTTTAAGCCAAACACTCAGGGTATGTGCGCTCATTATTTACTTGATGATTAACGGCGTCGGGATTCATCCACGTATCAGGAGGAGATGTTCCATCCATCATTGGACTACTCACAAGCACGGCCATTCAAGATTTTCATCTCACTACTCGACAAATGGGAGATTGGCTCTCCTCTTACCGAGGTGCTTGTGTACGACGCATTCAAAGCAATCAGGAAAGCTCTTGAGAGTGGATCTGAGTTTAGTGACGATGTTTGTTCCCTCACCTCTATACTGCAGGAGTCTCTGATCAACATGTATTCTTCCTGACAGATCAGCATGACAGCCAGCACCTTGTACGAGGCTGTAGAACCTCATCTGTTGTGGAAACAACTGTATCATATACTCTACTCAGAGATCACGTCGCAGAATACCAAATGTGAGGTATGAGTAGAGAACATATTCAACAGCATTCTGTCATTGACCGTCTGCTGCAGGGTTGCGATATGGTCAAGTACATTCTTGCGACGTTCCACGGGCAAGACGAGGAGATCGAAACTGTGCATTTGCCTGTTGTATTCGCTGGTATTGCAGAATTGCTTGCGGTACGTTTCAATAGGTCGAGCGTCATGGAGACAGGAATTGAATTGAGATGACAGACATCTGCACAGGAGCAACCTCCCCGGATGACGCCAGTCGCTCTTCGCAAGGTTTTGGCATTACAGAAGGAAATATTGTCCTATATGTCGCCTGCAAGTCCGCTGAAGTCAAGACCACCCATTACCCGGGAACTAGAGACTACGATGGCCGCATCTGGTCCTGCGACATTCGCATGTCTCTTTTACGGCGTTCCTAGTGTATTGCCACACCTCCGAGGGCCTCTCCAACTATACCATTCTGCACTGCATTTGAAGACCTCATTCGCTCATACATATGCGGCAAGGGCCCTCCTCGTTAGTGGTAATCAGTCGGAAGACACGCGCGGGATTTTGGTGGACACTATGGCCCTCGTGACGGACGTAGTTTCTCAACATGGCTCAGTACACGACCGGTCCATCGCACTGGCTTGGGAGCCCAGTTCGTGGCTTTCATGTGTGCTCCACTGTCTTGAACCGAAGGTCAGTATGCGTCAAAAGTTTCCGCTATGAATGCTTACGAGGATGTACAGATCACTTCGTTCCTGGTTGTGGAAAGTGTAGTAAGCACTGTAACCACTTTGCATGGGGCACAGACGTTGCAGCCTCGTCTCTTCATCGATGAACGTTCTACCATCTCATCTATGGTCAACGCTGTGAGTTGAGATGTTGACATATGTAGAGACGACCACTCATATGTCTTTATTGGCCAGCTCTTGCGATATCTGCAGCTGCAATGGGCTGCGTATCACGCACGGGCTGTGGGACTGATCTGGTCATTAGAGGGTCTCAGTCGTAAACGACATGTGGAAGCTGTCATTGCTCAAAGGATGACGTCGCAAGACCCCGCCGAGGTCGAAGAAGCCTGCGAGACATTTGGCGTCCTATGGAGACTAACAGGTAACCTTCAAATCAATAGTGATGGAGTGTACTCACCGTCTGCAAACAGATGATGATCTCGTACCTGGATCTAGGCTGAAGGTGCCAATGATGGTTGCACTTGATACTTTGAAAAGTAATGATCCAGCCCTGCGTCGGATTGGTGAAACATGGATGCGATGCAGCCTCAAGTCCTACTTACGGTACGACCATGATCTCTTGTTCGAAGGCCACATCGTTGTAATGCGAATAACAGCGTACTTGATCCCATCCTGTTCGACTTGCTTGACCCTGCGATTCGAAGGTCACCTTCAACGCTAGAGCTCAACGGGAAGGAACTGCACAGTTTTGCTTATGACATTTCATTCGACCAACGCTATGTGATACACATGCTTGAAACTTTGCTTTCCGTGATCAAGTTCGGAGGCCAAGGTTTCAGCAAGACGACACGCACGACGCCGATCGGTCGTTCCCCTAACGCCGATCTACTCAAGCGAATACAAGAAGGTAGGAAGCCTCGCCCCCTCTCTACACTTTTCCTAATACAATTCTTTCCAGCTAGTGCATCGTCCCAAGATACGAGCTACATGGATGTCCTCTTGTACTTGCTCCTTCGGTGAGTCTCACAGGATCTACCGACATGCACATCTCATGAACAGCACTCAGATTCCTCGAGTCTGAACCCAAAACTGTCCTCTCCTCGAGGATGGGTAACTTTAATGTCGCCCTTCACGGAATCTCCATCGATATTCTGCAAGCACTGGTGGCCCGTGGAGAAGTTGATTTCCTTGCTCTGCAGACGATGGAATCGGCCGTAATCAAGAAGCTCTATATTGGTGTCCACCTTGGCCGGCTAGATCTTCAGAACAAGCTGCTACATCTGCTTCACTCTATTATATCCGCCTCAATCCCCGGTGCGGATACATATCATGGGAAAGGCAAGGGTTCCACAAGTCAAATCATCGACACGGTCGAGTCGGCAGAGAGAACACCGAGGCCGAGTACAGACTCCTACGGTATTCACCCGCTGCTGGCTCAAACGTTACTGGACGGGATAACGGTTGCCTCCAATCGGTCCATTCTGCAGCATTGGCTCGACTTCGTTCTCATGACAGTGCCACAATTCCAAGATGCGCTGCAGACTTGCATTGTGCCGCTTAGCAGCGGCATATGTCGCCAGCTGCAGTCTGCGCTGGGTGATATGCGCCAGGCATCTGCTGCCGAACGCATCTTCGACGACTTCCACACGATAACGAGCGATGCAGATTTCGTTGCGTTACTGACATCCTTGGAGCGACTTGTGCTACTCAGCCTTTCCCGAATATCGGACGGAGGCCAGACGGAAGAGGAACCGGCGACGAGTGAGAAACCGGCTCAAGAGTCCACGGGTCTACTTGGGTATGTATCCAACGTGTTCAGTTCCGAGACCCCAAATGCTCTGGACGACGCGACGCCGGTCAGTGTGATGACTACTCGCGGTCGTCTCTAGATCTCGTTCTCATATTGTTACAGACGCGTTCATCTGACTACGACAGTCTTCACGAATCCATCAACGCGCTGTATGCAACGTGGGACTTACTCAATGACTCAACACGCGAAATGTGGTCTGATGTCTATCCAAAAGCGAAGACAAGGTGTCGTAAGGTACTCGAGCATCTGTTCCGCGCGCATCCTCCCGAGGTACTGGAGTTCATCGTCGACTGCTGGCGTCGGAGCTCGATGGTAAGTGCTCTAGGGTTTGTACAGTCACCGAGCTCACGCCAGTCAAAGGCTGGATCAACTGCATTTGACGTAGTCGATGTCCTTGCCTCTAGTGCGCAAACTGTCGTTCGTATGACATGCGAGAGCATTGCAGTTCGCACCCCTGGGATGCCGGACCGGTCCAGAAAGCCGGCAGTGGCCTCTAATCTGTGAGTGCACCTCAGATGTATAAGGGAAAGTACGCTGAATTTGACTGCTACACAGGACGGATCTTGTGCTCTATGATTTCCTTGAGCAATATCTACGACGGCTGGAAGGACCTCTGGTCGTACAAGTTTGGCCTCGCTTCGTCCAACTATCTAAGGATCTGATGGCATCATTGCGCGAGTTCAAGATCCAAGCGTTCTCTGCGTTCAGGTCTTTCGCATCTTACGCAGTGTTGGAATCATTTCTGACGCTGTATTCAGATGCTGTACTGTCCTCGCTGATAAGTTGTCACAGACGACGGCACTGGAGGATCGACGGTTACGCAAGGAGCTACAGGTATGCATTGTGAAGTAGACGCGACAGAAACATTCGAATGACGTATCTTCCAGGACACATATACCAAATTGTTGGACATATGCGTCCTGTCTAGCAAACCCTACGATCAGGGGTCTTGGATCCGTCGAACGACCCCAAAGGAGAATCTCACTGTCAATGGCAGAGAATCACCATTGCCTCGAGGTAAACGCAACGTATCTGGTCGTAAACTTCCATCCGCTGAATGCTTGTTTGCAAAGTTGCATCGGATACGAGGCTGGACGAGAAGATGAACGCCAGCAGCACGTCACTTCCAGACGCAGTCAAGCCGGGCTATGGTACCGACGTCGTCGAACAGGTAAGTGCTATGTGACGGACTACACGATAGGCGCTGACAGTGTGGCAGGTCAACGACTACATCGCATTTAGTGTGCTGCCTGACTTGCGGAGGTTACTCGTTGATAGCGACAGGGTGTTGGCGGCATGCAACAGCATCGCTTACAACATCATCAATCCATCGCTCAAGGGGAAGACTCGGTATGTAAACATACACTCGGCGCATGAGCGCACCTCACGGTGCCCTCCGTAGACCGCTGGATATCGATGACAAGGTTCTTTCCATCCTGCAAGAGATGACGAAGATCGGGCCAGCATACAAGGCATGGAGGGGTGCCGTCACGGATGTGCTGAGCGACAACAGATGCTTCAACTCGTCTCCTCAGGCTGGCGGGAAGTGGAGGATCATGGTCAAGGCTCTGTTCGACGCGGACAAGGCAGCGTTGTCGGATCTCTTGAGTGTGTCCAGCTGAATTGGTATTTCTCCGCTGTCAGTGACTGAACTTCTTCCAGCAAAAATTACCACTGCTCCATCCGCGAACATCTTCACGAACAGGGAGTACGAGATGCTTCTGCGATCGTGAATCTGCGGCGACTCTCCTACGTGCTTCTGTCTGGGGAAAAGAACCATTTCCTCACTCAACTGCCGAGCATCCAAGAGAAGCTGGTGGACACCCTGCGCAATGTTTCCGCGCCCGTGGTTCAGTGCGAGGTGTACCTATGCATTCGAGTCTTGCTCTGCCGGCTGTCGCCACACAACCTGTCAAGCTTCTGGCCAGTCATCCTCACTGAGCTGGTGGGTCGGGTCGATGATGGCCGATTCCCCGACGTGACTGACATCGCATTGCGTAGTACGGCCTCTTTGACAAGGTCATCACCAGCCTCCCGTCGATGGCTCGGAAGAACTGGCCCTGGTGCTTGCCGCCTGCAAGCTGCTCGACCTCCTTCTGGTGCTGCAGACGGAAGAGTTTCAAATGTACGTGCGCCTACTTCGGTGAGTCTGCGGCCGCCCGCTGACTCCACCGGTTCCGCAGACACCAGTGGATCTTCATCACCGACACAGTAGACTCGATCTACCGACCGGAGGACTGGGTCCCGGAGGCGGTGTTGGACCGATTAGCGGAGGTCACTGGGGACCTGCCCGTCACAGAGGTGAGCATCGAGATTCTCCGACGGGGAGACAAAGGGCGATCGCTCACCCCACGCAGAGCGCCCCGCCGCCGCTACACGGCGCCACTACGACACCGACGGTCGACAGCAGACCCATGCGGCGCCCGATGCTGCGCTCGCTCCGGCAGATCGACAGCATCAGGGAGCTGGTGCCCTTCTTCTCGCACGCAAGCATCGCCTCGTATGAGAGCGTGTACGGTAGCGGGGGTAACATCGATTGGGAGGCGGTGGAAGAGGGGTTGCTGGAGGACATGTTTGACGGGAGATAGTCACAGTGTCCAGTGCCACTTGATACCATGTAGCTTATGTTTCACTGCTTCGGTAAATACTTTTAATTGCCCCTTTTCGACGAATCGCCGCCGTGTACGCGAGAAGAGGTTCACTGACTACCTGGCATTATGTGGGCACGCGTGATCGGCCCGTCTGACTGGCTGCTTCTCTGTACTCTCTGACCGAGGTCAAATTCGTCAAACACATACGTACTTACAGATCACACTTCGAATAGTGAATAGGCTCGCGTGTTTCACACCCATGAGTTCGGGAGCATAGTCAAATGAGTCGGACCACCGATATACCGATAAATATCCAATACAACCGCAAAGACAAGCAATACCACAAAGCACGGGCGAATCAGAAGTCACCCCAATTGCGCCGGAACTTGTACTTCATACCATCCTGCGTGTCAGCGTTCGTGCCGGCACGTCGAATCCAAACAAGCTACGTTACCTTGTATGGCACATTCTTCCTGCACGCCGAGATCCCGCAATGATAGTGCGCAGACTTCACGGAGGCGGGGAAGCAACACGCACTTGAGTCTCTCTGAGGGTGCCTTGGGTGCCGCGTACCCAGAGCCACCCTCGCCCCATTGGCCGCTCCCCTTCGCGTTCTGGTACGCACGCGGGGTCCTCGTCCTCCTGCTTGTTCCTCGTGAACTTCGGGACGCGGGGCCGGCCTTGTCAGGCTGGAGCGCCGGGTCGTCGACCGCGGGGTCCCCGGCAGTCGTGTTGTCGTCCGTGCTCGAGGGAACCTGGACGGGCTGCTGCGCCTTGTCGTCGGGGTGCGGCTCGTGCTGCTTGAGAGCGTCGTCGACGGAGATGCCCTGGAAACGCGCCTCGCGCTCGGCCTCTTCATGCTCGATCTTCTCGTGCGCCGCGAAGTGCTCGAGGTCTTCGGGGTGGGTGTAGGATTCGTCGGTCTGCGTTTCGGGTGTGGAGTGGAACTCCTCTGTGTGAAGGGTCAGGCGGATGGCAGAACGCAGAGATGAGGCAACATGCCTTCGTGGTGGAGGAAGAACTCTGGGTGGGCGAAAACGTTAGGTGCAATGCGGGGTACAGGGCGTGCTACGTACCGCTCTCCACGTCATAATGGTGTCCCTCCGCGCCCAATTTGTCGAAGTTGGGCAGTCCGTCCAAACCAACGTCTAGGAATTCTTTCAGGGAGATCTTGCCGTCCTTGTCCTTGTCGAGCTTCTCTAGGACTGTCCTGACAATGAGGTCGGCCTTCTCTTGGTGAGCAACTTCGTCCTATGTCAGCATTCGAGCGGGTCAATCGGAGATACGTATTAGTCAGGAGACTTGGAAGGACCTTTGATTTCTTCTGTGAGTATACGTGATGCACGCCATAGATGGCCTCGATTTCTCTCTGTCCCAAATGTCGTCTCTGGCAAGCGCGTCAGGTCTGCGACTCGGCGTAAGCATGCAGCTTACACACCGGTTCAGATCGTGCAACTGGAAGAAGCTCGGCGGGTCAAACGAGTCGCTACAGCGTGTGTTGAGTTCGATGACAACTCTGAACAGATTGCGCCCCACATATGATGCTCCTTCGCCATCTAGCGTGGTCGCGATGCATGAGTACGGCCAAGTGCAGAAGACCTGGGAAGGACGTACGTGTCTCTCTGCATATTGCTGGATCGTCTCGCCTGCAGCGGGGCCTTCATGGCCGTGGTCGCCGTGGTCGCCGTGGGCTGCGGCAAGGTAGGCGAAGACGAAGACTGCGAGACTGGGCAGGAGCTGCATGACGGGCGGACGCGACCTCGCAGACAGCGACGGCGGCGGCCTGGTGGCGGCGCTGGAGCGCGTACGCCGCGAGAAGGGTTTCCGGGGTCTTTGCTCGGGCCGTGGGGTGTGACTAAGACTGACGGTCACGGCAGATCGGGGTGAGTGGCAGCCGATCGTGACTGGATCGGATGCGACGAATGCCATCACTTGGCCATCACACCGCAACCGAAGCGGCAACTCCTGTAATTCAACTCCATGGCAAATTCGCTACTGCCACATCGGTCTCCGACATCGGGTGCATGGGCAACGTTCCAACCCCACCGTTATGTGATGCGCGCGGTGGTACTGGGACACCGCAGATCCATTTATGCGTGCTCGCTGAGGTGTCTGAGTCAGTCGCGCGCCCGCGTCGTCACTGACTGCCATTCTCCGACTCGGGAAATGCGGTCGGTCTCCGCCAATTCCCCACGCCTGCGGCCTTGGCCGTGGGCTGCCCGCCGTGGCTAGAAGACCGTGCGGGACGTGCCAGGCCTTGCCAGGCTGACTGGAGATGCAGGAAAATCGAACACGCAGGAGTGCCGCTGAGCGACCGCTTGGCTGCCGTAGACAACGGGCGGAGGGACGAGTTTTCGATCGCGCGTATGGCCAATGGACGGCCGCGAATGGGCGCCTGAAGTGCTTGGTTATGGATCGAACGAGTGCATGAATAATCGCGATCGGGCTTCTTCAGTGTTCCCTGTCCTATATATGCACCCTCATCCCATGCCTCGCCTGCCGCCCTCGCCTCTGCACTCCCTCCGCCCTTCCTGCGGACGCCATGACCGACACTCCGGGGGACGACCGCACCCTCTTCGGCTCTGTCAGAGCCCCACCCCATGTCGACGTCGTCCAGGCAGAGGCAGAGTTCAACCAGCTCTCCAGGGCGTTGACCAAGCGCTCGGTGTCAGACACTCCGTCGGAAAATGAGAAAGGCGAGAAGGAACACCGAGACGTCGAGAAGGACGTCTCCATCCTCGCTGAAGAGCCCTTCGATTTGCGCGCATACCTGACCTCGAGCAATGATGCTAACCAGAGTGCGGGTATCCAGCACAAACACGTCGGTGTCACCTGGGAGCAGCTCCAGGTAGACGTCTTTGGTGGATTGGGTCACAAGGTCAGCTCTCCTTTGAAACTTCCCATTATAGCGCGCTCATATTCTCTAATCATCGTAGATTCAAATATCAACTTTCGGCGGTAAGTTGGTTTGTTTGTGAGGGTCCGTAGCATGGAAACTCATGCACATTTGCAGACGAGATTGTCAAGTTCGGGCTCACTCCCTATTATCTCTTGAAGCCCCTCGTCACGAAGCTGCTCCCTGCCAGCCGCAAGCAGGTGCCAACGTCAACGATCATTCACCCGTACGTACATGTGTATAATACGCCCGGTGCATGTGTTGACATCTGCTGTCAGACAATCTGGTCTGCTCAAACCAGGTGAAATGTGTCTTGTATTGGGAACTCCGGGTTCGGGCTGCACTACGTTCCTGAAGACGATTGCCAATGAGCGACGCGAATACCACGGCGTGTATGGTGATGTCCGCTACGCGGGAATCGACGCACACGAGATGGCCAAGCACTACAGAGGTGAAGTTGTCTACAACATGGAAGGTCAGCCGCTTGCATCACCCCACTTTGTTCGGCCGACTAACGAAATACATAGACGACATCCATATCGCTACGCTGACCGTCTCCCAGACGCTCAACTTCGCACTGTCTCTCAAAACGCCTGGGCCCACGGGCCGTCTGCCCGGCATGTCGCGCCAGGAGTTCCAGAGCACTGTCCTGAACACCCTGCTGCGCATGCTCAACATATCGCACACGGCGAATACCCTAGTCGGCGACGAATTCGTCCGCGGTGTGTCCGGTGGAGAGCGGAAGCGCGTGTCCATCGCGGAGATGATGGCGACCCGCGCACACGTTGTCTGCTTCGACAACTCCACCCGCGGACTTGACGCCAGTACTGCGCTGGATTTTGTCAAGTCATTACGGATCATGACCGACGTCCTTGGTCAGACCGTCTTCGTCACCCTGTACGTATGCCTCCCCCGGCGCGCCGTCCCTACACTCACCCGTCTGGCGCAGGTACCAAGCAGGCGAGTCAATATATGAGCTCTTCGACAAAGTCCTCGTCCTCGACAAAGGCCGCCAAGTCTACTTTGGCTCCCCATCCCAGGCTCGCGCATACTTCGAGGGACTCGGGTTCAAGCCGCTCCCGCGGCAGAGCACGCCCGACTACCTCACCGGATGCACCGACCCGAACGAGCGGCAGTTCGCCCCTGGCCGCTCCGAAGCGGACGTGCCCACGACCCCTGAGCAGCTCGAGCAGGCGTTCCTGCAGTCGCCGTTCGCGCAGGACGTGCAGGACTCGCTCGTGAAGTACAAGGGCGTGATGGAGCACGACAAGGCGGACCAGGAGGCATTCCGCACGGCCGTCGCGGCGGACAAGAAGCGTGGCGTGTCGAAGAAGAGCCCGTACACCCAGGGCTTCCTCAATCAGGTCCGCGCGCTGTTCTGGCGCCAGTTCCAGATGCGCCTCCAGGATCGCTTCCAGATCTACACGAGCTTCACTTTGCATACCGTGGGTGCTGCTTATTTTTTATACGTTGACGTTTGGGCGATTGACTGCGGCTGTAGGTCTTGGCGTGGTTATTGGCGGAGCGTACTTCAACTTGGAGCCTGACGCCGCAGGAGCGTTCACGAGAGGCGGGTGCTCTTCGCTTCGCTGCTGACAGCCGCGTTGGATACTTTCGGAGAGGTAGGTGCCCAGACGTGCTTCGCATCCCCGCCTTTAACATGCCTCAATTAGATGCCGGTGCAAATGCTGGGCCGACCCATCATCAAGAAACAGACTGGCTACAGCTTGTACCGTCCCGCAGCCATTGCCATCGCGAACACTCTGGCAGACATGCCGTTCTCGGCGTCGAGGGTGTTCATCTACAACGTGATCATTTACTTCATGGCGGGCCTCAACCGTTCTGCAGGCGGGTTCTTTACGTTCCATCTAATCGTAGGTTGTCTCCTCATCGGTATGCGGAAGGATGCTGATGAGTACCTCTGCAGACGTACTTGACGTTCCTCACCATGCAAGGGTTCTTCAGGACATTCGGCTTCATGTGCACAAACTTTGACTCGGCGTTCCGGCTGGCGACGTTCTTCTTGCCTAACATGATCATGTACGCTGGGTACATGATACCCGTCTTCCAAATGAAGCGCTGGCTTTTCTGGATCGTGAGTGATTTACAACCTTCGGCGTCCGTGCAAGTCGCTGACGATGCTCGTAGTACTACATCAACCCTATTTCATATGGTATGTGTCATTCTATTGGGCGCTCAACCACCCGCTGAACGAACGCCTCTGTCAGGTTGGGGAGGGAATATGGAGAATGAATTAGGCGGATCAACGTATGTGTACACACCTGATCGACCATCATGGATCTACGTCGACTGACACATTCTGCCAGTTGGAATGTGATGGGTCTTACATAACGCCTCGCAATCCGCCCGGCGTCAATAAGTATCCGTGCGTGCTTTCCGTTTCGCTCACCTCGGTCATTTCTGAATTTTAGCCAACCGCTATAGAGATGGCGTCGGCCCAATCAGATCTGTACGCTGTACGGGTCCACTCCCGGCGAGTCCGTCGTGTCTGGCCACTCCTATGTGGACGTTGGGTACACGCTCAACACGGCTGATCTCTGGCGGCGGAACTTCTGGTTTTGTTGGGATTCTTCTTCCTGTTCCAGCTGACGCAGGTTTTGCTCGTGGAATTCTACCCTGTGAGTATGGTCTGTGGGCACGGATGAGTGTCGCTGACATGAGCGATAGGTGTACTTTGGCGCCGCTGGCGTGACGATATACTCGGAGGACGCTGAAACGAAGGAGCGGAACAGGGTTCTCCAGGAACGCAAGGCGCGGCGCGAACAGAAGCGCAGAGAGGGCGGCAACGAGAAACAGGATGTCGAGGAGAGGTACGTTAGTCCGGCGCATGCTGGCCGTTGGGATGCTGACGCGCCTTCGTTAGTGACCAGCAATTCGATTTCGAGAGCAAGACATTCACCTGGGAGAACATCAACTACCAGTCCCGTTCCTGAGGGCTCGAAGAGGCTGTTGCATGACGTCTTCGGGTATTGCAAGCCTGGCACGATGACGGCTCTCATGGGATCTTCGGGAGCTGGTATGATCATTTTCTTCTCATCTTCGGCAAACACAGAGCTAAATGCTGCGGTAGGCAAGACCACCTGCTGGATGTGCTGGCCCAGCGCAAGAACATTGGCGTTGTTTCGGCGAATTGCTCATGGACGGACGACCCCTTGCCAGTGACTTCGCTCGCAAGACTGCCTACGGTAGGTTCAAACATGTCATGACTATTGTTCTCATGTTGAGCGACGCCTTTACAGCCGAGCAAATGGACGTGCATGAAGGCACTGCGACCGTCCGAGAAGCGATGCGGTTCTCGGCCTACCTTCGTCAGCCGTACCATATCTCCCAGGAAGAGAAGGATGCCTATGTCGAGGAGATGATCGAGGTGCTCGAGCTGCAGGATCTCGCGGACGCCGTCGTGTTCAGCCTCGGCGTCGAGGCGCGCAAGCGTCTTACAATCGGCGTTGAGCTTGCCAGCAAACCCTCTCTGCTCTTCCTGGACGAGCCGACGTCGGGTCTCGACGGCCAGAGCGCCTGGAACCTCGTCCGCTTCCTCCGGAAACTCGCGGACAACGGCCAAGCCATTCTGTGTACGATCCACCAGCCGTCTTCGATGCTCATCCAGACCTTCGACAAGCTACTCCTCCTAGAGCGCGGCGGCGAGACCGTGTACTTTGGCGATATTGGACAGGACTCTGCTATCTTGCGTAGCTACTTCGCGAAGCATGGCGCGGTGTGCCCGTCGAACGTCAACCCGGCCGAGTTCATGCTGGACGCGATAGGTGCAGGTTTGGCGCCGCGGATTGGTGATCGTGATTGGAAAGACGTCTGGCTCGGCTCGGAGGAGTATGCAGAGGTGAGGCGAGAGATCGACCGGATGAAGCATGAGACTGCCGCGAAGTCTGTGGCCGCAAATGAAAAGTCTGCTATGTGTGAGTTAAATTTGCTGGAGGTGCCACAACGCGGTACTGACAGATTATCTGCATAGATGCCACGCCGTTCTTCTACCAGCTGAAAGTGGTTGTTGCCCGCAACAATTCGATGCTCTGGCGCTCGCCCGACTACGTCTGGAGCCGTCTGTTCGTCCACGCCTTCATCTCGCTGTTCGTCTCCCTGCCGTTCCTGCAACTGGGCAACGATACCCGTGACCTGCAGTACCGTGTCTTCTTCTGGGTTAGCATCCTCCCCGCCATCGTCATGGGCCAGCTGGAGCCTATGTGGATCATCAATCGTCGTATCTTCGTCCGGGAAGCGTCCAGCCGAATCTATTCGCCGTACGTCTTCGCCATCGGCCAGCTCATTGGGAGATGCCGTACTCTGTTCTGTGCGGCGTGTCTACTGGGTCCTGATGGTCTACCCCATGGGCTTCGGCAAGGTGCTGCGGGCGTTGGAGGCACCTTCTTCCAGCTGCTCCCGTTCTGTTCACGGAGTTGTTCGGAGTTACCCTCGGTCAGCTCATCGGTGCAATCTCGCCCAGTATGCAGGTACGTTGTCTCGCATTACCCGTAAACGTGGGCTGACAGCGTCCCATAGATCGCTCCCCTGTTCAATCCGTTTGTCGTTGTCGTGCTCGGTATCTTCTGCGGTGTCCAGATCCCATACCCGACTATGGAGAGCTTCTGGCGAACGTGGCTCTACCAGCTTGACCCGTACACCAGATTGCTAAGCTCGATGCTCTCGGTCGAGCTGCACGGGCTCCAGATACAGTGCGCCGCGGAGGAGTTCGTCGTCTTCAGCCCGCCTTCAGCGCAAACGTGCCAGCAGTGGGCGGGAGACTTCGTCGACTACTACGGAGGGTATTTGAACAACCCTAATGCGACCAGTGCATGTCAATATTGCGAATACTCAGTGCGTTGTTTGTTGCTGCGGTGCAGGCGCGCCTCGCTGACATCTTTTGCAATAGGTTGGTGATGAGTTCTTCACACCGCTGAACATCTTGTACTCGAACCGGTGGAGAGACGTATTCATCTTGCTCGCTTACTCTGGTAAATCCGATCTGCTGTTCATCGCTAGGTCGCAGGCTGACGATTGTTTGCTACGCAGTGTTCAACATCATTGCGACTGTTATTGCTTCGCGCTTCCTTCGCTATGCAAAGCGGTAGTCGCGATGATCCCTTTCTATGATTCTAGAGCACTTTATGATTTTAATGCAGTCGACAACCACGTATAGACATCTATCACCATGAACTTGCACCTGCTTTCATGAACCCATGCTACGCATTTTCCTTATCACGCACACACGCCATAGAGTACTTACCATACGTCGATCATTGTAGAAGCAGAGTATAGCACGTCATTCAGAATGCAGAGAACTTGAGTGAACTTACGAATTGTACACTACACGGATCTGTGTCGCTGCTTTGTTCAAAGCCTTGCCTCGGTGGGTATATTGCGCAGGTCCTTTGCTCAGGTCCTTTGCTCAGGGGTGGTGGAAGCGCTACAGCAATCGCTGGGTTCGCGACAGTAGAGATACTATTGATACAGTGGGCGACACAAACTTGCTGGGTATCAAGGGATGCATCGTTATTGTGATGGTGCATTGTGGAACTACGAATAGGGATAAGTGAGAACGCAGCACAAGTGGAAACATCGTACACGTACGATATCTCTGAGTTGTGCCTGAGCATCGTTAAACTGCTTCTCCAGATATTTGGCCTTCGGGGTATACTATCAAATTACACTCTCGAGCAAAATCGCTCATACTCACCTTCTTCTGCAAGTTGTTGATGTCATCCGTAAGTTCCTTCTCTTCTGTCTTCAACTCCTTCTCCATTTGCGGGCGAGGCGTCATCATGAACCTGTGTCCGAGATGACCACATTAAGCAGCGATACGTATGGCCACCCACGCTGCGGAACTCACATCTTCCCGACACCCTTGTACAGGTTCACGTCGCCTTTCAGGGACGTGATCTCCTCGATGGTGAGCTGAAGTATACGCCTTTCCCGATCCTTGGTTGCGAGTTGCTGCCGCGAGATGTTCAGGGCACGCTGGGATTGTACAGCAGTCTGCTGTATCTGTACAAGAATCTGCGCAAGTATACGTTAAGTAGAGCAGACGATGTACGGTAAGGTGTCCTCACTTTGCGGAGGGTGTCGTCGGAGAGGCTCGCCATGGCTGTCTGGAGGAGGGATCGAGATGGGCCCGACGCGCTTGCACGCGATCGAGGACGCGTCCGGTGGCTGAGGATTTCGCAAGGCGCCCGCTGACTGCTTTCTCTCCTTCAACCTCAGCAGCGTCCCTGGCATTCTCGCTCCAATTCGCCTCGGCATCCCCGTCTACGGCTATCTGCGTCACTGAGACCGGGATATTGACTTCTGTGGTCCTGCCCAAACTTGAACGTCGTGCTACTGGGTCCTGTGCTTGCATCTACTCTATTTCCTGGTCTTCGCTCTAGCCATGGCATCGTTCGAGGATTACGATGAGTTCGGAAACTACATTGGTGTGGGTCTCGACTCCGATGACGAAGATGAGGTCCCGCAGAGCGACTTCGCTCAGCAGCAACAGCCACTAGAGGGCTTCGATGAGGATGAGCCATGCATGCTCCAGAGGAACCTGGGATGGCATTAATGGAGGTTGATGGTGCGCATACTAGTAATTCTTCCATTTACATTCTCTCATGCTGGGTTGACTGATCTAGAACCTGTGCACAATGCGGTCGTCCTGCATGAGGATAAGCAATATTACCCTACAGCAGGGGAAGTGTACGGCCAAGACGTAGAAACAATCGTACAGGAGGAAGATGCGCAACCACTGACGGAGCCTATCATCGCTCCAGTCAAAGTGCGGAGGTGGACGTGGAGGAGAAGGGCATGCCCGAGACTCGTTTCGACAAGGGGTGGGTTCTCCGACATGAACAGCGGTTGCTCACGTCTCACAGAGCGGACTTGTAGGTTCTTGCTCAACATGACTGCATTCCCTGAGTTCGTCCGCAATGTTGCAGTTGTCGGTCATCTGCACCACGGCAAGACCGCCCTGATGGATATGCTCGTATTTGAGACGCACAAGATGGTCTGGGACTCCGACCACCAGGTAATATGGGTTCAGCGTTCACCTGTACCACAAGACTCATCGCTCTCAGACACGCTATACGGATACGCACGTTCTTTCTCGAGAGCGCGGCATTTCCATCAAGTCTTCCCCATGTCTCTCATTCTGCAGAAAGCTTCGGGAAGTCCCACCTCGTTCACCTCATCGACACGCCGGGGCACGTGAACTTTGTCGACGAGGTGGCTTCTGCAGTGCGTCTTGTGGATGGTGTCGTCTTGGTCGTGGACGTCGTGGAGGGCGTAAGCACAACGAACGTTCAATTTGCCCAGTGGCTGAGTTTGGCCTCAGGTTATGGTCAATACCGAGCATATTATTCGCCATTGCCTGCAGGAGGGCGTCAAAATGACCTTGGTAGTCAACAAAATCGACAGGCTAATCCTCGAGCTGCGCATCAAACCTGCAGATGCGTACTACAAGATCAAGCACACTATTGAGGAGGTCAACACGGTCATCAGGTTCGCCGAGTGTACTTGCATCGTAAGTGGTGGGCTGAACGTGCATGTCGTAGCGGTATCAACCCAGATCCTGCGCTGCGTATGAGCCCAGAGAATGGCAATGTCGCCTTCGCAAGCACCGACATGCACTGGTGCTTCACTCTCCGGTCCTTCGCCCAGATGTATGCCGACACCTACGGTAGACCCCTCCCCTTTTCTTCTGACTAAGAGCTGACGTCTGCCCACAGGCCCGCTGGACGTGTCCTCCTTCGCCGACCGCCTCTGGGGAAACATCTACTTCAACACCGAGACGCGCAAGTTTTCGCGCAAGCCCGCGGACCCCGAGGCGAACCGCACCTTCGTGCACTTCATTCTCGAGCCGCTCTACAAGCTCTACACGCAGGTGCTCAGCGAGGAGACAGACAGCCTGAAGGAGACGCTGGGGGCACTGCGCATCCAGCTCGCGCCGGTGATGTACAAGATGGACGTGAGGCCGCTGTTGAAGGCGGTTTTGGACCAGTTCTTCGGGCCGTCGTTGGGCTTGATCGACATGATTGTGGAGCATATACCGAGTCCTGTCGAGGCTACTGCCGCCAAGGTGCGTGTTGCTGAACCTCGACAAAGCGTAGCTACTCACCGGTAGAGCATAGGTGGAGAGCACCTACACTGGCCCCATGTCAGACGAGATCGTGGCCCGAATGAAGGCTTGCGATCCCGAAGCGCCTGTCATGGTCCAAATTGCCAAGCTCTACCACACCACCGACGCTCAGTCTTTCCGCGCATTCGGTCGTGTCATCAGTGGTACAGTCCGCAAGGGTATGGATATTAAGGTGCTTGGCGAGGGCTACTCGCCAGAAGACGAGGAAGACATGGTCAAGGCCGTCATCGAGGACATCTGGATAAGCGAAGCACGGTAAGCGCTACTTTCAGAAGGTTCAGTGCAAGGAGTTCAGGTTATCCGCAGATACTTCGTTCCTGCAGAAGAAGTCCCCGCTGGAACTTGTCCTACTCGGCGGTGTAGACGCGTCCATCACCAAGACCGGGACCCTCGCCTCCGTCGACATCGAGGAAGACCTGTACATCTTCCGGCCGATCAAGCATATGACGCAGTCCGTGCTCCGGATGCGATCGAGCCAATCGCGCCCTCGGAGCTGCCTAAGATGTTGTCGGGCCTGCGGAGCATCAACAAGTCATATCCGCTCGTGTCGACAAAGGTCGAGGAAAGCGGTGAGCATGTGGTGATCGGCACGGGCGAGCTCTACCTGGACTGCGTGATGCACGATTTGCGGAGGTTGTTCTCGGAGATCGAGATTAAGGTGTCGGACCCCGTCACGAAGTTCTGCGAGACGGTGCTCGAGACGAGTGCGCTGAAGTGTTATGCGGACACGCCGAACAAGAAGTGGGTTCCATTTCTGCTGTGTTCAAGCATAAGCGTTGAGCTGTTTCGTAGGAACCGTATCACGATGATCGCGGAGCCACTCGAGCGGGGCATCGCTGAGGACGTCGAGACAGGGCGCGTCAACATGCGCATGACGGCGAAGGAGCGTGGCAAGTTCTTCGAGGACAAGTACCAGTGGGACCTGCTTGCGTCTCGGTCAATATGGGCATTCGGCCCCGATGACAGCGGGCCGAACATCCTGTTGGATGACACGCTGCCGTCGCAGGTGGACAAGAAACTGCTCGGGACGGTGAAGGACCACATCAAACAGGGTTTCCAGTGGGGTGCCGAGAGGGCCCGCTTTGCGATGAACGTGAGTGTAGTGTTTACAAGAGTGGGAGTGGAACTGATTATAGTGTGCTGCAGCGATGAGGAACGTTAAGTTCCGGATACTGGACGCGAGTCTCGCGCAGGAGCCAATATTCAGGGGCGGAGGACAGATCGTCCCGACAGCACGCCGAGTGTGCTACTCCTCGTTCTTGATGGTGAGGTGGGCATCCGCTACATACGAGCAGAACTAATTGTGTGCACATGAAGGCAACGCCACGTCTCATGGAGCCTGTGTATTTCGTCGAGGTGCAGGCACCCGCAGACTGCATTTCCGCCGTATATACAGTACTTGCACGGAGACGAGGGCACGTCACGCAAGATACCCCGAAGGCCGGCTCGCCATTGTATACCGTCAAAGCCCTCATCCCGGTCATTGACGCGAATGGCTTCGAGACAGACCTGCGGACAGCGACACAAGGCCAGGCATTCTGTCTACAAGTGTTCGACCATTGGTCGATCGTTCCTGGTATGTGACGCTCCCCTCCCACGAGAAGTGGACACTGAACGCCTAATGCCCGACAGGTGACCCGACCGACACGAGCATCAAGTTGCGGCCATTGGAACCCGCATCGGGGCAAGCACTGGCGAGGGACCTGGTGCTCAAGACGCGGCGGCGAAAAGGTCTCGGCGACCAGATTGCTGTCTCAAAATATCTCGACGATGAATTCATTGTGGGTACTTTTATGATCGCAGCACGGGCGTGAACTGACGTGGTCGCTGCAGCTTGCGTTGTCGGCGTCGGGCCATGCGGACCTGCTGAGTTAGTTGTGTGATGTTGTGCATGTACTACTGTAGAATGCTATGCTACTGTGCTCTGACGGATGCCGGCGGGCGTGGAAGTGAGAAAGCGGTGTTGAGGGAGAGGCTGAGGATGGACCACGTGTGTGCGTGGAACGCAGTCGAATGTCGACGTGGCAGCGGTGGCGGGCGCATTTAGAGCAGACGCGCATCGTCGCACGCACATAAGCTGTTCTTCATACTTACTCTCGCTCCTTACTCCAGCTCATATTGTTTCCTCCGTCTTCGGTCCTTCGTATACAATGCGAAGCGTAGCGCTTTCTACCCTCCTCGCCATCGCCGTGACCGGTGTCGCCGCGCAGGACGACGCTCCCAAGCCCGTCTTCACGGTACGTGCTGGCGGACATAGCGCGTGTCCAAGGCCTCGTACTCACTCTCCTCCTAGCCCACCGCGATCAAGGCACCCTTCCTCGAGCAATTCACTGACGACTGGGCGTCCCGGTGGACGCCGTCAGAGGCGACCAAGAAGACCCCCGTTGGCGGCGAGACGTTTAGTTACGTCGGCAAGTGGGAGGTCGATGAGCCCACCATCTCCGTCATCGAGGGTGACAAGGGCCTCGTCGCCAAGACGAAGGCTGCCCACCACGCCATCTCTGCCCCTTCACCAGTGCCATCGACTTCGCCGACAAGCCGCTTGTCGTCCAGTATGAGGTTAAGTACCAGAAGGGCGGCAACTGCGGTGGTGGCTACATCAAGCTCCTCGAGGATGGCTTCCAGACAGAAGGGAAGGAATTCTCTGACAAGACACCATGGACAATCATGTTCGGTCCCGACCTGACGTGTCCGGGTACCAAGGTAGGCTTGCCCCGTTTGGGTCTTTTGTGATTTGGCTGAACGCCCTGACACCCGTCTAGGTCCACTTTATTTTCCGTCACAAGAACCCCATTACTGGCGAGTACGAGGAGAAGCACCTTGCGGCTCCTCCCAAGCCAACTATTGAGAAGTTGACTAACCTGTACACGCTCATTGTCAAGTACGTGCGCTGCTCCCTTGACATTGCCTGGATCTAATGCCATTCACAGCCCGATAACACATTTGATGTTCTGTTCAACGGTGAGAGCAAAGCGAAGGGCAGCCTCCTCGAGGACTTCACGCCCGCGGTAACCCTCCCAAGGAGATCGACGACGCCGAGGACAAGAAGCCTGAGGACTGGGTTGACGTCAAGCGCATTGCCGACCCCGCCGCTGTCAAGCCCGAGGATTGGAATGAGGATGAGCCGTACGAGATCCTCGACGAGGAGGCTGTGAAGCCCGAGGGCTGGCTCGACGACGAACTGGAGACGATCCCGACCCTGACTCTGAGAAGCCCGAGGAGTGGGATGACGAGGAGGACGGCGAGTGGATCGCGCCCACAGTTCGCAACCCCAAGTGCGATGAGGCTCCTGGCTGCGGCGAGTGGAAGCGGTACGTAGCACTGGGTCTGTTACACTCGTACTGAACATTTGGTTTTAGCCCCATGAAGGCCAACCCTGCGTACAGGGGCAAGTGGTACGCGCCCATGATCGACAACCCTGCGTACATTGGCGATGGGCTCCTCGTAAGATCCCCAACCCCGACTACTTCGAGGACTTGAGCCCGTCAAGAGCCTAACAAGATTGTACGTACATGCTGATGCTGGCATACGTTGCATGCGTGTCTGACTCGATTATCTTAGGGCGGCCTCGGTATCGAACTCTGGACGATGACGGAGGACATCCTCTTCGACAACATCTACATCGGTCACTCCGTCGAGGAAGCGAACGCGCTCAAGGCTGAGACCTTCGACGTCAAGAAGCCGCTCGAGGTCGAGCAGTCCAAGCCGAAGTCGAACACAAGATCGTCGATGATGAAGAGGAGATTGCCTTCGCCGAGGACCCGATCGAGTTCATCCGCAGCAAGGCGTTCAAGTTCATCGACCTCGCCAAGCTCGACCCCGTCCTGGCGTTCAAGACCCAACCGGAGGTTGGCGCTGTCATGGTTCTCTCCGTCGTCACGTTCTTCGGTATGCTCGGTGCTATGTTCGGTCTCGTTGGTGCTAGCCAGCAGCCGGTTACCAAGGTATGTCTCTCGAGCCCGTCAGTGTGGCTGCATGCTCAGCGGCTTTTGCAGTCGTCGAAGAAGACCGACGCGCCCTCACCCGACGACAAGAAGAAGACGGAGACCGCACCTGTTGCCCCCGCTGGTGGCGACAAGAAGGATGAGTCTACAGTGAAGAAGCGGAAGTAAAAAGGCACATGTATGCCATCGCGATAGCACCCTACTTCCGACTGTGCCGTATTTTTGCTTTCTTGCTTGGACCGCTGAGGCTAGTATTATATTGGGCTTGCGAGGGAGAATAATATGAAGTATGCTAGGATGTACACGTACGTGTGAGCTACATGTGAGGTGAGAAACCGTGACCAGGTACAACGCTACATGGACCAAAGATATGTCCGACGATGTGAGAGCACTAGAAATACAAGCTTGCGGCGAATACGACTGTAAAGTACAGTTATGAGATGTTGGTTGACCATGGCTAGGGGAAGGGGCTTACTGTCTCTTTTGATCTTAATCTGTGACTCCTCCATCTTCTTGAACAGCTCTGCGTCGCCGATGACACGAGCAGCATCCCTGACCTCGCGGCATGTCTCATCCAACGAGTAATGACGCGGACGATTGTGCCCTCAGGGACATCCGTAAGCTCGGTGATCTGTTCGAACGGCTGTAGAAGAATACAATGTCTCAGTACAGGTCCACGCTCGCTGTGCGGTGCCGAGCAACACTTACCATGCCCTTCGCCCACTCATACACGACCTCCATCAAGCCGAACTTGAGCTGCCGGAACTCTTCGCCTGGGACCTTATGGCGGTCCTGTATTCGCCCAATCCGCTCTGCGATGGCGATTATGGCGTCTCGGCCCTCCTCGAGCTTGGGTGGGATGACCGGCTCAACCTCCGTCTTCTCCTGGAAGACGAAGCATGAGAGCAGGGCAACCACCTCCTCGGGCTCGAACGGCGCTAGCGTGTTCTCGAGGATGAGCTCTGTGAGGACGAGCTCGTTCGCGGAGTTGATCTGCTGCTCGTCAGCTACGCAGAACGGATGGGCAAAACGTGGAACGAACCTCGCATGCCACTCTGCCTTTGAGCAGGACGGTGGAGTTTTCGTCAATGAACTTGAGCTCCTGCAGGACCGCGATGCGTTGCTCGTAATCCGGAATCAGCTCTAGGTTTTGGTCAGATAGTGCGCGCCTGAGGTCGGCGATGTTGGCACGCAAGACTTTCTCTGCATGGATTTGCAAGTACTGAGAAGGCTGGGTCAGTGCTCATTCGACGACACATGCGGCGGGGACAAGACTGACATGGTCATCAAATTCTGGACAAGACGTGCACTGGGCAGCGACCAGACGTTTCGCGCGTTCGTTTCTTGTTCGCAGTGTCTCTTGGAACTCGAGGGACCGCATGCGACTCCAGTCGACCTCTGGAATGTCATCTGATTGCAACCACTGCTCCAAGACACCGGACAGCGCCTTAATCGCTCTTGCATATGTGCTATCCGTCCCAACATGATGTAGTCGATTTCGACCTATTTTGTCCGCTGAGCATCTTACGAGAGCCATGTCTGCTTATTGTTACCTTGATCATGTTCCCGGTAACCATCACGATGCTGGTGACCGGCACCTCTCGGAACTCGTAGATAGCCTCGTTGACCAGGAGCTGTGCCGGTTCCGGAGGCCATTGTGGTACAAGGCTTTGTTCGTCAGCATCTGCAGTTGCGGGGTGTGCGTTCAACGAGAGTGAGATATGTTTCCAATGATTTGACTCACCATGAGTGCGTCTCTTGGTGTCTGGGTCGACCATTGCTAGTACATAGTACATCCTGACGTTCTCGACTGTTCTGCTACCTTTGAGAATGACTGCGATCTTCCATTGGAAGTGCTACAGGGGCATTAGATACGGCATGGTAGTCGGTCGGGATAACATACTCCGTCCCGCAGAACCACTACTCTGCCTGTCGTGAAGAGCTTTGATCCTTGAGTGTTTTGAACAGCCATGGAGACGAGGTCACGATTGAGTTCCACGATGTCGTACGAAGCGTCATAGTACCGCTCGATGTCAGGTGAACAAACGTCACAGGACAGCTTTTGAAGGGTCGAGAGAGCTTTCTCGTGCTGTGAAGCATTGCGTGGGCCCCGGGCCTGTCAATGAATGACGAAGCTTCTTACCTCAATGACCTTCTTCTGTTGATCGGGAAGGAGCTTCTGAGTCCTGTTCTCGGAGAAACTACGCTTGATCATCTCCTCCACTCGTAGGGCCTCCACGCGCAACAGGTTGAGAATCATGTTATACGTCAGTCGGAACTGCGACTGCAGCTTGGTCGGCGTTCCCAATATCATGGTGTTCAACACCCCTTGCTGTGAATGTAGATGGTCGTCTAAGCATGGGCACCGGAGAACAAATATTCAATTGCTTTACCTCCGGAAGTTCGTCACTAACAACGATGATCACCGTGCCGGTGGGATCCAATCCACGACGGCCTGCCCGACCTGCCATTTGAGTATATTCACCCGGCAGAATTTCTCTGAAGCTACGGCCGTCGTGTTTTCGGATACCAGAGAAGACCACGGATTTAGCCGGCATGTTCACTCCCTAAAATGATGTCGATGTATGGGTCTAGGTGACAGGGTGCATGTGTCTTACCATAGCAAAAGTCTCCGTAGCGAAGAGAATTTTGACTAAGCCTCGCGCGAAGAGAATCTCCACGACCTAAATTGGTCCTTTCAGTGTATGAAGGGGCATCAGAGGGCCTCGCGCGTACCTCTTTGACTATAGGCAGTAATCCACCGTGGTGCACGCCAATGCCGCGAGAGAGAAGCGCGCGCATCCTACGAATTTGTGGGAGTTGTTTGTCACTGCCTACATGAGAGCGTGAGCTATGTTCAGCGACATGCACGAGGATGATTGCCACCTTTCAGCCGTGAGAACGCCTTCTCAAGTGCGACATGGATCTCGCTCTTCTCCACCGCCGAACACAGGTCCGCGTTCGTGAGCGTGGCCGCGTTCTCTTCGCATCGCTTTTTCGACAGCGTGAAGACGACCACGGGCAACAGCGCTTTCTTGCGCAGATGGCCGAGAAGGTGGACGTAGAGGTTCTTGTCCGGTTGATGGAACGTCCGGGGTGAACCTCCGCGGGCAACCGGAGCTGCTGCTCGTGCAGGACCGCCTCGCTGGCCTCCGCGCCCACCTGCGGCACCGCGCTGGCCTCGCTGTGGCGCCGCCGCACGGGCGCCGAGTCGCTGGACGGGTGGCAAGCCAGCTGCTTCGCGCTCTTTGTCCTGTTTCCGCCGTAGAGCCTCTCCCGCATCCTTGTAGCTGTAATATTGTTCAGCCATCAAGCTTAGGCGGTGCGATATCGCAGGCGCTCCACATACCCCTGGGTCAAGAAACGTCGCTCGGCGTCCACGATCTTGTACATCTCTCGTCCAGCATATACATAGTGTTCGAGGGGTACGGGCCGTTTAGCGGTCGAGATGACATAGATGTCTTTCTTCTTGGTCCGACTGACGCACGCGCAAGGAAGTCAGGCTATGTGAAGTTGAAAGGCGTGTGCGTACATACCCAACCCAGTCTGCGAATTCCCTCGCGTTCGGGACGGTGGCTGACAGCAAGATGATGTTGACATGATCCGGCAACATGATGATGACTTCTTCCCAGACAACGCCGCGCTGGCCACACACTGTTGAGCATCCACCTTCCATCGCAAGAGACGAGCGCGCGAGACACCCACCTCAGCGTCGTTCACATAGTGCACCTCGTCGAATATCACAAACTCGACGTCACGGATCAGGTCTGCGCCCTTGTACAGCATGCTTCGCAGGATCTCCGTCGTCATGATCAGACAGTTCGCCTCCGGGTTAATCTGGACGTCCCCCGTGAGGATGCCCACGGAGGACGAAGAGAACGTCTGCTTGAAGTCGCGGTATTTTTGGTTGGACAACGCCTTGATGGGCGATGTGTATATGGCACTGAGTCGGCCGCGTCAAGGGAAGCCGGAATGGAAGGCAGAGGAGGGGACACACCGGGTCATATGTTTCGCGGCCAGCGCGATGGCGTACTCGGCCACGACCGTCTTCCCCGCCGATGTATGCGCGGCGACAAAGACGGAGTCGCCCATTTCCAAATGGTACACCGCCTCCTTCTGGAACGTATCAAGCTCGAACGGGTACTGTAATAGCCCGCGTCATCTTAAGACCTAATGTCCGACAACGATACCACCGACCTTGTGCGCCATCTCCGGGACCAGTTCGTGGAAATTTGTCATGGGCTTGTTGATATCCACTTCGTGCGCCCATTCCCGCTTCTGGATGTTGGCCCGGCGAACGGGTTTCCGCGCAGGTTTGATGGCGTTGAGGTGAGATCGCTGCACACCGGAGTGAGACCGAGAACCAGAGGGAACCGGCGCATAGACGTACAGTTGTAGGCAGCAGATCGTCAATATCGGATGGCCCACCGGGTACTCCGCCGTTGAATTGCGTGTCCCCATTTGCATGTGGAACCACACCTCCATCCTGTGGATGAACTACTGTCGGAGGTGCAAAGTATGATGATCTTATAGAACCTACTTCTTGAGCAGTACTTCGGTCTCCGCCCTGAGCGAAATCCAAGTCGTCCAGCGCATCCTCGTCGGCTTCGTCGCCCGGTAGCCGTAAGCCGCGACTCAATCCCGGGGCCACCTTCCGCAGACCCTTCGCCTCTTCGTGGAGGTCGTCGACCGCAGTCGCATCGGCCTTGATATTGTCGAGGCCGCCAGGCCAGAACGGCACGAAGCCCGTCTTTCCCCGCACGAAGCTGCTGCTGGGGCCCGGTGCGCGGTCCAGAGAGGTCGAGGTAAGTCCGGTGCTTACGCGTGGGTTGGCTACCTGGGGAGCGTGGTTATGCTGTGAGACACTCGGGATTGTGTACGTGGGCACGTACTTCTGTATAGCCGGTCACCCGCCCGTGCAGGCCTGTACGGACAAATGCGAGGGTAGTCGGCGGTGGCGATGGGTCGAGGGAGAGCAGCGACGGGATAGACAGATCTTGTTCCCAGTGTCTGAAATATCACACTGTCTCATACGGACTGCCCGAACGCAGCATAGATGCTACTCTTACATTTGATACGTTGGGAGCCAGTGGTCCGGTAGTTTGTCCTTTGGAAGGAGGAGTTTCTCCTCGATTTCCCGGTGCACCCGTTCGGGTTCGGGTACTCCACCAAGTCCGAGTTCGTTAAGGATCTCCTCAGCATTGGCTGAATTTGAGTGCAATATGTGTTGCATGACGCGCTGCTGATCCGAGCTCATTGTGTAGAGCAAGTTCTGAGATCCAGATCGTTAGACGCTGACGACCATGAAGGTGCGGCGGGCACGTGGTTACCATACGGCGGCCACAAGTGTCCGAGTCCGTGTATACAGTCAAGTCATCCAAGCTCAGGTTGGTTCTCGAATGGACTGCAATTACGAGGATGAGATTGCTGTTACCCTGAGACACGAGGATTCCTGTTATACACTACGACGTAAACTAGGTCCGACCAGGACGTAATAATGATATACAAACGCAATGCACAAACGCTTGCAATTAAGAATGCGAATAGAGTACCGTCCGAATTGCAGCAAACCGTGACCACGATTAGTCGCGCCTCTTCAGTGCGTAAACGTTCTCGACGCGAATGTATGTCTGAGTCCGTGCTTCCATGAGCTCAACACGCGCGTTCTCCTCGACTTCATCGACGACATCCTCTGGCACCCCGCTGCCAAGAAGCAATGGGCGGCCCGACCGCAGGAATGCCTGTGCAGGATCAGCATCTGGGGAGCTGTCAGTGGTTACGTCCACTCACCAATATATCGTCCCTGAAGACATGCGCGATGCGATTCTGCCGAACAGTCGCGGCATCATTGCCACTTCTCCAGGGAGAAGTTTGGAACCAGAACTCCCGGTATGCAACGTCCTCAAACGCGTTGCTCTGTAACACCCATCGATGGAGATGGTTCGCAGCGTCTGGTTCTCCGCCATTGCGGTGGACGGCCTTGTGGCACAAGTTCATCCAGTGCGCGAGCCACGATGCGTCCTCCGTAAGGATCGGCTTTTTGTCGACGCCATATACCCGGAAATCAAACTCCATAAGGTCGAGGAGGCCCCCTAAGCGCAGGCACTGGGACATTTGATCGACCAGCCCCTCGTAATCCCGGATCTGAGATCGCAATAAGCGTCAGCCACGAAAGGCAATCAATAAGATCGGGGACGGAGATTGCGGGGCTGATCGGGGGCGGATCTGGCGCGGTCTCGGACCCGAAGGAAGGCTTACCCCAGACGAGATCAAGCGAGCGTGGACGACGTTGAAGTCGCCGAAAAAGTGCTGGAGGCCAAGGTTGATGTCGTCGACCTCGCTCCTGTAGAGCCACCGGCGAAGGAGGGTGAGCACATCAAGTTCTGATCAGTCACAGAAGGGACGGGATCTCGCTAACCTGAGATTCGGCGGCATGTTTCTATATAAGGAAATATGAGGTCAATCCTCCGCGGACCTGCGGGTGTAAGGACGGATTGGGACAGAACTCACAGGGCCTGCATGGGAACCAAGTCCACTGCGACGGTGCTGCAGTGCGGAAAGTCGCGCGACACATCAAGTATCCTGGCGACACACCATCCCGTCAGCGCCGTGCGTACGGCAGCGGAGAGATCACTTGCCAGCTTCCGCTTCCACAGCCCAGGTCAACGCACGTCTTCGGCTCCCCAGGCGTATCGTCCGCGAGTATTTGCGCCAGCGGCGGCGGGTACTTGCCCATCACCTCCATGAAGATGTTGTGTTGCTGGTCTGAGGGCGGCGCGTTAGCTGGGGCCCGAACGCGGCGACGGACGAGCGACGCGGTATATAGGGGTCGGACGCGTCCGAACGTACCGAGGCGCTCAAACTCCTCGTCGTCGGCAGGTAAGCGGTACACCTCCGAATAGTTGTTGATGCCTCTTCCGTACTCGTGGCGGTATGATGCCGCGCGGAGCGAGCTTGTCATGGAATATACCGAAGGCGCTGGGGACACGGACCGCATCTCCAAGTCGTGGGAGGTGGCGGAAGTCCCTGCACTGGCCACGAAACAGGTCGAAGTGGACATCACGGAGGACGCGTCGCTCTCGTCCTCGGACGGGGGAGACACGGTGTGCATGGAGCCTGGTGCGTGAGCGGCGTAGATGGGGCGGGCGAGGGCAGTCATAGGGAGGGGCGGGACAGGGACGGCGCGAGGGCATTATATATACTGGCTCTGTCCTGCGAACGGCGGAGCAGGGCGCGGCGACCGAGCTACCAGACACCCGTAAAAATCGGAGGGCACGTGGCACGAGCGCCGGCCGAAGGGCGCCCCTGATTGGCTGCAGCTCATCTCCGGTCACCGACCAGCTGCATGTTGATGGGCCGTGGCCCTATTGCCGACTGCCACTTCCCAGTTCGACCCTCCTCCCTTGCAGAATACACGTCCTTCTTTAGAGTTGCCTCTGACAAAGCCTTCCTCGTCCCCCGGCGCGCACTCCGACCTCCTCTTCAGCTCCCTCTCCCAGGGCATCTGCCCACCCACGAACATCTCTCTCTCACTTTAGGTTGCGGTGCGGGCTGCTTTCCTCGAATGCGGCAAGCCTACATCCGCGCTCTGGCTCGCTTCTAGCCAGCGCCGCGATGCAAGTTGTGACGCGCGATCCTGATACTGACCGAGACCGGGCAGCATGTCCATGGCTCGCCGCATCCGTAGAATCCCGCTGTAGCGGGTGTGCCGATGCCGCGACCGTCTACTGCCTCAGATGATGCACGCATGGCAGCCCAGGCTCTTCGTCGGCGGATGTAGAATCGCCGCTCTTCCTTCCGCGCCTCCACCAGCAGTACCGTTAACCTATCAAATCTGTCCTATACGAGATTAACTCACTGAGCACTGCACAGATCTCTCGTTCCCGACTTGACTTTCTCGCGTCGTGCCCTAGAGTCCCTGGTGCGTCCGCTGGAGAGGCTTTCGCCGCACCACCCGGCTCCCTCTGCCGACAGACGTATCGCCGCGGTTGAACCGACCGTCACCGCACCGACCGTTCCCCATGCAGCAAATGAACTCACAAGCAAACGGAGAGATGGAAGTAGCGGAGCGGCGTGCTCTTGGGTTAGCCGCCTCGTTAGCTGCGCCGTGCCGTGTTGTCTTGCTGTGTCGTTTGTCCAGCTAGGTAATTGCGAATACGCAGTGCCAGTCGGCCGGCGGGGAGCCTGCGCGCCCATGCTGCGTGATGCCCGAAAAGTGGTAATCTATAAGATTTCACTGTTTCGAGAGGTCGTGCCAAAAGACTCGGTCAAAAACCATCCATTCATATACGAAAGAGGCAGCGAACATCTTTCTCCAATCTGCGCAGCCTTTAAATCGTCATGGTGTATCGGGCCCCGGCGGTATGAAATATTGTGTAAGGCGAGTGGCACAACGTACACACCGTGTCTGTCAAATCTGACCAGACTGCTTATTGTTGTACCTGTCGCGCTCCATAAAACAACGGTAGAGGGGGGAAATCCAATACAAGTCCGAGCCGAACTAATGAAGTCGGCGTCGCCGATTAGCCTCCTGCTCCGTGTGTCATATCACCTTGCACCATCCGTCCGTACATACGATTCACTGTCTAGTGAGGTACGCACCCTCTCACCGCGCACATTTGACTACGAATTTGATACCTGGTTGCCACCTCCACGCTCGACAGTCCACATCTTGCGAATTCCTACTGTCGACGTCTTCCAGAAGCTTACCCACCCTTCAGCGGCCCTAATAGGCGGCGGCGGACTCAGGTGTCCTCCATCTGGGCCTCGCCCAGCGCTCCGTTCTCGGGGAAGCACCTTGGAAGCACCCTTGGCGTGGCTGCCTTGCTTACGGCGGTGCGTGCATCGTCCTCTATCGGAATCTCACAGCTCGTCTCATCGAACGTGGCAGAAGCATTTAAACACGGCCCGGCATTGATCTCTCCATCGCGAGTATGTATACAGTACGAGCTCAGGGTACGCGCGATCTCCGAGACCCCCCTTCTCTCTCGCCTTGTGTTCTGAGTGAAAGGGAGGTGTCTCTCTTTCTGGAACTGCACCCGCGTCATCGTGGCCCACTTGCTTGGCGTTGCGGGGGAACCTGACGGGCTGGTCTCACCCGCTACGTTAGTTGGTACACGGCGGTCCAGCATGGAAAGATGATCGGAAGGTGAGTGGCACCAAGTGAGCATCTGCAGCTTCGGCATCAGGTCGTCCTGCAGACTTATCAGGCGAACTTCGCCACTGCCTCCGCCTAAGCGAGCCACGCTCTAATGCACGTTGGCTCCTCGTATACCTCGCTGCAGTGTTAGACATATGCAGGACAATGCACTGGCTATCATGCACTGGGCTCAGTTCGGTCCGCCGGTCGGCGGTGCGCAAAGTGAGGCAAAATCAGACCTCCTGCGCGAGTCCGGGAAAAGCGGACTACACATCCGGAACCAGTTCGACACGTACAACACAACAGGGCCACTGACCCCACCAGCCCGAGCTCGCCGTTAGACAAGACGGTGTCCCCGGAGGATCCGTCGCACATCCCAGCACGGCCGCGGCGCCTCATGGCGTGACCAGGCATGCGGACACTGACGTCGGCTCGTCCTCCGCCGGTGCGTCCTCATTCATTCAGAGACAGATCTCGACTAACACCGCCATGGCCAGGATCAAGGCGATCCCGAGTGGAATTGTCCCACAATGCACGGGCCTCATGTGCCCATCTCACGGTGCCGCGCCAAGCCGGACGACGACACTGGTCAGCCGCAGGACCACTGTGGGCCCGCACGGCCGTTTTGTTGTCGAGCGATATCGCGTACGGTCCCAGGCGAACCGCGCGCAGACCGAGGTTTCTGTACATGTTTTTCTACAAAGCCTGAAAGCGCCACAAACAGGATCTCGATAGCTTAGGACCTGAGGCAAAGCCGCGACCGTCGCGGCCGGGGACGATAACTGCTGCCCAGTGCTGCCCCCACTCTCACTTAGTGCGCGATCTCGAATCCCGTAAAACTCGGACTTGATCCCGGCGGTATCGCCCAGCCGACCAGTACAAAACAGGCCCGCCTACGTAAGTACTTGCATGGGCCCGAAATCTCGGCCGAGCCCTACCGTAACGTCCTTAGGCGACGAAGCCACAACATGCGACTGGAACCCTTCTGTCGACGAGGTTCTCCCGCTCGCGAGTCGACGCGACGCGCGTGTCATGCAAAGCAGAGCTCCTCCGGGCCCAAGCGCAAGCCGCACGCGCGACGCTATGGTCGACCACGTCCTGCGAGATCTGAAAATCTGAGGAGTGGTGGTGATCCGAGGACTGATCTCCCAGGGAGCGTGGCTCTTCCGAGTCTAAGGAATTCCTATGCGGCCGGAGATTATCGGGCAGAGGCTTTGAGTGTCCTTCAAAATCGGCTATGCGGCAATATTAATGCGCCGTTGATGGACCTCGTACTGAACGCCGACGCGCAGGAGGTGCGCCAGTGACTGCATGAAGCGCGGTAAGACACGGGCCACGAGCTTCTACGGTGCGACTTCCGTCCGAGGTTCCCGGTTTCAGAGCGCGGCGGTCGAGGCGAAGGTAGCATATCGATACTTCCTTACACCACTGCAGATCCTACAGTAAGCATGTCCTATAGTAGCTTCGACAGCAATACAAGTGTACAAACGATATATAATGTCCGACGGCCGCGTAGCTGGGCCAGGCCTCCACCGCGTGCCCGCAAGAAGCCAACACTAAGATTCGGAAGGAAGACTCAAGAGAATGCACGTCGCACCTAGACATCACTGATAAGAAGCCTTGGTAGGCTGCCAAGCGCCCCCGGCGTGGCAGCCTAGCAAGGCTGCAAACCCTTCTAAACGCCATCTGCCAATTTCTGGGCAGTTTCCCCTCGCCCTTTTCCTCTATAAGGTAACAATCCCTTCTGCCCCTTCGCGCACGCCCAAGTTCCTCCGGCGGCCCACGTGCTGCGTGGCTGAGGGCGCTCCCCGATCAAGGATCTCGTATCCCGATCCCCCGCGTCGCGCCCGATGTTCGGTAAGCCGCTGCCGCCCCCGCTGAGCTCGCCGCCACCGCGTACGCGCCCACAGCGTTGCGCTCGCCGTCGCCGTCGACGACAACGACGGGCTCCGCGAGGGTGTCGAGTCCACACCGACTCGGATGCTGCCGAGTGGTGCGTTCCCGAGCCTCGCGGGCACTCCCACGGCTGTTGATGGGGAGATTCCCACGCATGCTCGCCGCCGCGCCTGGCGCTGTGCTCGCTGTCGACGACGACGAGCTCGAGTATCTCGCTCCCCTCTTCGTTTCTTGCCACAATTTCTTGAGCCATGTATCTAGTAGTGATATTCAAAGTGTATATAGGCTTATAAAGTGTATACAATGTGTTGTTACCTCGGAATAGTATGACTATCTCCCCAGTAATGCCTACCTAGTACCCATCAATAGAGCGGTCAGAAGTGAGCATAATATGCTCTCATAAACTCTAGATAACTGGTATGATTATCCACAAGCAATAGATAGTGTTTGATGAAGGATTACTGGCCCCAAAATGCGAAACTTCGCCATAAGGGGGCATGCATAACATTACAACCTCTCCACTGTAGCTCATGAAAGCTCTACCAGTATGTTGCAAGCACATTCATGTACTGTTTTATGTATACTCACAGTATCAGGACTAGTATATGTGCCTCAATGTTATGAGGATGTTCACATGTACAAAAAGCATATCCATTCATTTGGAGCCTCTACATGCATCCAGACATTATGACAACTTCTCAGAATCTACATTGGCATCATATCTGTATGGAATTACACTTACAATAAGTTTCTGAGATGAGATGACAAGGGCATTCATTCAATTAGCTATAGGTGGCTACAGGAAGGAGAAGAACTTATCACGTCATACCCTGTGGTTGGATTGTCTCCAAACTTGGTATACAGTATGTATTGTATATCTCAATGCTATATGTGAGGTCTCTTTGGGATTGGACAAGCAGGAAGTCGTGTAGAGCGAGACGAACATCATCTCGGGCAGTTCGGGGACATGCCCGAAGCGGTGCCCGAGTGAACATCGCTCGAGTGCATTGCACACTTAACGAGTGTACGGGCGCTTTCACGCCACTACGACCACTTCTGCATACAGACCCACCGGCTGTCACCTCATTGACTCAAAACAACTTCGGACAAGTACTAACATTGTTTTACCATTAGTGGGTACTATTTCCGTTTTATCCGACGCCAATCAAGGACGAGGTGCATGATTCCGACTCACTCTTTTTCTCAGCCACTGGGTCAGCCACCAGTGCGAACATCATCGCATCGCATGGTGTGCATACAATCCTGTTATGTTTTTATACCCTAGCATTGTTTGTTAGCACTAATAGATGCCAAAACATTCAAGATCTGTGTATATACATGCATTAGATGCTGTGCAACAGAGCCAGCCATATGTGTGGCATTCCACCTACATTTGACCTCTATCAACCCCAGTTGCTACAGAGACCGTACAACAAGTAGTGAGTAAGCATGCATGCATTCAATGAGTATATTAGTACTGTTTTTTTGAGTACCAGTACATTGGTTGAGATGTTATACATGGCCACTTATGGCGGAGTTTTCACTTACAGGGCAGGATGGCTTGCCTATAGTATTGAGAGACTAGTTATGTATCATAACAGTAGTAACAATGAGTATAAAAGAGCACATTCTTCTCGCTTTTGACCGCTCTATCCATGCATAATGCACAGGCATAACTGGATGTAAATTCATACAATTCCGAGGTAACTACTGATTCTATATACAATAGAGGCCTATATACAGTGTTCAAATTGATACTATATGTATGTAGCACAAAATCGCGACGAGGAACGGACAGGGGAGCGAGATACTCGAGCTCGTCGTCGTCGACAGCGAGCACAGCGCCAGGCGCGGCGGCGAGCATGCGTGGGAATCTCCCCATCAACAGCCGTGGGAGTGCCCGCGAGGCTCGGGAACGCACCACTCGGCAGCATCCGAGTCGGTGTGGACTCGACACCCTCGCGGAGCCCGTCGTTGTCGTCGACGGCGACGGCGAGCGCAACGCTGTGGGCGCGTACGCGGTGGCGGCGAGCTCAGCGGGGGCGGCAGCGGCTTACCGAACATCGGGCGCGACGCGGGGGATCGGGATACGAGATCCTTGATCGGGGAGCGCCCTCAGCCACGCAGCACGTGGGCCGCCGGAGGAACTTGGGCGTGCGCGAAGGGGCAGAAGGGATTGTTACCTTATAGAGGAAAAGGGCGAGGGGAAACTGCCCAGAAATTGGCAGATGGCGTTTAGAAGGGTTTGCAGCCTTGCTAGGCTGCCACGCCGGGGGCGCTTGGCAGCCTACCAAGGCGTCTTATCAGTGATGTCTAGGTGGCACGTCGGTGCTACTTTCGGCCTGCTGCGCAGCCCTGTATGAATCATCGCTTCTTGAGTGCTTCAAACCGCTTCGCCAGTGCCTCGAAGTCGTCGGCGGGCTTGGGATCGGCCCCGGGGGAGCCCTCGTCCTCCTCCGTTGGGGGCAGGTCGGGGAGCTTGGGCGTCCGCACGCCCGCGCTCCTTGCCTCCGCCGATATCTTCTCTGCACTCATGGGTGATGTTGGTGCCGAGGTTTTCTCGGCCGTGGGTTCCTGCGTGCACGGTGGATGTCACTTAGGATACATAGATCTGCCAGGGGCCGCACTGACCTCCACCCCGCCATCGCCGCCGGCATCGTCGCCGTCGCCTCTCGTCGGCGGCGTCCACTTCACGCCGTAGCCCTTCGCGATCTCCGCGAGATACGCATCGACCAGCTCGGGCGCGGGCGTGAACACCGCGAGCTTCTTGGCGACCTGGACGTAAGGCGTGCCGCGGTCAGACGTAAGCCCCGCGTCTCGATTGGCCCGGAGCTCACCCGCTCGTTGACGCAGCCGTCCCTGTTCTCCATGACGCCTATGGCGAATTCTCGCCCGTACTTGTGCATGAGCATCTCGCGCAGGACGTGCAGTTCTGTCGGACGTAGTGGTTCAGCGCGCTAGGAGGTCGGGACAATAGACCCGCAGCTGACCTTTGAGCTCGGTGCGAGGGGCGGCGTAGATGACGCTGCAGACCCCCTCGCTTACCCCTGGGTCCGGCTCCTTCGTGCTGGTTCAGGTGATCGATGTTCAGCACCGGCACGCGTACTGGCGAATGCGCGTGGGGGACATGAACCGGCGGACTTACTTCTGATCGAGGAGGGCGGACCGCGCGTGCAGGAGCTCACAATAGAGCTCTAGGAGCTCGAGAAGCTCGATGTAGATGTCTTCATGAATGACTGCGACGATCCTCGTCAGCCACCGGGTACATGAAGGCGCACGGCCGGGCCTCGCCACGCACTGTTCTCAACCTTGATCCTCGCCGTCTCGATCTTGCTCTTCTCGAGGAGCAGCGCGATATCGCGGCGCGCGGTCTTTGCCTGCGCCGTCTTCTTCTCCTGGAGAGTGCGCAGGCGCTGTATGGCCAACCTGACGAGCGGATCGCGCGCGTTCAGAGCGACGGGCGACGGGGATGGAGAAGGGGCGCACCGGAGTTGGACCTATCCCAGGAGCGAGGTCAAGCGGGTCGCCCGTGCGCAGAAGGGAGAGCATCCCTTGCCTTTGCTTTGGCCGACGCCCAGGGCGCCATCTCGACTGATCGGTAGAGAGCCTGGTGAGTGGAAGGACGATCTGTGCGTACCGGTACGAGGATGGACGTCGTGACCGAGGCACTCACGGAGCCGGCCTTGGCACGGAGGCGCCCGAGATTGCATCTGTCGGACGGGGCCGGCGGTGGGCGGGCCTCCCACCAATCGGTGCCTGGCTGAAGCCTGGCTCTTGCCCTTCACTTGGCCACTCTCCGCTCATCCTGCCAGTGGGTCCTGTCCCCTCGCCTTGTTCCTCACTGCAATTCCGCACAGTCATCTCGAGAACAGTTTCAGGTTAGGTGCCAGGCCACCTCCAGCGGCGGCGCCGTGATAATCTCTGCCATGGTAGGGACGAATTCGCAAAGGCGCCGCTCCATGCAAGCGTGCCATCCCGAGTCTATGCGCACGTCCTCATCTTGGTCAAATGAACCCATTTTTCATCGCTCAGGCATCACAACTGCGATGCACAGCCGCCGTCGTTCTGGATACGGGTGTACGGAGGTAGACCGCGGCTTGATCGCGAGCGTGATGAGGATGGTCCGGTGGGAGAGTCAAGGTGTGCTATCCCCAGTCGTGTCCTTGCCTACGAGTGGTCTCTGTCATTCATCTATCCCGGAAAGGATGACTGGCGTCGGCTCGACCTTGTCTTACACAATACTCTGCCATTTGACACCGACTAGACCGCCATGCAGCCAGGCTGAAAGGAGCACAGGAGTTCACAATCACCGAGCAATGATGGCTCGTGGCGCGGCTACAAGTGGGTCCTTGGCCTTGCGCAGCGTTTATTGACGACCGCCGCTTTGTCACATCCATCGAGCAAAAGGGACTACTTACTGATGTAATCCAGGTGAACGTTGATGGATGATATGATGATGATCGCTCGTCTGTCTCTTTTCAGTGGCCACTCGATGCCTGTGCCGAGTGAAAGAGTGGACGTTCTTTGCTACGACACCCTGAGCATACGCAGGAGTGAGTGTGCGAGCGACGTGGACGGCGGTGGACAGACGGAGGACGGGCACGTGAGTGGGGCGATCAGGAGAGTGCCTGGATCGGAGGGAGGATCTGGGAGGTGGTGATGGTCGCCGTGTCGTCGTTCAGCCTATCGCCTACCGCAGCGGTGGGCCTCGCCCGACATGGGGAAAGCCGCCGCCGACGGCACGTCGCCGCCTATGAGAAAGTGCTCGTCCGCCTTGATCTCCCCGTCCTCCTCGCCGCGTCGACCCGGCGAACGTCTGCAGGCTCAGCTTCACCGCCGGCGTCCTGGACTCATCCTCGCCCTACGCTCCTGCTGCAGTGCTGGTCTCTGAGCTGGCCTACAGTACTTGCATACACACGCCGGCTAATGTCAACTGTCGCCCGCACGCAATCTGTCAGGCGTGGGGGCCTTCCCCGTCTCTGGATCGACTCCTCGTTGTCTAGCTACAGGAAGCAGCTACATACGCCTGCCTCTGCGCTGCCTTCTGCGAACGTCGTCTTGAGCGGCGATACCTCGACAACCCTGACAGACTCCCCGTCCACATTCAGCGCGGAGACTTTCCACGTCCTGGCCCTCTATGACTACGAGGCAGCCGACACTGATCAGCTGTCGTTCAAGAAGAACGAGGTGCTCGAGATCATCAAGCGCGAGGATTCGGTGAGTGCATAGTGCGCGCTCCATGCTAAGACATCCTCGCTCACGACGGGGACGCTCTGCAGGGTTGGTGGGCTGCTCTGCGCTCGGGCGAGAACCGGGTGGGGTGGATACCACAAGCCTTCGTTGAACCCATCTCCGAGAGAGTCGTGCAGCAACTCCATGTCAAGGACGATGCGCGTATCGTCTCGCCCACATCAGATATGTCCTCGAGGAGCGGGTCGTTCCTCAGCACGCCCGAGCAGGAACCCACATCACTAGAATGGATGCCGCTGACGGAGGGTGACCAGGTATGTCTCTGAGCTTCGCCTCACCATCTCGGAGCGGTCGCTCACCCTCGCACTAGGCACCGGTGCGACTCTTCGCCGGCTCCGACGCCAAAGGCACGCCTCTGCTCTTCAGCCCGCTCGTCCCTCCCCACGAAGGCATAGACGACGCACGCTCCGAGCCCGACGTCGACCTCCCGCCTTCGCCAGCGGCCGACGCGTCCGTTTCCCAGCACGCCTCGGGCGTCCCCACCGAGGTGCCGGACGAGGAGCCACCCCCGGTGCCCTCCAAGGACGGGATCCTCCTCTCCCTGAACCTCAAGCCGACGCAGCCGCTGCAGATCCAGCGGCACTCCTCGCCGCTGCGCGCGTCCCCCGCGCTCATCGAGTCCTTCGACCACGCGCGGAGCCACTCCGACCCCGTCAGCCCCGTCGTGAACCGCCAGCTCCGGCGGCGGCCCGTCCTCATCGACGACCGCCCGTCGCTCAACCGGCTCACGACGCTGTTCGAGTCGGATGGCGCGGTGAACCTGGATTTCCTCGTGGGCAGCCCCCTCGCGAGCAGCCCGCTGATAGGCATCCCGATTGTGGGGAGTCCGGTCTCGGCGGACCCCCTGGTGCCGGGGAGTCGGGTCGGAATACCGAGGCAGGGCTTGCCGAGGAGTCCGTTGATCCCGAGGGCGCCTCTGGTGAGGCAAGAGACGAGGGAGAGAGAGAGAGAGGCGACGACGCACTTGAGTCCGTCGAGGTTGCGGCCTGTGGAGGAACAGGATGAGCTTTTGCTCGCGGAAGATGGGAGCGTGGTCGCGGGGACCCTGCCCGCGCTCATCGAGCGGCTGACACTAGATACGCACGGTAAGGAACGCAGCATCCGACGTGATGACAAGACGTGCTCATGCGCCCCCGCGTGTGTTCGCAGACCCGGTGCAGATGCGCAATTTTCAGCGGGCGTTCTTCATGACGTACAAGTCCTTCGCGAACGCGGACGAGGTCTTCACGCTGCTGGAAGACCTCTTCCACACGGAGCGCCCCCCGGACGGGAGCCAGGAGGACCTCGACCTCGAACAGTGGCGCGAGCAGAGGCTCGAGCCGATGCAGCGGCGCGTCCTGTTCATACTCAAGATGTGGTTCGAGGAGTACGGCATGCTCCGCGACGAGCCGCACATCGTCGGGCGGCTCGTCGAGTTCCTGTCGTCGCTCACGTCGCCGTTCGTCGCGATGGCGCGGAGCATGCTGGACTCGCTGCAGCGGCATGTACGGTTCGCCGATTCTGCTCACTATGCCGTGGTGCTAAATGTATTTTGCAGTTGGGCACGAAGTCGGCCACCCCTCCGACACCCGGCACGGCGAGGCGCAAACTCAAGCGCAAAGCGTCGAGGAACGACTTTGGGCGCCTGGAGCCGATGGCTGTCGCGAGACAGCTATGCCTCCACGAGCACCGGCTGTACGCGAAGCTGGAGCCGCGGGAGTGCATGCACTGGAAGAACCCGGGCGCAGCAGACGGCATCCCGAACCTGACCGCGTTCTGCATGGCGCGTGCGAGGCTGACGGGGTGGGTGAGAGCGAGCTTGCTCGGCGTGGATGGGCTCAGCCGCAGAGCGGAGATGCTGGAGTTCTGGATACACGTTGCTGAGGTGAGATGCTCCGCGTTCCAGATCCGGTGCGATGCTGAGATGCTGCTATCAGGGATGCAAGGAGCTCTGCAACTTCTCGTCATTGAGTGGGATCACGGCGGCCCTCTCTGATCCCGCGATCGCTCGTTCACAGTTCCTCTGGGCCCATCTACCACGTGGGACACAACAAGAGGCGATGGCGCTGCTCAACGAGCCCGCAGGTGACCAGTTACCCTACTGCGCACAGCAGGAATCCGTCGACGGGCCGTGCGTCCCGTACGTCGAGCCGTACCTCGCGCTGGTCGCGCACGTCAGGGAGCACTTCCCGGACACGCTGCCCTCGCCGGAGACGGAGCAGCAGCTGATCCACTTCGCGAAGCGGGAGAAGTGGTACGGCGCGGTGCAGGAGATGCTGCGGCACCAGGCGCACGCGTACGACTTCGCGGAGGACCCGCAGACGGCGGAGTTCGTCGAGGCGAACGTGACGAGCATCGCGCAGGACCAGAACTTTGGCGCGCTGCCCCACCAGAGCGAGCTGGACATCGCGAATCTGAAGAAGGTACTTGAGTCGTTGCCTTGATGTGCTCCCTCTCGCCCCTGGGTTGGTGTGTAACTTATTCTGTTAACGTGGCGAATATGCCTCTCTGCTCGGAAGGATCACTCGATATACTTACTCTCTCTTTGGACTGATCATGGACATCGCGATATCCTGCATACTCTTGGTGTAGCTGCTTCCTCTTCACACATACAACAACGTTGTTCGCCATTGCGGTCGCTAAATGCAACCCAATCTCTTGTCCGAAAGGGAAAGAAACGAAGCACCCCGAAGCCGCGCTAGGGCAGCGATATGTAGTAACACTGACGCCACTTGCGCGATGAAATCCGCTCAGACAGGGCGATTAACGCTGAACTTTTCGACGAAGGCAAAAGGACGAATCAGCATTGTTAACCATACATACTCGAAGTGCCGCCACCGATGGCGGTGATATCCTTGCTCACGTTTTGCGAAATCAGCAGTGTAGTAGGCAAGCCGTGGACGTTGCCCGTAGCCCGACACAGCGACGCGTACATGGTGTGATACCGATGTCCTGAGGGTTGGTGATGTACACGATATAATACAAGAATCTGCAGCGTGAACGGTACTTGCACTGAGGGGAGTGGGGCGAGACCGTAATGAAGCTGACAGAGCTGGCTTGGTCAACGTAGAGACTGTGATGATAGACTAATACTGTCTTGACACTGCCTTAAACCAGTCGTCCTCAGCCAAACTCTCAGCGCAATGGCTCACCTACATAAGTGCACATCAGTCGTCAGGAAGTGATATGCTACTAGTAGCCAACGAGTTTCAGACATACCCAATGTGCCAGGATTGCAACGATCATGTCTACGCTATGCTCAATGACAAAGTCTGTGTGTCGTAATCGGTGTAATTCGTCTTGATCTCGTACCGCTGAGATGCCCAATATCGTCCGCCAACGAAGTTGTCGTTCAGCTCTAGCAACAAGAAAATCCAAGCTCTGCCGTTGGTTATTGTACCGCGGATGTGCCGTGACCTGTAATCCGTCTCATAAATCAGGCTCATAGGAATCAAAGGCGACCGTGTAGGGCGTACTTCAAACGTTTTGCACAAGCTTGCATCTCCACCATGACTTGAGGAATATGGTCGACCAAGTCCTCGTTCTGGCCCTTTGCTTCTGCCACAAAAAGACCTTGTACATCGAGCGGCTCCGAAGTAGCCCCAGAGCACGTGCAAAATTCTTCTCCCCCAGGATCCCAGCTGCAAGCGGACACATAGTCAGTAGAGGCCACTCTATTCGTCAGCATATAAGTGCATACAAGCTATGCCTTCGTCGACGAAAAAGAGAACATAGTCGTTGTGGCCACCGATGGAGACTTTAGGAGGTTCCGTGGCGACGATCTCATCAGCGGCGAAGACTTCCCCTCCGATAATAAGTCGCTTGCTGCCTTCAATCATAGCTGTAACTCGAAATAGAACACTATCAATCCACAGGCGTGCGAGAGCTTCCGACTGTGTAGTAATAGTTCATCAGTAGTAATTCATGCAAGGCAACAGGAAGACAGACCTCAGACAAAGTATGTTGCAAAGAAAGTTCAACGTTGCATATAAGTTGCGCGATGACATGACATGCTCGGCTGCACTGCTGCGGGCTTGTTGGATTTTCTCTTGGATAACATCGTCGGGAAGATTCCTTGCAGTCTACCGGCAGACTTGATGTCGATTTTTGAAAGAGGGCTTGGTCGACAGCAGAGAAGCCCAAACCTAATATCTCACAGATCAGTTTGAGGGAGAGACAGTGAATAATCGGTGCGCACCTTTGTCGCATCGAGCCTGGACTCCATAAGGGATATGAACGAGTCTACGGCATCAATGTCCGTCCCTTCTGCCTCACCATCACTTGCGTCGGGTCCCCCGTCGAGTTTTTCTCACCATTGCTTGACGAACTGAAGCGCCAAGACAGCTCGACGGTATCGAGACCCGAGATCTTCTTGCGTTTAGCCATCAACTGATGCAAGCACAATTACACTTCAGCGAGGAGACACGCCGCCAATCTGTACTGGTGGCGACATACAGTAAGTGGCTAGTAGCTCTTCCAGCGCTCCCTTGTCGCCGAGAGTCGGGCAGGTCGGGTGTTTTGAATCGTACGGGCGTTTCCGAAACGCGGCGAAGTGGGAGGATGTACTTACAATCTCGCAATGGGCTCCTTAGAAGGAGGAAATCATGGTACAGTGAGTAGTCTGTGTCTGGGTCTTACAATCGCCAGCAACCAATATACGCGCGGCGCCTCCGAGACTAACTGAAGCACGCCTCCAGAGTCAATCATTGATCTAAACAGCCTCAGCGAGTCAAAAGCAACACCGGCAACCTGGCATCGATAATGCTGTTCTGGTAGGTCCATATAATACTGAGAATACGACGATGTGAACCTATAGTACAGAAAGTGGTAGAACAGTGTGAAGATGAGGTCTAGCAAAGCGACGGCGTGGGTAAGTAGAACGGAGAGACGACGGACCGGCGCAACAGGCACCAGGGGACCACGGGAGCTCAAGAACGCTCAGCAGTTGCATGGCTCGTTCTGGCCTGGGGCAGCGCTGGCTTGCTTGTTCAGATCAACGCCAGATCTCCCCGACGGACCCGCCCGGCCACCCGCTCTTGCGGACGCTGGCGCGTTCTGCGGTAGCTTCTTGGCTAAGCATGGTGTAAGCGTGTGATCGGACGAAACTCGTGGTGGAACCTACCAATGGCAGTGAAGATCTCTTGCACACCCTCGCCGGACTTAGCACTAGTCTCGCCCCACATGAGCCCTCCTCGTCTGCGTACTTCTGTGCTTCCTCCTGCGAGACCTGGCGTCGGGCGGACAAGTCTGCTTTGTTGCCGCAGAGAGCAATGACGATGGAAGGGTCTGCTTGGCGCTGGAGCTCGCGAATCCATGAACGGGCCTTCTCTAGAGATGCGGACTGCGTGATGTCGTAGACGACTACTGCGCAATTTGCGTTGCGGTAGTACATGGGAGCCTGGCTGGTCAGTCAGTATCTTGTATTGTTGACTGGTACAGACGAGGGTGACATACGAGAGACTGCGAAGTACATGAGTGACTGCGTGCTGGACTACGGCAAGACACGTACCTTATACCGTTCTTGACCAGCGGTATCCCTGGGCGTGCATTTAGGGAGGTGAATCATGCTCTTTCAATAGAATACTAACCAAATCTCAAACTTGACCGTTGTCTGGTCTTCGAGCGTGACAGTCTGCGTCAAGAAGGCAGCTGGGATGCACTGAGCTCAGCCGCCTCCACGTAGTCATGATCTAGGCACCACATACCGCCAATAGTGCTTTCCCGGTAGTCATCGAACTGGTCCTTCACGAAACGCAACACCAGACTGTAAGGTGACAACGTTAGCTCTTGTGGCACGATGAATACGGCACGAGTTACCTGGACTTGCCGACAGCAGACTCTCCTGCATGCACACGACCGTCGCTAAGCGAGGCCCACGTCACCCAGCAAAGATGTACGCACCGAGAAGAACAAGCTTGAACTGCAGCTGCTTAGACATGGCGAGGAGGGGGATATACGAGCCTGCAGAACGATACGATATGGCCGCAGGGCGCAGCGTCAGCGGTGCACCTCGAGGAGCGGGCCCAAAGAGGAAGGTTTCCCACGGCGCTATGTCCGTATGCGCCGAGCAGTTTTCGCTCGTTTCGCTATCGTCCTTGTATTCCGACCGTCACTGTCTCGCGGGTGTGGCCATCTGCTACACTGCTCTGCCTCTCACTCTGTGTCTGTTGTGAACAACATCTGCTCCGCGTCGATCCAGTCGAGCAATCCGACGAGCGTGCTGGTCATCTGAACTTGAAAACAGCTTTGAAGCACTTCTGAAATACATCGCTGAGATCGCCCCTCGTCCACCCGTTTCACCCTCAACATCGTGACAATGAATCGCTACAATCCTTATCAAACCCCACACGAAAGTCCACAGTCACGAAGAGGAGGCCCTCCGAACGGTTTTGGGCCTGACAGATCACACCGCTTCGACTCGGGCGCCCCTCCCCGTGGTAGAGGGTTTGGCCGTGGCCGCGGCCGCGGGCGAGGCGATTGGCATGGTCACAGCGGTGGCCAATACGGTGGCAGTCATGATGGAGGGTTTACCTCATACGATCAGGGTCCTCCGCAAGGAGGGGACATGGGAAGCTTTAACAGCAGCTACGACTCTACGTCCGGGCAAGATACCTTCTATCAGAACGGCAACTTCGATGCGAGCGGACCTGGACAGTACGGTCAGGGCTATGGCGACAACTTTGAAGGTGCGCTCAGTTAAGCCATGTTGAACCCACATATCCAGTATCTCGGCCTTGAGGCCAATGGGAGCACCTCAGAGACCAGGTTGGGTCGGCCTGCCTTCATGCCTCGTAGCTTGCACGCTGCGATGATGTTAGTCACGGCGTGAGCTCATCCTACGGACAACAGTCTCTTCAGCTCGGCTTCGTTCAAGGTTTCGAGTCCTCCATTACTTGTCCTCTTCTACGACTCCTCGGACATGGAATACAGCACGGTCTGAGCTGAGGTCCTGTGGCGTTCTCGTAACCGGCCCTGGCTTCAAGGCAGTTGGCACTCGCGCGAAACCCTTCTTCGTATCTGCACTTTGCTCGGCCTTCCAGCCACGGTATGCATGACAGTGTTCTCACCCGTTGAATTTCTCCGTTAGACGATTCAGGTGGTTATGACCAGAGTGGCTTTGGAGGGCGTCCTAAACGTGTCCAGCGTCCAAGGGAGGAAAAGGTGCATGACTCAATAATTGAGGATCGCATACAGCGAGAGCGCCCCTGTCGTACACTCTTCATTCGTAACATTAAGGCAAGTCTTGTTTGGGGTTCCGACGAAGTTTCGGCCGCCTTGCCTGAGCTAAGCTGATCAAATGACTGGTTAATACACAGTACGAGACGAGCAGTGACCACGTCCGCGGCTTATTTGAGGAGCATGGCGAGATCAAGACGTTCTTTGATTTGATCGCTAATCGGGGGATGGTGTTCGTCACTTACGTGAGTTGGCCCTTGTGGTTCTCATTGGGAGCGAGCTAAGGATGACCTCTTGTAACTCTAGTATGATCTGCGTGCTGCAGAACGAGCCAGGGAAAGACTGCAAGGCTCGGAGATAAGCAGCCGTCCGGTAAGCTTAGCGTCAGCCATGAGGTTGGCCTCGTTGTTGAGAATCTGTGTGCAGATCGATGTCCATTACTCGTTGCCCCGCGACGACGGTGGAAGAGGGGCCGAGAAAGACAAACAGCAAGTAAGCCCCGACTTCTGTTTGTTCGACATGCGAGGATTCTCACCAGCCTTTAACTATAGCAGCTGCAGGGAACACTCATAGTGACTCTAAGGAATTCTGCTTCAGGTCAGCCGATTGATGACAACGAAGTCCGCCGGAAGTTTCAGCAATTCGGTGATGTCAAGTCTGTAAGGCCGGCAGGGGATCGTATGGAGTACGTAAAATAACACGGAGAGGGGATGATCGCTGATCCTCGTGTTAGCCAACGCTTCGTTGAGTTCTACGATACAAGGGTACGTTTTTGTGACTCGCCTATTGAGAAGCTGCTGAGCGCGTGTCCCTAGGCAAGCGATGAGGCCCATGATCGGCTACGCCACCAAGGACTGCAAGATGGTGTAATGGAGATCGTCTTCGCAGCTCAGGAAGAGGACGAACACGGTGCCTCGCCAAGGTGAGTGTGAGTCGCATGTCCAGGGAGTCTTCTGACCATTCGTGACAGGCGCGAGGAACGAGGGGGTTACGATCGAGGACGAGAATGGGAAGGACCTTCGCCACGCGGTCGTCGTGGTGGTCGTGGTGGAGGTCGTGGTAGGGGTCGCGGCAGTTATGGAGGGGATGACTGGGAGCGTCGTGGGGATTGGGGCAGAGATCGTGACAGAGAGCGTCCCTATGAGGGCGATTATTCTGGTGGCCGTGGTGGCGGTAGAGGACGTGGTGGCGGTTATGGTGGTGGCAAGTTTGATGGTAGAGGCCCTGGCGGGTATGGTGGTCCCGGTCCGTCCGGACCTCCTGGGCCACCCGGCCCTCCCAGCTATGGCGGTGGTCCGCCTTCACCTTACACTCAAGGTCCTCCACCAGCTCCGGTAAGTGGCACACTATTTCTGGCAGATGTATCACTCACTGCCTCGTACAGCCTGTTGATGAACGTCTTGAACAGGCCAAGAAGGTCCAGCAGGTAAGCTCGTACTAATCATTCCTCATCATGGTGCTCATACTGCTTGTGTAGCTGCTGGCAGCTTTGAAACAGCCTGGGGCTATGTCCGGTGGGGCATTGGGCAATCCGCCTCCCGCGTCGGCACCACCCCCACCGGGGATGCCACCAATGCCACCCCAGCCACCACCCCCAAGCAATCATTACTATGCTGCGCCTCCTTCCATGCCTCCCTTCCCTCCGAATGCAGCTCCACCATCTGCAACAGCGAGTTCGTATCCAGGGATGGCGCACCAGAATTCTACACCGCAACCTCCCCCGCCGCCACCCGCTCTGGTTGGCCTGGCCCCGAACCTGCTCGCTCTGCTGCAGCAAAACAGCCAAGCGCAGCAACGTCCACAACAGCATCAGCAGCAGGCGCCGCCCCCGATGTCTTACGGTATGCCACAACAGCAAATGATGCAGCCGAATCCGCCGCCCCCTGGTATGCCTCAGATGTCTCACAACTCTCAACCAAGTTATCAGCAGCTCATGGCTACCTGGTAAGTAAGCAGGACACATTATATTCTGGTGCTGATGATCCTTACAGCAGGGACAGAAACCCGGGCAGTAACCAGACATCGAAGCTGGCTGGTCCTCGCTTGCGCGCAAACTTTGAACTTATTTTATTCTAGTCACCATTACTGTCCATAGCTTTCTTCGTCGCCTCTGGGTGCATGGCTTTCCTGATTGGCCGAACTGTCTCTGAGCTCGCGGACGTATGAAGTATGCAGTAGTTGTTGCCTCAGTTCGTTATGTCTAAGTAGTGCTAGTACTAGCTGACTGCGATGTGTGGTGTCTGTAGGCTAGTTGACCTGTGATTCCTCCTAACCTGTTGCGGTGCGCATGGGTTGAAGGAATTGTCGGCATTCGGAGAGTACGCTGCGTGGGGTGGCCGGGGGCCATGACGCGTCGGTTACGGGACGCGCCTGTGGCGCGGCGAGTGCGGCCACCACCTCTCCCGTCGTCGCACCAATGCTCAACCTGTCCAACCTGCGCAATCTCCTCTCGCAAGTGCTCGCACTGCCTGAGCTGCACACGGTTGCCCTCTTTACGCCGGAGGGTCAACTCGTTTCCTTTGCCGCGGATCCGCATAGACCCAAGGACAATGTACGCGTCATCGTCGGGTTGGGCGGGGAAGTTTGGAAGGAGACAAGGCAGCAGGACGCTGGGATGGTCGATACTGAGGTACGTCCTTGTTGTCTTGACGTGATATTGTGCGATATCTCACATGGCCTGGAAAACAGTAGGACGCGTCGTTGTGTTACCCATCGACGAAGAACAGTACGATGATGACGCCACAGAGAATGGCACGGGCGACAAGGATCCCGTCATGCTTTTGGCTCTGAATAGTACCTCATCCGTGTCTTGGGAAGAGCTGGAGCTGAAGGTGACAATGATTCGTACGTTTGAAACACTGGCTGATGCGATTCTTCGAAGGCACGAGAATTGGCGAAGCATCTCCGGAAGCCAGTCTCAGAACTACGGGGGCGTCTCGCTGCCGCACCTGTGCTGCACGTCGGCCCACGTCCTGAACGCACAGCTCGGTGATACGTCATATACGACGTTTCGCTTGCTCAGGTACCGCAGTTACTTGCTCGGGTCTGCAACAATGCGTATGCGATGACGGTACAGTACGACAGGCCGGGCCTCTCGGGGATTTCAGGGCTGGCTTGATCAGCCAATGAGAGGTGTTGCTTTACTATTTACTACTAGTACGTCGCCTTTGCTGCCCCACCGAACTCGCATACTTTTGGAGCGATAGCACGCCCGTTGCGAGGGCTCGAAATCGGAGGAATAGTATCAGCCTTCGAGAAGGCATCAAGCTTTCGTTTCTCTTCGCCTACTCTAATTGAATAGTGCCTATTGAGGCATGTGTGAATATTATCTGGTAGTGTTATACTGGCGATAGAGTTGGTGTGCAAACACTGGGGTTGTTGGAAGGCGACAGTAGTGCCTGAATAGTGCGACGTCTCGGATAAAGGCGCCAAATTCTCGGTTACAATCTCCGGCGAGTCTGCGTCACAGCGCCCGACGGCTTCGGGACGCCTAGCTCGCCCGTTCAAGTCGACCTCCGAACCCATCCCTCTCTGCCACGGTCCCCGACGCGCTGCCATAGCGTCCTGCTGGTCATGCGACGCTGGTTGGCACCAAAAGTACGCGTGTCTAGCACGATCCCTAGACGAACATACGCGGTCACGCGGGCTTGCCGAAAATACAGCGCACAGGCTCAGCAGCCAAGGTCGCTTCCAACTCAACATGGCGAGCCTACGAGTCCCATACCGCCACCCTCTAATGTACAGCCCGGCTCTGGTCGCCCAGACCCCTATAAACTACTAGCACCCCAACTGGAACATCTCCGCCAAACATTGCTCAACCTCTTGGGTTCCGCACATCCCGGGCTCTCCGAAATAGCGAAGTACTACTTCCTGCATCCCTCAAAACAACTCAGGCCTCTGCTTGTGCTATTGTTCTCGCAGGCTACAATGGAATGGGTGGCGGTTGGCACGTCAAACAGTGGGCGGCGGAATGCGAGGGTGCGGGCGGGCGGACAGAAGAGCTGGACAGACCACTCACGCGAGCGGACGTGTTGAACGACTTCAATCCCAACATGCCGGACTACACTGCGTCCTTCGAGGCGTCTTCTCCATCAGGCCACCACGGCCACCGCGCCAGCCACCCCTTCCGCCGCCCGAGGCGTTGAGCAACGGCGCACCGGCACTCTCGTCCCCCTCTGCCTGCTCCCCACCAAATCCGCCTCGCACAGATTGTGGAGATGATCCATGTCGCGTCCCTTCTGCATGACGACGTCATCGACAAGTCGCCCCTGCGCCGCGGTGTAGCTTCTGCTCCGGTCGCATTTGGGAACAAGCTCTCCGTCCTTGCAGGCGACTTCCTCCTGGGTCGTACCAGTGCGGCGCTGTCGCGTCTCGGTGACAGCGAGGTCGTCGAGCTCATTGCCAGCGTCATTGCGAACCTTGTGGAGGGCGAGATCTTGCAGCTGAAGTCTGTACACGGCGAGGAGCTGGGCCTTAAGGGTGCACCGAGCGCGACCGGGGACTACTTCAACATTTATCTCCAGAAGACGTACATGAAGACGGCTAGCTTGATGGCGAAGGGTGTGCGAGCAGCGACGGTGCTTGGCGGATGCAGAGAGGGCGAGGTTTGGAAGGAGGTCGCGTATGCGTATGGTCGCAACCTCGGCATTGCATTCCAGGTAATGTGGCTCCGTGGTTTGTGCAGTGTGATTGAACTCACCATAGCTTCATACAGCTCGTGGACGACATCCTTGACTATGAGTCTGGCGAAGCAGCCTTGGGTAAACCAGGGGGGGCCGATTTGAAGCTAGGTCTCGCGACAGGGCCTGCGCTCTTCGCTTGGGAGGAGCACCCAGAGATGGGACCCTTGATAAAGCGAAAGTTCTCCCAAGAAGGCGATGTCGAACTTGTAAGTGTATCTTAACTCGAACCCGAGCTTGACCAATCCTGATCAATTCCATTCCAGGCCCGAGACCTCGTACGTCGATCTTCAGGCGTCGAGCGCACCCGCGACCTCGCTCTGCGACACGCAGACAAGGCGCGCGGGTGTTAGCGATGCTCCCGGACAGCGATGCGAAGGGTGCGCTGGAGGTCTTGACGGAGCGGGTGGTGAAACGGACGTGGTAATGAGAGACAATCCACGGAGCGCCAGCGAAGAATACTGTACACGGACGCTATTCTACACCGCCCGGTAACCTACTCCCACCTCCAAGTTCTTGTTTTGTCTTTTCAGACAAGAATGGTCAGCTCGGGTGACCTGCCGTTTGGTAGATAATTAATCTCTGCTACCGCCATTTCTGCAAAATGAGTACGTCGGGGTGTCAGAGGGCACAGCTAGCGCGGGAGTGCACGGTTGTCGCGCCGCGTCTTTCCTCTTCCCCGTCCTCCATCTTCACTCAGACCAGGACGACATTGCTGCATACATTCTGTCCTCAACACTCTGAAGACGGTCTTCAAGGCAGCGAACGATAGTGAACAATACCCAGCATGGCCAGGACAACAGCTCACACCGAACCCTCCGCCCCTCGCAAGCGGGCTCAAGCCTCCAAAGCCCCCAAGGATGCATCCGACCCACCAGCGGACGAGAAGAAAATAGGACGTCCGTCCACGTCCAACACGCGCAAGCGAGTCAACATCGACAGTCTGGCGTCGCGTTTGGGTCCAGAAATCGTGACGGAACTCGAGGCTCTGATCGTCCCGGGCAGCAAGGAGATGCCGTCCTTCGCGGAGCGACAGACCATCCAGAGGCGATTCAACCTTAATCGCCGGCATATATACGACTGGTACCATACCAAGGGGCTGAGGGTCGCCAGGGAGGACGCGCGCACTGAAGGAGCACAGTCTACGCCAGTGCGCTCGCAGGTGATGTTTAGCTCTCGTCTGGAACTGCAGCGGTTGGACTGACGAGTCACAGAGGGAAGTACGGCTGAAGGGTGGTCCCTCGTCCACTCCGGACATGACCTTCGACGCCAGTGAGGACGGTGACAGCAGCTTCTCGAGCCCGAACCTCCTCCTGACGCCTGCGCAACACGGAACCGATCCTGTCGGTGCGTATGGCGAATACGCGTCCTTCAGCAGCGGGAACGATGTTCCTTTGAACAACTGGTATTACTACTATGGACCGTCTGTCTCTGGTCGGCCGGACTTTCAGACCAAGCAACCCTTCGTAACGTCTGCGAGCACTACGCCTATCATACCTGCTACTGTGCCAACTCCGTCTCTTCCCTCGGGAGGTTTCCAGTCTGGTCAAGTAGTCGAGGCTTCAGGCAACATCCAACACGCAGGGCGTACCGCAGTGGACGAACATGAAGAGAACGTAGAACTGGCTTGCCTCCGGATCTCTCTGGCCTACTCTCGGGGTCGGAACGTCAAGCGCTCTATGACAGCATTTCTGGTATTCTGGGTCCTTCGAACGGGATCGAGGAGTCTGTCGGCACGTACAAAGCATATATGCAGCACCAGAACCAGATTTACTACGAGAGTCTCTTGCCTAGTCCTTCCCACTCTTCTGTCGCTGAAAATAACACTTCTGTGGCCACGAACCCTTCTGTTCTACGTGCTTCTCAGGCTGGACTGGACGTCGGCTCGCTCCCTCAGCAGAACCCTCTCGGCTTAGGCATGTCCACGCCGTACGTGGTGTACCCCATCGGGCCTCTAGCTACCCACGGACCTTCTCAGTTCCAGCAAGACGAGAACCGGAAGCCGAGCGGTGGCTCGACCCCTGCCATCCCGAACACTGGCCCTACTTCTCTCGCCTATCTGCCACGCCGTCCCCGCGAGCTTGAATCCGTCTAGGTTCGGCACGCCCCATGGCTTCGCACACCCTGGCGCCGCCCTCGAGCTTGGAGACATCCTTGAGAGCCCGCTCCTCAGGTCCCGCAACCCCAGCACGGTCGGGCACGCGCTGTATGCGGTCAACCCCGTGCAGGCCCATTCGTGGTACCCCGCTCAGGCATACGCAGAGGCTGCGAATCCTGTCTATCGCCCTCATATGCCGACGTGGCAGCTGCCGTACATGCCCCCGGTCCCGAGTGTGCCGTACGGAGGGCAGTGGGAGCGCGGAAACTTCACGGCAATGCTGCAGGATGCTATACCGGTGGTGCCTGCGGATTCTGCGGCATCGCTGGGGAGTAGTCAAGAGACGACTAAGGGCAGGCGTCAAGACTCTGGTGGGCAGCGCGGCGGACGGATGAGGACCAGTTCCTGCGGGGTGTAGGACTCAGCCGTCGAGCTTTCAAGCAGCGACCACGATCACTTCAAATTTCTATACTTCGCGTCGACATTCTTTTCTGTGTTTCGTGTTTGTTCTCCTGGGTGTAAGGTTGTTTTAAAAAGATCCGTCCTCGCCTGTCTCCAATCAGTAAGGTACGACACTTTGGTTAATAGTGGATTTGTGATGGATGCATACGTCCTGGCATTGTCATTGTAGTAACCGTCCTCGAACGAGTGTCTTTCATAGCGTACATTGTATTCTTCTACAGTCCAAAAGTAAATGAAGGAATTGATACGACGCTGAGAATGCCGGAGACAACCACGCGCGGCAGACACACATGTACGTCTGATCCTGCTCCTGTCCCATATGATGTGCGGTGTTGATGTTTCCCCGCGCATGCGGCCATCCGTACGAGCCGACTTGATCCAGCACAGGTCGCGACGGCAAGGCTGCGGGCGATCCACTCGCACGCTCGTCGACAGGTTGCTGTCATCAACGGTGCGTATGGTGCGTTTCCCAGTTGGGAAGGTGACATTCCGCATTCGTCGAAGGATCGCTTCGCAGATGTCGAAGCAACGGTTCGATGATATCAGTGCGATGCTCCACCTGTGCTTCTGGGGCGGCCGTGGATGTATAAAAGGCGGTCGTCGCTCGTCGTCGTGTCTGCTGCTCTCTCGCTCAACACTGACGTGACTCTGGGCTGTTGCTACAGCCGCCCTCGCGGCATGGTCACGGTGTGCCTCGACTTGTCCTTGGCTCGTCTCCAGCACGATAGGGAGGCCGTCTGGATCTGTCGATCAACAGCGTACTGCCTTGGACTAGCCGTCTCGGCCTCTCGGCTTGCATCCGCCTGCCTGCGCAGAGTCTGCCAAGCTGGCTGGATGGGCATACTGTATCGACCACTCCTGCGAACTTGCTGAGACTTGCTGTATAGTCTCTTTTGTTGCTTCCACGACGACATACCCCATGACCATAGTCAGTACTCAGTACTAAGTACTCAGGCTCTAGGGCAAGATACCATCTTTCGCAGCGACTGCGCTCCGCACGGTATTGTTGTATGCTACCACGCGTACACGCGCGTTTGCTACTAGTAGCTCAAGGCGGCGGTCTTTCGTCTCTGCCGCCATATGGCCCTCTTCTTTCCCCTTGGCTCAGAACATACCAACGACAATACTTGGCCGGGAACCTGGAACCGGTGACCCATCATGCTGTCAGTGATCGAGACTCGTTGACAGGATTGTGATGCTAATGGTGATGCTCCTCTATGCTGAGTCTGTCTGTCAATGCATTACGAGGGCACAGCAGCGTGGACAGACGCGGAGTCGCTGGTATGCACCGCTTATAATGAAGCGGCGGCCTGGATAGCCTCCTTCCAACTCTACTGTGAGCAGCCTGTGCTGTACATTCGTTTCTTCCTTGCCAAACTCCTGGCGTCCTTTTAATTCACAGATTATGCTCTCCGGGACTCTGCTCACCGCTAGCCTTCTCAGCGCGCTCGTTACCTCTCTACCTGGTGCTCTGTCCCTAGTGCTCGACAAACGGGCTGTGGCTGGCCCTGTCATCGACCATAATTTCCCTGATCCGGGCCTCATACGTACCTCGGATGGCGTATGGTATGCCTACTCAACCAGTTCCGGAGGCAAGAATATCCCGGTGGCCACTTCACGGACTTCAACACCTGGCCATCGTCGGTGAGGCTTCAGCTGTCTCGAATTAATGTTGCGCGTCCTCAACGGAGGCACGGCGCGTCGTAGGCGATGCATTGCCCAACGCTGGTGACTGGGTCGATTCCAGCGACGCCGGTCTGTGGGCTCCTGACGTCAGGGAGATTACCGCTGGGAACTACGTGATGTACTACAGCGTGAAACCAACCTCTGTACGTGCTTTGCAATAGTACTTCGAAAACGCTCTCCGCTGACAGCGCACTCTTGCGCTTTACGAGATTAGGCTGCCCATCGCTGCGTCGCAGCCGCCACGGCGACCTCGCCGACTGGACCCTTCACTGCTCCCAGCGGTCCCCTATTCTGCGACGACAACGAGGGCGGTGTGATCGACATTTCTGGTTTCGAGGCGCCCGGCGGTGGCTTGTACATCGTCTGGAAAGTGGATGGCAACTCCATCGGCAGCAGCAACACCCCGATCCGCCTGCGACACGTCGGCGCGAACGGTTACACCGTCGAGGGCGACGTGTACACCCTCATTGACCGCAGCGCAGCCGACGGACCACTGGTCGAGGCACCTTCGCTAGTCTACTGGGATGGGTGAGTGCTCGGCCTGAGTGTCAGCTCTTGGATATGCAGTATGATTCTTATAGCGCCCCACGCAGATGGTACTACCTCTTCTTCTCGTCGAACGTCTACTCGTCGACCTACTACGATATTTCCTATGCTGTCTCGCAGAGCGTAACGGGCCCGTACACCAAGGTCCAGGCCCCCGACGCGCCCTTCCTCGTCACCGGCGATGACGGGCTCACCGCGCCCGGCGGCGCGACTGTCATCAACGTCCTCAGTCAGTCTGCCCCATCTTCTCGCGCTTTACGTCCGCTAACGTCTTCTGTGCGTTGTACTTGACCTAGACCAGCACGTCAACATGGTCTTCCACGCTGACCTGAACGGCGAGAACACCCACGGCGGCCGCGGGATGTACTCCGCCGCGAGCATCTGCCTAAAAGGCGGCGTGGCCACGGTTTCGTGCTGATCGCTGTTCACGGATGCTTTGGGACAATCGATTAATTTATTCTTGGTTCGGGTAATATCACAACGGAAGTCTGAAGGAACCACGTACAGCTTCGCGGTTAGTCTGCGCTTTGTCAGACGCGGCTGTCCATATGGAAGGTCGAAGGTGAGTAGCATGGCGGCGAAGCGAGAGTGGGAGAGCTTATTCAGAGGCGTGAGCATCGCAGGCTTCGCGGACAGAGTACTGCGAACTTGAGTGTCAGCGTCGGCTTCTGACTTAACGTACGCGACACAACTGATCTGCAGCTGGTGGCTGGAATCGTCTTATGGACCATGGCAGAATAAACAGGCTCGAACGGATATATGGAATCGAAGGTAATATTGCAGTCGGCCCGCCCCAGGAACGTCCCCCTAGTGCTGTAGATGCTATTTCAGGCCGTTATATTGATTAGTGCCGTTCACCTTAAACTTCCTTCGAACGGACTCTGCGCATGCTATGCGATATAGTCAACATCTGGTCTTTTCCAGTAAACGAAGGTCAGATAGGCTGCCGACGCAAAGGCACCGGTACTCACTCAGATCGGACCGGTTGATGATTGGTGTCCTTAGTCTCAACGTCCCTCGACCCGGACGGAGTCACGAAATCGTCCTGAATGGTACTCGTCGATCGTTGGTTCGCTCCACTTCCAAGACATGGAATAATGGAAATGTGTGTGGACCCGAGTTGCAGGTCTCCGACCCGTGGCAATCACCGGCGTCGGTGTGGAACATGTACATTTGACATGTTGCAGAGACGTGGACGCGCATCCAGTCCGTGAACAGATGTTTCCGTTTCGACGCGTGCTGGTCCACTGGCGAGCACGTTCATGGTGAAAGCTGGCGCGTAGTCATTTGGGTCCCGATGACATCGAGCGTAAATACTGACCGCAGCGTAGACGTCGCTGGAGGGCAGACATCGCGCCAAATTCATCACGGATGGTCTAATGTCGTTTGCGCCGTACGTCCGCACCTATCGCGCGAATTCGAACTACAGCTGTACATCGACGCCGCCACCGCTGGCGTCCCAGTCCGATCTATCTATCCTGCAAGACGGATCAAACGACAACCACAATCAAACCCGGAGCTGCACGCAGTTGAACACGCACCTACAAACGCTCGAGATTGGAAAAGTGAGAGAACGCGTCTCGCCACAATATGCAATGAGTAAGCCCAGCGGTTCGCCTAATACAGTGAGACGAAGGCTTTGTCGCTAGTGTGGCGCTACCCGGTGAGAGGAGGTTTCCGTGGGCGCGATGTCCTAAACATGCTCAACCGGGAGTGATCTACCCAACACGGATGCAAATGTCCATCGTCCGAGCGATGACCCCGGGTCGGTGTTCAGTGATGCTGCGGCCGCAAAGAGGTCTTCAAGTTCTCGATGGAGGATCGAGGACTCCATGATCCGCGGCGTCTACCAGACTTCGGCGAACCGCACTGCAGTTGAAATCGGTAGGTCAGACCACACTCGGAACATGATCGTAGGACCGGGACAGAGGCATCGACGATAACCGGGCGTTCTCGAGGACGCAGCCTAGGTCGATGCGGGAAGACGGTCGTATAGGAAGAGCCCATCGAAGCGCTGTGGGTGTGTTGCGAGAAGCTCGAGGCGACCGCACACAAGCGCAAGAAGGGGCAGTGAATGGGACTCTGACAGGGAATTCGAAGTGGACTCCATCGCGCTGAATACCTCTCGATCGTCCATTCAATCGATGTCTACGATGGATCGTGCATCGTTCCATGCCAGCGGCTTGTGTGCATGCTCGATTGAAGGGCAAGGGTCACCTGACAGATCGCGATAGTATCAGTCCTATTTGACTTCGTAGAACAGTAACTCAGCTATGTAGGACGGCGGAAACGCGTAGGCTCGGTGCTTCGAGACACAGGTTCGCCAGTGGAAGGGGGAAACGCATGTCTGCAGAGTTTTCCGGCCGTAAATTCCTCCTAGAGCAACCGGGATTCGATTGACCGTCGTCTCGCGCGGGGCTGGCTTGTGTCTGTGTCGTAGAGATCACGTCTGGCCGCCGAGTATGATCCCAGCGAAGAGGCTAGAGCGGGTTGTTTCATAGATGAGATAACGGAAATGAAGACCTTCTCTGTCCTTATCTTCATAGCGTGGTTCAAATATTGGTCGTGTGCACTGTGATGACGAACACCAGAACAGCTGGCTTGGTCAGCGCTCCCAACAAAGATGTATCGCCGACCAAACTTACCTGGTCACAGCCTGAGGGTTTCGTATCCTCGTGGATATCAAGGTTAGCGTTCACCGGTCGCCCACAAGGAGACTAGGTTCATTGGAGCAGCCAGGGAACGTCGGAGGCTTCGTGCGGTCGTGTATATTCTGCGGTATCGTCTTGCCGTAATGGATCCCAGACATCGCTGAGACGTCATCATTACGAGCCTCAGCCTGCGACATCGACGCGAAGTTTGACCGGGGTTTTTCACTCGCAGCAGCTAGACCGCGAAACAAGGGATACGTGGAGTCCATCGTATGGGCTGACCCAAGGCCGATAAGCGCGGCCTGCCAATGAGAGCAGTGTTTGTTAGAGTACTACCAAAAGGGAGGAACATCGCGCGCCGCCCGGAGGTTGGAAGGTTAGGAAGGCCAATGCCCGTTAGCATGTCTCCACCTGCGCTGTCAGTTAACCTTCAGATTACTCGACTTCCGCCTTGCATGTGAACCTGCGGGCAATATAGGCTCGGGCGGTCATGAAGGCGCAGTCCGAGGTCTACGCCGCTCCAACACACGGGCTGTTGCATGCGGTACATGTCGGAGGCACAGCTTCAGCCCGAACCGTGTCCGGGAGTCCAGCGCTGCGTAGATGAACGGATGCCTCGGTAGAAGTCAGACTGTATACTGATAAACTCACCGATGATGTACGAGGACGCCTTCAGGCGTCGTCGAAGGCGCTGACGACCCGCGTGTCAGCGCCGCGAACATCGATGACGAAGGAGAACACACCTGAGATGACGCATGCGCTGTCGAGCTTTAGCTGGGGGCTTTCGTTCAGCCTCTGCTACCACCGAACGCATGTAGATCAAAGGCCTACTTGACTTTCATGCTTTCTGACGATATCCCGATCCATCGCATCTCGCAGTTGTCGGTCGTCCTAAGTACTTAGACCAATCAGCATGGCACGGGTGCATCGTGCATCAGGATCGAGGACGATTGTGCCTAACAACATGGCCTGCATCTCGTCCCTCTCTTCGGACGCGGCGATCATCTGCATCACAAGCAAAGTCCTAGCCCCGTTAAGGCGCATCAGGACGGAGTATCCTTGATCGGCGGGGTCATACCCGGGCCACAAGCGCAACAGCTCGGACGATGACGCACGCCGTGCGGGACCCCAAGGTTGGAAGCCTCATGTCCGTCCGTCCGGACATCGCCTTGGAAAGATGATCTGTCTGAGGCTGGTCTGAGGGAGAACTGGCAGCGATGACCGCTGTCTCAAGGTGTTGATCTATGTATTGAATCAGGATCAGCGATGTACTGTCGCAGCAGCTGCAGACATACGAAACCAATATCCAGATTGTTGCAAGGCAACCCAGTTCGCCTTCTCTGGTTGCTTGGGTCAGTCTGCGATCTTGAATCTTCTGCGAGCAGAGATATGTCTGTTCAGACGGTGAGGCGTGGCATAGATAACTGGGCGGCGTTGACCTACGAACTTGAACTGACATCATGACAACGTTGTGTCCGCCTCACAGCAACAGCACCACTGTATCATCTATATGGCAGACCACAGCATCTAGGCGGCGGCGCCATGACGAACTTCTCGCGATAACAGTCGCAGGTCCATCAACCGAGACGACCTTGCATCACTTTGTGCCGTTTGTGGCAACACGCCTCCGAGCGACAGGGCTAGTCTGCCTCGCGGTATACGCCTTGCACGCCTGCGCGTCGCAGAGTGCAGCGTGCTGGCCAAGCTCGCTGTACCTGGTGGAATCGCCGCAGGACGGAGCCTCATGCCGGTGGCTCTTGATCAGCGCGAATTCGAGAACGGCGAGTCGCTGGACAAGACGCACTCACGGATGGGGTTAGAACCTGCTGTTGAATACAATCACGCGCGCGCAGTGGGACAAGGTAGTGTCATACAATACACCTAGATTGTCCCGCATACACGCACTACACGTGTTTGTGTACCGACCGTAGAGATGCACAAAGATAGAAGGTGCGGTCGCTGAATGGCTGGTGGTTCACCTAGCCTAGAACCCGGTACGGTGGTCATGAACGGGAAGCTCAGGCCACCGGCGCGGCCACTGCACGTTGGTACAAGGTTAATGCCGCATATGCTCACTCTGCTCCCGGATCTCACGAAAGGTCCAGGACAGATTAGATATGAGTCGTGAAGCGTCGACAGCCCGGATGCTGTGTATGTCTGAATCCTATGTTGAACCCTAACAGTAATGAGACTCCGGCCCTCCGCGAGTCTCGAGTTGTCATCTGAAAGACAGCGAGTCCGAGCAGTTGGAGAGTTATGCAAACCGAGATACGACCGAAATGCTGCTCACCAGTGAATATCGGATAATGTGTATTCTTGGGCTCCTTGGTAATGCGACAAGTGAAGCGTCCAACATGATCGCCGGGGGCGCTCCTCGGATCAGGCGACATGGTCTACGCGTCAGGAAGGAGAACAGCCAGCTCACGGCGTGCAACGCCAGGCAACCGGATTCGTCAGAGAGCCTGGGATACGAAGGGACAAGGTTCCCGGTGTAATAGAAGCGCGAGACGCTTGTTCCACGAAAGGATATGCGGCAATACCGGACTGCGTAATGCGAGGTGTTCGGTGTTCGGCGGTAATCGCTGTGAACGTTGACGGATGGGTCTACCCAGGGAAAGATTACGATGGTGGACAGCTCGTCGGACCCGGACCCTGTGCTGCTGAGAAAGCCGACAAATGTGGACGAGGAGGATCGCTCAGGGAAGGTTCGCTCGGGCTCTGAGTGGCAAGACAAGCATCAGAGCGGGACAGTTAATCGTGAAGGCGGCGCCCCCCGTATTCCTGAATGCGATGGTGGCGAGTGGAGTGGTGCACACAGACGATGATGAGCAATCTGCTCGACCCGGGTCTTGTTGCGAGTCTGAATCGCACTAGCGTTGGTTCGACGGACATGAGGCGGTATCTTGGGGGCGATATCTGGCTTGATGATGGTATCATAGCATCATGAAAACAAGCCGGACGGAGACAGAACTCGATCAAATGAGTATAGCGCGCGAGGAGGATATTACGAGGAGACCTGGCTACGGCCGCTACGCAGGGCTAGGGAGGTAATGGTGGGCTGGGGCGACACGCCGCGGGCGGGTGGTACGGAAGCGACGAGCGTGGATCGCAGCGCGGTGGTCAGCAGATGGGGCACGCTCTGGAGCGAAGGCGGGTGGGAGGGTTCTGTGGGGGTAAAGGCGAGCGGGGAGGCAGGGACGAGAGGGACCCGCCGCGTGGCGGGTACATCCGAGATCATGCTGCCATATTTAGGTAATCGCTACTTATCGGCCAATTGGCGGACTAGAATTATAGCCGCGCACAACGGAAGGCGCGAAATAAGGAGACAGCCGAGTCTCGAGTGGCGTCGCCACACATATTGCCCTCATCCATCCGGACGACGCGTCTCTCCCTCCTCCTGTCCCCCCTCGCCCATCCTCCGCCGCCCAGCCATCCCCAGACCCGATAGCAAGTCCCGTCCGGCCGCACAGCGCCGCCTCGAGGCACTCTCATCTTACATGAATGTCGCGTGGGCCCGAGTGCACTGCAGTTCTGCCTCTTTTCTCACACCGGCTCAACCAAGAGGTATAAGCTTCTCCCACTCGTCACCCGCCCTTCTCGCGTTCTGTCAGTCTTGATAATCCCCTTGCTCATAATCCCTCTCGTCCAGCTCGCGACCTCGTCGCACAACGTCCCACCTGCCATGGACGGACGCGGCCGCTCTAGGGACGTCTCACCCATCGCGTTGGCCCGCAAAGCAAACGAAGAAGCGGCCCGAGCACGAACCGCAGCTTTGATCCACCCTCCAATTGATCCGTCTCTATATCTCTCCGTCCACGACGCGTCGTTGCCACACAGGCCACGCAGACGCGCCTCACCACCAGACAACATGGCCACTCCTGCACACCCGGTGGCATCCTCCTCCCGTCTGCCACCCATGTTCTCCTCCGCGTTATATCCCCCTGCAGATCCCGTGGACTACCCACCTTCCCGCACCAACTCATCCAGCACCGTCGCGTCCATCTCCCCCGAGCCTACCCCACTTGGCCCGCTAACCCCACCTGACTACAGTGACCCGCATTATAGACCCTATTACTCACCTTCCGCAACCGTGGACTACTTTGATCGCCCACCCTCTCCGCCTCGCTCCTTGAAGGACCAGATGCAGGTCGCATATGCCCTCGACGACATGCACCTGGCGAAGGTCCTTTACCTCAAGCTGCAGGGCGTCGAGGTAACCGGCGATGATGACCCTCGCATAGCCGCCGTCAAGGACGAGGACTTCTCCACCTCATTTGTCCCGTATGGCAAGCTCGAGTTGGACGAGAAGGTGGCGCGCCGATGTCGAGAGGAAGCGATGCGGGAGCGAGAGAGGAGGAGGCGGGCGCAGCGGGAGGCGAGGCTACTGGCATGCAAACACATATGGGAGGACAACGCTGCATGGCTGCACGAGGAGAACGCGAAGGTGGCAAGGCGGAAGGAAGAGGAGGCGATGCGGAGGAGGCGGGTGTCGAGAGAGGCGAGGGAACGCGAGCGTGAGCGTGAGAGGGAAGCGCGAGAGCGTGAGCTCGAGACACTCCGCCACACGAGACAGGTGCGGTTCAGCGCCCTGACACAGCGGCCATTACTCGACTACAGCACTCTGCCCCACGAGCGCTCCTCCACGCGTCCCTCTCCCTCCCGTTCTCCCGAAGAGGACCCTCTGCGATACTCCTTGCTGCCGTCCAACATCCCCCGCCATTCTCCTCCCACTTCCCTGGGTGTCTCTCCTCCCGACGATAACTCTCTTACCCTCCAACGACTCCAGCACGAGTTCGCGCAGAGTCTCAGCCGCACGGTGCGGTTCGCCGAAGTGGTAACAAGCATGCACGGACCGCTCTTCCCGGCGGACGAAGGCCCCACCCTTCGATCGCAGGCTCGTATGAGCCGATCACAACGAGAGCTCTTCGCCAGCTTGTTCGATTCGAATGACTGCGAGGATGAGCGCGCGCTTGCCAAGGGGAAGGCACGAGAAGGCACGAGGTCGAAGCGAGCAAGCATGCAAGCTGAAGCCACAGGGCGTGGATGTGTCGCATGCTCGCTCGGCATGCGATCCTCATCGTCCGTTCCTAGCAGCGGGTCGGCCATCTCCTCATCGGCGTCCACCATCACCCGTTCCAATTCTTGGTTCTCCTTCGGCAGCCGCAGCTCGGCGTCGACCGCTCTAACGACGCCTTCTTCCTCCCTGCTCTCCTTCAAGTCGCCCTCTCAGTCTCTATCGCCCATCCTGCTATCCTCTGTCCTCCACACTGAACCCGAGTCGATAAGACATTCGTGTTATCCCCGCCCTCTCGTGTCAATTCCGACGTCGGATGACCCATTACGCCCGGCTGCCACCGCCTCCGCCAGCTCCCATACAGACGCAGAGGATTCTTACCTAGCCGCGGACGTGCCCGTACCCGTGGTTCAGGCCGGCTTGCTTCCATTCCGGAACTGCAGTCTGTCGAAGATGGGCTGGTGAAGCGAGTAGGTCGTTCCGTGTCGACGCTCATGGACATGGCGGCACAGTTCCAAAGGGCGTACGTGAAGGCCACGTTATTCAGCATGGGCACCGACTTCTCTCGGTCGCGCTCTGACTCCCGTGGCCGCTCGGGCTCCCGCTCGCTTCCCCATCACCCTGGCGGACGCGCCGTGCCTCTGCACCCCTGCCCTGCGGACGGCCTGGCAAGCTGCGTGCGGAGGGCTACCGCGCGCTTGCCTTCGATGTCACTGTCTTGCTCTCTGCAACAGTGGACGACGAAGAGCTGTTTGGCACGCCCCAGCCTACGCGCACGCTCATCCCGCTCGCGCTGCGCCTCCCCGGTGCCGAGGGGTGCCTGCCATGTCACGGACGCGTCTTCGCGCCGCCGACGCAGCCCCCGCGCTCGCCGTTCCGTGTCGCCCAGCCGCAGCCGGGCACGCCGAGTCACCCGCGGCTGCGCCCCGTGGCGAACCCTGTGCTGCTCCGCCTGCAGGCGCTGCAGAACATCTGCGCTGTGCGCGCGCTCACATGGGAGGGCCGGCCGCAGGAGGGGCGCATGTGCGCGGGCAAGGAGAAGCTCGTCGGTATCGCTGGGAGGGCATCGGCGGAGCAGTCTCGGGTGGGAGGTGACCGCGATCGTGTGTTAGTGTCGGGTGGGGACGTACATACTATGGAATGGACTTTAGTTCGATCTTGCATGGAGGCGCGGACTGCAACATTACTTCCACCGCTCCCCCCCCCCTTTTCGTACCGGCTGTCGTATAGTTATCACTTAGGTTAATGCTAATCATGTCGTCGTATTAACCCCCAGCATTGTTGTATAGCATGCATGCATTGTAGATATCCATGTTCTGTATGAGATTATACCCTCGTGGTCTGAATATGTGTTTGTTCTGCATGGCGCTGAGGAGCCTGCTGCCCACAAACTCTGAATTCGCAAGGGCGGGATATCACGATAGGCGGTATGAAAGACAAACGAAGTAGGTATACGTGCGAGTCAACGAGCCGCCTCCGAATCAGGTCTGAGGAACCAAGGTGTTGCTCGCTCAGGCGAAGGTCCCGCTGAGTCCCACATCTGCGGGCTACCGCCCCTGCCCCGTTGACCGAACATTGGAGGTCGCCGATTGAAGGTTCCCCGCATAGTACCCGGCTGTTGGAACTGCGACCCACCCTGGCCGTTACTAGACAGCAGCACGCTCCCACCGCCCGCCCCGCCTAGGGGTGGCATCGGCTCGTAGCTGCCAGGTTGTGGACGTGGGAGCCCATCCCGCCTGGGCTCTCCGATCGCTGCAGCATGAAGGGAGAATGCCGCCTGTCGAGCACCGCGAGTTCGCGTGCCTCGTCTGCGAGCCAGCCGTTCGCTTCAGCCGCCGCGCGATCGATCCCGAGGAGCTTCCGTAGTTCCTCGTTCTCTTGGCCTAGCCGCGCGATCTCTGCCTCGCGCTCGAGGGCCCAGTCCTCCCGCCCGAGCAGGCTGTCGAGGAGTTCGTCCTCGTGGGGCGCACTTTCTGATGATGAGCCTTGCTCCTGGTCATTGGGTTGGTCGGATGACTCTGGGTCTTCGCCGTTGAGACTCCGGAGGAGGGCGCGGAGGTTTCGTGCGAGCTGGGTGAGGGATTCGGAGACGGCGGTGTTGTTGGACAGATCCGCCTGCATGAGGGACGTTTCGCGCGCCATGATGAGACTCTCGTAATGTTGTGCGAGTGTGAGCTCATGCCTTTGTGAGGCCATCTAATAGACGTAAGGATTAGACGACAGACACCATCAGAGGGCAGGCACACATACGGCGTGGCTTCGGAATTTGGACATGATAGTCTCCATGGTCTGCTCATACTCTTTTAGGAGCACGCTGAGCTGCCGGTTCTCATGCAGCAGCGAGTGGTTCTCAATAACGATATGCGCGTTCGTCCGCTCCAATTCAGACTCGAAGACCTCTGCAGCCGGCCACAGCGACTCAGCTTACGTCCAGTGGCATACGATACGTGTCACTCACCTTTCGAGAGATCGACGTTGAACCGCCTGAGGGAGACCCCGCTTGATACGTGGACAGCTTCATCCTAGATCACTTCGCCTGCATGACAATGCAGGTGCCGCGACGCGGGGGTGCGCACGTACCTTCAGCGTGCCGGCCTGTGTCCGGAGAGTGTTGGAAAGCTTGAAGTTGTGTGCGTTCTGCTCGCTCAGTTCGTGAAGCAGCTGCCATGCACGGACGAGGTCCGTGTCGGTGTCGTGATACATGGTGAAGAGGGTGGCCAGGGTGGAAGAGCACTACTCCGAGTCGAGCGGTACAGTAGTGGCCGTGATTTCTGAAAGGCGCTTCGCGACTGGTCACATTCTCGTTGGAGCTTCTCTTCTCACTGAGGGATACATATGGCACTCACGAATGTCGTAGAACGATCCCTTTGCTCTTGCTGGCGCGTCGGGATCCGCGTTGCTGGTCGAGCGCTGCGCTCGACGCGACCCGGCGTACGGGCAATTAAAGCTCCTTGTAAACTTACCATTTTACTAACCGAAATCTGCTTTCCGACATTATCCGGGGCGAGCGACACGGGTCCGTCTACATACGCAGCGCACTGGTACCTATACGCAAGCATTGCGCTACAGGACGACATGTTACATTCTACTGAATAATAGTTGAGGCCGACTGCGGGTTGGCATGCATCTTCCGGGGTTTCTGTGAAGATTATTATTGCGAAATAGTCGAGATAGTGGCGTGCGAACTGTTTCTGCGAGTGATGGCTGGGTGCAGTGGTGGAGGGGCTGCTCAGGCTCTTTCGCTCACCGTCTCGTGGCTATCTTCTGCTGTACAACACCATCCCCTCATTCGTTCCTCCTCCAAAGTCTCCCGCCCGCTAATATTACGACTGCTCCTTAACTCTCGCAGCTAGCCCTCCTGCTCGTCCCCGTCCGACTCGCGTCAGGTGTCATCGACTCGCCCCATCACCCATCGTTTGACTACATCGCGTCGTCCAACGGTTCTGCGTCGTCATGGCCACATCCCTCTCCCAGCTTTCGGCGTGCGTCACGCGCATCCTCTCGCTCACGGGCTTCCCAAAGGAGTTGAAGACGAAGGACATCCAGGCGGCTTTCGCTGAATGGGAGAACGTGAACGGGGGATTCAAGATTAAGTGGATTAACGATACGAGTCTCTTAATCGTTTTCAATGATGCCAACGTCGGTAAGTCCTCTCTGAGCCGCACGCCTCTCCATGGGGGGCTGGTCCATGGGCGTCGTGGCCGAAACTCATGCAACCCTATTGCACAGCCAAACGCGCTTACCTCCATGCATTGGCATTCCCTCCCGCCGGTTTCAACTCCCCCAACTCGACGCAGACGACGGTGGTTAAGCCATATGACGGCCCTGACGCTCAGGAAGTGATCAAGAATGTCAATGCGCGCCAGCACAGCGGCAACGGACGCGGCCACAACGTCCGCAACTCTGTCTCGCACAACCGCGGCGTGTCTGTGAGCACGCAGCGTGCCGGGAACAATGCGAACGGCGCCCCTCGAGACCGCGAGCCCTCGCCAACACTCCCAAATCTCCCCTCTCACCCGACTCTGAATGCGCTTATCTCGTCCTCACTCGGGAGCGATGTCACGTCCGTCGACCCGACCATAAACGACCCCGCGGTGGTTGCTGCGATGCCCGACCACGGGGCGCCGCGCATCGGCGACCCCGGCAAGAGGATGTTGGGCGCTGCGCTCGGCATGAGGCACCCCAGCCTTCCCCCTCGTGTCGTAGGCAACGGTATGGCGGATATGCAGAGGGCGATGGGTGGGCTGATCGTCGCGGAGTAAAGAAAATACCTCCCGGTAGATGCGAACAAACAGGCTTTGGAGGATTACGGGTTGGTCAGGAGACGGAGGAGCTGTGTGAAGACTGGCATCGGTCGAACTGCACTTGTCGGATGTGTGTCATATCTCCCATGCACATTCTGTGAAATCGTCGTCGTCGTCTTTCGTGTTACTCTCAACTAATCACTGGGCGCGGGGCATCCTGCGGTGTTGTTACGTTCCCTTTTATTCAGCCGCTTCCGCGCGTTTTCACATTGCATCTGTAGGATAGGCTTACATTCGGTTAGTAGAACCGGCTGCAGCAGCGCGTTGTAGTGCGTATTCTATCCGCGATATTCTCCAGTGAGCCGTCTCGGTGCGAATGGGTTACGGTACTGCCCGTGGCAAGAAACCGCTTAGTCTCGCTGACATTTGACGTCTCGCTGACAAGGACCCGACGCAATATTCAACATCGTTGAACACTGGTAATTGCATCTCTCCATTGAATATGGGCTTGCGAACTAGTGATTGAGCGCTGACTCGCGCGCCCCTAAGTAGGCCGAACGAGATGAACAGCCATGTACAGCTGATTCTGGTGTCTTGTTTCGGGTGCATTAACACTCACCGGTGTTGTAATTGAGGGCAAAGACACCGAGAATCTTCAGTAGTAACCCTGCCACATGCATGTGCTGGGGAGCAAGGGAAAGGGCTAAGCTTATAGTACAAATTCACAGTGAACTTACGCACAAGGGTGAAGGTTACGATACGTAGCGTGGTCGATTCTGTTTGAGTTCTTCTATTCGACATGCCATACGGCTGGCCTGCCCACCCATCTCACCGTGTATCCTACTGGAGCGAGCCGCTCAGCGCTCAGCATTCAACGATACCTCAACATGTTCCATAACTTCCCTTTGTTGCGGGCCTGCGGCTAGCATAGAATTGATGGCGGACTCTTGTGGGATAAAATGCATTTATGTATACGCATCTATCGCATGACATTCAACAACACGACATATTGCAAGGTGCTCATGACCTCGCCATTTCGTCGCCAGTGGGCCCAGGCTAGCTTAAATATGTACGACCTCGCAGGAGACTCGGACAGAGACGCGGGTGGCGATCGTCATCTGAGATCGGAATTGCAGAAGATCTGCTTCCGAGACGGCGAAAGTGATTGCCTTGTGCATACACACTGGCAGCGGCGCGAAGATCTCGTATGGTCTCTATCATACTACTCAAGCCCGATTTTTTTTCGACGACACACGCGAACCGGGCTCGAGAATGCACAGTGCCTAAGTTGCTGCTCCATCTCGATCTTCACGCTACGTAAAGACACGTGGCTAATTGTGGCGATGGTCTGTACGGTACCGCCGGCCATGCTCAGGCCGCACGCCCCCATCTCTACCTCGTCGCGAACGTACCTCCCGTATGTCCTTCCTTTCAACCCTCAGCTAGCCATCTTGCTCAGGTTCTGCAGCTGACGCAGTGTGCCCCCGGGAGACGACGACCATGTCGCTCAAGGCGCTGCTCTACGCGTACGTCCTCGGAGGAATCACGTTTATCCCGCTCCTCATCCTGGGAGCCATATTCTACACGGTCTACACCGCGGTCCCGGTAGAAGAAGCTCAGGTCCAAAAGGCCGAAAAACCAGACGAGGCGTCCGAAACACCCGACCTCCCTTCAACCACTGCAGCACCGTCCCCATCCGATGTTAATGACGCGCCGAGGGTGCGCAAGAGCTGGCTCACCGTCCGCAGAACATTCGAGGAACAACCCTCGGACTCGTCCTACGTTGACATGGTGCGTGGCTTTCTGGACTCACGCTCCAAGGATGCGCGTCGCTCGCGCCCGAAGGACATGTGGTACACCGTCCTCAAAGGGAAGGTGCTCTATCTATACGAGGACGAGAGCATGACCGAATGCGAGGCTGCGATCGAACTCAGTGGGCACGACGTCGTAATCTACCCGGAGGGCTTGCTGGATGGCGAGCTGTTCTCACGCAGGAACGCGATCTGCCTCAAGCCGAAGATACCACCTCCGGACAAGGAGATGCCCAGCGTGACGAAGGAGATGAAACTCGACGGAGAGAATGTTGAGGAGAAGCTCGAGGAAAGCAGCGGGACCTCGAAGTCCAAGCAGCGGCAACGTGAGCAGATATTGGAGGCTGAGAGGCGGCGCGAGGAGGCGCGGGACCAGGCGCTGGACGTGTCGACACCATGGTTCATATTCGTCAAGAACGTCATGGACATGGAGGACTGGTACCACGCGTTCGTACACGCATCGGACAACCCAGCGAACTCAGGCACATTGGCACCCCTCGAGGTGGTCTTCCAACCGGAGGACATGTCGCACCTCGTATCAACGCTGGACGAACAGCCGGATGTTATCCCAATGCGATGGCTGAACGCACTCTTGGGCCGCATATTTTTCAGCTACTACCGTACGCAGACGCTGGAGTCGTACATCATCGGACGTCTCATGAAGAAGATCTCGAAGGTGAAGAAGCCAAGCTTCCTCACGGACATCAACGTCAAGGAGGTGTCTGTCGGGAACAAGGCACCGACGCTCAGCAAGCCTATGCTCAAGGAGCTCACAAAGGAGGGCGATGCCTCCTTCGAGGTTCACCTGCAGTACAAGGGAGAAATCCGCATCACGGTGGAGGCCACTGCGATCATCAACCTCGGAGCTCGGTTCAAAACATACACCGTAAAGCTTGTGTTGGCTCTGGTCGTGCGGGAGGTGGAGGGCAACCTGCTCGTGAAAGTCAAGCGGCCACCGAGCAGTCGGATCTGGTACGCATTCACGCAGATGCCGAGAATGGTCATGAATGTCGAGCCTGTCGTGAGTGACCGACAAATCACTTGGGGCATGATTCTCAGCACCATCGAGTCCAAAGTACGAGAAGTGGTATGTATGCGTGCGTATCGGTCTCTGTCGTACCTGTTGTGCTGACCATTCCATAGATCCAGGAGTCTGTGGTACTACCAAACATGGACGACATCTCGTTCTTTGAGAGCATGAATTATCTGCACCGCGGAGGCATCTGGGCAGATGCTTCGCGTACGCACGTCGAATCGTCCTACGGCCAAGAGCCCGAAGCTGCCGATGACACGAAGTCTACTGTCTCTGCGTCTGGTGCAGAGCTGCCGAAGCCTATGCCGACAGACCCTGAGCATCCTCCCGTACAACGTTTTCATTCTGCTGAGGAGGCGAAGACCGAAGCGAAGATTGTGAACGATCCTCAAGACATCTTCATGGACCTCCGCCGGACCGCTACGGCTGTCAGTTTGCCTAGCTCGCCCGCGGCGAATTTGTCGTCTGACAGTCGGCGCCGTACATGGCTGGGCGCGTCAAACGAGGACGATGCGGAAGGATCGAAAAGCGACAATCTGGACGACTCGGATCAACGGGGGAGGACTCCAGAGTCTGAGCACACCCTGACACGGAGGTCGAGCTCGACACCAGTTGCGTCGTCTGAGGATACTACACCACAGCCATCCGAGGCACAGCAACTGCGGGAAGACTACCTGGCTCCGAGCGTCAGTCGTCGCTCGTCGTCACAGCACTCGCAAGCATCTTCGCGGGGAACATCTACCTCTGCGACTGACGATGAGTCCGTGGGAGCTACTGGCGAGTCGTCCTCCCCATCGCGGTCCAAGAGTCCGGTTCTCAATAGCACCGCAGGCCGCAGCAACACCACCAGCTCGACGGCTGCGTTCCTACAGACGCTGAAGTCGCGCGCAGGTGACAAGCAGGCGTTGAGCAATACTGCCAAGGAGGCGATGCGCAAGTGGGGTGTCAACTGGAGCGGGCTGCGGAAGGACAGCACGAACAGCACGACCAACGAGGAAGTCGCGGACGGCGCGAGCGCTCCTCAGAACGAGACCCGGCTCCGCGCGAACTCGGCAGCGCACAGGGCACGTCCGAGCTATGCGGAGGTGCGGGCAGCGGTGGAGCAGCGGAGGCAGCAGGACGGATCGCTGGGCTCGGACTTGCGCACTGACCCCGTTTCGATACCTCAAGGTGAGAAGGGCAAGGAGCGGGCACGCAGTGTCTCGCCGTCGCCGGTAGGCGGTGGCAGCAGCAGCAATAGCAGCAGTAGCGGCTCGCCCTACCTCGCGCCTCCCCAACCCACCTCGCCGAAACCCGAGTCCCGCTCGTCCTCACCGACCTTCCCCCTCGAGCGGACAACCTCGGGGCGCTCCCAGCGCGACGGCGTGCCGGGGCTCATGGCCGACGAGTCGGAGGACCGCCCGCCCGCGCGGATCCACACGCAGCCGCCGCAGGCGAAGACGATGACCATCCCCGGGATCCACGCGAGCCACCGCGGGGAGGTGATGTCGATGGGCTACGCGCCGCCCCCGCCCGCGTCGGCGCCGGAGCGAAGAAGCCCGCGATACAGAGGTGTACCGGCTGTGGAAGAACCCCGGCGCGCGGGGCGCGGGGCGGAGTCCCGCCGGTGACGCAGACGCAGACGGGCTTTGCTGGGAATGACCAGGACGCGGCTGCGACCCCCACGGCCATCGCGACCCCCACGGCTATTGCGTCTGCGCCTGTGTCGACCTCAACGTCGGACGCGCAGGCGCAGCCGGAGGTCGTCTCGCCGAAACCGGTCCCGCCGCCCCTGCCACCGCGCTCGATCTCGGTCACGTTGGGCAGGGCGTCCGGGGGCGGGGCGGCTGCGGTACAAAGCGCGAACGCGTCGGCTGCGTCGGCTGCGCTGCAGTCCATCGTGTCGAAGGACAGGAGCAAGCGTGCGTCGCTGGAGCCTGCTCTACCGGGGCCGTCGATAGGATCCAGCGCCGGCGAGGACGGGTTCGGCGCGAGCGCGAGTGCCTCTCCACCTTTGAGCCCTACGCCGGGCGGTGAGAGTGGGGACGGACAGTCATCGCCTAGCACGCCGAAACCGAGCCCCAAGCCACCTGCCCTGCCGCCGCGACGCCCGCCCGCTGCACCCGCCGCGCCTGCATAGTCGTGCGGTCGCGTACCGTGTGTCGTGTGCTGTCTTCTTGTCAATGGATTTGAGTCGGACTCGGATTGCTATCGATTCGTATACGTGTTACAGTTCCATCCCATCTCATCCCACTCTATCGCATTCATCTATATTATCTCGCTGCATTCGATCGCACTCTGTACTCTTACACGCATCGTATTCTCTGGATATCTATACTACTCTCGCTCCTCGGAGGTGAGAGGTGTGAGAACGTGTTTTGATTGAGAGTCGAGAACGGTGGGCCGGGTGAGAGCTATGACGCGCCGAGGGACGAAGTGTGTTCTTCATCGAAGTTGCATTGAAACGTCAGGGTCATCTCCTAGTGCCGCATCACAAGGCTTCGCCCGTCCCGCCGGCTATGCTTTGCAAATCAAATGTGGCCCAGGCAAGTGCGCACGACTTCAGCGAGGACTGAGAAGCGACCACAGACACGACCCATGGCCCGTGCCGCCGTGTGCGCTGATTTTGCGATTAGCTTCCAAAGCCGGGGTACCTACTGGAGAGTCCAGACTGCACCGGCGGTATGGGGGCGTCCGTCCGACGTCGAGCGGTTGAGAAGCCGGCGGCTTGCAGACTGTGTCCGCGAAGGTGGCGGGTGCCAAGGGGGCCCACCGCAGGCACAAGGGAGCTCAAAGTGGCAGTATACGTGCCTATTACCTGCTTTGTACCGAGCAAGTACCACTGCGCCCGGTGCGAACAGAAGGCGTCGGCGGGCGGGGGTGTTGTATTCTGTGGGCGCTGGTTGCCATGCGAACGGGGAAGATAGCGGGCAATGGCCCGCATCAAACCTTGGTGTGTTCTTCGACGGAATGCGAGCACGTGGTGCCCCGCCACAGTGCAGCCTCTGCGGGGCTCGGCGCAATATCAGTACGCGGTCGTCCTCGTCTTCGCCCTCGAGCCCGAGCTAGATCTATCTGCGACGACGCACCCCCGTAACGACCTTCACGCACACCACGCCCCACTACCCGCGCGATGTCGCAAGCAAGCCTCGTTTCCACACTCGAGCGTCCTGATGAGCGGAGCGACCGCGATCGTCTCGTTGCAGCGGCAGCCACGCCCTCGTCCAGCTCCCAATCCCTCGTCATCTCGTCGAACCTGCGCGCCGCGCTCGAGTACGAAGAACGCACGCGGAACCAGTCGTCCGGATGGGGCTATGGATCGACCAGCGCGGACTGGGGGGGCGGGCTCCCCCCACCGCCGCGTCCAAAGAGCAGACCAAAGCCGGCGCACTCGTCGCACTCCTCGCCGTCTGGCTCGATTTCCGTGCCGACCTCACCGACGACAGTCCCGCGGGCAGTTGATGGCGCAGGCAGCGGTGCAGGTGGATCGGGCACGACCAGGAACCCATACATCAATCCAGTACCGCGGCTGTCATATCTCATGCGGGACGAGCCGCCTCTGATTATTGGTAGTGAGCGGCAGGCGGACACGGAGAGCGCGGGGCAGGGCTCAAGCGAGTCTCTGGCAACGAGCTCGTCGCGAACGGGCGACGATGTGCGGGAGTCGCCCACGGCGGCGGCGAAGGGGGAGGGCTGCGGCACCTGCGGGGACTGTCGTCGCTGCAGAAGGTGGAGAAGATGATCGGGAAGAGCAAGAAGTCGCTGGGGATGATCGCGGAAGGCAAGCTGACGTCGACCCGGCGTGCGAGTGACGCCGACGGCGGCCCACCCAGTCCGGTGCGGCGGGGGCCCGACCGGGCGACGGCCGCGAGCGTGCTGTACGCGGCGAGCGCGCCGAACTCGCCGATCAGTGCGCTGACGGTGTCGCTGGCGGGGCGCGGCAGTGGAGACGGGCAGGGCCGTCGGCCGGGGGACGGGGCGGACGGGCAGCAGCCGGCGGCAGTTGCTGGCGGGGCCGGGGGTTCCCACGGGCGGGGAGGGAGTGATGCGTCTGGGCCGAGCTTGTGCGACGCGAGCGACGGCCCATCACCCGCCTTGCACCGTCCCATCAGCATCTCCTCTACCCTATACTCCTCTAGTGCCCACTCCTTTGCCTCCTCCACCCGTTCGCCAGCCAGCAGGCCGACTGACATGAACGACTATCGTGGATCCTTCATCGAACTTGCCTCTCCCACTTTTTCCCCGACTTTCTCGCCCCTCGATACCCACAGCAACCATCCTTATGCCGCCTTCTCGCCCCACGAAACCCAGCCGCACTCCAGGACATCACCGCAGTCCTACTCTGATGAGTTCAGCTCCCGCCCGCACTCGTCCAAGAAACCCCTTCTCGCCCCGCTTTCCACCGCCGCAAAACCGCCCGTGCCTACCTCTGCGAAACCCGACTTTTCCTCCAGGCGATCCAGGTCCGCACAGCGTTCCCTTCTAGAACACCAGAGCCCGAACACGCCCTCGCCGTCCAGCTCCTCGCCAGACTATGACCGCGGCCAGCGCCACATCCCGTTGACGAGCAACCTCCTCCACCCGCAGGAGCGCGCCGACCTCGTGCGCAAGACGCGTAAACTCACGCAGCTCTTTGGCCAGACGCCCGGCGTCGGGCACTTCCCCGTCGAGGTCGACCTGGGGCACGCGCACGCGCAGCGCACGAACATGGTGGGCGCGCCTCCGAAGCCGAGCAGAAGGAAGCACAGGCCTGCGGCGTCGATGCTGGACGACCCCATGTGCCCGTGTACGACACGCAGCAGCGCGTCGTGTGGCCGCCCGCGGAGGACGCGCAGTACGTGAACATGGGCATGCGCCGCCGCTCTGTGCCGTTCTCGCCGCAGGACCTGTCGCCGATGAGCGGGCTGGTGGGGAGGGACGCGTCGCACGTGATCGAGATAGGGAGGGCGTCGGCAGCCTCGCGGGCGTCGTCTGGCTCGCCCGAATCGTTCATCGACCTGTCAGACGAGGAAGCGCTCCCTGGGGCCCCGCACAGCGCTCGCCCCCAACGCCTAAAGGCCACGCCCTCTTCAGCCCCGGCCCCGACCTCTCCCTCTTCAGCCCCAGCCCCGACCCCGTCCTCTCCCCCTCCACCCCCTCCCTCCTCGGCGCCCTCTCCCTCGACGACGAGCAGCGCGCAGAAGACGACCGCCGCCGCAAGCGCGAGAAGCTCGCAAAGCTCCACCGCTTCCTCGGCTCACGTGTACCCACTCACCTCGTCCTCGGCCCTCTCCACGAGGGCGTCCCGCTCCCCTCCCCCGCACCATCCACCCCCCAGGACGACGACATGCCCGGCGAGGACGCCGAAGCACGCAGGCTCCGCCTCCGCCGCAGGCGCAGCAGCTCCGCGGCCGAGTTCGGGGCGACGTGGTCTGACGAGATCGACCGTCTCAAGGGCGACCTCAATGAGAGGGAGAAGGCCATCAACGTCCGCCGCGCCGTCAAGATGGAGAAGGTGCGTTCGCACGCGTGCCAGGCGCGAGACGGCAACTGACTTCCCATTTCATTTCAGATGTTCGGGGTGGCGCCGCCCCAGGTGCTCTATCACACCCGTCAGGCGGTCTCCTCCCCCGGAAGCAGTGGGCTCTCGCCCATCGCTGCGAAGCCTAGGTACTCCACCCAGTCCTCGTTCCCGCCGCCCGTGCAGAGCGCAGGGCCGTCGGGTGGGCGCAACCTCAACCAGACGTCGTACAAGGGCAAGTCGAAGAAGGGCGCCAGGCCCGGAACCGCAGACTCGACTGAGCCGCTGATTGACCATACACGCACCGACACGAGCGAGAGTTGGGAAGACGGTATGCTCACGGCGATGTCCGATGTCTACATGCACTACCGCCATTCTCTGAACTCGCTTAACGACATCATTGACCGGGTAAGCTTGTTCTGTTGCTTACATCTAAGCATCCGCATTGACGAATGGGCCACGTACAGGACGACAAGCAGTCCCTCGCCGAACTGCACGACTACCTCAGCGGACGTACCCAGGACACCTCAGACCACACGCCGACGGAGGACAGTGTATTCTCGCTCGCCCAGGCTGCGACGACGAAGGCCGAGCGCCGACGGTCGATGCCCACACGCACGTCCATGGCGTCCTTAGCGTCCGTCTCGTCCGAGTGGACCATCCTACCGTCGCCGCCGCCCGAAGAGAGCGCGTTCCAGCAGCGCCGCCGTCGCGCGGCGAAGCTCACCCAGTTCTTCGGCGTTAACTACCGTGACCTCATGAACGATGTCCTTGAGAGCATCGAGAAAGGCCTCGAGGAGGAACGCGGCCGCGGGACGCTGAAGCCAGATGAAGTACAGGTACGCTGTGTCATTCATTGTTTCGCCGGGGCGGACAACTGACCGTCTGTGTGTGACACCAGGACCTCATGCAAAAGCTGCGCAGGCTCAAGACGAAGCGCAACAACTGGCCGTGATGTAAGGGCCGCGATCTCCGAGACGACATCTATACGCACTTATTGGGACATACCCGCTTCGGACGTACGCAGTTATCACTCGATACCGTAGAGTAGCTAATCCCCATCGCGCTGCGCGCGACTAATACGAATGCAGACCTGCTTGGATCTTGTTCCTCAATATCGTCATGTCATGTATATCACGCGTTGGCATCATCCATCTGTCCGCACATACCATTGCATCTTCTGGCTACGTACATGGTCCCTAGAGAATTACTAAGTCGCCCTGGCAACAGTGACACCAGAATATGTGAGAATCGTCCATGAACTGCGGCTTGCGCGGGGCGACGTGCTGGGGAACCGTCGCCTTCGCCTGAGGGGCACTGACTCGACGACCGTCGGCAGGCCAGCTGTCTTGACCGTCGGAGAAGTGAGCTTGGCGGACGCCGCGACTTCGCTCTCGATGCGGGCCTTGAGCATGCTCAGGCTCACACGACGCTTGTGCTGCGCCTCCGGCGAGAGCCCCTCGAACGTCGCGGAGGTCGGCGTCGGCGCGGGGTGCGCGGACTTGTGCGCGGCGAAGGACGCACGGCGCAGATCGTCCGAGAAGTCGGCGGGCCGGCTGGACGTGCGCGGCGGCATCGGCGAGCGCTGCGCCGCCCGCGACGGCGGCCGCAGGTGCGCGAGCTGGTCCTCCAGCGCGGTGACGTGGCGCTGCAGCGCGTGCGCGTGCGCCTCGACGTCGAAGACGGACGTCTCGAGCGTACGGATGTGCGACTGCGCCGCGGAGAGCTCGAGCGCGTGCTGCTGCCTGATCGCGCTGAGCATCTCCGCGTCGAGCGCGTTCGGGTGCGCGGATATCGGCGTCGACGCCGCGACGCGGAGCTGCTCGAGCTCCTGGTCCTTCGCGGAGAGCTCCGCGCGCAGCGCCTCCATCTCGTTCTGCGCGTGCTCGAGGAACTCGTGCGCTTCCTGCTGCGCGCTCTCGCGCTCGTCGAGCTCGCTCTGCAGGCCGGAGACCTGCTCCATGTGCTCCTGCAGCGAGGACTGAGCTGGTCTAGCTCGGCGAGATGGCGCTCGGTCATTTGGTGGTAGTTGTTGCGCTCGGCCTCCAGGTTACGGACGATGGCGCGCCGGCCTCCAATCCGTTTGCAGGGTGTCGGACTCCTTCTGAAGCTCGGAGCTGTTCGTGTGCGAGGATGAACGTTCCTTCTCTAGCGCAAGAGCAATCTCCTGGCGTTCACGAGAAACCACATCCTTCTCGTTCCGCAACTCGTCCAGGTTCGACTCCATTGTGCTATGGTAGCGTCTCGACTGTGCAGGGCGGACTTCAAGCCTCGACCTCCTCGCTGAGATTGAGCTTCACGTCTGTGAGCTCCACGATCTTGGGCCGCATCTCGTCCAAGGAACGCATCAACCCGACGCCTTCCGTCTGGAGCTCGCCCTGGATCCGCTCCGCCTCTCGGCACGCTTGTTCGCGTTCCTGAGTTCTGCCTGGACTTGCTGCAGTTGCCGAGCACCATTGCTCAGCTGCGCAGCGAGATCGACGAGCTTGCGCTCGAGGTCCGCGACTGTGGACTCCTTCTCTTGCACCTTAGATTGCAAAGTCGACTTCTGTTGCAGAAGGTCATCGCGCTCGGTGCTCACGACCGAGAGCTGCTCCTTCGTCGTTGCATGCTGCTTCTCGACTTCGCCATGACGGTTTCGCCAGTCCTCCTCTGCCTGCCCCCGCTGACGTATTCGCGAATCTAATTCATCCCGCTCAGCCTTGAGCGTACCATGCGCCTGCGAGCCCCATGTCAGTTACGTATACTGATCAGCGGATGAAAGCTGTGCTTGCCTGCTGGAGCTTGGAAAGTTGGAACTCCAATTCATCGGCCCGGTCCTGGGTGTTCTGCAAGGTGGCCTCCAGCCGGTCTGCGCGATCATCACTTTCGATCTGCTCCTCCAGCTCCCGCACTCTTCTCTCCGCTTGCTCCGCTTGAATACGTAGATCATTAAATGTCCCATGGAGAAGCTGCAGTTCGCGCTCCTGTATCACAGATTGTCAACTATTCCGGGAAATGAACAGGCGGCAAGGCAGCGTACCTGCTCACGGCTCTTATCCGCGAGATTCTTCTCGGATGTAGTCAATTCGGTAACCTTAGATGAGAACTCGTCGTTCTCGTCCTGCAGCTTTGCCACGGTTTCTTGCAATTTCTGTGCCCGAGCACGTTCCGCTTGAAGTGCGCTCTCCGTGTCCCGCAGCTCTGTAGCATCGCGGGAGTCAGCTCGGCTGCGTCATCGCCCACGAGATTTCAGCACTTACTTGAGTCCGCATCCTCGAGCTCTTCCAGCGACGACGTCAAGGAGTTCTTCTCGGACACCAACAGTGTAATAGTCTGTTGTTGCTCGGCCATGCGGCTGTAGTGCTCTTGAAGAGTCGTCTCCAGGTCATGTATGCGTCCATCCAGACCTTTTGAACGTCCCTTTTCAGCGTCCAGAGCTTTATTCGCAACCTGCAGTTCTACAGAGCGTCAGCCAGGAGCCACGCGCACCGGGCGAAAGACGCACTCGGCTCGAGCTCGCGCAAGCGCTGGTTTGCACGCTCCAGCTCTTGATTTTGTGAGGAAAGTGAGGCAATGTCCGTATCTCGCTCGTTGAGCTTGGCTGATAGAGCAACGATATCAGTTTCCAGTTGCTGTATGCGGCTTTGGAACTTGGCAGAATTCTGGCGCTCTTCATGTAGCAGACGTTCCGTCTGTTTTGCATCTGTCTGACGCGTTATGCACTGGAAACGATTCTTGACTCTGTGTACTCACTGGTTTCAACTTGCTGGAGCTTCTCAAGTGAGGCGGTCAAATGATCTTTGTCAGACTGCAGGACAGAGATGACACTCTGCTTCTCCGCCAGCACTTTCTCTTGCATGCGGTGCGCGTCTCGATCAAGGGGTCAGGTACTAGTCTAGACATCGGACCCGGTTCACTCACTGGTCTCAGTGCTTTTCAGCTGCTCCACCAAGTCCACGAGAGCACGCTTCTCTGTCTCCAATGCAGAGATGATAGAGCTCTGTTCGGCAATCCTAGCATGCAAGGTGTCCTGCCCGCTGACGACGGTCGATCCAGCTCCACGAGCACTTTGAGGCGTTGCAGGAGGAGGAGGGGGAATTTGAGGAGAGGCGATGGTCGCCGACGGATGAGAGTCAACTCTATTCAGCCCTGACAACCAACTGATGTCACCACCATCGCCGAGTTGTCCTTTGGTGAATCTACGCAGGCTTTCTCAGCAACATGCCAGACGACGGGCTGTTAACCACTTCGATGCTCCTATGTACCTACAGGTCTCCCACACTTCGTGCGTCCTTGTGGTCCTCCGGATGGGTGAGGGTGGCCTCGGTATTCGCGAGAGAAATCTCAGAAGGTGCCGGCGAGAATGTTCGCGATGGTGCCGGCGACAACGTTCGCGACGGAGGCAGAACGGGCGAGGCAACGGTTGGACTTGCAATTGAGCCCCCACCCCCCGCCTTCTGCTGCTGCTTTTTCTTCAGCTGTTCGGAAAGATTCAGCTACATAATGAATGGGACAGTCGAGTAGAGCGTTACGGACCAACGCTCGTGCTCGAGCGGCCTTTGCTGCACGGTCATCCTCAGACATAATGGCTCGTCAGTGCAACAGCTATGAGACAAAGGCGATGATAATGCCAGCAAGGTATTATGTCAAGACGAGAGGCCTGGCTTGTAGGAGACTTATGTGCATTGCGCAGTGCGCACCGTGCACGCGTCGCGCTGGACACGTCTTTAACTGAGTCACGTGCAACAATGTCTGTCAAGACACGCGTATAGCGTCTCACTCCAATCGTTAAGCATAAATTCTGTATTGTCATTCGCGATGCGGCTGTAAGGATAGGGAAGCAGGTGGCTTATGAGACGAGCAAGGGACACAGAGGAACGGCGAGTATGAGGTAATAAGTGAATGCCACAAGAAATATAAACACTCCGGGTGAAACTGGCGAACAGCGAGGATACAGCACGTAAGGACAGACTCGTGGCGTTCTCGATGCGAGGCGCAAGTGAGGCACAACTTGACCCATATAAGAAAACGGATATCGATGAATCTGCGCAGACACCGATCCAGAAACGCGAAGTCATGGTATCAGCAGTAGAGACGGCGGGATGCATGTGGGCGAGAAACGGTATCATGCCCAAACCTGACATACAATATAATGTGTTAGAAAGACTCTTGTGAAGAAAGTGGTTCCTTACCCTGAGAGTGCTGTCCCAGCTACCAGTGCAAAGTGCCATGCCATCTGCACTGACCCCCAAGCAGCTGACGCGGTTCTCGTGTCCGGTCAAGACACCCACGCGTTCACCCTTGAGCGTATCCCAGACGTTGCAGGTCCAATCATCGTACCCGCCGAAGAGGATTCGTCCGGAGATAGAGAAGGCGACGGATGTGATACCACAAAGGATGTTGTCGTGCGTGAATGAATTGAGCTCGCGGTCAGCACGAATGTCGAACAGACGGCACGAGGCGTCATCTGAACCAGTGGCAAAGGCATCGCCATTGGGGAAGAAGCTGAAGTGAAAAATGAGGTGCAATGAAAGTGCCAAAGACAGGCGACTCACTTTACGGCATTGATGTCCGACTCGTGCCCAGTGAAAGTCTGGGTGGCCTTACCGCTTCGGATGTCCCAAAGCTTCGCGGTAGCATCACACGCGCCAGACACGAAAACGTTCTGGTTGGGACCGAGGGACAGACTGCACAGCCATTGAGACATGGCGTTCCCACAGGTCATATAATACATACCTCATAACATCACCCGTATGGTCGCTGAACTCCACGACACGTACACCGGCTTCGATGTCCCACAACATGCAGGTCATATCTCCCGAGCTCGTCACGATCTGGCGATCGTTGAGGAAGCGGCAGCAGCTGAGGTATCCAGAGTGCGCGCTTAGTTCGCGAGCGCCCTTCACATTGTTGCCCTCCTTGGAATGCAGGTTGTAGATCGAACAGATGTTGTCGAGGCCACCACACGCGACATAGTTGCCAGATGGAGAGTAGGCACACGTCATGACCCAGCTGGACCTGAGGGGAATCGCATGGACCTTGTTTGTGGTATACGCGTCCCACACGATCAGCTTTCCATCCTGGGACGCAGAAACGAGGTGTCGACGATCAGTAGCCCAGTGCATAGCATAGATTTTGGCCAAGTGACCCCGTAGGGCGCGACGAGGGCGCATGACGATGCGGGGCAAGGCAGGCACCTCCGCAGCCATCGCTCGCACTGTAAGCAATGAGCCGTTGAACGAGGGCTATTCACCGGGAGGACGTACGGCTGGTGTCAGCGGAAGACTCTCTTCTTGCCCTGATCTTCTCCCTCAAGCTTTCAGCCTCGCGGCGGGCTGCCGCGATCCTCTCCTGGATATCGCTCTGCGGTGACTGCGCCATGATCCCTAAGTTTTATGAGATGAAAGATGGAAACTCGTTCTGTAGCAGGGGTGCCCTCGTCAGCATCCGACTGGCTTTGAACCCAAGGTCAGAAGGGACGTACCGCGCAACGAGCAAGGGGGAACGAGGGAAGGAGAAGTCGGAAATTGATGGGAAGGTTGCGTGAGAAGGCCGCCTGTGCTGTAGCGCTGAAAGAACAAGTCCGTCAGCGACTCTGGCACGCAGGCGGTGTGCGAGGCAGCTACAAGTCCAGCGTCGTCCGAAACGGCTTGGGGGGCTTGCGCACCACGGGGATGGGAGGGGGAAAGGCAAGATGGCGACCGTCACGCTGGCCCTTGCAGCGCTGATGGGCGCATCTCTTCGGGCCTGGCGGCCATTGCCGGATGCAGCCCGCTTTCCCACACCCCCAGCCGGCGCACGGCCAGAGCTCTCTGGGCGCCCCTAAACGTTCAAGTTCATGGCCATCCCGCCCTCGAGCTCTGCGGTAACGAATCGCTCCTGTCAGGTCTGCCACGGGCCAAGGATCAATTCTAGCTCGAAGAAAGCAGGTACACGCAGAAGCTAGTTTGAACGGCTTGAAGCTTGGACGCGCATTGCCATGTACGCGTGCAGTTCAAGTTGGTCTGTTCCAGAGCGAACAAATCTTCGTGTCGATGTGGTTATACCCACATTTAACCGGTCTTACTGCCGGAATGTGACATTTTTCGAAGTAGTGACCGAATATAAAACCCATCATCCGGGACCCCCGGCGTGGCGGTCAACGACGTCCAAACGTGCTCTCGATTAGTGGAGTTAAGTCGCGAGTCTGCATGAAGCTGTTGTTGTGCTAAATTCCATAGGACAGAAACATGGACGCGGTGGCAGACAGTCTAAGAAGGCGAGCGCCAGCCAGGTACAGTGGACTCTGGATATCCATTATACCGCTGACTGACATGGCTTTGGAAACTCAGGCATCCCAACAATGGTCCTTTGATACAGGACTGCGACAGTCGACGACACTTCTATGAACGGCATCGTGGAGTGTGCGGACTGCCATTCGTCCCGCGCTGACTGGCCGCCGTGAGTTTAACACAAATTGTTCACGGCATGTTATAGGTCTGGCATGCACAAACACATCTGACAGCCGCGATGCATATCCTACGACAGAGGTCTTGTAGAGACCAACGCCAACGTCATACCCTCAAGTATACTACCAGAGTGCAGAAGCAAACATGACGATTACACTTTATATGGTGCGTACCACACCTGCTCCAAGATGTTTGTTTTCATTTGCTTGTTTCCCATTCTTGGTCGTGTTCTTCGCTTACGAGTCGCCCACTCGAATGAAAGCATCGTAGCCTCTTATCATCGGTGAGAACGATTTTAACCGTTAATTTTGAGCTAAAGTGGTCACCGCACGTTCCCTGCGTATAGGAGTAATTCACCTACTCGTTAACACTGCTCGAGTACGCAATGTACACAATACGAAATCCTTTGACCTGCGGGTGATGGGCAGCATCCTAGTGGCAGGTCTTAGATCTCCAACTTCTACCGCGAAAACCTAATAGCGCGCAGTGCTTCGATTTCAGAAACGACGTCTGCGGTCTTGCCTCGAGGAGGCAGGCGCTGGACTCGTCGCCTTCCGTTCCGCTTGTACATCTCGGGCGTGACGCCTGTGCGCTGACTCCTTGTTACTTGCGCCGGCACTCATATCTCCCTAATTGTTTCGCCGCCGACACAGGATATTACGGCGTGCGGGAGTAGCAACAAATTACAAATTAACCGCTGCAAGGGCCGCTTGGACATTTCCATCAGCCTCTCTCTTTAGCCCGCGGATGGTGACTCGGTATATCGATGAATGGCGGGAACAGAGCTAGTCTGTTCCGAGCGATGCAAATTCTTCTGTGCGCCTACACGGAATGTCTACCTCATAGTTCCGGCCACTCACTGTGAGCCTCTCGATGAAGGTCACGTACACCAAATTTGTCTATGCTACTCTTAATCACCGTTATTGCCGGGTCTTCTGCCGCGTACGTGGCTCGCGGGATGATCGATCAAAGCTTCACCTGCGGCGACTACAATTATTGAACTCTCTTATCCATGTTTGCCCTTGGACCCGCCGCATCGATGTCTATGAACGGCGTACTCACAATCCTTTTGTAGGGATCATCCGCGCAAAGACGTTACCGCGCTAAAGCTTTGCGCAACAATGCAGTTGGGAACGATCCATCAGCTGTCTGGGCGATGGAGGTCCGCACATAACAATCAATTAATCAAGTACCATGGCATCGTTCTAACGGCATCCGAATTGGAGACACGTTAAGGGCAAATGTTGCAGCACTTGATAGGTCTCCATGTAAGGTACCGGTTCACGATCGGGCACGAAGCTCGTATAGCCTGGGTAGAGTCAATGGTCATCATATCCGCTGAGAAGATGAAACCGTTCGATTATACTCAGTCAACCCATCGGGCATATACCACGCTAATTCGAGGTCTCCGACTATTCCGCAGATTTTTCAAGTATTTCCTAAAGAGCGAGGTACGCTATGGCTGCACGCGCGTATGACTCTGCCGAGGAGTCCGGGAAATGACTGTCAGGTTCGTAAAACATGCTCAGGAAAGCGGACGTAGAATTACTAATTGCCTCGCGATCTGGTTCGCTTCCTTCAGGCGACCGCGGCGCTCAAGCTTACTTCTGTCACTGCCTACGCGTCCCCTCGAAGTGTGCTCATTTGTGATACAGATTGGCAAATGACGTGGTGCGGACGCAACGTCGGTACGGGCACTATTTCAGACCGGGGTGGTGTGAATGAAAAAGGAAACGGAGACGTAGGTGCGGTTGCCCGGACATCTCCGTCCTGCTTCAGATCCGCGGTGAGTGCCGTTAGAGCCTTCGAGGCCACGATGGTATTTTGACATTCAAAGACCGGGTGCGCTGAGGCGTGTAACACTGTCAACTGACCTCCCTAGCCCATGGTCAAATCATAAGCATGTTTCAATCAACACGCCGCGCTTCCTCTGTACATGGTCAATGGTACGGAGGCAGCTACGATTGGTAAAATCCCACTCTCCCTGGGATGGACTTCGGCGTGTGCTACTGCACCTGTTTCCTCGCCGCCTGATGCTCCCCAATCACATTGACTGCGTAGTGGTGCGTCGGCATCTTGCATCCGTTCGAAGTCAGGATACGTTCAGATATCCTCTTGAGTGAGTTCTCAAGCCCATTCAGAGGTTAAAAAACTCTCGATACCACCTTGACTATGTCTCATCACTAGAACCCTAAGACAAGGTTTTTGACGTGCAGCCGTCATGACCCTCATCTTCGATGTCCGGTTGTGCGATGATGTCCATTGGTCGCAAGATTTTCTACCTTGAAGGCTTTTCATTTGTATCTACAGCGCTGCTTGCGCACAGCGAAAGCGTAGCGCCGCCGAAGGAATGACTAGAGGTCATTACGGCATCGATACTGTGACCACGCGTGTTTGTGGTGTGTTGCTCCTGCATCTACCCTGATCGCCCTTCCCACTCATGAAATTTTTTTCAATCGCCGCAGATGCTGCCTTTTGCCACACGGAGATGGCTTGCCCTTGTCCTTTCATTTAGATGATTCAAACCGCGATCACAGAAATTGAGGGTCATTCCGATCCGTCTCCATTTGTGCCGATGCTGCCATCGTGTGTCAGACGCAGGGCTCTGCTAAAAGTAAGCGGCTCATAAAATACCACATTGCACACCTTTGGTTACCCAGTCTGATCCAGTGTCTGCGTTTCCCCAGTCAACCGCTCTGCTTCTTCGCGTCACGCGCCTTCTGTAGGGTCGACAGAAAGGTATCACACATTGCCGCCACGTTATGACGGCCAGGTACCCGCGAGACTCCTCTTCGAGGCGTCCCCACGGTCATACAAGCCGGAAACGAATGCCGAATCGCATCGTGGAGTCGGTACATGCCAAAGCCCAGACTCATACCTTTGAAGTGGCCGCTTCACGACTGGTTCTCCTGTTAGGTGAGCGACAGATTTGGCGAACGGTTCTTCAATCTCGACGATGAAGCTCAGACATATATCAGATCGAGGGCTCAGGTAGACCGCATGACTACCCTTCGACCTGCGCCTGTTTTATGAAGCCCTACTTCAGCAAGCACAGTATCGACTGCCTTGAGCAGTGTCGATAGCTCCGAGAGTCATGCACGCATGTTGCTGTGGGCACAGGCCTTCAAAGGGTGCCAGAGGATGGTCAAGTCTATATATATGGTAGGGATCCCGAAGCATCTTCCGTCAAGCTGACACAGGATGTCGAACGGTGAGTGAACATCCACCAAGAGCTTCGTCCCCTGTCTCATACGATGTTCAGAGGGGACCATTGCGTTGAACAACCGTGAGCCACGGGTTTTTTCCTTCGTCAAGTCAACGCCGCAATGCTAACTCCGTGACTGCAGACCTGCAAACGAAGAACAAGGCCAATCTGCTGAGCTGGGAGGAATCTACAATCGGCCCTCGACATGAGCCCACGTGGACTTGCGTCTGCAAAAGTACGTCTTTGCCCTTTCTCGTGCGTAGTAAGTCATGGCTAAAAATGGGAGCAGTTGACGGTCAGGAATATGGACGTGGAACCGGGCTCTCCAAGCAGACCGCGCGAGCTGCTGCCGCGAAGGTCGCTCTAGAGCGGCTCATCGAATCCGAGAGTAAAGCTGAAGCTGAAGCTGTAGACAACGATGCAGGTGATCATGGCGAATGATCGCGCTCATAGGAACTCATCCATCCTTTCTCTGGCTTGTTGAGCTTTGTCGAATTGTCTGGCACTGGCTACCCTTTCATGTATATTTTATCTTCGATTGGCGTAAATGCCCTATCATAGCGCTGTCATGGTCGATTAATATTGTCGCTCACATCCAAATTGACTGTATACACAGGTTATATTTACTCAATGACTGTCTTGAGTATTGCATTTCGGTCCTATGGGTGCGTGCTAGTCGTCATCGTATACTACTGGGGCATGCAGGGTCACGGTCGTCGGTCAATGGGTCCCGGTTCCTGACCGTACTGTATCTTAGATTTGTTTCTCACGCTACTTATGATTCTGATCGTGGCGCGGGGCACACACAATGTTCAACGTTAAACTTTAACTACAAGTTGGACACCCATCAGGACTTCAGGGTCAACTCATCGGTACTTTCGTGTCTGCACACCGGCTCATCCGCACGGATTAAGTCCGAAGTAGAGGTGTGCTCTCTGTGCACTCGTTCATGCTAAACCAACGTTCTTGTGGCATAGTAACGGATCCGGAGAACTCTCCGTACGTGTAATGCGTCCGGCGAACCCATCCCCCGTCCGCGAAGCACGGGCACACATCACGGTGTTTCACGACAACACCGATTCTTCGTGTAATACAAGCTTATGCATTCAAAGTCGTATCCAACTTTCTGACCAGCTTGTCAAACTTATAGCAGCCCGTGACCGGCGGCGTAACGTACTGTATTTGTCCCTGTGGGCGTCTCATCTTGCGGACCGACCTTGTTGGACGACTACCCAGGCAAACAACTTGAAGTCCGTCTCATGACTCAGGTCCTTCACAGAGCGAGACAAGGGGGAACACACGCCGCAATTGGTAATGCTACACGCTAACATGAAGACGCCCTGCACCTGCTTGCCGCTGAAGTCGTTAGCTATGTCAGACCAGTGCAGGCGGAGTCTATCAAGATTGATCAGTCAAGTCTGAGTTGTCTTGATACATCTGCGTCATATCTCTGCACTTATGGTGCGCCTTGTTGACTAGCATTGCCAGCAACCGGTGTTGTCGCATGCAGGTGACGCACTGGATCATTTTGACACAGCAGCGATGAGCGACAACATACCCATTCTTGCCTCCTTGAAAGACGAATAGGATTTCAACACTAGCATAAGTAAGCCTTTTGATGCGTACAGCCGCGAAGATTCTGACGTGGTAGCCGTCTAGTCGACTAGGAATTCTCCGGTCTCGTGCGCCATCCACAGTATTGTTCCGCTAGGCGACTGCTGTATCTCTCCAAACGATGCGGAGGGGCTACATACCCCGCGCAACTGCTCCGGCCGGATAGTGCTAGGTCGCCGTGTGGTTGCTACTCTTCAGCTGCTGTGAATGCCGCTGGCGTGCGTTTAACGTTGACAAGGGCGGTTGGTATATTGTCAAAGATGTCCAGATGTCCGCGCCGTCAGAAGAGACGTATCATGCGCGGAGCTGCTTGTCCCGTCTCGACGCATTACTCCGACTTGGTGCGTTGAGTATGCTTGAAAAATGATTTTCATTGTCGGCTGGTCTAACGGCGGTATGCAGAGCTCCCTATGTGATACTGTCCTGCTGATGGTCTCTAGCATTATAGCCGCGTCCGGATCCTGGCCTGACGAGGGATATAAAGACGATTTCATTCCGGTGTGCAGTCTTCACGTCTCACAAGTCGGTCGTTGACTTCACACAAGAGCCTCTCCAGCACTACACGAACACGTCCTCAAGATGTCCGCTGTCATGCGACTCAATAACCGTGAGCGGGACCTGGAGTCGTACACATTGACGTCAGCTAACGTATACCCTCGTATAGATCTTCAACGTAACGGTCAACTTGAGCAGTTGAGCTGGGCGGAATCTTCCTATGGTCCACCGAACGACCTCAATTGGACAATGAAATGCAAGCGTAAGTTAGCAATTCAGTCTTCGAGTCTTCTTACAACAGCTGATGTCCATTAAATGGTACAGTGCGAGAACAAGTCCTTGGAGAGGCTACGTCGAAGAGGAAGAGCGACGCGAAAGAGGCTGCTGCTGCGACCGCTCTGAGTAGGCTCGGTCAGTGAAGGGCTTCGTGCGCTGGGCCCTAGGCTGGCAGAGCTTACAAGCTCAAGGTCCCGAATCTTCTACTTACTTTTACTTTTTGATAATGCCGTCTCAGCGGATAGAGCACATGCCAGAGTACGATAAATGCGAAACGTGTAATACTGTGTTTCTGGATCGCTACAATTATTTAATTGCAGGATATGACAAGTGGTCTAGCCACGACAGACTCTGGCATGCATCGGATCGACAACACGGAGAGGTATGCGATACTTGCTGAAGACGTGTCTTGTAGTCTTAGTGTCATAGTGATGGGATCCCCTTACGTAACTGACGCATTAGTGGAGGCTCCCCGGCCATTACTAGGCTAGCTAGTCCTTACTCACACCCGTCTCGCTCAGTACGGTGGTGTTGACTTCAACTCCAGTGTAACTGCCATACTAGACGCTGCTACCGTGAGGGACAAGCCAGACAGATGTCTCGACGTGCAGTCCCATTCGTTGTAGCCGGTGTAGCTGGTGAGGTGGCCTCATATTGTCGCGCGTCGACTGTACTGAAAGTTCAGACGTGAGTATCCTCTCCGGTATCTATATCTTCAGGCCGTTAATGGACCCACGAGCAGATGGCAATGCACCACCATCAGAAGAGTGGGTAGTTCAGCTGCAGCCTCTGGTCCGAGGAGTAATATTGTTAACGTTATTCGTGTTTACAGTGCACAGTCTCAGAGCATAGCCTCGCCGCAGGCAGCTTGCAATGCTGCAACCAAGGGGTCGGACACCACCACAGCTATGCTGCGTGACTCATCTGCATCAGGCTCTGGGAGATGAGGTTTATTCACATAGTGTGGCGTTACCGTGAAACTTAGTTTCGTGCTGTACGTTTGACCGTCGCAACTATTCCGTGCGCAGCAAACAGTGTAATACAGTAGAGACGCTGTCCATTTATGACGCGCTGTTGTCAGACATGTGGTACAGCGATCGGCGAGTCATCATAGCATATCCCTACTCTCCGCTACGGCTTGTCAACGTCCATCTTACCCCCGTTTTGTCCGCGCTCGACATTGGACAAGCGGGGTTCCGATCTTCGCTCCCAGATCTTAGGTAGCAGTTCTATCAGACGTCTTCCCATGAGGTTAATCTGCGAACTCACCTGTAGCACTGTCTCACCCAGGAAGATCATCTCCTTCCTGATCTCCTCGACGATTAGATCCTGAATCAAAAACCATTTCTCGTTGTCGCCGCCCCCTGCACCGGCGCGTAGATGGACTTTCCACACGGTGCTCTCCTTGTCATGAGTTGTGCCAGCAGCCGACTCATGCGTGACGTTTGCTATGAGGTCGTACAGAGTGGATGGGTGAGATGGAGGCGCATCCAAGTCTTGACAACAGCCGATCAGAGATGGGATGATGGCGATAAGTCTGAACTACTCACACTCTCGAAAGTCAAGTCCTCGGAGAGGGAAATTTACGATTGTGGGGTTTTTCTCTTCCACGAACATGTTCTTGGTGAAGCGCTTGAAATGCAAGATGATATATGGCGGTAGCTCTTGACACTTGAAACGTCGCAGTTGACCTGCGGATTCCTGTTCATAACTCAGCTAAGCACTGGACTCTATCTGTCAGGAATGCTGACCTGCGTAGTGCGACCATCATACTTTGCAAGGACCGAGTGAATGCCGACCTGAGGAATGATATTCTTCTCGATCGCATCCTGGAATAACGGCGGTGGCGGTAAATCGACGGCCAAAAATAGGAATGGAGACACAGTGGATTTGATCTCTGGAACAGCCCGTCAGTTATACATATTGATCGTTACGGGACAAACTACCTCGGTCGATATCGAATCGGGGTTTCTCATTGTCCCCGAGGTCGGGGCGCACCACGACTTGTTGTGTCTCCATTCGTACCTGGCCTTGAAACGCAGAGAATATAGCGCCTGCACAGACGTGAACACAAATCCCCTTGACGTTGGCAGTAATACGTACTTGATCGTTTCTTCTTCGTTCCACCCAAATCTTTATGGAGGTGGTTCAGCAGCCAACCTAGGAACTCGACTGGATCACCCTGTTTCTCAAGAGTAAATTTACCCGCACTTGCTCTGCCGACTTCTTGCAAGAACTCGTGCGGGCTGACTTGACTCTTGAACAAACGGGGGTTCCATATCTTCTTTGCCAATCCCGCAAAACGTTTCAGCAGTTCCGGCTCCTTGCCGCGCATGTTTGAGAGTAGTAAGTAGTTGCGCAATGGAGATACGTGGAGTAAGGCGTGAATGATCACGTTCATATGATCATTGCGCTTGATGTTGTTGAGGCCTATGTACCCCGGTATGTACGGTTTCGACGAGAGGTCGTATGACGGTTTCTGAATATGCGACGGCGTTGAGAGGCCACGCACGGTTGCTGGTGTGAAGGTAGGCGCAAGCACAAAGGCGATGTCTTCAAGCGATGGGTCGGAGACTAGGTATCCATCCGGCAATACATAGACCTGTCATACGCTTTGAGAAACATGAAGGGTTTCACTAGAAGGTGCGTACCTTGGTACTTTCAAGATTAATGAAGACGTGGTGGTCGTCGTGTATCGCGTGTGCGTAAGCACAAGAGTTTCGCCCTCGCCCCTGGAAGTACTTTCCACAGACGAGGCACCCGTATATGTTGATATTAGACAGTGATACAGAGCACACTTTCTCAAAATCAAAGTCCAGGACGGCTCTGTTGATCTAGGACACACGCATGAGATTATGTAGCAACGTAGGGCAAGAATACAGTACGGTATCAAGGTACATGTCAGACGGCTGGGATGGCTCGGCGGCTTTGCGTCTCCTTCTCCCCAGCTCCTCCTCCTCTTCGTCGTCTGAGATAGCCCCACCCAATTGCTGGTTGTCCGAGACACGCTGAGTGGTTCCGTCGTATGGAGTAGACTCGCGTCCACCTCCGGTGTCGACGCGGGCTCGCTTCGCAGGTGGCTCGGATGCGCCGGCGTCATTGGCAGAATTTGTCGCTGAGGCCATCATGTTGTCGAGCGAGCACGACAGAGGCAACAGAAGTCAACGTATGTGGTGGTGAGGGCTTTTGGTCGCGGTCGAAGACAGCCCCGAGACGACCAATGTACACGGTGAGCATGTGACTGAAACGCTGAAATTTCAAGCGATCCTACCGCGTCACGGTCGCGTTCTCCTCAGAGCAGGGCCTTCCTCTTCCTGCTCCTGCTTCTGAACACCCCTCTCCTGTGTCGGACTCGTTGTCCAGATCTTCTCTGCTTGTGCGCAGAAAGTAACATGCTTCGCTCGCGGTGCTGCAGGTCCTTGGCCGCCGTCTTGCGGCGGCAAACTGACGCTGTTTACTTCTCATCGAGTGCTGCCTCCTCATCCCATCAGCCCAATGCACCTCTCGATCTGGACCCATCGTTCCACGCCGTTCTGAAGGATGTGGACATGTCTCTTCTTCGTCAAAATTCTAGACATCCTACCGCCAGTCATCCGACTGCTCGCGTTCATCGCGAATTGGAGGTTTACCCTGAGGATGATGCGGCCGAGGAAGACGGTTACGAAGCTGAGTTGCCAGAGCCTCATTGGGATGTATTCGACTCCGGGGAAGGTCGGAAGTCTCCTGCTGCTGCGTTCGGCAGTCAGCAAGTTGGGGCAGTCGTCCTTCCGTTCGAATTGCAGAAGAGTATCGATCGCCTTATTGCAGGTCAGTACCTTAACGGTCCGCCGCCCTTCACGCATGCATTAACTGGGACATCATGCACTCAGAGTCCGACAAGCATATGCTACGCAACGATGCTACAAGACTCTTCTCAGAGGCAGCCGAGGGAACAGAAGACCCCGATTGGAACACGTCTTACAGTGCCCAATACAAGTCCCGGAAGAAGGAACGGTTGCATGCACAAAGAGACGGTACCGCGTTTGCCTCGATTGCGCTGCCGTCGCATTACTCTGTAGTCTATGCCGTGCTCGACCATGTGAAGCAACGTCTTGGACCCGAATGGGCAGTCGAACGCGTCATTGATTGGGGTTCCGGTACAGGTACAGGTCTATGGTATGTCTTACGTATTGATAGTTCTGGTGCCTCTCATTTATGGCTCTGCACCACGTAGGGCCTCATCGCACCTATTCCAAAAGGGTGACACAAATCCACCGGACAGGACCAATGCTGAATTGGCACAGTCGACCATGACAAATTACTTAGGAATCGACGATCGGGAGGGTCTGGTCAGCATTGGCAAGCGACTTATCCGAGGTTGGTTGTCCCATCCGTGATGCTACGCGTTGCTCACGCTACGTCTGTTAGACATCGAGCTAGGTGGATTGAATATCTCGTGGCAGAAGTCCTTCCGAGACGACAACGTTATCGAACGTTCTGAAGGAAAGAACGCACTAGCGTTATCCGCTTTCCTGCTGTCTTCGACACCCACCTCACATGCGAGGAGGGCCCTCGTCAAGAAAATGTGGGAGAGTGGCGCGGACGTGATGGTGTGTCAAATTTTCTGTACGCGGAGGTTTGTCTGACGTCTTTGCGAAGGTTCTGATCGACCACAATACAACCACTGGGTTTGAGTGCATTGCGGAAGCCAGGGAATATCTACTGAAGATGGGAAGGAAAGAATTGGAAGACCCCGCTTTCGACGGAGCAAGCATTCGTGGTTCTCACGTCATCGCGCCGGTAATATTGTATCCGACGATCCCGCGTCTGCATCCATACTCACATTTCTACTAGTGCCCCCACGACGGCGCATGCCCATTATACACGTCGGGTGCAACAAAACTGGTGTGCGCTTTCTCGCAGAGACTTCAGCGGCCGGAATTCGTGCGCAAAACGAAGCACTCGGGAGTTGGACACGAAGACAGCGGCTACACATACGTCGTGGTACGTAGGGGCAGTAGGCCCTTGCCATCAGGCACGAAAGTTGGACGACTGGGCTATGTCGGGAAGCGTGAAGCCGCAAAGGCGGCGCTGAAGCAGGAGCCGGTCAAGGAACTCGTCGTGGAACACGATTACAGCGATGTGAGAGCAGGATCTGGCAACCCCCTCCCTTCCCAACCGGAAATGGCTGCGACGTCGAGCGCTATAGAGCTCGCGGAGAAAGATATGCAGACCGCCCTGCGATTGGAAGCTTACAGCTGGCCTCGCCTCGTTTTCCCGCCTCTGAAGAAAAGCGGTCACATTATCCTTGACGGTTGCACGGCTGAAGGTACGTTGCTTGCGCTGTTGTTGCCGATTGCTATCCTCATCGTCGTCTGAAGGCAAGATCATGCGCATGACGATCCCCAAGTCGCAAGGTAAACAGCCATTCTACGACGCGAGGAAATCCAACTGGGGCGACATCTTCCCCCATGAGCCCAAGAACCGTCCTCAAGAGCGGTTCCAGCCGGCCAATAAGGACACTCCTATCAAAGGCGGGGACATCGGAAAGCGCAGGAGAGGCTCACCGCAAGCAGCAAGCTATGGTAAGATATCTGGCGATCTTAAGGAGCGTACCAGGCAAGAGAAGGAGAGGAGACGAGCGCGGCAGCTAGCGAAAGAGTTCGTTTAGTTTACTTTGGGTCTATGATGCACTCATTTGCGCGCTGTCCTCTTGGTCCGAGCACTCCACTCAGTACCCGCTATGTAGCATTACGACGCACTAATATGTACAACTACTGACAAGAGACACCATCGCTCCGCTCCGGTGGAACATCGGAATCATCAGTGAGAGTCGGAGAGCAGACTCATTCGTGGTCATGTCGTGCAGCAGTATCACTTGCAGTAGACCATCCAAAGACGCAGCTTTTATGGTCTGCAGCGGAAACTAGTAACCATCTCTGATTCGCAGGACGACTCTATTAATTGCTTGGAAATTAGCATTCACTCATTGTCGACTTGATCACGCTTGCCGTCGACATTAATATTGCCATCCGAATGGTCTGCGCGTTCGCTGTGCACACATGTGAGGATATGACATCTCGTACGGTCACCATGTTCAAACGTTCAAGCTGATGGTTGCGTACGAGGGTGCGACTGGCGGGCCAAAATGGACGCAAAGTGAAGTATTGGAGGCTCGAGCTGTCAGCGAGTGTGATGAGGTGAAATGTCACATCCATTGAACGCAGGAAAAATTACGCATAGCAGCGGAGGATATGTTCCTATCAAATTCAGTCTCGGCGAAGATGGCATTTAGGAGAGCATCGCCGCATCGAGCGCGTCCTGACATACGGTATACCTGGGCGATGCAGAGAATGCAGATGTTGCAGATGTCACAAGACGATTGGCAGGCTTCAGGAGCAAGTGTTAAGGCGACCAAAGAGGTACAAACGAATTCACCGGATACCGATTATGTAGTAGTAATCTATGCATCAGAGATTTCTATACCAGGACCCTGTCGGGAGCTTAGAACGACTCGTGTGATAGCGGTCGCTGTGAGGTATTTTAGACGCGATGAAAGTATGTAAAGGAGTCATGCGCACCAGGCTTCTTGTTCGCATCCTTCTTCGAAGAAGCTTCAGAGTCTACCAGGTTGCCCGTCGCCTCCTTGACCACGCCCAAGAAGTAACGAATATTTTTGACGACGTCAGGAATAGGGAAGTGCATCTGAGCACTGTCTCAGCGCAAGCGTTCCCTTAACAAGAGTAGGATGTATGCTGACCTTCGCAATGGGTGCCCTGATTGTCCCGGCCTTGTCGCCTTTCCACTCACTGGTACCCTTCAGTTTGCGGATGAATCCAGAAATGTTGGCGGTGACGGTTCCCCTACGTTCCGAGGGCATAAGACCTCGAGGACCAAGTATACGCCCAAGCTTCGGCGTTATTGCACGAATGAGGTCCGGAGTACACAGGAACATCGTAGCTTGATGCCGACCGCTGATGACCTGCACAACACGACCATCGGTCATAGAAACATATGATTGATTGAGAGAGACGCACACCGTCAACGAGCTCCGGGCCACCGACAATGTCTACACCCGCCCTCCTCGCCTCATCTGCCGCCTTGCCTTCCGCGAACACCAGGATGCGATCCTGAGTGGAGTTCTTCGTCTCTCTCGGAAGGCTGTAACGGCCCTTGGGAATAGTCGTACCCTTTACCAGGAGGGTCTTTACCACAAGTTCATACGTGGAGTTCGGCGCGGCGACCTCAACAGCCTAAACACCATGACCCGGTGTCAAAGGATGCGATGCGGTAGGAGGACGTGACATGGCGCAGCCTACCCGTAGCACGTTGACGGCATCTTCCAGCGTCATCTTCTCCGAGGCATAGATGCTCTTCTTGGCTTTCAGAGCCTTTTTCCGCGCCTTTGCGGCCAGCTGCGCCTTGGTCGGAGCAACGACTTTCTTCTTGTCTCGCCGCGCGAGCACGACCTGACTGCCGTGGAACTGGCGGCAGCTCTGCCATGTCTAGCGCCGCTGGCTTAGTATGAGTTTGTGGGATGGTCGTATGACACTTGCCCTACGAGATAGAAAGCCTTCCGAGGGGTGGCACCGCACACCCAGCTGCGCGAGGAAAGCAGACATGGTCGAGAGAAGGATTGAGTGCCACTGTTTCCCGGAACGGAGGAGGTCAATAGACGCCCGCTGCCCGCGCTCTGGTCTATGACTGGGCGCTTCTCTGGCTCGAAATTCACCGACTGTGTAATACACAAGTTCGTTGGTAAGTTGGTTATGCAGTACAAAATGACAGGCTATGAGTCATGATGCAGTGTGTGGTTTATTCAAACAGCCAGCGTCCTTTACGCCAGGTCTACGTCCGATGGGAAGCTCATCGTTTAAATCGCGTACGACTATAGTAAATACATCATGCGTACTACTAGGTTCAGGACTTCAAATTTCCTTGCAGTTCGTCCTCAATAGCTGCGTATGCGATGCCGTAGGCATTGGTCAGTAGCCTACGTGCAGGGCGCCGTACTTACCAATTCGGCGAGGCTGAATGCTTCTCGAAACGCGTTCGCGCTGGTCCTGCGGTAACCGTCCTCTCAGACCACAGTTCTATTCGATGAAACTTGTCAGCCGCCCCGATGTGAGCGGACCCACTAGTCGTGGTGCTCGATGATTAACTGGTTGCCTTCTCAATTCACATCCACGCTCGTTGACCGCTCAATAAAGGGCATACTATTTCTGCGAGCGGACTGATCATCAGAGTATTTTGGGCAACGTGCAATACAAAAATGGCACCTGGGAGACCCGTCGTTGCAACTGCCTTGGATCAGAAATACAAGCATGGTGAGAATGGAGCGGTGGCAATTCATCAGTCTGATATTGCGCTTTCTTCGATCGTCTGAGCGGACTGCACTTGAACATGACAACGCTCCGCCAGTACTTGCGATGCGGTTCACACGGCGAGTCCATGTTTCAATGAAGCGGGTTGACGATTTGGCGGATCGGGACATGGCCTAGCATTCTGCAAGCATTCTTTGAAAGAATACAATTCGTACACCGATAGAATGATGGTGTCAGTGCACTCGAACGGCGAACACGTACGGCGGACACGTACACGACAAAGGTAAACACCGACCTTCAAGGTACCAGAGGACCACGGGCTATAATATATTTGCCAGTAGTTCGCTGACTACGGAGAAGTAGTCATGAACCGTCTGTACGGACCAGCGGAGTGAGCTGAGAGGGGGTATATTGCAGCGCAACTGAGATTTCATACGATAGGTACAGCCGGGCTCCTCATCTCCCAACAGAATTTCATAAATATCAGAACCTCTCGCGACAGAGTAAATAGACACGTACCAACGCGTAGTTTGTGGCAAGATCGCACGGTGGCCTGCCACAGCTAAGCTTCCTAGTAGACCGGCCGTCATGCATTCATGGCTGAAACCGGCTGCATGAGTCATAAAACAGAAGCTCCGGTACGAAATGAAAGATGAGCTTGAAAGGCTTTATTACCGCGAAAGGACGTGTTTGAGCGGAGGTCGTCGGATGTGTGAGGACAGAAGCGCCGGTCCAAGTGCGACGCTCAACCATCGACAATTGCCAAATACGGATTGTACCCGATCCGGTCTCGGAATGCCAAAATTCTGAGGACGATCCTGAGCAGCAACCTCGTCGACGCGGTGGCACACGTACGCGCAGACACCCGCCCACCCGTCATGTCTTTCTCCCTCCTCGCCGTGCGCGACGCGCCGCTGCGCCTCCGCGTCGCCCAATCCTCCGTCCGCTACGCGAGGAAGGACACTCAAGGGGCCGACCCAAGAATGGAGCAAATCCGTCGCGCCCTCTACCCGACCAACATCCGCAACAAGGAGACACCGATTGGGTCGTGGCGGCCAGACGTCGGCAGACGCCTTCAACGCGCGATCCCCTCCGTGCAGGCGCACGAAACGATTGAGCGGGCGTGGTTCCTCCACCAGCGACACGTCCGACGGAGGCGCCAGGCGGAGCTCGAGCGCAAGCACCAGTGTATGGAGCGAGCGATGGAGGTTTGAGGGAGGTAGACCCGAAATTGTATAGAGAAGCGAACCAGGAGGAGGACCCGAGGGCACGCTCCCCCGAGGAGGTCGAGTTGGCGAAGACGTTGAAGGCACCGGAGAAAAGGGCACTGGAGTCGAGGATACGGGGTTTGTTCCCGAGAGAGATCCGTATACCGACGGACACGCCATCGCGGGATGGGTGGAATTACGACTGGAAGCCCGTATATCCCCGTGTATAGAGCGGTGAGCAGTGTGCGTATATCTACCATGAACCGTGCTCATATCCCACACAGGTCGTACTTCAGTCATGACATGGGTGCCAGTCAGGCTACCCCACTGTACTCATGTCTTTTCCAAGCCCCCCGGTTGCTTCCTTACTGCTCGCCTGATAATAAAATCTGGTTATCATGGACTCACGGGTAGCGACCTGCTCAACCTTAGCAAAATGCGATAGCAAGCATGGCGAAGTGAGAGCTACACAATGGTGATATACAACACGACAACATCCAGTATTTGAGACCTGCAATTCGCTCAGAACCTGCCTCCAGTCCTCTCCATCTCGCGCATGGGGGCGCTGAATGGGTCGCCGCTGACGTTGAACGAGGTGTCCGTTCCTCGGTTGCCGCTCTGCGCCTTGCCGACGATGGCGTTGTGCACGGACTCGAGGGCACCGGTCCACTTGTCGAGTGCGTCGTACCGTCTCTTCTCCAGGCTCTGCCTGAGACGGAAGGGAATGATGTCAAGCACAATATAGATATGTGAATGGGCGTGACCTACTTCGTTGACAGCTCGAGACGCATCGAAACTTGGTCGATCTTGCCCTCGACCTTGCCCTCGAGAATCAGTCCAATGAGGAGGTCTTCCACTTCATCCTTATCCACATTGAGTTGCTGGAACAACGACTATCAAAACTGAATCCATCGGATGGATGACGCGTAGTATGTACCTTGGCAAGGAACGACAGTTCGAGCCGAGTATAGGGCTTGATGAGGTCGATGAGATACTGGGTGCGAAGACTACGCAGCAGCTCCCCGATATACGACTGGATGAATGGGTCGTCCATGATCGTCCGGTTGTCTGAGATGCGAACGGTTGAGAATCTGCAGACCAGGACGTAGCGGATGGACACACCCTTCAAGATTTTCTCGGCGGTGTGAACTTCGCGTCGTTGGTATGCATCGACGAGATCGGTCATAGCCTTGATTTGAGGGTCGTTCTTGTACGGCTTCGTCTCTTGACTGTCGAAAGGGTTGACCTCGCTTCCGGTCAGCATGTTCGCCAGCACAAGGTACTTCAGCACTTGAATCCGCTGCGGCGAGCCCGCCTCATCGTAGTTCTTGAACGACTCGAAGAAGTCCTCACTAGCACGGTTCCATTGTCCTGCATGCCATCTCAGATCTCAGATGGCAGGTCCATATGGACAGTCAAGCTAATGAACACGCACGTTCGCCCATCCACATCTTACCTCCGCATTCCTTGATGACACCCAGGATCCGGGGATGCGGGATCGCTGAGCGCACGGAGTTCGATGCGTTGTAGATCTCCTTGAGCTTCTTGAAGTTCTTCATCTCGTTGTGCATCTGGATCTCGAGTGCGTATATCTCGAGGAGTTGCGTACCCTTCTGCGCGACATCCTCGCCATCTGTACCGGCTGTTGCTTGATGGAGGTCTCGCAGAACCTACATGTCGATTAAGGACGTAGAATGCAATCGCTATACCTTGATACGGACCTTGCCTAGCCGGTTGTATTGCTTCCTGTCGAGCCAGAGCTTCGCGAGCTTGAGGTTTGTCTTTGCTGACAACCGCTGAAGAGAACATGAGCGATGGCCCTGGGTATCTCAATTCCACAACATACGTCGTTTTTCGCCTCCAGCAGCGCCGCTTTCGTGGCCTGGTAGAACTTCTCGAGTATATCTACTTCAACGGGCCCGCCCTTCCCGCCACCGACGTAGTCCAAGATGCCGTTAATTGTCTTCTCGGAGTAGTTGCGAGTAACAGCGGACTTGGTATACGTAAGCAGCTGCTTGTAAGTCTCCAGTGCATCGTTCGGTCTGTGAAGCTGTAGAAAGAGGATCTTTGTCGATTGCTTCAGCGCTTTGAACCCCCTTGCGAACACAAGGGCGTCAACGTATATCGTGAGGCATAAGACAGAGCAACGCACCAGTCTCCTTTCTCTTCCTCCTGATCAACTATTGCTCGGAACTCCTTCAACGCTTGTTCTGGGTTGTCCTCTTTCTTCGCTTTGGAGGACATCGGAATCATGTGTAGGGCACGAGGACGGAGCCACTTACCCTTTGCCGTATAGTACATGTTTTCGACGTCTGCGCTTGCGGTTGCGTCCTCCTGGTCATCGTCAGAGTAGTCAAAACCGTAGTCCTAGGACTTAAAGGGTTAGGCTCATGTGCAGAGCAAGTAGATGAAGACCGACCTCGTCGTCGCTTCCTTGCATGTAATCAGCATCATCGTCATCCATGTTTGGGAATGTATTTAATGCTCAAGTCTCAACATCCAGTAAGCCTGTGTCATTTCGCCTAGAAAACTATCGCTTACAAGGAAATCTGAAGAGTACACAAGCCAGTCGAGAGCAGAAGGTGAAGGGGCTTGTGGCGGTCCGCGTAGCGGCCTACGCACTGTGGTCTATAGACGCCCAGGATCGCACGCGTCGCGCGATCAGATCTCTGGGAGACATGATCTGAGATTTCCCGATTTTGCTAGTCGAAGGCAGTAGGGTAGGGACTCGGCAGAGACATCACTTCTCCTAAACTCGTCAAGTGTAACACTCAGGAGTATATAGTAGGATGAAGGAAACTGAATTGAATATTCACCGCTGCCAAAGTACCGGTCACTTGAGCCACGTGACCCCGATCGGTGGCGGACACCCACAATCGAGCATACCGAAGGCGGTAGCGAACGACCTTACCATTCAATGAGAGACAGTCAAGACCTTGGCTCTTCTTCCTGCGCGAACTCTTCCATCCGCTATACCAGCAAGACAGGAACATGCAGATAACCACACAGAAAGAACAGGACGACGTCAACATGCTCATGACTCTGATGGGCGACGCGGTGTCCGTAGACGTCGCACTCAAGGTCTTGCGCAAACACAATGGCGATATGGACAAGGCAGCCAGTGCCTTGCTCGAGGGTGATCTAGGAGAAGTAGCCAGCACTATGGACACATCTTGGGCGGGTGGGCCAGCTGTCGGACCACGCACGCCTCCTCGTAAGTCTACCGTGATTAGCATGTACAAACGGTGGGACTGAGGGATCATATACGAGCTTCCAAGCCTGAAAAGGATACCTCAGTCATTGATCTGACTGCGGAAGATGAGGATAAAGAGCTTTCTCGAGCACTGCAGGCATCCCTTGAGGGTACAGGAGCGCATTTCGGACCCAGCGAAAGGGCGCCAGATCCCAACTGGGCCGTCGTTCCCTCTAATGTACGAGACAAAGAGTCAATTATTCACACTTGGGGACCTATGTTTAACTGCGACCACATAGGTGGCAACTTCTGGGGTAGACCCGCAGGACGAATCCTTGAGCCGTGCGATCGCAGCAAGCTTGGAAGATGCGCCCAGTCTAGACCACTACGACGAGTTGCCACTAGAAGAGAGACTGCGAAGGGACAAAAGGTATTTTGTCCATCGTTCAGTACGTTTGTGTCTCTTGCTCATAGTCATTTGTCGCCAGACCTGTGGCGCTCCGTCCGACGAGCTCGCCTATGGCCTACGCAGGGTTGCTCCTCCAATCCTTGTACTATGTTCCGCAACTTCGACATGCGATTGCACGTTGGGGTCAAATATACTTCGAAAAACAAACCCGGACGCAAGAAGATGCAGAAATCTCACCCCAGGAACCCGGCCCAGGTAGACGTATATACTAGTAAATAATCGACCCCGACGAACTGACACCAGGCAGATCTGCTAGTATGGTCCATGATGGAGATATTCGCAAATATGGAGATCGCCCTTCTCAGCGAGCTCAACTCCGACCGTGTCATACAAGCCTTCTCCCCGGAACCTTGGGGCAGTCCCATCGAACACCCTGGTGACCCGACCTTCGGTATGTCGACCGTAGGGAAGCTATCTTGGTTAATGACTTACAAATCCATCTCTCTGTTAGCGTTCTATAGCAGGATCGCTCGTACAGTTGAATCATCTGTCCAGGACGAGCCCGAGTGGCCAGAGTAGGGAGTCCTCTGGTTTTTGGCGGCGTAGGCACTATTGACAATGCACCTCCACCTTTTTTTCAGCCGGCTGTTTCACTTCCGCTACGGAGTGAGTACCGAGGACCTGAGCAAAGTACCCTTCGACGGCGCGCACGACCTGTCCGTCGTCAAAGTCGATGTGCGCGGGACGGAAGACGCCAACGACCTTGTCACTTGCTTGTCCTCGGAATTGGGACTTACGGGGGCCGTGACTCCTGCGACGAAGCAACGTGTGATCTTCGAGCCATCGGATATCGTCGCTTTCCAGCTCGTGCGCGATAATATGCTGCCCTCGTACGAGACGTCGATCGGTGCGAGGACGGAGCGGACGACGTTCAAGTATCCGAAGCATGTATATTTGGATCAGTACCTCGCCCAGAATCTGGCTCTGGGGAATAAGCTTCGGGAAAAGCAGCAAAGCCTCACGAAAGAGATCGAGGAGTTGTCGGCGAACAAGCTGGCCCTGACTCGTCACAAGGTACGACCGTTGTGCCTCAGTTGATTGTCCCTCGAACTGAGAAACACCCCGTACAGGATAGGGATACACTGACGGACTTGCGGTCATCCTTGCATTATTACGAGAATGTCGCTGAAGACGCAGGTGACGCGATCCGGAAGACCACTATACAAGACATGGCTCTGAAGCTTCGAAAGATCCTCACTCGCATCGAGAACGAGTTGCAGAGTAAGGATTACGGTCCCCTCCCGCGCCGGGTTTGCTCACCTTCAAGTAGGCATCGATGCCTCTCTTACGAGGTTGAAAACGAAGGCGCGAACCTGTTCAATATACCCGAACTACGACAACACAGGGTGCGTGATGCTGCCTTCCTTCGACACGAAACATGTTGCTGAATATGATGTAGTACGATCTCAGGGTCGTGCTAGTCCATGATGGCTTGTACGGCAGGAAGCACCTGTACTCCTATGTCAAAGAAAAGGGGACGTGGTGGAAAACGCAAGACTACCTCGTCACTGAGGTGCGTCACCACTCTGGTGTTTCGTTCTACAACTGACCAAGGGGTCATCAACAGGTGCCCGAGGAGACGGTCCTCAACGACTGCGTGGGTCTGCACCTCGGCGCTGGCCCGTACTTCCTCGTCTACAGCCGCGCTCTGTCAGAGGAAGAGGAGAACGTGCGGGCACACTGGCTCGAGGGCGTCAAGGTAAGTGTCCCTTTAATGAATCCCGTCCGTCGCGCTGACGTTGCCGGGTAGAACAGCGTCAAGCACAACAACGAGATATTCCTCTCGCAACTCCCGACGCAACTGGCATCACAAGTCCAGGATCCCAACTCACCTCCCACTTCCCCGTATCGCTCGCAGGCACCATCAGAGTATACCATGTCTTCTGGGACGGTCGAGCCGCCTCAATCGAGAGAGGACTTGATGGACGTAGACAGCTAAGGCGTTCCTGCGAGGCGAGGCTGTGTGAGGCGGACTGTGACTCTACTGACGGAACCACGAGTAGTTGCGTATTGAGCTCCCTCCTGTACACTGACACCACTGTACGGGATCTATTCGAATCGAACCATCCACTTCACAGACTACCCGATCGCAAATCGGTGTGTTGTACTCATTGTTCTTGTCCGTCTCGTAGTTGGCGCAGTTCACATGCGAAACCGCCCAACCGTTGTTTGACTCCCCGATTATGAAAGACACAGGAGCTTGCTGAAAGCGAGGCAGTTGCTCCCTACCCGGACGGCTATGATGATGGTTCCATCGAAGGGCGCACGATGTGCAACAGAGACCATGGGCGCGACCAGTACATAGTTCAAGTCTCTTTGCCACCCCATGACAGAATTCCTACTCACAGACGCATGCATACTCGGATAATATGAATACTTGTACCAACTCGCGCGACACCACGATGCAAGAAGCGGGACGAATGATGCGTGTGCAGAGCTTGCGACACCGCCGCGGCAGCATCGCAGCGAACCAGCCAGGAATGGTCGGGTGTACCGTACGTCTCGAATTATCAATGAAGAAGAGACAACCTTAGGCTGGATGGAGCGTGTCATGTCGTGAGACCGAGAGTGCTCCTCTTCAGACAGAAGGGGTGAGTACATAGCTGACACGGAACAAAACAACCGACGTACCAGCTTAATGATGTTGTCGCGTTCGGTAGGTGGCATCGCGAAGATCTCTTCCCGGGTCATAGAAATGATTTGCATGACAAGAGGCTATGATCGCACATGAGCACAAGCCACGACAGGGACAGAAGAAGAAACGTGCCTTCTGCTCGTCCGGCACCTTCTGCAGGGCGGCGGCCAGGATACTCGCAGCAGACTGCGCAGACTTCGCTGCCGGGGGTGGCGCTGGCGGTGCTGGTTGCGGTGGATATGAACTGAGACCAGGGATCTGGGCTGCAGTCGGCGGGCCGCCATAGCCGTGCTGAGGTGGAGGGGTCGAGTATGAGGGAGGGTAGCCAGCAGGTTGTTGCGGCGGGTACGTAGGGGTGGCACCGCGTTGTGGTTGCGGATACGTAGGGGTACCGCTGCGGTGAGCAGAAAACGTGGGCGTGCCTCCGCGAGGTGGGGGTTGAGCGAGGTGAGGAGGAATGGCTGGTATTGGCGGGGCTGACGGGCCGGGGACGGGGACAGGATGAGGTTGTGAGGTAGACACTGGTCCAGCAGTCGCAGTGTACGCAGCAATGGTTTTCTACGACGGAGTACATCGTAAGTCCAGCGTTCGGTGATCTCGGATGAGGCTTCTGCAGTCTTCACGTACCTGGACGACGTCCATATTCACCGCATTGACGTTCACCAACACAGCCATTAGGGCATATGCAATCTGAGGTTGGCTGCTCAGAATCGTTCGCGCTTCCTCTGGTGTAGTTTTCTTTCCATGTGAACACAAAATTGAGAGGCAATGATGAGGTACAGTACGGATACCACTGACCTTGAGCTGGAGAAGGAGCTCTAATAGCTGATCTTCTTGCAATGATTGTGTCGACATTGCTCGTCTACAGCACTTAATCTGAGCGTAGTTTCGCTAATTCGACCCTTCTGGCGGGCTGCGACTGAAAAAGCCAGGACGTGCGGAACGCGTCTACCGAGGCTTGTCCCGATCGTCTGGTACGCGCCTTCACAAACTCCCAGCACGTGGGCGTGTCGCCGCGACGTGCGCGCAATATGACACCTTATGAACACACGGCGCATCTCTTGCAACCTCCAGATTATTATCCGTACTGTACAATGCTATATTCAACTACAGTTTCGACGAGGACGCGCTACTACTGGATCCACAGGCACTTCAGGACATCACTGCACAAATGCGCGTAGCGAACATGCTCACGCCCCAACGAGCCCGGCGAGCTGACCCTTGGAGTCCAGACCGACGACAGCATCGCAGCCACCGACGTGCTTCTGGTCTATCCCTCATAGTCAGCATGCAGACGTCCAGACGGGCACAACGGACAACTCACTGATGAAGATGTTGGGGACAGTTTTCTGGCCTGTCTTTCCAGGAGGTACTCCTGGATCTCGCTCCCTTCATTCATCTCGTCAAGCCTGTGCACGGCTGTGAGCTTGTTCCCGTTCAACGTGAGCTGTGAGTACCCACTCGTAAATCTTGGTCTCCGTGTTGGGGAACTTGGACGTGAGCAGCGTCTTGGCACGCCTGCAGTACGGGCAGTAGCTCTTGGAGAAGATCGCAATCTTGTTCGGAGATGGTAGACTGGGGGATCCGTAAGAACTAGGGTTACAGAACCGCACTAAGTTGCGTACCTCGACGAGATCCTTGGCGGCCATGATCTTACGCTGGTGGGCAGAAGGGTTGGAGGAGGATGGGGCAGCCGTGATGGGGGATGCTTACGGGATCGGATGGGGGGGAGAAGAGAGACGCAAAGCCTCTATATAGTCGGGGGAGCATGGTTGTGTCAGCCTGAGCCCGCACCTGTATTCTTCGACGGCGCCGCTGACATAGCAGCCCGCTACGTTCACGTGGAGCCCCGACTTGCCTTTCCTGGATTTCATACCGTACGACCGACCTCAGAGTCAGGCATGCCCTTGGCGACCCATTTGAACGGCGATACGGTGAATTGTCTTTCGAACCCCCCGCTAATGAAAGTGCGTTCAAATCTAAAGGACTTGGCGCAGAAATTCCTGGACGCATCGGTCCGCACAACCTGTAGGATCATCCCATCAGATATCTGGATCGGAACGCCACGAGTAGGTACTCAGTACTAGTGTTAGCTGTCTCCGGCGGAACCGACGAATCATTGGTGATCGTGTAGACGTCGTACAACGGTGAGTCTGCCAGCCGTTTAATTGCAGTCGTGTTGAACATCGGCCCACATCGTCAGGAATGTCCACTGGCATTGTGAAGACTATCTGTGCAGCTCTCGAGCGCATTGCCCCAGTGCGCCTTGCAGAGAAATGGGACAACGTTGCCTCTCCCTTTCACATGTCTCACGAGAATGCTCTAACAGACTCCCAGGTTGGTTGCTCCTGGGTGAGAGCGTCCGTTGGGTGGGCATCAAGCATCGGCTTAGTCCCCCATTAGAGTCTCCCGTTACGCGTCCGCAAGCAAACCGCGTCCTCCTTACCGTTGAGTATGACAAAGATATCCCTCTGGAGTTCACGTCGCTGAGCACACCGTAGCCTTACACCAGCCGTGGTCATCGAAGCCCTCAACTCACCCACTTCTTTCATAGTCTCCTATCACCCTACCATCTTCCACCCCCTGAAGTCCTGACGCTCTCGAACCCCCTGCAGCGTCCTACTACGCTGTGCATCCGCGGTATCTCCATATACTCTCCGCACACAGCCCTGGACTCGTTCTCGGCGGCATCAACGACTGGCTTTGCCTGGGTCTAAACGATCAGACGCCCCCAAACAGACACATCAGCTACATCGGAGAGGACAAGGAGGGCCTTGGTGCTCTTGGCCGGATCATCACGTTCCCCGAGCCTGTGAGCATGAACGAGCTGCAGCGGCGCGTCAAAGCCCACCTCAAACTCGAGCACAGTACGCCGTCCGCTCATACTGTCCTGCACAACGTGTTAAGCGACTTTGCTACCTCAGTTCAAGTAGGGTACGCCGCCGCCGCGACCTCACGACCGTACGCTCAGTCGCAGTGTGCGCTGGGTCCGGTGGATCAGTCCTCCTGGGGTGGACGCTGATGTCTATTTCACCGGCGAGATGGTGCACCACGAATCCTCGCCGCACTCGGAACTGGTCACAACGTCATACTCTGTAAGTGCCCTCGATCTCCGCGGACCTCAATACTAAGCCCCGTCGGTACGCAGGTGGACACACGAACACCGAGCGCGGCTTTTTGCCCGTCTTGGCCGACCATCTGAAACGGCAGCTCGCCGACGAGCTACCTAACTTCGTAGTACACGTCAGCAAGGAAGATCGGCACCCGTTGGTCATCGTTTAGAAAGCAACGACCTAAAGCAACGACCTGGATCGCTGGTGGGCATTTAGACACGGGGTACGCGATATCACACTTTGTCAAGCCAGGAATGGTCGCCATCTAAAACAAGTGTTATTCGATGATACACTATACTACCGATCGACCTCTCTGTCATACGAGGTGAATGATTGGTCAGTTGAGATCGAAGACGCTGTAGTCCCAGGCAAAAGAAGACATACCCAAACACAAGATCCTGCGTGGAGACGTTGAGTATAAGATGTCAGTGATAGAGTTATCAATCTCTCACCATTGTACCAATAATAGCCACCACATCGGCAAGCATGTGCTGTTGAAAGTAATGGAGTCAGATTGCTTGTAAGCTTCGTGTAGACAGAACCCTTACATCTATACAGGGAGAGTAGTCAGTAACAAACATAACCAAGAACAAAGTCAGCGACTTACGTCTCATCATCATGTCCGCACCGGCAAGGTGCGCGAACCCGGGCGCGCGAATCTTGCAGCGGTATGGGCGGTTGGAGCCGTCGGAAACAAGGTACACACCCATCTCGCCCTTTGGCGCCTCAATCGCAGAGTAGGTCTCGCCTGGCGGGACGGAGTAACCCTCACTGAAGAGCTGTCGAAAGTCAAAGAACATCAGAACAGCCCTGCAGGCTCCCATGCACGCGGACGAACCTTGAAGTGGTGGATAAGCGACTCCATGCTCTCCTTCATGGACGCACGCGGGGGCGTGGCGATCTTGTAGTCATCGACCTTGACAGCACCGGTAGGCATCTTGTTGAGACACTGGAAGAGCCGCATGGTAAGCTTTAGGGGTAGGAGGCGTTCACACGCGGACTTGCCTGGTCAATGATCCGCAGGGACTCTCGGAATTCCTGAACACGGCAAAGGTACCGATCGTAGCAATCTCCGTTCTTCCCCACAGGAACGTCGAACTCGACCTACTCGCTTCGTGAGCCTCCTTGCGAAGGTGAGTAATACGTCTACGCACCTCGTCGTACTTGTCATATGGGGCGACCTTACGAATATCCCAGGGCACGCCGCTACCGCGAAGCATGACACCACTGAAGCCGTAATCCAACGCCTCCTTAGCAGTGATTTTCCCAATGTCAATTGTCCGCTCCTTCCAGATACGGTTGCCAGTGACAACCTCCTCGATCTCGTCTACACGGGAGCTAAACTGTGTTGCCCACATGAAGATGTCGTTCAGAAGGCCGTGAGGGAGATCGAAGGCGACACCACCCGGGCGGACATATGCGGCATGTAGGCGTGCACCGGAGACGCGTTCATAGAACTCCATGAGCTTTTCACGCTCCTCGAAACCCCAGAGGAAGGGCGTCAGGGCACCGACATCCATAGCGTGCGTCAGGACGGCCATCAAATCTGACAGGTGTGAATCTCATGGGGACCGAGAGGGGTATCAATGCTCACGGTTCAAAACACGGGTAAGCTCGCCGAATAGTGTACGGATCCACTTTGCGCGCTCTGGAACTTCAATGTTGAGCAGCTTCTCAACGGCAAGCGAGTAGCAGAGCTCATTTGTCACTGTTAATGATATTAACACCCAGTCCTGACCATGTCACTGAAGCCGACTCACTCATCGAGACGTAGTCGAGACGATCGAAGTAGGCAATGCTTGCATGTACGTCTTGTATTCAATCAACTTTTCGGTCCCTCTGTGCAGAAGACCGATATGCTTCATTTCGTATACCCGTTGAGTCAAGTAACGACGGCGGGCTGGTAGCTTCACTCACAGGATCCGCACGCAACACCTCCTCTCCATTCAACTCCAGAATCAAGCGAAGCACACCGTGAGCAGCAGGATGCTGCGGTCTGTCATACCGTCAGCAATGCAAACCTACTAGGCGCACTGAGACATACCCGAAGTTCACTACAGTTCATGTCAGTGAAGGCTACGGCAGCACCATGCAACCTGAACTCACCGGTGAAATGCCTCATCTGAGCATCTTTCCGAGTCCCGACTCTGCCAAATATCCGCCGCATGCATACCCTGCAAATCCTCCACAGTGTGTGTATCGAAAACCGTCCTGGCCCCCGTAGTCTGTGCGGACGCAGTAGGGTCGGCGTGCGGCTGAGCCTGCAGACGGGCGCGGTCGAGAGGTGTCGGCTGCTCAAGATCGAAGACGAGGCGACGAGCGCGGAGACAGCCTGGCCGCCTGCGCCAGCTGGCGGCGAAGGAGTGTGGAGGCCATCGTTGCCGTGCGCAAGCTCTCCGTCGTCGAGGTTGTCGGTACGTCGGTCTGTCGGTGCCAAACGGGACCGTCTCATTCGCCAGTGTGTCATGACCCTAATCCGGCTAGCGCGTCCACGGTCCCGTGATGGAGTCTTACTGAACGCCCGACCCGCCCAGTCCTGAGCTTCGTGGCCTTCTGCACTGCCATTGCTAATGAAGCTTTAAGCACTTACCGTACCAGCATCCTCTTCTTGACGAAAAGCCGACACGATGCGATCGCCGCTTGGTCTCTTCGGCATTATTGCGTTGGTGCTAGTGCCAGTAATGGCAGAGGACGGGCCTTGCACAGCGCGCGACGGCGATAACTATTACGACCTGAGTTCCCTCAGCGCAAAGTACGTGCCAGTCTTCTTGGTCTCACCCTTCCCCCATTCCCCAATAAGTCCTTATGCACCGGGATTCTCTTCGTGCCGCTATTGATTGTCGGTAGGGTCCAAGCTGACTGACGGCAGCCATACAGTAAGGACTATGAATTCGATTCGCGTACTGGCGTGAAGTTCGTCATCAATGTCTGCAAGCCATTCTATCGGAGAGGTGGGCACTCAAAGTTGACAGGCCCGAAGATGTCGGTGGATTGTACAGCACGAACGTGGTAGCTTTCGATAGGGTGGGTATTCCAATCTCCAGGGACATCGCCCGCTTACGTCCGACAGGTATGCGAACACTTCCCTTGCGGTCCTCAATGGAAACCCAGTGTCAATCATGACGGGTGGGTCAGAATGCGCGAGTGCACAAGGCACGTACGCCTCCTCAGCCATTCGCTTCGTGTGCGATACGTCCGTATTTGGTGCTGGTACGTGAACAGTCTTCGGGAAGACCTGTCGCAACACGGAGCTGAACTGTCACCGAAGGCAAGCCGGAACTGGTTGCACAACTACCACCGGTGACAACGATGCTTGCGCTTTCTTCCTCGAGTGGCGTACACATGTAAGTCTGCTTATGCATCGCTCGACCGCCTGGGTTTGAACATCTCGTTAGGTAGCCTGTCCCACTCACGAGAAGACCGGTGCAGTGGGATTCGTAACCGTCGTATTGGCGATGTGAGTGTCTAATCGCCATGTCCACGATTGACATCGTCTCATCCGCCGTTAGTCTGGGAACGCTCTTCATGCTGTACATCCTCGTCGGGACGTTCTACAACCGCTACGTGCTGGAGTTACGCGGCTTCGATCAGATCCCTCGCGTGTCCTTCGGTGGCATTCTCGAGTCTGTCAGCGGTTGCGTTGACAGAGTCAAGCCAGCTCGTGGCACGCCGGGCAGGGGGTGGACGCGGCGAACCCAGGGCGATTACAGAGGACTGGCGGAAGAGGAAGGCAGACTGATGGCAGGACCTCCAGGCTCCTGGACGAACAAGACGAAGAGGAGCCAACGGCGGAAGAGCAGAGTACGAAGCCGGCAGGGATGGGCGCTGACGGAGTCATTCGCCTGTAGTTGGCAGCATGTCACTGTGCATTAGTGCTTTGCTCGACATATCTATGTGATGTACTAGGTAGTGCGCTGAGCGCCTTGGCGTATGTGCAGGCCGCGGCGTGTCTGCCCACGGAACCCGTTTGGGGGAGGGTTGCGGGCCTTTCCAGGGCGGTTGCTGCGTTGCCGGGTCTTCCGGGGCGATGGCACGATAACGCGACGGGGTTGCGGGGGCGGGCAGAGAACAAGAGCAGCGACGGGGACAATGGGGGCACAATTTGTGTGTGCGCGGTGTTTGGGCTCTGCGTCCGGTAGCCTGCATGCAGCGGGCGTCGCGGCGGACAATACTTAGCGAGAACAATCGGTCGAGTGAACGACGGGCGTCTGGGGGACGGGAAGGGGACGGGCGTCTGATTGCTCTGCGCTGGACGTAATTGAGGATCCGCCACTGGGGATTCGAGTCGTCCTCATTGTGTCTCCTCCTCCGTCCCCTCTTCTACCTTTCCTCTTCTCTTTTTCTTCTCTTTCTCTTTTATTCCCCCTCTCTGTCTATCCACGCCTCACGACGACAGCCACGACCCACCATGGATCCCCACCACCAGCAGCCCATGGACGAGCCTCAAAACTTCCTCCCCCCCGCGTACCCGATGTACGCGTCAGAAGATGACCAGTACCTCGTGTATCAACAACACCAGATGCCATACAATCAGGTCGTGCATCCTGGCCCTCCTCCGCGTGGGTGCAATGCCTCTTTGTCTTCATCTCAGCGGGCAATGTAGATCTGATACGCCCGCCTGCGGCATTGCTTTGCCATTGCATGCCTCGTTTACAGGCCAGATGTCCGATTCAGACCTTCAGCAAGCCATACAGTACCAACGTTCTCTAAACATGCATATGCCTTCCCAGGCGCACTATCCCGCCCCCGTGTATACCGCGTCGCCGCCACATGGCGTGATGCCGCTCTCTGGGTCCCCTCCCCCGCCATCCCCCAATATGTACGACCCTCTCTCCCCCCTGTTTCGGGATCAGACACATCTGCGGACGGGATCTACCATCATTCGCGACACAGCTCCGCGACAGGTTCCCCATCTTCGTCGCGCGCCAACTCCCTCGTACACAGACACCCGCTTCGGTACAACCCGACCCCATCGCCTACGAGTTCGTCCGCGGGGCGTCGAAGCCGAGGTCGTTCGATTTCTGACGACGACGACGGGATGGGTGTTGGAATGGCTGAGTCGCTCGCGAACACGCGCAAGGAGGCTACCCGTAGGCAGAGGATAGAGGCTGAGCAGCGGCGGCGCGATGAGCTCCGGGATGGCTATGCTCGGCTGAAGGAAGTGCTGCCGGTCTCGAACCAGAAGAGCAGCAAGGTATCTCTCCTAGAAAGGGGTACGTCTCACACTTATCCATGGACGGATTCTCCGCTGATCGTCGTCGTGAAACGCAGCCTGCAACCATATCGTTTCCTTGGAGAAGTCTAACAGACAACTGCAATCCCGTCTCGCGCAGGTCGAGGTCGAGGTTGTGCGATTGCGCACTCTTAATGAGAAGATCTCGCTCGGCGTCGGGAACGGTAGTCCTTCGCCAGCCAGGTCAACGTGGACGCTCGACCGCTGTCTCCGCCGCCTGAGGAGTCGCAGCAGCATCAACTCACCTCCGTTGCTGGGCAACAGCCACCGGAGGAATCGAGTCCATCAGCCTCGGAAGGTGGATTCTAGTCCTGAGCAACCCACGGCGGTGCCATAGCGGCGAACGCCCTCCTGCGGACACCATCTCCATTTCTTCATCTTGCCGCAAGCTCGCTCCAATTACACTGTCTATCCAATGCCTCTTTCTATCCTTCCTGCGATCTGTGTTGATTCTTCAGCGGAGTGCCCGACGCCACCTCTGGGCAGGGGCAAGTATTCTTGGACCAGAAGACGCGGGAGGGCCGGTAACTTTCGATTCCGAGGTCTGTCGGTCGAGTCGGTGGCGCGGGGGCCTATGCACAGCGCCCGGAGCCTGCACCCTTACCCCTGCCCCATCGCCCTCGATCCACTTCATCCCTCGTGAGTCCTGTAGCTTGACGCTGCAGGCTGGTGTATCGCAAGAATCGTACTACCGGACCCACCGTGACTCGCCCATCCGATCCGAGGTGGGAGTGGTTGTGGAACTTCTGCCGCTCGTCGATCGATGGGCTGAGGGCACCCCTCCTCCATTGCCACCACGTATTCACTCTGCATGTTGAAGCTGAGCAATGAGCAGACGCGGGTCCTGGTTGTGAGTGCACATTGTATGGCATAATGCACGCCGGGCCCAAGTCTGTCCGCTCCTCCCCTCACTGTATCGCGTCTACCACTTCTCTCGGACCGAACATTCTTGTAGAACACGAAACTACGTTATTAAGGTCTCTATCGCCTCCGTAGCCACAATTCTCCATGTTCACAATCTGTCTTAGTTATCTGAAGCCACATCTGTATTAGCAACTGGGTTTGGGAATGCGACCACCATACTGCAGACAAACACCATTTGCGCTATGGCGTGCTTCTCAGACCGCTCAGAGGTCGACGGGATAGAGACAAAGCCTATCCACTGGCTTGGATTTGTGTCGGTCTAGGCGGTCCGGATTCAGGATAATGCTCCGTCGATTTAATTTTGTTGTCGACCACAGCCTTGCGTAGATCGCCACAGAAGTCGAACCCATGGACCTGTGAGCTAGCCAATACAGGCACTCGTACACATTGAGTTCGTCCGGCTCGTGTGCAGACTCGTTGGCTCATCTCCAACATCGAAGGGACACCTATGCAGGTGCGGTCCGGGTGCTGGCCTTGGCCCGGAGAGGCCGCACATCGACCACAGCAGTCGTAAGAATATACTGTACCGTGGCACAACATTAAAGCTCAGGATCGTCTCCGGGCTAGCAGATCGTCGATGACAAAAGCAGGGGTCGCTGCCAGGTAACGCAGAACAGCAGCGCAAGAAATAAAACTCGCCATACAATAACGTATGTACGGCGACGTACAAACCAGGATGCTGCGGACAACTTGAACCATTTCGTCGGCGTGTACAACGAGTCGCCCGAGTAACGCTAGAAGTCCGCCCTAGCATCCCGCTCCATCCTGCTACGGCATTAGCCCAGAGGTGCAGCGAGGCATTATGGGAAACACGGGCTTCCGACTACTTCCGGGAACGCCGCTGATGCAGGGCTGCTGAGGAAGTTCTGTCTGCGAACATCATGCTACACCGAGTTAGTCTGGCACTGTCTAGGCAGTGTTGAGCCAACTCGCTGGAAGATACTACGTAGGCTGGCGCCTGCATCGAGCGATCTCCCACTGCGTCCTGTAGCGTCCTGTGTCGCCATGCCTTCCTGAGCTGCCTTTTTCGGATCCTGTGGGCTGAAGTGACAGAGCCCGGCGGGACCGTAGCGCACCGCATGTTCAACACGTTTTATGCTGATGGGGGTCCTACTTCAAGCTTCACCGTCATTGTCATGATTATTGTGCTAGGGGAAGTTGTAAGGCGGACCAAAAATTGCTGCGTAAGCCGGTGTTCAACGCAGCAACAACATAGACCGCGCGCTCACCTATGCTCCACAAGTTGGTCTGACCATTTGGATTTGGACAATGTTCCTTCTATGGCCCCGGCTTCAGTAACTACCTTCGATAGATGGATGCAATACATCGGTCGAGCACAGCGCTCGGGTGTGATGCAAACAGTGAAGAGGCAGGAAGCAGCCGACGGTCATCCGGGTGCTGTCTGCAAGAGCAGTTCATTCCTACCGGCGGCTGTCAAACAGTGGCTTTGGCTCAAAATAAGGAACCGCGATCGCTCAGGAGTCTAGGCACCTGAGATGAAAACAGTAGACTGTATCCGGAGGAACGTGTCAGTGGAACTTCTAGACACCTGGACAAACCTGCCCAAAGACAGCGTGGCGCTCACCCGTCCTGGACCATGTCCGCTGTAGGAACACGCAGACACAACATGCGCATGCATCACCGATGATCACGTCGGGGTTGCAGGAAGAGGCCTGCTGAGTAAAGCACGGGGCATTACAGGTGGGGCGTATGTTGGGACTGATCGAGGAGCACAGTCGTTGAATGACTGGAACTGCAGTAGACAAATTCATGGCGGCGTTTCGCAATGGCGCGCTGCACATCACAATGTCAGTAGTCATTCATTTCATTGATCCGGTAAATTTGAGGAGGCCCGTGGAGAAGCTTCCGTTTTCCGAGGGAGAAATGAGCGTGAGACGAGTGGTACACCCTGAATAGCTTCTGGGCCTTACACCGCCGATGGCACCATTGGCCAGTACAAGAAAGAGCTGGGAGCAGTCCCGGGCAAACCGGCCTCGGCTCTCTCCTTGGTTGAGATGAGAGTGGGATAAAGTTAATCAAGGTTCGAGAAATGTGAGTTGTCCATACGGGCGGATCGTCGAAGACGAAGCACGATGAAAGGAACCACTAGAACCTCAGGTCGGAAAGAGGGGTCCGCTGCTCTTTTGCGCCGGGGAACTCGACCTCCGCTATCTGCGCGCAACAGATAGTAGATGCACGGACGCCACTTCCGTCGGCGTAGTCACCGGATCCTTGGTCTCTCCCATCCCCTCTCGCGAGAGACCCGGCTTATCGGTGCAGGACTCCCAGAAAGAGCGCCTGACGGTCATGGGGGCAGAGCGTATACGTACTCTGTTGACTTTGATAGACGACGGCCTTGTGGCGGCCGGGACTGGAGCGTCAAGAAGCCGTAGACGAGTATGTGCGCGCGTCACATAGGAAGTGAACATGGGGTAATCGCAGTTGCAGACATTGCAGGCCGGGGCACAGGAATGACGGCAATTCTGCGCAAACCATGTGTTTTTGAAACGGATGGCTGTGGAGGTGACCATAGAGCTCCGGGATTGCGCATGACGCAGCCTCCCAGTACTTAGGACGCACCAGTATGGTTTATTCGGTCACCCAAGGGAGTAGCCACGAGGTCGTGAGTTGACTGTGGGTAGCATCCCCGCTGAGGGCACTGTGTGAGCTACTGCCTATGCGAAATGAATTTGCTCTGCAATGTAAACACGACTCCGGCGTGAAGGGAAGCCCAGGAGCAACTGAACTCTGCCGTATGTATGAGCCGTTATGGTCGTATGACTTGTATGAGGACTTACGTAGCGAAGGCTCTTCCAAAGACGGGTCTCGAGCAATATGTGGCTGCAGGAACCGGAGCTTCTGTCAAGTCTGTGCCAGTGCAAGACACACTGCAGTGATGGTCAGCATAGCAGAGCCGCTAGCGCCCAACGCACGGACTCCGGCGTCTAAGCGATCGTACTGAGCGTGACGTCAACAGGGCGCGTAGGGTCACGCGGGAGACGGTCACGCCCGAAGCCCGCGAACGTGCCTCGCAGGGCAATCCGTCCCACCGCGACGACAGCCAGCTCCCAGGCTATCCCTCCTCCTCTCGTTACTTGCTCCAGCAGCGCCAGGGTCCGCCGCGACACCCAAGCTCCCCAAAGGACTGTCTCGTCTTTCTCTCTGGCATCAAGAACGCTGTTGTGATTCAAGTGACGTCTCGGACCCATCGCATTCTATTTCCCCTGCGCTCTACTCTGATCTGCAGCTATGTGGTAAGCAGATCTTCGAGCTGCGGTATGACATCTTCGGCTCATGTCTTTGCTTGCTGTGAAGGTGTGATAACTGTCTGCTAGTCCTGCCTTTGGTACGTGTTCAGCTTTCTGGGTGGTCACCGTGATATCGAGACTACTCCGCGAACAGCGTCATGGCGCTATGGCCTGGGGCGTTATTATGACGGTGGGTTCCTTTTTCGTATGTGCCGCGGCCAAAGTGAAACATGTTCCCTTTAGTTGTATAGCATCGCAGGCGGAATCTTCATGTTCGAGTGGGGCATGTACATATTCTTCACGTATCCCGAATGGTACGTTCCCCCGTGGTCCTTATGAGACGAGGATTGACCGATATTGTAGGGCCATCTACGGCGGCATCGCAATGGCAATCGCTGCTGTCTCCCTCATCAACGTGCTTGCGCTTGCGAACGTGAGTGACTATGCGACTTCCGCGACCAAGCAACTCTCCGACATGAATTGACGCGGCCCGGCGGGCGATTCACAGAGATCCTACATCTGGACACGCGTGTGCAAGTTCATTTGGCCCTTTCTCATCGTGATCAGCTTGGTTCGCGCTATCATCATGATCGTCGAACTGCAACGCGGGTACGTTGTTCCCTATTCTGATTCTGGGTCGGTGGTGCTTCGTCTCTGTGGCATCTGTTCAACATACATTCCGTTGGCCTTTTTTGTGCGCGAGTACAGCTAGTGCAATGGTGGCCTCTTACTCCGTCAGACGACAGCGAGCGCCACGGTCGCGTTCCCGGGAAATTTGCACATTGCAAACACAGACACTGGAATTACTGTCTGCTCCTTGGATGTGTCCACTACTGATTCTTCGTGCCGAGGTCCGTGTTGTTGTCGGTTCTGACTCACGTGGTTATGAAACAGGAAAGCGAAGATCAACTGGGAGTGTGACAATGGACAGCAGATCTGGCCTGCATCAGAGGAAGCTGGGTATGGCGGCTCAAGTACCATGCCCTCTGTCATATGCACTGCCGGTTTCCCGACGCTCTGGATCGTCTTCATTATCGCCCTGCTCGTGGACTTTGTCTTCCAGGTAAGCGCCTCCAATTTACAGATCTCAGTCGCCGCCGTAGGTGTCTGATGTCAATGCTGGGACCCCGCACTATAGCTGTACATGTTCTTCATGACATGGAGGTACGAGAAGTTGCTGGAGCATTACAGCAGCATGAAGCCCTCGATCGGAGGTCAGTGTTTCATCGCCCGGCCTCCGCTGCCTGTGATTGAGCTGGACCTACTTCACAGGATACTACTACAACGCCTAGGAGCCGGAAATGCGCGTGTCTCGCCGATGCGGACTCACTTCATACCCCGAACACTTCTGTTTTGTTCGCTCACCCTTTGTTTGTCGCACTTGGTTCCGGCTTTGCTCTCGTCACGACCCGTCACGACTTACGACCCCGTTACGCCTGACTTATTGCTATATCTGACGACTCGTTATGACGCTCCGTGCCTAGTGATTCTATGCTTCCAGTCTACCTTTCGATTGAGCGCGCGCTCTGCGAAAGCGGGGCGCTCGCTGGACAATCAATATAACGTTACTGCTCAGCCTGGGCCGTCAAGTGACACGGAGTTACGACAGCAACTATCGTGAACGTTCCGCAACCTGGGTCCGTCCGATGTGAAAGAATAAAGACACAGGCTGAGGAAGAGACGTATATTCCTTTTCTGCCGAATTGTATTATTCTAGGCGAGAAGACAACAGGCGTTGGATAGATGCACATGGGGGATTTGATCGGAACAGCGAAGGAAGGTCGTCTGGAAGGGAACGGGAAAGCCAGATGAGGATGCCAAATGAAGGGCGAAAGAAGAGGAGTGGGACGCAGCCCGGCAAAAGGGAAATGAAAACAACGATGTGAACGCTGGGCTGGCTCGCGGCCATGAGGCGTCGCTAAAGAGGGGACGGGTGGATAGGATTGGCCGATGGCTCGGCAGCGTAGGTGCGGTCGCCTGAGAAGGGATAGCGCTGAGATGTCTGGCTGACCTGAGCAGATGGGCGCACCTGGGGAAAGGGCGGCTGGGAGGGTTCGGAATAGAGGCTCGACGCCCTTGCCTGCCTTTGCGGGAGGAGGGAAGCGGTGATATGAAGATAAGGTAGCAGCGATCGATGGAGGGGCGGTACGGGGACTGGGTACGTAAATTGGGGGTAATAGCGCGCGGCCCCCGACGTGGCGAGTGGGCCAGCAGGAGAGGTCCGTGCGCACCCGGATCCCGGAGGGCGATGCTGCTAGGTGAGTCGAGTGTCCACCCAGACGAGCTGTGTGTGATGTGTGAACGGACGAAGAGGACCACGATCAGCGTTCGAAAGGCAAAACTTCGCGGAGTGGACCGAGAAGCGGGGTACCCGGGCGAAGGGTGGTGGTGATATGCTTTGCGGAGGCAATGCGTGGCGAGTGGGACACCGCTGGGCCGGGGAGACGGGGAAATGAAGGCTGAGCGTGTGGAGGATTGGCAGGAGGGCGAGGAGACGCTGTCGGCTGATGGGGAGGACTCCGACGCAGGCCAGGGCAGAGAGTGAGAACGCTGCTTCAACTGGGCGCGGAACCATTTCATTACTGTCACGCGCGGAGGCATTTCCGGCGGCGCGTCACGGTGTGTCACGCGTTACCGCATCCCGTCACACACACGAGGCAGCGTCTGAGGCGGCATATCCGTCTCGGGGTATATAGCTCTCCTGGCCTTCCCTCTCGTCCCTTATCCCCTCCCTCCGTCCCGCCATCCGCCGCCCCCTCCGCCGGTTCCTTTCTTAGTTATTGTCCTCTTGTTCTCGCTGCATCCAGTACAACCCGGCATTTTTGTTGTACTCTCGTCGTACGTAACGTCCTCACAACCCGCATACAATAACCTGACATGTCTCCCGCGCGGTCCCGAATAGGCACCTGGCATATTTCAGTCTCATTTATTTGCATCGTCATCTGTACACATCCCCGCAATATCTGTGATACTCGCACACTCTCGCTCACGTCCGCATCTGTTTGCAATGGAGACCGCGCCCCTCGAACACGCTATGGACCACTCTAGGACCCCTCTGATTTCATGGACACCTCCAACTTTGGCAACTATGACGCGCTGTCGGGTCTTGACTACCTCCAGTACCCGCACTCGCCATTTAATGTGTCTGCCATGGGCCGTAAGTCGTGCCGTCAAAGTGCGCGTTTGTCAGGTTTTGACTTTGATTGACAGTTCCGCCCGCCGGTGGCTCGCCGCGTCTGGGGTTCAACTCGCTTAACCTCTCCAACGGTCTGAACGAGTACACGTACACATCGAGCCCGTCCTACACGACTGGGTCCCCCGCGCGTCCGTTCACGCCCACCGGCATCTACCCCGGCGCCCTCTCGAACCTCAGCACCGGCGATCTGTCCTCCGACAGTGTCGCCTCTGGCCGGAGCCGCCGCGGCAGTGGCACGCACTCGCCTGGTCCTTCTGCCCCACCTGGTTCTTTGGCGGCTGTTCCCCGCTCGCACCGCTTCAACCCACTCGCTGCTCCTGTGACGCGTACATCTGTGCGCCAGCAGCAGCAGAAGAAGCGGAGCAAGGGCTCCGAGGAGTTTGACAGCGACGACGACGCTGATTTCAACCCCACGAGTACGTTGGCGAACAACGACATGCGTCGCGAGGAGATCCGTCGTCAGCGCATCGAGTCGGAGCAGCGGAGGCGCGATGAGCTCCGTGACGGCTATCGCCGTCTCAAGGACGCTCTGCCGGTGTCTAACCAGAAGTCGAGCAAGGTCTCCCTGCTGGATCGCGGTAAGCGGCCTTCTCATTGTCCCTGTATTTCATGATAATTAATGACTTTGGCAGCGACCACACACATTCGCTACCTCGAGATGACCCAGCAGCAGTTGCAGACGAGATTGCAGGCAGCCGAGGCCGAGACCGCCCGTCTCCGACACGTCAACGAGGCGCTCATGCTCGGCACCGCTGAGCAGCGTCACGCCGCAGCCGCTTCCGCCGTCGCCGCCGCTCAGCAGTCCTCGGCGCCGGTATACTGAGCGTCTCGACGACTCGCCGCAAAAGCTCGTCAAGCGCGTCCGGACGTGCGAGCAACTGCAGACATGGACTATTCTAACGTGTATACGATGATATCATGAGACTGGAGACGCTCCTGCCAGGCCTGCAGGGTGCTTACGACAACCATGGACTATTTCATGCATATCCCACATTGCATTTTTACCCATTTTTATTCCCTTCATACCGGCATCTTCACCCCGCATTATTATCACCACCATCCCCCGCATCGTTACGCCTTCATGACCCGTCCACGTTTACCCCTTTCGAGTGGCGCTCACGACGAGACGAAGCTAGGTCGGCCTCTGCGTCGGCGACGCACGCCTGTTCGACAACTAGTTCTTGGAATGCCCGGCGGCCGAGCCCCACGAGATCGACACGATTCACCCACGAAGACGGCGCCCGCAGTTGGGTTCGATGCGGAGGCGCGACACGACACTGACGCAAGACCGCGGCGGAGAGCTCGAGGCGCATTGGTCGTGTCCCCAGTGATGCGCAGTGCCTCGCCCTGCTGTGTGCGCTTTCTTGTTTTTCGTTGTCGTTGTCCCCTACCGCTCATCCGACTCAGTCCCGCCCTGCGCTTGTTGGCTGATGGCGACGACCACTTAGCTGTGGTTCCGTGCCTCGCCAGCGGCGTGCCGACACATTGGCTCCTGGATGTCAACACGCTCTCATTTACGCATTTCCCCCGACTTTCGAACGATTACGACCTCGATTACGCCGCAGTCCTCGTCTAAGGGCTACCCACTCCGCCATACGCCATACCTCCTATCCTTGCTACTTGCGGAAGTGACGGCGCTTGATCACCGTCGCCGCTCTCGCTGAGCCGCATCTCCCCCGTCCTCTATTCCGTTTTCTCACCTTGGCTATTGGCACCTTCCTCGACAAGTCCTCGCGTGCCGCCTGGTCCATGCGCACCGCGACTGACTCGCTGCTCCCAGTACAGCTGACGGCAACCAGCCAGGGAAGACACGGCAAGGATGGGGACGTCAAGTGATGATACATCGTTTCTCTCGTCCGTCCGCACTATCAACTCCTGCGCGCATCGCGTCCGCCTTCGTCCTCGCTACCTTCTGCCTGCTCAGTTCTCCCTTCACGCGTGCTAGTTCATGCGCGACGGTGAGATAGAGCGTGGCGAACGCGGCTATGGATGTCGTCGATGCACCGTGCGCAGCTGATGTTGTTGGAGCGCCGTCCGTCTGCTCGTCCGCGCGCTGCTCGGCCTGCTTGCAGGCCTTGAGCTTCTGCGCAGACACTGACTGACTCGACTCGACTAGACTCACGACTGTATCATCTTACGCCTCAACTCATGCCCCGGAACTGTCACCCATGCCAGTGCTGTACGTAGTCCTAGTACTATTGCCCGCTGTACCATGCCCCACGCAGCTCGAGTTACCTTGTCGATCCTTTTTTTGCTACCCATCATTCTCGCAGCTCGCTAGCTCGTTCTGGGGCATGGTCCGGATGTATCCCTTGCATTTGTTGACCAGTCTAGTTACGACCAGTACGCGATCCTCGTTTGTACTGATGACAATGATATGAGCTCTACGCCCGAACGTCCCTTGCGTGCGAGTGAACCCCCAACATCGGTATCACTGCAATCTAAGCTAGAATAAGTCCGTCGGTGCGGTGCCGGCGTGGGTATTGGCACCGTCTGTAGGCTTCATCAGATGTGTAAAGAGGCGTGCTTCGCTCTCTCCTGATCGACCGGCGTGTACAACCACCACGCTCCCGCGAACCACTAGAGTTGTGAGTCGTGCCACGCCTAAAATTGGGTTGACTGAAAGGCAAATGTGGCCTTCGCACTGACCTGCCTAAAGCGGTACTACACTCGGAAACAATCGACACGATCTCCTCCGAGTCAGTGGAGCGGCCCCTGCTGAGGAAGAAACTAATGGTGAGGCCTTGAGGATGGTAACCTCGATACTTGAGTGATCTGCACGTACCAATTCACATAAGTCACTATTGCTTGCTTTGCATCACAGTCGCGACGGCGTCATCTGCCACACCAACTGGGCTTGCCACGACTGCACCTGTATTCGCGCTTTGCGCCAGCGCAGGGCAGTTCCTATCACGGCCTTTCTCATGAAGTGAGTAGATGTCACGGCACTATCAAGACGATTGACTGCACTGTTATGGCCGATCTGCTTGCACCGGTCACAGGTTGTTTTGCCTTGCGCTTGGGTTCTCGTAGGTCATCGCTTGACACCTCGTCATCGCCTGCTTCCTGCACTTCCACATTCCCCGTACCGGCCATGCCAGCCTCTTCTGGTGGCAGAGGGTACACCTCGTGTACCATCTGAAGGACATATTCGGCATACCGTTCCGCCCAATCCTTTGTTGATGCGACTTCGCGCTTGAAGTCGTCCAGCGTCGAGAGCTTGCCGGCATGAGCGCAATCGACGATACATTGGACCAGCGGCACCGTAGCAACTCTCAGTCTCCTCGTCTCGCCACTTCAGTAATGCATTACGGAGGTCGCATTCCAGCTGGCCGCTATAATATAGGTTGATGTTCGACTGGGACTTGCGCGATCCCGAGTCCATGGTGCCAGTGATTGTAAGACCTTCTTCGAAAGCGAGCGGACGACAGAGATCACAACAGAGCAACAATGCCGTCGGAGCGCACCTCTGGCGTTCAGTAGATGGTGCCGGTGAGGCCTTGAGGAATCAGGATGGGTGGTTGTCCTTGCAGACGATCGAGCACTCCAGTAAATACTGAATAAGACCTAGCATAGGGGTACGCTAAGTACAAGTACATAGTCAATAAGCGCTCGCTCGGCGACCAGTTGTGGGCCAAGTCCTGCAGTGTTCATTGGCTGGCATGATTCCACATACACTAGTATGTTCAAGCGTTTAATATCAGTTTTTACTTCGGATGTGGCCCTCCAGCGACATGTATGAACGAGAACATTCTGGATGGCTTTCGGAGCCTGGGCTGGTGGCCTTCGCACCGACCTGCCTAAAGTAGTACTACACTCGGAAACAATTGACGCACTACTTACACGCCATCGATCATGATCTGCCCAGGCCAGCTTGTACTTAAATAAAGCTACTCATTGCCACCACAAGTCGGATCATCCAAGTCTCTTACCCTACCATGAGCGACGTTGCAGCACTCCGTCGTCAACTCAAGATCAAGACTGGCTCTGCTAAACGGTCTGTTCCCTCTGCTGCCAACACGGGACGCAGTCTGACATCATCGCTGCAGGTTGTACAAAGAGCACAAGTCCTATCAGAAGGAAGAAGAGGACCTCACGCGTAAGTTAAACAAATTCATCGCGGACAATGCAGAAGATTGGGATATCAAGAACACGGTACGTGGACGTCCTCATGAGTTGCCCCCCAAACGTCCCAACGTGTTCGCCATTCACCCAGAGGCGAATGCTCGAAGAGTCGCAGAGGATGATCCACGACACATCCAACCGGCTCGGAACTACCGTCCAGGACCTGCGCGAGGTGACGGTGAGTGTGTCGTTGTGAGTGGTCGCCACGGTTATTGACACGACTCTGCAGGTAGCAGCGGAGAAGGTGCCAGAACTGCACGCAGACCCTGAGCTCATTGCTGCCCAGGAGACTCTTGAGACAGTCAGCATCTGAGACGCTAATAAGATACCGAGAAGCAAGACCATCCATGTACATACCTTATGCCCTATGTAGCGTAGACCATGCATAACATCACTCGTCCATGTCATCTTCCGCTGCTTCTCGCTCTTTAGCATCCTTCAAGCGAGTTAGTGCGTCCAAAATAGCTTTCCAAGCGTCGCGCTCCACCCGTTCTTCTTGCAGTCCGCGGCTGCCTTTATCATAGTCGCCGTCAGCAGACGGCACGCCCACACCAAGCGCAGGCGGAATGAACCCTGGAGGCGGCGCGTTAATGGCGGATGGTGCGATGCGGGATTGTCGGATGTGGGCAAGGGAGGAACGGATGGCTATGTGGATGGCCTGAGGTGGCATCGTGAATACCGGATAGCAGGACAAGCAGTGGAGGGCTCACGTCAAGTCTCTCGAAATACTCGCTCACTTCCAGGACAAACTGTTCAGATCGCTCGCCACCCTGCGGTAAACCATCCTCCGGGCCGTCCGTTTGAGGAAGAGTTAACAGGGACATGGACGAGGCTGCTAGAGTGAGCAGCCGGCTGATATCCTGTCGTATATGACCTCAGCCCCTGCTCGCACTCTACTGGTCTGGACACCGCACCTTCTCGACCTCTCCCAGAGCATATATCTGTCGCGCTGTGCGACTGGACACCCATATGGGGTCCATACCAACTTCGTCGTTAGTCTGGTTATCCGTGGTCATGGGTGCGCTCCCGTTTGCGGCCATTGGTGAGAATAGTACCAAGGTGAGCACACAATGCAAAGTCGTCTAGAAGTAAGGCGAAACTGGGTGAAAGCGTGGCCTCAGTCAGGCTCGTAAAACGGGCGCTCTGCTGTAGTGCATGTGAATGGAGCGCTTGCATGGCTTGACGTCCTGCAGCCATATTGTCTGTTCAGACATCATCATGCTCCTTTGCCTGCCCCTCCATCTCTAACGCGCTGCATACGGCGTAGACTATAGAGCCAGCGTTTGTCGACGCGCGGATGGACTCCTCGTCGGTTACTGCAGGTTCTTCTAGTTCTACTAATGCACATCCTCCTTCGTCCAGCGAGCCGTCCACTCGCTCACGCAGTAGCACCAAGATCGTCGACGATGTAACGAGCCTCACTTCTTTCAATCCATTCTCCGAAGAAGATGAGCACGACCAGTCCTCTTATGCCCTAGTAACGTCGCTATTTTCCAAGGTTCGAAACACCCTCGCAGCTCCTCTGCAGTCAGCTGTCACGTCTGGCACTCCTGGGCCCTCCAATACCGGTTATGCACAGACAGGGCAAACGGCTGAGCAACGACGCCCCTCCCTATCGAATGCGACCTCCAACCAGTCGAACAAGTCCTCGGACCGGAGCAACCGCTTCAATGTCGCCGCGTCGCGTCCTGCTCCTCCGCAGGTGTCGCTAACTCCAGTCGTATCCGAGACCCCTTCATACGACATTGACTACGACAGACCGCCATCTCGCAATGGATCCCTCTATACCCCAGACACTCCGGACGGCGGCGTGTATGGTACAGCCATCCCGGGATTTCCTATCCAGGACAGTGATGCCAGAAGCATCAGGACGCAGGGTAGTCTAGAAGGTCGCTTCCGTTTCTAAAGTGATACGAAGGATACGAGGAGAGGGTGAGTGTGTGTCGTTCGCGTGTACCATAGCAAGCTCAATGTGCTGTAGGTTATCTCGGGACTATTGGATGGACGACAAGTTGTGTAAGGAATGCTACGACTGCAAGAGTGTGTTCACGGCATGGCGTCGGAAGCACCACTGTCGTATTTGCGGGCAGGTCTTCTGTTCTCGCTGCGCATCCAATGTGATCAAGGGCGCCGCTTCGGGCAGGAGGGCATGGTCCGCGTTTGTAACCTCTGCTTGGAGAAGTGGCCAAGGTGGGCGATGACGACGACGACGACGGACGGTCCGTCACGTCTAGTATGGCTTCACCCTTCGCCACGCACCAACTCGGTCAATTCGGTTCCGACTCGTTTTCATTTTCCCTCGCAAACCAGCCCCAGTCTCCGTTTGCTGCGTCACAGCTGTTTGGACGTACGGATGAGCCGTTCAATCTGTTCTCCATCGCCGAGACTAAAAGGCATCCTGGCTTCAGTGATGCCTTTCTATCGTTCGAACCAGCTACGCCCTTCGACGACTTCCGCGGTGATAGGACGATTCGAGAGAATCCTGTCCCTTTCCGCCGTACCTTCGCGGAAGAGGACAAGGATAACCTTGCACTGTCGGAGAGGTTCAACAATGACGACTCTCCAACCGCTCCGGGGGCGAAGACACCCATCGACTTTCCCGTCACAGTCCCTGTATCGATGGATGGCGCGACGAGCTCGGTGCAGTTCCCGGCTAGTTCTCCGGATCATAGCCATCCGTTTGAGAGCCCAGGAATGCTCAGGTCGCGATTCAACTCATACGCCGACTTCGATCCTTCGACTCCATTCATTCGCAGTAGAGTGCAGAGTCGACTGAACGAGAATTTCAATTTCGGCGAACCGGGGTGGCGGATGAGGCGCGAGAGCACGGCGTAAGTGCATTTCGTGAAACTTTGATACATGCAGGGGTTGAGCCATGGTCCAGTTATGCCCAGGAACTCAATCTCATCTCCATGTTCCACCTCCGGATCATGCTCAGGCAGCTGCTGACGGCCGAGCAGATACCCAACGTCGGAGAGTGGGAAGAGACCTTGCTCACGCTCAGCCTACGAATCGCACGCGAGCTCACGTTTACGGCGCATCCACAACGCCAGGGTGCGGACATGGATGTCCGACGGTACGTGAAGATCAAGAAGATTCCGGGTGGTGCACCAAGGGATTCGGAGTACGTTGATGGGGCGGTCATCACGAAAAACGTCGCGCACAAGCAGATGCTGAGGACGCAGCGTAACCCACGCGTGATGTTGGTCACATTTCCGCTCGAGTTTCACAGGGTGGAGGGGCAGTACATGCACTTCGGTCAGATTCTACGGCAAGAGAAGGACTACCTCGGCAACCTTGCCACTCGTATCGCTGCGTTGCGTCCACATGTCGTATTGGCGGAGAAATCTGTCTCGAGGCTCGCGCTCGATGCACTAGCCAAACATCGGATCGCCGTCGCCAGGACCGTCAAACCTTCTGCGGTACAGTTCGTTGCGAGGATGACGCAGGGCGACGTGTTCTCCTCAATGGACAAGCTCGCCTTGGAACCCCGTCTGGGCCACTGTACCCGCTTCCGCATTCAGACATTCGATCACCCCCTCATCCCTGGTCGGCGGAAGACATACATGCGCTTCGAAGGATGTAACCCGGAGATGGGCTGCACAATCGTCTTGAGGGGCGGCGACATGATACTCTCCGGCGAGTGAAGAAGGTCACTCGTTTCCTCGCGTTCATAGTGCGCAACCTGAAACTGGAGACGCATCTGTGGAAGGACTCGGTTATCACCTTGCCCGCCCTCACGCGGAAGCTACGCCTGCGCAGACAGCCTACCCCTCGGTGCCCATATCCGGCCCTAGCTCGTCCACCCCGCCCCTTACGTTATTGCGCCGAAGCTGCAGTCAGCTTCATCGCCTCTCAGCGGTATATCCGAGAACCATGCCGAGGCACACTCCAACATGGACGACCTGCCAGACGAGGAGGCGGAGCAGCTACGCCTCTCCAAACGGATCGAGGAGTCCCTCGAGCCATATCGCAGGACGTTCATATCGGTGTCTGCGACACTCCGATTCCCGCCGCCATACCCCATACGACGGCTGAAGGAGCTTGACGACGAGCTTTTCCGGGTTAAGCGAGAATGGGAGGACGAGATCGTCCACAGGGAGGAGACAGCTACGTCAGAGCATAGGCAGGAAGAGACGATCACGCATGGCCAAGAGGCAACTATCACCGCGGGACGGGCAGAAACTCCAGATCCAAACGACATCGCGGCGCAGATCGAGTCGCTGCACATGCCAGACATCCTTACAACCCCCACTGTTGCAAATTTGCCCAGAGACGGTCCTGGCTATTTCGACCTGACTCCGACAGTCTCACAAGTCGTCGCAGCTTCTCCAGTCCCTCTGACCCCTGCCGAAGAAGCCCCGACACAACTGAAAACGGTTGAGGACATACGGCTTGAGAGCCGTCTCAGCTATGTGAAGTGGCAACACGCTGAACAGCGACGGATCTGGGAATGGTACCTTCGGAAGAACAATGACGATTTCAATGTGGAGAAATATCAGTGCATCAGCTTGTGGGAGGCTACGATGCCGACCACTGAGCTTGGTTTGCATAGGGCGTGCTTCCCTCCGAAGCTCAGATACATCACCTTCTATGGGGAAAACGACTGCACTTTGGGTCAGTTCATAGAGAAGACCGTCATGGACACCCTCGTTCTGTTTCTGGACCCGAAGGCGATCTGCGACAACAAGAGCTGTAATGAGCCCTTGGCCCGTCACGGCAGGGTGTACGTCCACAACGAGACGCGACTTCTCGTCGTGGTCGAGCAATGGGATGGACAAATCGTTAATCGCACGTCTGCTAACGACGGCATCATCACCTGGAGTGTTTGCCGGCTATGTCGATTGGCTACGCCCTTCATCCCCGTATCTCCAGAGATGCAGAGGTACTCGTTTGCGAAGTTCTTGGAGCTCCACTTCTACCCAGCAGACGTCCAGCTTGTCCAAGGAGCAGGGTGCCAGCACAACATCTACCAGCATCACATCCGATACTTTGCGATCCGCGGCATGACTGTACGATTCCAGGCGGACCCAATCACTTTGCACGAGATCGTCTACCCTCCCATGCGCATCCGCGTTCGCCCTGAAACCCAGCTGGAGATCAGGAACACTGATTTTGAGCGCCTTAATCGTCGCAATGAACTCTGGTACACCGCTTTGATCGACGACCTCAAGCTCATCAACATCGATGCCGCCACAGGGGACGAGGAAGCAGACGCAAGACTAACCGCGGAGGTCAACATCCTGATCAGCAAAGCAGAATGGGAGAAGCAGGACATTGCCAGGCTGATCAACAGGATCTACCGTGAGACGCCTCCAACAGATACTCTTGCGTTGAACCAAGTTCGAGCATATCGCCAAGACAAGATTGTTGCATGGCAGCAAGACTTCGACAAGCTCCCGAAGCCGAGGCTGACGCAGCCTCTCGATCGTGGCAGCCGGAAAGCGTCGGCCTTCGGGTCTGTCAGAGGGTTCTTTCCTGGGCCACGGAAGCCTGGGTACTATGGACATTACGGGTCACTGGAAAAGGACCACAACGTCTCTGAAGCGGAAGACAATACACCTATCACCATCAGACGAGCTACCGGCGACTCTTTCACGTCTACGTCGTCAGCGTCAGATGCGTCAGAGTCTGAGACACTCCCCGAGAAGGCACCAGAAGCTACGCCAGTGCCTCAGAAGATACCAAATCTTGTGGTGGATGAGCAAGCCGTTGTGACTGTCGTACTGCCTAGTCCGAAATCGGGTGGTGAAAGTGACTCTACTATAGGTGCTGATAGAGGGGAGGTGTGTTCGCCGGATGCCTTAATGTCTCCGCCTCCTGTAAGTCAGTTGCCGCATCTGTGTACATCATGTCTCTTAAACCTTTTCAGGCGGCTCCGGATAAGGCGGGTGTCGACCGCTCTTCATCCCAGTTGTCTCGATTACCCAGGCGTTCGTTCCATTATCCAAATGTCGCAGAGCTCGTCAAGAAGTACCAGGACTTCCTACCCGCGCAAGGAGTGGAAGAACTGACCAAAACTGCATTTCCTCCGGCGTCTCTCCAGTCGGACAGCGAACAGGAAGGTCCAAGTGACATTCCTCCCCGCGTGCGCTCTAAACCTCGCCGACAAGCTCTGAGGACAAAAACCTCCGTGTCCGACTTCGAGTCAGGTTATGCTGCCAACATTGCTCCGCGGTACCTCACTCACGCAAAGAGGGTACATGGCGTGACTGGCAGTCGTATCCCGGGACCTCTGGTGTCGTCTTTTGATTCCCGCGTTGCGTCGAGACAGACATCGCCCGACAAGCGATCCGCTAGCGCACGTCATGATGCACATACCAAGGCAACGAAACCCTCACCTCCGCTATCTCGTTCTGGTTCCATTGTCGTCAGCGGGAAGAAGAAAGGAAAGGCCGCAGTTCGTGGTCTCGGTACAGAGAAGATGACATCGTCTCGTCCGACCTCTAACTCGGGACCGAAGAACACATTCAGAAGACAGGCAGGAGCCGGGAGTAAAGTCTCCAATATAGCCAAACATTTCGAACGTATGAATCGAGACAATGAACGCTCGACCCGCCGATATGCCGTCATTCGGGGACGACGCCCTCGTCCAGTGGCATCTGCTCGAGCCAGGGTCGAGGTCTTGGACAGTATCAAAGACGCCATACGAGACGAGGCTGATAGTTCAGACTCAAGTGAAGCAGATGACGAAGGTGAAGGAGAGGAGGAACCAGAACAAACGAAGCGTGTTGAATCGCCGGTGCCTGACACAACTACAGAGACAGAGGAGACCGGACAAGCAGAGCCCGACAACGCAAGTATCTCGAGTACATTGCCGGATGAGTCCAAGCAGGAAGAACAGGTGCCTGTACCCTCCGTCCAGGTTTCTGACCAGCTTGCCCCTTCCGTCTCGAGCTCGCCGGTACTGGCGGCAATGACACATGGACCCGCTCCCCCGACATCACCTGCACCTGAGCTTGAAGTGGGGCCTAGCGGCACTGAGCGACACTCCATACTAAAGCGTTGTCTGGGTTTTGGCCGCAACCGATCCCTCAGCCTCGTCAGCGCACAGAGCCGGACGGGGAAGATCCGATGTCTGATCCCGAACATATCTTCCGAAACTCCTCTATGGTAGTTAGGACGGATGAACCAACGTCAATCATCGCGTTGGCCTTGAAGTGAGTCATTGGATATGTCTTCGAATCTTGTGCTCAATTTGTGCTCTTTGTGCTCGCAGTTCTCCTCAGTATCGTGACATGTTGGCGAGGTCCAGAGCGGAGAAGCGTCAGACTAAGGAGCCCAAGTTGACCGATGGTGGCGAAGCCTTCATGCCCGATGATAGATCAGTAGCCGAGTCAACGTCTACATGGGGAGTGGTCAATGTGGACAGTTCAGACGACTGGGACCCTACACAGGATTTGCGAGTTCCATCCTCGAAGCAGCCTTGGGCTATCTGTGAGGATTTCACGTTTGCGTTTGGGACGTTGCGTTACTCATATCCTATCAGCATTCGAAAGTGGCGGGCTGACCATCAGCTGCACTGTCCTGTTCCCCGAGCAATTTGATGCGCTCCGTCGTACATACGATTGTGAACGCAGCATGATCGAGTCGCTGGCAAGGTGTGTTAAATGGGATGCAAGTGGCGGAAAGTCGGGATCAGTATTCTTGAAGACCCTCGGTACGTAGTGTGGCCCTTGCTTGTAGGGTCTCGACTGACAGAGGCACAGATGACCGATTCATAGCGAAGGGGCTGTCGCGGCCTGAGCTTCAGGCAATGGAGACTTTCGCGCCTGCTTACTTCGATTACATGTCATCTGCGGTCGTGGCGGATGTGAGTGATATTCTCGCGGGAAACACAGATGATTTTTCTGAAACGATGCAATAGCGACCAACACTACTTGCCAAGATCTTTGGTTGCTTCAAGATCACCTTCCGTAAGACCCATAGCCACGAAGGCCCCAGTAAAGCCAAAGTGACTCAGATGAACCTAATGGTCATGGAGAACCTGTTCTACGATCGCCGTTTCTCGAAGGTAAGGCTCATTGTACGTTCACCCGTCAATCGAATGTTTAGAAAGTCCTGGCGTAGATCTACGACCTGAAAGGTTCCACTCGCAACCGCCATGTCCAATCCACTGGGCGAGAAAACGAGGTATTGCTGGATGAAAATCTGGTAGAGAGTATGTGACTGGTTACTTGCGTTCACGTTCGTCACTCTGAGGTTCTCTCTAGCTGCTCATTTGTCCCCGTTCTACTTGCGTGAACACTCCAAGCGGATCCTCCGAGGCTCTCTGTATAACGATAGCAAGTTTCTTGCCGACATCAACGTCATGGACTACTCTCTAGTTGTCGGTGTTGATAGCGTCAATAACGAACTTGTGGTCGGGATCGTCGGTAGGTGACTGGTATGGCAGTACTGTATGGATTCTTTATTAACGCTTGCACAGATTATGTTCGCACGTACACTTGGGACAAGAAACTGGAGAGCTGGGTCAAGGATTCTGCATTCCTCGGAGGAGGAACCAAGGGTGAACCTACTATCATTGGCCCGAAGCAGTACAGACAGCGCTTCCTCAGCGCAATGGAGCGGTACTTCCCCTTGGTCAGTGGCCGCCACCGTTGTTTATTCGACTTATGGACTAACACATGATCTCACAGGTACCGGATAGGTGGATGAAGCAACACGACTCCCCTGAGGAAGAAGGGAACTCTCTTCTTGACTTATGGCCAGATTGGTGAACAAACCGATGAGCACGATCCTTTTCACGACCTGTCGACGTTTGCCCTCATTTCTACTTACTTGCTTTCGCTGTCAATCCTTTTTGCTGTAAATATGTGTAGCATTAGATACCATCCAATGCCGTTAGGTAGGATACCCCGCATGTTATCCTTGTACAGTACTTTACCCGGAACACCGATGTACAGTAGAGCTTCTACACGTAGTTGCTAATGCATCATAGCTTGCGAGCTTTTGTCTTCTCCTTGTTGGCCAAAGTCCGATTCTGTCGTTTCGCTTCCGAGGAGAACTCCTCCTTAGTCGCTTTCTTGTCAAGTCGACGTTGCTGCCGCTCCGCCTTCACGGCTTGCTTCCGGGCCTTCTTGTCGTCCTTAGACTCGTTCTTCGGCCGAGAGACGGTGATTCGTTGCACTAAACGCTAGCGTCAGTACGACGTCAAGTGCGGGTTGGAGACACAAACCTCTTGAATCATCCTCCGACTCCGACTCCGAGGTTGAGTCCGTGGGTGGTCGTGACTGAGGCTGCTTTCCGTCCACAACTGGCAAGCCGGTCTTCGGGTCTAGTCGAATTCTCGCGATGAGTTTGTCTTGCCGCGCCTTTATCAAACGCGGGTGATTCTCCAGATTGCTGTATGTCGCTACAAGGAAGCTGAGATCAAAGCGAGACGTAGAGCAATGTCGGATTGACTCACTCAGGATAGTCTCGCAATCCCACCGCCCCTGCTTCTCGTCAACATCTAACGGCATCAGAATGTCGCCTGCCTCGCTGTTGTCATCCTCATTTCGTCGCGCAGACGAGCCCCTCCGAATGCTTTGCGGATCGTGTCGAGCTTCTCCGCAGCGGTGTCGCCATGGAGGACATGGCGCATCTTGCCACCGAGGATCTCGTAGTTATCGAGGAACTCGTGCATCATAGCGTCGAAGTCTCGCGGGTAGTGATCAGTTCGGGTGCCTCGTCAGATTCGTCCGACAAGCCTTCCTCCTCCTCCTCTCCTCGTCCGAGTCGTATTGTTTTGGATCTGCATCGCCAAACAATGATATAACGTTGGGACAGGCTAACTTGTAGTAACGCCTACCTCCTCAAACCGCTCGTCCAGCATAGTCAAACCCTCGTTTCGGAACATCGAGGAACTACTCATGCTGTATCCTGAAGCGTTCGAAGAGCCCTTTCGCCGCTTCTTGCCCCCGACGACAGAAAACTGTGGAAGCGTCCCGACAGTGTCTCCGCCTCTGAATACCGTCGATGTCGGATGCGTCGGTCGGAGGTGCCTCCTTCTGAGCTTTTTTGAATCTTGCAAAGCGTGCCTCCCAACTGCTACCTCGTCCTCTTCCGACGCAGTCTCCTCGCCCTTTGCAGCAGAGTCTCCGCCTCAAACCATCCTCCTGAAATTGAAGTCGAGATGTTCATCTGGGCAAGTTCGCCCTTAGCGACAAGCTCGCCAAAGAAGTCATCGTCTAGGTCGTCATCGACGAATGCATCATCCTCCAATGCCTCCAAAGTTTGCCTGAGATGTGGGTCAAGATCAGGTTGAAAGCCGACTATCGAGGATGGTATGTTCTGTTGCGCCTCATAGTTCCTGGGTATCTCCGAGGTGGATGGAAGGACGCCTGGGGGTAGGTCTAGTAGTTCTATGGGGTCTTTCGACTTGCCCTTGCCCTTGGTCTTGACAGGAGCCTCGACGAGAACGCTATCCACACCAGCCTCCTGAACGCCGACGGGGCGCATATGTTTCATGTAATCATATTCAGTATCGTCGAAGTAGACCCCGTAGAGTGCGGCCTCGCCGATGTTGGCTCGCTCCTTGTCGTGAGCGAGCTCGGAGGGGGAGAGGAACTTCTCTAGGTCTGCCCTAGACTTTCCCTGCGCCGCAGGTCACCTAAAATGTACGGCGACATGCGCGTTGTCTACACGCACCTTAGCGACATTCCCTCGCTCGAAGGCCCTCAGGACACGCTGACTAGCTTCGGGATCGTGTATGAGAGGATCGCGCTGCGAACGATGCACGAGTTGGAAGTGCTGTGCTCCAGGTTGACGGAATAAAGACTTTGGAGGCATTTTAGACTGCACGGTGAGCGAAGGAGGAGGACGGATACGAGGAGCGGGCCGCGATGTGTGGCTGCTACTTGCCCAGATTTCTGAACAAGATGAGATTCCGATCCACGAGGAACACGGCGCTAAGCACATGGACAATGGGCGTCACACGCGGGGTTACATAATCACATCTAACGTCGTCGCGGCGGAGGTCTCTCCCAGCCTCGACGACGCTGCTTGTCGCCGCGTCGACCGTGCTTGCTCTACTCACTCTTACACGTCTCATTGTTGCTCATTCACATTCCAAGTGCTTCCCAACCTTTGACGCATCTTTGGTGGCCGTCGACACGTCCGAAATGCAGCGGGAGCATGTTCGCAGAGGGTTCACCATATACGTGTTTTCTCCCTCTTGCCTGCCTGCTGAGGATTGACACGTTTCTCGTCTCTACTAGTCATCAAAAGGTTGTGCTGGAGATTGACTTCTCCGGCAGTCTCTGGGTACGAGACCGCCGATTTTGACGAGAGGCGGAGTTAGCTAAGCTCGCTGTAGGGTTACACGGAACTCACCGTAGTCCCCGCAAGCAAGGAATTGAAGACACTCCATCTTCATTCAAGGCAGTGCAGTACGTTCTAGAATTGAGACGAAGGCTGCGCTGAGCTGAACGAGTACCCAGCGATACATTCGGTCACCGTCGGTTCTCATCCTGCGGACTTCGTCTGTCATGACCCCTTCACCAATCTCAACATCTCCAATCCCCAGGATGTCCATGTTCACCCGGAGCTCAAGCGAAAGGTGTACTCTGCGCTTGCTGAAGGCGACGAGGGCGAATTATCGATTGCGATCCCGAAAGAGGTTTCTCTCAGGCAATCGGGGCATGCTGCTGCGGGCATTGCTAGCGAAGGTGCGTCATCTCGATGATGTTCATTGACTTGTATATGGAAGACCGTTTGCCAGCTGCAACTCCTGAACCCCAAACACCTGGGCCAATGTCTCAGCCAGCGCTTCCCGTACCGGAGTTCAGCCCTATCACGGTGAATATCGCCTATAGCGTGCGGAATCCTGCGGATGGACTACAATTTGTGCTCCCGACTGATACATATCCATATGTAAGTCCTAGTTCCTTGTGACGCCACAGTCGTCGATGACAATGGAACAGCGCGTACCACACGTATACACCACACCTTCATGTCCAGACGCAGCCCGATGTTGGGTACCCTGCATTGACAACGTATGGGAGAAGTGTACATGGGAATTCGAATTCGTCGTTCCAAGATACCTGGAGCAGCGGGAAGACACGCCCATGAATGATGAAGAGCCACTCGAAGGCGACAGTCCCACAGTCGTCGTTTGTAGCGGCGAGCTGGTCGAACAAGTTTCCCATCCCTACAACTCCAACAAGACGAAATTCCTCTTCTCGCAAAGCACCTTGACGTCCGTACAGCACGTTGCTTTTGCCGCCGGGCCATTCCACGTCCAACCTATCCCCGCCGATCTCAGCGCTGCTGAAGATGCGTCCGGGACCATGCAACCCCTCATGCACGCATTCTGTCTCCCGGGTCACGAAGGACTTCTCGCGAACTCCGTTTCCTTCATGCGTTCGGCCATGAGCTTCTACTCAACAGAGTTCGGCTCTTACCCATTTGGCTCTCACAAGCTTGCCTTCGTGGATGAAATGCCGACACAAAGATTCGACAGCGCTACGTTATCCCTGGTCACTGTAGACCTACTGCATGGCGAGGACGCTATAGATCAAGTTTTCGAAACTCGACATTGCCTGAGCCATGCGCTCGCCTGCCAGTGGATGGGCATCAACATCCAGCAGAAGACGTGGTCGGATACGTGGCTGGTCAATGGCCTCGGCTTGTATATTGCGGGTCTCTTCACTCGCAAGCTGCTTGGCGGTAACGAGTACCGGTTCAAGCTGAAGAAGGACATGGAACGTGTGCTTCAGCTGGACAACGGCGCCATGCCGCCCATTTGTCAACCGCAACAGCTGGATCCCCCTGATTCGTCCACACTGCCCTTCATTAATTTGAAGTCACCTCTCGTCCTTCACATCCTTGACCGACGTCTTGGCAAGTCGGGTACGTCGTTAGGCCTGTCGCGAGTCCTTCCCAAGGTATTCTTGTCCGCTATCAGCGGCGAGATGCCGAACAACCTCATCTCGACACATTCATTCCTGCGGACATGTCGCAAGGTGAGCGGCATCGACCCACGTTCCTTCGCGGAACAATGGATATACGGGAGTGGGTGTCCTACGTTCGGGTTTTCTGCAACCTTCAACCGAAAGAAGATGGCCGTCGAGATCTCGATGCGCCAGGACGCACCGGCTTTCAAGGTGCACGAAAACAACGAGGTTGGGAAGGCACTGATGAAGCCAGTGTCGTTCTTCGAGGTATGTAGGCTTTTCACCAGGTGCTGACATTGTCTAACACATGGCTGCAGGGCCAAATGACTATCCGAATCCACGAGGCCGACGGGACCCCTTACGAACATGTCCTGGACATTCGGAGCCCATACAAACGCTACGAAGTCCCGTTCAACACGAAGTACAAGCGAGTACGACGGAACACGAAGCGGTACCTTGCGCGGCAGGCCGCCGCTCAGGCGGCCGCGGAAGGAGACGCTGAGGCAGCTGCCGCAATGGACATGGTCGACATGGGATTCGGACTAGAGATATGGGAGAACGAGAAAGAGCGCGAGAACTGGAAAGTGGCGGACTGGACCGAGGAAGACGAACAGAGCATGGCGGGACAGACATACGAATGGATCCGGATCGACGCGGATTTCGAGTGGATCGCGGCCATCGCGTTCGACCAGAAGGACTACATGTGGGTGTCACAGCTACAACGGGATCGAGATATCGTGGCGCAATACGAGGTACGACGGCTTTCTTCGTGGTCTTCGTCCCAGTCTTATCGAGGCATTCTCAGGCAATTCAAGTGTTGACGAAGACTCCGAATCCTATCATCTCAAGTACGCTCACCAAGACCGTGCTTGTTTCCAACTACTTCTACCGGATACGCTGCGAGGCAGCTCAAGCGCTCGTAACAGTAAGTATGGCGATAGGTAGCACCGGTTGTCTTATTCATTCGCTGCTTGCAGTGCGCAATACAGAGGCTGGAGTGGTTGGGCCTATTCCACCTGTTCAAGCTGTTCCTGCGCTACTGTTACGAACCGGATGACTCCAAGCCGGACCTCTTCAGTCATACGTATGTGCCGAGACCCAACGACTTCAGTGACTTCGCGGAGTACTTTGTGCGGAAGGTACAGTGGTATTGTCTCCTTGCTGAATTGTTTGCTCACGAAGCGCACAGAGTTTGATACGCGCCGTATCAAGAGTACGGTTCGAGAACGGCAAGACGCCACCGATCGTCAGACAGTTCCTCGTTGACCAGCTGCGGTACAACGATAACACTTCCAACCCGGTGAGTTGGTCGGCGAAATGCGCTTGTCGCACCTCCGCTGATCCACTGTAGTACTCGGATGCATTATACATTTGCACAGTGATTTCTGCATTGGCATGTGCCACTATCTCTACGGTACCACCAGAGCGTGGCGAGTTCACCGCCATGGACTCGCAGCCAGTACAAGATGCCCAAGACGCCGATCTGCTCAAGCAGGCTCTCGCAGAGGTAGATCGATATCGCAGCATGGACAGATTAATACCGACGTACCACAACGTGGTCACCATCGCCGTGGTTGAGGTTCGTTCAGGGTTTCGTGTTAACTGCGGCATGACTTCAGCTCATCGTCGCTCCTAGTTTCACCTCATGCTCAGTGTGGCCAACCTTGTTCCTCACGATCCCCGTATATTCTTCTCATTGACACGGTAGGCAACCCTACATCATCTCGTGGAGGCCAAAATGCTTATGGTGTTTTAGCGAGGGTAACTACACCCAAGTCCGTATGGCGGCGTTCGATTACCTGTTCCTCACGAAATGGTACACGCCGAAGGTCATGCGCTACATCCTCGCGGTTATGGCCAACGACCCTTCCCGGCTCATCAGGCGACATGTAGCACAGAACGCATGCCTCAGTCTCGCACTCCTCGTATCCATGGGCGAGGTCAAGACGTTGAAGGAGTCGGAGTCGGTGCTCATTGAAGAAGATGGCAACGGTGCCGAGAAGACCAAAGAGAACAAGAAGAGCGACATGGATCTCATGATCAAGGCCTTCCGGAAGGATCGAGAGCTCGGGAAGAGCGAAGTGATCAGGGAATCCCTGATGCCCATCGCTTTGTATGTCCGTTGGCTTGTAAATCCAGACCACGTACTGATTCCTCGCTTCTCTGCAGAGCACCCGAGACAGACAACGAAGTCCGATGGTGCTTGCTCAAGCTCGCCGACTTGCTGATTCGTGGCGCTGAAGAGGCACCGCCCAAGGTCACTATCCACCTCCCGCCGACTCCAGTGACCGAAGTCGCACCTCCTATTCCCCCAGTCAAGCTTCCGCTTAAACGCGCCCGACGATCAGGACGGGAGGGCCGCCATCAGGACGCCAACTCTGCCCTTCGCGGGACCGCCGAAACTCAAGCTACCTCCGAGTAGCGTGCAGGGTGATGTATCTACAGGACACCTAGCGCCGCGGCAAGTCCTGTCCTCAGCAGACGTGATACTTTCTCCGTGCCGAAGGTCCCTCCGCCTAAGAAGGCACTAGCACCGGAAAAAAAGAAGCCACAGAACGTCCCGAAGGCTCAGTCGGCTGGAATGAGCTTGAACGACTTGCGAGCTTGTCGCAATGCTTGAAGAAGCTTCAAACCCACAAACGCGCTGCCGTCTTCCTGCAGCCTGTTGATCCCGTGCGGGACCATGCACCGAAGTGCGTTGTTTTCTTTGGTGCATCAGGCGCATGCCATCTGACCGGACTTTTAGTTACTTCGAGGTTATCAAGAATGCTATGGACTTGAGCACTATGAATGCCAAACTCGAGTCGGGGCAATATAAGGATCGGTTTGGATTCGAGGACGACTTCCGCCTGGTGATCAGTAACGCGAAGTCGTACAATGCGCCTGGCAGCTACGTTCACAGCGAGGCCCTGGCATTGGAGTCCTTCTTTGATAAGCGTAAGTCTATATTGATTGTTGTAACGACATTCCAATCCCTGACACCTCGATCTCAGAATGGGTGCGCATCAATAAGACTCTCGAGGCTGCAGATCGTGCTGCAGAGCCGCGAGATGTAGATCCTCCCCTGTGCCGACTAAAGCAGTCCCGGCTGCGCCGGTACCCCCTCCACCACGGCCTGCTCAGCGGCCTGCGCCGGCAGCTTCGGCCACCCGCGGCCGTCCATCAAACTGAAGGTAGGCGGCACAACGCCGTCGGAGGCACCACCAAAACCAGCTGCCAAAGCAAGGGTAAAAAGGTTCAACCGCGGTCGCCTTCGCCTCTGCCACGCCCGCCAACGCCAGATATTGATGATGGATCGGCCGATCTACTCGAAGAGGTCATCGCTATCGAGAGGGAGAAGAACGAGGGACGCAAACAGCGGGCTATCCAACCCGCAGAGAAGGAGAGGGAGAAGCACGCGCCGAAGCTTGTCATCGGCAAACGTAAGAAGCCCTCCGAGGATCCGACTGAGGACGAGATACTGGCCCTTGCGACACCGTCCAAGAAAGACCGGCCGGCGCCATCCGCACCTGTTGCGGGACCGTCTTCTGCTGCATCCGTACCAGCTCCCAAAGCGAAGCAGAATGGTGCTGCCCACACCAACGGTAGCGCCGTGCAAGTGAACAAAGCAAAAACTGCCAAAGCATCAGCCGTACCGTCCTCTGAACCGGCCGCTGAAGTTCGTCAGCGCGCTTCTGCTAAGGGCAAGGAGAAAGAGGTACCAACGCCGGTGGCTAAGCAGAAGAAAGCGGCCGTTCAGGCTACCCCTCTCAACGAGAAGAAGTGCAGAGAAGTTTTGAAGATATTGATGAAGCTGCCGGATGCCGCATCTTCTTGAAGCCGGTCGACCCCGTTTTGGATGGATGTCCGACGTGAGTATTCATCGTCGGGGTCCGTGTTTCCGAACGCGTTTTAACGACTATCATTGCAGCTACTACGATGAGATCAAGGAACCTATGGATTTCGGTACCATGTCTACGAAACTGAACGAGGGTGCTTACGTCACTATGGAGAACTTCGCCAAAGACGTTGACCTCATCTTCCGTAATTGTCGAACGTTCAATCCGCCGACCACGTATCCTATCACTTGCGCGCCGAAGTCGAACGTGTGTTCAAGAAGGAATGGGCGAAGGTTACGGAGAGGAAACTTGCGTGGAACGATAAGCGCAGCCTCCAAAGTGCCATGAACAAACTCGTCGCTGATCCGATGTATGTGGTGTAGCTTCTGCTGCACTTCTCTCACTGACGGAATTGTCCAGCTCTTTCGTCTTCCGTGAGCCCGTTGACCCCGAGTTACTGGGTATACCGACATACTTCGACGTCATCCCACGCAAAGATGCCCGTGACCTCCGGACCATCCGTCAAAAGTTGGATGCAGACAAGTACGACTCCGTCGAGGCTTGGGAGGCGGACATGGACCTGATGATCGATAACGCCATCCTGTTCAATGGAGCTGACTCGGAGGTTGGGCGAATTGCCGTCATCATGAGGAACAAGCGCAAGGAATTAGCGTCAGGTGTGAAGTCGACCGTCATGAAGCGCAAGGGCAGCGACAAGGGCACTCCGCAGCCTAGCAAGAAGGTGAAGTTGAGTTGATGTCGTATTCATTATTTGCTGTGTATCTGTACTGTTTGTCGTTGTGCATTGCTGTCATGTATTTTACCGCCTGCATACGTTACTCTGGATCCTGATAACTTAGTCGCAGCACGAGCGTAATAGAGAATGCATCTGGGAGTGGGGATTCTGTCATGGGTTGGCAAAGAGACTCCGAGCTAACTCATGCATGTACTGATCACGGCAACAGCCATCGTCTCTTGAGTTAGAGACGGAGGAAGTGACACGATACGCTCCTAACTTTCCTTTGACTAGATGAGCCATACATTGATTGCATGTAGCCGTCCACACATATGCACCTTCATGGGACATTGAAGCGTCGACGTTCAGCCAAATCAGCGTCACGGTCGATCGACTCGAAGGAGCTGCAGTGCTTAGCGCTCGCTATTGCCCTGTATGGTAGCGCACTAACATAGCGCCCGCACCGCACACCGCGACACGTCCTGGTATTGCACACTTCCTCTACACTTCCTCCCGTTCTGCTTGTAAATATGACCACAACGGAAGCACCCTGTTACACGGTCGTCTTTGAGGACAGCTCAGAGTCGCCTTCGACCCAGGATCTCCGCTCAGCGTTGCAGAAGGGTCCGACGAGGTCAAGTTCGACACGTTGCGGAAGATCATAGTCTCTACGATCAATGGGAATTCTCAGGTATCGTATTTGGGTGGAAGAGGCAATATGGGAGGACGAGAACTGACTGAAGCGTGCTAGCCCCAACTGCTCATGCCCGTATCCAATATGTCATGCCCTCACGAAATAAGCAACTCAAGAAGCTGCTGCACTTCTATTGGGAGGTCTGTCCGAAGTATGACGAGACCGGGAAACTGAAGCAGGAGATGATCTTGGTGGTGTACGTCCCATTTCATCTTGTTGCGATCTACTTCTAACGGCATATGAAGCAACGCTATCCGGAACGACCTAGTAAGTCACAGATCAGGGCAGCGCGAGCATGTGTATGACAACTTTTGCAGCAACATCCCAACGAGTATATTCGCGGCGCGACCCTCCGCTTCCTCCAGAAGATTACGAAAGACGTCGAGCTCCTCGAGCCGCTCATCCCCACCTGCCGTTCATGTCTCGAACACCGACACTCCTACGTCCGCAAGAACGCTGTCTTCGCCGTGTACGCTGTGTACCGCGTGCACGAAAACCTAATTCCCGACGCGCCAGAGCTCCTCCAAACCTTCCTGGCAGCCGAGTCCGATGCGACCTGCAAACGGAACGCGTTTGTATTCCTCGCGAACTGCGCCATGCCCAAGGCTGTCGAGTACATCCTGCAGGTGTTCGATCAGATCCCGACATGGACGAATTGCTGCAGATGAGTATCATTGAGTCATCAGGCAGGACTGTAAGACGGACACACGGCACAGGGTGCGACTTTGCAGGTTCACGTTGAATGAAGTGAACCAACTGACTTCGTTGCAATAGGCACGCTACATCCTTTGGTTTCCGAGCTACTCAACGCGTCATCACATGCTGTGAAGTATGAGGCCGCCACGACCTTGACGTCTCTCACACAAAACCCAGCGGCCGTCAAAGGTAAGGCCGTTTCTAGCCCTACGGAGCATTAGCTGACCCCTTTATAGCCGCGGCGTCATGTTATGTCCAGCTTGTTCAGAAGGAATCCGATAACAACGCGAAACTCATCGTGCTGGACCGCCTGGAAACTCTGCGCTCGAGGCACGGACACGTCCTGGATCCTCTCGTCATGGACATCCTACAGATTTTGTCGAGTGCAGACTTGGAGGTCCGTCGGAAGGCGATCAGCATTGTGCTCAGCATGTCCACAAGCCGCAACGTCGAAGAGATCGTTCTGTTCTTCAAGAATCAACTTCAGAGGACACAAGAGCAGGATCTTGACAAGGTTGGTCGCCGCACCCCTCCGTTGTCAGAGACCTAAACTGACATTGTACCTCAGGCTCCTGAGTACAGGCAACTCCTGATCCAGTCTATCCATGTCTGCGCTGTCAAGTTCTCCGAAGTCGCCGCCAGCGTGGTGCACGCGTTGATGGACTTCCTCGGCGACTCGAACAACCCATCAGCCCTTGATGTCGTGGCTTCGTCAGGTGTGTTAGACTACGCTGGTTCATCGTCAGTCACAACTGACACACCTTCACAGAGAGGTCGTCGAGAAGTTCCCGCCACTCCGTCGGACCATCTGCGAGAAGCTCACACAGACACTCGGGCAGATCAAGTCCGGTAAGGTGTACCGCGGCGTGCTCTGGATCCTCGGCGAGTACGCCGAAAACGTCGTCGAGATCCAGCACATTTTCCGCGAGCTGCGCAAGGTGCTCGGTGAGATCCCCATCCTCGCGTCCGAGCAGCGCCTGCTGGAAGAGTCAGGTGCGGAGGACGGGGAGGCACAGAAGGAGGAGCCGCAGCAGAAGGTGGAGGGCGGAGGGAAGCCGAAGGTCCTTGCGGACGGCACGTACGCGACGGAGACCGCGTTCACGAGCATGTCGACTGCACGGTTAGAGGCTGTGAAAGCTGCGTCGAAGCCCCCTTTGAGGAGTACGTACTGCTAGTCTCATCTGGATGCCGTGACTAACTCTGTTCGTCTAGCCCTTATTCTCGGTGGCGACTTCTTCACTGGCTCGGTGCTCGCGTCTGCGTTGACCAAACTAGTCCTACGATACACGGAGGTGGGAATGATCAGCGCAAGGCAAACGCTCTCAAGGCAGAGGTTCGTACTAGAAGCAGACAAATGATTGCGCACTGACCTCATTGTTCCTGGCAGGCAATGTTGATCATGGCCTCTGTCATCCGTGTCGGACAGTCGAAGTTCGTCAACGTCCCGATCGACGAGGACTCGAGCGAGCGCATCATGAGCTGTATCCAGACACTGAGTGAGCTCGAGGAGAAGCCAGTCGTGCACGACATCTTCCTCAAGGATACGAGAAGTGCATACGCCAAGATGTTGTCTGCCCAAGAAGTGCGCATATAACGATGGGATAGCGTGCGATGTTGCTGATTGGCAACTACGTTTGCTCGATTTGCAGAAAAAAGCGGCGGAGAAGCGCGAACAGGAGAGTGCGCAGGAGAAGATCGTCCAGGTCGATGATCTCCTCACATTCCGTCAATTTACGAGGAAGGCTGTGGACAATGTGATCGACGTGCGTTTTCGTTGTTGTCCGATGCATCCAAGCTCAGGATCGTGTCTGCATAGGACGCCGAGGATGTCGTTCGTGCGACCGGATCCGCCGAGGTGCACGAAGACTTCATCTCCAATCTCAGCCGGATATCCCAGCTCACTGGTATGTACGATCAATCCGGGGCCTGGGATATGTTGATGAGATACCGCAGGCTTCTCCGATCCCATTTACGCTGAGGCATACGTCAAAGTGCACGGGTTCGACATCTCATTAGGTGGGGAGCGAACGTCATGGTAATTGCACCAGTACATCTGACCAGATTACAGATGTACTCCTGGTCAACCAGACCGCCGACACGCTACAAAACCTCTGTCTGGATTTCGCAACCTTGGGCGACCTGAAGCTGGTCGAGCGGCCATCTGTGTATACCATTGCTCCTCACAGTTTCCAGAGCATCAAGGCGACGATCAAGGTGTGCATGCGCTGGCTACCTCTGTATGGATGCTATGCCTGACTTACGGAAACAGGTGTCGTCAACGGAAACTGGTGTCATCTTCGGCAGCATCCTCTGGGAGGGTCCTGGCATGTCAGAACAATGCGTCATCTTGAACGACATCCATATCGATATCATGGACTACATCAAGCCCGCGTACTGCACAGAGGCGCAGGTAAGCAACACGGTGGCAATCTAAGCAAGTGTATCTACTTACATTCCGCATACAGTTCCGTAGCATGTGGACTGAGTTCGAGTGGGAGAACAGGGTCAACGTCACGACGTCGATCTCGTACGTCACGTCTCACATTGGGGCTGAACGTGCTCAGGCTCACTCATGACATGCAGTGACCCCGAGAATACCTGCACCATGTCATGAAATCGACCAACATGTCGTGTCTCACGCCAGAGGGAGCGGTCTCAGGTGACTGCGACTTCTTGTCGGCGAACATGTACGCGCGGAGTCTATTTGGTGAGCAGAGCAATAGATCTGTCATGTTGAGCGTTCCTCACTTCGAAAATCACGTAGGCGAGGACGCGCTGGCGAACCTGAGTGTGGAGCGGACAGAAGCAGGCACTATCACCGGCCACGTCCGGATACGTAGCAAAACGCAGGGTATCGCGCTGTCTTTGGGAGACCGGATCACGATGGGTACGTGCACCGACTGCCATATGCCCGCGAGGCGATGCTGACTGCCGCATGATACGTAGCTCAGAAGGAAAACAAGCCTCCAGCGTAGGCCGACTCCCGTACTGATGTCGGTGACCTCGTGTATTTATCGGCTGGTAGATAATTGGACATTTCGCTGTGCACGCACGGACGTTGAAGTACTCGAGTGAGCAGGAACGAGGCACGAGCGAGGATGCGCTCCGGCGGGAACGGGAAGAAGCGCGTGCTCGGAGACAGAAAAATGCAGCGCGAGATCGAATCGTGGCGGGGTAAGGAAGGCGCTAAGATATGAGCGGGACATGGCGCGGGGATCATGCTGCTCGAGGCACAGCTATCGACCTGCCTGTGGTTATAGGCCCATGTCCTCCCACCGCTAGCCATTAAGCCCTGCTTCAGTCCGCCTCCACCATGTCGGTCCGCCATAGCGCCTCGTTTTCCGACGAGAAGGAACAGGGCTATGTTCAAGATGCGGTCGCCACCGCTGAGCACGCCCCCGAGGTCGTCATCGTCAAGCGCTATGGCCGCCTCGGCCCCATCTTAGAGCGCATGTTCGCGCATGGTGTCGAGGCTAGAGGTGTTGAGCGCGTCCCGGAGGATGAACGGTCGTCGAAAAACCAGTACAACAAGTGAGTAGTCAATTTTTGCAATTTGTGTAAACCTCGCACTCACCGAGCGAAGCTTCTTGATGTGGTGGTGAGTAGGAACTTCGCCCATGAAGCTTAAAGGGTTGGAAAATGACCGTCGACAATCGTCAGTTCCGTCAACACCGTTCTGACGACGATCCCGATCGGAGTGTTGGCTCAGGAATACTACACCTTGACTCTCCCGTGAGCGTTCATACTCATTCCACCGATTGCTTTGGGCTAAACCAATTTCAAGACATGCTATTGCCACCATAATGTGCTTTGGTGCTTTGGGTGCCCTCACGGTAGCATTCATCAGCACTCTGGGACCACGAACTGGTCTTCGGACCATGATGATCGCCCGGTATAGCTCTGGCTATATTGGCGGCATCATCTACTCCGTGCTCAACCTCCTCACTCAGTGAGTGCATTCTATATGCACTGACCTGAGTGTGTTGTAACCTTGCCTTCAACAGGCTCGGCTTCTCCGTTACCGCCGTCATCCTTGGCGGCGAGACACTCGCGTCCATTAACCCTGGTACACTCCCGCTCGTAGTTGGCATCATCATTGTCGCGATCTGCAGCTTGGTGCCCTGCTTCATTGGCTACGAGATGGTACATATCTATGAGCGGTATGCGTGGATGGTCATGACCATCGTCATGCTTTTCTTGTGGGGTTTGGGAGGCCGCGCCGGCTTCGACATTAATGCGCAAAAGCCGCTTGAAGCTACCGGCAGAGCACTCTCCGGCGATATCCTCAGCTTTGGCGGTATCATCTTCGGGTCTTTCTCCGGGGTGCGAATTCTCTCGCTCTTTCCTCTGACGCACTCGCTCATGAGTTTTACACCAGTGGGCACCCGTTGCAGCGGACTACAACTGCAGGCTCCCGGTCAACACTCAAGCATGAAAGTGTTCCTGCTCACGTTCTTTGGCCTCTGGATACCTATTTGCTTGTGGAGATCCTGGGTGCTGCGCTCATGACAATCAGTGATCCTGCCTTCGCCGACGTGATTGTGGCTGGTGATACGGGCGGTCTTCTCGCGCAGGTACTCTCGCCGTGGAAGGGCGGAGGCAAGTTCGTTCTTGTTCTCCTGGCGTTCTCTGTCGTGTAGGTCCCTCGTCACCAGATCCTCAAGCATACACACACACTAACCCATCCTACGTCTCAGCGCGAACAACATCCCGAACACGTATTCCGCTGGTATCTCTGCGCAGGCACTCGGACGGCCCTTCGCGATGGTGCCCCGCTTCGTGTGGGTCTTCCTCGCATTCGTAACGTACACCGTCGCGGGCGTTGCGGGGCGCGAGCACTTCTCCGAGATCCTGTCGAACTTCCTGAGCATCCTCAGCTACTGGACGGCATTCTTTATCGTCATCGTCGCGGAAGAGCACTTTATCTTCCGACGGAAGAACGGCCCGCTTGGTGGGTATAACTTGGAGGACTATGACACCCCGAGCAAGTGAGCGAACTCCGCGAAGACTGGGTATATGCAGGGTACTGACGGGTTGTTGATGGCAGGCTACCTATCGGAGTTGCAGGAGTACTTGCGGGCTGCTTCGGTGTCGCGGGTGCTGTCGTAGGAATGTCGGAGGTGTGGTATACGGGCCCGCTTGGCATGGATGCTGGTGCAGACGGCTATGGTGCGGACCTTGGTTTTGAGGTGCGTCTGTTTGACTTTGCGGTATGCGTCCCATGTTCAATCCGGTATTGTAGCTCGCCGCGGCGTTTGCTGCAGTCATGTTTCCGCCACTACGTTGGCTGGAAATCCGCCTCACGGGGAGGTAGTATCGTGTGCCGGTGTAAATGTTGTGTGTACTGTCTTACTGGGGTAGCCGCTGAACTCAGTTAACGATCTCGACGTGCGGTGTCTTCAATCGAGCCTCAAGTCCTCAATCGTCGACCATGCAGCATTTCGTCCCGAACTCCGACTCAGTCTTGAGCTGACAATGCAACTGAAATGTACCGCACCACTGTCAACGTCAGCTTGGTGTGAGTGATAAAGTCACTAAATCGGCTACACTGGATGCCAGTGCGTACTCAACTCTATTGCAAGTCCATGCTCCAATATCTGACGCTCGTGCGCGGAATATAACTGGTGTTCACAATACGTCTCGCAGGTTGCTCGTTGAAGGGAGTGAATCATGTCCGGACACAGCAGACAATTGACCAGATGCCCCGAGAGCCTTAGTAAGCCCTCTCTCACAGTGAGAATTACGCCTGGTCTGCTAGTTTAAACGTATCCCAGAAGGGACGTCTCGTGTCACCGTGTCTCCCACCCAACCAGTGCTGCTCGAGCTCTTCGGGCCTCGAATCCATCCAACGTGTCAAAATAAGCAACTGTCATATGTAGGGCGGTCTTTCTCACAGCCGTCATTTGCCTGTAGTGCGCTCTAGGCATCAAAGCTACTTCGCTATGGCCGACAAACTTCCGTCGAAGCCCTTGTTGAAGCTGGCCTGTTATCCGCACCATCAACCCTTTCATCTACGTCCACATCGTCCATGGCACTAGCATGCAGTCGCGCTTGATTGAGAACGATGACGTCCTACGCGAGGTGTTCAAGTTTCTGGACCCCTCCACGACCGAAGACCCACGTTGCAGCGATCCCACCGAGCACGAAAATAGTTGTCGAAGAGCACTTGCCCGGTCCGCTCGTGCGTCGAAGGTGCTATCAGAGCATGCTCTGAGCGTGCTCTGGCGGAAGATAGAAGGCCTGCTGGATATCTTCAGCATCTTGCCGCCGTTTAAAGGGAGTTGGTGGAGCCTAGCGGCGACGACGAAGGACATCATGACGATGGATCGCACAGCAAAAAGGGTCTTGGGTATGGGCTATCTAGGTTTTAAAGGAATGCATCAGACTGATTGCAGGCTCTGCAGCGGTTCATCGGTCCTATCGCGCCCACGGACTGGCAGCGATACCAACAATACACCCAACGCGTACGCGTACTTTCTCTTGCCTGGACTCCAGGCAAGGTCGATCCAGCTGTGTTCTCCGATATCTCCCGACTCAGTGCCGGAGGCCCTCTCTTCCCTGGCTTGATAGAGCTGGACATCCAAACGTACGACCACCTCGAGGACATACCGTCGAGTCTCATATCGCCATCCCTCCGCAGGCTACACGCCACTGACCTGGGTGATGTCCTCGGCGACCCACTGACTAAGCCTCCGCACCCACCACTCGCAGATCTCGTACGCGCCGCGTTCGTGGTCGCCCGACTGCTGGAGGAAGTCAGCATCCAGGGCTCCAATGTCGGACCCTTGGAGAACCTGCTGCCCATGGCGGAGTGCACCCGCTTGCGGCGGGTGTCGGTCCTAGACCTCGCGTGCGATCACGACTCCTGAACGTCTGGTCGCGTATCAATTCTCTGGTTGACCTCGCCCTCGAGGTCCCCTCTGACGACTCCCCTGTGATAGAATCGCTGGAATTCGATCGACTCCATTGCCTAACAGCTCGGGGCAATCTACAGAATCTGGGAGAGCTGTTTTCCCATATCTCTGCCCCAACCCTCAACTACCTCCGCATCCAGATACAACAGCCTCCGGGACACAGTCGCGAACGGTTACCGGATTGTCTCGCGGCAGTGAGGGGAGGTTCAGCTCGACGCTGCGACACTTCGACCTCGCTTCGTATTGTGACGTGCATGGTCGAGGGGAACGATGGCCTGAGCAGCCCCTCATTGATTTTATCCGACCGTTACTGGACATGCATCTCCTTCAAGTCGTGTCCATCACACCGCCGAGGTGGTGGTCTATCACCCTGTCAGATGAAGCCGTCCACGACATCGCGACTGCATGGCCGCAGCTCACCTCACTCCAGATCTACCTCCTCAATGCCCACTCAACCGCCACTTGGGAGAGCCTCGTCGAGCTCGCGAGTGCATGTCACCACCTGAGGACGCTCGTTCTACCCCAACTCGCCTGCGAACCTTCACGCCTTCTCTTGTCGACAAGCAGCCTGCCCTCTCGCACCCCCTCGAAGTGCTCACGCTCGACTATTCCTTCGGCCACAACCAAATGGACGACTCGCACAAGTTCGCGCAGTTCCTCGATCGCATGTTCCCGAGCCTCGACCTTGGCGCGTCCGTCATCCGAAGGGTGGACATACCCGGAGGCCAGCGTCACCCTCTCTGCAGAGAGGTCATGGAGCTTCTGCGAAACTTCCAACAAGCTAGAGAACGTCAAATTCCATCGGGCGGGAAGCATGCCATGGTAAAGATTAAGCAGTCTCGTTGACTGCTGCCCGCAGGATGCTCATAGCGTCTTGAACTAGGTGTCGTCGCGCGCTGCGCAGACGGTGTAGGTTGGTATGCATCCAGTCGATGAATCCAGGCCGTCCACAGAAACGGATTCACGGCGTTATGTACAAGGTTCACGCCCCATTGGTTAACAGAACAGAAAGTTGTACTCTCAGCCTCGTCCGGTGTATTTCTACAGCGTTGAATGTAAGCGTCCGCGTCGGATCAATATTGTATGCAGTCAGTAGCTCTTGACGCGAATGCGGCAAAGACAAGACAGCTCCTCGACTCCCAATGTGAACTTCTGAGGCGTTTTGTGTATCAAACGTCCACGACGTCAGTGTTCTTGTGATGCGGTACTGGCAGGCCCATGCACCCAGGGTTCCTCGACGATGTAATGTCGTGCGATCACTGCGACGTTTCAACCTGAACTTCCCGCGCGTCCTGTAGCTCCATTCTACCACCATGCCACCCATAGGTCGATGGTCGCTTCGTGCTATAGGTCCTTACAGCGCTCGTTCGTCGCACTGTGTCGTAGCGACGAACTCTGGGCAGGTCGTCGTTTATGGTGGTGAGCTGAAGCCACGCGTTCCTGTCGATTCGGCGATCTCGCAAGGAGAGAACGAAGCGGCGCGGGGGTCAATGCATGTCGTTGACCTCGGATCGCGTAGCGAGTTGGGCCGCATCGTCGATCGCTTGAAGACATGGTCTACACTCAGTCCTTCTCGACTCGGAGACACCAATGCAGCCAACAAAGATCTTGATGCCCCCAATCCCAGAGTTGGTCCGTCAATGGTGTTGAAGGATAACGCCGTGTATATATGGGGAGGTCGTGGAGGCGTAGATATGGCGCCGCTTGACAACGAACAGGCAGGGGTATGGAAGGGCCAACTGGTCACTGGTCAAGAGCGCGTTGATTGGGAGCACTTACCCGCTGAAGGAGGACCTGAACCCAGAAGCTACCATACAACTGCTATTCTCGATGTGCGTTCATCTCCAGAACGACAGTTACATTCTACATTGCGTACTGAATCTGCACCTTCTCAAGGACACGATGTACATCCATGCTGGATGTCCGACCACCGGACGACTGAGCAGTCTCCACTCATTTGACATCACTCAGCAGAAGTGGAAAACGTTAGCTTCTGCCCCAGAGCCGCCCAGAGGTGGTACCTCTCTCGTCGCAAACACCATCGAGCCGTTCGGTCCTGTGCTCATCAGATACGGAGGTGAGCTTGTCATCAAGGCTATCATGTAGTCGCTGAGCAAGGGTCTGAACACACATACAGGATTCAGTGGATACGAACTCCCCAAGGAAGCTGGAATCCTCGATGTATATGTCGTCAAAGACGACAAATGGCTCACTGTGACGCCTGCTGCAGACCCGGAGCACGGCGTCCCGGGCCCACGATCTGTCCATGGATTCCAACCCTTCCAATCCTCCTCGTCCTCCTTGTCTCATGCTCTAGCAGTCCTCTTCTACGGAGAGAGGGATGCTAGTTCGTTGGGACATGCGGGTGCAGGGACCTTCTGGAATGACGCTTGGCTCCTCTCCAAGGACAAGCCGTCTTCGGAGACGGATGGTTGGCAGTGGACCAAGATCATCACTGACGAATCAAAGGTGCCCGAAGGAAGGGGCTGGCTCGCCTCCGCCGCGTGGGTAGAGCACGGTACTTCTCGTATTGTCATGCATGGCGGGCTGCTTTCCTCGAACAAGCGTAGCGACGAGCTCTGGGAGTTGCAGATCGAATAAGCATGTACGTACATCAGGGGTTGTATCGCATATGATTGTACAACTATGCCAGAGCAGTCCATCGCTATATGGACATTGAGGCTTCATGCGAACTCGGAGAAGAAGACGTAAGTTCTACAGCTTGAGCGCGCATTTGCAGTTCCTCGTTGAAGCGAACCTACACGATGTCGGCGAACCGGAACTCGGAGGGTATGACGTTTCACCACTCACAAGCCGGTCGTGTCCCACGTAAGGGCCGAAGTACTGCACTCTATCCTCGGGACCGGTGTCGAGGAAATCGTCGAGTCTCATCTGCGACAGGATGATTGACGCTGCGAACGCATTCATCCCATCTACACCTGCTAGATCGTATTCGCCCTAAACAAGCCAGGCATCAGCATAGACACAGGCAGTAGGAGTGCAGCGATCTGGCACATCACCTCTTGCTCATCGAAGTCTAGCCACTCGCGAGCTCCCCACAACGCCCCTTGCGTGGTATCCCGAGCCTCTGCATCGTCCCCATAGTATCGCGCATACGAGGCGGCCTCTTCCACTGTAGTGGCGAACGCGAGCCGAATTGCCGAGCCAGCCTTCTTCGTCTGGCATGCTTCAGCGATGCTCAAGTCTCGTCGTAGCTTCTTGACTGCCTTGATCACAGCCGCAGAGAATGGATATGGTACAGGTCGCGGGTGCCTGAGTCACATTGAATGACAGCGAGTCGGATAAGCTTCGAAGACCACTAGAGTATGCGAGTACCGCCAAGAGAGTCGAGTCAGTCTTGCTAACATGGCATCAATCTGCGAGGGCAGAGCGGCCAGTGAGGCAAACGTTACGGCAGTATCGACATCCAGGATGAGATCGGCGTCGCCGAGGTCTTCGCGCTCGATGAGGTCGATGCAGCACTGGTGAGATAATAAGCCACGGACAAGAACCCGTTTCTGCAGCAGTGCAACAGATGCCATGTAGCGATGCATGATGGCAGGTTGCAGTTCAGACTCAGCAAGGCATAGGGTGTCGGAATCAAGTAGTTCCACAGGTACGACGAGAGGAGAACTGTCCATCGATGCGGAGGTATCACCGCCTAGTTGGACCAGAGGATTGATGTTCGACGGAGCAGGGGGGCTGGAAGAGGGGGCGACAGTCACATGTTTCTTGCCCATGAGGGCCAGAAACCCAGCGAGAAAGCGTCGAGCAGAGGAGACGTTTGCTGAGTCTTGGGGAGCCATAGCAGAAGTTCCATTGCCAATGGTCGCAGATCTAAGTCCAAGTGCTGCGAGATCGCTCGAAGGTCGTGCTGAGGCCGCAGCCGCTCTAGATGTCCTTGAGATCGTCTGAGGGGCACCGAGAGATATGTTCGGTCCAGTAAGGTCCGGAATAACCTCGTTGTCAGTCATGGGAGCATCTTGGCCATAAAGGCTCATGACAGGCGCAGGTAAGTGAGCATTCATTTCAGCATCATAGGGCTCCAAGGACTGCTGGGATTGCAAGGTATTCGTCCCAGGTACCGGGGACGGGTGCGGACCAGTGTTCCCAGCTGAGAAATGGTGCATACCACCAGCTCTAGCATCAGACGCAAACCCCAGTTCGTGAACTGGATCGATGTCAAGGAACAAGTCTCCATCGGTGTGGGGACCCTCGTAGCCTTCTGCAGCGTAGGCCATCCCGGCGAAGCCGCCGATGTCGTTGTTGGACATCGCCGCCGAAGAGGACAAGAAGACACCGGAGTCGTTAGTAGGGGCCTCGAGCTCTAGTTCGCTGACGTAGAACTGACGCTCCCAATCGGACGTCCGGGCACGTTTCGGCGGAGGGCCTTCTTCTTCCTCAGGTAGAGGATACATGAACTCCTCATTCTCTTTGTCGCTAGAGCCAAGGTCTTCATCGTCCTCGTAGGAGCCCGCAGAGTCCTGCGTTCGTCTCTAGTCAGGACGATGTCCACATCAACAACTTCGGCTTCCTGGCCACCAAGGTCTAGCGAGTCCGAGCTGTCGTCGAGGCACTTGCGCGTTGAAGGCATAGATTGTTCATCATCCACAAAACCCTCCAGGCGTAGAGTCTTCTCAAGAAGGTTAGTGAGTTGGGACACCAGCCCAGGGTCTTCTTGTCGCAGTTCAGCTGTAAGAGCATTCTCGATGCTGTCTGCCACTCCAGTTACTGCGGCGTCGTTCGGAACGCTCGACCCAAACTTAAACGGTCTGAAACAGGAGCGATCAGCATGAGTTGCAGCCGTTGGCCATCAACCTACATCCACGACAGCTCGATGGTCAGCGCTTGCATGCCCTTGACCTTCTTCAAATAACCGGATTGCGACGGAAGAGAAGCGGCATGGTCGTCAGGTTGACCGGGCTTGACTTTTGCTGGAGCGAGTAACTCGGTGGTCTGGCACGGCAGGAACATCGCGGTAGGTGCATGCTCATTCGGAGGGGGCATGATAGGAACTAGGGGAACGATTGATTAGTCAAGCAGTCGAGCGTGACATCCCCTTGACCCACCCTCCATGAGCAAGCTGTCTTTCTCGTCCAGCTTTTCGTTGATGAATAGCTGTGAGACATCTTCCGTCACCAGTTCGTCGCCATAGATCCTTCTCAGTATGACGTTCGTATCCGGATCTGACCCCTCGCTGGGCGGATTAGCGTATGCAAAGTGCATAGTACGATCGTCGTCAACGCCGAGAGTTGTGGGCGGCTGCCCAAGCATGGAGGCGGTGATGGATGTATGCGGCGACGAAGGCTGAGATTTCGGCGTTGTGACGATCTTGGCTTGATCCAGCGATTCATGCCGGTGTCTCAGCGGGGAGAGGAAAGACGACAGACTGTATGGACCGCATATAGTCAGCAAGGTGAGGGCTCGTCAGCTGAATGCGCGCAAGGGCGCCCGACGCGCCTTTGCCCGTGACCGAGAGCCTTCGGCTTCTCCTGTGTACCGCCAATCTTCTGCGACCTTGGCATCTGGATTGCATCTGAAACCATTTCAACGACTTCGTATGAGAAGGCAGGACGGCGAAATCTGGAGAGTCCGCACCGAGCTGCGCCCCCATCAGTTCTTCGATTAACGGCCGACCATGGTCGGGTGGAGAAGGCAGAAAGAGCTCGTCTACTTCACTCGAGCCATCTCCGAGGGAGGGGGTACCAGGGCTCTGCGGCGAAGATGGCACAGCATAGGCCTCTAACGGTTAGGTGTACTATCAGCGATATGATAACGCGCTCTTTCTCCAGACTTACGCCAACCGTCCACGACGACCATATGCTGTTTGTATAGCTCTTCTTCCTCGTTTCCTTATTGACTACGACAGCAGGAACGATGGAAGGTAAGTCTTGAAGAATGGCCAGGCCAGAGGGAGCGCCCGAATATGCTGCAGAAGCTAGTTGGTGGCCAGGCCACCTATCCCTCGCAAAGACGGGAGGTGAATCAAGTTGTGGGACCTCAAAAGGAGGAGAGTCAGCTCGGAGAAATTCCCTGGCTCGTATGCATATCACGGCGAGCAGAGCCTCTTGACAGAGCCGAGGCAGTTTTAAACAGTGCTGTCATGTCCTTATGCGTCTGCGCATCCAACGCAATCTTCAGGTCCCTACAACAGTGACAATGTTAGTCGTTGGAGTCAGGCTGTATGCGCAAGCGTACAGGGCATCTTGGAGCTTTGGTGGTGGTTCCTCTGGAAGCTCCTCGGAGCGAACTGATTGAGGTTGTGGGACTTCACCATCTCTTCACAACTGCGCGGAGTGGTCTGTGTACGCGACCCTGGCTTGGGTGTCTGGCGCGTCGAAATGGCAGAGAGTACGGGAGACATTGGACGGAGCATAAGCCAGGCTTCATGATCAGCTAAAGGCGATGATTCAGCAAATAGAGAGAGAAAGTTGGAGACAAGTACCGTCGGGATCAGTGTTCCAGCACTTCTTGGTAGGTCGTTCTTTCCCAGAGGTATGCGTCTTGAATCCCTTGATGAATTGTAGCACTTCGCTCCCGCTCTCCACGTTTCATCGTAAGGTCCAAGCTCCTCGAGTTCCAGATGCGCAACAATTATCGTATGGGTCGGTGGGAAATAGCGGGTCTGTAGGATCCGTAGTGGACACATAGGACAAGCCTTCCGAAAGGAGCTGTGTTTCGATCAGTTTCATCCGGTAGGATACTATACAAAACAAGCACCTCTGCAACAGCATTCTGGCTCCATGTAACATAATTCGTGGTGAGATGCTTGAGAGAGTAGTCTAACAAGAGATGACGGATATGAGCGCGAAGAGCCAGTTCTCTCTGTTCAGATTCCATGACGGATTCCTTATATGTTTGTGCCGCGTTAGTAAGTTGCCAAGAGTGCAGTACTGAAGCGATTGCCTGTCACGTCTGTGTGTGGGCGAGTAGTATTGTAGGTCGAGCAGGATTGTGTATGGATGCGCGACCGCGTTCCTGTCAAGTTGCGCGCGTCGCGCGACAACGCGTTTCCCGGCCGGTCATGTGCCCGCGCGTCATAAGTAGCCTCTGCCGGGACTGCCCCGGAACGCCGGGCCCTGCACACTGCAGCCACCGTCGCACACACTGGCATAGCGGCGACCTCGACTAGACATTCTTCTCCAAGATGACGGAGAATCGCCTGCGTATCCTTACTTTGAATTGCTGGTAAGTGAGACAGTTTGTCTTCACCTAGTTGACTGACCGGTTTCTCCAGGGGCCTGAAGTATGTCTCCAAGTTCAGGTCAGAGCGCATGTCCGCAATTGCGCATGCCCTCGCCTCCTCCGACTACGATGTAATAACCCTGCAAGAAGTATGGGTTTACGGAGATTTTGAGATGATTCGAACGGCAGTTTCCAACCAGATGCCTTACTCCAAGTTCTTCTACAGGTGAGTACGATTGTTAGCTACTCCAGGCAGTGACTAACGACAGCTGGCGTTTAGCGGTGCGCTCGGAGCAGGGCTAGCTATTCTCTCCCGGTTTCCTATCATTGGTGCAACCATCAACCCGTATTCCCTGAACGGCTCGCCCATCGAGGTGATACAAGGAGACTGGTTCGTAGGGAAAGCCGCTGCAAGTGTGCTCATAGCGCACCCAATTCTCGGCCAGCTCCAAGTTTTCAATACACATGTACGTCGTTGGTCCTGTACTTACAAGACTCCTCGCTGACGAAGCACAGCTCTTCGCCCCCGGTGGCGACTCAGGTCCTCTCCACCTGCAGGCACACCGCCTAGTCAATGCCTGGGAACTGGCCAAGCTTGCGCGCCAGGCGGCCGAGGTGGGACGCTATGTCATAGCTGCGGGCGACTTCAATAGTTCTCCAGCATCGCTCCCCATGAATCTCATCCAAGACCACGCCTCGCTCAGAGATGCGTGGGTAGAGTCTCATCCGAACAGCCCGGCCGTACCAAACGGGGTCCCGTCTCCTTCGGACGCAGTGAGAATATTTGGTATAACGGCCGACTCGCCTCTGAACTCGTTCTCCGCTGGGAAACGCCTGGAACCCATCGCACGGAAGTTCCAGGGCAAGCGACTAGACTACGTCTTCTTTCGCCAACCAAGCAGCCCTCCAGCGAGTGCAAAGACGCCTATCCTCAGAGTCAAGGACACGAGGGTCGTCTTCACCGAGCGGATCCCTAGCACGAACTTCTCTTTCTCAGATCACTTTGGGTTGGAAGCGACCTTCGAGATCAGCCACCCAGATGGCGGAGACCTGGCAGACCCGTCGGAGACCCACATTCCAGCACCCGTGGAACCCCCAGGCCCGAACTTCGTTCTCACGACAGTGCCGAACCCCGCGCCCGCACCCCCACGCAAACTCTCACCCGACTCCATCACTGAGATTCTTCAGTCACTCACGGCGTGCTATCGCTACTCGCAGTACCGAGCAAGCTCCCAGCTGACGGTCTTCGTCGTGTGCGTCCTGCTTCTCCTGGTGATCCTTGTAGGCTCTGCGTGGCTCCCCACATCCTCCTTCAACCCGCTCATCATATTCATCACGGTATTCTTGGCGTGGGCGGCGACTACCTTCCTCTACGTCGGGTTCGTCTACGGACGATGGGAGGTGAACGCACTCACCAATGTCATCGAGGAGCTGGAGATTTACCGGGACAGTCTCCTCGAGCACCAGGGTCGTTAGCACGCATATTGGACAACTCGTCGCGGCGGCGAAAGGACACTGCCAAGTGATATCGTTGAGACTTGGTATGCACGGAGAGATATTACATGTCCTTGTTTTACATCTTGTCATGCATGCGGAATATATGAGTCATTAATACTTACAATGCACTGCTATTATACGTATCATACTTGCAAGAGACTATGGAATACACTGGCTTCAGACAATGGTGATGTGCGTGCGGCAAACCAAGCGACAAGCAGAGCGAGCAAAAGTCCCGACTGAATCTGTTCATACCTACAGCAATAGCAAAGTCCTACCGTGCCGAAGAAAGCGTCCGCGAGCGCCGCCGCCGTTGCGTGTCGTCAGGCCTGAACGTTGTCGTCTCATGAGCAGGGCCCGAACTCGCGTACTGTTGAATCAACGAATGGATGTCTGGATGGCTCTCGTCGAACTTCTTCCGCAGCGACGGCGACGGCACCGGAGCCTTCGACGACGTCATGCTCAGCATAGACGCGCCCCGGGTGCGCACCCGCGATTTCGCCGCAGCGGTCTGCTGCCGCTCGAAGGAGGGTTCCCCGCGGTGTGCAGGCGCGGTCTGGACGAGCTCGGACGCCGAGCGGTACGACGCGTCCGCAATGAACGAGAACGTCGACCGGAGCCGCCGGAGCGAGGGCCGGTTTTGCAGCTTGTGCCTCTCGGAATGTGCCCTTTGCCTCTCGGACTCGCGGGGGTGTACCTTCGCAGCGGTCACTGCCTTTTGCGCTTCATCCTGAGATGCTCATCCTCCCCGTCACTCTCGTCACTCTCGGGCGGCGTCGGCCACTGTGCGCTCCAGCTGGGCTGGTCCTCGTCGCTTCTTGTTGGAGACTCGTCCCTGGGAGCGTCGGCATTGAGCTCTGGCCGCTCGCGCGACTGCTCTGTGCTCGACCCGCTGCCGATGTCTTCGCTGCGCGAGGCCGTCTCCACGCCATCGCCGCGCACAACGCGCTGTGCGTCCGTGTCGATCTCCTCTTCCAGGCCGCGTTCCGTAGCGCCGGCGAGCTCTTGTGGGGTCTTCTTCTGAACTGGGGGAGGAAGTGCAAGACGAAGTCGCGACAAGAAAAATACGCATGCTGGGCGGTCTCGAGGAACGGGAGCGCCTGGAAGACATGCACGGCATCTTCGTACAGCTCGTGTCGGACTTCAACGCCTGCCAACTTTGCTTTGTGCGCTAGGAGCGTGATTTCGTCACGGAGCACTTCGCATTCGCCGGATTGGATGAGCATGGGCGGCAGGCCCTTGAAGTCGCCAAAGAGCGGGCTGGCGTAAGGGTGGGTAAGGTACTTCTCCATGTGTTCCCCGAGATAGCATGCGATGGGATTGAGGTGATCGCCAGGAACGGGTCTTGGGACAATATCGTACTCTGCATTGCTGTCCCACGAATCGCAGCTCATCGTCAGGTCTGCACGACAGTGTTTAACGGTCAACACGCAAGTGAGTGAAGTTAAGTATCACTCACCGACCCAAGGAGAGAAAAAGATCGCAGCAGAAGGTAAAGTGAAGCCGTTATCCCGTAGGTACATGAGCAATGAAAGCGCCAGCCCGCCGCCTGCACTATCTCCCGCGATGATGACGTTCTCAGGAGGTATGTGCAAATCATCTACCAAGCGTAGGTATGCGGAGACAGCGTCATGCAAAGGTCCTGGAAAACGGGTCTCTGGAGCTAATCTATAGTCGAGAGCTAACACACCGTATATCAGCTTCACCCAGGTCATTGAACCGGCTGGAGAGACTACCTACCGAAAAGGCGAGCGTCCAGATACTTCGCGAACGGGATTGTGATAAGGCGGTGTGAGGCGGCATTGCAGACATAGTAAGCACCTACGCATACAGTGAGCAAGGATGATTGTCAGTTAGTAAGAAGCCTACCGCCATGCAAGTACAACACAACACGCTCGTTTCTCCGATGCTCTTGCGACGGAGATGCAGGTGCCTTGGCAGAAGCAGAAACATCGGACTTCGCCTGACCGCGCTGCGCTCTCCATTCCTTCTGCAGTCTTCGCCAAGTACGCTTTCCAACCACCCACTCTCCAGACAGCTCCCGCTTCCCATCCTCCGCAGCGTCGAGCTCTACAAGAATTCCAGGGAGCTTGCGCCTTCGGACTGAGAAGGTTACCGGAGTAACGAGGGCGTCGGATGAGACGGGCATGTAGCCGCTAGTGCTCATGAGCATGCGTATCAGGGACTACTTGGTGCCGAGATGAGCAGACCGGTTAATCATCATGGTGGGCGGAGACTTGCCATATCACCCAATGTGTGTGCTGCCCAACGTTCCTCATCAGTGCGGAGAGCAGGGTCATCTCGACAGTCCAGGACTTCCGCCGAGGTCCCCAGACATGGTGGTATACCAGCTCGGAGAAGAGCTCAGTAGCTAATGACGCAGACATTCAGCATTCATCTTGCAAGTATTTGTAACGAATGAGCAATCCTAGTAGCCATGTAGGCTCACCTTTCGCAGCTCCGAATGCCGCTACCTTGCCTAACTGCCACAGACTCAATGGTTCTTGCTCGCGCTGCTTCAGCTTTGGATCGCCAACACGAGCGCCGGGTGGAAGTGCTACACCAGACTGTTCGAAGTGCCGCAGCAAATCGGTCGGACTGGGTGTAGCGTCTGCGACTTCCTTCACGGCGGACGACACAACCTCTGTCACCGTCCCATTGTTCTCCTTGTTTCCGTGTCCTTGGGATCATTCTTGGCACCCTCAGAGTTTGGCGACCAGAGAAGTGAAACGGCCATGGCATGACTGTCGCGTGCTAAGTATTGGCGGGGACAGAGTGTTCGAGCCAGGCTGGATATCACAGGTCGTCACTGGAGTATTAGTACAGTGCGAATTAATAGCGGATTAGTCCGTTTAGTCTCCGGCCGCGGGCTGGAGCAAACAGGGAGCAGTGAACCGAGGAGGAAAGGTCGAAGACAGGGTGGGTTCCTAGGCGTTCATATACATTCTGACGGCAGACAACCCAGAGACGACCTTTGCAGCGCTTCGAGAGACAGTGCTCCAGCAGGCGCCCAAGGTGACATCGGAGACACGGAACTTTAAATCACATGTACTTGCCTTGACGCCATCCCCGAGATTCCGCCTTCAGATTCAAGCTTTGTACCTGCAGAACGAGCTTCCCGGTGATACAAAGGAACAATAGAGATGCTATGGTGACGGTGAAGCTACAGATACAGCGAGGCCGCCAGGAGTATGTAGTACATATACAGTGCGGGATGTGCATCAATAGTCGTCGCCTCTGCTGACCACTTCCTTCCGTGTGGGACGTAATAGGATCGTGTGTTCCTGCAAAAGAACAGAGAAGCGGTCAGTCTTTGCACCGAATGGACCATGAGACACTGCTTACAAACTGCGCTGTCATCGCTCCCTTCTGGTCGCACAGTGGCGGATAGTCTTGTACGATGCCTTGTTGCACCAGGTGATTCAGCTTTACCACAAGGTCAGTTACCACGGGATCGGGGCGGCGGACGGAACTACGTACAGCTAGGAGATATCTCTGCTCTCCGATCCGATCAAGGTATCGTCGGCAGAATGGCAGCGTCCCAAAGTTTTGTTGATGGAATTGAGCAGCGACTTCGCCGTGGTCAGCCTTTCGGAAGTTGAGTACGGTGCAACGGTTTTCTGGCTATGAACCTTACCGCAAGCTAACGCGGGGTGCATCCACATTCGTGCATAGTGTGAACCTCTCCCTGCACCAATATCAGGGCCCTGCATCGAAATAAGGATAGATGACATACACTTCCACCACGCGACCACGTCCCGTCGAGCCGAAAGTCTCAATAGCGAAGTACTCGCCCTCCTCCATCTTGTCTGGTCCTCATTTTTGACGAGCATTATCGACTTCCCCCGTGAATTTGGTAAGGGTTGATGAGTGACCGCTCAGGTTCTCGATAGCTTTGACTGTTCACAATATTAGGTTGGCTCAGCATCGTGTGTGATCGAATAAGAATACTAACCAGGATACACCTTGCCGTTGACCTCGACCTCATATGACTCCATCGTCTCCTGATGTAGCCACCGAGTTCTCCCAAACGAACATCGATACCAGCCTCCTGGAGTTATGATATCTCATCAGCATGGCATGCTTAATTTGTATTTGGACTGACCCGGATGCCTGTGTCTGTTGCAGCCTTGACAGCTTCCAACAGCTTGTCATATGTATGGTCGAAGGTCATCGTGAAGGCAGAGTCTAATATGCGACCTTTCACATGCACACCGAATCCACCTTCATTACATCACCCTGCTGCACGACTGGTCGAACGTATTGGCGAGAACCAATGGATAATGTAAGGGAAGGTACGAACCTACGGTGTCGCCGGAGTTTGGCGAATAGTGTGCTGCACAGTTGTTCAGGCTGAGCCCAGTTGGGAAGCCTACCCCGGATTCCATCCCGCTCTCCTCTACCAGCGCTCGTGTGCCATCCTCGATGGTATTGGCGATCTCCAGCATGCTCATTCCCGGCTTGATATGCTTGCGTGCGTACTTCCGCACTTGTCTGTGCACTTCAGCGGCGCGACGGATGTTGTTGTATGTGAGCTCAGGATCCTCCAAGGCCATCCGCTCGTCATATCGCTTCTCCTCAGACGTCGTGCGCCAGGCATTGCTAAAGCAGAATGATTGTCAGAACCGCCTTGGAAGCATATGTAGTGTCACACTGTCACTTACTCATCCTTGTATTCCTGCAGCTCTCCCTCTGGGTACTTGCCGTCGGGGAAAAGCTTGACAGACCGACTCGTGGGGGCTCTGACTGCTCGGCCTTCTTCTTCTTGGGCCTTTTCTTCTTCTTCTTTTTCTTTCCTTCACCTACGCAGGCAGAGGGCATGGATCAGCACTGTAAGCCAATAACACTTGAGGCAATCGTACACACCACCCGCAGGCGTCCCGACCTCATCCTCCTCCTCGCCATCCTCGTCACCGTCTACAACCTCAGGTGGCACCTCTCTCTTTGCCTTCTCGTCCGCCATGGGTCCCTGCGTCCCTGGTGCTATCATGGTCAAGTGTGAAGCAGTTTGTTGGCGGAGAGATTTGACAAGCCACTTAACGCCGACGCGGGGCCCGGATCACGCGCAGACGATCGGCGGGAACGCTGCCTCGGGCATCGCTCGGCCACGTCCCGTCTGCTTTGCTTGCGATTCGATCTCTATTCGACCTCCATGCCAGGCAACATCTGTATACATAGTCAGGTCGTAGACTTGTAACCAACTCGTAGTTTCATTGACTCTGCGATCTCTCCGCTCCGAGCACGGCATTGGCTTGACACGATGGCTGCCACCCCTTCACCTCCGGTGTTCTTGAATCGGGTGTACGGCCTCGCTGGTAACTTAGACACCCAGTCGTTTTATACGGGCGATGGACAGACGCGGAGGTCTTCTCTTGTGTCGCCTGATGCTGGTCGACCATATGTCACCCTTACCTTTGCCCAATCTCTGGACGCCAAGATCGCTGGAACGGGCGGACAACAGCTCGCTTTGAGTGGGAAGGAGAGCATGCTTATGACCCATTGGTGAGTCGCGGACGCCCTGTCGCCTCTCACACGTTTTTCGAAACAGACTCTCTTATCTCGTAAGTGAGTCTCAAGAGATGATCACTCATGCATCAGAAAGAATAGGATGAGGACACTTCACGACGGCATCCTCGTAGGTATTGGCACTGCGATCAACGACAACCCTCAACTGAACAGTGAGTACTAGCCCTTTTCAGCACCACTCGCATGGACAATGTAATTTATAGCGCGTCATTTACCACTCCTTCCGGTCGATTTTCCCCACCGATATCACCTTCCAAGGCCGATCATCCTTGACACGCACTTGCGTTTGCCAATTGACTGCAAGCTCTTCAACAACTACAAGGCAGGGGTAGGGAGACGACCTTGGGTGATTGCCTCAGCATCTTCGGTTGACGGCGATGAATCCCGGGCGTCGAGAAAGTCTAGCTTGGAGGCCGCTGGAGCGCGGATCGTTGAAGTCGTCACAGATGCAGATGGTACACCTATTCGATGACCCTCGTGCTATTCAATATTCAGACCGATTAAAATAGGTAGCATCTCCGTCGTTGGTCTCCTCGAAAAGCTGCGCGAGCTGGCATCCAGTCTGTCATGGTTGAGGGTGGCGCTGGGTCATTCAATCATTTCTGGGAGCGGAGGTTCGACACCGAAACTGCATCGACACAGTAATCGTCACGGTTGCCCCAAATTTGGTTGGCAAGGACGGCATCGGATATGGCTCCAACTTGCCATCGGACACGGTGAGTTTGATATCGCCCCAATGTTGATGATGATACTGAGATGATGCAGCTACCTGCTATGCGACACGTTGAGACAGTGTTATTTGGTATAGACGCTGTGGTCGCACTGAGAATGCATTAGTGTTTTATACACAGCAGACACTGGTGTATGTCGCATTCTCTGCGGCCGTCGACTCGGAGGTCGGTTATGAGCTTCACAAGTGGCGCCCTGACAACCCAGTTGAACGCCAGTCGGTTCTTTCCATTTATTTGGCATGCAGGCTATCACCTACCGCTCAGCGACAGAAATCACGTTGTAATTCAGATCAAGTCAGTATGCAGTATGCGGTGACTTGCGATCTAGTGGTCCGTTTGGCTCTACTTCATGCGCCGGGTGACTGTTGACGTCCTAATAGGCCCTAGACCGGCGAGCTGGGTGACCTTACATGAGTGACGCGTCAGGGATGCCGACTGAGAATGGTTTGACGGTCTCTCAAGGCGTCTTGGAGAAATTCTGGCATAGTCTGAGGGACGGTCCTCCAGCTTGGTATACATACTACGGTGAGCAGCGATCGTTGACTTTGTAACAACTCACGATTACGGTTCGTCTATCACGTACGCATGGAACAGGATCAAGATACATCGAGATCAAATTCCGCGACCATCTCTCAGGTGTTGCGAAAGGTGCGGATACCAGATCATCCGCCACCAGCAGCTACGCCCTAGTAGCTCGTTATCCACCAATCCCAGGCACATTTAGCGGGTCGACATATGGTCGCTTTGTTGAGCGGGACGTGTGTTTCACCGGCTGTCAACACGGCGTACTTTGACAGCAACTGCACTGTGTGCATACACTGCTCACCGATGTTCAACTGGAATATGGCTGCCAAAGCCTAAGTATATGGGTACGTCCGCATCTCTTAATGACTATGATAGGTCATCCATGATGTCATGACATAACTGAGTCATTTTTGCATGCCAAATTGTACGCTTTCAGCTCGGCGACCGCTGCTGAGAATCGCAAAAAAGGGTATGATCACTGAATATGTCTCAAGGCGAACTGCTCACACCGGGAATCAATCCCATATCTAAGACTCGAAGGATGCTTGGCCAGTGCCAACATGTCACCATGCCTCGATGGTCATTGTGAGTTATTATATATTGAGTATTACTTGGACTCGCGCCCGCTCACTTGTACCCCACCCGTCCTGCTCACACCAGTGCTCGGGCATCCCGCCCTTTGTTATTCGCGAACCCCTCGTCCTCGCGCCTCGACCTGTCGACCCGTTGGCACGGCCCTCGACCGATCCGCGCGTTACAATCGTCCACACCATGAGGTTTGCTGCTCTGCGCAATTGTCCTTCTGCAAACAGCGACGGCTGCTTCCGCCGCGCCGAGGGTACGCCCCGCTCGCTATGGTCCTAACCTCGGCAGGGCATCTTATGACCTTCTTGCATACAGCTGAGCTGCAGGCGCGTCGCGTCAGTGGCGCCAAATATTATGCGTACAGCGATTTGGACGGTATACCAATCGTCCGATTCATACCATGCCGGAGACTGAACCCATTGCCCAGACATTGATGTCGACAAGCGTCAATCCGGGGAGCCAGTTTCTGAAGGCCAGTGAGGACGGGCATCACGGTCAATGGTATGCACGCTAGCCCCTCTATCGCTCTTCTGTGACGCTCCACTGACACATTTGTTCGCTTTTAGTGCTGGGTATTTATTGATACATCTCTATACTGTCTTCGTGGCTGGGTGACTTTCAGTCGTGCATGTATTAGTTGATAGCGCTTCCGGCCTCCGCGCCATTCAACAGCAGGTTGCTATCACGCCATAGAATTTTGTATGTTCTATCACCAGTATCGGTTACTGCGATCGAGTCGAGTCTACAGCGGTAATAGTTCAAACGCTGCTTGCTGAACTTGCGACACGAGTTCACCGAGTTGTCCCCCCTCTGTAGTACCCCAAGTACACGCTTTAGCTTATGCTCAGCCTGATCCTAACAGAGCACACGCGTACTTACCTTTAGAGTTAGAGTTTTGTCTACATAGGGCTCGGCCCTCGCGGACAATAAAGGGATTAAGAAAGAAAACTACACACTTTGCGACAACTGAGCACCGTGCATATTTACCACCGGCGTTCTTGTAGCACCGTGGATCGTCTGGAGCGGCGCCGAGTAAATGGTCTTCCGGCAATGCGACCACGGGTGATCTTGCCAAAGGGCATGTATCGACTGCCGTGCCGTTCATAGAACCAACAAGGAGCACCATCAGCAGTATCTTCCGGACTACGCGAGCGAGTCACTCACAATTCGGTCTCGCATGATGTACCGCACAGATGTTATTTGTGATTCCACGGCGGCTTGGACTGATTATTTAATTGACCATAGACGGCCGGCTTTCGCACTGTTGAACAACATCGCTCAGCAGCGAAGGTCGCACCAGCAGGCTATAGCACGGAAGCGGGATTTACCATTGCCGCTCATTCCTAGTAATAGTATCCTCGATTGAATGATTGCTCCGCCCGACGTCGAGCTCCCAAAATCGCACCAAACGGTCGGGTTGTTTCGTCATTTTCTGCGGCGTAAGTGAGCACCCCGTTCGTACTCCGGTTTAGTATTTTTCAACTTGGGCACGACCCGGAGCGCAGGATCTGGCGCGGTGTCGTGCGCCTGTGCCTAAAGCCTAAAGGCCTAAATCCCTGTTTCGTCAATGAAGGCACCCGTCCAGAACAAATGGCTCGACGCATCGAGGACGGTCTCGCGGTGGCCCGATCTGACTCCATTCTACCCATTGCGGTCCTTGCGCGGGTCCTCTGGCTCACCATTTACGAGAAGTCATCGCTTCACCAGGGCCGAAACCAACTCTGCGGATGAAGCGCGAACGGGTAGTGGGCGTCCGGGCCCGAGGCGACCGAAGAGTGTCGAAAGCTGGAGGCTTCTTTGCGCAACACGCCTTGCCTGTGCGACTTGCAAAGTACAACACCTGGTTGGCTCTCCAGATACTCGATCGATCACTATTATAGTCTGGTGTGTCTCGACGCGCTCTACAGGATCGGCACGATTTGGCCGGGTGCCTGCGTGCACGTTCATCCTAAGGCGTGGTAAGTACGCAGTCAGTCAGCCAACATGCTGAAGATGCAATACCGGGCGCCGCTTTGCAATCGCCTGTAGGCCACCGCAGTTCTGGCGACTCGCTCAAACTATGGCGCGATACAAGCTGATACAAGCCGGGTATAACCAATTCATTGTATTAGCCCACCGAGTGATATGAGGGCGTCCCGACATCTTCGAATAGTAGTCACCCGTCTTAGGCAGACCTTAAAGAAGACCTCTTTGAGTGGGGGAGCTAGAGGACGGTCTTCTAATCTTCCACTAGCTAGACGGAGGTGTAGGCTTCGAGCAATTCAACATCTCACGGAGACCGTTGGATAAGTATCGATATAACCACTGATTGTGACCCGCTTCCGTTCAGTATTCTCGAATGCCCATCGCAGTGATCATCCCACCAAGACGGGAACGTGCAGGAATCCTCACCCCAGAGTACTCTGCCCCACATCACCTTTTTCGACAACTCCTGACCAGCCTCGTTCTGACGCGTGGTCCGTCCGAGCAGGGGTGCCGGTGGCGCGCTGGCGCGTTAGCAGGTCCACCCAGGTCCACCCATCCGTTGCTCTGCCCCGCGCAGCACCTTCCCGATAAGTACTTGGAGCGTTCGTGGTAACGGCGTGTGTCTAGGGAGGCCTCCGAGGGGCCGAGCAAGGGATCGTCGCCGTTGCGATGCCTTTTGGACATGTACTCCAAGCCGGACAGAAGCGACTGGTCCTGGTGGGAGCGAGCCTCCATCATCGGTCGCGTATGGGTGGTATGTAGGTATTCTGGCGTGCCGGCGGGCAGCCCGGAGATACGAACGAACAGCATGACGGTCGCGAAAGAGACTAGACTGTGGGGAAGTCGGACACGCGGTGGTCATGGTAGCCTGGAGTGTCCTGGAGTGCTCCGCTACGCCGAGTGTGCGCTCCGACTGGCCGGTTGAGCCTGTTGGGTGACAGAGCGGCGGGCGATAAGAGCAGTTCTCGTACGAGCAGAGATGGATCGGTAGATCGGCGGGCCATGGAGCGCTGTCTCCCCGGAGATCCGTCCCTGAGATGCGTGGGCGGTCTTCAGGCGGCGACTGTGCCGGCCGCGGGCAGGGCCCATCCCCAGCCAGCGGAGTCCGAATTCGCTCTCGAGAAGGACGCAATGCATGATGTCACGCTTGATGCCGATGTCGCGCTCATAAACGCGGGCCTGCTCGCACCAGTCCAATCTTGCGACGCAGGTGCGACGCACTCTGCATGGCCGACGTCCTCACCCAGCCCCCCGTCGCCGCCCACGTCGGCCCCCACATCGCGCACCGCGCGCGTACAACGCACCACGACCCGTCGTCGTCCAAGATAACGGCGAGCACGATAAGGTCGTTGCCCTCGAGGAACAAAGCACGCCTCGCGGAGACAGCACACGTTGCCTATGTCGACCGACGCCGTTTTTCTCTCGATGGCGCGTCGGCCACTTTTCGCCCACACCACCGGCTGGACGGGGGACATGAGGACGGGCTCCCCGACGCGGACGCGGTTAGCTTGACTGATGCCGAGGGCCACATAGCGACGACCGCGCTGCACAGCGCACATCATTCTCAGAGTCGAGGCAGTATTCGCGCGCAGCATACAAGCGTGACAATCAGGGTGCGTCTTTTAGGCTTTTATGAAGGGCTCCACCATGAACCTTCGCGCTGCAGACAAGCAGCTCCCTGCAACTCCAGAGTATATCGAACCATCCGCGTCGCCAAGCCACGATAGCGACTCTACCGTACGGCAATCGCGATACGACGACCTCGCTGATGCCTTCACGCGCGATCCACCCAGACTGTCCTCGACAACGCCACCGCCCGTACCGCCCAAGTCAGACCGCGGGCATGCGTCCAAAACGAGAGCAGTGTCGATCGTCGAGCCGTCCGAATTCTCGCACGACCACACCCACGAGGACAGCCATTACGCTCTTGACTACACTGTTTCCGACCCAGGACACGGTCCTATACCCTCCGCCAGTACGAGCGTACCAAGCTCGGGCCGTGTCCCCCGCAGGCAGACATTCTCTTCGCGACCTTTGCGACACTCCGCCGATCCACACCATGGCTATCCCTCCCGCCTCTCGTGGGCAGACAGAGCAAGCCTTCCCATCTATCGTCATTCATCCTTCGTGAACGGTCACCAGATGGTTTCAAGCCCTACATCGATGTCGGTTTTCTCAGAGTCTTTGACGCATCCTTCCCACCTCGCGCGGAGGAAGCTCAGGAAGTCCCGTCCTGTGTCCACTGTCTCATCTTCGCCGCGCGGTCCGTCTACTTCTAGCTCAAGCCCAAGCCCAAGCTCAGGCTCGAGTTTGAACCTCTTCCGGGCGCTCAGCCACAAAAGCACCTTCGCACCGCGCGAGCCCGCTCAATCATCGGCGGCCTCCTTTCCTAGAAATAGCATCAACCTCTTCCGCCGCTGCACGAGTGACCACGGCCACGATGGTTCCACTACTGCCAGCGGAGGCGGTAGCAGCTCTGCCCATGTCAGTCGGCGCCGGTTGTGTCACGACAAAGTGAAAGCGGAAGCGCGCAGTCACACTCACATTCCAGTTCAACGTCCCATTCCACTGCCGTTTCCTCTTCACTCCCCTCAGATCATTCGACGCCTGCGACGACACCAGAGGATGCTTCCCATGCAGCATCTCCCCTGCTCAACCCCGTCACATCGCAATATGGGGAAGGCACGAGTACGAAGAATGTGGATCAGAACGTCGCGCCGCGGCTGAGTCTCCGGACGAGCAGCGGCGGTGGGCGCAAGCTGAGGAAGAGACGGCCCTCTCAATCGGCGTCAGGCACGACACAGCCGTCATCGTCACTGTCATCAGGTACCCCGGACTTCCCCGGACTGCGCAGGTCGAGCAAGCAGGGCGGACAGGCATTATCATCAACTCCATCGACGACGCAGGACGTGTACCTTCCACCCATTAGCCCAGTTTCGCCGTTTGGGCTGGATATCGTGAGTTCAGATTTTCTTGATCGTGCAGGGCGCTTACCGTTATTCGCTCCAGCCGAAGGAGTACACCAGTGGGCGGCGGCCCGCCTTCCCACCCCCGCCCAAGCGCAAGAGATCGACAAGCGCTCTCGCGCAGTTGGCATGGACGGGCATGTCTTCGTCCGAGCTCGCCGCTCTCACGTCGCGCCTGCACATCCAGCGGAATTCGTTTGAACACTCGTCGCAGGCTGGGAAGGGCAAGCACGCGCAGCCATATGAGGAGACGCCGTTAGGGACGTTCGACCCGTATGCGGAGGGACTGTATGCGCGCGGAGGCAACCCGAAGCTGGAGGATGTGAGCGCGTTGGAAGAGGAGGAGAACGAAACGGAAGACAACGCGGGCGGTAGCGCGCTGGGTCATGCGATGAGCAGCGGGTTGTCGACGATGAAGAGGATGGTCAGCCCACCCAGCCCGATCACCTCTAAACCCCGTGCAAACAGCGTGTATGTCAACGGCTCTGGCTCGTCGCCTCTGAACGCGAGAGCGCCGCAAAGGAAGTCGGCAAGTTTCTTGGAGAGCGATCCGATGGCGATGCGCAGGTGGACGCTGGCCATAGCGGACGTGCCGGACGAGGTCCTCGTGCAGGAGCTTGACAACCTTCGGAAGGGTGCGGCAGCGAAGAAGGCGCGCGCGAAGAGCCGCACGCCAGCGCAAAGCGAGAGCGGGCATACGGCGGAGTCGGCGTGCTCTACAGGCTCGACAGAACCCTGGCGACCTGGCGTGCACTTCCGTCTCGGCGGCGCCAGCGACTCCGAAGACGAGGGCGACGGAGAGGAGGAGGAGGTGCTTCTCGAGGGATTCGAGAACGAGGCGGACGAGGAAGAATGGAAGGCGGCGCGGAGGGCTCTGCTCTGCTGCAGGGAGCTCGTGCGGACGGAGAGAAGCTACCAGACCCGCCTGCGGGAGTTGCTGGGCGCCCAGAGCTCGCACCCCTTCTTCTCCCTGCTGCTCTCTTACGTGCCCGCTCTTCTCCAGGCGTCTGAGGCGTTCCTCGTGCGACTCGTCGATGACCCTAGTGCGTGGGGCGTGAGTGCGGCGTTCATCGGATGCGAAGAGGAGCTCGACGCGGCGTTCGTCGCGTGGTGCGGCGTGGTGGGCAACTTCTACATCGATGGCGACGAGAAGGATAAGCGGGGGCGGAAGCGGCGCAAGTCTGGCGACGAGACCACCGCTGCCCCGGGCCATGGGGAGCCGTGGGGCCTCTCTGCGCGCAGCGAGTCGCAGTCCGGGATTGCGGCCATGTCGAAACCGAAGATGTCGGAGAACCGCCGATTCTCGTTGTACGGCTCGAGTGAAAGCGGGATGTTCACCGCGGCGCTCGGGACTGGACTCGCCTTCGGTCTGTCGTCGTCGTCCGCGCTCGACGCGAAGAGGCATGGGAGCACGGCGAGCTTCGGCAAGCCGGCGGGTACGCTGACCCGCACGCTGAGCACGTGGAAGAGGAAGAGCATGCCGAGCTCGCTGTCGAACCTGCAGACCTCGGCGGGCGTACCGCCGAGTCCGTCGACCGCGAATGGGCATGGGAAGGGGGAGAAGACGATGACTATACGGGACCTCGCATCCAACCCACACAACGAATTATGAGATATGTTTGCAATACAAAGGTACGTACCTGTTGGCGGTGAGCGGTACATGCTGAGCTGGATTGGTAGACCTATTGGCACATACCCCTGTCACGAGTCCGTCTAGAGGGCTCGTTGAGCGCGCCCTTGAGAGTGCAGTTCGCATCGCGAAGAAATGCGACCGTGCCCAGGGCAACTCGGCATTCCTTCGCTAGCCATTTTGGTCAGCCCATTTCACGCATAAACGCGCTCATGCTTTCTTGCATACATTCTCGTCCGCCCTTCGCTCGTTTCCTCGTGTCCTTGACTTCTTGTTCCTTTGCATGCCTGTTATTTTTGACGGCCCAGGCCCGGTCTCCACCATAAAGCTGGCCATGCCGTCTGCTTGTTCCTTGCATTGTCACTGTTTACCAGCATCTGTACACTAGCATGCATCATTCATGATCCATCACGCTCTAAGCTAAAATCCCTTATACGACATTGGACGGACATTATATCCGATGTCTGTATCCGTAGCCTTGTAGTTCACGACCCACTCACGTTGTGCTTCGATGTCGATACTTTATTGTGTAGATTAATTTGTATGCACGCGGCATGTCTTGCGTATTGTTTGCGAGTAACAAATTCGAAGCAACAGCGAGGGTAGCCATTTGGAGAGCAGTATTGTACAACAGTAAGTATCGTGCATACATGTACACGGAGACAGGTATGAGGGGTGATACAGAGTACGTATAGCCATGAACAGAGAACACATCCAATCCAAACGGATAAATATGCAGACAGGACAGCAGTAAGTAGCACAGGTGTGAGATGCGGCAGAACGAAAGCGTAACGAAACAGACCTCAGCGTCGACACTAAGCCTGAAGATTGAAGATCGCAGGAAGGCTCCTCCAGAGCTCCCTTCGCCTTTTCTCCGCTGAAGTCGCAACATCCTGCACGCACGCACCGCAGGGGAGGTCAGTGAACAGCGTCTCAAGTCGTGAACAGTCGTAAAGGATGTCGAGCGGGTCGTCCATGGAGACGGGCGCGTTCTCCTGGAAGTACTTCCAGCACTCCGTGCGCGCCTTCGCGCACGCCTTGATCCCGCGCTGGCAGCGTTTGCCAAAGATGTCCGTCCCGATGGCGCGGGTGTGCCCCGCGAGCAGCTTCTGCCCGTGCACGAGTCGCATGAGGTCGCGCTTGTCGAGGAGCCGCCAGCGCGCGGTGCGGGCGCCGAAGCGGAGGTGCTTGCCGGGGTTCGCGCGGTACTCGTCCCAGTCGGCGTCGGTCGAGAGGAGGGCGAGCTGGTAGAACGCGGCGGGGAGGATGCTCGGGATGACGTAGTCCGTCGCGACGCGGATCGCGGAGGCGGGCTCGGGGAGGCGGTCGTCCAGGTAGAGCCCGTTGATCTTGCCCGTGAACTGCTGGGCGTGCTCGGAGCGGAGGAGGATGCACTCTGAGCGGCGGGCGTCCCACTGGGCGAGGGTTTGCGGCCAGTCGGCCTCGAAGTTCTCGACGATGCGCGTGCGGATGGCGTCACACTCGTACTTCGTGGCGAGCTTCAGGGTGCCTTCCACGAGGACGGGCGTGTTGGGGTTGAAGCGTTTGTACGCCGTGCCACTGGTGGTTCATGGATCAGTGCGTGGGGTGACATCGTGAAGGGTGGGACGCACAGTGGATCGTACAGCACCCCTAGGAAGCTCGCGAGGTCTTCCGCACTATCTGGCATCTGCACATGCAGCACGCCGTCATAGGTTTCCTCTAGCACATCCCTCGAGCTTGATGCCCTCAACGGGGGCAGTGCAAACATGTCCGCCAGGACCGGCGAGTGTCTGCACAGGACGGAGTGATGGACGCGGAAGTACTGGACGCTGCCATCCTGGGCTCGCCCTGAGAGCACCACATTGCCGTCGTCGAAGTATAGGTCTGGATGGTGCTGGTCTGGATAGTAGACATTTTCCATCGCAACGCTGGGCGACGGTCCAGGGAGAGGGAGGGGCCCTGTGTATTGGACCGGTGGCTCAGCGCTCCAGTGTGGTCGCGGGGATGGGAGAGACGGCGAGCGGGAATACTGCATCGGACTGCCAATGGTTGTGAGTTGGGGATAGAGATGCATCCGGAGCTGGTATCGGCGGGCCCACAGGACAACTCTCAAGCTAGATCAGCATGTGGATGGCGCGGTGCAGAGTCGTGGAGGCCGCATGACCCGCTCGAGTAGAGTTTCCTCACCGTTACTCAGCGCCCAACGAGACATTACCCTACACCTTACGCATTGCACCAGGCCCCGACTCGGATGCTCCCAGGTCGCGTGCCGTGTTATCGTGTCAGTCTTTACTGCGGTCCGAGGGTGTGATTGCGATACAGAGTGTATAAACCAGGAACAGATAAGTACAGACGTCATATGTACTACACGTAACATACAGCAAGCAAATAGAGACAATACATGGCGAACCTCTGACTCTGAGACAGAGAGTTTCCGCAATTACGGCCGTCGCAGCAAAGTGATATCTGCCGAGTCTAGCGAGTGTATTCAAGCTGGAATAACACTTTAGGCTGAAGTCGTCTCTCACTGTCGATCAAGTATGAGTACGAGATTCTAAGCGTGTTCAGTAGTGGTCGAGCAGGCGCACTCACCGTGGCGGCTCGATCTCCCGCACCGTTGTAGTTGTCGGTGCAGGTAAAGAACGACTGATTTGCCCCAAACGACAGCCTTCCACACCGTTAAACGTCATCACGAACTCCCCGTCCACCAGATCACCTTTCATGAGTTCGCCCTCCGTGGCCTCGGCAATTTTTCCCTGCTCGAGCAGCCATCTTCGCATGACTCCAGGGAGACAGCCAACTTCAGCTCGCGGCGTGACCCACTGACGCGGTGACCGGCGAAGAAACGCGATGTTTCGTATAGACGTCTCCATGATCTCACCAGTTGAAGTGTAAAGCAGAACATCTGCGTTCAGGGATGTCGGCAGCGGTGGCAAGCCTGCACGGTCGCGAGCAGCATTATACATAGGCCGGTGGGTCGTCTTGGTATGCGTGAATAGAGATGGCGAGGTAGGCGCGGTGTCAATTATGACGCTCAGAAACGGCGGCTGCAGCAGATTGCTATACGTGGGCGAAGATAGGAAGTGCTTCGGAAAAGACTTGAAGTTGGATAGCAGGCTTGGGTCCCCGTTAGGCAGTGGTCGATCTGCCCGAGAGGCCGAAGCGGTGACAGTTCCACTGCGGTGGAACAGGATTCTCAGCTATTTATGTGGTCAGCTCTGGACAGCCGAGCATGGGGATACATACCTTTAGCGACACATGGCCATCAGTGGACTCGCTGAGTGTCTTGCGTACAGCATCCTCGCACGCGCCAACCAAGTCGCTGTAGGCTAGAGAAACGATCCAGCCATGTACCCGAGCAGCATAGTTAAGTCGATCCAAGTGATATCTCTGCAGCAGGAACGGTGACTGCTGTCCGTCGTTGGCAGCGGTGTTCCAGGCGAGAGTGAGGAGGGAGGGATCATAGCGAGCGGAGGAGAGGACATGGAAGTCGGGAGCGAGGTCCATTTGCACGTGATGGCGCAGCGCCCGTGTACTAGGGCGCCTGCGGGGTATATAGTGGTGACGACGCGCGCACCGCTCTCGGATTCCTCCCGCCAACTACCTGAGCCACTCCCCGACCATGTTCACGGTCAAGGCCACTTATCGCCACGAAACACGCAAGTTTACCTTCCCGGACTCTTCTCACTTTCCTTCCTTCGACCAGCTATATGATCAGGTAGGTCTCCAGGTCGTCGATGTCGTCTGTGCCGCTCGCTGATACGCACGCCCCCGCAGTTGTACAGAGTCTTCCGCATCTCTCCCTCCTTTTACCTCTCTCAGATTCTATTCTCGCCTAATCTCTCGTCGGCCGCGCAACGCATTCTCCTCGGGAGAGAAGCCCACAGCGCCGACGAGTACAATGAGTACATAGCCCCCTATCAAGGCCGCAACTGGCCCGGCGCGCTGCTCAAGTTCTCTGTCTACGACGAGACTCCGCACAAGTCCCCCAGGGCGAGCAACAACCGCATCAGTATGGTGTCCACAGACAGCGGCCACGCCAGCATCACGGCATCCGAGGGCGCTAGCTCTGCCACGATCGTGGACTGGGACCACGCTCCCCGCAGTCCAAGAAGAATGACGATGACCGCAGACTCTTCCTTGAGCGCCTGCGTGAACGTACGACTACACGGACGAATGTCAGTCCTCCGTCGGAGTCTCCCACGACGCCCTCGCCGCGCACCTCGGTGGAGACTGTCCAAGACGAGCCGGCGAGCGCACACCAGTCGTCAAGGCCATTGCCGCGCAGACCGTCGCCGCCGCCTGACACTGCATCGACGTCAACCGTGACAGCCAGCTCCAGAACCGCCCGGCCCTCTTTGTACGACCTGCTCAATCGGGAACCGTCCTCGAGCGGCCAGTCTGACGCCCGAACGGATGCATCGCGCCCGTCCCTTGTCGACGTCCTCAGGCAAGACCTGGCAGCTCTGTCTGGCCAGGCGAGCGAGGCTGTGGACCGTGACCGTGCGGCCCATCGTCCTTCTCAGTCAATCAGTATTGATGTGATTCCGCCGTCACCCTCGGTCACAGGCGCCACACATGCCATTGGCGCTGAACGACTCGAGCGTACTCAGCACGACTCAGGACGTCGCAGAACTCACCTCGCTCCGCGTCGTTCCTGGGACGACGAGACGCCTGTGCCACGTCCTATGGCGGAGAAGCGTCCAAGGCCACGTCCCGTCTCTGACTTCACACCCCTCCGCAGATTCCCGGGGAACGGGCATCGTCCGTCACTTGTCGACCTTCTTAGAGATGGGCCCACACCCTTGAGGCAGATTCATCGTGAGCCGCGTACTGACCACCGTCAGACGGAAGGACGCCTGTCTTCGTTGCTGCAGAGTCTGCGCGATGAGCTGGCGCCGCAGCCTCAAACGCCCCCGGAGCCTTCGGCACAAGCTCCTATTATTGTCCCACCACCGCCCATACTTTCGCAGTCGGGTGTGCACATCGGTCGGTCACCTTCCTTCGTCGTTCCTCCGCCCCCAATACTGTATCCTTCCGTTGGGATCACGACACAGGCAACTGAAACTGGGTCCACAGACACGTCGCCCGAAGATGTAACGATAATGTTGCCTGACCCCCGGCCGGTTCCTACACCAACACCACAGAGTGAGAATGCTTTGCCGCAGTTGTCTGAGCGGACCACGGCGCCTAGGACTGCGGATGCTGCTGGAGGGGCCGAGGTACCCGCATGCGAAGAACACCATTCCGACGCGTCTCAACAGACTCAGTGTTGCTCGGTTGCTGAAGGAAAGGTCGAAGTTCAGGAACTGATAGACCGGTTCATGTCGGACGTCGAGTGCACGATGAAGAAGGCGTTTGGAGATGATTGGGTGTTCAGCAACGCCCTGAAGGATCGTAGCGATCACTGCGGCCAAGGGCATGCTGCGTCTTGCGGATCACAGCGGGACCATAGAAATACGACGCCTTGCTGTCGTTCACGCTCTCCCATCGTCTGTCGTTCACGCTCTCCCATCGTCCAACGATCGCCAGCTTTCCCGTTCGCTAATCCACTTCTGCCACCGAGTCCGCCCCAATTCCCTCCAGGCTTCATTCCGGACCCGTCCTATGTCATGCCTCCCTTCGCTCCTCGGGTGCCGCCACCGCCACCGCTTCCTCGGATGTCAGTGTACTCGCCGCCGCCGGTAGCGCATCGGTATCCCGACGTTGCCTCAGCGACGCCTCCGCTGCCCCCGCCGCCGCCACCGCCACCGATGCTAAGGGCACAGTCTCCGACGTGCATTTACCCTCCGCCTGTTGTACCGCCTCCGCCACCTTCGTGGGGGTACTCTATGTCAGCCAATCCGACACCGGCGATTCCAGAGACTCCTTTCCTGTCTCACCCTGGTATCACTTGCGACGGCTGCAAGCTCAGGAACTTCTACGGTATCCGATACAAGTGCATGGACTGCAACGGTATGTATCGCATCTTCGCATTTGTTTGTCTCCACGCATATTGACGCACGCGTAGACTTTGACTTGTGCAATGGGTGCATCTCCTCGACGGACGTCATCAAGAACCACCCTCAGCATGCGTTCCACCCGGTTATCGAAAGCCGTGTGGCGCAGCAGCAAACTCACATCGGCATCACCTGCGACGGCTGCGGGAAGCGAAGTATGTTCGGCGTCCGACACAAGTGCTTGGAGTGTCCTGGTAAGCCGTGATTGATCAGATACGCGTTTGTATGCTGTTACTGATGCTCTGCCGCAGACTACGACCTGTGCACCTCTTGTATTTGCTCTGGCCGCCAGTGGGACCTGCACGACGGCTCGCACCACTTCTTCCCCATTGCAACACCGAGCGATATGAGCCGCTTCGACGCTGCACGCCGAACTCGGTCCATGGTTGCCGCGCACACTGATAGCACTCGGCCTATGGAAACGACCGGACTGGCCATGGCAGAAGAGCAGCCTGTCCACCGCAATGTCATCTGCGACGTCTGCAACGACGTCATTGTTGGTACCCGCCACAAGTGCTTGGACTGCGCGGACTACGACTTGTGCAGCCAGTGCTATGCGATTCCTGATGTTCACTCTGCGCATGGGTCTGGGCACCAGTTCTTCGCCATCGATCGGCCTGGTGAGGTCATCGTCCACACCGTCTTCAGCGGAGACGGCGAACGTGTTCCAAAGGCGAGCAGTCCCCAGAGACAGTCAAGGGCCGAGTCAGCCACTCCCGTCCGCGAGGAGCCGGTGATACACAGTGCTAGGTGTAATTTGTGCGAGTCGCGAATCTCGGGCGAGCGCTATGTGAGTTGTTCTTGAACGTTGTGGACGTTCGGGGACTGATCAATTTTCATAGAAATGCCTGAACTGCCCCGACTTCGATACGTGTTCGTCGTGCTTCCAGTGCGTAGGACCTCACTTTTCTTCTTGATTCATCATCCTAACGTCGAACTCAGGATTACGCCGGAACAGCACCCTGGCCATGGATTCGTGAAGATCAAGGATCGCGCAGACCTCATAGTCAGTCGTCTCTTACTCTGTTTGATAATCACTAAACTTGCCCTCCGCATTTATAGTTGCCCAGTGCACTCGACGCTGAACCTGAACATGCCGCTAGATGCAATATCTGCAATGCGGTCATCAGCGGCGTTCGCTACAAGGTATGTTAGTTGTGTCCACATTTCTATGTGTGTTAACTGTGTTCGTAGTGCTTGCACACGCTTTGCCCGGACTTCGACTTGTGTCAAGCCTGTGAGGCCCTGCCGTTCCCGGTCCATCCCGCGGCGCATCCTATGCTCAAGATGAAGACACTCGACACTGTCATTCCTGTCGTCCTGCGTTCGGGTGAGAAAAAGGCGAGCTGGCGGGAACGCGAAGATGTTGTGGTCAGGACGCCCCCGCCTCCCAGCGAGCCAGAGTTGCCGGAGATCCGCAGCGAGCATACGACACAGCTGACGGAAGATCACTGGCAGTCGTTGCTCTCGCAGCTGCGTAGTGATAACGACGCCGAACAGACGGGGCTTGCGCTGGACGAGTCCGAAGTCCTGAGGCGCTACCCGGTCATTCCACCCATGGCTGAGTCCGTTACTAGCCATATGGCACGCACACCCTCTCCGGTCTTCTTCCCAAGACCCAGGACGTCATCGCCCCTCTACAGTCCTGTCATGACCCCAGAGCCTCTGGTGAATCTCCCCACACCTCAGAGGCCTGAGAGTCCGGCCAGCACTGTCGGGCAGCCGGCCGTGGAGGAACCCCTGATAGACCTAGAGGAGGGCAATGTCTCGAGGAATACCACCGAGGCCGCTGCCGAGCCGACTGCTGATGGGCTGACTACTCCCCGGATGTCCCTGCGTCCTTGTCGACTTCGAACTCTGTCCCCCGCCTTGACCCGGTGTCCAACAATGAGTGGCGCGAGCTGTGGCCCGAATTGACTGCGATGCTCAAGCACCTCTTGCAGCCTCCCACGCCCAGCGTTGTCGTTTCGGCTCCGGCTCAAGCTCGTGCGGAGTCGATGCCGGGTGCCATGATCGTCGAGGACAAGTCAGATGAAGCCGAACAGACGCGTACCGTTGAGGAGCCGCGTCCTGCTGTGGAAGAGTCGCCCCTTGTTGGCGAGCCGTTGCTTTGCAGGCCGCTTGTTCCTGAGAGGACTAACACTGTCCGCCGCGAGCTCCGCGATTACTTCAACATACCCCCGCCTCCGCCGCTCAGGAAGGACACGAAGCCCGCGCCTCCTAGGACGCCTACGCCCCCGCCGCCTCCGCCTGTGGTGACCGTGCCGCAGCCGCTGTTCGCGAGCTTCTGTCGGACAACAATATCCCGGACGGCCAGGTGTTTCCCCCGGGCGCGGAGTTCGTCAAGTCGTGGAAGATGGTAACCAGGGTGCGGGTGATTGGCCGAGAGTACTGAATTGGTGTTCGTCGCTGGTGACCGGATGGCGCCCCATGCAAACGCGCAGCGCTCGGTCAAGGTCGGTTCGGTGAAGGCAGGTGCTGAGGTCGAGATTGCTGCCGGTGAGATGAAGGTGCGTTGAACGTCCCGATTTGAGGCTGAGTTGAATGCTGACTGAGCGTTTAGGCTCCTGAGATTCCTGGCAAGTATGTGAGCTACTGGAGATTGAGTGACGGCGAAGGAAACCAGTTCGGCCACAGTATCTGGGTTGAGTACGTGCTCATCACTACTCTCATCGTTTCTCAGAGACTAATTCTTATTGTCGTAGCATTACTGTCGCTGAGGTGACTCGTGCGAGATCTGCGCTGTCGACCGATGAGTCGCTCGCGTCCTCCTCGGTGATCATGCCCCAGGCTGCTCAAGACGCCGACGGCCCCCGCGTCGTCATCCCGCCGCGTAGCGGCACGGCTCCGTCTGAGCCAACGCTGTCGGCGACAATGCCGTCGAGCCCGCACTCGGACACCGACTCGTTCGACTCGTCCATCTCCCTTGTGGACGCGCCGTCGTCGCCCATCTCGGATGACCTCGAGGAGTACTTCAGGGAGGTCCGTGAGCACGTAGCGCGCCCAATGGCCACTGCTCAGCGTGCGCAAGAGCCGGAGTATGTGATGTTGTATGACAGCGCGTCGTCTGAGAGCGACTGAGAAGTGGACGGCGGAAATGGACGGTGACGAAACAAGGAATGGAATCGGGCTGTTAGTGTGTTCCTGCTACGACATTGTACGATATATATGTTGTTGTGTTGGCGTGTTTTCTTGTACTGTCGTTTGGTATCGAAGAATCAAACGCGGGTTATAGTGTAGCAAGGATATGGCCTGCTGCTGCAGTGGCGCTGTATGTTCTAAGTTGTGCGCCGTACGACTGGCCGGGTGTGCGCGTGACCATACGCGAGAAGGAGACGCGTAGAAGCGCGTCTAAATCCGAATGACGCGTCCTATTCCCTGGGTACTTCGCAATAGAGTCCCTCCAAGGACACCGCCATACCGAGCCACTTCCATACCCTGGCATCCTCACTGGATACCCACAAAACAGCCTGCCAGCTTCCGCGCGCCGACAGCACCGCAGTCGCTCCCCCACGAGGTTGAGCAGCATACAAAACATAGACGTAATCGCCCCGCCTCGCTGAACTATACAGTACCACCCCTAACCGCGAACCCTACGGGAGCCGCGTCTATCCACACACCCCACCATACCCAACACCAAAATGGCACACGCAAGCTACCTCAGTGCCCGCCAGGAGTCGGCGTCGCTCGACGTCTCCTTCAGCTTCACCCTCGACAACCTGCGTGCGTTCTTCGTCCCCCCCGCACCCGCCGCGCGTCGCCCCTTGCCCCCTCCCCCTCCCCCGGAAGGCGACCCAGAAGCTGAAGAGCAATATGAAGAAGAACAATATGACGACCCAGTAGATGTCTATGCTGAGCCGCGGTCGACCGGGGTGCTCTGGCCGGGGCTCGTCCTCAAGATCTCGCGCTCGTCGGAGGGCTCCTCCTCGCGGCAGCGCAAAGCACGCCTGGCGATGTACGATGCGGACCCGGGCAGCTGCTCGTCCGTGCTGGGCATGCCCGGCATGCAGGTCACCGCGACCGTGCACTCGCTCAGCGGGCATACGTATGCGACACGCGCACTCCGCCGGGAGCGCGCAGAGGGGGGAGGGGGCCGCGCAATCGCCTATGCGGGCACGATACTCGCACAGAGAACGTTCGAGTCGACGGACCGGATGCTTGCGGAGAATGCGGTCGTTGTGCGGGTGAGCGTCAAGGCCGGGGCCGCGGCGGTGTCGCCGAGTGTGTCCAGGAGCAGCAGCGCGAAGAAGGAGGAGGAGAGTCCGAGCGTGAAGCCGAGCCCCAGTGCGAGGCCTACGCTGGAGCTGATACATAGAGTGTTGACGGCAAAGCCAGTGGGTCGGACGCGGTTCATTGTGTTCAGGAGGCGGAGCTCGGAGGGGAAGGTCACCTGTCCGAGGGTGTTCTACGCGAATATGGAGGAGCTAGCGATGTGGTATGAGCGGTGCGAGTCACGTACGTCCCTTACTCTTCTGCAGTCGTCGCCCGTGCTCACGAAGATGCGTTCGGATGGTAGTCCTGGATGTTGAAACGCACCTGGAGGGCTTCGAGCTGCCGAAGGGCGAACGACTCGACAAGTACAACCTTAAGTCGGAGGATGGGGAGCCGGACAGTGATTTCGAGCCGGACGAGGAGGAGGAAGACGAGGATGGCGATCTTGTTGTCATCAAGAGCGAGCCGCGCGAGTCCCAGAAGCAAGGATATCAGTACCCGCCGTTGTCACTGGCAGCAGACATGGCGAGGGCCTCCATGAAGGACGAGCTTGAGGGCCAGATTATCGACGATGAAGGTGAGTCTGTCATGCGCGTCGCGAGTAGATACGAGTCGGTGCTGAGCGACGGGCAGACCCGATGCTGGCGTCGACGATGTCGTTCGAGATGGTGCTGAACAAGCGGGAGGAGGGCTACGAGCTCTACGGCGAGAACAGTGAGTGGAACGGGAGTCATCGCGTAGCCCATGTGCGCGTTCTCACCATGATCGATCGACGATAGCGTTCGACGGGACAACGATCGTCCTCCTCGGCGCTGCCTCCCGCACGTACGTCACACCTTCAGCCACAGCTGCTACCAGTGACTGACTTGGACTGGGTGTAGATGGGAGGCACTGTTGTACTACCTGTACACGGGTATCATCGAATTCGCGCCGCTCAAGGTGCAACGCGTGGCTCCGCGGCCTGGGGCACTCGCAAGTCAGAATATCGGCAACGTTGCTGTGGTAGTAGAGGAGACGAACCGTCCACCTCCCGCGTCATGCCGGTCTATCTACAGGCTCGCGCATAAGGTTAGTGCGCTACACGGCTCGCGCAGAACAGATCGCTGATAGACGATGTCTATGCTGGGACACAGTTATCGCTCGACGGCCTGCGGAAGCTGGCGCTGCACCACCTCGAGTCGCAGCTCACGCCGGACACCGTGCTGACAGAAGTGTTCAGCCCGTTCACCGCACAGTAAGCGCCCCTCCCACCACCACCCTATCCGAATCACGCGCATGCTCACGACTGCGACCTCGCCGCAGGTACCCCGAGATTAAGCAGCTCACGCTCCGCTCGGTCGTGCGCTACTGGGACACGCTCGCCGCGAGCTCGGCGTTCCGAAGCAAGATGGTGGAAGTGACGAGCGGGCGCGTGCCTCACGCGGCGGATGTGATCAGCGAGATTATGGTCAGGGTCAGTGCGGCGCGGGCGTAGGTGCTAGTGCGTGGCATGGTGGCGTTTGTTATGACTTATGAGAGGACGTCGGCGGTGTCCGTTTGTCCTGGACAGATTGCTTTATGTTTTGGCTCACTTCTTGAGCTACTATGAATGGACTTGGAGGTGTGGTATATCAGTTCTTGAACGAGGTTTGTTCACTGCAGGATTTCAGTCTTCCCACTCCTTTTAGGTGAGCGTCGCTCGCTCGAACCAGCGATTGTGAACCCGACCTTGCGAGGTACGTTTTGATTGCGACGGACGCTTTGTGTAGGGTCAGCGCTCCTGATAACACCGACGCCGCCAATCTCGTCTAGGGTGCATTCTGTTTGGGTGCATCTTCATCAATTCACTCACTGCGCCTAGACTGCGAGAAGTACGACTTGCCAGACCTCCGAAGTACCACGAAGGACTGTACCATCGGTTTGAACTGCTCTTTGCCGGAAGATATTGATGCGGTCAGCTGCCAGAAAGCTGAAGCGCTGACACCGCTCTTTGGGGCTAGCAAAAGGGTGCGCGTTCAACAGAGCCCACGAGATAATATATCAAAGTCCAACATCCCGAGACTTCGCACCCTTCATGATGCATGAAGCGGACGTTGGCAACACTGAACGGCACTTGTCTTGAGCTACTGAAAGAAGCCACTACATTATGTCTCTTTGTTGCACGATTTAGACTATACGGTAGCAGCATGAATGCTTGCCATCATGTTCAACGCTTACATGGACGGGATCCCACCGACAGAGTGACAGTGCATACTGCATGAATACATTGATTCAGTCTACGTCCAGGAGGCGAGTGATTAAACACATGGTAGGGTATTGCAAGGGGTATGCGGCGGTATCATTAGGTCATCGTCTTCGTACGGTGAGGGGAAAGGGAAAGGGGTGCCTAGCAGTCAGTCACTCAGATTGTTGAGCGGCCTCTGCGTCCCGAACCCCATGATCCATATCTGTGCGTTCCAGTCCTGCGGGTGCGTCCGCCGCACCAGTTGCAACAGATGATGTCGAAGATGATGTCGAAGATGGTGACGATGATCTGTGAGGGCGCAGGTCAGTGGCTTGCTCGATGGTCAGAGGAATAGGGGGAGCTCACCGTGGCAATGGTGCCGACGATGATCATGATGATGCTCGCAATGGCCGAGACGATGGCCTCGATGCCGCCAGCAATCGCAGAGACAACGGTACCCTACAAATGGCTGTCGGTTAGCATCGTTCGGAATGCGCAGGGCCGGTGGACATACCATGGTGATTGGTAGTTGGTGACGGTCGTAAAAATGTAAAACGGGTTGTAGGTGAAGATGCGGGTCGTGAAGGTTGTGAGGGGCAGAGAGGCTGGTCGTGGCTGCTCTTATAGCTGCGGGTGTGGTGCGGGGTGTGTACTGATGCTGACGATGACGTCAGTGACGACGCGGTAGTAGAGCGGATAGCAGACGGGCGGCTCGAGCGGGACGCTGACGTCGTGCTATGCGCACGCCTTTGCTGGGACTCAGTGGGAGAGGGACGCCGCGTCCGCGTGAGTTTGCTCGCGGCGTGCGGGGCCGTTCTCCCTGCGTGCGAGGACAGGTCCACTCGGTGACGCTCTAGAGCGCGTCTTGCATAGCAAATTCCCGACAATGCGGTACGATGGGGCTGCCATAGCCCACCGCGAGACGAGGCCTCGTACTCGCATCCGGGTAGGCACAGGGCCACTCCACGCAAGAACAGCAGACACTCCCATGCCGCGGAGCATACGCCGTAGCTTCCTTACTATTTGTGTGTGCGAATCGATAGCGACGCCCCGTCCTGCGGTGCCAATGACGGATTAATGCCTCGACAGCAGAGGGAGGCACTGTAAGTTTGCCGTAAGTCGCCTACTTACAGTGAATGCATTGTCTAAGTGGTTCTAGGGTCACAATCATCTGGCAACCTCGTAAGACCGCATTGTCGATTATGCTCACCCTCGAATGCCATTTCAAAAGGTTGGGAGATGCACTTACTGGAACAACGTACAGGGATTGATTCTATTTCGCATCTTTGCTGTGGCTACCTCCGGAGGGTCTGTTTGACCTCTTGACATCAGGGTTAGAGAAAGATGTTCGCGTGGGCCCAACGATGAGGCCTACTGAGGATACTCCTCCAATCTCGAACTGCGGCTAATTCACTTGCAGTCAACGTCCCTCCCGATTCAAGGGCAAAGATGTGGTTTTGCACGATTCGGGACCGTCCCTTTAGCATGGGGGGAAAGAGTAGTCAATGAAGTAGCCTGATACATAGGAAGCCAGGATGACTGTTATGTATTATCCGCTTGCTCTTCTACCTGTTCAGCTGCCTGCACACGGTATGTAGCCAGCATCGAAGGGACCGAAAGAACCGAATCAACAAAGGCCGGCCAGTCGATGTCAATGACAATGTCAACGAAGACAAGTCGACGTTCGATAGTACGATGATGCCGAGCGCCTGAGTGTGTGGTGGTCGTCGAGCAGCAGCGCACGAGTCCGTGACACTGACACGCCACTATAATACAGTATACGTGCTACGTGACCGCGTGTACCTCCTCTGCCCATACTGTGCTCTGCTAGCCATGGCCACCTACGACTCCCTCCACCGACAATGCCGCACGCTCGAATCCCTCTTCGACACGAAGCTCACCTCCTACGCGCGCCTCGCGAGCACCGTCACGCACACCCCGGACGACCTCGAGGCGGGCGGGTCCGCGGAGCGGTGGCGGGACATGGAGGCGGACGTTGACGAGCTGCTCGAGAAGGTGCGCCTGCCTGTTGCTGGCGGATGCGGGAGGGTGCTGAGCGTGTCGTTCAGCTGAAGGAGAACAACGACCAGCTCTCGCGGCTGGCGGACGATACGCAGAACCCGCCGTCGCAGTCGATGCTCCGCGCGATACAGCGGCATCGGGAAGTGTACCAGGACTACGCGAGGGAGCTTCGCAGGACGAAGGTACGTGAACGAGTGCGTTCGGTCGTCTCCGACTCTGGATGTGCGGGAGTATGCGTGGAAGAGTGTATGGGTTTCTCAAGAGGTTGCAGCGTTCTTCTTGACCTCTATAGCATGACTACCAGGGCAAGTCGACGCACACGAAGGTGAGCCGTGCCTCTCGCGTACTAGCACATGTGCAGGTCCAGTCCAACCCATGCGTTCAGAGTCGGGGACATGCATCCCACCCCAGGCGACAGACTAACACTCCTCCGCCCAGACAAACGTACAAACAGCACTAGACCAGGCGAACCTTCTGAGCGGTGTCCGGAACGACATCGAGTGGGTCTTCCCTCATTCCCTCTGCGTGCGACCCTAGGAACTAACCAGCGAATGCCGCGCAGCGCGTACAAGTCGTCAGCAGCAGACTCACTGCTCGCGGAGCGCGGGCACATCGACAGCTCACACCGCATGACGGACGACGTCCTCTCGTGCGTTCTGCTTGTGCGCCTCCCGCTATCACCCGCTTACCCAGAGGCCGTTCGCGGCTCTCCACACACAGGCAGGCGTACGAGACGCGCGCAGAGTTCGCCCGCCAGAGACTGACCATCTCCGGGATTAACTCGCGCATGCAGGGCGTACTCAGTGCGTTGCCCTCCTCGTGTTTACCACCCAAGATCCCACTGACCGTGACGTTCGCATAGGTTCGATACCCGGCATCAACGGAGTGATTGGCATGATCAAGTCGCGCCGGAGGCGAGACTCGATCATCGTCGGCAGCGTGATCGGGGTCTGCACGGTCCTCCTGCTCATGTATGTATTCTAGCGAATGGGTTGGTGGGTTCGGATACACATCCTGTGTGGATCCGGGTGCGAGACAGGGGCTCTGCGTCAGGATAAGACAGAGGAGCCGTGCTAGTTGGGGGCAGGGTGTGGGTGTTCGTGACGCTGTTGGTTTGCTTATATTATAGCTCTCCCGCGACGGACGTTTAATGTGTCATAGGCTCAACATAGGCTTGGTTATTTTACGAATGAGAGTCTGAGCGAGAGGCTTTGCTTTTACTCTTCTTACCACATTCAGGACGTCTACTCCTCGTCCGATTCAGACTCGCCCAACAGCAGCTTCCTCCGGTCCCTCCTCCGGTCTGCGGCACATGCCCGCCGTGCACGAAACGCTGCCAGTTCTCCTCCAACCGCTTCACCACACCTTTCCTCTCACCACCCCATCCTCACCCTCCCCATCACCGTCGAGCTCCTCCGCGGTCTGCTCGACGGGCCATCCCCGCGCGTCGGCGATGCGGCAGACCATGTCCCAGACGTAGGGCGCGCTGTAGGCGACGTCGTGGAAGTCGGACTCGACGAGGATCCGGCCGGGCGCGCACGCGCGGATGAGCGTGGTGTGTGCGGGTGAACGGGAGTTGATCGCGGTAGACAGGGAGAGGAAGACGTTGCAGTGGGCTTTCTACTCCCATGCCCGCGCCGGTTAGCGTCCATAGCGCGACGGCACGGCATGGCTCACGCACCTCGACGGCGGCCCACGTCTGCGCGCTCAAGCCGCAGCTATGCATGTCGACGCTGATCGCGTCCCACGCGCGCCCGTGCCGCGCCCGCATGCGCGCGAGGAGCTCGAGCGTCGCCTGCTGCGCCTTCACGCTGTGCATGCTCACGTTGCGCCGGAGCCCGACCGCGAGCGCGAGCTGCGCCTCGAGGACCGCGGCCTGGTGCGCGAGCGGGATCGTGAACGGGGAGAGCGCCCGGGCGTCCGCCGTGCTCGAGGAGGCGTAGGGCGGGTCGGCGGGCGGGGAGAAGGGGACGCGGCAGACGCGGTCGAGCCCGACTTCGCCGAGAAGGGCGCGGGGGAAGGCCGCGAGGGAGGCGCGCAAGGTGCGGAGGATGTGGGAGAGTGGGGTGGGCGCGGGGAGGGAGGGGAGGAGCCGGGCGAAGGCGGCTTCGTGCTCGGGCTTGGGCTCGGTCTCGGGGAGGAAGAGGGCGCGGTAGTGTGGTTCTTTGGAGGGGGCGTCGGAGAGGGAGATCCAGTGCGTGAACCATGGGTGGTAGCCTGCAGGGAGGGGTAGGGATGTGCGATTGACTTGAGAGGGCACGGAGGACGTACCGAAGCATGGAGTTACTTTGTCGGGGTACCGACGTGCGAGGTCGGCGACGAGCTCTTGGTCGGTGTCGCGAGTCGCCATGGCACATATGCGGTGCGGGAGCGTCGAGAAGAGCTCATCGTCCAGAGGTGAATCGGTCGGGTGACAGTGTACGTCGACGACGTGCGCTAAACGGATGGTGAAGGCAGCGGAGGAAGGTCAGAGAAATCAGGCATATCGCGAGGACGCAGATGTAGTGGTGTTTGCCTGAGAGACAGTGAGAGACTCGTCAGATGGTGAGTGGAGGTGCGAGACGACGCGCGATGCTTCAATCTGGGGCATGCATCACTCACTTGGAGACCTGTCTGAAGTGAACAACCGCAGACAGGTCTCCACGAAAGCGACGCGACATACGACGAAGACGGGCCAGTGCGCCGTTCACCTTGTGGTTGTCTGTGTCGTGCAGCGGGGAGCGTACGCGAGATGGAGGGCGAGATGAAGATGGCGATCGATCGGCCACGGTCACGGTACGGGCGCTACCTGCGCGCAAGGCCCGTTTTGACTCGAGACAGAGAAAAGGCGGAGGCCATGCTCGCTCGTCTTCGTCTCTCCCGCCCGCCCCTCCACCCCCCGCCCCGCCGCGTCTCCGTCGCCCCGACTTCACCATGGCGCCCGCACGAAGATCGACGCGTCTCCCCCGGTCCACCGTGGCATGAAGGAGCTCGACCGCGACGCATTCAAGAAGACCATCCCATCCTCGCGCCAAGGTGCCCCAGCGGCTGACGGGCTCCGTTCGGTCCGCGCAGGAGATGCGCAAGTGTGTGTTTACTTTGGACGCTTCTCACTCCCAGTGGCTCATCGGTCTGTGCTAGAGCCTTGTGGCGCTCCCACACTGGCGCTCCATCCAACGCGCGGATGAGGAGGATTACCGCCTAGTGCTGCTTGATGCTGGACACGAAGGTCCGTGGGCATTGACCGTCATGTGCGTCTGTAGTACGGCGTTGATGTCCGTGCAAGCTAGACGAGCTCCCGCAAGAGGCTAAGGACTTCTTGAAGGAGCACTCCATCACGTTGCAGCCCTATGATTTGCACCTGGATTACAACTATTGGCCCGCAGGTGCGTTCGCGGTTCAGGCCTCGGTACAACGTGTCCATTGATGAACGGGTATTGTAGAGGACATCCTGGAGGCCATACTTCCCGAAGACCTGGAAGAAAAGCCATCGGGGTTCGCTTCAGTTGGGCATGTAGGTGTGTGTGTACGTTCCCCCGTTGAGCGATGGCTGATTTCGTGCAGCACACCTCAATTTGAATGACGAATGGATACCTTGGAAGCATATCATTGCGCAGGTTTTCCTGGACGTATGTGCTGTGACTCTTCCTCACGACGCAGTTACTCAACTTCGACCTCCAGAAAAACAGTCCTCACATTCGTACTGTCGTCAACAAAACCGACAGTATCAAGAAGAATATCTATCGCGTGTTTCCGATGGAAATCCTGGCTGGAGAGCCCACCACCCTGGTGCAACAGGTGTGTTTCGATTTACATCACAAGGCAGTTTAGAAAATAACGTCGGATCTGATAGAAAGAAGGCGATTGTCAATTCACCTTCGATTTCGCCGAAGTCTACTGGAATGCTCGGCTCCACGGGGAGCACGCACGTATCGTCAGCCAGTTCAAGCCCGAGGACGTGGTGGCGGATGTCTTCGCAGGTGTCGGACCCTTCGCCCTTCCCGCCGCGAAGAAGGGGTGTGCTGTCTTGGCGAACGACCTTAACCCGAATGGCTACAAGTTTCTGCTCGTGAACATCGCGGATAACAACGTATGTCCGAATAGCATTCCGGCCTGGCATCTTCGTATAGTTGATCCGTCTCCTGATTTAGCTGACGGATCTTGTGCATCCTTCGTGTATGGATGGGCGTGATTTCATCCGAGATGTCTTCAACCGGGTATACAACGACCCCATGCCGCCTACACCCCCACCCAAGATCAGCAGGTCGCAGGCGAGAAAGCTGGCTAAGCAAATATCTCGAGAAAGGAGAGCACGGAAGAGGCGATCTGGTGCGCATTCATCATCCCCCGCCCGTTCGCCCTCTCCTGCGTCCACAGGGTCGCGCTCTCCCTCGCCCGTAGAGTCGCGTCCCGCGTCGCCGGCTCCGGACGCACGACCAGAGCCAGGGCGGCGGAAACGCATACGCATTTCGTGATGAACCTGCCTGAGACGGCGATTGAATTCCTCGACGCGTTCCGAGGCGTGCTGGGCCCAGAGAATGCGGACGGGCGGGGATTGAGCGGGATATACGACAGCCAGGAGAAGATGCCGATGATCCACTGCTATGGCTTCACAAGAGCAAAAGAGGCAGACCTCGCGACGGCGGAGATTCGGCAGGTGAGTGCATCGGTGCCCTTGCAGATCGGCCTGTCCGCTGACGATCTGCGGCTGGTGCGCAGAGGGTGGAGGCCGCGTTGGCGGCGAAGCTGGTGGGGGCCGTGGAGTCGTACTGGGTGAGGAGCGTCGCGCCGAACAAGGAGATGTTCTGTCTGAGCTTCCAACTACCGTACGAGGTCGCGTATGCAAGCACATGAGGTGCCGGCACTGTTGCCGCGGTAGTGTATAGTATTCACACAGTTTAGACTCTGTTCCGTGAGCGTGAGGGCCATCGCGAAGGGACGCGCCGCGCGAGACGGACCGGACATGCGCGCTGCCATATGCGGCCTGAGCGCGTTGAGGCTTAGTCAGCGCCTCTAACCCCGCACATGAAATCGGAGGAGGCAGCGGCAGCGACCTCGCCGTTCTGAATCTGCACCGCTGCCTGCCAGCGCATCCCTCTTTATCCCCCTCCCGGCCACCCGTGTGCCCCCGCGTCCCCGGCCTCCTGCCTCCCTCCTTCTCGCGTCCCATAGACTACCCTACGCGCCGCTTACCCTAGTCCCTAGACAGCCTAGAGACGCGTCCGTGCACTTCGCATCCCGGTCCTGCACGGTTATACCCAGCCATACGCGACCTACCCCATATTGACTGACGCCTGCCCCGCACCGGCTTTCACTTACCCCAAACACCGACACCCATCATCCTATTGACCGCACGCAATTTGTGCTGCCAGCATGTTCCCCCTGGACCTTCCACGTGTGTTCCCGCGCGTACACTGCGACTCGGACGAGGCTGCTTCCGCGACCGCGAGCCCGACCTCGAAGGCGGTCAGCGCGCTCAAGAGCGTGAAGAACGTCATGAGCGTGCCCGAGACGGAGCTGAAGCGTGGAGGGGGTGTTTGACTCGCACGCGACGACGGCGGCGGACGGGCAGCAGTGCGTTCGCAGTGGTCTCTTCCCCCAGTCTGATTCTCTGATCTATGTTTGTGCGTCCGTGTCGTGTCTTTAGCTATTTGAGCAAAGAGCAGTTCGTGAACGCGATCGCGCCAGCGCGCGACCTGTCCAAGATGGGCCGCGCCCAGTTCGCGATCCTCTTCCGCGTGGCGGACACGCACAAGCAGGGGCGTGTCTCGTGGGAGGACTTTGTCGTGTTCGAGACGCTGCTCAAGCGGTCGGATGCGGACTACTGGATCGCGTTCCAGTATTTCGATGTGTGAGTCATTTTGCTGAGGTACTGAAGAGCATTGTGGACTGAGATGGTCTCGGTCGGACAGTGACGACTCCGGCACTATCACGTATGAGGAGTTCAAGAACGTCTTCAACGAAAACGTGGGTCCGGAAGCCATACCCTTTGACTTTGCTTGGTATGTGATCATATGTGGTGCAAAAAATTCTCCGCTGAGTACGGTGCTAGTGATTGGGTCAAACTCTATCTTGGAACAAAAAATGGACAACATGTCCTTGGATGTGTGTATTTTCTTCAGTCTTCGGAACCTCGCTCTAATGTGTATCGTGACTAGACAATGAGTTCACGCAACTCATGAAGGGTCTGCAAGGCGAGCGGTTGCGACAAGCATTCAAATACATGGACAAGGACCAGGATGGCTTCATCAGACCGGACGAGTTCAAGCGGATTATCTTGGTGCGAGGCCCACTGAGGACTGAATGTTTGCCCGGGAGACTCAATATCACTCGTAGGAAATTGCTGGGCACAAACTCTCGGACGCTGTAATTGAGAGGTTGCCGTCGTTGACGACGGTCAACCACCCCAGTGGTCGAATATCTTACTCGGAAGTAGTAGCGTTCCACAACATCGTCAGAGGTGGGCAGATTCACGCTTTACATACGAACCCATGAGGAACGCAAACCCTTTCTAATAGATAGCGACATCCTTGAGCGGTACGTTCTATCCTCACGCGCTCCTGACCGTAGCTGATGGTGGATCGGTACCGTACAGCGTAATCCGCGAGGCGATCGCCAAGTCCAAGGACGGGCGCATCGACCAGAACGATTTCTTGAACTACTGCGAGACAAGCACGCGATACTCGCTCTTCACACCCATGGAGGCGTCGATCATCTTCCACTTCGCGGGCCGGGGTGAAATGAGCCAACGGTTGTCGCTCTATGACTTCGGGCAGCTGCTTGACCCGCGGTGGAAGGCACCCTTGGATGTTTCGGAGAAGCCTGTGATCACTGCGAAGTCGGTCCTCCACGAGATCGCGCATTCGGCGTACAACTTCGTCTTGGGAGGTGAGTGGATCTTTATTGCATTGTGTTGGCGTGGGTGTTGATTTGTGTCAGGCATCGCGGGCTCGCTCGGTGCTACCATGGTGTATCCGATTGATCTTGGTGAGTTCCTTGGTAGTGCTAGGCGACCGTGCCACGATACTGATTAAACGGCCCTGCAGTGAAGGTATGATTGATGCTGTACATCGTTACGGGGTCAATGACTGACATTCCACATGCGTTCTGCCACATGTAGACACGGTCAGTATTATGTTCGGACCGTGTGCCCGCGGTGGCTGAAACATCCCTACAGGATGCAAAACCAGCGAAGTACCGTTGTCGGACAGATGCTCTACAAGAACAGTCTCGACTGTGTGCAGAAGGTCTTTCGGAACGAGGGCTTCCGAGGCTTCTACCGCGGCCTCGGGCCCCAACTCATCGTCAGTTAAAGTCCCGCTCCGAGGCTGGTCGTGGCATCGGTATTGATGCGTCGTTATGGCTTGACAGGGCGTTGCGCCGGAGAAGGCCATCAAGCTGACCGTCAATGACTTCATTCGTGCACGCGCAATGGACCCAGAGACAGGCAGGATCAAGCTATTCTGGGAACTCGTCGCTGGTGGGACAGCGGGTGGTTGTCAAGTTGTACGTACTCCGGGACGCACTGTTCAGTGTCGTGGCAGTTCTCATCTTTCATTCATCGACAGATTTTTACGAACCCGTTGGAGATCGTGTGAGTAGGTTGCGGGAGCCATGAGGGCCGTGAACAGAACTGATGTGATGCGATCCCACAGGAAGATTCGTCTGCAGATGCAGGGCGAAGCCGCGAAGCTCGAGGGAGCCCTCCCAAAGGGCGCCGGACACATCATCCGCCAGCTAGGTTTGTTCGGCCTGTACAAGGGCGCGAGCGCATGCCTACTCCGCGACATCCCGTTCTCTGCGATCTACTTCCCGGCGTACTCACACCTGAAGAAGGACGTGTTCCGCGAAGGATATAATGGGAAGAAACTGTCGTTCCTGGAGACGCTGGCCTCGGCCGCGATTGCGTACGTATTTTTGGCCTTGGGGCGCGATTTCCTCCCAGAGGCTATGCCTGCCAATGTCGTGGTTAGTGCGGCAATGCTGACGACAGCGATACTGTAGGGGTATGCCTGCGGCATACTTTACGACACCTGCAGGTGAGGTGCAGTGCATGCGGTTGGCCATGGGAAGACACTCATGAGCGTAATTGATAGATGTGGTCAAGACGAGATTGCAGGTCGAGGCCCGCACCGGCCAGACACATTACAAGGGCATGGCGGACGCGTTCGTGAGAATATGTGAGTCTAGATACGGAGAAGACGGAAATTGGTTTTAATTACTGTCGCGCGCAGACCAGGAAGAAGGCTTCAAGGCGTTGTTCAAGGGAGGGCCTGCCCGAGTCGTTCGAAGCAGTCCTCAGTTTGGGTTCACGCTGGTTGCGTACGAGTACCTGCACAAGGTAAGACCGGCGTTCTCATAGAGACAGGGCGGAGGCTAATCGACGCGTGATTGGCTGGCGCAGTACTGCCCGGTGAGTGAGGCGCCGCTATCCGGATTGGCCGGAGGGCTGATTGAACCGGCAGTACCCGTTCAATGGCAACGCGGAGGGCAGGGGCGTGGAGACGGCTCTTACTACGAGCAGTCCGGAGGACCTGTCGAAGATTCGCGCGCGAAATGCGCTCAAGATTCTGCTGGACGTGCACGGGGAGTTTGGGCGACGGACGGGATGATGCTTGGTGGCGCTGCTGGTTGGCTGGAGGATCGCTTGCTAGGTAGATGTAGTCGTCGAGCGGTGATTGGACGGCAATGGGATGAGTTACTTATCACGGACACCCGGTCGGTAAGCGCAGGGCTAGCGGCAGCGTAGGCGCGACGCGGCGGCCAATGGGGAAGGCGCAGGGAAGGCGGCCGGAGGCTCTGCCAGGCTCTGCCAAGTGCAAAGGGCGAGAGTTGTCTCCTTGTCAACACGATCGAATCACTGATCATGTTCCTCGAGAGTGCACGTCAGGCGTGTGCCCGACGCGCCCGACGAGCCATATAGGCCGTCGCTCCTCGCCCAGACCACCCACCCTCCTCCTTCGTCTTCCGTTTTCGGTTTCTACCGTCTCTCTTTTTTTCTTTAGCGGTGAGTCCCAGCGTCGCGCAGACGGCCATGCTCATTTATGCGGCTTGAACGCGTCCAGAGCGCCCTGCGTTAACCGCAGAGCTTCCCGCAACCTTTCGCCGCTGCTAGTCAGGCTCCAGCGTAGACCGCTACCGTCGTTCTTTCAAAGCTACCCCGTCGCCCTGGTCGTCGCGTTCACCTACTATTCGTTCCACTAACCTGCCCTTTCGTCGCCTTTCGACATGCATTCGACTTCGCTCCTTCTCGGCCTGTCCCTCGCGGCAGCAGCCGCCGCACAGATCCAGGTCAACGGTGCAAGCAGCATCGCCGCAAGCATGGTCCCAACCGCGGCTGCGGCGCCAGCTTCCGCAGTAGACAACTCTGCAGCCGCGCCCACCGCTGCTAGTCCAGCATATTCTGCACCCGCTTCGCAGATCACCACCGCCGCGACATATGGTTCGGCTTCTTCTGCGGACATCTACTCCATGATGCCCTATTCTTCTTTCATGGCTGGTGGCTACAGTAGCATGGCTTGTGGGTACGGATACACGAAGGCCGGCGACGGGAGCTGTCAATCGGAATCTTGGGTGCGTGTTCGCGAAGTGCCATATATTGAGTGGGGTTTGAACGGTGGAGTTTTGAGTAGTGGGCGACACAAGGATGCTATGAGACTATTATCATCAACAACAAGTAAGTTTCGGTCGACGTGTTCGATCGTGATCGACTGACTGATTGTCACTTAGTGGAGGAGGGGGCTACGGGGGCTACGGAGGAGGCAGTTGTGGTTATGCTTCGACAGCCACGGTTACCTCCACCGCATATGCCACTGTCACAGAGACAGCCGTCTCAACCATGATACAGGTAGGTCACCGTTGCCCGCGTGCGTGAGCAATGTGCAATAACTGATTGTCTGAATCCATCAGACACAAACTATGACCGAGATACAGACCCAGGCGACGACCGTCGTCCAGTACCAGACCGTCACCCAACTGATGACGGACATCGAATCAGTCACGCAGACACAAACGCAGACCGACTTCGTTACGATGACCTCGACGGAGCTCGTTCCGACAACAAAGGTCTGGGTGTCGACCCAGGTCATCGACGAGACACAGACACTCGAGCAGACCCTGACGGCGACGCAGACCCAGACGCAGGTCAATGTCTACACGCAGACTGCAACCGCCACGGAGACTGCAACCGCGACCGCGACGAAGACCCAGGAGGAGACGACCACGGACTTCGCGACGCAAACGGTGCTCAGCACGGTCGTGCAGCCGACAACGTACACCAGCGTGTATGTCAGCACTCAGGTCATCAACAACGTAAGTCAGTCCAAGCCATAACCTGGACGTGATCTGACTTCGGTGCAGACCTTGACGCAGGAGGTTACTCAGACTGCTACTCAGACTGAGGATTTCACCTATGTACAGACGCAGACCGCCACGGCTACTCAGACCGAGCTCAAGACCCAGAGCGTCACCGTCACCTCGGTCAGCATCTCCGTGCAGCCTACGACCTACGTCCAAACGATGGTCAGCACCCAGATTGTGGATGAGGTTCGTCGGCGTCGAATCCTTAGTCAGTCCAGCTGGCTTAATGTGCGATTTACAGACGCAGACCGTTGAAAACACCCTTCTCTCAACTGTCGTGGAGAACAAGACGTATTTCCAGACGCAGACACTCCTCTCCACTGCGACTGCGACTGCGACAGAGACGGACACTGCAACCGCGACTCAGACCGAGCTCGATACCGTCACTAAGACTCAGGAGATGACCGTCACCCAACTGAGCACGGTCATACAGCCGACGACGTACATATCTTCTGTCGTAAGCACACAAGTCGTCGACGAGGTAGGTGATGCATCTTGAGCGAAGGAGCGTTTGATTGACTGGATGTCATTTACAGACACAGACACTCCTGTACACCGTGGTCCAAACCATGACGGACAACTTCACGTCCGTGCAGACACAGACACTCCTCTCCACCGCGACTGCAACTGCAACGAAGACTGACACGGCCACGCAGACGGACTTCGTAACCTACAAACAGACTGTGACGGAGATCAGCACGATGGTGCAGCCGACGACATACATTTCGACGCTCGTCAGCACGCAGGTCATCGACGAGGTGCGTATCTCCGCTGCGGCCATCAAACCTTCGCGGGCACCGTACTCACTGCGATCGGTTTCGGGTCCGTTACGTAGACGAATACGGTTGAGAAGACGATGCTACAAACTGTCACCCAGGATATGACTGTCCTTCAGACGCAGACCTACGTGTCGACCGCCACCGCCACCTCGACTGCCACCGCGACAGTGACGGAGACGGCGACGCAGCTCGTAACTTGCATCCAGTCGGTGCGTGCCATACCCAATTTGCCCAGTCGATCCCGTACTGACTATATATGGTGCTTACAGTGCCAGACCAGCGCCATGCTGACGAAGGGCAATGCCATGAGCTGGACGTACGCCACGACCTCTGCCATGGCCACCGCGACAGCCGACGCAACATCCGTTGCTGCGAGCATGGCATACGGCGGGGCCGGCTACGGTGCGGCCGGCTACGGTGCGGCTGGCTACGGTGCGGCTGGCTATGGCGCCGCGGCTTCGAGCCCGGCCACTGCGTCGGCGATGGCACTCAGGCTGCTGCCGGTTATGCTGCCCCTGCAGCCAGCACCGCGGCGTCGTCCAATGCATCGTCGTACGGAAAGTCCAACTACGGCCGGGCATGGGCTTCAAATTGGTCGAGGCGCGCTGCTTCGTCCCACTAAGCACTGACCGCCCGCGCATCGCCACGACCAGCTCTCTCATGTCCATGCCGTTATGATGTCTCCTCGTCTTCTGCTGTCTCGTCTCTCTCAGTCGGACTCTGTGGACTCTGTGCGGACACTCGTCGCTCATCTCTAGCTTACCGGTGCAATAGTTGTTGTATGCCTGTCTCTGTCTCGTTCCCTTTCTCTGACTCTCTTCCTTTGGGGAATAGTAATAGCATACCTTCGCCTCCAGGTAGTGCCCACCGGCTCTGGTTTTCGGACGCTTCTTCTTTTGGTAGCTCATCTTCCTCTCTGCCTGATAGATACCTGACTTGGCGCGCTTGTACTTGGTACATGGCAGGTCCGTTTGTTCGCTCTTGCTTTCCGAGTACATATAGACACTGCTGCCCGCGGTGTAAAGGATCGCTTCGAGTGCAAATCGCCGGGTGGGTACAAACGCCTGCAAATATGCTTTGACTGACCGTCGGAGCTCGGAGGTAGGTCAGCGTGTCGCACAGCAGTTACGGCCTGTACACGTACCATTGGGGTGTACGTACCGTGTTCTTCGGGTACTTATCTGTAGGTATCTGGCCATGATGCAAGCGAGCAGCGCTTTCATCGGGCTGCCCGGGCGCAGTAGTGGCGACAGTACTGGGCACTGAACTGCGCCGCGTGTTGCTACCTCTCTGGTGCAATCTGTGTCTGCATGATCTCGGGAACAGTATGCCAGATTGAATCCTTACGAGGTGAATCTTCTCCTGGGGCGATGGTCTTTCGTCGGTCCGGCAGGTTCCTTGAACTTTGATCTCGGTCACCTAGACGCGGGTCCGGGGTCAACTGCTCCAGACGTTCGCTGCGGATCTAACAGACGACCAGCTACTCCCAATTGACCGTGACGAGGAACTGCAACAGGGCGCCAGACTGCTTCGCACCTAGTATATAAATCCCTGTAAGTAAATCGTCCGAGTCGAGGTCGGAGTAGAGGGTTCTTACAGGCGCTACCTATTCAGATTGAAGATCATGCCCATCCACGAAACGGAGGACCCGGCACATCCATCTGCGCTAGCGGGCGTTGACCAAGAGTTTCTAGTATTCTTCTCATCTCGTGATGAGACGGGGACGCTCTGGTGCCCGGTAGGAAGTCATTCTGATACGAACCCGAGGCCGCTCATGCCTCTCTGAGCTGAACGCTGATAACATGCTCGCAGGACTGCCGTGAGGTTGACGCACTCGTCCACAAGGTCTTCGGTCCGAGTGAGGGTCCGTCAGCTCTCGTCATTTACGTTGGCCAGCGAACCGCGTACGTCCCTATCCGACCGCAGTCTAGTACCCCGCTTCCGGCGGGCATTGACAGGGCGCTTCGGGTCCCAGTTGGAAAGATCCGACCAACCCGTTCAGAGGAGAGCCGTGGAAGGTGCCATCCATTCCGACGATAATCAGAGCGCGAGACGTGAGTGCCCTCCGATATCGAGGAACAGCAACCCTTCTGATCAGGCCGCAATGTCTGGCCAGGGCGCCCGGCTTGTGGAGGAAATCGAGACGCAGCTGGCCTCGTTCATTTCAGCATGATCGATGCGGGTGTATCCCTCGGGGGAACGTCCGGACAATCTGGTGAGGGGGCATGACTTTGTCTTGTACCTCCGCCGAGTTTTGTAAGAGCGCCGACTATGTAGCTGGAATTCAATCCCAAACCAGCGTCTAGAGCCGTGGAGTGTCGGCAGCTCATGAAACTTCTCAGCCAGATACAGCCTTGTACGAACCACCGCAGTGTCCCCACAGCGCCTGCTCGTCCGTGCAAGTAACGCTATCCACCAAGATTGGTCCGCCAGCCAACTTCCGCTGCCCCGTTCTGTGCTCTCTATAGGAACCACGACTTCGTCCATGGACGAGGAACATTACGCCTTCCCGAAGGCGCTTAGCGAGTTTCCCGTGCATTGGTTGAATCGATCACCATCGCACTCCGAGAAGAGTCTTTTCTATCTCCGGTCCCCTCATCCGCTAACTTAAGCATGCTCGTACGAAGACGCAGGACCGAAGGACCTTCACGTTCCCTCAGGTGCCACGCCAGCTCACTGATCATGTCTCCCGACGGTGATTTTTCCAGTCTTTACAGCCACGACCGACCCAGCACGATAGCTGGAACAGGCGATTGGAAAGAGGTCGCGGCTCGCAAGACGAGGGACAGGCAGGTACTTCTGGACCAATGGCCAGAATGGCGGCTCAAGGAGGAGGTCCCGGAGTCGATGACAGACGTCTCGGCCCTGCCGACATCGCAGCTTTCCGCGCGGGAGTACGCGATAGTACATCTGGACGCCACTTCGCTGGTCGAACGCATCCGTGATCGTCGGTACACTTCGACGGAGGTTCTCAAGGCATTCTGCCACGTTGCTACGATCGCCCAGCAGCTTACAAACTGCTTGACGGAGATCATGTTCGAAGAGGGTCTGCAGAGAGCCGCGGAACTTGATAGGCTTTTGGAAGAGAAGGGTCAGGTTGTCGGGCCTTTACATGGCTTACCCGTGTCAATCAAGGATCACATACGTGTCAAAGGGCATGACACAGCGACAGGCTATATTGCTTGGGCATACAGTAAGGTTGCCCAAGAAGATGCCACAGTGGTTGATATCTTGCGCAAAGCCGGCGCCGTGGTGTATGTGAAAACTGCCAATCCGCAGACACTGTTGGTTCGTTGCGGGCGGCCATCAGCGAATCGCACAGACTAATGGCACCCGTACAGTCCCTCGAAACCAATAACAATATCTATGGGCGGACATGCAATCCATTCAATCGAGGTTCGTCCTCCTCACCGCTCTACTCAAAGAGCTATTACGGAACTCAACAATATTAGCACTCACTCCCGGCGGTAGCAGTGGAGGGGAGAGCTCCCTGATCGCTGTGCACGGAAGCCCAATGGGGATCGGAACGGATATAGGTGGTTCTATTGTGAGTGATAGACATTTTCAGTGCAACACTGACGTTCCCTGAGATCAGATTCGCAGCGCATACCTGCGGCGCATGCAGGCCTTTACGGCCTGAAAGGATCAGTGGGCCGTATGCCCCATTCCGGTTTGGAAGGGTCGCATGACGGCATGGACGCGATTGTTGGGGCGCTCGGGCCACTTGCGACCTCCGGGAGAGACCTGGCCTTGTTCTGCCGGGTCATGCTCCAGTATCAGCCCTGGCTCGTGGAACCGCCTCTCCTGGAGATCCCGTGGAAGCAGAGCGTAGCCGATGGGGAGGGATTGCCCGAGCACCTCTCGATCGCCGTGTTGTGGGACGACGGTGTGGTTGAACCCCATCCACCCATCCTCGACGCCTTGAAACGAACCAAGGAGGCATTGGTGGCTGCGGGACATAAAGTGGTTTCCTGGGTGCCTGTGGATCACCAGGAAGCGTGGGATTTAATTGTGAGGAAGACATATAGTGTCTTGTTCGTTCTATGCTGACATCACTTCCTCCTGTCAGCTAAAGCTCTACTTCCTTGACGGAGGTGAAGAATACCGAGATACTATGGCGGGTGAACCGATGGTCCCGCAGTCCGAATGGGTTCTACGACAGGTGCCTAACGACGGCAAACCTTTCACGGTGGCAGAGACTTTCAAACTGAACCGGGCGCGCGAGGAGTTCCGGTCAAAGGTGGTCGCACATTGGAATGATGCGGGGCGGACGGCAGCGGGAAGTTCAATTGACGCCATCCTCAGCCCTGTTTCTCCGACGTTAGCCCCTCCGCACGACACAACGCGCTGGTGGGGATACACTTCTTACTGGAACTTGATGGACTTTCCGGCGGTGGTATTTCCAACGGGCAAATTTAGGGCGCAGGACTATACGCCGCTCGACGTCTCCGGCGAGCCCGTTAGCTGTACGCGTCCCCGCAGCGCGATGGAGGAGTACATCAAGAAGCAATGGGCGCCAGAGACGTACGACAACGCACCCGTGGCCTTGCAACTCATTGGGAGACGACTGAACGAAGAGAGACTGCTGGGCATGCTCTCAATCGTAGAGCGGGCATTACATCGTTCATACGAGTAAAGGGTGCAATTGTTTAATAACTCACGACATGTCGGACGACAACGATCGCATGATGCCAACCGAACGACTTCATTAGGAGATTCGGATGCTACGACAGCGTGCGGGGCTGCAGGAAGGCATCGTATCATTACTATACCCTCGGTCATCAAATGTGAAGGAATGAATAGATGTTCATACCTCTCACCGAAAGGGGATCGCCGCGTTTTGAGATGCGACAACGCGCACAAGGCCGACGGGGTTTTCATTCACTGTCCTTGAGATGAAGTGGCCGAGTTACTCGGATGGCCGCAACAGCTTATGAATTACGATGCTGGCATCCCGACATGCCGGAGGAGATGTATTGATCGATGCCGTACAAAGGACCTAGGTAGAATTGTGCGGACCAGCCCATGACGGGCGATTTGCGCTCATTAACAGTGGCACATCACAGATGCAGGAAATAGACTTGGTTATAGGGCAGCCTCCCCACACCCTTGATAATTGCGAGGAAGGGTCCGAGTAAAATTGCTTACGGGTCGCAGGGATCAATCATATCAAAGATATTCCTGCGTGAGATCACGGCGACTTTTCTCATGAAGGGCCATCAGGTCTGTCATCTTCAGCCCGACAAGGTCGACCCGCATGGTCATCTAATAATTGACGAGAGTCGCACAAAAGCTCGTGGCCTGTCAATGTGGTCCTATATGGTCAGGAGACGGAGAAACCTGACCCTTTGACGTATGCTCAGCGTGCTTGGGCGAGGTTAATAGCATAATATCGCCCGGAAATGACACTTCTAAGACTATACCGCCACGCATCGCGTGCCAAGAACAGGCCCGAGGGATTCAAGACAAATCGAGGGATCGCATACCACTCACCTGTGTCAAGCACGGTGCGTATGTCAGCCTCATGAAGCCTCGAGGCTTTAGGACGGGCCCAGGAAGTGTATTCTGTGCCCGCGAGCGCACCTGGGCGCAGTTGTTGAGATCATGGATCTTGGAGGTAAAAGGTGATCGGGATGTCGTTTCAAACATGGGGAGGAACGCGTCGGCTACCATGGAGAAGCAGTGCAGCTCCGGCATAGCAAAAGGCTGCTGATGCGGCCAGAGGGAGTCGGGAGACTCCAGTGCGAGAGGTGGGATTTGGGTGGTATGGCTGCTGAGCAGCTGAGTTGGAATCACCCGTGCGAAACGTTTGACCATAGTCTCGTGGTGATGCGACGTCGGTCGGCGCAGTTCCAACGCAGTTCACACCTATTCTGCTCACTGCATTTCGGCTTTCCAATGGGATGACTGAAACACACCACAAGCCAATTGGCCGTCTTCAGCGTACGGGAAGTGGTCGGTCACTGACCGAACTCAGTTAAGTTCCACTAGCCCAGCCCAGCCTCCTCCATTCGCCGCTGTCATCTGTGTTAATAGTTCTCTCGACAGATACGACGTGGCAGTGGACAGTGTCCGGTCGACTCGCGGATCCGCTACGATAGGCATGCTCTTTCGCATCTCCGTTCGCAAAATCGGCCACAAATTATTCGGAGATGAATGTAGAACTACGCAACACCGTATGCCAGGCAATAATCCTCAGCAGCGCGGCCGAGCGCCGAAATCGGAGATGGTCGAGTTGCTTAAGCGAGCGGGACTGTGCCTGCCCCCAGTTCCGGACACCTGGCAACCGGTCAATCTGGGAATCGCTCGACTGAGATGCAAGTGATGCAGATTGACGGTACATGGTTTGACTCCGCACGGGATAACCTCTGCTCTTGCAGGCGCGTGGTGTACATAATTGGTCACTGCAAAAAGTTGGAAATACACGCATCTGACAGGTATAAGAGTCCAGGCAGGCATGCTCCAGACAACACTCCAAACTGAAGTACTGGCCACTCGCGTTCCCGTGTCCGTGCTATTATACGTCGTAGCCCCCCATAATCTGTACGCTCCTCCTTTCCTCTCCTGCCCGCTCTGGTGACCCACACCAACTCAGCTTCTCGAAATGCCCGGACTCAACGCCACGACATACAGCACCATCGTCATCCAGCACGATAATGCCGATGGATTTCTCAAATGCACATATCCTACTCTGTGCCGTCGCGAAGGTCTGCCAATATTGTCCTTGCTCATGCTCTGAAGGGAGTCAGTGCTGAGACCGCACTTGGCGTTCTCCCCTTATGGTCCGACTCGGATTCGCAGAGGTTTCTCCAGAACCTCGAGCGTTCGAGTTCCTCCCCACATCGGAATGACGGTCCTTCTGGTTGACGTTATGGAGTTTTACTCCAAACGGCCACCTAGCACTCGACCTCGTCCTTTCCTGCCTCAACTGGTCCTTGGGCGACTATCCCATCTTCCTCTGGACGCCCCGGCGACCCGGCGCTCTCCCTTCTGACTGGCTCGCCCCCCGCATCACTCAGTTGACCGAGCACCTACGGATGTGCGTGCCTCCTGACGCGTATACTCCGTCTTCGGCATGACTCAGCTCGTCAAACCTTTGCACGGCGTTGGTCGTCGTTGACGGGCTTCCTTGTTGAGCGGGAACCTCTCTATGCAGCCCACTTCTCTTACTGCGAACCGAGCATCTACCAGGCCTCGAACGCGCAACTGCCGCAGGGGCATGCGCTGCGAAAAGCGAAGCCTCGCGATCTGGAAGCAGTTGCACGACTGTGCAAGGAATTTGCCGATGATAGTGTGAGACCCTTCCGAAGTTCGCCGGTGCAGATCATAGGCTAATGCGGCGTTTTGGTGGCAGGTGTTCTTTCCGCTGTCGATTGAACGGGCGAGGATAGAAGCACGCGAACTCATTATGAAAGCCCAGGTTTGGGTATACGACGCCGATGGTGACATCGCCACCATATGCGCTGTCACGCGTAACTCGCAGCGCGTGTCTGCCATCACAAAAGTGTACACTACACCCGCCTGGCGCAGACACGGATGCGCCGAGTTTCTCGTGCGTGAAGTCACCGGGAGGTATGCGGCAAAGACACGTTCACCGTCCTCGTCGGAGCTGATGAAGCAATAGGCTATTTGATTGCGGCAGAGATTGCGTAGTCCTGTACGTTGGACATGATAACACCGCACAGCGCGTCTACGATCGGGTCGGGTACGCCGGTTTGTGCGGCAAAGACAAGTCTGAGCGCATCGAGGACTCTCTCGAACTCGGGTTGTCGGGACTCATAGAGGACACTGGTGAACGCCCTCCTAACTTATCGCCTCATATAATGCTACCGGCTGGAACGCTATCTGAACCATGTATCCGTAGCACCCATTCTAACCGCATATTTCGTACTCGTCTCACATTCTGACGCATCCTCAGCCGCACTCTTGCAAAATCGCATATTGTATATCTTACCTAGTCACACACGGTTATTTATAAGCCCCTCCATCGAAACAATGAATAGACTATCTTGATTCGCCATCGTGATGTTTGCAGAGCTGGGGTGGTCCTGTTCGCCGTTCAGTCGTAGACATGAAACTTGCTACATACAATTGGTCCGCGGCGGTCGACGCATATCGCCCTAAGGCCTAGCGTACATTCAATTCATGCGAGAGCACTGATGGCAAGCTGCGGCGTTCCCCCGTAATGCCGAAACGGATGCAACAGCTCATGGTGTCCATCAAGTGTCTTTCGTACAGTCGTCGTGGCGGCGGAGAAAGATAGGTGTTAACATCTGCTACTGAACTCTATGGAAATCACCGCTTTTACCACCCTCTTTGCTGGACACGACAATATCTCCGATTGTCATCTCTTTTCCGGCCACAGCCTTCAACATGTCCCAGACGGTGAGAAGGCCGATCGACACTGCCGTCAAAGCTTCCATCTCCACTCCGGTCTTGCCCTCGCAAGCCACTTCCGCACGACAGAGAATACTGAACTGGTCCGATCTACCCCGCGTCTTTGACACATGGTTCCGACATCGGAATCTGAGACTGCTGCGGGGTGGTGTTGTACGTCTGGCCCTGAGGATCCGGAAGCTGATCGGTGTACTTCCGCATGCAGCGTGACGGCGATATCAGAGAGCTGCAAGGGGTGGCAGAGGGGTATTAGATCGGACGTCCGCTTGCATCCCATGATGGCGGCCAGTTTGGCCACCATGAACACGTCGCCTTTCGATCGGGCTTTAGCTTTCGCCTTCTCAAGGGGGATAGCCGTTCCGCGGTGATAGGCTCTTCCGAGTCCGACGACGCGTAAGTTGCAGTTGCCAATTCATAAGCTACCGCCGGGATGTAAATTCGTCCTGTGGCTACTGCGCGGCGTTTCGTGGGTTCTTTATTGAAACATCCACCATGGATGCCTTGCCGGAGTCATCCAGGTGTGTGAGCCGTGGTTTGGAGCCTCCGAGATCTGGCGATGAGGGGACTTTGGTACTGAATGAGTGGGCGGCCAGGGAGCGCGGTCTCAACGAGCCGATTCTCGGTTGGAATAGAGTTGGCCTGTGCTTGTGCGATGGCGATACGCCTCGGCACGGAGTCACGTCGACTTTGACGCTTGCTATGAGCGTACGGATCAGCACGGCACTGGACAGGCAGGAGCCAAAAACCAACGTTGGCAGAGAGGAAGAGACTCAACCTCCAATGAGAATCATGGGCCTGTTCGTCACAACGTCTATATCTTCCATTCCCGCATGCTTCTCCTTCTTGCCCTGAACAGCGAAACCTATGGTCTGGAGCAGTTCTTCGTCTGTGGACCCTTCTCGCATGCGATCGCGCAACGAGATCTCCTTGGCGTCGAACAGACAAACCTGACAAGTCAAGTCAAGTCAACGGACCATAAGACAGATGGTAGGCTGTAAAATGCAAGTAGCACATACCTTGATCTGACCATCCGCAGTGAGTCTCAAGCGATTGCACGAGCCGCAGAAGTGGTCGGACATGCTGCTGATGAAACCAAAGCTACCCTTGTTCCAGGTATCATGTAGGAGCGGCGGTTCGTTCAGTTCATCTGGGGCCTTCAAACGTCCGGATGTCGTAGCCGGATGCGAGCCAGCAATTCGGTTGACGGACCATCTTGCGTCTATCCCACTTGTTACCTGAAACCGATTGCTTGAGTCGAGCCGTGCAACAGAGCGAAACTGCAAGACCATTACCTGTGAAAGGCATGAACTCAATGAACCGGACCGAAAGATCCCTATCCCTGGTGAGTTCTAAGAAATCAAGCGCCTCGTGATCATTCAGGCCTTGCACGATCACGACGTTGAGCTTCACAGACTGCAAGCCTGATGCAAGAGCGGCATCTAGACTACGAAGTACGACTTCGTGACCTCGTCGGCGGGTCATTATCTCGAACTTAAAGGGGTCGAGGGTGTCCAAGCTACAATGGACGCTGCGTCAGTCATCGGGGTGCCTGGCAGATGTGGCAATTTCGAATTGTCACCTTAAGTTGAGATGCGTTAGCCCGTTTTCGACGAGCGAGGGCAGTCGGCGTGCCAGGGCGATGCCATTGCTGGTCATGCCTATGGATTCGAGCCCGAACTCCCGCAGTTCATTCAATCGGGCTAGATAGGTATTGAGATGCGTCCGTGCTTCAGAACCCCGAGGCAAGCAGTGCTCACATATAATGTCGCCAAGACCTTTCCTAACTGTCGGCTCGCCCCCAGTCAACCGAATCTTTGTGACTCCGCTTTGCACAAACAGCTTAGCAAGCCGGATCACTTCATCGTCTGTGAGGATATGTTCTCGGGGAGACAGTTCGACGCCTTCGCTTGGCATGCAGTAGAAGCCTGTGCAAGATCACTGTATCAGCTTTCTGTGGTCTAGCATGTTCCTACAAGGACGCACATCGTAGATTGCATTTCTCTGTCAGCGAGATCCGTAGGTAGTTGTGTCTTCTCCGAAATGTGTCCACCAGAAAGGCGAAAAGGGCCGCTCCGAGTCTATCTGCGCGAGATTCTCCTACATCGCTACGATTGTTAGTTTCAGTATCGCCGCTGCCGAGTTCTCGACATGCCTTAGCCCGGGTCCGCACCAAAGCGCTACCGGAGATTTCCTGTGCCAGCCTACCAACTGATGTGGACTTGAAACCACGATTCGGCCTAAGGCCCAAGGCGGGTCCCACGGAGGTGCGGTTTGACTGAAGGCGACATCCACGGAGCATGCTAGTGAGGACAGCCTGTCTACGCAGCTAGGTAGTCTCAATAGCGACCAAATGGACGTTACAGACCAAGATTCTGTCTTGCATGCGATGCGGCGCTGCCGGCTTAGGTCAGACTCACAGTGACTGAGATTCAGAAGGTTTTGGTGGGGCTTTACTTACTCAGGCGAGCCGTGCATGGCCGCCTTTCCTAAACGAGCGTGCAGAAGCGCCCTAGTGTCTTGTACTGCAGGAGTACGTCCTTCAAAGATTCGCAGTAGGTCGGTAAATGTGAATGAACATTGAAATATTGACTGGAAGGTCTGTGGACGCCTTTCGAATTCCTTCGTAGAGGAAATCATGGAAGAATACATCGTGCTTATAATTCCTCGTTCTAGGCCGGCCGAAGACGTGCCGACGGTCAGTACATCAGTTGTACGAGTCCGACTGTTGAGTGACACTGAACCTAGTGCGGACAGCATCGAGCTGTCTTGTTCAAGGGTATGTGCAATTAAAATGAATAAAAATAGCCTCTCGAGGAGGCAAAGACTTTTGAGTGAACGCGACAAGATGTACTGTACTTCACATTCAGCGCGGTAATGACAGTCCTCTCAGCCAGATTTCGAAGATCACCCAAGGCTGCTGTCTATCCTCTTGAAGTTTGGCTCGGAAATATCGCCCAGTCGCACGCAGATGCAGATCATTCGACGTAAGGATGACCTGGACGCTGCATTCACGTTGGTGTGCCTTCCCGAAGTCATCGTTCTCGTCGAGTCTTGATGTTGTCACGTCGTCACAGACGGGTCGGTGCACTGCTTGCCGCTATGCGATAATTATATTCAGTGCAAAACTCCGAGACGGCGAGGGTTTCAACTTACCCAGTTCTCGTTGTCTACCGAAGACTCGAAAGTGCTCGCGTGCAAGATCTCCTCGGTATCTGCGTCGACTAGCCAGACCATCTCGACAGCTTGCCATCCATGTGCATCGCTGATATCTCCGAGAATGTCCAAGACGACAATATCGCCCGCACGGCCATCTGCAAACGTGTCGACTGTTCGTAACTCCTTCGGACCCGATGAATAGTGATCACTCACTAGCGAAGCTCCGGAATGCCGTATCTGGACGGGTGTCTACAGCGTGCGACAGCGGATGATCTTCGTACTCTTGTTTGCCGGCGGTCCCCAAAAGTGCGAGGTTCTGGTCCTCTACCGTGAGTACCTTCTCCACGCTATCCGCAGTGTGGACAGCCGAGTCTGGGAGCAGTCTGATATTGGTTTCCACGATGCAGGAGGCACCACTGCATGCTGCACGAGTCCATCGGGACCGGGGCGGGGTGTCAGCTAACGACACGTAGGGGACTGTCATCCTTGCTGGTTTTGCCTGAGCACCAGGGTCACACGAGGCTGCTCCACACCGCGCAAGCGAATCTAAGTATTGCGTCGCCCTGAGCTAGTGGCCGACCGGCTGATGAGTCTTGCGATCTCAAGCACGAAGGAGGATAGACGGACAATATGCTTCGCGTTCCGTTGGTGCCCTTCATCTCCGACTGTGAATGCGTTTCCACCGCCGAGCTCAAAGCTTTGGTCGAACCAAATTTCCGGTACACGGTTGCTCAGGATGGTGAAATAGTTGTCGGCCATCTGTAGTTCATCGGGCGAGGCACGCAGGTAGCGCATCAAGGAGAGGAACTCCTCTGCCCTGGAGCGATGCATCATAGTGCCGTGCCCCAGCCATGCGAAGGAAGTATGAATATCGGAGAGGTACGACAGGTCGGGCTTCTGGACGTGGATCTCACGCAGAGAGCTTGACAGGTGTTCATGGGATGGAAGCAGGTGAATCGTGTGGGGGTCATCCGCGTCGGCGACGCGAGCGCGCAGAGACCTTATGATTTCTGCACGAACAAGGTAGTCGTCGTCCTATGACAGTCACACGTGAGTGTCGTAGATGCAGCAGGACGCGATGGCACGCGTTCACCTGTATGTAGCAGTATGGAGTCTTGGCTGCCGCACATCCCAAAAAGCGGCCCTGGAAATATGCGTTCCCCGGGGCATTATGGATGTGAAGTTTATCTTTTGGACACCCAGTATGTTTGAAATCCTGGAAGGGAGCATTTAGACGGCTGACCAGTGTGGGCGAGTGGAGAACGCGCTCACTTCGTATGTCAAGATTTTCGGACTGTTGTTCCATATGACGACTCCTGCGATTGTGTCGTCCAGCCAAGATCCACATAACAGAGTGGTGATGAGCAGGACATTCGGGAAGCGTGCCCAATTCAATAAGACAGCCGTCGTATCGGGAACGTTTGTGGTGGCATTCAGCACCCGCTCGTAGTTCTGAAACTCGACTGGGTCCAGACGATACGTCACCGGGTACGTTCTCGGGGTGAACCCATTGTCCTTCAAGACAGGCAGGTAGAGAGCGGGCGGGGGCTCTGGCTTCAGCTTCAACTTTGAAGCAGCGTAGTTTGCCACGAGGGACACCACTATCGGGACAGCGAAAGTGAAGGCCGACCCCCAGCTAAAGTTGGCCCTAGCTTGCCGAAGAGCATTATCCATGGTGTGCTTTTGGAAGGTCAGTTGAGGCTGAACGAGGACTTGCAAGAGCGAAAGAGTCGTCAACCACGCAGTCCACAATGTTCCGATTCTCCCAACTTGAAGCTGCACAGGAATCGATCCCTCAACCCGAGTCGACCGAGGTGCCTGGCGCCGAACCCTCGCCGAATGTGGATGCTATTTAGACGCCCTTTACCCCGCCCACGTCATCTGACTGACAGTTGCAGCGCGCTTGCGCACAAACGCCGCCACTGCGTCGTGCGGGTCAGCGACCTCACCGCCAACTTACTCACTGGGGACAAACTGGGTTGTGGCAGCGCCTAACATTGGCCTAACATTGGAAGACCGTGTAGATTAGTAAGCGGCGGACTAAGGCCCCCTAACACTGGACGAAAAGTGGAAATGTCACGCTCTTTGTTCGAGGCCCTCACATTGCAGACTAAACACCGCATGTCAGGTGACACGACATTGGTCGTGTTTGTCGCCATGTTAGGAGGCCGCGCAGAGGTCGATCATTGAGCATGTTAGGACAATGCTCGCGCAATGCGCGACGCCCTTCCAGAAGCCATGTGCGGGCCCAGAACAAAGCGGATATAATTTATGATGTAAGGACAATGTACGTGGGCCGAGCATTATGTATTTGCGGCACCCTAGCAGGTGCTATGTTCGGCCCACTAAAAGGCGTGATGTAAGGCGGCCAAATACGGAAAGCCCAGAATGGATGTTCGGAAGCCTGACATACTGCATGGTTCGTCACTATGTTAGGCGGCCAGAAATTCTCTGTGTCGGTCAAACGCGTTTGCGATTCGCCAAACGATTCGCCCATATTCCATAAACGATTCGCCCGTACTCGCCAAATGATTCGCCCCCTACTCGCCAAATGATTCGCCCTACTCACAAAACAATTCGCTCCACCCACAAAGACAATTCGCCTCCACTCGTGTAAATCGAAGAAGCGACTTGCGTCCATTCACGACATCATTCGCATCCATTCGCATACTGATTCATGCAGATTTGCAACACAAATGGCGGGCGTGTTTGAGTGAAATCACATCAAGGTGGTGTTCGTGCATGTCGGCGCCACCCCCATATGGGAAGATGGCGTATCTTGACTGAACTGTGAGCGCAGTCGCGAGTCAGCGCTCATGAGATGCTGACTAGGGAGCTACGTACATGACCTACCTGCGCTGGAACGGAACACAGTTCGCGCGGAACCGTTCACCCCGCCGTCAGCTTGTCTAGCGAGCGGAGCCTGCCCGAACGACTCCCTGTGCGATACCCAGAATCCTTCCTGATTCTTCAAGATGTCTGCGAGCACTACACCGCCGAGGAACGCCATGCGTTTTCTGCGCAGTGAGTCTTAGATTTCTATGAGGGATTATCAGGACGTTCGACGTTCGGCATAGCCATCATACGCGGGACGTGTGGAGCATACCTTGAGCCGTCGCGCGACGGGTCACCGCCGAGCACTTGTATGAGGTAGAGTTGGTCCATGTCCTTCTCCAGCCAGCTTCACAGGCCATGGTACACGTAGGACACGATACGGCATCCTGGATGGCCTGGAAGAGCATCATTGATACGCCCGGTTGCTCAACGTCTACGAGGTGTGGCCGGAACATGCACTAGATCGCTGCGAATCGCTCTTGATCAGTCAGCCGTTCAGCAGCTGGACGCACTGTGAGCAGACGCACAAACTCTCGTATCGACGTGCACTTACTGCGTCCACGAGGACTGTTGCCTCCGATAGTCTTATGTCGAGGTACATATCGTAGCTGACGGTGAGTCCAATGGCTTCCGACTGGTTTTCTTCAGATTTCACGCACCTGACATAGCACAGCTTCTCCTGGATCTCTCGGACAGTCTTAAAGTCACCCGCTTGTTCGACCGTGTACCTCGCATGAGCCGAACCTTGATCAGATACCGCGTTACGTCCCGGCCAGCCATATTCAGCCAACGTGTGAGATGCAGTAGAGCGAAGCCATCGTGAAATCGTCACCGGTGTCGACGACCACACCAGTAGTGAGACCTGCGTTCAAGCATCAGTGGCTGCACGGCGGCGCAAGCTAGGCATCCGACGTACCTAGCACATACAGCAAGAACCCGGCCTGAAGCCCCCCTGAAACCGAAGGCTGTTCTGATCAACGCTCCGTCGCAGCTCCTGCATCGGGTTCGCGTCAACCCCATCCATGTCCATCCCGTCTCCGCTTCCTCCCGCCTCCCCGTCGGCACCCTCGCTCTGCAAGGAGCCAAAGATCGATCCACCAGACATGGTCGACCAGTCGAGCCCGTCGAGCAGCTCCGCGAACACGTAGGTAGACCTCCTCGAGTGCGTGCGCAGGGGCCCGGTCATGACGCCGACCTCGATGTTCGCGCCCGGCGGCGGGAACACGTTGAACTCCGTCATTTGGACAGGCGTAAGCTCGTACTCTCCTGGCTCCCCCCGTAGCATTGGCGTTTGCGCCGCTGAAGCCGTCGTCCAGGGCCTACGGTTGGACACAGTCCAGCCCTCAGAGGTCCGACAAAGGCATGCCGGACTGCATCATGTCCTGTAGCTCACACGTCGATCAGTGAAGGCCACGACGCGTCTGGTGGACGAGAAAAACACGTACCCCATCAGCTCCAAAAGGGTTGAGTTCATGAACCTATAGTCGGGGTCCATGTTCGACGGTCCAGTATCATTCGATACATCCATCGCAGTCTTCTCCCTTCAGCTCCGCAGACGAGGATCCTGAGTCTGCTGCAGATACTACGATGTTCGGAGCATCCGCGGGAGCGGATGTTGAGGCAGACGACGCGTCCACCATGGGTAGCTCGACAGTCTGCGAACTCGAGGCCCAGGGGGGCGAGATGCGCTCGGCCGTGAGCGACACAGGCGCAGGCTACACTTTGCTTGGTACGAGAGGCGGGGGCATGCGTGAATCGTACGCAGGTTGCTTTCCTTTCCCAGCCCGTGGCCGTTTCTCCGTCGGCGGCAACATGACGGACGTCCAGGGAAGGACATCTTCACGTCCTGCGCGTCGTCCTCCCCCGGGAAGTCGCCAGCGACAGACAAGGGACTGGGCGTCCAGGTCGGCGACGAGGCGGCCGAGAGTGGTGGAGAGCGCGGGGCGGTAGGGGTGGTTGAGATGCACAAAAGGCGGTTGCGGGAGCTGGGGAGGCGGCCCCGGGACGAAGAGATCCTGCTGAACGTACGGTACGTGACGCGACTTGGCCTTCTTCAGCTCCTCCTTCACTCTCGCCTTCTCAGCCTTCTCCTCTTCCTTGCGTTTCTCCTTGTCCTCCTTCTTCACCGGTTGGAACTTGTACCCAGGGAACACCTGCGGATGCTCTTGTCTCTTGGTATCGGCGATGTGTTCATACTCGTGCTTGACTCATGGATTCCCGG